AAAAAAAAAAAAAAAAAAAAAAAAAAAAAAAAAAAAAAAAAAATACTATCATCTTACAAGCGGAGACACAAGGCATGAAAACTATCTATCCAATAAGTCGGGGGAGGGGGACTGCTCTCCACGCAGCGGCTGCCCTAAATCGGAATGCTCTGAACCACCTGAGAGTAATCGACACCACTACCACGCTTGGAGATACCACCTTGGGCCAACGCAATCATGCCCTTGTCATCATCAGCCGCAAAGAACGCCGCCGTCGAGAACGGTGATGCGAGCAGACACCCCGACAAACTCAAGCTCAAGGCACAATATCCACTTGGCACATCATATCCATCCCTCGCATAGCTCCGTAGAGGTACCTTGATGGTAACAGACTGAGAGGCATTCTTTCCCTGGAACTCCATATCCAGAAACAGATCCGCAGGGATGGAGCTGCAAGAACCCGGCCACGCGAGCGCTCCATCAGGCGTTGAGGCAATACCCGTCGCCAGCTGGAAGGCAGTCTGGTTGCTGATCGGGAGGGAATCCATGCTGGTACCAGAGTCAATCTGGCACGGGGATCCAAGGGCTGCTGCGACATCGGACACAATGGTGCCATTCACGGAGATGATGGGAGGGGGCACATAATATCCGACCGAGGCGGCTTCGGGTTCGGATGGATCGGCGAGCTCCGAGATGACCTCCACCAGGTCTCCTGTGAACTTGGACAGATCCAGGCCACCCATGATGGCACCTCCGGTGTAGGTGCCGTTGGCGTTATCCGGGGCTTCATCGAACCACATGCAATGCACCGGAGCGGCAATGGTACCCTGCTGCAGAAGGTCATGACGGACGTTGGGGCCGCTGGTGTTCCACGAGGCCGAATGCTGGTACGGCGCAACCCCCATAATCCCATGATCGTAGGAGCCACTGTCAGTGCACGTCCCATCGGTTCCCAAGCGCTGCTGCATGTAGTCGACGACGGCGACCTCCAGGTTTGGAATGGTGCTGGATTGGCCGGCCACGGAGGTAAAGGTGAAGGTGTCGTTGATGGTCATGTCGCCACTCACATACTTGGTGAAGGCACCGTACGAGGCAAAGAAGTCGGCGGGCTCCGGCTTGCTAGCTGTCGATGATTCGGGCCAGTTGTAGTAATCCGTGACCGAGGCATTACAGGGACCAGGGCAGAACAATGAGGTGCATCCCCAGTTCTCGGTGGAATTGGGACCAAAGGTCCAGAAGGTGTCACTTCCCAGGTCGTACACGACCTCGATGGTGGTCTGGTCGATGACGAGGTTGGTTGAGATCTTGTGCTCGGGTCCATTGTAGTAGTTCAGGGGGAAGTAGGCGATGGGCAGTGTAGCTGCCGCATGGGCGAGCCCTGCAGTGAGAGAAACGGCTGCCATTAAACTGACGGAGAGAAAATTATATGAGAATGAAGATCTGTAAGCGGACCGATGGCCGTTTGAAAATTACTTGACCAGCGCAGAGCCGGGGTTTATAACATCATGGCCTAGGCAAAAGGGTGGTCTCACTATCCACACTGAGGAGACAAGCATCGCTAGTAACTCCGCCGACCTAATTTAAATGACGGCATTAGTGAGCGGGGGTATTGCTTATCTGAGCCAAGTCTTGCTTTGGTATCTGGCCATGGTCCTCTGTCGATGATATCAGTAGCGCTTATTGGACGTGGTCTGCGGATGGCCTCGGGATGTCTGAAACAGTGTCTCATTACGGCCCGTTGCATTTGAGACATTCTTATCAAGAATAGAGTACGCCCTTTTCAATCCACTAGTCGTGATAATAATAGCTTCCAAGTGTAACCTAATTTAGAGATTCTGTACTAGGAGAGATGACCAGAGGATTGAAGAGATTTGGTGGAGGGAACACAGGAGATATATTGCCTAGATGAGGATTGGTGAATAATCACCTAAAGCCATATTCAAGAAGACATGACACTTAAGAATCGGAAGCAAGCTGAAGCGTGATTATGTAAAGATCTCATCGAATAGATGTGAGTTCGTGCTTGTCGGAGTTGAATGCAGTCCAATATGATTCAATCCGCCCGTGCCTCGGAGATGATTTTGAGAAGGATGCGGAAAGGAAAGCAGAAGCTGAAAGGGAGCAGAGCCTATTACCTCACTGCGAGAGAACGCAGAAAGAAGTTTTATAGGAGCTCGAGCAAAGCGTGATGTGCAACTTGTCTTTCAATAAATCATTAAAGCCATTCCAAATCCGAAATTCCATATGTCCCAATCAGAAGAAAACAGCTAGGCCTTCCAGAGGTTATATGGTCGTCTAGGAATATCTTAATAAGCATGGTATCATGGCAAAAGAGGTATCCATGAACAATATCACCATGTGCAATGGTTCTGGGACAGAAATTCTCATTCATACGCGCAAGAACCAGTTGAAACAATATCAACACAAAACCAAGCTAAAATGCTGCAACTCATAACATCATCATATCGGTCCAGCGATATTCCTCGAAGCTAGCACACTACTAAGATAACCATGCACCTAATCCGACCACGGGTCATAACCCGTATCCGGATGAGGGTATCCACATGCCTCTGCAATATCTGACCAATGTTCCATCTCCGAATCTTCACAATACCTATAGCCTTGGGTGCGCGGCGGCATCCCACCCCTACTTTGGGGTTGTTTCTTGGTAGCTTTCTTCTTGGCTTTCCTCATTTCTCGTCTCTCCTTGTCCTGTTTCTTGATCTGCTCGTACCGCTTCTTGGCCATATCAGCCCAGCTTTCCAGAAGCTGGGGGTATCTAAGGCACCAAATAACCACATCCCGGGTGGCATACGCGTCCTCGAGCGCCGTGTGGCCTTTCCGACCGGCTTGGATATCATACTCGGTAAGTTCACTCGCCAACGCCTTCAATCCAGTCAGCCGAGGCAGGGGACTCGAAGTCGATAGCTTCGGGAATATAGCCTCCCCTGTCAAGATCTGCGAGTCAACGATTCGTGAGTGGATGATACCCATGATGGAGAGATCATTCTGTAGCGCATGACCGATGAGAACCGTGTCTTGATCGACATGCTCCCACAACGCCTCTCGCGCAGCCTCCCACCCTCGCAATGCCGCTCCGTTTCTCACAGCCGCCATCATGGTCGCATGACTTATCCCACTGTATCGAGTGTTGTAATTCACGATCTTTGCCTCCGGGTAGACGTATTGATTGAGAAGCACTTCCCCGGTCAGAAAGTCGACTGCCGCAATAGAAGCGATATGTCGTCGGCCAGAAGTCACCGTGACCATCTCACAGTCGATCACCACGGCCTTGCGTTTCTGGTGTCGGTTCATTGGTGATGGTGGGGTGTTTTGGAACTGGGTGCCGAGGACGGTTCCTTTCCGGGGTTCTCTTTGATCTGTAAAAGCGATCATGCGAAACCCCTGTGCGAGAAGACGGGAAATCGGATGGCATTTTTCTCGGAGCTCCAGATAGCGGAGGTCTTTCTCGGATGGCCCGAGCACGGCAAAACGGTTACTGTTGTATGGGTGGTTGGCGACGACATTTGCTATGGCGAGATCTGGGGCGTGTTAGTAGTTTATTATAAAGGAGTTACAGACGCTCATTTCACCTGGACTTAGGGCTGACAGCTGGTGCGACGGCGGTACCGATTGTGTTATCTTTTCCTCTATATCAGACGACTGAGGGATGGTGGCTGAAGCCGAAGCGGGAGTGGGAGCGGGAAGTGTGCCTGTCGCAGACTGCGGTTTCGGAGCACTATCAGCCTCCTGATGGGACAAAACATGTTGCGATAATGCAGGCGAGGTCTTGAACTTCCTGTTGCAGATATTGCAGGCAATCTGCTTCAATGGCCTCGAATGACTGGCGTGATGATCTGCCAAGGCCTTTTCACTGGCAAATTTGCGAGTACATTTCGAACAGGCCCAAGGTTTCTCCGGCTTAGCGTGAACAATTCGATGCTGCTCCAACGCCTTCGAGTCTATAAACTCTTTATCACAGTCGGTACAGGGAAACAAATGCCTCAGGGTCTGCTGATGCGCTCGTAAGGCTTTCACCGTCTTGAAAGTCCTTCTCTGACACACTGGGCACGTCTGCGCTACGGGGTTAGGTTTGGGAACGGAAACAGAAGCGACAGCAACGGCAGTCATCTCGACAACAGCCTCATGAAAAATAAATAATGGTGAGAATCAGAAAAGCCATACGCGATAATCCGGGGTAAGCAGAAGGGTTTTATTCCCGCGACATGTCATTCGGAATCCACCTCGCCGGCTCCTTGCGCCATTTTTACGCGCCGCCGCTAACAACCGGCGCTGTCAACCTGATGCACTCCTCGGCCAATTAGCGGCCGTCTGCTGCCAACGCATAATTCCGTGGTTGGGGTCGTTGCTGGAAAGTCCGCTGCAGCTGCTGCGCCACGCCATGCAAGGCTGCCCTTTGCCAGTTGTCAGCCTCGGTCGCTGATCAGCTCAGCTCTGTGCTGCGGTTGCGAATGGGCGCTAAGTCTTCTTTCGATTACATCCAATCGATTTCTCCATGTTGTATCAAAGCGATCATATCATGTCCCTGTGACATTGAACCACAGTTCATCTGTGGTAGGCCATGTAGGTCAATGGCACAAATACAGGGGTGATAGTGCCACCTTACGCCATGTTACGAGCTTCCAGAGGAGAATGTCTGTCATGAAATTTTTGGTGTTGAATGATCAGCGTAGTAACACGACGACTGTGAAGAAATTTGAATTCGCGTAACAACAATGAAAATGTGCAGCCATTATATAGCAAGTCCATTGTGTCTTCACTGCACAAATCTGGCATATCCTTCACTAACCGACAAGGGAATATTTTGTGGATGGTGGCGATGTTTTGCAGTATGACAATTGATCTGGCGGATCATACACGTCATGTAGAGGAAGCACCCTGAGAATATCAAGTAAGGTGGCACGTACTTTCGCCTATATCATACAGCTTTAGTTCAGCGCTGATTTAATATCATCATCCAAGCAGAAGTGTTATATCACATCGATTCCATTAGTGTTAACCACCTCAATGTCAGGAAGCGCTGTGATCAGGATCCATGGATTCAGCTTAAAAGGTGATTCCCTATTATGTGTCACAACCATTCCAGACCAGACTCAAGGCCCTTTATATTCGCGGAGACGTGTACTAGATTAATGTCCTCAAAGGGCGGCTCCTACATACGGTATGTAGGGTCCTACGGGTTGTCGACTAATCCACAACTCAATAAACCAGAAGAGTTCTCTCTCGATCAACACCAAGTCTGCTGATTACGCAGGTCCAGCACACCATTCTATCCAAAGGTATGCAGATGCATTGGTACTTTCGCAACGATGCGATGCTAACTGCAGCTAATCGGACCATCCACTGCCAGTTTCGAGATCCATCTGGCGTGGCCGGTGTGGAGCGGAGCACAAGGATTCCACTGGGAGGATCAAGGATCTCCTCCCAACAGTCAATGGAAATCATTGTTGCTCCCGCGGCTGTAAAGCTAGGGTCATGGGAGCATGTTGTGTCTGACAGGGGATGGGCCAACATTTGGACATCTCTCAACCCCTTTAGGATATCGACATCGCCCACCCACTCCCCACCGTCATTAACCGACACAGTTGTTTCCAGATAATAGGCCTCCATGCTTCGAAAGCTGGATGAGTTTAAGCTAACTGGCCCTTCCCATCCAGTAAAGGACAAGTGGAGTGAAGTGCCATCAAACATTCCACCGGTAGGGCTTCCGTTGAATGGATGATGATTAACAAAACGCCACCGCTCAAGGTCATGTTCCCGAACTTCCAGCTCTGGGGGGGAAACCAAGAGAGCAACGCCTGGCTTACCCACGTTCCCAATGACGTGGGAGACAGCGCAGCATGAAGTCCCTCCATGAAATGTCGGATCGTGCAGAAGTTGTTCGGCGATGAATAGGGAGTTCCCGCTCGATATCGCAAGTACTGCGGCAAGGTCCGAAGTATCCACACTGATTGTTCCTGATTCAAATTGCAAAATTGCTGCAAATGTATGTTCTCGAGACAAGGGATGCGGATAAACGGTCTGAGTTACAAATCCTTCACGAGCATGCTGTTCGGCAAGTGGGCCCGACAGATCGAGTTCAGAGACCATTGACTGTACCCAGGCCCACGACCTTATAGAGCTTTTGATTACCCCCATTGACACGGTAGCCTGAGGTAAGTAGCGCTTGTAGTAGTCTACCACACGTCCAAGGGCGAGAAGGGAATCTCCATGAAGTGGCTGAATGGATTCAAAGTGGTCTAGAAGACACTGGGCCACTCCATCCAGTCTCAAAAGGCTCTTATCCAGAAGTTCTTGCACCATTGCGAGTGGAACTGTGCTCGAGAATGTCTTGTTCTGGGCTGAAGGCTGACTGGTCTGTCTTCTGTAAACGGCTGCAAGGTTATGGTCCCCAAAAGCAAAATCGAAGAATACCGACTCGCCATCATGGGTGTTGTCGTCCAAGAGCTCGGCGAAGATGTCACCATAGACACGAGATGTGGAAGACTGTGAGCCATGGCCACTTGATGCTGCCAAGGTAGCAATGCAAATCCAATTCTCTTCTGGTGGTATATCAAGGCGATCAGCGGGTTCCATGTCAATCAATTCATACTCGTCCCGTTTCCTTTTCATACCCCCATGAACGGTCTCAAGACGTTCCGCCGCGATGGGTGCGTAGGCCCACGAGTTGTCCCGGGCTCGGAAGCGAATTACATAGTCGGGTGATTTGAGCTGATACTGGGCGCATAATTCGCGAAGGATCCGAACCCGTGCACCTGGGTATTTTATCATACCAAGCAGATTCCGTAGGGTTGCTAAGCCGAAGAAGAGAGACGGTGAGTTGCTTTTGTTTCCAATCCATAATTTGCCATAGTTGGCACCGTAGCGCATGAGTTGCGTTGCCGTCTTTCTCTCATTGGAATCGTCCGAAAGTAGAAGATCTATCCCGTCCCTGAGTGGGAAGAGAAGTTGTAATAACTTGATCACAACCTCGAATATCTCGGGTGTGTCTTCTATGAGACCCACCACACTGAATCTAGATAGGTCCTCCGGGAGCTCTGGCGGCTTGTCAGCAAGCTGACACATTCTGGCTTGATATATCTGATGGAAAAGCTGCCAAAGCGACCGGAGGATCCTGGCAGCAGTCACTGGAACATCAGGAGAGCCCAAAGAAGCGCCCAATGCTAGGGCCTGTAGCTGCTCCACTGAGATTCTCGAATCATGCATTGTAGAGCGTTCTCGTTGAACGGTGCCATAGTATCGAAGACTTGCCAGTGGCAAAGACCAGTACACCCCGTCCGCGCTCGGGCTGGCTTGAGCTGCGATGGAAATTGTGACGATCCCACCCTCTTTGACCAAGTAATCCTTTTGGCGGATTTCCTTTGTAGTCGAGCCGAGTACAACAAGGTCGGGGTAAAGATGCCACGAGGTTAGGCCAAGAAGGATCCCTCCATCTGTTATCCTTTGTGGCTCCCCCTTGATCAATTTCTCCAATGTAGTCAACGCGCGATTCAGATTGAGAAGTACGCTGTCATAACAATTCGATTTCGGAGGTGTTCCATGATCCGAAGCTGCGTGGGATTTGACTGCCACTGAAAGATTGTTGACAATCAGGCGTATTTGGATCTGTTCCTTTTTCCGCGCCTGATCCGCGACTTGTAACCACGCCCGTGCACTGGCATCCCAGCTTCCTAGCGACGGCCCGTCAATGTCGTGGGCGGCAGCCAATTGAGCCAGGTAGTTATCCACGATCTCGGGTGATTGGGCCTGGCTTCTAATAACCGCTTGGCGGTGGGTGACCAGTTCTCTCCAGATCGCCGTGGCCTCCTGGGGAGACCAGATGCGAGCCAGCATGCACGCAAGGAGATGGATGCGAAGCACCGACTTCCCACTCGTCGCACTCGCCCAGATGGTAGTGGAATCGATACCTATATGGGAACCGAAGAACCCATCAACAATATCCTTCGGGCTTTGTACTTTATGGGTGGTTTCCTGCACAATCTCACTGGCGCGGGTTCCATATGCCTCCAAGAGCGCCGGTACATCTGGGAGAACATTATCGAATAACACACCCAGTCGCCGGGCAAGAATATGAAACGAACCGTCTTCGGCGGATTGCCGTCGGGACTTGGAGAGCTGCTTTCCGAGTGGTTGGAGCTCGACGGGCGCTTCAACTTTGACCAAAGAGAAGTCGAAGTTTAACTGGGCCAGTGCAATATTGGATTCGGCGACAGCATGCAAGGGAGTTGCCACTATACTTTGGATGGAAGCCGACATGTTGTCCGGTCACTCTGCGGGTAGCAGGAGCGAGATTGAAGGGCGGGGGCCGACCTTTGAGGGTCTTTGCTGCCTGACCCTCGGCCTTGCCGTTAACCCGATTCGGTAAGTAGTCGAGAATAGGTGCAGCGGGATGTTTCGGTATATGGATCTTGGCACCTCTCTGCGCCATGTGGGCACGGGCCGCAGATCTTATCTACCCACTCGATTGCCCTCGGTCCTCCAGGACCCGCTGTCAGACACCATCCAGTGTGCAGCTTTGAGTACGGCTAAGCTGAGTGAGAACTCTACTCTGGTCTACTGAGGGACTCATAGCTGCGTGTTCATATTCTTGGGCAGCAACAAGTAGAAAAAGCTCAGTCTTCAGGATCTGCAGTTAGGGGAAAGACTAAAGGGGGAAGAAGGGGGCTGCGATAAACATAGTAGGGGAATGCCACTGAGTGAAAAGACAATTTCCACAATCTACGTGATGAGACACAAGAAGCCCTACTTGTAAATAGGAGAGAGGCAAAAGAAAATGTTTATGTCAAGCTCTACGCGGGACCAGGCAGCTCAGAGATACTGACATGTATAAGTTTTCATTGGAATAAAGCATTCCGTCGATTCTAACTTCCAAGAAACTATAAGATGCCAGCGATCTATATGAGAGAACATAAATTACTTGCTACATTAACAAAGCTCCTGATTTGACCCATTTAAGGGTTGAAGATCGGGAGAGGGGACATATATCGATAAAATGCAATAGAACGTATGCGGTAGAGAGTTTTCTTTCTATTTTTCTCTACCAGTGCAAGTACTTAAAGGCGTAATTGGAATTTCTCATACGCTGACTGGACAAGCTCACCACTCCCTTAGCTGATTTATCAAAATGTAGCTCCCTACAGTATCTGTCATGCCGACGCCAGGCATGCATTTACAATAACCTAATACATCTGAGAAGGATCAGAAGCGGACAAGGGTTATGCTGCCGAAGTCTTTGCCTATGTTATTGTAGAGCCCATAAAGGGGTGTTTTGGAACTGCCAAAGGTTGGACCATCACAAGTGCTCCTTGGGACTTTAACACCGTTCCTGCATGAGAGACACCCCCGAACGAACCATTTTCAGCCAAGAAAATTATTGCCGTATAGAGATATACCAGGACGTGCAAAAGAATAAATGGCACTTGCTAGCTCGTATTCGATGTGGATTCCTACTGCAATCTCGTATACTACTGGTAAGAAGGGACACCTTCATATTTGATGGCTCACGAGCACTTTGCTATATAACCATAAGGCCCCGAATTCAGTACATCCGCAGTCGATGTTCAGACAAATGGATCAGTAGAGAATATCTAACGGGGCTTGGTAAGACGAGAAGAGTCTTCATATTGCGCGGTGCACACGTGAGAACTGGATCAATCCTGGCCGAAGGTTTCAATGCGTGCTATGCGGGTTAGCATGATTCTGGTCTAGTATAATGGCACAATGAAGAGGAATTGGGGTTCGTACCTCAAGCATGGTATCTCCAGCTCACCAATTTTATATCGAGGCGATGATGTGGAATCCAATATAACCACGCATATAGGAGTGGACAACTTCGCGCAATTTCGGATTATCAGCTACAATATCTTCGACGCGACGGATATTTTCGTGGATCTCATCGACTAGGCCATTTAGGCAATCCGGTATGGTGACTTGGCTTGCCTGAGCTCGGTGGTAAACATATCCATTCCTTTCAGAAGATATGACTGACTCCTTATAAAACGAAAGGAGGTCATTGACTTTGTTTGTGAAATTAATGAGCTCTGGGACTGCCTGAATGAACACATTCAGGGTCTCACCGTGCCCAGGGCAAATATCCTTGGATAGAATAAGGTATACGAACGCTTCCGGGTTTCCTGTCATAGATCTGAATTATTGAGGAAAGTTGGGGGATTTTTGGAGGAAAGAGAACTTTCCTGTGGTTTCGTACTCCAAGGCGGTGGAGCTCATATGATTAATCAAACCACTTGTGATCTTGTCTGAGCAGAACTCCAAGTATTGTGTGTCCAAGCTTCGGAGCATATTTGCACAACCTTCGAAGATTTTCCCTTGGGGTAGCTTTTCGACTAAGTTGCGTCGGAATTTGCGCAGTTCGTCTTCGCCTGAACAGATGTCATCCAGAACAAAAAAGCACCCCGCGTACAGTCCAGTAAGACGATGTAGATCGGGGCTTTGGAAAGGATAGAACTGTTGGGCGACTAAAGCTGCCTGTCTGGCCATTCTCAATGCGTTTTTCTCGTCTATTTCCTGATCGCCAAACTGCTTGAAGATATATTCCGCGAGGGTACCAGCTCGGTTAGAAAAGACCTCAAAGGTGACACCGCGCAAGAGTTTGTCAATTATCTGTCTGTACTCATCGGTTGAAATGGGGGGTTCCATTGCGGAGGCGCTCGGATTGACGGTGTCCATTGCCATAGAGAAATTTCAGAAGTGCGAGTCTGTTGGACTCACATGTCTAGGAGAGGGAGAAGAAAGATATTTATAGGGTTGGACCAATCCGACTCACATGGTGATTTCTCTGATTACAGCACTGGCCTTTATGGAATCCGCATGGCGCATTATTGCTGCAAGACGGTCCCTTTATGAAATTTGTTGCATCGGAGTGTTACCCTTGCAGTGCCGCTCCACTGCACATCATTAGCGTCCCAAAAGTCCGGGACGCCTTGTCGTTTTGTTTCAAAAACGCGGGAGCGTTGATTTCGTCCATCATTTCATCATATTTCTCTCTGACGTCTTAGCGATGAACCCCCCCCCCCTTGCCGGTTAGGGTTCGTCCTTTAGGCTTTGACTCCCCAGTGGTTGCGTAGATTGGCTAGATTGAAAACTTTATTGACAATGTCAAGAGCGGGCCACACCATCAGCATCGGCAGCTCCTGTAATGTGAAAAAGAGGCAAAGGAGTCATTGTTCTGGGAGGATATATCAGCCATGAATACGTCGGGGTCATTCGACGCGTCGGTCCCGCCGTGCAAGGCCTTGCACCTGGTGACCGCGTGTGCGGCATCGCATCAGGAACATTCAAGACCTTCGTCCGGAACCAAGCCCACACCACCATCCCCATTCCAGATCACATGTCCTTCACCGAGGCCTTTCCGGCAGTCTGGTTGACCGCACTGTACGGAATTGTGCACTTGGGTCACCTCCGACAGGGGGAGTCCGTTCTCATCCACGCTGCTGCTGGTGCTGTGGGACAGGCCGCCAATTCAGCCGGCCCAGAATGCTGGGGCGGATGTATTTGTAACGGTGAGCTCGACTGTCAAGAAGAAACCCCTGTAGGAGCGCTACGGAATCCCGGACGATCGGTTCTTCTCCAGTCGTCAACTGGCATTTGGGAAGCAGATTTTGCGTGCCACCGAAGGTCGAGGGGTTGATGTGGTATTGAATTCGACTTCAGGTGAAGCCCTGGCAGAGACGTGGAGGTGTATCGCGCCTCTGGGGCGTTTCGTGGAGATTGGAAAGCGAGATATCTACTCCTTGCAGAAGCTGGCCATGTATCCTTTCTCGAAGAATGTCACCTTTTCATCCGTCGATCTCCAGACGGTGTACCGGAATCACCCCGCCGTGATTGGCCGTTTGATGAAGGAGCTTAGAGAGCTGCTGTTTGCGAGAGAGCTGCTGTTTGCGAGAAAGCTAGGGCCACCCCACCCAGTTACTCAGTTCTCCCGAGGTGAGTTCGAGGCGGCCTTTCGATACCTCCAAACCGGCCGGCAGATGGGAAAGGCTGTCATCAACTAGGAGAGGACCGCAGAGATCTCCATGGTGCCCAGCCGCCACGCGGCGGATTCTTTCGACCCAGATGCCAGCTACGCGATTGCGGGTGGCTTGGGAGGGGTCGGTAGGAGTTTAGCCCGATGGTTTGTCAGTCGAGGAGCCAAACATCTCATCCTGCTGTCCCGCTCCGGAGTCCCTGCAGGTGCGGTATCCCAAGAAGCGATCCAAATGGTTCAGAAACTGGAGGAGCGCGGTGTCACGGTGGCCACGCCGCGGTGCGACATCAGCCATGTGGAGTGCCTTGCAGCGGTATTGCGTGAATCCTGCCAGTCGATGCCCCCCGTGAAAGGTGTCGTACAGGCGACCATGGTTCTACAGGTATATTTCTTGGTTCGGCTCGGTCCTTCTTGCAGTCAATCACTAATTACTTTTTCTTCGCCTAGGATCGCCTGTTCCACAACATGTCCCGGGAAGAATGGCAGGCAGTGCTCGATCCCAAGGTTGGTGGAACCTCGAATCTCCACCATCATCTTCCCGCGGATATGGATTTTTTCGTCATTCTCTCCTCTCTCGGAGGCATGATCGGGTCGAGGGGCCAGTCTCAATACAATGTCGCCGCGACTTTTCAGGATGCTTTCGCCCGATATCGATGGGCTCGGGGCCAAAAGTTGCATCTCCATTGATGTCGGTTTGCTTACCTCCGTGGGTTACGTGGCGGAACAGGAACATGTATCCAAGCGGTGGGTGAACGCAGGCTTTGATGCTCTCCGCGAGGAGGAGTTGCACAGTGTCGTGTACTGGGCGTGCGATCCTCGTCGCCAGGTCTTTTCGGGGTGGGAAACGCAGGTTCTCACGGCTGTCGATCGGCCCTTGGCCATGGTGAAGCCAGGCATCTTTGCCTGGCTTCACCATGGCCAAGACGCCACTGGGTCCGCTGGGCCCTCCCTCGAGAAAGTGAACTATGCAGTCCTTCTTGGCGCGGCGGAAACTGTCGAGGAGGCCGGGAACATCATCTCCTCAGCTCTCGCCCAGAGACTTTCCCGGGCTCTCTCGGCCCCATTGGAGGACATTGACAGGGGTAAGCCAGCTCACTCCTTCGGGGTGGACTCCCTGGTGGCGGTCGAGCTGCAGCTCTGGTTCGCCAATGAGATGAAGGCAGAGCTTTGGGTGTTTAACATTCTGGCGGATTTGAGTATCCGGGAATTGGGTCAGCAGGCAGCCAGCAAGAGCCAATACTTGCGGGGAGCAGCCCCTTAGTGCGAGATGCACAAAGGAACTTAAAGTGTCGCCCAGCGCCTAGTGCCGGGATCGGCAGTTCTAGTCCATCACCGGTGGACATGATTAATGGGCCATAATATAATCACCCACCGCAGGGCATTGGCCCGAGCGATTTGGCTTCCCCGGATGAACCCCGCGACGTGTTTCGTAGGTTTCTGTCATCGTCTTCCACTCATCTACTTGTCACCCTCCCTTGCCAAAGCGGACCTCTGCGAGATATTCTAGCAGGGAAATGAGATCGTCAGGCATGAACGTTCCCATCAGCAATGCGGGATATACCATACTCTGGCGGTAGAAGAACGGCGCTGTCAAAAAGATCCGAAGCCCTCTTGGTGGAAGGTGCAGTGCTGATCGGTGCCAGTAAAGAGGGTATGTAACCCTGCTTCGATATCAAATTCACGGATTATCAATTAGACTCACGCTGCGTTACCTCATTTCCACATCAAGGAAAAGCATGGAAAGGGCTTGCTGATCTACATGAGCTTTTCCTTCAGGTTTGATGATGAGCCTGCGGCGCTGAAAGCTATTGCTTCAACTATCGTCTTCCAGTTTAGGTCTCTCATTAAAAGAAAAACTGCTGTTGCATACCTGGCCAAAGTGTTAGACTGCATCATACCCGTCATCAAGCCCTCCTCATCCACCAAGGCTCCTTCAGCACTGACGCGATGAACAATGTCAACCCCGTCCTCATAAGGTCAAGCTCTAGCGCTGGAGACGATACAGCTCGTGCTCCAAGGGAAGTAAACTGTCAGAAGGAGTTCGGAAATTCAATGGCGATCATTGTGAAGGTTATTCAAATCGTCAAGGGAGTAGCCATTGCCGGGGAAGAGGAGATCACTGCGGGTGCCGTTTGAAAGTTACTGCGTTGGGGACTTACTGGAGAATTGCGTGAAATCGGCTATTCATTGGGTCAGGCACTCATCATGCCAACGTCCTGTATGATACGTGATTTGATGGCAATCAACGATTTACACATTACGCTCAGACAGTAGAACATCGTTGATTTGGAATCCGGTTGGCGCACCCATCAAGCGATACTTTGTGGAAGCACTCTGGCGTATCAAAACCAGGCCAGCCTGGCGCATTGACCTCTGTTCGGGTCAGGGTCAGCCAGAGCGTCCACCCCAATTAATTCGTGGGAATGGACTGGCCTGGGCCCGATGGCGGATCCTAGCACACGGCAGATACTGATGCGAACTAATCAGATCTTCGTTGGTCGAGCAGGGCCTGTCTTGATCTCGGTCGGGCCGACGGGGAAGCATCACCCCTGAGCCACGACAGAGATATTTAAAGGACAAAGAACCGTTCCCCGTCGGAAACCCCGACGCTGTGCCAGTGACCCATGCCAAAGTTTAACTCCTCCGGTTACGCTGGTAGGCATCATTCATCCCAGAATCCCTGCAGTCTCCTTTCTTCGCGATGCATCGACGAGGCACCAGCACCCCGCGGTCTCTTATTGAGCCTTCCCCCTCAACCCTCCCAGGTTGAACCCAAGGGCCAGTCCAGTGTCTCTCTATGGTCTTCATCCTTTTATCACGCTTCCGGTCCATGCATACCTCCGGTTCCCTCTTGCTGTCGCCATGAAACGCCTCAGTAAAGACACTCGAGTGATCCTAGGCACCACCATCGCCATGCTGAGTCTGGCGGTGGTCTCGGTGGTCGTCCGGTTCATCGTGCGCTTTGCCAATCGAAAGCTGCTCCCCTTGTCCGACGGGCTGATGCTGCTTGCGCTCATCTGTCTATCGGCGAGTGGGAGCATGGTTATTTACTGTGAGCTTTTGGACCTCCGGACCACGATGGAAATACTGACCCATGCGACGTAGACATTGTGGCCGGCCCGGGCCCCGGCAACTTTGACATCAAAACCCTCCCCGCAAATGCAGCTAGCGAGGAGATGGTATGGGCAAAGGCTTTGCTGCATGTAAGCTGAGCCAAGCGATCCCCATGCTCTGTGCGCAACACTGACCCCGCCCGACCCAGATGCTGTACGCAGCGAACATCTTCAGCCTCGCCGCCATCACCTTGATCAAACTCTCCCTACTCGCCTTCTTCCACACCCTTTTCTCGGTCTCGGACACCTTCCGGTGGTTTAACTGGCTCACCGCCATTCTTTGCATCATCTGGTTTATCGTCTTCTTGCTCCTAGACGTATTCCTGTGCCGCCCGATCCACCTGATCTGGGACACCATGGCGTCCGCAAAATCCTGCATGCCCAGCGGAAGTCTCGGCCTCGGCATGGAACTGACCAACCTGTTCCTGGATGTCATGATTATTTGCCTGCCGTTGTCCATGTTGAAGGCGCTGCCGCTGACCGTTAGCCAGAAATGCCAGGTCGCGTTCACCTTCCTCCTCGGCGGACTGTAGGTTACCCCCCCCCCCCGGTAAGCCCCGTGGGAGCATCCTGACGGTTCAATAGGGTCTGCATTATCAGTATGGTCAAGCTTGCCTTCATTTGGAATGCTTCGGACCCTCGTCAACGGCGCAGCGTCCAGGGAGTGAAGCTGTCGATTATTCAGTTAGGGATCGCCACCTTGTGTGCTTGTCTACCGACCTACGCGTCTCTGTTCCGTCTCGCCCAGCGCAAACTGCGATCCAGAAGTTCGGACGACAACGTGTACGGCGAGTCTCCTCAGTCACCATATAACCGGGTCCCGGGGACTCTTCCGGACGGTGCGCATGCCGATAATGAGTTGTATCGGATGGATTCCTCGGGCCGCATCTACATGGAGCAGAATGTGGATGTGAACGTGACGCAACTGCGCATGGCTATGGCGCGGTACTCCCGTTCATCATCATGTCTGGGCGCTTAGCATAGAACAGTGGTCTCGTTCGTGGACATTCCGGTCCAACTGAGCCATCTGGAGCAAGCATAACTGGAAAGTTCGACACGTGCTGCCATCCTCCTGTGATGGGATCTTTGTCATCCCACAATCAGGCAATCGCGATGAATAACTCCAGCAACCTTGGATGCAAGGTTGATCTTTTCCCGGCATCGCACGCACCGTCCCGGTTGAGATTTGGGACTTCAGCTTTCGACTAAGCCAACTAATATCACCATCATGGGTCTAGATATCCCGACTAACCCAACGAGCGATGCAATGACGACTGATGATATCTGACTATACGATGCGGGACGGTGTCATGTCGTGGAACCATATATCGGAAGCAGGAACACAGGACAGGATAGGTCTACAGCACTAGGATATCCCCACGTCAACCCTTAGCTATCCACATACTATATAATATCATCATGAAGTTCAGCTCTATCATCAACATCCCCATCATCACATTGATGTATAGCCTCCTCATCCCCTTCCTGACCTCCGTGATAACACTTCTCCTGATATCCCCATCCGGCCCCTGAATAACCCGATCCAACGGCCGAAGACTATTCACATCTGGCTCCGAGTCAAAGATAACATGTGATGCCTCCAGTGAGTCATCTAGACATGTCTACTATGCAAAGGATTCTTGTTAGAATGTCGTTTAGGATTGCTATGCGGGCCTTATTTCTTAGAAGGGCAATTCAACAGGCATAGTCGCAGAAACGAACAATATCAACATCCAATAAGCCAGTCTGACAAGAAGCTGGTCTCAACCACCAGCCAAACGATCGTAGAGTAAATACCTGCCTCCACAGCTCTGACCATGCACTCAACGCCCAATCTAGCACATCACCATACCCCCAGCCAGCCACACATCCCACAACTAACCTCCCAACTCCATCACAGTCCCAGTCCCATTCCCCACCCGAATCCAAGCCAAAATCGAGGACAAAAAGCCATTGACGTTATTCGCCGCATACGTTGGGGCTTCTCGCGCCGGGGAGATCATCTCCACCGTACCCTTCGTGGCCAGATTATAGATCCAGGTATCCGTGCTCCGGGCGACCTCCACTGCGCGCTGCTGGCAGTTTTCTGTTTTCAGACAGTCTTGTACGTAGTTTGAAAACCAGCTGTATAGTCCTGGAGTAAGTTAGCGATATGTTGGGGCTCTGTCGGGGTGTGACTCACCCGCTCCCATGATGTATATTGATGTGGAGTCTAGGATGCGAACCGCCCATGATAATGCACATGTAATCGAGTCAGACGGGCAGTCGGAGAATGTGGGATCGTTTACAAAGTGACCGGTTCTGAATGGGCTGGGGGCTTTAGGAACTGGTTGGAAGTATGGAGATTCGGTCTGGATCATCGCCATGTAGAGGTCCTTTGCCCCGGAGATTTGATACTGGTACAGGACACAGTGCTCGGAAGTGGTTCCGTACATCCAGGTAGGGCCTCGACTCTCGATCAAAACCCCCCGCGCGGCGTAGATGTCAATTTGGTCATCTTTTACATTTGCGTCTAGATCGTGGTCCGCCGTCCATGCCCATACGTTCTCGAGATAGGCAGACGATTGTACGGTGAGATGCAGGAGAAGTGATGCAGCCCGGCACTGGGCGTTGACTCGGCCTGTGTTCTTGGGACAGTCCTTGAGTTGTAAGTCTGAGCCGATGGCGCCACCGACGCGGAAATGGGAGTCTGGGAGGGAGGTCAGCACGTTGGGGGTTTAGAGAGGAGTTGTACGCACCCCAGAGTCCGGCTGAGCCCTGCGTTGACTGATGGACATTCCATTCCATAAGCACTGCCCCTGCAGTAGGGCCGGAAACGGTGAATAACATGCTCTGTATCTCAGCAACGCCGGTTTCTCCTGGGTTGCCCACTCGGACTGCCACGCGCGGGTGAGTCTCATCCTGGAAATTCGGGCCCGTGGCCATGATTTGAGACCATGCTTGACCGATGATCCGAGAGCCCACGGGAATATGGAGGGTGTCTCTGATTAAATAGACACCAAATGGAAAATAAACAAGCGATGACGTGCTGACTGCTCGTTGCAGGATATTATTCAATACTCCAGTGTCGTCAGTCCGCCCGTCGCCGACGGCTCCCGCAGCCTTGACATCGATGATTTGGCTGGCCGGAATATCGGTATATGCTGGTCGTCGTCGCTGAAAGAAGTTGTGGACCACTTGGCCGTGGTTTGTGGTCAAGGCGCTGCTGCGAGTCATGGCTGGAACCGTGGCCCCGTTGTAGAAAGCGCTGGTGCTCATCGATGACACGCGCCCAAAGCCCCATGACTCAACTCTGACCAGTGAACCTCCTTCCATCAGCGTCTGGCTCTTGGAGCGATCCAACACGGCCGTGCCGACGGAGACGAATGCCGAGTTCTGAATCAAAAACGACGTGACGTTCTGGGCCAACAGCGACGTGACAATGCCGGTTTTGGTGGAAGAAATGACTGTGTCGAGCACGATCAAAGAACCAACTCCTTGTCCAGTGCTTCCAGAGCCTCCGGTCTTTCCAGTCATAGGTCAGTCAGTCACTGTGGAAGACAGCTAGGGCTGACTTACACCTCCCATGATGACTATGCCATCCGTGCAGTTGTTAATGACCAGGTCCTGCATGGTCCACGCCCAGTCCCAGTGGATTTGCACGGCAGTTTTGCAGTTCAGGAAGGTGAGTCGCGAAGTGGTGAATTGCTGGTTCCCGAGATATGCTCTTGACTCATATTAGCCCATGTGACAATAGACAGCTGGAATGCCAACCCGAAGTTGCCGCCCACGAAGGTGAGGTTGGTGAGGAATCCCCCACTCCCGTTCTCCATATAGATACCCTGTTGAGGTCAGACCTGCCAACGAATCACTGATTCCCGTGCAAACCTGTTGTGTGGTCTTGCCGTCTTGCATCATGTAGAAGATGATGTTTTCGAGAGATGTCGCTTGCGCCACCTGCCAGTGGATCGCGCAGACGTACGCATTTGGGTCAGTCCGTGTGATGTCCATTTTGAAATTCCGAATGGATCGCAAAAAGTTATTCGTATTCAGATACCTGTCTCATGTCATGGAATGGACCTTGATAGGATGGCCCAACCTACCACTGTTCCTTGTCGCCGACATAGACGTCCGACGTAATGACCCCCAGCCCTACAAAGCTCGAGGCCGCCAGGATGGTGGGATAGTCAAATGGCTATAGCAGGCTCGTTAGTATACCTGAATGCGTATCCCAGCTGACTGATGACATACATTACCATAAAACTCCGTGTTGTAGTACTGGATGATGGGCGAGCTGACGAGATAAGTCCCCGAGGGAAAGTACACAAACGCAGGATAGATCGTGCTCGAACCGCACCCTTGACCGCAGCGTCCTCCATCGGAAATGGCCTTGTTGATCGCTGCGGTGTCATCGGTAACCCCATCCCCTGACGGATATCTGATCAGCAAGTCCCATCTACGCAGCGCTGCACTCACCTCGAGCACCGTAATCTTTGATATTCCTCCACACCTACCAAGGTTAGAACAGAAATAACCTATATAAGCGGCGCACCTTGTATCCCGCCGGTGCGAAAGGACTGGACCCTCTCTGCTCAATTGTTGTCATCCAAAAGTCCGTACTTGACTGTGCGTCGGCCGTCTGCGGCACGCCTGCTTCTGCTGGACTGGATCGGCCTGTATCCGGCGCTTGGTACTTATGCAGAGGCGCTTTTGTATCCGCTGAGCTGCCTCTGTATCGATTAGAAATCTGGGCTATGTTAACACCATAGTCGCTCGGGAGTGGTAGAGGTGAAGCCTCGGCAACGATGCGTGCGGCTTCAGCAACTCGAGCAGGGACTCCATATCGGTAACCGTCAATCGAGTCCCCCAATTGATACTTCCTGGATGCCTTTGCATGGTTTTCATCATCTTGGTATTTGGTCAGGACAATCTGCCTTGCATTGAGAATTTCTTCGTCAAGATCATGTTCCCTGGTATGCGTGTCCTCGAGACGCTTTCTGTTCATCACTGCCATGATTGCATGGGCTTGATCTACCATCTGTTCTGCATCTCTAAGTTCTAGATCACTGGACGGATCTAGACCCGAACGTGAAATGGACACCGCGCCCTTTGAAGTATGATGTCGCTCAACATGGTAAAGGTCTTGATAGGCATCGGGCAAGCCGCATGTGATTTCAACAAGCCCCAACAGAACTGGGAGTATATAAAGAACCAGAACTATCCAAGACCTTTTGGTCCGAGTATTGAATAGTTGACCCATTATCGCCTGTCTGCTCCGGAACGATACGGGGCTTAGCCGAGCATCGGTCAAGCGGAGCTCCTGAGTCGGTTTTATTGTGAAAGGACAGCCGGAACTTGGCCACGTCTCATGCGCTCAATGAGTGTAATACAACTGGCACCGAATCATTGCAGAGACACCAGTTCCGTATGGGAGGTCGCACAACCAAGTAACAGTTCCTCCGAATCTGACAAGTCCAACCAGTCATCTGTCGCACAGAAGGTGCGATGATCTTCAGCAGTCCAATCACGATAGCACTCTACTGGGTGTCTGTAGTTTGCTCTGTGCTGCTGTGTTTTCTGAAAAGCTGCAGGAAAAGTCACTGCCCAATCAGGTCTTCACTTTTGTAGCACAAGGAGCAAATGGGAGGTCATCTTATGTGTCACCCAATGTAGGCTGCGCAGGGCTCACCGGAGGCTATTCACCCTGCACATCCTGGACTAGCTGTGCGCGTGACTCATCAAATACAGGGGAAGGTGGACTTGATCAGTTGCAAAGGCAAGTGCGTTGGAGTACCTGATTGCATGCTCTAGGATGTCTGTCAACGGAGGGTCCCTGCCTCTGGCCTGCTTTCCGAGTGAGCATGATGGTCCCTGGCCATTTTCTATCCCTGTGCAAGATTCCGATATCCGATAGGGTTCTTCATCTTGGTTTCAGGAGTCCTAAACTATTAGATCTGAAAATATTTATTATTTTTATAGATTTACTAGGAATGAGATAGTGTGACGGGCTAAGAAGCCGGGTGGACTACGTAAGGTACAATAGTCTGTGAAGGAATTGAATTCACTGGAGAAAGAACTATCTAATCTATAGACTAATTAGGTTTACTTATAAATAATTTTTTCTAGAAGATTCTTTTATAATATTAATAAGTTTCTTTGCTACTTTAGAGATTTCCATCCTTTCTAGAGATTTCTATTTTTTTTATAGATATCATCAGATTAAGGTCCAGGACTAGACAGATTAGAATATAAATATTCTAATTCTAGATAGCTAATAGGATCTAGTTTTTTTTAATTATTATTCTCTTTACCGTGACGCAGCTAGCCTATTATAGATTTTAAAGAATTAAGTAGATAGGATTATACTAATATTTATAGATCTTAGTATTATAAAATTTAGTTACTAGTTTTTATATAAATATAATATATCCCTTCCATTTAACTAGAAATATTTTTTTATATATATATTTTCTTTAGAATATATTCTTTTTATCTAGGATTTTTTTAATAATATATTCCTCAGTACTGTCTTTTGTAATAATAATTTTTAATTATTAATTAATTATTTTTTAAATAAATAGAGGGTCTATAGTAACAGATTAAAATAAGTTAATATAGAATACTAAATAGATTTTAAATAGTATATTCAATTTATAAGTATGTATCTTAATCTATTTTAGTACTATAAACTTTATATTTTATTAATCTAGCTTTTTACTAGATTAATTAATTATAATATTTTTTAGATCTAGCTAAATTTTATTATTTTTTTTATAATAAAAGATAGGATTTCATTAATAGTTAGTATATTATTCTTATACCTCTTATATTATTACTATTATTAAGCTAGTAATATCTCAAGTCTTTTAAAATTTACTAAAAATAGTCTTAGTCTATTCTCAGAAGTTCCTAATTTAGTAATATTCTAGGATATTTATTTTAATACTTAAATCTAAAGATTTCATGTGGAAACTATACTATAAAAAAAAGAAACTTATTTTTATTAATATAGAATCTTAATTATTTAAAACTAACTATACCATGAGCAGTAATTTTTATTAATTAATCTATTATTAATTAATAAAATATTATAGGAAAGTTTTAATAACTGTAATTTATTACTTTATTATATTATTTATTTTAAAGTAGTAAGTAATAAAAAGATATTATTTAATATTTAAAGTTTTATATAGAGTCATCTATAGTTTACTTATAAACTAAGAGTTATAGTTTAAAACTACTAACTGGGATACCCTATGGTAATTATAAAATATTTAAATAAATATATTTATAAAATTCTTTATATCTATGCTTGAAATAGCCTTGATAATAATATTTTTAATTAACTAATTAGTAATAACTATAATATTTTTATAATTTTAAGACTCCGGGAGGTCTACTAGGAAATTAATAATAATATTTTATTAAAATTAATTAAAGATTAGTAGTAGTTTTAAAAGGTCTTATTTATAATTTTTTTAAATATAGTTAGTTTTATAGCTATTATAATTATAGTAGAATTAGTAGATATTCTTATTTATATCTAGCTAATAATAATAACAGGTAATTATTTTATAAATTTAATTCTATTTAAAATGTCCAGTGATTATACTGTTATAAATTTTTTAAATAATTTAGATTTATAAAAGCTCTAAGTTAGGGATCTAGACTTATTTTTAAAAGAATAAGCGCTAGTTTGTATCTAATTAATACTTTATAATAAAAATCTTTAGCTTTAATTATTTGAAAAAATTTAGATTTATTTTTAATTATTATTTTCTAGTACTCTTTCAAATCTTTATTAGCCTATTTAATCTATTTTTATAAATTATCTAATATTAGCTCTGCAGGCTTTAGACTAGTAAAAACTTCTATATTAAAGATTTCTTTAATAGATATTACGTAGCTGAACTTTTTTTTAAATATAAAATAAAATAATTAGATTTTTTAATTTATAATATATTTATTTTTTTAAACATGTCCTGGGACTTACAAGATAAAATATTAGATTAGATATTTATTATCTCTAAATAATAATTAATTATAAAATTAAAATAGTTTAAAAACTAGGCTTAACACATCTATTACTCTATAAATTATTATTAGATTATAAAATATTCTAGATTCTAATGGTTACTAAAAATCTTAAAATAGGAGAGTATAATAAGCTTTAATTTCTACTTTTATAGGATTTAGATAATTATTAATAATTTTTTATTATAGATCTAATAATTATATTCTGCAGGTAAATTTCTTTTTAAAAAATATATTATAGAATAGAAAATTTCTTAATTATTTTATTAAAATAATATCCCTTCTATATATTATTTAGAAGAGTTAATTTCTACTAATATTTTTTATTCAAGATCTTAATATACTAGAATAAAAATAATAATAAAAATTTTTTTAAAGATTTTAAATATTTCCTGGGTCTCCAGTATCCAACTAAACTTAATATTCTTTTTTATAAACTATATTAAAAGTTTTAAATAAACCTTTTAGTCCTTAAAAAACTATCAATAAAAATTAATAAATCTTAAGAAGATTTTAATATTATAAATAGTCTTCAAAATCTCCCAGTCCCATATAATCTAAACTTTAATAAAATCTATATAAATACTTTTTTCTATTTTAATAATAAATTTTAGATACTTAGAAATAGCTACCTTGAATTTATATTTATTAATATTTATTTAAAGATCCGTATTCTATAAATATTCTAGTATCTACTATATTTAAATATAGTATTTGGCCAGGCTTCCATCTATAAAAATAAAGATATTATTAATATAAGTAAAATAAAATTCATTAAAAAATTTCTATAAAATCTAGTTAATATATCACTGAAAGATACTCAGATAATTAGTAAATTTAAAAAAAACTATTAATTATTTAAATAATCTAAAGTAAGTACAAAACGTGGTTTTCTATTTATTTTCTTCTTTAATTTAAATATAATAGAAGGCTTAGATAACATCTAACTTAGTATAATACTAAGCCTTTAAAATATATTAAAAGATTTCTTAGATAAATAATAGAAAATATTAATTCTTTATTATTATTTAGTTTAGCGTTTAGTAGTCCATGTAAAAGTATAAACTATTATTAAATTTTAAAATAAATAATATAGGAGTAGCCACTGGAAAATTACTAATCTATATAAATTTTTTTTTTAAAAAATTAATTAGAGTCTTTTATAGTACTAAAAACTCTAATTAATTTATTTAATAAAAAAAATCTTAAGAAACCTCCTTCTTCTTTTCTCTAATATTTTTAGCTATTTTTATAGCGTAGTCTATCTCCAGGTAATAGAATAGTAGAATATTTACTATTATTTTATTAAAAATATTTAAATACTTATAATAAAATTTTAGTAACTTACTCTTCACTTCCATAGGATTTTTTAACTAATTAAACTTATAAAAAGCCTTATTAATATCTACTAGACTTATTATAAATAATTCTATTAGATTCTTTTTCTTTTTTTAATTTTTTTAAGTACACCATATATTAACAAAAATCATATATAATATTAAAGAATAATTTTATTCCTATCTATATTATATCTTTATCTCTATATTTTAAATATAGAATATAGAGTCCTTAATCTAAAATATTATATTTTAGTATTTTATTCACGGAAATCCCAATATAATATTATATTTATATATACGTGGTAAGATATAAAGATATATATATTTTTATAAATTTCTACTTATATCTAGTAATATCTTTATTAATTTAATTATATAAGTCTTCCCTCCTTCAAATTTTTTAATATTTTAGGATTTAATAAGAACGTACTCTAATTTATTTTTATTTATAAAGCTTTAGTTAATTATCCCATATAATATATAGCTAGTATTAATCAAAGTATTCATAAAATAAATTCTATTAATTAATTCTAATATAAAAAAGGTATAATAGTCTTCAAATCCTTAAACTTTTTTTTTAAATTTTTTATAATTTTAGTTAACTAGTGTGTACCCTTTTAAATAATAATCTAAAAAAATTATATTTTTTTTAAGACTAGAGACTATTACATGGCTAGATTTTTTAAAATTTAATTAGCCTTACTAGCTAGATTATCTTTAAATAAAACTTAATAGATTTTATTTTTTAAAATACTCTTCAAGTCCTGGGAGCGCTGTGATAATAAATATAAATATTTAATAATATAATATTTTAAAAATTTATAATATATATAAAATCTTATTTTATAGTATTTAGTTAATATCTCTTTTAATACTTATTAAATTTATTAAGTAAATCTTATATTTACCACTGTAAGTTTCTAATCTATAATATTATTTATAATTACTTTTTTAAGAATGTTACTTACTCAAGTATTAGAGTATTTTAATTATTTTTCTAAAAATTAATTTATTTTTATAAACTTATTAGCTACCTATTTAACTTATTAGTAGAAATCTTTAAAATTTAATTTCTATTTAATATTAACTATCTATTAGTGGATATTATCATTCAAGACTTAGTATAAAAGATTTTTTTTATTTAAATCTTTTTAACTGTATCTTCTAGTCTTAATTAATAGATTATTAATTTCTATTAAAAAATTATTAATTATTTAACTTTCTTACTTAAGAATAGATAATTTATTAATAATTTTTTTCTATCAAGCTGGGTCCTCGTAAATTAGCTTAAAATAATTAATTAAAATTATAATTAAAAAGGTTAGGATTTTATAATTAATCTTTATCTATAAATTAATCTTTACTTTAATTTTTTTATCTAGAAATATAAATATATACCAGGCTTATTTAACTAGCATACTAATAAATTATTAGTTAATCTTAATCTTTACTTATATATTATTAAACTAGCTCAGGAACTTATTCTTATCTTTTTTATTAAAATTTATAAAAATTAATAATTTTAGTTTTTTTATATTAGTTAAATCCTGGACTGGTACTGGTACTGATATTAATATAAATAGAAATATTATAGTAAATATTTAAGAAAATAAGAATTAAATATTAATAATCTACTTAATCTATCTAAGGCTAGCTTTAATTTTATTATTTATTATTATATTCTATTAGGTAATGACACGCTGTATTTCTATACTTTAGATTATTAATTCTTTAATGTGCCTAGCTAATTAGTTAATAATATTAGCTTAGATAGTACCTCCATGGTGGCTAGAAATATCTATTAACTTATTATAATTATTATATATTACTAATTTATTATCTAATAGATATTTCAAAGAAGAAGCGAATTTAAAACTATAACAGACTAAGAAACCGGGTGGATTATATAAAATATAATAATCTATAAAAAAATTAAATTTACTGGAAAAAGAACTATCTAATCTACAAATTAATTAAGTTTATTTATAGATAACTCTTTCTAGAAGATTCCTTTATAATATCAGTAAGCTCTTTTATTACTCTAGAGATTCCTATCCTTTCTAGAGATTCTTATTCTTTCTATAAGTATCATCGGATTAAGGTCCAGGACCAGACGGGTCAGAATATAGATATTCCGATTCCAGATGGCTGACAGGGCCTAGCCCTTTTCAGATAGTGCCCTATAACTAAAGAATTAAAAACTATTATAATAAGTAAAAATATTTGATTTAATAATAATAATTTTTTATTTAACTATTTATTTTAGTTTTATATTTAATCTAATACAGACCTTTCCTTATTTAGAGGATTGTATTGAGATAGCTAATAAATAAGAATCATATATTTTAATTATATTAGCTATCATTACTAAGACATTCTTCTTCTTCTTTCTGGCTGTAGCCTAGATGGTGAATATAACCAACATCTTCAACTCCCTGAGCCGTATCTCACAACAGAAAATGACCTGAGAAGGGGATGTACCAGACATGAATGTATCATACCTTCCAAAGAGGCCGATGACCGGATTATATCTGATCTGCACATATAGATATCTCTACCTGGAGACAGCCTCTCTCCACCGCACGTGATGTATGTCACGTGTCAATGGAGGGGTTTCCCTCCAACTGATTCTCTCCAACAATCCCTCCAACTCTTCTGCCTGCCGTGATTCTCCACGACCACCATCGTATCCCATAGGGTCCTCCACCTACGTCGGCCCTCCATGCCTCGATCTCGCCCCTCCCATGTGAGTGAGACCAAGAGGAAGTCACGGACGTGCCCGCACTGCAGCCGAGCATTTGGACGGCTCGATCACCTCCAACGGCATATGAGACTCCGTAAGTCCGTCCCCCACTCCAACCAGGCTCGGAAGGGTCTGATAGGAACCATGACATGCAGACACCCATGAAAAGCCCTATGGATGTGATTGTGGGGAGGCCTTTACTCGACGTGACTTACTCCGGCGCCATCAACGGATCGCTCATGACGATCGTCCCGGTATGTTGGGCTTCCCCGAGCGCAGGTCTCGGTCACTTACATCGCGGCCCTAGTTGTCCCCACTCCCACCGTCCCTGGTGTCCAGGACCAACATCTGCAGCTCCCTAGTCCGATGCCATTGGAAAGGTTCACAAACCATGCCAGTCTAGATCCCAACCATAACACTGGTAAGTGCTGTGGTCAACACTCACCCGTCGCCCACTAAGAGCCTCCAGCTGCAGGTGATCTAGTCCCCGATGCCCTTGATCTATCCTACCCTTTGGAAGACTTCACCAGCTTCATCGACAACATGGGTCTCGCATTGGATCCTGACAGTCTGCTTAATCTATCCAGTGTCTTGCCCGAGCGTGAACCCCTGTCCAATGCATCCCACGCCGGTAACGACAGCACGAAGACCTCGCGTCCCGAGGATGAGGAGGATCTGGACATCGCTCAACGCGTCCACTCTCCCACTTTACTACCAATCCCGCTGAATCCTCTTGGTACGATGTCATTGCTGCTCTTAACGGAGAAACATGATTTTGCCGTGCATTGTTCTGCATCTGACGCTGTGTAGCCCAGACAGTGGTATACATGCCGCTCCTCAGGATCACGGAGAAGCAAAACATGAAGATCCTGCACGAGCTTGCTCCCTTTCAGTACCTGCTACCCATGTTTACCCTGCCATCGCGAGAGTCGTTGACTCGGTTTCTGAATGCTTGGTTTGACGGGGTCTACGTGCATATGCCATTCATGCACGGTCCCTCCTTTAACCCCGACCAGCAGCCAGTGGAACTAATATTAGCGATGGCCGCAGCGGGGGCACAGTACCGTTACGAGCATCGGAAAGGTCGCCAGCTCTTCTACGCCGCAAAAACCGTCTTTCAAGAACGGCAACGGTGGAAAGAAGCGGCTACATTGAATGAACGCCAGTTCAATGCCCTCACCACCGTGACCTCTGATCTTGACGCAACCCGTCCATCCATGACGGATGATATCAGATGTCTCCTAAATATGATGATATACGCGACCTGGCAACGCGACCCGCTGTTTGTGAGAGATGCCTGCGACTGGCAGAGCCTACTTGTTCGGCTCCTAAGGGGGAGCGGTCTCGTTGAGACAGATATTCCTGATTCGAACACGCTTGGCTGGCGACCGTGGTTACAACTGGAGCTTGATCGCCGGGTCAAGCTCTTCAGCTTCGCTTTGCTGAACCTACAAAGCATTGCATACAATCTGCCGCCGATACTCCTCAGTAGCGAGGTGAATCTTCGACTGCCCTGTACTTGCGATGAATGGAGGACTACCGATGAGAGCCATTGGGAGCGGGTCCGTCAAGGTATCTCCTACGAGCAACCGTTCTTTCAAGATGCTCTAGGATATTTCTTGAAGACAGACAACGCACCAGTAGCAATCAATCCTACCCCATCCCCAGCGGCAAGCGTGATCCTCATTCACGGTTTGCTTCACCGAATTTTACTCAACCGACAAGCATCACTATCTAGCCCGATACCGCAAGTGGATAGATTCGAGTACGTGTATCACACCGTCGTTAGGCCAGGTGGACAAGTTGCTAAACTGCCAGGGCCGCTCTCCATCGTTGGACCTCCACCTGGCAACGAGCACCCGAATCCAGTTTGGATCCGCTCAACCCCAATGGGCCGATTCCGTTCACATCTACCGCTCTCCTCGGCCTTGCATATACGCGCCTCCATCTGGACCTAGGACCCTGTAGAGCGCTAGCCACCAGAGATGCACGAAAGATCGCCGAGGCGCTAGCCAACTCCGCGCCCCTGGTCCGCAGCCCCAAGCTCCTCTCTGCCCTACTTCACGCCACCCATGCGTTAAGTATTCCGGTCAAACTCGGCGTGGAGTTTGTCTCTCGTAGCCAGGGGTTTGTTTGGAGTATTCAGCATGCACTGTGCGGGATGGAGTTCGCCGTCCTCGTCAGCAAGTGGCTCTGCGTGCTTGGTCAGTTGCAAGAGGAGGCGCAACCTCTAGAAGGTGAGATCATTTCCCACTCCGTGCGCCGATCTAGGCCCTTCCAACTGACCATGATTCAGAGCATGAAACGAGGCTGCTGCATTGGATCCGTCGGATCGTAGAGGAGGGCCGCGCGTCACTGGATGATGACGGCTCCGCGTCGAACAACAACCTGGATTGTTATAAGCTAGCGTACTTTGTGGTCACTCTCTGGGCGCGCATCATGCGAGGCAATACCCAGTGGCCATTTGTCGATATCATTGGGCAGAGCCTGGAGCTGTACGCCAGTGATTTATCACGGATCAGTCGCGACCGGGATTCTGTCCGACAGCTCCATTGACATGCTATTTCAGCACTCTACTGTCGGTTGATAATTCGAACCAGTATACGAACAGAAAAGAAACCAACTTTAAGAAAATGGCTCATGAATTCTGCTAGCTGACCACAAGCTCACCCTGTCCATCAACATCGGCACGTCCTAAACTCCCGACCCTCCATCATCTGCATAGACATCCTTCGACGCACCAGGATTCTCTCCATCAAACCCCCTCTCCACTACACACCTTCAGCTCCTCCGATTATACGCCTCCACCTCAATCTCAATCAACATCTCCGGAAACGCCAACCTCGGCACCGCCAGCGCTGTCCAAATCGGCCGATGCCCCGGAATGCGCGTCTTGAGCTTCTCCACCACGCGCTCGTAGGACGCATCCATATCGACATGATACGATCGCACGGCGTACACATCCTCCCACCCGCGCAGGCCACATGCCTGCAACACGCGGTCCACGTTGTCAAATGCGAGATCGACCTCGCGCTGGATGTCGCTGCTGTCGAGGTCGCCGGTCGCGGTCCAGCCCCCTTGGCCGGCACATTTGATGATGTCGCCTAGAATGACGGCTTGGGAGTAGTGGCACAGGTCGCTGAGTTTTTGGCCGGCGCCGGGGTCGTTGATGTAGGTTTGGGTTGACATGTTGGGTTTTTTAGGGGTTGTTTGGGAAGTAAAAGGGGGTGATGAGAGAGGAACGAAAAGAGGAAGAATGGTGAGGATGATTAAGAGGAGAAAGATGCGAGTGATTCTAAGTTTGTGAGATGATCGCTTTAAAGAAGATTGTTGGTGACGAGATATGATGATATGACAATATGCTCTCCAAGGATTTGTGGAGGCCTTGGTCTGGGCATTTTGGAGGGCTCTCCAAACCCCGTGGTTGCCTCGGGCACTTCATGTATCATCGAACGCGCGTTTGAGAGTATGATTGGTAGTATCCCAGCCGATTCATTGCAGTTCAGTGGGTGGGATTATCGGGACATGGTTCATGGGTTCTCAGCTGTCGGGAACTGCATTCTGGATCAGTGTCCTCTTCCCTGGTTGTACAGTCACCTAGATACATACTACCCATGCCCCGCGATTTGAGGTTCAGGATCTCGTATCAAGATAATTGACTACTATAGCGACCAGGGTCCGTTACCGTTACCATCATACTGGTTTGACTCGACGAATCCTGCCTCGCATAGGGCACCGTCTCCGGAGTGAGGTACTTCAAGTATTCCTAACATTAGATACCTGGCCGGCGACTGTCCTGTTGACTGAGTGGTGTGTCATGTAAATTATTTTCAGTCTATCAAGTCAAGGAACCCAACTACCTACAGAGAAGCCCGGCACTTATTCAAGACCACCGTCCGCGTCTGCAAGAACTCCTCTAAGCCCCATCGCCCCCCAAACCGTCCCCATCCGCTGTCTCCCACGCCGCCATGAGGCAGCGTCGCTTCATCATGCACGGTTCCACCATTAACATGGACAGCTCCTGCGGCAATGTCTCCCGACATCTTCAGTGCCTTGAAATGGTCGCGAGTAAACACTGCCGATGAAAGTCCATACACGGAACCCTTGACCATCTGCAAGCCCTGCTCCTCCGAGTCAACCACCATAATGCCAAAGACCGGACCAAATGACTCGATCGTATAGAAATCCATGTCCTGCGTGACACCTTCAATCACCGTCGCCGGAAACGCCAATGGATCCTCTGCGACGGGGTTACGAGCTTGATGGATAACCGCGCCCTTGGACCGAGCATCCTCCACCAGCGCCGTCAGACGATCTCGACTCGCCGTCGAGATCACCCTATGTGGTCTCTCCTCACTATGCAACCGATCCAGAATCCTCCCAGTCAACTCCTCCGCCACGGACCGAACCACATACACCAGATCCGTAGACATGCAAATCTGACCATTCTACATCCCATTAGCAGCAGCACCTCCATCTCATCATAATCCAGAAACAGACACTCACATTCAAAAACCCCGCCGTGACAATCTCCTCCACGGCCTGCCCCAAATCCGCATCCTCCAACACCACCACGGAATTCTTCCCCCCCAACTCCAACAACACCGGCTTCAACGCCCTCGCCGCCTTGGCCGCAATCACCCTCCCCACCCCCGTCGACCCCGTAAAATTACACTTCTTCACCGCCGGATGCTCAACCATGCACTCATACACCTCCGCCGCATCCTCCGGCCGATGCAGAACGAAATTCACCACCCCTGGCGGAAACCCTGCCTCCCGAAACAGCGCCGTAATGAAATGATGCGTCCGGGGACTCAGCTCGGAGCCCTATCCCATACCCAAACAATCAGCAAACTACCTTCCCAACCGTCAGACTTGAACAAGGCCCATACCTTAAGAACCGCCACATTCCCCCCCGCAACCACCGGAACCACAGCCCTCAGACCTAATATCAGCGGAGCATTCCACGGCACTATCCCCAGCACCACGCCAAGCGGTTTCTTGAGCACCAGCGCGTAGGTATTCCCGTTCGAGGGGGGAATTGTTCCCGTTAGTGTATCTGCGATCAGCGAGGCCGTTTCTTCAATCATGCCTATTGACGCGGCGATGTTTTCGTCACTCCAGGGGCGGGGACAGTGGATTTCGTCTTCGATGAGGGTTTGGATGGTGGGTGTGTGGGTTTTGAGGAGCTGTTTGTCATGTAGATTACTGATTAGGATGTTGATATTGATAGGATGGAGGGGATGAGGGAGGGGACTTGCCGAAGAGAGATTCAATAACAGTTGACGCCGTTGGGAGGGCGTTGTGCGAGACCAGGTCGGGAAGGCAGAGGCACAGGATTCCACGGCTTGGATGGCGAGTTCGGGAGTTGCGCCTTGGAAGGCTGTGAGCTGGGGTGCGGAGTTCGAGGAGATGGGGTAGTGGTGGTCATGGTTGGGCAGGACGATGTCTTTTCCGTGGATGATGAGGGGGAGTGTTGTGTTCATCATGGTAGATTGTATGTCTCGTGGAGAGATTCCTGGATGGCGGGTAAATCATAGCAGAATATCTCTCATTTTGGAGTCCGGGGCCCCGCTCTTCTCTTAAAGGGAAAGAGGGACAGCTATTACCGATCCCATAGCCGTATTTCAGCCTCCCCGGTGGATCATCCCAGTCTCCCCGATGACCTTCCCCGGTTTTTTGCACTGGTTGTGATCCGGGGAGTGTACCATGAGCAATGATAGGGTCGTTTGTTGCCGTATCTACTACCCGGAGGGGCGTGGATCTTATTAAGCGGGGTGGTATATATCCGATGTCATGCTGCAGAGGTGGTGTATATCCGAGCTGTGATGCACGGGCAATTTATTCGGATATACGGATGATTAAGTGGTTTGGGTGAGACGCGAACCATGGATGCCTGGAATTAGAGTTGGGGGTTGAGTTGATCACTGAACATGAAGATGAACTCCGTACTGTTTGTCATGATGCAAGCGATGTACTGTGTATAGGCGTACCAGGAATGGCCTTATGCTATGGCCTAACCTTATGCAGGAGCTCAATCCATCCTTGATGGTTCCGGTTCCCGAAGGCAGGTCTCGGCCGGATCCCGAACCCGGCACTGGCACTGCCTCCACGGGTTGTGGAGTTCCGTTGTGGTCGGCCGGGGAAACTCCGTAAATTCAGTGGGATCTGGCCGATCTATGAATATTCTGATTCGTGACTCGTGAGGGATGAAGACTGGAAAGGGGAGTGTGGGGTGACTGGGGCCTGCTACCCAGTTATTCACCCCCACCAGGTACATATTTTCACTGCATTTTCTGCACCAACAAAATGTCTAGCCTGAGACATAGACGGGGTCTCGACTTGTAACACAAATGATAAATATCTGCAGTTTTCAATGGTTCACTTGCGTTGAATTGGATTGTATGGGGAGACCTACCTACCACTGTTGTCACCGTGTGGTCGAAATTATCTCAGTCTAATTGGGAGCTTTTGACATTTTACCAGTCCAACTGTGGGTCAAGGGTCACTTCTAACACCCCTAGTTTTATGTTAACTTCGCAATGGTCGAGTGGTCCTTCACATCAACCAGCTATCCCCACCTGTTCCATAACAGCGTGCGTACGAATCCCTTCAAGGGATTTGTTTTTGATATGTCTTTTTTTGAGCCTGAATGCTGGTGATCACTTTGAAGTCATTCTAGATTTCCTTTTCTGCAGTTTCATTTCGATATTGGCTCTGTACTGTCTATGGCCTCTAGATCGAATACAATGAAAATGTGAATAGATGTTCTTGCTTACTGGGTGTGGAGTTATAGTGTCACATTCTGATTTGCACCATGCATTCATAACTTTAAATACTCAATTTGGAGCATCAGAAAGAATACATTTCCTTATGTCAGTGCGGTAGAATAGACATGCTGTTCTAGAATTTGTATTTTACGACGTAGTAACTTGACTTACCACTCGACCAATTACCACAGGTAGGTGACGGTCAGTCATATATATCAGCCACTCCTAATGCTAAAACAATCTAACAGTACCTTCCTATCAACAACCAGGCTCCGATTCACACTGATCCCCTCTGCAAAGCATTGTCTATCTTCCCGAACAATGCTCAGACAGCCACAGCACAAGATCAGTAGGAGTGCCTTTCATCCCCGTAAGAAGAACACAGACATCACTCATGGTCAACGGTCCAGACCTGGAGCATATCTCCTGTAGGACTGATTTTGGAAGGACCACTAATAAGGCGTCCAGGAATGAGCGTGGATGAATGTAGCTTACTGGAATCCCTGATCCATAGCAGTGTGCGTTGTCCGATCGGACCCATGTATCGGGGAAATGTTCTTGGATTGTTTGAGATGCTGTGCGCACTACATCATCATCAGGGATAGAGAGTCCGGGCTTTGAGCTATGTTTGACGCCGTAAACCTTGAGCTGTGATGGGTCAGATATGGAATGTATGGATTGGAAGATGGATACATACATGAATCTCACTATAATACGGTGTGATTTCCATGTCTTTCTCTTGGAAAATCGTAGAGAGCCGTTCAATGATCATCTGATCGATATCTGAGTCGGAAAGTTTGGAGACGGTGGACATCTTGGGATAGTTTGAAGTTGTAAAGGTGCAACGAAGACGATGTAGGTAGAATGAAATATAAGGCAAGGAAACTGTCAGAGAAGCAATCACAGGTTTATATATGTAACTGCATCAGAATATCGGAAGTTATCTTCGGCGGCATATCAGCGGTGAATCAGCTCAGTCTGCATAGGGCCTCTCCGAAATTCTCAGCACTCAATGAGGACTATTCCTATGTCCGCACGAGATGTCATTTATGGTCCTTGATTCTAATGACGCTGAAATTCGATAAGCTCCTGTCCGTCGTGTCGCTGAATTTACGAGACATTTCTCGACTGGATTTTGTATCAGGTGGTTACGACGCAGTATCACTCCGAGCTATCTTGACAAGAGAAGCTGTTCGAAATAAACCAGATGACGAAACATTTGGGGGGCGCCTAACGGCACCTAAATGGAGGAATAGTCACTATCGGTACACCGTTGGAAAGGGAAGAATTTCTTTGTCCAGAAGCTCTCCGAGCCCACCAATCAGGCTGGTCCCAGGCTAGACAGTGCGCCTATTTCACCTGTGCTGTTAACGCCAGGATAATTTATACCGAAGCGTTGGAGGCCTGAGGCAGGTAGATAGATCCTTTCCCTTGAGCATAAGCGCGGATGGTACTGTGTAGAGTGTAGACTGTACTACTGAGACGGCCGGTCCTCGGTACCCCTTAGAATCTACCATTTTGTACTGGATATACCATTGACACGGTAGCTAGACTGGCAAAGATGAGCATACCTTCCAATATGAAGCCCATCACCGAGCCCCAACATGCGATCAAAGAACCAAAATAGCAACCCTCTAAAGCACGTCCACAGAGAACAATTGGTGCCACGACGGCCACGAAGGGAAGGGGTCGGGCGATTGACATCGCCTGACTACAACGGTGATGGTCTCGAGTGATGTGTATCATGTGGGTTGGGTTGGCTCGTGGGAAAATACAGTGATTACTGACGTCCGATCGAGCAGCATTTACTGAGAGACCAAGGTGGTGATCATGAAGCGGCCATGAGGAGGGCACAATTGCATTCCGTTGTAGTGCTTATCCGCTCTTGTTACTCGATCCGGACTGACCTGGATGCCCTTCTCTGACATGTATCCGAATGACTGCACCTGATGAAGCAGCTTGCCGTTTGCATTGATACCATGGCCACGGAGCATCAGATATACCATATACATCTTGTTTACCAGGATAGCTGTATATATATAATAGGTCAATAGCTGACGAATAAGACGCGAAATTCTATATTAATGGGGTAGGTAGAATGAGTACTGGAGGCTTAGCAGATATCACAATATCGCGGAGACCCTGTGGACAGGTATTGGCAGCCCACGCTGTCTGTCTTGTTTACAATCATGTTCACCTGTCTCTCTGCCTGATCAGATCATCGATGTTCGTAAGTATTCTCCACAAGCAGGTGTATCAGATGCGGCAGCTTTCCGCCGTCCCTTCTTCGGGTAAGTATCGGCACTTGCGATCTGCTATCCCTACAAACAATTTCCAATGTGAGACATTAGTGTTATTTTGTAGTTTAACATTGAATCTGAATGTATCCTGTCCCGCTCTCGTTTAGAATTCTCTATTCCTTCCCGTTTCCTTCACCTCGCCACCGCTGTTTCAACAATATATTTTCGCGTGCGGAATACCCTTGGCGACTCCGAATCGACATGGATCAGACGGCGGATTCTTGCCACACCTAAATCCAATCCACGCTTCCTGAGCTAAAAGGTGAACTGATCGCCATCTACTCCAAATCCCAAGGTTTAATCCAAGCGGGTCGTCGCAATGATCGACTGACAGCCTGAAGGCAGTTGGGCACCGGCCGGAAGTCCCTCACAATGTACTATAGTAGAACCCTGATCAGATGCTCGGTTGACTGCCTCAATGACAACACGCGATGCAGACTGGATCTTGGGCATGAAACGTATGCTGGGATGCAATTATTGGTTTCTTGATTGGGACCGGCTGTAACATGGTGGAGAGCCCCGTCTAAGCCTCTGACGAAGGGGATGATGACGGCAAACCAGCGGTGTCTCCTGATGTTCCTGGCCTCAACCATTTCCGGCGCGCTCCTGGCTGGGTCCTTGGGTTCCTCACGATGGATGACGTCGGGGACCAGCAAAGAAGGGAAATCCAGACGAAAAGTGCAGCACCACACTAAACCGTTTCTGGACCTAGCTCCGATGGCGATGGTGGGGGGAAAAGGCAAACCCGGTTAGAGTGTGCATATTTTCCTACACTAACCCCAATGCAGCATGGGCAAACTCAAAAATGGGGACGGCAACCGCAAAAGCGGAAAAGAAAAAAGTAATGACCAGACTGGGGCTCGATCCCAGGACCTTATCGGTGTTAACGATACGTGATAACCAACTACACCATCCGGCCACCGGTTGATGTTTGCTTTTGCGGGATGTGAACTAGATCCCGGCAACAACCCCCCGATCGGAGGCCTTGCCACGGCCCCGCCATCGGTATCGGCCTTGACAGTTGGGAGTTGACATCCGCTTCATGCCAGGTCTCGCCAGATCTATCAACCGCAGCATGTTGTATCCTCTCCCATCAGACCATCCATTCTGCCACCTACTTGGAAGGGACTGGGAACGACTGGCAACTGACACCAGTTCATGTCACTCCACCCCTTTTCCTGTGTGCTGCCCCCCCCCCCCCCCCCCCCCCCCCCCCCCCCCACACCGATCCAACCTGCAAGAGTTCGGCATCCCTGCCTGACGGAGCTTCGTCCGTCTCCTGCACGGCATGCCGTCACTGCCGTGAGATGGTCACGCTGCCTCGGATGAACCCGGCGCCTCACCTCAGCCAGCTGCATCCTCACCATCCCGAGCCGACCAGCACTCGGGGTAGTGGAGATACGCCGATACGTGTCAACATCTTTCCATCACCGCAGCAGAGCTTACCCGGCATGCCGTCCAGCTGGGCTGTCCTGGCCAGTCTCTCCAATAACACACGTCTTTAGGCTAAACGGTCTTCCGGATCAAGATGGATTGACGCTATCGCGACTGAAATTGCATGCGAAGCGCGAGGCGCCATCTAGAGTGGTCCAGATGCAGGCAGAACAGGTCAGCCGGTCTGTCCGGCGCCGCCGTCTGTGAACCTGGCTTTGTCTACGGCTCATGACTAACTGCTTTGGATTGGTGGACCCGGAGGATGCGTGGGTTACGAGGTTTCAGCTGCCCCGAGATTGATTCATCTCTATGGTTCGGGAACCCGTCTGGGAAGCTCCCTTGCCTAGCTAGTAGCTACATATAAGGAATGGATTTCTGGAGTGAAACTAAGCTGTTGACATCCCTGAGGGTTACACGATCGTGTGGACGGGCTGACCTTTGACATCGGGGGATGGTCGGCACGGTGTTGACGGACTCGGCATGCATCCGCCTCACTGCAACTGCTTCCCGGTTCAGCAGCGGTGAGTTTTTTCACCGAGGTCAGGCCGAGTCTAACCCCCGAATAGCGTGGGATGGACCCATGGAGTGGCGACGCTCCGAGTCGGCCCGATGGCTGACTTGCCTTTCTCGGGATGCCGACTGGTCCATGGTTGGTTTTAGGGTTGGCCGAGGATTCAGGTTATGGGCCTGATCTCGGGCGAATCCCGAGGGGACCCCGTCCTGGAAAGGGGTACACAGTATGCTCTTGAAAGCGGTTTGTAGAGGCAATGCAGTCAAGCATCCTCATCCAGAAGAAAGTACCACACCCCTTCATTCCAACCCAGACAACCCTCTGCCCATCCGCAAAGTTTGCCGCTGAAAAAACTCTGATCCGGCAAGGAACAGGTAGGGATGACCAGTTTCCCCGAAGTTTCTCAGACCCCAAACCACCGATCCAGAATAGATCGACCAGCAGAGTTTGCGACCCACTTGAACCACAATGTGATGCTGGGACGAGGGGCGCAGGACAAGTGGACTGTGGAACAACTGGTGGATGGAGCAGCCTGGCCCTGACCGGCGTCATTCGTGCAGGGCAGTAAAACTTCTCCAGCCTCGGGACCACCGTCCAGTTTCCACCCCGACTTTATGACGCACCCCAGAAGGATATCGAAGCATCGGTTCTGCCTGGGTGGACCGACAGGAGGGAAAAACCGGAGTCCTTACCCACGGAGTAAACGGGCTTGCCCCCTTCCCCCGTGTTTTTGTTTTTATATCTCCCCATCTCCCCCATCTTCGACCCTTCTTTTCTTTCCTCTCTCAGTCCTCCTCCTCCTCCTCCTCCTTTGTCCTTTCCCCTTCTTCCTCTTCTCCCCTTCTTCAACATGGACAAAATGGACAAGTCCCAACCCGCCCTCTCCTCCCATACGGAGAATGCCGAGTCCGGCCCCTCCAGCCTGACAGCCTCCACGGCATCAGGTCGCGTGGCCGGTGGCAAGTACCTCGAGGGCGTCGATACCTCCGCCCACGATGGTCCCCTCCAGACCGTCGACTTTGACCTCCCTCTCACCGTCACCCAGCGCATGGTCCAAGATGGCAATCAGTACATCGTCCTCGACTTCGCCCCCGGCGACAAGGAGAACCCCTTCAACTGGGACCCCAAGTACAAGGCCTTCATCTCCGCCCTCCTCTGCCTGATGACCCTCTTCATCGGTCTCGCCACTACCGCCTACAGCTCCGGCATTGGCGACATGGCCTCCGACCTGGGCGTCTCCGAGGAGATCGCCAAGCTCGGTCTCTTCACCTTCAACTTCACCTGTGCCCTGGCCCCGCTCTTCCTCGCCCCCTTCTGTGAGCTGGCCGGCCGTCGTATCGTCTACACCGGCGCCTACTTCTGCTTCGCCCTGATGTTCATCGGTCTCGCCCTCGGCAAGAACATCGCCACCATCCTCGTCTGCCGTGCCCTCCTCGGTCTCTTCGGCTGCGTCGGCACGATCCTCGTCGGTGGGACTTTCGGTGACATGTACTACCCCGAAGACCGGGCCATCCCCGTCGCCACCTTCTCCTTCATCGCCATCTTCGGCACCGTCGCCGCCCCCATCTACGCCGGCTTCATCGACCAAGCCCTGCACTGGCGCTGGGTCGAGGGTATCCAGGGTCTCGCCAACATCCCCCTCGGCATCATCATCCTCTTCTTCCTCCCCGAAACCCGCGGCAGCGTCGCCCTCGGCAAGCGCGCCAAACTCCTCCGCACCCACACCGGTGACGAGCGCTACGTGACCGAGAACGACCTCGAAGCCCCCTCCCTCAAAGTCATGCTCCACAACTCCTCCGTCAAGGCGATCAAGATGCTCATCACCGAACCCGTCGTCTTCGCCTTCGGTCTCTGGATCTCCTTCGCCTGGTTCCTCACCTTCCTCTTCCTCAGCGTCATCCCCATCACCTTCCAAACCAAAAAGGGCTGGAGCGAAGGCGTCTCCGGACTCCCCTACATCGGCCTCTGTCTCGGCACCACCATCGGCTTCGGTCTCAACTTCCTCCAAATCCGCAAATACAACTCCCTCGTCGCCGTCGGTGCCGCCCGGCCCGAATCCCGCCTCTACGGCGCCCTCTTTGGCGCCCTCTGGCTCCCCATCGGCCTCTTCATCTACTCCTTCACCCAATACGCCGACCTCCCCTGGATCGCCCCCTGCATCGCCCTCGTCCTCATCTGCATCGGCATCTTCTTCATCTTCGAATCCTGCTACTCCTTCACCTCCGACTGCTACGGCGAAAGCAGCTCCTCCGCCATCGCCGGTCAAGGGTTCATGCGGAATACCCTCGGCGCCATCTCCCCGCTCTTCGCCTCCCAGTTCTTCACCAACGTCGGCAGCCAATACGCCGGTCTCATCCTCGCCCTCATTGCCACCTTCCTCACCCTCATCCCCTACGTCCTCTTCTGGTACGGGCCTCAGCTCCGCGCGCGCAGTAAGCTCGCCAGTCGCGTCGTGCACGGTGGGAGTCACGATAGTGAGAAGGGTCCTGCCGGTCAGGCGTAGCCTCTCCTCTCCTCTCCTCTCCACTTCACGTCCCTCAAACTCAATAACCTTTGGGTTTCATCGCTCCACATGTCCACGGAGTGATATGTATATATGAGATGTTGGTGTTATGATTCTGCCCAAGTATATAAGTCTTACTTTTACTGCATGTCACGATATGTTATATATTTAAAAAAGGATGTTTTCATGAGTATTCATGATTCCGCTGCCGTGTTTGATACTAGTGTAAATTGTAGGGTTGTAGGGTTGTTAGCTAGGGGAGGATGATGATGGCCCCCAGGTGGGATAATAGGATATTTTGCATATCTGCCATGAAAGTGACTGACTCTACAGGTCTGTATATACTGCCTCTCATTAAAATCACAATACAAATCAAGCTCACGCTAACGCATTCACAATAACATAGGGTATATCTTCCTCATTCCCTTAACCCCCCGGCCCTCAAAACAAGTACATTCCCCACCAACCCCCCGCCCCGCCCCTCCATCCGCACCAACGCCTCTCCCACCCTCCCCAACACATTCCCTCCCCCTCCCTCCACACCATCCTTCATCTCCGAGTCTACATCCCCCCGACTGCCCCGTCCCACAATCACCAGATTCCCCGCCCGCTGCGACGACCCCAACCGGCCCATTTCCTCCCGCACATGGCCCGTCACTCTGTCCACCACATCATCCCCGTTCTCACTCAGATCCAAGGTCCGGAACACCACCCGCGAGGCGATCTCCTCATCGAGGGAATCGCGTAACGCGGAGAGATAGATCGCATCCGAGTCGTCGCGATCCCGCGCTTGGGCGGGGGCCTTGGGGGTGGATTGTGAAGGGGTAGTAGGGGTCGGGGTGGAGGTCGGGGTGGAGGAACGGGAACTGGACGCGGCGAGTGAGGTCCGCGGAAGTTCCACGTGGATGATCGTCGCCGTGACTTGGTCGTTGCGGAGTAATTGCAGGACGAAGCGGAGGGCGAAGCGGTCGTCCGGGCCCCCGAAGTAGGGGAGGAGGATGTGGTGGGCGCGGGCGGTGGGGGGCGGGGGCGGAGGCAGGTGGGTGCGGCTGTGGATGCTGAGCGTGCCGAGGGAGGGAGGGTCGCGGAGACGGCGTGGCGGGGTGCGTTCGATCAGCAGACCGACGTGGCAGGGGGAGTGGGACAGGACGGTGGTGGCGAAGTCGGTGTACGGGGCGGACGGGGTGAAGCGGTCGTCGAGGGGGAGAGGGAAGGAGGAGGTGGTGGTGAGATGGGAGTGTTCGGCCATGGAGCCGGATTCGCTCCAGGGGAGGAGGAGCAGGTCGGTGGATTCGTCGCGGGCGAGGGTGACGACGGTGTCGGCGTAGGAGTGTTCGGGGACGACGGAGACGCCCGCGAGGATGGAGAGATCGTGCCATTGGCCGAAGGCGCGGAAGGTGTTGACGACGGGGTCCCAGAGGGGATAGGAGTGGTCGAGTTCGGAGACTTTCATGACGCTGGAGTCGCGGTCGGTGAGTTCGAGGAGGCGGACGCCGTGGACGTGGAGGGTCGGGGCGTCGTCGATGTCGGTGGCGGCGGTTTCTTCGGCGGCGGGTTCCGGGGAGGCGAGGGTGTCTGGGTGGAGTTTCGGGGTCGGGGGTCGGTTGGGGCTGAGGAGGGCCGCGAGCGTGCAGATGCTGGAGAGGCCGTCGAGACGGAGGTAGACGAGGAGTTTGCGGACGGGGAGGGCGCGTTGTTGCTCTTTGGCCAGGGCGACGCTGTCGACGCGGGTGTCGGATTGGATGGGATTACCGGCCCAGTCGATCTCGCCGCGACGCCAGCGTTCGACTTTGGTTTGGTACCATTTGGGATACAGGGCCACGGTGAGAGGGGTGGTCGCGAAGGTGGTGATGAGGGCCATGACGACGAACATGGTGAAGGTGCGGGTGCTGAGGATGCGCGCTTGCAGGCCAATGTTCTGGGATGGATTAGTGGGATCTAGAGACGAAGGGGGCACAGGGGGGAATACCAAAACGATCAGCTCGACCAGACCCTTACAGCTCATCAGCACGCCAATGGACAAGCTCTCGCGCCAGAGCAGGCCGCACAGTTTCGAGGCGAGCGCACCCCCGACTACCTTGGCGGTAAACGCAATCGCAATGATGCCGATGACATAGCCCCAGACGGTGCCGGTGTCGAGAAGGCCCAGGTTGGTTTGGAGGCCAGACAGGGTGAAGTAGAGGGGCAGGAAGAGCGTGGCGACGAGATCTTCGATCTTCTCGGTCAGCTTGATGGCGAAGCCGCCCTCGTGGGGACACAGCAGGCCGATGATGAAGCCGCCAAAGATGGCGTGGATGCCAATGATCTGGGTAAAGAAGGCCGAGGCCAGCGCGATCAGCAGAGTGATGGCCACCACCGATTGACTGGGGCCTTTTTGCAGACTGCCCGTGTGGCGGAGGAAGCGCAGGAACAACGGGCGGAAGACGAAGATGAGGAACAGAATATAGCCGACGCAGACCAGCAAAACCCAGAGCGCGGTCAACCCGGTCCCGGCGTTGACGAGGGCCACACAGAGCGCGAGCAGGATCCAGCCAACGACATCGTTGCCGACACCGGCCGAGAGCACGATGACACCGACATTGGTTCCCAGCAGTTTGAGCTCGGTCAGAATCCGACAGAGGACGGGAAAGGCCTGTCACCTGCATTAGAAAAGATCCCGCTGCGTGGGGGAGGGATAAACTTACGGTGATAGCCATGGCAATGCCAATGAAGAGCAGATAGGTGCCAAAGTTGATGTCCACCGTATTGGGATCATCTTGGAAGGTGTTGTACAGGCCGTATGCGATGGCACAGCCCAGTCCAAAGGGCAGGATCATCCCTGCGGCCGAGACGCTGACGGCCACGCGCCAGTTGCTGACTAGGAAGCGTAGGTTGGTTTCCAGCCCGACAAGGAACAGAAACAAAACCAGACCGAGATTGGCGACCAGGTTTAGGTTGGGAATGGACGCGGTGGGAAAGATGGCATCGGTGAAGCCGGGAATGCGACCCATGACGGAGGGGCCCAGCAGGACACCGGCAATGACCTCTGCGATCACGCGCGGCTGGCGAATCTTGGAGAGGGGCCAGTGCAGCAGGCGGCAGAAGATGATGATGATGCCGGCCTGGAAATTAGCAGCGCTCGGGGAGAGAGTCGCAAGAGAAGGATCTTACCTGGATGATGAAGATGATGATGGGGTTGGAGGAGTCATAATGGGTGGGGTTGCTGCCTTCGAGAATGCCACCCTGGGATTTGACCTTGGTGGTGGAATTGGAGGCCATGATGGTGTCCTCCTAGGAGGCCCTGAGGCCGTGGAGGAGAAAACTGACTGTCAGGACGACGGGAGGGAAAGAGAACGCAACGATCAAAAATCACACCGGCGGGAGGAGAGGGGAGAGGAAGAAGGAGAAAAACGAAACAAAGAAGTGGAGATGGCGCGGAGGCCCCAGCTTTGACCGGTGGAGTCTCCAAGTTGTGGACGTGGGCTGGGCTGGGCTGGGCTGGGCTGGGGTTGGGGTTGGGGTTGGCGGGTCCACGTGGCGCAATACGAGGTTTGATCGGCCGAGGAGCCTTGGGTGACAGCTCGCGTCCATGGGTTGACAGCCTGGAGGCAGCCTGTCTGCCATCGACCCGTCTAGCCCGCCCAGCAACCTTCCTTTCTGAGGGGGGCCAGAATCTGGGATGTCGCTCCTGATGGGGGGTGGGAATGTCGGCTGAGCTCGTCACCTGACTGTGGCCCCCGATCCACCAGTTGGTCCGTCGCCATGGACATGAAACCGCGATGGAAATACAATACCTATTGGATTCAAGCATTGGATCTACTGTCGCGGATGACTGAGATTTCGACTCTTTCCTTAAGCAGCTATCTCTGAATAAGATTCCGCAATTTATTCCACTAGACTCCCCATCTTGAAACAAAGATCCGTAATATGTGAAGAGTGATTTCCCTTCAATGATTCAACGCGTCAAAATGCGAGAAATCCTGGTCCAGTGGCGCAGCCGGCGTGATGGGTGACCACGTGAATGGCCATGATAAGGACTGGCTAAATATCATCTCGATCGATACATTCGTTCCCGAGAACCCAACCAATTTATGAGGACATGCACAGATCCCGACGGACTACCGACGGTACAATCGACCACTGCCATCCTTCGCCAGCCTCCACCGCACATCACTCCCCACCGCCGCATTGGCAAAAAACACATACTCCGGATCATACTTGGCCTTGATCGCCGCCAGCCGATCATAGTTCACCCCAAAGTAATCCTGCTTCCACTCGGCATCATTAAATGTCGCCTCGTTCTGATAACTCCCCCCGCCCGGCGTCACGGCGCGCAGCGCATCCAGCCAGTCGTTGACCTCGGTCTGATGCGCCCAGATGACCTCCCAGGACGCGTCGGGCGCGATCTCGACCCCAAAGTTCAGGGAGAAGAGCGAGTCGCGCCACGCCGGGAGCACGGCGTTGGCGCCGGGCTGGTTGCCGACGTTCTGGTGCGTGACGTTGTTGTTCTCGATGACGAAGACGGCGGCGGAGTTGTTGTTCGAGATGCCCTGCAGGGTGTCGATCAGTGCGGGGAGATGGTGGCGCGCCACGCTCCGCGGGATGAGCCGGTTGCCGACGGTCTCGTTGGTAGTGTTGATGGTAGAGGAGGTGGTGAAGTACTGGTAGTGGGCGTAGTAGTTGGGGGAGAGCTGCGTCTCGAGGGTCGACACGGTGATGTTCAACTGCTGGAGATCGTGCAGAAAGGGCCCGATGGCGGTGGTGAGCTCGGCTTCGGAGGAGACGTCCGGTAGGGTGACAAAGTCGAGGGAGAAGCCCGCGCTGGTGAAGGTGGCGGCGCTGTTGAGTTTGGGGAAGTGGACGTCGATCTCGAGCAGACGTTGGATCCATGCCGCGATGGCTCGCCAGTAGGTGGTGGCGTCCGTGTTGACGAACGACAGGGACAGCCCGGCGACCGGGCCGTCCGGGTGGGCTTGGATGGTGATGGAGAGGACCACTGCGTAGTTCCCGGGTCCGCCCCCGCTGAGGGCCCAGTACAGGTCGGAATAATTGCTCGTGGGGGACACGACGAGGTGCTGCCCGGCTGCGGTGACCACCTCATACTCCAGCGCCTCGTCCGCCCCCAGCCCGTATGCCGCGGTCAGCGGGCCATGGCCACCCCCTGGGAGCCAGCCGCCGGCGACGCCCACGGTCGGACAGCCTCCACCAACGACGCGCAGACCGTGTTGTTGTGCCGCGGCGTAGGCCTCGGCGACTTCGATCCCGGCCCCAACCTTGAGGGCAGGACCGGTATAGTGCGGGCTGGTGTAGTTGAGGACGGAAATGTTCTTGAGGTTATGGGTCCAGAGAGCGAGTGAGCCCTCCCCGGCCGATCGTCCCAGGTAGTCATGTCCGGTGTTTTTGATCGTGAGTCGGAGGTTCTTTTGCTGTGCGAACTGGATCCCGGCCATGACAGACCCCGCATCGGCCACGTCGATGGCATACGACGCCATGTTGCCGAGCGTGCAGGTGCCGTTGGGGCCGAGGAAGGGGTTGCAGGAGTCGTTGAGCCAGTATGGTGACATGACATTGACGGGGTCATTGAGGCTGCGCGATTAGCTGGATGCGGTTCCATGACGGGTAGGGATGCCATCCTTACAACGGACCCACGTAATCCCATCCCGCCTCGAGGGAAGCGCATACTTGCGCGTCGGACGTGCTGCTCCCAAAGCAGTCTCGGGCCAGTGGACGGCCCTGGATGAGGCGGCCCCCGACAGTCTCATTGAGTTGATTCCACTCGGCATGCGTGGGCCAGCCGGGGTCCCCGGGAAGATAGCGAGATGCAAGGTGCGAGTCCGTCGAGTTGCCTGCAGACGTGCATGGGGCAAAGATGGCGAATAGGAGCGCCGCAGCCTGCCTGCTAGTGATTGACTGCATAGCCGGTATCTTGGCGTGCATGGTGAACCAGAACCGAAACAGTTTGGAGATCGATATAGACACTTATTGCGTCGAGAAACCACATCCGGCCATGATGGCTCATTTAATCCTCAAGGCCAACCTTGGAGGCATCCGGAAGTTTCAATTCCGACCCCAACTCAGCACGGCCGGTCTCAGGTGTAGGCTGCGACAAGGCCATCAGAATCCTTCAGACGGTACAGCCACGAGAGAGTCTGTTCCATGAGAGTCGGATGAATCCTGCAGGAAGGGTGTCGAAGGCGTCCAGGAATCACATCTTGCATCAGGCGGCCGATTGGAAGGCCTGACAGGGATGGAGTAAGCATGCGTCTTGACTCTGCATGGTCAGCAATGATATTGATGCAGGAGGGAGGTTGGAATGTGAGGCATTTACCGCAGTAAGCGGGGCGTGCGGGCCATGCTTATCATGAAAGTGGATGTTTATAAACCCGAATCAACTTTGCCCTTAACTCCCGGGAAAACATACATTGCATAGACGAGGTTTAATTTCGAAGCACGCTAGCGCTGAGAAACACTGGGTCAGCACCTGCGTAAGGGAAGTTCACATTAGACTCTTATGGACCTACCTTGTTGAATCTAGTGTATACAAGCGGGACATCAAGTGTTCGAATCTTACCGTATTTTTGATCTGTAAGTCCCAGATAGCTTATTAAGACCCTGACAAGAATGGAAATATAGGCAGCCGTCAACTAAATCAAATCCTGGTACTATTGGCTATGTAACGCAAACGGCTCTTGGAGCAGTAAGTGGAGTGGACCATCGCATGAAGTGTGGCTTTCAATGGAACAGGTCGGTACGCATAGGGGAACAAACACCAGCATTAGCTTATGGCAGCTCTTACGACGGCGGATCAAACCTGGCCAGGTGTTACATGACCGGACCCATACTTGGTACAGCAGTAAGGCAAATGTTAGCCTGAATCAATGTGATCTAAGGAGCAACCGAGCATTCTCGGTCCATATGATCCCCAGTCGGCTAAGACGGCCCGGATGTCGTGCTTGTAGCCGGTTAGTGCTGACACGACACCATGGCCATGATTGTACATAGTCAGGCCGGCACCCAGCACGGCACCCTGGGGAACAGATAACCGGTCTAGTCCATGCATGTAAGACCCGGACTGGTCCACCATACAATAACTCCAACCCGGTATCGTCGTATAATACGCAACATTCCTGGCCACGGAGCCGGTCAACTACCAGGGATGCGATCCTAGGCCATTGTAGAAGTGCCATCGGTGTTGGATAATTCCCGTGCGGAGCATTGTCCACGGCACAGAATTCACTTGCTCGTTGCGTAAATCTGACGGAGGCTCGATGGTCTCCGGCACTTCTGAGGCTAGTCAACCTCATGTTGTAGCATATAATCCCTACATGCGCCAATGGCTGCAAGTTCTTTCGACTGCATACTGTGAATTCCAGTACCCTTGATACCTCGTTCAACACGGGGCTTTGCCACTCATCCATTACAGCAGCAGCAGCAGCAGCAGCAGCAGCAGCAACCGCCATGCCCGCCAAAGACAAAGTCAAACCGACCGACGAAGCCCTCGATCGCCGTCGCATGCAGAACCGCATGGCCCAGCGCAGGTTTCGTGGTCAGTACCCCACCTGTAGTCCAGTGAATACCCGTTCTCATGCAGGCTCTTAGGGCGCCAACGCCATAAAAGTACGGGCCAGAACAATACGTATCTCATTTCCGGTCTGGAGTTCCTGGACACGGACTATATTTCCGACCCGACGGTCCCGGACACCTCTGATCTCTTTGTGGATCTCGCATTCCTTCCCGACAGCAGCAGCGGCAGCGACCTCATGGATGCCCTGGGTTCTCTCAACATGGATTCCAGCGTGACACCGATAGATTCCAGCTCCGCAAGCACATCGCACACCCCATCCACGCCATCCACGTCGGCTACTCCCCAACCCATCGACCAGTCCAACACCAGCATTATCCCCAAAGTCTTCCCACCATTCGACCTCGACCCTCCCCACCAAACCCTAACCATCCCGTCCCCCTCCCCGGACCACAACCCCGACCACGACCCCAAAGACCCCCTCCACACTCCCCCAGGCCTCCCCACCGGCTGGCTCACCGCCCTCCACATCGCCGCCCAAACCGGACACTCAGGGATAATCCTAACCCTCCTATCACGCCACCTGGACCCCAACGCCCAAGACAGCGACGGGCTAACGCCGCTCATGCACGCGACGATCCACGGTCACGAGCACATCACGACACTCTTGCTCAGGCACGGCGCGACCCTCAGCCCCGTGGACCATGAGGGCCGATCGGCGCTGCATTGGGCGGTGTTGGTTCGACGGGAGGGCCTGTTGCGGATGCTGCTGCAGCGGTGTGCGGGGGATGGGGCGCTTATTGATGCGTATGATGGGATGGGGAGGGCGCCGTTGCATCTCGCGGTGGAATTGGGGTTTGAAGGGGGGGTGGAGGTGTTGGTGGCTTTTGGGGCGGATTTGGGACATCGGGCGAGGAAGGGGAGTTGATTGTCTGCAGGGGGGGTTTAGATATATTTAGATTGGGTCGGTAGATTACTACTAGATGGTGGGTTTGGGGGTTTGGGATAGATTGGTTGTTTTTAATGTAGTGGTTTTGGGATGATAATCGGGGATAGGTTTATTGAAGGGTATTTGCTGGTGATCAAGTCTACTGGATAATGAATCAGAATCAACCAACTGGGTCAGTTAGGCGGGATTTCGCTGATACCTGGTACTACCGTGATGGATGATTTACACGATCTAGTATTTGTAGTCTCTAAGATGTGAAACCTTGAAATCATCAATGAGAAGCCATACGAGGATCTCTAGGGAGTTCCCCAGCCGACACACAATTTATTACTAGAGATGTCAAAGATGAAACAAATACAGGTCGCTTGGTACCCCCCGAAATAACATCCCACTCCATTCACAACCCATACAACCATACAACCATACAACCTACAACCTATAACCTACAACCCCACCTCCTTAACCACCCCCGGCCTCCTCGCCTCCAAAATCTTCACCGTCTGCTCAAACACCTTCTTCTGCGCCCGCTTCCCCACATCCGTATAGATCCACGCCTCCACATTCTGATTCGCCCCATCGCTCTGGAACTCCCCATGCGAGCTCAACGGCGCCGCCGCCGCCAGCACAAACGTCCGACCCCCCACCTCCGTCGTCCGGTCCAGAATCCGCCGCAGGATCCGCATCAGTAGCGGAGGCTGGGGCCCTCGACGGTCGAGGTTGGATGTGCAGAGGCCGGGGTTGACGAGGTTGATGATGACGGGGGGTGGGGAGGGGGTTTTCAGTCGGGAGACGAGTTCCCGGGTGAAGAGGACTTCGATGAGTTTGGTGGCTTGGTATCTGTTTAGGTTAGGATGGATATACATATTAAGGGGTTGGAAGAAGAGGTGGGTTGGATGTACCTCGGCTGCTGGCTAAAACCGGCCTTATTGTTCAGCTGCGCATACAGATCCGGGGCATTGATCTCGGGGAATTTCGTCAGCCGGTGCGCTTCCGAGCTGACGATGACGAGATGGGGCTGGGAATCCGGAAAGACAGTTTTAGTGTGGGTAAGTTTTGGCAGCAGGGACAGGGCCAGCAGGAACGTGTTGAGCACGTTGACTTGCACGGCCTGTTCGTAGCCTTCGATGAGGACCCAATCACCCGTGTTGATGCCGGCGTTTTCGACGAGTACATCGACGCGGGGCAGGTCGGTCTTGACCCGGTCGGCGAAGGCGAGGGTGGATGCGGTGCTGGAGAGGTCGAGAGGCCAGACTTCGATGGCGTCTGGGTCGGTGCGCTGTCGGACGGTGCGGAGGATGTCTTCTTTGGCGGCTTCGCCTTTGGAGATGGTGCGGACGGCGAGGATAAGTCGGGCGCAGTGGAGACGATAGAAATGCCGGGCAGCTTCGAGACCCAGGCCCGTGTTGGAGCCGGTGACGATGATGGTTTGGTTGGCGAAGGAGGTGGTGGGCAGGGGAGGCGTTACGAAGAGCTGGGAGTGGAAGAAGAGGCGCAGACCCGCGCCGAGCTTGGGGGTAATGGGGAATTCCACGGATTCGGGGGCCATGGTGTGGATTGCGGATTTTTTTGCTCTAAGGTTTTGAGGTGAGGTATTGGTAGGGATTACATTTTATATTTGTAACTTGTTTGTATGGGATACCGTGGTGAATTAGGGTGCCAGTCGGGGACGGAGGGATTGGATGGCCGTCGGGGTAACATTCCCCCGACTGCATGGTTTAACGGTACTGCTATACATGCCCGTAGTCCTCCGTAGAATACTTATGTACTAATTACTGGATGCTCTCATCCCCGCCCGCCACCCGCACAATCCAATCCACCACCACCTCGGGCGCACTCGCGACCGGGACATGACCCGTGGGAATCACCGTCACATCCACCTCTCGCCCGCTCTCGCTGGCAATCCGATCAATCGCCTGCTGCTGCACTCCCGGCGGCACGATCCGGTCTCCATCACACAGTAGATACGCCACAGGAACGTCCTTGTACCCGGCATAGGTCAAGGGGTTGACCATGCTGACCGCGGAATGGCGAGTGAACTGTTGCATCCATGCGAGGCCCTCGTCCGGGGGCATATCGGAGAAGCAGGCGGCTGCAAAAGCCGGAATGTCAACCTGACTGATCCATCCCTGTTCATCGACGGACGTTTCCCTTTGGGGGACATCCGCCAGCACCGCCGCGGCCGGGGCGCCCAGCGACGGGACCAGGGCCGCGAGATAGGCCAGACGCACCACCCCGCCAGCCCCCTCCCGCTTCACCAAACCCTGAACGCTCTGGCTGGCGGGTGTCCCGCCATACGAGTGGGCCACCACCACCACCTCCTTCCCTTGTTCCACCAGGCGGCTAATCTCTCGCGCAATCGCCGCCGCATCGTCGTACATGGTGCCGGGCGGGGGCAAGGGGCCGGCGCTCGGGGCCACGCTGGGGAGTCGGACCGCGTGGATGTCGTAGCCCTGACTGGCGACTTTGGTGGTCACCCCTTCGTAGCATTCGGGGGGAGCGAAGGCTCCGGGGACCAGCACGATGGAGGGTTTGGATTGAGACATGATTTGATTTGTGATCGGTATCCTGGCATCCCATCCCTGTCTCGCTGGACGTTCTATATACACATCACCATGATGTTGATTTCTAATGAATTAACTAAGCACCAGCGTCCGGGTTACTAATTCAGATCTTAGGATCGAAGGATTCAATGTGTAGAGGGTCCCAGTTGTAAAGGGGTCAGAGAATTCCTGACACTAGATAAGCTCTATCACGTGGAAGACTATCAGATAATTAAATTTTTTTTTAGTATTAGAAATTCTTTGAAGCTATTCAAGTTATTTTTCCAACACTAGTCTGACCCCTTCGGAGCTGTATCCCCAATGTGTTGCTCTCTGCCCTGTCAGCCTGCAGCACCAAAGCTGCACGCTTACGTCCGTCATAATCCTGCTGATGACGAGCTAGCGCAGCAATCCGCCAGAACATCCCATTTGGAAGACAGCGTTAAGTCATGGAAATTCTTAAGACATGGGACAGATAATCTGTTGAGCCCATGCCATATTTCTACCTTTCTACGCCCGGGGCTAAGAAGGACATGATCCAATGCGTTCGGCATGAGGCATCCCATCATGTCAGAATCCTCCCCCCTGCATCCCCTCCTCCACGCGGGTCTGCAATCGCAACTCCTCCTCCCGGCCGATCCGGAATATGCCGCCCGGCAAGCCTCCTACTGGTCCAACAGCGCGAAGCTAACGCCCGCGGGCATCCTGCGGCCCCGGTCGGCCGCCGACGTGTCCACCGCGTTGGACGCGCTGGTGGCCGCGGACCAGAAATTCGCCCTCCGCAGCGGCGGCCACACGCAGTACGCCGGGGCGAACAATATCGGTCCCGACGGGGTCACCATCGATCTGGGCTTGCTGAATTGGACGCGATTTGATGCCGCCACGGAGACGGTCGAGATCGGGCCGGGAGCTCGCTGGAAGGAGGTCTACGGCGCGCTCCAAGAACATGGCCGGGTCGTGGCGGGGGGTCGCGATGGAAATGTGGGCGTCGCCGGCTTGTTGCTGGGGGGTGGGAAGACGTTCTTTGCAGCCCAGCGAGGGTTCGCCTGTGATGATGTGGTGCGCTTCGAGGTGGTGTTACCGGGAGGTCGCATCGTCACGGCTTCCGCAGAGCAGAATCCAGATCTCTTTCGCGCCCTCAAGGGGGGATCGAATAACTTTGGCATCGTCACGAATTTTACCATGCGAGCGCTCGTCTGTGATAGGGTGTGGGCGGGATTGAACTTTTTCCCGAAAGAGGTGACGGCCGATGCCACGCAGGCGTTGGTGAGGTTTACGGATCGTGTGCATGAGGATCCGGATAGTCATCTGCTCTTCTTCCTCACATACCTGGGTGCGTCTCTTCCCAATTTTCCAAAGCATAGGGCTAACGAGAGGATAGTAAGTAGGGGATACTTTTCAACGAAGCCAGACTAACCCACCAGCCCGCATTCCACGACATTGTCGTCGTCGCCGCATACGTGCAACTCGCCGGGATCCCCAAGGCACGCGCCTACCAGGACTTTCTCGCCCTGCCATCCATCATGGACACCACGAAGCTAACCACCATTCCCGACGTGGTATCCGAATATGACATTGCCCCTCCAGACTACTAGTACGCTCCTCCCTCCTCCCAACGAGAACCCAACCTAACGTCCCAGCAACACCTTCTTCACCGCGACCCTGAAAAACAACCCCCTCATCGTCACCAAAGCCGCGGAACTGCACAGCACGCTCGTCACCACCCTCCGCACCCTCATCCCCACCAACGACTTCATCACACAATGTCTCCTCCAGCCCCTCCCCACCCTATTCGGCCACCTCTCCACCCACTCGGGCGACAACATCATGGGCGTGTCCGCGCAGCCCGTCAACGGCCTCCTCTTCGTCGCCGTCGTCATGGTGCGTACCCCGGAGCTGGAAGCCATCGTGTATCCGATGGTTCGGGAGTGGGTGGACACGGTGAAGTCGTATGCGGCCACCCTGGACGGGAATCTGGATTGGGTGTATTTGAATTATGCGGATGGGAGTCAGAAGGTGCTGGAGGGGTATGGGGCGGAGAATGTGAGGCGTATGCGGGAGGTCGCGGGGAAGTATGATCCGGGCCGGGTGTTTCAGAGGTTGTGTCGGGGGGGGTTTAAGATTGGGGATGTAGATATGGAATAGAAATATTCTTTTTCTTTGCTTTGCTGTTGCTTTTTTTTTTTTTCCCTTTTCTCGGGCTAGCTTGGATATATTGGAACTGGAGGGCAGGGGTAAGGAATTGGTACTCAATGTGGTGATCTAGAATGCATGCCTAGTTTCGATAAGATAGAATAGCAGATCTGTCAATCGTATACATCATATTATGACCCGGAATGGCATGGTATTTATACAAAGTGATCGAACCGGAGACATACGGATTTACAGAGATCAATGACACACGGACTTGCTGTCTGCTCCCTACTCCGTAATCCGCTCAATTGGTTCACATCGAACACACCATTGTGTAATCAATTCCGCATGACATCCCACTATGCCGACCTGACCTGGGTCTTACCCACTGCACACTATCTATCTACCCCACGACCGGCATCTTCGCCACCAACTTCTCCCCCAACGCCACCAACGAACTCGCATTCGTAATATCCAGCGTACTCAACTCCGCCCCGGTCTTCTGCCGCACCCACCCGCGCAATTCCACCGCCGACAACGAATCCAACCCATACGCCATCAACGGTTTCCCGGGCTCCATCTCCGTCTCGAGGCGCAGAATCCTCGTCACCTGCAACTGCAGCAATCCGACCGCCGCCTTGCTCAAGACCCCGGCATCCGCACGCGACGCATACAACATCTGGAACCCTTTGACTGCCGCTGCCGTGGCATCATCATTGCCATCCCCCCCTACCTCCTCATCCTCATCCCCCGGACCACCACCACCCCCCCTCCGAACCAAATACCCAAACCGAGCCTCCCCCCCCAACTCCGACCCACTCCCCAACGGACACGCCAACCCCGTCACCAGTTGCGCCGGATTCACACCCCCACTGATCCCCCCCGGCGTCTGCACCAAAATCGAATACGACACAATCCGTCTCAACATATCCTCATTCACCGGCGTCCACTGCCGCGGATCAAACCGCGCTTCCAGTTTCCCCCCCTGTTCCGCCACGTACCCCACATCCTCAATCATCCCCAGATTGACCGTCTGCGCGCGCAGACCCTGACCGCGTCGGTAGTGGGCGAAGGCGTCGAGAAAGGCGTTGCCGGCTGCGTAGTTGGCTTGGCCTTTGTTGCCGACGATGCTGGAGATGCTGGAGAGGAGGGTGAAGAAGTCGAGCGGGTGGGTCGGTTGTTCGGTTTGGGATGCGCGGTGGAGCGTCCAGGTCGCGTGGTGTTTGGGGGGGAGGGTGGTGGTGTACTCGTCGTGGGTCATGGTTTCGTAGGGTTTGTCCTGTTATGAATGAGTATTTACTCCGTACGGGATGACTGGTAGGTAAGGAGGGAGAGGGGGGAGTGGTAGGTAAGGAGGGAGAAGAAGGGGGGGGGGGGGACTCTTAAGACCATCGCGCCCTGAATCAACCCCGCGATGCGCCGCGGCTGCACAGAGCGAAACACCCCTCGCACAAAGTCCAAGTCCGCCGCATCGCCCTTCGCCTCGGTGATGCGACACCCATAGGCCGCGCAATTGGCGATCACCCGGGCCGACGCCTCATCGTCAATCCCACTGCGACTCATGGCAATGACCTGTCGCGCGCCATGCCGGGCCAGATGCACCGCCAGACTCCCACACAGGCCGCGGAGCCCGCCGACAATGAGATACGCGGCGTTCGGATCGAGCTGCAGAGTCGGAAGAGCCGGACGAATGGGCAACTGCACATCCTCGGCGTCCGGATTCGCAATGACGATCTTCCCCATATGTTGCCCGCGACGCATATACGACAGCGCCGGGATGACCTCGTCAAAGGGATACCGGGTGATGGGCCGAATGGGCCCAATATGTCCCGCATTCACCAGCTCGAAGATCTCCCGTAGTAGCTGTCCGATCAACGCGTCGCTGATCTCCTTGGTATACGAGAGATCGACGGCCCGGAAGGAACAATTCCGATCGAACGGCTCCATGGCCAGACGATTCCGATCGACGATATCCCGCTTCCCAATCTCCACCATGACACCGCCGTCCGCAGTCAACCGCCACGACTCATCCAGCAACTCCCCGGTCAACGAGTTCAAGATGACATCCACCCCGCGGCCGTGGGTCTCCCGACGAATCTCCTCGGCGAAGCGCCCGCTCCGGGAACTGAAGATCCGGGTCCGCGGGATCCCAAAGGTACGGGACAGAAACTCGCGCTTGGCGTCCGTGCCGACGGTCACGAAGATGTCGCAGTGCTTGTGCTGCGCGAGTTGGATCGCGGCCAGTCCGACCCCGCCAGCCGCGGAGTGGATTAACACGGATTGACCCGGTTGGAGATTCCCCAGGTGGTAGAGGGCGTAGATGGCGGTGAGATAGACCAAGGGGATGGTGGCGGCGTCTTCGTAGCTCATCGTGTCGGGGATCCGATGAACGCGCTCGTGCGGACATTGCACGCGATTGACGTACGTGCCACTGCGCATGGCGACGACACGATCGCCCACCTGGAAGGGCGTGGTGAGTCCGGGGGCGATGCGCTTGATGTAGCCGGCGCATTCGCAGCCGATGGTGTGTTCGTTTTCGGGCACGATGCCCATGGTGGTGGCGACATCCTGGCCCGTTAGCCGCTTGACCAAGAAGATAGGAAGAACATGGAAACGTTCGATAGAGAGAAATTGGGAAATCAAACCACGAGGGGGATATGGGGAATCACCTTAAAATTCACCCCCACGGCCATCACCTCGATCTCCACCATGCCCGGCTCCATGGCCACCTCCCCCACGGCCGTCTCACACCACCTCAAACTCTGCAACGTGCCCACCTTCTCGGCCTGAATCCGTACCTGCGCCTTCGTCCCATGCAGACTCTTCACCACGGGCTCCCATCCCCGGCCCCCCCTCTCCGCCGCCTTGAACTCATTCACTGCCGGCTCCGGCCGCAACCGCGGCAGGAGCACCACCCCGTCCCGTTCCGCGTACTCGGTCTCCAGATCGGGATCCATCCCCGCCATCAACCTCTGTAGGATCCGCTCAATGGCCTGTCCCGTGGCCGGGCTCGTCGCGGATTGCACATCCAGCGTGGTCAATTGGACCTGGGGATCCTCCCGACGGATGACGCGGAAGAGGCCGTGGACGAGAGCGGTGTCTGGGTCGGTGACTTGGGTCGTTTGAGACCCCTTGGTGACCCAGAGGAGGGGCCGGCCGGTGCTGATCACCGTTTTGAGGGAGTCCCAGTGGGGTTCGGTGATCTGGGTGAGGACGGGCTTGGAGAGCTCGTCGAGGATGAGGATCACGGCCGTGGGGTCGGTGGTGGGGGCCTCGGCGGCTAGGGTGGTGATGGGGACGGTGCGGATGCTCCAGCCGGAGGTGGTGAGGAGGTTGTGCAGCGTAGATGGGAGGGCTGGGGTGTCGGGATGAAATCGGGCGATGATGAGGGTTGGGGGGTGGGCTCCCGGGGTGGAGGGGGTGGGGTTGGTCGTGCGGCAGAGGAAGGCTGTGGCGTGGCCCGGCTCTGCGGGGATCTGGAGGATGGATGGGAATTGGGAGAGGCCGTGGAGCTTCCCGAGGGATTTCCAGGCATTTCCCGGGGAGAGGGTCAAGTCGATGGAGGTGGCGGAGGAGTCGCCGGATGGGGTGTGGGATCCGGAGCGGGAGAGGGGGTCGTCGGGCGAGATGGCCCCGGGGGATGATGGGATCAGGTCATCGATTGGGTGAAGGGGGGTGAATTGAGGGATCAGGAGAACGTATGCGCCTGGACGGAGGAGGGGTTGGAGACGTTCGCTGATGCTCTCGATGGTCGTCGGGTCGTCGGATTGGGGGCCGGGTTTGAGGATGACCAGGTCGTAGGTCGGGTCGGTGGTCGGTAAGCCGAGCCCTGGGGCAGCGAGATCAAGGACGTGACAGTCGGTGTTGCGTTTGGTCTGATGGGCGGTTTTCCACTCGAGGATGGTGTTGGCCGACGGGGACGCGAGGTGATATAGGGCATAGGCTGCTCGGGCGTGCTCGTCGCCCTGGAACCACCGCGTCGAGGCATCCGTCTCGTCGACGTTGATCTCCAGCACCTGGAGGAGCGGCTTCTTCTGCGCAATCAGGTCGATCACCCGGTCGAGACGGGTCGACGCGGCGTCCGTGGGCTGCAGATACATCAGCTGGTCCGGCGTCAGCAGCGAGATATCCGGCGTCCACGTCGTCGTGGTAAACACATGCGCATCCGGCTTCTCGTCCACATCCAGTCGGATATAGTTCAGCCCTCGGACCCGTAGCAGCAGCGCCCCCGTCTCGGGGTGATGGATGGCAATATTAGCGATCCAGCTTTTGGCCACCTCCCGACGGCCACGACCGGTGTAGACCGACTCGGCGACGGACAATCCCTCGACGAGGTCCTTGGGAATCCGGTTGACGACCATATCATCGACCAGAGCCGGGATCATCGTGTCTTTCACCAAACTCCGTTCCCCCGCCGCATTGGCCGGCGTCGCGGTCTGCAAGCAGCCGTCCAGGATGGCCGGATGAAAGGGATAATACGACTGCGGATCCCATTTCGAGGCGGGCGGTTCCAAGGACACCAACGTCCGACACGTCCGACTGCCACTGACGGATTCGATGCTCTTGATGGTCTGGAAGGTCGGACCGAATCCCATCCCCACCTCGCGCTGCGCCTTGTACCACAGCTTGGCCGACTGGGGATGCTTCAACGGGGCGAGATCCTCGCCCTGGAGTGCTTCCTCATCGCCAATCGGATCCTGCACCCGGATCAACCCCGAGCAGTGCTCGTAGATCACCCCCGCCGCGGTGGTCCGAATGCGAAACTCATGCCAGTCCTTGCTCCCGGGCACTGGAGTCAGGGTGAGGAGGAGGGTGGTGGGCTTGTTCTCCTCGACGACGACGGCGCGATCGAACTTGACGTTCCGGAATCGATAGGCCAGCTCGTTGGGCGATCCCACCGCTTGGTCGGGGTGCAGGGCACAGTGTTTCTGATACATGGCTTCCAGGGCCATCGTGGCGAGGCCGGCCCCGGGCACCAGCACATCCGGGCCCATCTTGTGGTCGCGCAGCCACGGCACATCCGCCAGATGGAGGTGTTTACGCCAGGTGGGTGACTCCCAGGCGGTGCCGGGGATCTTGGATCCGAGGAGATCGTGCGTGATGAACTGCTTGTAGCGCCAATCGCGACTCGCGGCATTCTCATGCCAGTATTTCACCGTGTGGTTCCACGAGTAGTTGGGCAGGTCGACGATGGTTCGGACGGCCGTGGTATCATATTGATTCACCCGTGACAGATCAATTGGGGCCCCGGTGGTGAAGAGCTGTCCAGCCACGTCGAACAGCGCCTTTCCGGAATTGATCCCTCTCGCCCAGGCCGCGCAGTACTGAACGTCTCCGCCCAGGGGCACCGATTTCAGCACCTGGGAAACCGGTCCCGCGAGCGCCCCGGACGGACCGATCTCGATGATCATGCTGGGGGAGTCCTGGGTGACGAGCGCCGTCAAGGCCTCGGCAAATCGCACCGGCGACACCATGTTGGTCTTCCAGTAGAGGGCATCGGCGGGGGTATCTTTCACCTCGCCAGTGACGGACGAGAACATCCGGACCGGCGACGAGGCATCATTCTGGGGTTGAAACTTGGGATCCTCGTTCAACAGCCGATCGTATTCCTCGCCAATCGGACCCATGAGCTCCGAGTGGTAAGCCAAGTCCACCTGCAAGGCTCTCGCGAAATGGCCCGCGGCTTTGATCTCCTCGGCCAGAGCGGCCAGAGCCGGCTTCTTGCCGGACACGGTGACGCTATTCGGACTGTTGAAGCAGGCGATCCACGCGCTGCCACGGTAGTTTTGCACGTATTGTAGAGCGGAGTCCGGATCCAGACCCACGGCGAGCATGCCAACATCCGAGTCCACCCGGGCATTGGCCTTGCTGTTCACGGCTGCCCGACCCCGATAAAACGCCGCCTTGATGGCACTCGCGCGGTCAAGATAGCCTGCAGCATAGGCGGCCGCAATCTCTCCGGATGAGTGGCCGACCACGCTGCTGGGGTTCACACCCCAGGACGCCAGCACGGCCAGGATGCACAGTTGCAGCGCCGTGACAAGGGGCTGCGAGAACTCCGGCTGGCGGAGATGCTCGGCGGACCGGGGCTCCGTGAGCTCGGACACGAGGGACCATTCCGGAGGGTCCGGTTGGGATTGCAAGGCCTGGTCCAATTCGTCGAGAATGGCCCGCGTCCAAGGGAAGAACTGCACCAGCTCTTTGCCCATCTGCGGCCACTGCGCGCCCTGTCCGGTGAACACAAAGGCGATCTTGGGCGGTTGGCCCCGGTTCTTGCCAACAGTGAAGTCCTTTTCATCAATCTGCGTGGTTCGGGTGGTCAGGAAGGCCCGGTGCCAGAGCCGCGATCGACGCTGGGATAATGTCGCCGCGAGATCCGGTAGCTTCACGCTGACCCGCGGATTGATGAGATGGTTGCTGAGCGCGCGAATGTTCTCTTTCAGGGAATGCGCGTCGTTGGCAGATACCACGAGGGTGTAGGGTCGGTCGGTCAACTCGTCTTCATCGAGGAAAGGGTCCTGATCACCCCCTGACTTGTAGGATGACACGTGGAATTCGCGCATGTCGACGTGTGGCTGTTCGATGATGGCGTGCGCGTTGGAGCCGCCGTAGCCAAAGGAGTTGATACTGGCGCGTCGCAGGGGATAGCCCTGGTCGGGCCAGGGAATGGCCGTACGAAAGGCTACCGTTTTGGTGCCGTGGAAGTCAACTGCAACGGTTAATACCCCACGCTGTGATCTCGGAGATGGTACGCACTCTTCGGGCTGGGCTTGATGAACAGGGGCGTCCCCGGGATCATGCCATGTTCGATCGACAAGATGACCTTGAGCAACGCGGAATTTCCTGCCGCGGGCTCTGAATGTCCGATGTTACTCTTGATGGAACCGATGAACAGCGGATTCTCGGTCGTCCGGGTGGCAGCAAACACCGATCCAGCTCCCCGCACTTCCGTAGGATCGCCCGCTTGAGTGCCCGTGCCGTGGCATTCGAGATACGCGGTCTCGTGGAAGTTTTCGATCCCTGCATTGGCGTACGCAGCCCGGATTGCGGCCGCCTGGGCTTCGGAGCTGGGACTGGCGATGCCGCCGGTGCGTCCGTTACTGGATGGGTCAGTCGGGTCATGGTGTCCGAATGGGATGGATGTATAGGGTTTTACCTGTTCGATGCCGTTCCCCTCACAATGGCTCGAATAGGATCCCGATCGCGGACCGCCTCGGAGAGTCTCTTAATGATCACACAGCTAACCGCCTCGGCCTTGACGTATCCGTCGGCATCGGCATCGAAGGTATGACACAGTGCGGTGGGCGAATGTGCCTGGCCGACATTCCCGGCATCCATGACATGATCCGGGTTGAGGTAGAAGTTACTGGCAGCCACAATGGCCGTATCGACCTCCCCAGACTGCACGGAGCGACAGGCCAAGTCGAGTCCGACCAGACTGCCGGAACAGGCTGTGTCAATGGTCACGCTGGGGCCTTTGACGTTGAGAAAGTAGCTGAGACGGTTGGCCATGATGGACCGTCCGACTCCAATGGCGCAGTTGGCCGGCCGATCTTCCGCATCTCGGTTTTGCATGTCGCCGTAGTCTGATGATACCCCTTAGTTCCATACGCGGGGTGCAAGGTATCAGGAATACTCACCAGAAGCATACGACGCCACGAAACACGCTACCGGTTTCCCATCGATCTGTTCCAAGGGAATACCAGCATTCTCCAGTCCTTCATACACCACTTCTAACATCTGCCGCTGGTTGGGATCCATGGCAATCGCTTCCGTGCCACCGATCTCGAAGAACGAGGCATCAAAGTCCGCCAGGTCCACGTCGCCAATAAACATGCCACCCTTGGGACGCATGGTTCCGGGTTTATGGGAGCCGTCATAGTGCCCATCGATGTTGAAGCGAGTCTTGGGGACTTGGTTCGAGGCGATCTCTCCTCGTTCTAGAAAGTCCCAGAGCTTCTGGGGACTGTGGTTGCCTCCGGGAAGACGACAGGCGAAGCCGATGACGGCGACCGGCTCCTGTCGGAATTGGGATTTGGTCATGCTGGATGGGCGGGTATGAGTTTGTATGAGTGGTAGGAGTGACGGATGATTGTTCTATCTCTGCGAGAAGCTGGGTACTGGCCCTATTTCGGGAAATCTGTTGGATGGGTTATATCATGAGATACTGTCTTATACTATCTATGCTCGATGGACAACAATATTCCTAGTCGCCTTGCTTACTGGTCATCCCAGCCGGGGTCCGTGTTCCCTTGTTAGGGTTACGAGTAAGCATAACTAGCGGAGTAAGCATGCTCCAGACCATGCATGCATGCTGACATTGATGATAACCGGTAGGTATGATTACTTGACTGTCCCCTGCTTCATGTATGATTATCTTGGGAGACTGGTCAGCTTCATTGCCGCAGCTGTATACCTCAATTCAGACCAACTCCCTCCCATCCATGGACCCAACAATCCACCACACACAACCCAAGAAACCAACCACAACACTCCCACTCTCAGCATCCAAATCTAACCATGCCGCGCCACAAACCCATCGAATGCAAGACCATCGACGGCACCACCATCTCCGGATGGCTCTACACCGTCGACAGCCCAACCCCCGCCCCCGCCATCATCATGTCCCACGGGGTACCTCCCCTCCCCTCCATCTGCAACCCCCCCCCCTCACTAACCCTCCAGTTCAACTGCGTCAAAGAATTCACCCTCCCCGACATCGCCGAGACCTTCCACCGCGCCGGCTACAACGTCCTCCTCTACGACGCGCGCAGCGTCGGCGCCAGCGGCGGCACCCCCCAAAACCTGCTCGACCCGCTCCAAATGGCCGAAGACCTGTCCGACATAACCACCTACATGACCAGCCTCCCCAGCGTCAACCCCACCCAAATCCTCCTCTGGGGGATGTCCTTCGGCGCCACCATCACCAGCACGTGCGCTGCCATCGACCGTCGCCCGAAAGCCCTCGTCCTGGTCTGTCCCCTCTTCAGCTACATTCAACCACACAAAGCGGACAAGGCCTACGCACAACTCATCAAAGACCGGATCTCCCAGCTCCGCGGAAATGAACCCTACTCGCTGCCTCCGTTTTCCCCGACGGGTGACAACCCGATTGGATTCGGAGGCGCGGGGGGACCCGGCGGCGTGCAAGCGTATCGGTTGATGAAGGCCGCGGCGGAGTTAGGGAATCCGGGGTTTCGCGATCGGATTGCCTTCCAGACGTATCAGAAACTGGCTCTGTATCGGCCGAAGGAGTATGTGGGGATGGTGAGGGCGCCGGTGTTGATGGTGATTCCGGAGGAGGATGAGATTTCCCCGCCTGAGGAGCAGAGGGAGGTGTTGGCGCGGTTTGGGGGGGTGAAGAGGGAGTATTGGGCCGTGGGGAAGGGGCATTTGAATGTGGCGACGGGGGAGGAGGCCAGGGAGATGGTGGAGAAGACGTTGGAGTTTTTTGGGGAGGTGGTGGGGGGGGGGCTGTAGGCTGCAGGCTGTATGGTTGGAGGGGTGGGTTTTGCTTTGTGGGTGCTGTGGCAAGTTTGGGATCTATGGGATAGCTGTGAATGGGGGTGGAGGTAACATCATGATATTGTTTATGTGATGCTTTCACGTCTGCTATAGCTGAACATTCCGTCTGGTTGCCCTCATGCCTCAACTTGTTCTCCCCTAGCCTTGACCTTGATGCGTAAATTCCGCGTCGAATGCACAATCACCCGATCCACCCACACCATATCCGCATGTCCGGTTGGCGTCAATTCCAGCTCAAACCGGGTGAACAAGTTGGCCAAAATCAGGTGCATCTCCGCATACGCCAGCCTATACACCCATGAGTTCAATGCCATCACAAGAGCAGGGAGTACCCACGTCTTCCCAATACAATCCGTCCGGCCCTTGGAGAAAGACAACAACCACGGATTCAGTTCCTTGCCCGGTTCCCCGATCCAGCGCTCCGGCCGAAACGCATCCGGCTCTTCGAAGATCTCGGGATCAAAGTGAATGGCCAAATGGCTGAGTCCCACCACCGCCCCCTCGGGAATGGTTTTCTGCACCGACGGCACGTATAACCCTCCCGCGGGAACCGTGCGTGGCAACCGTCCCGGAACAAGAGGCATGTATCGGAGACTTTCTTTGATAAAACCAGTCTGGATCATGTATCAGTCCACGTCCCATACCATCCTGCCTGCTGATCCTTATATCTAGGGAGGTGGAGGGAGGGGGGGCCTCACAAAATAGGGTAAATTCTCCACCTTCGCCAACGGCAATCGTCCATCCTGCAACTCCACCCCCGCCAACTCCTCTAGAATCGGCCTCTGCACGTCGGGAAACTTCAACCAGAAATACGTCGCATAACTCAACATCGTCGCCGTCGGTTCGGTCCCCGCATTCAGAATCCCGGTGCATTCGTCCGCCAGTTCCCGGAAACTGAGCGGTCGGGCGGTCCGGCCTTTTTCCTGTCGTCGAGCGTCGTCGGTGAGGAGACGATCGAAGATGGTTTCTTGGAGGGGGCTTTTGGCGAGGGCTTGCTGTAGGTTGAAGTCGCGGATGGATTGGCGGGCGAGGGTTTCGATGAACTGGGATTGGTTGTTAGGGATGATTGCGGAGGGGGTTAGAGATGGCGAAGGGGGGGGGGATACCAAGAGGACTTTCACCCAAGCATCGCTCAGATACGCAATCAGCCAGCGGGGTAGCGCCAGAAGGGCATTCCTCACGAACTGAAAGTGGATGGCGAACCAGATGCCTTTGGTGAAGGAGCGCATTTGCTCGGCGCGCTGGATGAAATTGGGCGAGGAGACGAGTCCGAGACTTTGGCCGAAAAGGTAGCGGGAGATGATATCGCCCTGGATCGGTTCAGCGGGGTTCATAGCACTATCGAGGGAGGTGGGAGAGGGGGGACTGACCGTGTAACAAAAGTATAGTTCCATAATCGGTACCTCTTCGCCTCGCTTTTCGTACTCGTGGATTCGGTCGAAAACGAGTTCCAGCTCTTCATACATGCCCGCTTCCATCAACCCGACCCGATGTTTGGAGAAGTTCGGGTCGAGGGTTTTGCGCTTCTGTCGGTGCTTTTCTACGGGGACGGTAAAGGCCATGGCCTCGGATACCCCTAGGGCGTACGAGGTGGGGTCTTTGGTGAAGGGCGAGTTGCTTTTGTAGATTCTGTTTCATAAGCATTGGATTGAAATATCTGGTCGTGGGAGGGGGGGTTCTCACTCGTGGTAAAGCGACGGATCGTTGATATGTACCTCATTAGGGCTGATTCGAACGACGGGTCCTGGTTCATGAATTAGCGACGCTCTATCCCAGGGGGGGCGGAACCTACCATATTTGCGATGATACTCAGGGAGCCTCTCTAAGAATTTGCCATTTAAAATCGCCTCATAGTAGCATTGCTGAAGATAACTGATGCGACAGAGAAACGGGCCGGGGAATTGGGCGAGCGGGTGGAGTGTGAGCCGGTAGATGATCACGCTGATCCCGTAGGCAATGTATGTGGCAGCCGAAATTCCAGCAATGGTCCAGAGAGAAGGGAATGTGTTATGCTCGTGGAAGGGAAGTTTCAACCCTCCCTCCACCAATTGGGTGACAGACTTCCAGAGATCCATCGCGCATGAGTCCGTGGATTACTCTCTCAGGGACAACCTAGCTGAACCGCTTGTCACTATCTCCGGTAGCAGAGTATATAAACCCCCGCTATCTCGTCCAGGGTGTCTGCAGCATGATTACCCGACGCTATACTTCATTTGGATGGTCAGGTAAGCAGGCAGATGTGGTGCTGACGGTGATGACAGTGATCACCAGCTGACGAAGTGCCAATTAGCAGCGGAGGTATTTAGCGTTGGATGCGTTGAGACAGCCCCAAGGTGGACCTATCAGGCAAACAGACCACTCCGAGGACCGACAAGTATCATAGCAGGATAACACAAGTGCACTATTCCTGCCTACAAGATTCATGGTGGTAAAAGAGTGTTCGATTTCATGTCTATAGATTTCCCATTTGGTCATCACAGTATAGATACCTTTCCAGGGAATGCGGCATCCGCCCAGATCTAAGCTGGCTTGTCCAGCCAGTCGTCCATTGGCATGAAACTCGTATCAGAAGGACCTGAGATTCAGAAAAGCAAAGACCAACAACACATAGCATTCGCTACAATCGCATCCTCTCCCGCTGTTATTCTCATCCCCCAGCGTAGCCATCAGCACTAGTTCCGAATCTTCACCCGTAGCCCTTCACTCCCCTTCGCCGGAACCGGGATAATATAGTCGCTATTCGCATCAATATCCCTCGCCCGCTGCGTATCATACAGCTCCAGCGTCGGACCCTGGCCGGGCTGGCCATTATAGACATCATATTTAAGAAACAGCGTAGCCAGAATGATGGCCATTTCGCGACGAGCGAGAGTCATTCTACCTCTTCGGTCAGACCATCCCAGCACTACAGACCACATACCACACACATATCCAGGAAGGATAGGACTCACCCAACACAATTCCTCGCGCCACGTGAAAATCCAATAAAGTAGCGGACGAGTTTCGGGTCATCGATGAAGCGCTGCGGTCGGAACGCGTACGCATCCGGACCAAATGCCGCCGGGTGCATATGGATATCCAGGGGGGACATGCTGGTCACCGTGTTGGGGGGCACCACGTAGGTCTGGCCCTTTTCTTTGTCGGTGTAGATGACTGGGACCTCCGGGGAGATACGGACCTGTCGGGCCATGACGCCTGGGTGGAGACGGACGGCTTCTTGGATGATGGCGTTGAGGTACGGGAGACTGTCGACTTGGTGGAGGAGAATGTGGTTCGGATCGGGGACGGCCTGGGTGAGTTCTTGTTTGAGTTTGTGGACTTCGTCGGGATGCGCGAGGAGTTGGTATAGGCAGCAGGTTAGGGTGTATGCTGCCAATGGATTGTCAGTGTCAGAGCTTCGCTGGGAAGTGATGGCTCACCAGTTGTCCCCTCGCCAGCAAACACAACCAGCTGGGCTTCACTCGCCAGTCGTTCATCCGTCTTCTCCTCGGGCGGTAACGAGCTGTTCAAGATCCCCTCGAAGATGGTGCTTTTGACTCGCTCCGGGTTCGGAGAGGCTCGGATTTCGCGCACCTTGGCAATCCACCACTAACCCGGTTAATATCGCCCAGCGAGGAAGCAAGAGTCACGTACATCTTGTCGATCGCGGAGCTCACTCAACGACGGCAGCAGCATTTTGACCAGCCACGACGGCATGTTCTGCACATAGTGCACCAGCCACGGTACCAGCCCGAAGATATGAGTGAGGTAGAAAAAGACATCGGTGGATTCGAAGAATGAACGCCCAAAGTCCGGTCGATCCATGAAGCCAAAGCACTCGCCAAAGGCGTAGACTGTAATCACGTCGCTCGCGCAGGCCTTGAACACATGGTGCATGTGCATGATGCCCCCAGACTTGCCGGCTTCCTCCATCCGCGCGACCATGATACCCATGTACTTTTTCATGATGGGCTCGAGTCGACGGATGCTGGCGACGGAGAAAAACGAATTGAGGGCATTGCGGCGGCGGCGGTGGAGATCGTGGTCGGGGGTGGATACAATCGAGTAGGGTGCTGTAGAAGCAGGATTTAGTCATGTTTGGAGGAATGAGAACAGTGGCCTCGACTCACTTCCCGTTCTTTGCGCAAACCAGAGAGGCTTGTTGGTCTTTCGGGCGGGGCTGGGATAGACCATATCGATGAACTCGGGGTCGTTGAAATGGACTTCATTGGGCGTGACGCGCACGACGGGCCCTAATAATGATTTGCCTCAGTTGACCGCCACGACTCCTGGATTCTGATGCTGGGGAGAGATCCAACCGTATATCCGGTGTAGTTCCGCGACACGCTTGAAGTATTGCCCGCCAAGAACGATCTCGTAGTACGATTCGTACAAATGCGTCAAGGCTAAAAGGATTAGCTCGACGGTGGCTCTTCGGGGATCGAGATCTTACCGGCGAGTTTGGGCCCTGGGATGCTCGCGAGAGGGGAGAAGTACACTGCAAGCTGGGTTAGCCCTCCACGGGCGGGGTAGAACTTCCAGCGCATACCGGAATAAATCCCTCGACTGACTTTGTACGCCAGGAAGAGAGCTCCAGCGTAGATCAAAAGTTGTCGCCATTCAATGAGCGCAGGGGTCAGAATAATCTGCGCATAGCCGCGCGAGGTATTCAGCAGGGTTTGTAGGAACGAGTCCCCGGACATGTTGCAGACGGGCTGGCTGCCTTCCCAGGATAGACCGATGGGTGTATAATCCTCTGATCGATGGCAGAGGTATATGATGGTTGAATTCGATGGGGGTTCCTCAACCCAGGTCTAGGCTTACAGGCGGTCACTCGAGCCGTAAGCATGCATGAAGGGGGGGGGGGGGGGTAAGCATGGCAGCATCTCACTGCATCGAATCCCACACTAACTGCTCGCATCGGGATCGGCATGCATGCAGTCACATCGGAATAAAAGAGTCGAGTCATCGAATTTCCGAGGGATTCTCCTGCTTCTCCCAACACACCCTGATGGATCTCACCCCATCCCCCACCTTGATCGCCAGCCTCGCGGCCGGCATCGTAGGCCTCTACCTAGCCTACCGAGCCCTACTCCCTAAGCCTATCCCCGGAATCCCATACAATGCAGCCTCGGCAAAGAAACTGCTGGGTGATGTCCCCGCCATGATGTCGCACATGGCCACCACGGACGGAGGCACCTTCATCACCTACGTCTTGCAGACGATGAAGACGCTCAATGCGCCTCTGATCCAAGTGTTCATCCGACCCATGAGCAAGCCTTTGCTGATCCTCGGCGACTTTCCCGAAGCCCACGACATCTTGGTCCGGCGAACCAAGGAGTTTGATCGATCGCACACCCTGGGGGATCTGGTCTCGGGACTGGCTCCCGATCACCACATCCATCTGAAGACTAATGCAGCCTGGAAGGCTCAACGGCGACTGGTGCAAGATCTGATGACTCCGTCGTTTCTGTACAATGTCGCTGGACCCGTCATTCATCAGCATGTGAGCACGATGGTGGAATTGTGGCGGACGAAGGGCAGAATTGCGGACGGAAGGCCATTCGCTGCTGCCGATGATATCAATCACATGGCGTTGGATGCAGTCACGGCGTTTGCGTTTGGCGAGGGATTCGACCATAATGCAACTAAACCGACCCTCGCGGCAGTCCAATCCATGAGTGCTGAGGAGAAAGAACGCGTGAAGCAGATGGATCAAAGCCAGCCTGTCCTTTTCCCTCAGGGAGCAGTGGATGAGGCATTGCAGGCCACCTTGGACCTGACCGAGACGGTCGGCGAGGTGCAGGGGAACCCAGTGCCGAGCTTGACCTGGGCGTATGTGGTCCGAAAGCCGAAGATTAAGAAGGCAATTCAAATCAAGGAAGACTACATTCGACAGGAACTGGTGAAGGGGGTGGAACGGCTGCATCCAGAAGGGGAGGTGGTCATCAAGTCGGCCATCGACCAGATGATTGTGCGGGAGAAAGCTTTGGCGGAGAAGGACGGACGACAGCCGGATTATTTCTCGCGGGTCATTATTGACGAGGTAAGTTGAATCCCTCCCTCTATCAAAGTCACACCCCTATTCCAGCCAGCTGACGAATAGACCTTTGGGTTTGTCTTCGCCGGTCATGAAACCACCAGCACGACCCTCTGCTGGGGCCTCAAGTTCCTCGCCGATCAGCCCGACGCCCAGACGAAATTACGTCTCGCTCTGGAGGCGGGCTTTCCTGCCGCTTACGCAGCCGGACGCAATCCCAGTATCCAAGAGATTACCGGGTCGAACATCCCGTATTTAGATGCCACGATGGAGGAGATTCTTCGCTGTGCGGGCACCGCCCCGGTCGTGGATCGGGAAGCCCTCGTGGACACGGAGCTTCTCGGGCATCCGATCCCCAAAGGCACCGTGGTGACGTGCTTGGTGACCGGACCAAGCATGATGAGCCCCGGATTCGACATTGACCAGACCCGACGCAGTCCCAGCAGTCAGACGGCCGAGAAAGAGGGTCAATTCCGATCGTGGGATCCCGCCGATATGGCTCGCTTTAATCCCGACCGCTGGATCGTGCAGACGGAGAAAGGCGATCATTTCAACGCCGTGGCGGGGCCACAGTTGGCCTTTGGACTCGGCACTCGCGGCTGTTATGGGAAGCGCCTGGTATACTTGGAAATGAGAACGCTGCTGGCATCGGTGCTGTGGAACTTTGAGCTTCTGCCCTGTCCGTCAAACTTGTCGGGATATCAGGCGTCGCTGATCACGACGAATGAGCCCAAGCAATGCTATGTTCGCTTGCGTGAGATACAGCGATCTGGGTGATAGGTCCATGTATGCCTTCATAGGTATGACTATGCATGTCGTGGTGCCTATAATTCTACTGCTCACATTCTGTCACTAGACCTCATGGGGGATTCATTGACAGCCGGTATTGGGGTGGTGTACTTCTTGCAGCAACGCATTACCACAGCATCTGGCTCCTTATTCTTTGTCCTCGCATCCGTCTTATAGATGATGAATGATTTCAGTCGGGAACCTTTCTCAAATAGTAGAGGGATGTGGCCGCCTCACCCGCAGGCATCATATCTCAAACAATCATTCCTATCTGTCCTCTTCTGCTCAATTCTTCTCTTCGGATGGAGTGCACGGCTTGAGCTCTCGTAGGCAAGATGCACAGTCAGATAGTTCGGAGGATATTAGTGAATAGCGGCTTTCAGTACCTTTCCACCGTGGTTGAAAGACAATCAACTCATCGGATGGGTTTATAATGTAGAATTGAAAGCTCAATTTATTCGCTTCTGCAGGATTCACGTGCTGTCCTGTGAAAATACTGTATTTGGGCCACCTGACGAAAGCCGTGTGTGATTCAGCCACAGTTCTACTGGATCATGGTAGGGACAACAACAGAAGAAATAACAGAATTCTGCTGATATCCAGCCCAGACCGGATACACTTTGGTTCCCAGGCAATATGGGAATGGATGACCAAGTTACAATAAGCGAGAAGCATCTGCACGACCCACTGAGGCTGAAGGGTCGACGTATGAGGTGGATGAGGAAACCATGTCGAATCTAGCTCGAAGCTGGGAATCCGCCCCCTGTATATCAAAGAATCCCCAAAAATAGCCATCCTGTGACCTGTCTGGCACTCGATTGAACAGGCAACTTCAACATCTTCTGCCTCCTGCCTAGTCTAGCCGCTACACGTGCTTAGTCTTGTCCTCTCATCATAAACCGCACCGGTATGAATTGAATCCACAAGCTATCTAGTCGATTGTCGTCGGATTCGACCGAGAATGCGGAGTCTGTATCTGCATAAATGCCACTGATTCATTGGTAATCGGGTTACACCCGCGGCAGGATACCTCGGCTTGTCCGAAAGCCCCTCATTTAAAACTCGACGGTCTTCAGACTACACACTAGCTGCATGACACCATCCAAGCTTTTGGTGTCTGCAATCTGCAGTGGACCCAGTCATTGGGGATGATAAGAAGGCCACCGCCCAGTCGGAATTTTCTTCCCTGCCAAATCCTTCGACCATGGCGGCAACCATCATTGTGATCGCCCTCGTCGGTCTTCCTCTCCTCTTCCTCCTCCGTCACCTCCGACAAGAACCCTCCCTACCCCTCCCCTCGGGACCCAAAGGCAAGCCCATCGTCGGCAATCTCGCAGATCTCCCCCCACCCGACACGCCAGAATGAAAGCACTAGCTGCAGTTTCAAGAGCGCTACGGTATTTCCCTTCGCCAGCCCTATTCCTATGTCCTCGATCTAACCCCACCAGGGCCCATTTCTTCCATTACGATCCTCGGCCAAACCATGATCCTCCTCCACGATGCCCGCATGGCCGTTGAGCTTCTCGAGAAGCGTTTCTCCAATTACTCTTCCCCGACCTCGTCTAGTCTTTGCCGGAGAGATGTGCGTACCCCCCATCCACCCTCCCTCCACTCCTACATCACACTCACAAAGTCAAAAGGATCGGCTAGGACGACGTCCTCGCCCTACAACCCTACAACGGACGATTCCGCGCCTATCGCAAAGCCATGCACCAGATCCTGGGGACCACATCGCTCGTGGCGAAGTTCAATCCCTTGCAGGAACTCGAAGCGCGACGGTTCGTGCAGCGATTTTTGGATGATCCGGCAGATTGGGTGCAACATATCAAAACGTGCGTTTATACCTAACAGAATACAACGGAGCTAATAGATCTGAGTGGGACAGGGAAGCCGGAGCAATCATCCTGCAGATTGCCTACGGGCACACCGTCAGTCCGGATGAACGCGATCCCGCTCGTCCAAATGGCCAACGATGCGATGGTGTCGTTTAGTGCGGCTGGGAGTCCGGGGATGTGGTTGGTGGATTACGATGCCTGCGTGTATGTCCAATTATCCTTCGATTCAATTCAGAAGGGAAAATTAAGTAGGGGCTAACGAGTGTAGTAAGATACCTCACCCACCTGGTTCCGCTTTGCCAAATTTCAAAAGCTAGGTCGCGCCTGGCGAGCTCAACTCCTCGCGACGATGGAGACGCCCTACCGAATGGTCCAGGAGCGGATGGCCAACGGCACACAGGGTCCATCTTATCTGTCCGCTTTGCTGGAGAAAAAGGAGTCCCTGACGGAAGAAGAGGAGCTGATTGCCAAGTGGAGTGCGGGATCCTTATTTACCGGGGGAGCTGATACGGTACGTTCTTCATCATACACTAGTAAATCATTTGCCTGAAGCCAGACTAACAATATAGACCGTCTCGACCATAATGGCCTTCTTCCTCGCCATGTCCCTCCACCCCGACGTCCAAGTCAAAGCCCAAGAAGAAATCGATCGTGTTCTGGGCCCACATGTGCATCTCCATGCGGTATAGCCTGCAGGGATGAATTCCTTCGACGCGACCATCCCTCCAATCATAGCGTAGACATCATCACTATCACTCAACCATCACTAACACCCCCTAGGGCATCTAATTGGCCATATCGGTTAAGATGAAAGCTGCCAGTACCTCCTACGCATATAAGTCACGCATCCCAACCCACCAACTCCCACATCCCTCATCAATCCAATTCACCCTCACTACCAAACAAACACCACCATGGCCCTCCCCACCGCAGCCCTCACCCAGCTGCAAGCCACCTTCCCCGACAACCTCATCACCCCCACCACCACCCCCTACCAAACCGCCCGAACCACCCCCTGGTCCCAAACCTGCTGGACCTCGGCAGCAGGGTACCTCCCCCTCAGCACGGTGAACGACCTCACCACCGCCCTTTCCATCATCCAGAAAACGGGCTCCAAATTCGCCGTCCGCACCACCGGCCACAATCCCAACGTGGGGTTCAGTAGTGCCGATGAAACGGCCATCGTGCTGGATATCCGTCAGTTGAATTCCATGGAATTGATGCCTGATGGGATTGCCCGTGTCGGGGCGGGATGTACCTGGGGGGAGGTCTATGCTTGGTTAGAAGGGCAGGGGTTGTCGGCCATTGGGGGGAGAGATCCTCAGGTGGGGTTGGGGGGGTTTCTTTTGGGGGGTATACTCCACCTACTATTCAAATCGGATATTGGATAGGCTCATAAGTACTAGGAGGTATGGGCGCGTTACCTAACCTGTATGGTCTTGGGGCCGATAACGTGAAGAATTTCGAAGTGAGCCTCCTTCTCCCCTTACTCCTATTCCTCATTGACAATTAATCAATAGATCCTCCTCGCCAACGGCACCCTCATCAACGCCAACGCGCACGATAACCCCGACCTGTACCGCGTGCTCAAAGGCGGGGGCTCGAACTTCGGTATTCCCCCCTACCCCAACCCTAACCCCAGCCTATCCCCAACCCTAACTCAACCAAATTAGGTATTGTAACCCGCTTCGACATCCAAACCTACCCTCTCATCCCCATCCAATACACCATAACCCTATACAATCCGACCGACCACCTGGCAATTAACCACGCCACGGCAACCATCCAAGCCGCCATGGAAACCGATCCCAAGATCGGGTTATTCACCAACTTCAACCACGGTTTCGTAGCCGTAGGATTACTCTACGGTGACCACACCAAGCAGCCGGAGATATGTACAGCGTTCAAAGGGCTGGAGAGTATCATGACCGCAGTACCACCCACAAAAGGAACGATTCTCTCATTAGCGACTGCGATGGGTCACGTCCAGGAGGAGCGGAAGTAAGTAGCATTCCCATCCAGTCGAATCAGTGTGGAGTAAAGGGGGCTAATTGTGGCAGACGAGCAATCTCAACAATCACCACAAAAGTCTCAGTGGAACTATACGAAGACGTCTATACCCTTTGGAATGGCGTCCGCAGCACCCTCCCCGACGGCTGTATCCTGCATTATACCATCCAGCCGATGAGTGCCGCGGGGGTACGCGCGGGGGAAGAGCGCGGGGGGAATGTATTGGGCTTGGAGGGGGTGGGGCAGGTTTGTATGTCTCCCTCTTCCCCCTTCTTTCAACTTTACACAGTGTAGCACAGGATGAAACTGATAGGGTATAGGGTGGGTATTCACCTGCGAATGGCCAACCGGTATCGATGATAGTATTGCGCAAGCAGCAGTAGAGACGATGTCAGCGAGGGTGGAAATCCTCGCGAGGGAGAAGGAATTGTTGCTGGATTTCAAGTGTATGACGTTTGCGACGGGGTCACAGAGGGTTCTTGGGGGGTATGGGGCGGAGAATGTGAAGAGGATGCAGGATGTGGCGGGGAAGTATGATCCGGAGGGCGTGTTTCAGAGGTTGCAGTTTGGGGGGTTTCTTTTGGGGAATAGCGTGTGAGTTTATTCTTGAAAGGTATGGGATGGGTACTTTGAGGTGTGATACTTAGTTGGAGATATAATAAGGGCAAGCAATGGACTTGGTTTATTCGACGGTGGTTTGGTTGGGTTGCTTCTAGATGCTATGTTCAGTGTCGATTATATACTTGAGTATACCAGGTAGGAGATGGATTCTTGTCATCTATCTGGCTGCTAATGCCATCAGCAGGTGATTGGGATTATCTCCGTGCCCGTCACAGTCAGCATTCATTAACATGGCATATTGATGATAGAGTCTTCATCATCACACTGCGGGCCTTATCTCCAATTCATAATTTCATATCGGACTACGCTGTACTGTATTTGTCTATCATACGCAAATACTTTGAATCCGGATGTTTTCCCAATTTAATAGGTGATGAACACATCAAATACCCCATATATGAGTGAATACTTCAATATGTGCAGTTTTAGAATCATCAACCCACGCACTTATCACCTGCCACTTTTATCGTGTAGTAATCTGGCTGATCGCTCCTTGACATCCTTTATTTCAATCAAGTCGTACAATATAGCTTTAAAATAGTCTTATTCCCCTCATATCCCATCCACCATTCCCCCCATCAACCCACCTCATACAAGAGTACTATTCCCCGCAATCCCCTCACATCCCTTCTAGACCCATCTAGAAAAATCATCCGAAGTAAGACAACCCCAGTAAGCATCCCCTTGAGCCTCATCCTTCCCCCCCAAAACAATCACACGACAATTACTTCTCCTCACTGTGTCATAAGTAAGACAGAGGTCAATGCATACCCATCGATAGGGGTCAAAGCATATATATTACAGTGGAGAAGGGAGGAGGCTGAATGAGATATTATGTGAGCGTGGCGGGTTTTTAGTGGTTGGTTAGGACAGGGGTATTATTCATGTGAGTGTTTATGTCACTAGTCATGGCTGCCACTTAACCTGATATGATATGGATGACATGAATGACATGACATGCTCTGCATAGAGTGGGACGCCTGATCGGATTTTTCTCGGTTGCGATCACATTACTTCTTATTAGGGGATTGAGTCTAATCTGGCTGTAGATGTGGTGGTGCACCGTGCGAAACATCCCAGTCAATAACACATCTACTAAGAGGTAAGTAAGACATCCCCCCTTCTCTCTCGAGCACTCGTACAATAACAATAACATCGATTTATTTTAGCAAACTATGTATAGTCTCAGCAAACAAGCAAGAGTCCAATCATCATCACTCGTATCTCATCACCAACCACCCTCACGATATCTATACGGCCACATCCGAGACATTCGACCCCGCCACCACATACATCTTCTCCGTCTTGAGTCGGTCCAGAGCACTCTGCGGCAGCCGGAGGGTATCGGCGACGATTTGTTTCGGTGTGGAACCGATCCATTGGCCGAGGGAGACATCTATGTATACCCTTTTAGTAACTTGACAATGAAATCGGGGATGGGAGGGAGGAATACCGCTAAACTCATCCGTCTGCAACACCTCCAAAAACACGAGATCCTCATCCCCCGTATTCTCAATATAATGACTATTCGACTGCGGAAAATACCCCACATCCCCCGGTCGATAATCAAACGTGGTCGCCGTACTGGGCGCCGTAAACAGCGTCGCGCGCGCCTGACCGCTGATGAAAAAGGTCCATTCGTCGCTGGTCGGATGCCAGTGAATCTCGCGCATGCCGCCGGGTCGCACGGTCACGAGGGCGGCGGCGGTGTTGGATGAGATGGGGAAGGTTTGCGAGTCGACGATCTTGACGCTGCCGCCTTGGACTTCGTGCGCGGGTTGCTCGGAGAAGTGGTAGGAGTAGCTTTGCGAGTGAGGGACGATGCCGGCGCTGCCGGTCACGTTTTGTTCTTCGATGTTGGTGGGGGCCGGGGTGCCGGGGAAGATGTATAGCTCGTCTTCGGGGATGTTGTCGAAGGCGGCGATGGGGAGGTCGAAGTTTTTGGCCAGGACGGAGCGCTACAACCTTTAGTGGTGGTGCAGTATAAGGGGATGAAGGGGGGCGTACCGGCTGATGGGCAAAGACCTCAGTGGCAAGAAAGGTATTATCCTCGGAAAAACTCCCATCGTCAAAGATGAGCAGAAATTCGACGCCCATGTCCAGCGCTTGGATGGAATGCGGCACTCCGCTGCAACCAACCAGTTAGTGGCATGCCAACCAACCCTTATCGACGGCATCTCGGGGAACATACGGAGGGAAGAACCAGACATCACCGGCACTCACGTCATCGACGAAAGTTTGTCCATTCTCGTTGACAGCCTATCCCAGTCAGTAATCACTGTCTCACAACGGCATGATGCAAAGTCTTACCTCGATCCGACACGATCCATTCAGCACCAGCGACCATTCCGAGGCCACATGCCAGTGCAATTCCCGATACGCACCCGCTTCCAGACGCATGTCCACCCCGGCCATTTCCGTCGCTCCGGGCATCACCACTTCATTCTCCTGTCGAGCCCAGCCGGACTCGTTCAGACCCAGGCTGCGACATTAGTATCTCTGCATGCATTGGAAGCAGCCAGCTTACCGATTGTGGCTGAGACCTGAACATAGTTAGCATGACCATCCCACTTCAGATCACTGGCATGTACTCACCCATCGGCCATTGAGCATTGATGGTCTGGCCATTATCCGTCCCCGGGGGCGCCAGCTTGTCACTGTTCATTTTGTCGTAATAGAGGTTGCCTAGGATCGACATGAGTATCCTCCCGGTGCCACGGATCGGCATCACATACGAGGCCCAGGATCGGTACCACCCACGTCACCGCGGACGGGCTGCGGGTTCTCGGCATTCTCGAAGTCCAGGTACACACCCACGTCGGCAGCATCCGTCTGGCCGGGCACCGGCACGTAGGGAATATCATCGGTCGTCTGGTCCGTCACCGTGTTGGAGGCCGAGTAACCCAGGAGATTCTCGGAGCCGCGTAACGGAGGGTTTCCTCCGGTAGGAGCGCCATAGATGGCAGGTAGGGTTGCGGACAGCAAGTAGAGAAGAGTAGACTTCATGGTGGAAGATTGGAGAGGGTTGTGGATAGATTGAAACAAACCAGCATCGAGCACGAGCACCCCTTTATACCTTTTCTCCCTCACCGGTAGATTCCTCCCCCCCCCCCCCCCCCCCGACCCGAAAGCGGTCTTCACGATTGATGCCCATCCGCGCGCGGCGGTGCCCCCTCACGCCGGCTGAGAGGGCAGCCGGGCCATGACGTGAAGCTTCCCCTCATGCACGGCACGGCGGATATGGGATAAAGTCCATCCATCGGTTGGAGAAGGCTGGTCAGGAGCCAGCTGGCATGACCCAAAAGCGGGATTGCATGCGGGGCCTCCATCCGCTGAGTGTGGAATACAATTGACGACCGGACTAGTTGGGATGGGGAGACCCACTGTGTTACGGCTCAGAGGACCTTGCTAGGGCAGTAAAGGGGGAAGGATGCTGGCTCGTTTGCCTATGCATCTGCATCTGCGTACGGTCGTTTTGGTCTATACGGCTGCAGACATTCCAGTGGAACAAGGCGACTCGAGTCGACATACAATTCTTTTGAACCAGGCAGAGACAATACGAGATCGGCCCTCTGCACAGCCTTATGTCGAGAAAGACCGTGGCGGTGCCCCGCGTGCGGAGAATTGTCCTAAGCCAATGCTTGATTCTCCCGGGGCAGCGGCTCTGCAGGGATCAGTCAGTCACTGGAGCCCGGAGGACACGTCGATGGCGTGTGGATTCCTTGTTTTATGCCATGGGGCATGGGTCCGATTGCTGGGATTTCCATCGTCTCGGGTTAGGCGTCCTGGTTATCATTATGCCAATTTTCCATGCCCCGCACGGTACAGAGATTAATTGCCTACTTTTGGGATATACGCTATTTTGTATATATACTAGATAGTGAGGGAGGGATGATTCAGTGGTTCGGAATGTCGGTGTACGCCCGTCCAGGCAGCAGACTTAATGTTGTTATTCGTGCCGATCTGCAGTGGCAGCATGTACATCCATCCCTTTCGCAGCAGAAACCTTCTAGCCAAACGTAAAAGAAAAATAGCAACAAAAGCAACGCAGTGTTTATTCGCATTTAAATTCCGTCGGGGTTGTGCTGTCCTGCCCAACACATCCATCCCCTATATATAGTACCTCCAGGCAGCCCTAATTCCAACCGTCTCCTTACATCCGTTCCATACCCATCAGACAAAAGCAAACCTATTATCCCACCACCAAATTCACCCTCGTAGTTCACTGAATCGCATCCACCCCAAACCCCCGTAGCACTCCCTCCGTCCACTCCTACAACTTCCCCCCCACCCCCTCCAACCACTCCTCCCTCCCCTCCACCGTCCTCGACCACACCCCCACCGGCTCATAAAACCCGCCATTAACCCTCCCCCCCCAACGGCCCCGTCACCGCCCACAACGTATTCCAACACCCCTCCTCGACATCCACAAACCTCCCTACATTCGTCGCCCACACAAACGCATACTTCCCCCACCCCAACCCATCCACCAGCCCCGTCCGCACCGTCCCAGGATGCACCGCTACCACCGCCACGCCCGGCACCCGTCTCGCCAGTTGTCGCGCATACACCACATTCGCCAATTTACTCTGTCCCGTAGCGCACCCACGATCCACCCCACTTACACTCCATAGTGGTAGTCAATTGCTCAAACTCGATCCCCAGCCCGCGGATGCATCTGCCATCCCAGGGACGTGAGCAGGACAATACGTGGGGAAGGGGGCCGAGGACCGTAGCAAAAGGGAAGTAAAGTCCGGATGAGCATCGCGTGGCTGAGATGGTTTGATGCCGAATTGCGATTTGTAGCCGTCGTGGGTGAGTGAGGGCGGGGTGGCCATGACCCCGGCGTTGCAGATGAGGACGTCCAGACGGGTTTCGTGGGTGAGGAAGGTTTGCACCACCGCGTGGACGGAGGCCAGCGAGGTGAAGTCGCAGGGGAGGAAGGGTGATGGTGGTGCTGCTGCTGGTGCTCGTGTTGCCTGCCGAGGCGATCAGGGCTTCCGCCGCGGGGGCATTGCGGCCCGTGTTGTGCCAGTCGGAGGGTGGGACGGGCGCCTAGGCCGGCGGTGCCTGATGGGTGTGTTGATCGTTAGATGGGAGGAGTGGGTTTGTGGGGTTGGTTTGATGCAGTTAGCAGGGGGGAGGGGGGATGTGTCGTGTGGTGGGAAAACCGGGTGGGAGAAAAGCTAGAAAGCTAGAAGCTAGAAGCTAGAGGGGCTGACGTACCCCCGGTGATCAGCAACACTTGTCCTGCGAGGTCGGGAATGTCGTGGTCGGGGTTAAACTGAGCCATGGCGAGGAGAGTAGTGGATGCTGTGAGTACCTGTGTGTCCGCGACGTCGTCGTCATGAACCAGGTACCCGGAGGGCAGATATACTTGACTGTCCCGGCCTTAGGCAGCGATGGCTGACACCCCGCAGCATCCCCGGATCCTGGTAGCCAATCATCAAGCCTCTCTACGATTAAGCAAACTGCCAACGGGGATGCCAGGAGTCTTAGTCGGTCTTACTCGAGGCCCATGCTCGTAAACCCCCGGGTCCGGATTGGCCGGCTCGCAATCAACCCGGCCCCAGTCGGACTTAGCTACTACTTCGCGGACAACACCTGATGGAATCATCTGCATCCCCGGAGCCATTAAGCATTAAGAATATCAACCGTTGTCCCCTCGTCTATGTACATGCGCCATCCGTTTATCCGGTCTATCCATCTATCAGGTTGTCATCGTCCATGATTCATCGGGGCTCAGCCACACTCCCCGCGGCATCCGGCATACGGTCCGTGCCTCTTGCGGCATCGTCTGCCAAAGCACCTGCCGCACCTCCTGGCCCACCTGGTCGATCGCATCCATCGCCCACAACACATCCAGATGCTCATACTCTTCGATGACCTTCGCGTGCACCACCCGGACATGCGGCTCGCGCCCATTTTGGAGACGGTGCAACAACCGTTGTCCGTCCACGAGACCATCCGATCCCGCGATCCAAAGCGCAAACGGAGGGGCCTGAGGGCCATACCACGCCGTGTCGCTGCGCAGAGCGTCTGCATGGCCCCGCTCCCCACGATGATCTTCCTCCGCCTCCGCCAGCGTGACCTCGCGCGGGGCCAGGATGCATTTCTGGTGCGCAAAACACTCGCCGCCCAACCACCACCGCATCGCCTCCGCGCTGACATACACGGGCGCAAACTGGAACATCCGGTCCCGGAGGGCCCGGTCCCAGCGTGCATCCTTCCACCCAAACAGAAACGAGAAGACGTAGTACCCCAGGGTGCCGTAGATCCGCGGCTGTAGCCGGCGGTGCACCGTCATCATGAACGGAATGAACGCATGGATGCCGAAAAAGGCCCGGAAAACGAATGGCGGAATCATCCGCATGAAGCGGAAGTAGACGCGTTCAACCAGGGGACCCGCGTACACGGCCGGCGCGAGGGCGCAAAACACCGAGATCCGCTCCCCGAGCTCGGGGCGCTGGTCCTTGGCCAGCGCGATAAAGGTCTCCGCGCTGCCTTGCGAGTGGCAAACGAGACCCAATTTGTCAAAGCCCGTCTCGAAGAGCACCCGCGACACCAGCGCCGGCAGGTCCAGCACGCCCATCTGTTGGATGTTCCACGCCCACATCCGCGGGTCCGACTGGAACAGCGTCGTATGTTCCGGAACCATGCCGCAGCGATTGTTCCCGAGCCACACATCGTAGCCCGATTTGCAGAGAAAGAATGCAAGACTGTCGTCATCGTTGGCGCAAAACGCCCCGGCACTCTGCAGCAGCCCATGTATCAGGAGCACGGGGTATTTGCGTGGAGCACGCGAGGTCTCGGGGTTCTTCTGGCCGCCGAAAACGTGTGGTCCCCGAGGCCGCCGGGCCTTAGGAGGCAAGGGGGTGTATTCCTGCGGGTTGTAGACATGCCAGAGCGTGAGAACAAACCCATCCTCCGTCTGAACCTTGAACGTCTCCACGTCTAGCCCAACCCGTCTCGCGTAGTAGGCCACATCGCAGACAATCGGATCCTTGCCCCCTTCCAGAGGCGGACATTCATCGAGGCCTTCCTCGTTCACCTCCTTCTCTTGTCGGTAGCTCCACCGCCGGGAGGCTTGGTTGCGCTCCACTCGCCGTGACCGCTCTTCCTCATCAAACCTGCTCGGTGTGTTGGGAGCAGGTCCGCCGAGTTTGTGACGCAGGTCCGAGACAGACGCGCTGGCGGTGTGAACGAGGGCGCCCAGGATGACGGTGCTGAGGAAGACGAGGGACAAGACGAAGGATACGCATCGAATGATGAGGTATTGAACGGAAGAAATCAACGAGGGCGGGCCGTAAGACGGCAACGGAGGGAACAATGGGTGTGCAGCATTGGCCGTAAATGAGGTGCCCTGCTGATTCTTCCAAGAGAGACCTTCTTCTCCCAGCAGGCGTTCGGTACCCGTTGAGGCATTTCCCTGGTCCTCGCCAACAACCGGGCCCAAATCCTGCAGCTCGTACCCTTTCTGTAAGGATGGGCCCCCGTCTGAGTCAAGCGCTGGAGGCGATTCGATCGAATCGACTTGAATGGTGGTGTCGAAGTAAGGGGGCTTGTCAAACACGCGTGGGTCGGGCCCGCGGGCGACGCTGGTGGACAGGCCCTCATCGGGATCGCAGTCGGAAATAAACATGGTAATCAGGGCACAGTCGCGGAGCCAGAGAGGGAGAGGGAGGGAAAGGACCTCATTTTCTCTCAGCGGGGGAGGGGGGAGAAAAGAAAGGAAATAGGGGATGACGATCGAGGCGAAGCAGACGATCTGGGGTCGCAAAGCCGCCATGATGAAAGACGGCCAGCCCCAAAACGCCCCAAGAATAGGTGTCGGTCACGTGGTGTGGGCCCGTGCACGTCACCCCGTGGGTCGGTGGCACCCAATCAGCCCGGGGGATCGTTGCCTCAGGCGTCACACTCCAGCCGTTTCTCAGGCACTCAGGCAGCCAGGCACCGGCACTCGAAAGGTCACGGTGACGTGCACGAAAGTACGATGTAAATGGTAAACGGCAAGATCCACAGAATTAAATCCATCAAAATTCATATCCATCATGTCATACGCTAAATACATCATATCATACGCCAATATCAACAGGAAAGAGAAAGCAACCGATCCAACCAGTCACCCCCATTAAGCCTCCTCAACATGGTGTGCCTCGCGCTTCACCGGAAGATCACCCTCCACTTCCATGACGCTGGCCCCAGCCTTGCCGGCAGCTCCATCGAACTGCGCCGAGGGAACCCACCCGGGAGAGCGCCAGGCCGCCGACACCATCGCGTAAAGCTCGTCCACCTGCTCCAGGCTGAGCCCCTTCGTCTCGTAGATGCACGTGTACACGAACACCCCCGCGACGAAGCAGAATCCACCCCAGATGAAGAAGACCTTGGACTGGAGGTTGGCATTGCCCGGGCCGGAGTCCACCATGTAGGGCGTGGCGTATGCGATCGCCCAGTTGAGCAGCCAGTTCGTGGCGGTCGTGATGGAGAGGCACTTGGCGCGAGCCTTCAGGGGGTACAGTTCACCCGTCACCACCCAAGCGACCGGGCCCCAGGAACTGGCAAAGAAGAAGATGTAGATGCAGACAAAGGCGATGAGGACCTTGTTGGCCACATCGGAGGCGGCCACCATGCCGACAATAGCCACGATCAGCTGGCATACGCACATGCCGACCGCGCCAAACAGCAACAGAGGCCGGCGACCCCACTTCTCAACCATGTAGAGACCCGGGAAGGTGGAGACCACGTTGACGATGTTGGTGATGAGGGTAATGACAAACCCGTTCGAGATGCCGGAGCGCTCGAAGAAGGTCGTTCCGTAGTAGACTGGAAGAAGTTAGATCGAGTCATAAGAACAGCACCAGAGAACATACAGATGAAGTTGACACCAGCCAATTGTTGAAGCGCCTGGACAGCACACCCAGTGGCCAGTCGCTTGCCCAGGGAGCCGGTAACGATGTCCCGGAAGCTGGCCTTGCCCAGACTCATTTCGTATTCGTGGGAGGCCCGGATCTCCGCCAGCTCATCCACGACGGCCGGGTCGTCAACGTCCATGCGACGGAGCCGGGCGAGTGCCTTGGCAGCAGCCTCATGGCGATCCTTCTTGATCAAAAAGCGTGGGGTTTCGGGGAGCACAAGCATTCCGACTACGAGGATGATAGCCCATGCGAACTGAAGGGCAATGGGAATGCGGTAGCAGCCAGTGTCCATCCGGTCCTTGGTGGCATTGTTGACGATAGAAGCGAGCAGCAGCCCGATGGTGATGGCCAGCTGGTAGGCGCCAACAATGGTACCACGGATCCACTTCGGGGCAGTCTCGGACTGGTAGAGAGGGACTATGATGGTTAGCACGTATGCCTGGTGCGACAGGGATGTGTCAACTTACTTGTGGCAGAAAGTAGACCAACACCAAACCCGGCAAAGAATCTGCCGGCAACAAACAGCGGGATCGAGGTCGCTGCGGTCTGGAGAACAACGCCGAAGCAAAACACGAAGGACTCGATGATCATAGCCATACGACGGCCAAAGTAATCCGCCACGGGTGCAGAGGCCAGGGCGCCAAAGAAAGTACCGGCCGACAGCAACGACACAATCATGGAAGACTGCGAAGAGGTGATATCCGGGTAGTCATCTTTCGGGTTGATGTATCCGGTGGAGAACATGTTCCGCCAGAATTTCATGGCCAAGATGCCACTGATGGTTCCAGTGTCATATCTAGTCGATGACGGTCAGACAAGTGATCATCCAATGGCCTTGGGATCAGACATACCCAAAGAGAACACCGCCAAAGGCGACAAACAAGCCAATGAGGATGGCGGGGGTCGCTGAACCCACCGCATCATCCGGCTTCTTCAACAAGAAACCCATGGTATATCTCAGGGCAGCAATTGAGTGACAGTCAGGTAAGGTGTGTCAGAACAGATTGGATAGGAAGGTAGAAGGGATTCAATGGAATGAGCAAGATGAGAGATCTATCCTGACCCCAGACCGGGGTAAACGAGGGCTTTTGTAGTCCTGGGAGGGGGAGGCGGGGATGGCCAGATGCTCCCCAGATCCGGCAGCCCGACGACCAGCACCGGCCGGAATCAGTCTCTGAGCGCCACTGACCACACGGCATCGGCCCCAGACTCCGCAATCTCAGCAGGACTCGCTCCCGAGTCTGGAGAAGGACGTTGGGCCGAGTCCATAAGTGGAGCAGTACACGAGGGAGCCCACCGAATCATCGGAACCGAGACACGGCCAAGCCGGGGCGAGGCCATAGACTGGCTGCGAGAAACATCGGGGGGAAAGCTGGGCAGAGACTATAGACAACGCGGACCAAAGTCAAATTGAGGCATTTGGCCGAGATCGTCCCGACCATCCACGGGTCCCCAGAGCGGTCTAAGCCACAGAGTTTGTCAGGTCAATGGGATTGGGATAAAGTACGCGAGCCGTTGCGGCGAAAAGAATTGAAATGGGCCAGATCTCGCGAGATCTAGAAAGGGGCGCAGGCGAATTACTCAATACTCACTGGCCTGGCCGGGGGAAAAAAAGACCTGGGGAGGCCGGGAGCGGCCGAGCCAGTCACGCGGGTCCGGCCAGAGCAGTCGAGCCCGTGATGAAGAATCTCTCCGCCGCCGCCGACCAGCCGGGTTAAACTGTTCGTGACTTAGTGGGTGCGCTGCTCTCTATTTCCGTCCCTCTCTCTAACCCCCATTCGGCAATCTCCACGCGCCCTTGACCCTGTAAAGTGTAAGACTGTAGACTAGGCTCAAGGCTGGTGCAGACCCTGTCGCAGTCCGGGGATCCTGGGGACCCGAACCGAAATTTTTCTTCAGCTCCCACCACTCAGCAGGCTCAGCCACGCGTGCCCTTGGCATAAACCATGGATTCGCCCCAGTCAACAATATCATTCAGGATCAACTGTCTCACCGGAGCCGCTTTGGGTAGACAGCCAAGTGCCAACACCCCGGAGCGGGCACGATGGCATCCCAGGTGACATTGAGTTGCCCTGACCGCCACCATGACGTGAAGCAGAGGACGATCCTGAAGATGTACACAGTAAGATGCGCCTGATTGGCCCTGACAATTGAATTCCCGACATCTGCCCGCCCTTGGCTAGCGAAAGTGTCGCCCAATCCATGACTCCAACGACCTGATTGCAGCGCTTGAGACGCCGGTGGTCTTGTCCAAACTCTAAAAGAGATAGAGTTGCACGCAGTCCCGACGTGGGGGGTCAACCGTGGGAGGGATGGAAGGTTCGGCGCATGTACATTGCGACATCTCTAGCAATCAGCTCTTGGCAGAGTGTAGCAAGTAAATTAGCCTGTATCCTTCGCATCTTCGTCATTTGCAATTGAGTCTTTGGGAGGGAATAAAGAAATGAACAAGGACATTTGAGTTGGTAAAAAAGGAAACGAATAAAAAAGAATTGATTTCTCCGATACGGGGAATCGAACCCCGAGCTGCCGCGGTCAAATCTTTCGTTTTGAAAGGCGGCGATGTTAGCCGTTACACCATATCGGATGTGATGAAAGATTTATGCCCTCTTTAACTACATAAGCTAGTTTACTATCTATCTCGTTCAGGTTAACAATCATTGATCGGCATTTCATCGACTATGGAAGAATCGCAAGGTCTGTTGGCAGTAGCCAGTTGGTCTCTTAGATATTTGCGGCCTACTCTATTGCAATTGAATGTGGAATAGCCTCGTTCATGCAAGCCCAAACGACACGGCTGGTAACATATATATTACTGGTGGACCAGCCCTCCCGCAATCAACTCGCCCAGGATGAGACACCGAACCCCTAACACAATATACGCGTACTTGATGCTCACAATCCTGCGTCCAACCTGCCAGGTACGCCATCCCTCCATGCATGTATGCCGGAAATTACAGAATGAGCCCACGCAAAACTATGTACACAATATATAACCCATGCGCCAGTCCGGAACCCTACCGGCCTACCATCGCCAGACAAGGAAGAAGTACCAACAAAGCACGATTTTGGCCACCCCCAGGACCGAAGCAAGGAAGTCCTCTTTGATCAGCTTCGCCTTTGACTCGTCACCCCCCGGCCGTCGCGGGCTGCCACGCGTCGGCTTCCACTTCGAGCTGTCGGCGTCTGCCTCATCTGCGCCCGCGTGAGTAGCGTACAGGGGAGGTGCATTCACCGCACGGCTGGCTAGCCCGCGCGGCGACGGGAACGTGGAGCTAGACGTACTGGAAGACGGGGTCTTGTATCGGGCCGGGCGCGCCGCCGGAGCCGAGCGATGCTCCGACAAGGGGAGGATGGGATCCGTGGGACCAGCCCGGGATCGGGGGAATTGCACAATGACCGTGGCGCGGACCAGCAAAACACACAAGGTGAGGCCAAAGACAAGCCCGTAATAGATGAAGATGGACAACTGATCGGGGAGGAGACACAGGTGGTTCTGGAGAGTGCGGCCGGCATTGGCGGCTCCAATGGACTGTCCAGTGGCTTGGTCGATAGGGTTCCACAGACTGGTGAGTACAAACCCTGGTCGCCGGATCCCCATGGCCCAGGAAAGGCTCTTCACCGTGATCTCCTTGGGTGACCCGCTGAACTCGTGATGGGTGATCTCGCAGTAATCGTGGTCATCTCCCGAGTACATTTGGACCAAGTTGGGCCCCACCTTCGACACAATGTCTCGAGAAATCGCAGGGGTCAGTACATTCTGATACTGGTAACCTCGACCCATTGAAATGGCGTTCGGTTCATCCTCCTCGAGGTCTTCACCACTCGGCGGATGGTGTTCGCGGTAAGGTCCACACGGTGTGGCCGGCCGGCGATACAACGGGACATGTGAAAGGAGGATCGTGGGAAACCCCGCACCCTCCGGCTGCGGCTGGTGATAGATAGACGGTTCCAGAATGTCCACAGCCCGATGCTGAAAGAGACGCCCTTCAGTCTGATTCCCCAGCATGCGCAGTGCCTCCATTTCCGCTCTACCCCGATAGGCACCCATGTGGTCAAGGAAGTCCTGGGTATCCTTCCAAATGTGTTCATTTGGCTGTTTTCCATCGCCGGAACCCGTGCCTGAGCTGCCTGTCTCCGGGTCAGGTTGATCCATGGCGCTCAGCGACACGGTATCAACAGAGACAATAGTGTGATTTCCGATCACATCCACGCGATTACTCTTGCCGAAGAAGCTCCGGAACCGGTCGCGAACCGGGACCTGAACGCCTGAGCCAAACCCCAGATCGTGATTTCCGGGCAAGCCAGTAAGCATCCTCCGCCCGATAGAGTCCCTGGTATGTTCGTCCCCCTCATTCCACGTATCAACGAAGATTTTCACGAACCGATGGAACTCCTTCTTCCAGAACCGATCGTTGTATTTCTTATACCGCTTCTCTGGGCTGGAGCTGGATGCCGTAGCCCATTCCCTACCACCGTCGAAAAGGTCCCCCAAGAACAACACTGAATCTGGGCCTAGTTCATTCTGGATAGACGAGAAGGACCGCCGAAGATACTGATCGGTGAACTTGACGGTCAAGGTCGAAAGCGGCCATGGCCGGCCGGGGTAGGTGTGAGGATCGACGAGCTGCGGGTCGGCGATGAAGGCGACGTGATGTGGCGTTGCATCTTGGGGCTACATCAAGCGAAGGCATTCAGTCAGTACAAGATGCGAAGAATAAATGACTTTCTAGACATAATCAATTACCCATTTCTCCCAATTGCCCCAGCCGCACGTCTCCACACTCTCCTGGAAGACAGTGCGCTCACCCCACCATAGTGTGCAAATCCAGAAGAGGATTAAAGCATTTGAGACTGTGAAGATGTATCTCACGACCCTCTTGAACAGCGACCATACTCCATTCCTGGTACTCATCTCCTCGTGTAGCTCCGATGCCCACTGTTTTGCCCATGACGGCAGCAACTGACGCCAGCGCTCGGAAGCATTCGACGATTCCAGGGGGCTGCCTCGTCGGGCCGGGCGATAGGAATCGGCGGCGGTACTGTGCGAATATGAATAGCTCATCGTCGTTGTTTCAGCCTATGGATGGTCAAGCGCAGCTCTGCTGCATTGCCGTGCCGAGGCTAGCACACGAGAGGTCGGCAGCTAGCAGTGGGCCAAACTCGATATCATGCTTCGGGAGCATTAACGATGGTGAGCAGATGTAATGAGCGAACGACGATATGCCAGATAGAATTAAGAATGAGAGTCAGTGCATGGCGAGGTGGAATGGGTCAAAGGGGGATCACGCCGATAAACGGGGTCCCGTCACGTGGGCCGCCGCGGTCTCGACTTGAGACATTCGCCCGTTTCGGTCGGCCCCGACATGATCGGCTACGGAGGACTGAGTATTGGCGCAACAATCATCTAGGCAAATGGTATGTAATAGTTTTGCTAAGAATACAAAGAAGAATACAAGATAAGAGAAGTCAAAGAATGCAGTTCACACTTGCCAGTGGCAAGTTCCATCACATGCAGCCATCTAGGAAGTCCACCCAACATGCACCAAGTTTACCTGGGAAGCAATATCGACAACGGCCGCCCAAACACAAAGCTTCCAGTCATACAAATAAGTGGGTATGTTAAACAGAAAGGAAATATTATGGTGAAGAGGTAAAGGGAGTGTAGGAACAGAGAATGACAAGACTGTCCGATTTTTGTATCACCTCACGGTGACTTCTTGGGGCAACACTGGCCACCCCGGGCACACTCCTCGCCGCATTCCAGGAGGCACGCCTGCGAATCGCCATCGGGCACGCTGGGTGTACGGCTGGGAAGAGTACCTGAGGTGGAGGGTCCAGTGCTGCCCGCACGGGCGTACGAGGGTGCAGTAAGGGTATCCTCGGCGTCGCTGTCGGGGGCAAACTCCGGCTGGATCGTCGAAGAATGGATTCCGTAAGCGTGGAGACATTTCCTCACCTGCCTGGCCAGGCGCATGTAGCGTTCCGAGCCTTCGCCCTTGATCTCGGTGTCAACCTGAATGTGGATAGAAGCGACAATCTTCGTGTCACTCAGCTGCCATACATGCAGGTGGTGGGAGCCGATGACACCAGGCAGCCGTTCAATGTCCTCTTTAATATGGTCAATACTAAGCCCATGTGGCACTGCTTGCAAGAGGATCCGCGAGGCAGCCTTGCATAGGGGGATGGCAGAGAGCAGAATGATCACGGTGATAACCAGCGAAATGCCAGGGTCCACGTAAAACCGCCAAGAGTAATCGGTCAACCAGATGACAAGAGCTGAAGCAATAACGCCAATGTTGCCCAGCGCATCGCCCATCACGTGGAGGAAGACACCGCGCATGTTAAGGTCGTGTCCGTGGCCATGGCCATGTCCCTGATCCTTCGGTTTAGGTTGAGCGTGATTGTGGGATTTGTGGAGATCGTCATCGACTGCAGCATTTCGTGCTGCGACAGGTACTTCGGCGTCATCGGTATATCTACCTGTGCGATCGCCATGGCCAAGGAGGGCTGACCGCTCTGATGGCCGATTGTCTGCGCCCTCCTGTAGATCGCTGTCCGATCCAGACTGTTCATCATCATAACGGTTTCGACTGGCTGCGATAATCTCCTGTCTCAAGCTAGCGGGATGCACTTGAATGTCTTCCACATCGACGTATCCACGGGCGGTCGCGCCACTATAGCGGCGCGAGCCACGGTGTTGGCTGTCAAGGGTCCGGCGTCGGCGAGAATAGGGGGAGGGTTCGGTATGCTTGATCGACTTTGTCAGATAGGTACTCTCGAGAGTATGGCTTTACTTACGTTGCCTTGGCCATCAGCATGAACATGATCATGGTCGTGGTCATGATCCGCATGCTCATGCTCAACGTCTGAGCCTTCCTCAAGGTCCCCATGGCTATGACTGTGTCCATGCCCATGGGAGTGGTCATGGAACAGAACAAGGCCGATTATATTCGACAACAGGCCGAGACATCCGACAATGCACACAAATTTGGGGTTCTTCACTTCCTGAGGCTCAACCAGTCGCTGTATAGCCTCCAGAAAGATGGATAGACACAAGGCGACAAGGAAGACGCCATTAACCAGCGCACCGAGAGTTTCCGCGCGTTGCCACTATATAACAAAATGATCAGATTTGGACGATGGGATGTGGCCCAGAAGAAGCTTACCCCGTAGGTGTACATTTTGGAGTTGGTTTCGCGATTAGCGACCTTGACAGCCCATAGTCCCACGCACAACGACAGGACATCATTCAGCTATGCCAAACTGGTCAGAGTTCCAATTCCTCAATCATACCGAAGATATAACAAGGCCTACCATATGAAAAGAGTCCGCGACCAGGGCAAGGGAGTGAACACTATAACCTGTTCGTACAGAGGTTGTTAGCAAAACAACTCACAGCACACACCCATCCACACGTACCAGCAATCAACTCCAACAAGAAAAACGCTGTATCGATCGCCAACAGGATTAAAATCCTGTTGGTCTTGGAGAGGCCCATGTCGGAGGGGCCTTGCGCTCAGTGGCGCGAAAATTGTCGAGGAAAGGGACGGATGACGGCAGATCCGGTCCGGTGTAGTGGTTGCAGTCGCTCACGCACCGAGGCCCATGAAACAGGATACAAAGCGCGTCAAGGAGGAAAGGCGACGAGGCAGAAGGGGAGGGAGAAACAGGAAAAAACGGGATGGAAGGCCAGGTGATAAATAAGTCATGGACGGAAGAGATGCTTGGAGAGGATCCGGCGGAAGCCCGCGCAGCGACCGGGGCAAAAGTGGCGTCAGTCGCACAACCGGCCTCAGGCTACCATCCGTTCGGCCTCGGCGGGGTCCAGCCTTATCGTGTCTCCACCGGCTCTTGCCCTGCTCTCTCTTTCTCCCTTTCCCTCTTTCCCGTCCTCTTCTCTGACCTCATGAGATTCAAAATTTACATACCATTCAAGACAATGGCGACCCGATGCCAAGTTATCAGTCCCGGGATTTTGAGTTCCATGTGTTACGCGATGTGCGAGCTACCTGCAGCTCCGACATCATCGAGGTACGACAGTGTCCAAAGTACGTGGTACGGACTCCACAGTCACGGGGCAGCAACCGGATTCTCCACCCTCTCCTGAACTGCTATACAATAGTATAGTTTACCCCCGTCTCCTTGGGAATGGCCATCTTTTAACCCATTTCGATAGAAAATAGGCTCATCACCTACAATATACTGTCGACCTGCTGCTCCGTGCCATCCTCTAGATGATCTTACATGCAAGGTTGTGAACAGACCAGGGTCTCTGCTGTGTGTCACCATCATGACTCGGAAGAAAGAAATTTTTGACACTAATGCAGCGGCTAAAACGCCATGAGCGACCGTCAGTGCACTAGTCCTGTAACTATATTCTATCTAAGCGAGCAGCCGACCAGGCAGACAGGGATTCATTTCCTGAAAGCGAATTCGTTACGAGGGCCATGGGGCTGTAAATATGGGTTTTGGCTGGGTCTTCGGATGTTGCCATCCCCAAACCATGAGACAGCGGAAGATACCGGACAAGATGAGAAAGGCTGACGACTAATATGCAACATGACAGAGACCGGGTCGACTTAGCGTTTCATATAGCGGAACGGATTCAAAATCGCTCAAGCTTCCGGAGATTATGGCTAAAGCACGACAAATAGCTTGATCCACCGTCGCACATTCACCAAAGCAGCTGCCCCAGGCTCAATTTTGGTCCACCACCACCTCGGATCCGTTTAAACCGTCACAGTAGCCTGCATTGGGGCTTTTCAGGTCACGATAGATCGGCTCCATTATTTGTGCCGCGATCTATTACTAATGTCCTCTTGTCCTCACCAAGGTCTCTGGCGCGCTCCAATATCAGATACATATGAGTATGGACGAAAATCCAGACAGCAAAGCATAATTGCTTCTTTTAGGCACATTCTGCGCCCGTCGGAGTAAATAAAAGCACTGATACCAAAATTTACTGACGCAACCTAAATCTTCTTCAGCCCGGTAAGACGTGACTGACAGCCTATTCTCCCGGTTTTAGGATTATCTTCCTGTGGGAATGTTGAACATGATCGCCGGCTGACCATCGCAGCATGGTCGGTCGACTCGGAAATAGCCAGTTCGATCGAACTGTATTATGTCGTCCTCGCAAAGATCCATGACATTGCAATCTGCCCAAGCCTCTGTTCGTGTTCTACTTGGGCTTGTCAGGCAAGATGCAACGTCTTCTTCCTTGTCGAGCTTTTCCTTTGTGATGAGGTAGTCGAAAGCATACAGCTCAACAGGAACCATGTTTGAAGTCTCTTTGGCCAGCCAAGTGATCTTCTTCTCGGTGTTCTTTACGTCCGATTGTAGATCTAGCTTCAGCTGCAGGAGTGAGACATCGCCCGTTTGAGGGTCCGTGGATATCTTGGTAATAGTTGCGTTTCCCCAGTTCATCAGAGTGATCACCTCACGCTCCTTTAAAAGACGGGCGTCGTCTTGACTAAGGAGTATATCCCTGCTGAAGACAATTTTCTTCGTTCCCAACTCCTGGTTCTTGTGTTTGGGGATTTCAGCGATGCTATTAGCGTCGATTCCATCTACCCATGCACTTACAGCCTTCGCCTTTGGGATGGCGGCGTAACGAGCTGCTATCGGATCGATATGTTTCTTATTTATTGCCCAGAGGCTGGTCCAATCCATGTTGACGATATTCTGGCTCGGACCTTGTTTTAGGATGAACTGTCGCAGTGCCGGTATTGTGCAGCCTCTCCGACGAATCCCACGGACCGTGGGCATGCGGGGATCATCCCAACCCCAAACAGCGCCGCTCTCCACAATCTTAGTTAGCTTTCGTTTGGACAGAACAGTCCGGACAAAGTTTAGCCTTGAGAAGTCCCAGATCTGGACCCGTCGCAGACCCAACGCGTCTTGCATCCAGTGATATTGAGCATTCCGGTCACGGTACTCATTTGTCCTCAACGCATGCGTGACCTGCTCAATCGAGTCCAGAAACGGGGCGCAAAAATCGTAAGTTGGATAAATCTTCCAAGCTGTTCCTGTACGATGGTGCGGCTGGTGGTTGCAGCGATAGATGACGGGATCTCGTAACGCCTTGTTCACATCATCTATCGATATTTCGCACGAATGCACCACTGCTGCCCATCTTCAGCTCCAGACTTCATTGCCTCAAATACTGCCAGACTCTTATCTATACTCATGGTGCGACATGAACTTGCGATGCCCTTCCCTCTCTGATCGCGCATCACCTCCAGGGCTGTATTGTCGGCGTAAGCCTTCCCGGCTTTAATAAGCGTCACGCACGCCTCGTACATTTGCTGGAAGTAATCGCTGGAATATGAAATGCGATCTGGTACAACACCGAGGAGCGAAAGGGCGTGCAGAATTGAATCTTGGAACTCCTGGGATTCTTTCGAAGGGGTTGTGTCATCAAACCGACAGATTAGGATACCTCTTCTGGCCCCGTATTCATGGGCAAAATAAGAGTTCAGCAACGCCGCCTTTGCATGGCCGATATGCAGATACCCTGACGGCTCTGGAGGAAAGCGACAAACGATCCCATTCTCCGTGTTGGTCAAGCCAATATTATAATTCGCACCTGCCGCGCTTGCTGCAGCTTTTCTTTGTCGTGCATGGCTTTGAAACCCGGCCACGGCCTCCGTTATCCAAGGATTGGTGTCCTCGATAAAGGAAAACCATCGGGAGATATTGAGGCTACTCCGTCGGAGCCCGACAATTGTAGGGTTGCCGCGGAGCGTTCCCCAGATGATAATATCGGCTAGGGTGAGGGAGTACCCAACAATGTAGGAGCGCAAGGTCAGATGTGATTCGAGTTCCTTCATTGGGCTACACAACGCCTTGTAATTATCAAGAACAAAGGAAGCAGATCGCTTGAGCCATTCATCCACCTAACACCAATCAGCTAACAGCACAGGGAACAGCATCTCAATGAGCCTACCTCAATTTGCTTCCCGTAAAAGGAAGCTTTCATGGCCTTGTTGAAGAAGTCCAGAATTGCTTCATCTGCTATACAGTCGCCATCAGCTGTAACAAGATCCAGACTATTCTGTGAATTCAATGAGACCACATCCTCGAAGACAATGCTCACTTGCAGCCCGTGATGCTTTGCATAAGCTGCACTTAACACAGTGGGGAGTGCAAGGGCAGCATTAGCCCGCGAGGCCACTGTAAGAGTTGCCATGGTTGCTATGACTTGACAGACGGAGAGGGTGAGGATAGCGCGGGTTATAAGTATTGACTGACGATCGACGCTTTGAGTCATGAGTCATGGCGGCTCTGGACCCCGCAGCTTATCTAGGCTGAGCCTCGACAGGGGTACGGCGCTTATGTAGATCTGCGGTGCCGCACGGGAGTTGCCTCGGGATCCGGAGGATCCTCCCCTTCGTAGGGCCTGACTCTATCGTTATGCCCTCTCTAGTCTCATCATTAGCTTGCTATGATCTAATTCAATCGTCTATAGCTTACTTGATTCATCTCACTTAGCCTCGTACAGACCGCTTGTTGTAATACACAAGTGCTTCATCGGTTGGAATGTGAAGCTAAGTTAGAATGCTGATCAATCCTGCAAACTTGCAGTATGAATCAACAGAATCTAAATACGGTAGCGGAGAAGGGAAGTTCATAGCCTACCATAATCACAGCTAGGCGAAGAAAACAATGATAACTGGCTAATTGTCCAATGACTCACATCTCATTCCAAGCATTACATCCTGTTCCTAACCCTACCTGTCTGATTTGAGATGCGCTTCCTATGACTCACTCACGGGGCTTCCCAGTTGTTGCTCATAACTTTCACCAGTTATCCCAATGATGCGCAGGCCGAGAAGATCATGCAACCTTCCCTCCTCCCCTTCCTTTTCTCTCCCTTTCTTCTGAAATGGAACAGCCACACTGTCTCCAAACAATCTCGCATGTAGATACAACGGTGAGCTGCAATCATCAGGTAAAAGGTCCATGCAGCCCTAAGTTCAAGGCACATAAGGAGATGAGGGCGCATATGCCGCCCTCCTGTTATCACTCATCGCCTCCCAATTTATCATCCTTGTATTGCTCCCCATCTCCGTATTCGTATTCATAGTGCATCTCCGAGATCCATTTCCCCGTCTATCACCATACTACCCGCAGCCTGGTTGGTAACAGTCGGCCCTGGGTGATTGGTGTGTGTCCACTTGCCCTTGATAATAGTCGTCGTGTCTTCCTTCATCTCATCGCCACTCATCTCCGACTCTGAGGCAGACATCTCCTCAAGCCAAGCGCCGGCATCCTTCGTCTCTAGCCAAGCGCCCTGCAACGGAATGATCTAATAAGATAAGAAAGGGGCTCAGTCAGCCACGTTCGGCTCCAATCAACTTCCAGCAAACAGAAAGAAACACGGTGAACTCACGCGTCCATCCCGCGTCTCCATCACCGCATCCCCTCCCCTCAGCTTACCCACCAGAACTCCATTCTTCCAAACCCCGTTCTTCAGCATCATAGCTGAGAATTCCGTTTTTGATAGAATACAGTCAATCACTTCACAATTGGCGAGCGTGGATCGGTGCACCCAGCTCCCGGAAACAGCACTCCCGGTGACATTGCTCCTTTTCACAACAGCATCTTGTTGAATAGTGGAATTAATAGCGTTGCTATGCGTCACCGTAGACCGCCCGAGTAATTTCGTGTTAGCGAGGTTGCTTCGGTGCAATTGAGAGTCGCTGATTGTGCCGTGTCTGGCTGTAGACCGGTAGATAGTACCGCCGGAGATGAAGCCGCCGGCTATGTTGGAGCGGGTGATAGTGGTGGCGCCGGTGGCCGAAGTGCCGGAGATGGTAACTTCTTCGAGGGTACTTCTGTCGATGGTGTCGCGATGAGAAAGGTCTTCCAAGATGCTGCTGGAGAGGTTTGAGCGGGTGATGGTGGCGTGGCTGTTGGATGTCCTGACGGTGGTGGTTGTGTTTTGGATGACGCTGGGACCGCTGTTGGATCCGATGATGCCGCCGAGGGCTTGGAACGGCATCATGGCTTGGCTGGGTGAGACAGCTAAATGGCTAAGGTGTGGATGAGGATCTCAGAACGGAGCGATAAGGTTGAAGTAAGGGGTTCGATATGCTGAGACCCTCGCAGGAGCCAAATGCCGGTTAATCCCTGGTGCTTATCAAGGGTTGAGTGCATGGGTGGAGATTCAGGGTTAGGCTGCGAGATTCTTCTGACTGTGTCTCCGATGTCCGTCGATGTGGGCAAGACTCGATAATCAACAAATTCATCCGAAGTAAAATATCCAGGGTTTGAGCCAGCGGACTCTTGTACATTCTTCATCGATAGACCTGTGGCCTGTACTACCTAACCCTCGTAGGAGTCCTACATGTATGTAGGCACCCGCCTACGAGGTGCAGGCAAGTTCCAAACGATTGTCAGAATTATTCAAGTTAAGAGAGATGTCTTCCGCACGGAAGTAAGTTGACTGATAGTTGCCCTGAGCATTACATAGCGAGATCGGGACATGTCAGGTTGATCCGGGATAATGGATAGAGCCGTGCCCTGTCTCAGTCGGAAATCAGCCCCAACCGGCGTTCGTTGCCCCACATCTTCGTTGGGGGTTCAGCAGGTAATATGAATGGTGAAGGCTGAAGGCTGAAGGGCTCGGAGAATACCTCGAAGCCTCCGAAATAAAGCTCAGTGGCGTTTTCAGGCTAATTTCTGACACAGGTATCGTGACCTTTTGGTAGACCCTCGGGCTCGGTCAAGAATGCGGCCCGAGACGCTTACTTATCCCGCTGGCTGATCGCCTGACGACGGTCTGACGGTCTCCGTCGTTCCGATCTGACAGGATTTGAGTTATCAGGCGGGAAGTATCTATCTATAGATAGTAAGTAGGCTGCATCCGATGGGGGCGGAGGTATCCCTACTTAACCCGCCCGTGCTCACCAACCCTCCCATCAAGTAGCCGTCATCGTCAAACGAAGCTATGGCCCATCCACCACGCAAGATCCTGTTGGTCGTAACAACCGGAGGCTTCACCCATGCTGGTAGGTACACGATGAATATCCAATCCAATGCATTGCTGTAGTAACCAAGGATGCAGCCCCGGTGCTCGAAATCGGTAAAGTCCTGGCGGAGCGAGGCCACACAATTGACTTTGCGACTCTGAACGGTCAGGAACACTGGATAAACGACTACCCCTTCATCTCACAACTTCATCTCCTCGGGGACGGTCCCACCGAGAAACAGTATGATGAGCACTATCTCCGCATGCGTAAATGGGACATGGCGTCGGTTGGACTGGCCGGGGCGATGCCGTCGAAGTATATGTTCGATTCGTTCTGGCCAGTAACCTACCACGGTCTTAAAGCCATCATGGAGGACCCTGCACATCGTCCGGACTTTATGGTGGCGGATTTCTTCGTCGACGCGGTCAAGGACATGAAAATTCAATATGGGATTCAGATCGCTATTGTCATGCCGACCATGCCTGTGCTGATGCTCCCATGCAGCTATATCCCAGGCCAGCCAGGGTTCCAGCTTGACATGACGCTCACCTCGGAAAATACGTCGATGTGGCTCAGGATCAAGAATGAGTTGGTGGTGGTCAAGGGTCTACCGGAAATTATCCGGCTCTCCCGCTGGACAAAAAGAATGCGTCGCCAGAACGGAGTGAACTATGACCTTCCTTCGCAGAAAAAACCCGATTATATTGTGCTCGTAAACTCCTTTTTTGGGCTAGAGATCCCGAGGGACCTGCCTCCCCTTGCGGCAGCTGTTGGACCTATTCTCGGCGATGAGTACCCATCTCTGGATGCAGACTGCGAGCGGTTTTTGTCGACACATAAGAGAGTGATGTATCTTGCTTTGGGAACGCATATAATCCTCTCTAATGCAGATGCTGCGAAGATAGTGACTGCTCTGTTGCGTCTGCTCGAATCATCCCTTCTTGATGGCGTGATTTGGGCCGTGGGGAAAAGCGGCCGTCAGGACCTGGACTTATCTCATACCTTCGATACACCCACAGGTCCGGTCACATTTGGTGACATCTTATCCAGTCGGCATCCGGAATTTCTTTGCCCATTCTTTGCGCCCCAGCGTGCCATTCTCGACCACGAGGCAGTCCAGATATACTTTACGCATGGAGGCGGGTCAAGCGCAAATGAAGGTCTCTTTCACGGTAAACGGATGTTGGCGATGGGAATCTTTTCCGATCAGATCGCTAATACTGCGCGCTTGGTGCATGGAGGGGTCGCTGAGCCGTTGAACAAGTTCCGTTTCACGTCGGAGGAGGTATATGAAAAGGCAAAGCGGGTCCTGGAGGATGAGGGAGGAACCTACGCGCGGAATTCGCTACGACTGCAGCGCATCGCGCGGGTAGCGGCACGAAGGAAATACTATGCCGCAGACCTGATTGAGGAGGTGATGTACGACAATGAGCTGAGAGTTAAAGATAACAAGGAACTCAGGCCAATGCACCTGCAGACAGCAGATGTAAGGATGCCCGCTTATAAAGCTAGGAACTGGGATCTGATGGCTGTTGGGCTGGTGGCGCTGGTGGGGGGCTTGGGAGGAATGGGCATTCTGGGAAGAATGCTGTGGAAGAACAGGCTGCTTGCGAAGGGTCTGTGGGAAGACCTGGCTCATAGAGCCGGCGGCTTGTTCCGAAGGTAGGGATGATATTTTCATCGCATATCCGTTGCCTTGTCGTCTAGCGTCAGGACCAGGCAGCCGTATAATCTCAGCTTTATCAGAATGCATCAAAGCATTTGCCACGCGAGTAAAGTAGCACGAGCATTTATGAACAATGGCTCACGCATGAGACTTTTTCTGCTAGTTCGGGCCAGAACCATAGTTCGAACGCAAGGGTATAGGCAGCACGATCACTTGAACCGACCCCTTGCTTGATCTTAGAGGGATACAGCACCTCTTTATGAGACTGGTGCCAAGTTTACTTATAGAAAGACTGGGCGACCTTTTTGAGAATAGACTTTCAGGGATTGATAAGGCCCCCTGGACTCGACAGCAGATATGGATCGAAAAGATGCCGCGGTCAGCATAGAGAGCATTCAAAATGGTGAGATCGATGTTTTCGACCTGGACGATGCAGTCGCTCCCGCCAGTGGCAAGGCCGACATGCCCCATCAGTTCAATTGGATCTCAACTCTTGGGATATCCTTTTCCATCACAAATTCTTGGGCTGGCTATTTGGTGAGCATCCATGTCAAAACACTGAAAGCATCTGCTAAGAAAGCATGATGCTGTACAGAGCAATTTCGGCCAAACTCTGGCTTATGGTGGTCCTCGCCTGGTGATATTTGGGTTTATCTGTGCCATTCTTGTGCAGTTTATTGTAGTCCTCGGGCTCAGTGAGCTGGCATCGGCCTTTCCAGTATGTCTTTTCGAATGACTTGTCGTAGCCGTTTAGCTCACAGGACCAGTCGAGTGGGGGTCAATATCACTTCTGCTATATGCTCAGTCCAGCAAAGTCAAGAAGATTTGCTGCCTTTGTGGTCGGATGTATGTCTGTCCTAGCATGGTGGATAGTGACGTGAGTTTGACAGCGTGTGAATCTGTCGATCTTGGATTTCCTGATGATCATTGCAGATCTTCCGGTATCTCGCTTGTCACTGCCTCCCTTGCGGGAATTGTGAATTTCTGGCATCCAGAGTATGCGGCCTCTCAATGGCATATATATCTGATTTATATTGCCATAGCTCTGCTGACATGTGAGTATCACAGCCCGAGATAAGCACTTGGGGGGTATCTGACATGTGTTAGTGATCCCGATATTCGTGGCTCCAAGCAAAATCCACTGGACAGTTCAGACGGCTCTTTTCTTATCCCTCACGGGCATGGTCCTGGTTTTTATCATCACACTTTCCATGTGCAGGCAAAAGCAACCAGCTTCATTCCTGTTACAATCTGGATATGGGATATCTGGCTGGAATGACGGTACCGCATGGATGTTGGGAGTCATGAATGCAATGTATGCCATCACAGGGACTGATGCGGGTGCGTGGATCTGTGAGTTCACCTGTCGCCATTTACTGACCTAAACTTCAGCTATTCATATCAGCGAAGAACTGCCCCAGCCTGGGAAACGTGTTCCCCAGGCTATGATAATGAGTGTATTTCTGAGTCTCGCCACATGTTTACCTCTGTTTATTGCCTTGATGTTCTGCATGTCCGATATGAATGCTGTGGTGAGCTCGGCGCTTCCAAGCATGGAGTTGGTCTATCAGGCGTAAGTGTGCTCTTGCCGTTCATACAATGTTTGCTCATCACTTTATGCAGGACCCAGAGTAAAGGTCTTACCACCTTCTTGTCAGTGTGGCTAATGGTTGTCTATGCCGGTCAGCACATATCAACATGACCACTGTGCCATCTGGAGGTGACTGACGAATGATAGCCTCCATTCCATCTCAATGGGTGACAAGCAGTAGAATTGCATGGGCACTGGCACGCGATGTAAGCCTCATTCATACTCATCCGAAGCCTCAAGCTTACCAGGGCAGATTGACTCCCCATCCGCACAATATCTCGCTCAAGTAGACCCCAAACTCAAGTTTCCTGTCCGAGCGACCATGGCCACATTCATCTTCATCGCCGTATATAGCCTGCTATACCTTGTTTCCTCCGGCGCATTCAACATGATCACCAACTGCGCAGTTCTCTTTCTCAATATTACTTATGTGGTACCGCAGGGTTTAATCTTGACCTCAGGAAGGTCGGAGGCGCTTCCACATCGATATGTCAACCTCGGTCTCCTGGGCTATTTCTGCAACGCTTTTGTCGTTTTGTGGATTGTAGTTCTGGGGGTGTTTGTCTGTCTGCCGCTTGCGCTACCGGTAGAAGCGGAGGTGATGAACTATACATCGGTTGTGCTCGTGGGGCTGTTTGCCCTTGTGATCCTGTTGTGGTATCGACTGGGCAGACGAGCATTCCAGGGTCCTCAGATTGACTGGGAAATGATTCAAACTGTAAATGCTGTTACCAAGTGAGAATATTGTCAGCTTCTAGAATAGCATGATAGACAACGGCCGATGAAGTCAAGACAATGTAAGTCGGTACCCAACGCGACACTGCGACGGAATTTACTCACTTCTGTGCTTTCAAACTGAGCACACGGATTGAAAGACGCGTACAATCGAATCGATTTGATTTCATATCACCATGAGAGACGTGCTAACATTCCTTCCCATATCAGTTTCTAGTCTGCATGACAATCAGCTGCGCTGAGACAGACCTGTCGATAGAGATCTGTGTCACATACCTTGTTCGAACATGTCATTATATGAGCGGATGTAACAACGATGAGGCCGTGAGGTTAATGGCAGGTGTAGAAACCGAGCAAGCCTCAGGCAATCTCCGGCTGCCCCTCCCATTCTGTACGACGCGTACCCTCCTCACCATATACCTTCCATCAATCCTTATTTCTCTTCTCGCAATCAAGCTACACCCCCTCACTCTTCCCGCCACCATCTCGCCTATCCCATCCATCACGCACACCCCCATTAAATCAATCTACCCAACCACAACCCCAACAATGGCCAACCTCAACCTCACCCTCCCCGCCACCTGCCCAGCCCTGCACCAAGGCGACGACACCAACTGGTCCAACGCCTCCTTCGCCCTCTACACCCTCGTAACCCTTACCCCCTCCGACCTCGACACCCTCACAACCACCCTAAGCCACGAATGGAAACAAACAACGACCTCCGGCGCCACATCTCTCGTCCGCACCCCACCACTCCACAACTACGCCGGCCAAAACCTCCAAGCCATCGTGCAAGCGCACATCGAACTGGACAAGGAATTCGTGCCGCGGGAGGATGGTTCCCAGCGGGGCGATCTCCATTGGTTCCCGACGGCGTTTCTGGTGGTGACGAGTCGGGAGTGGAAGGAAAGGGGATTGTTGTTTGTGTATGTGGATACGGGGCTGGAGAACTGTCCGTTGGAGAGGTTTTGGTTTGCGGTGGACGATGCGTATGGGATGTTGGTGGGGTTGAGGGTGGGGGAGGTTACGCCTGCGCGGTGTAGGGAGTTTTTTGATTTGGAGGTGAAGGGGGAGATTGGGGGGGAAAGAGTAGGGGGGAAGGTGGGTTTGAGTTGACGATCTTGGCTTCCTTGCCTATGTGATGTGGCTATTTTGTAGAGTTCTAGCCCATGTTGATCAGTTGCAATGGTTTTGGAGGTCAGCCACAATGCCTGATTTGGGTTTGCGATGTAGTGCTAAATTAGTGGCTTGTCCTTCATCAAATGGGGCTGTGGTTTAGTGGTATAATATTCCCTTAGCATGGGAGAGGTCCGGGGTTCGATTCCCCGCAGCTCCATTTTTTGTCTTTTTCTCTCCTTCCGGGTATCTCATTGGGCCCGAGAAGAAGTTCTTTGAACTGTTTTTTATAACCCTGTTGCATGGAGGCTTGGTGGTGGAATATCTTGCCTTATTGAGGAAGTGCCGTCAATCAGTGGATGTCGGTGTTTCAGTGTGAAAATGAAATGTGTCGACTTTCACAAGTTGTGGATATATATTTGGTGAGACGAATTTATCTCCAGCACATCCGGTATGTTCATCCAATGCGCTGTCCTGTTGTGGGATATTAGTACTTGGTGTTATATATAGGACAACCCACACCGGTAAGAGACATGAAGTCATCAAATCACCAATGCCACAGCCATACCGATAGTATCCTCACTGCCTTCGGCGAACCGCACCCTACCTCATCCAAAACCCAGGCATTTATGACTCCCACTCCTCGATAATCCTCTAATCCCGAATATGCTCCGTTATCATCGAGACTGTAGGGATCCGATACTTCCGGTGTGCCGCTCTGATGAACATAGGGATGCAGAAACAAGCTTTACCAGCCGTCAAGTCCCGGCCTAGTGGGTCACCTCATGGACTCGGCATCGCGCAACAGGGATCAGACGTGTATAGATAGGCTAAAGATAACTTGGGGTTCTGCTTTGTCTCAGTTCCGCTGGGATCGGCAGGTCGTAAGCAGGATGCGAGCTGGTTTTGGTGGGCCGCAGCTGCTCGAGGGTGGATCAACCGATACGTCATGCAGATGACACACGTCGTTGTTCGATGTTCAACGCTCAATGCCCGGGGGGGGGGGGGGGGATCTGTACCCTCTGACTACGAGATAGGGGGTCCCTATAGGATGTAGTGGTTTCAGTTGATCTATCACTGGCTCGAGATTTGCGGATTGTACATATTTAACTATCGAAATTCACTGTAATCAACACAATGACTGTACCTGTCGAGGATAATTTCGATTTCATCGTCGTTGGTGGTATGTCTGGATTCGAATCACAATATCTTCTATCTGACATTATCCAGGCGGCACTGCCGGTAATGTGGTTGCCGGTCGGCTGGCAGAGAACCCCGAGGTAAAAGTGCTGGTCATTGAAGCAGGTGTCAGGTGAGTCAAGTCCTCGTCAACCACATGTGACATGCTGACTGTCACAGCAACCCGGGCGAGATCTCAGAAATCTCCACGCCAGCGTCTGCCTTTGGGCTGCGTGACAGCCAGTATGACTGGGCCTATAAGTCGACTCTCATCAACAAACCGTACTATGAACGCGTTGAGAAGCCCAACACCCGCGGCAAAGTCCTCGGAGGTAGTAGCTCTTTGAACTACTATACCTGGATCAGGGGAAGCAAGGGGACCTTCGATGCGTGGTCTGAGTATGGAGGTCCTGCCTGGACGTGGGATGAGTGTAAAGAGTATTTCGATAAGGCAAGTAATCCACCACAGAAATATGGAAGGGAGCGCCAACTAACGCTGCACTAGCCTGCTTCTTACCATGACGATGACAACCTTTATCCCTCAGAGCTGTCCAAAATAGGCCGCAATGGCCCTCTTCATGTGTCCCATGCGGACCTTGTTCCTGAACTGCATACCTTCCGTGATGCCCTTTCTGCAGCGTGGACGAGCAAAGGCCAGAAGATCAATGAGGACATCTACTCCGGAAAGATGGAGGGCCTCACACACTGTGTCAACAGCATCTACAACGGTGTGAGGTCGACCAGCGCTTCCTACCTAACAGACAAGAAAAACGTGACGATCCTTAGCTCCACAATTAGCAAGATGATCAATTTCGACGGCGACAAAGCAACAAGTGTCACTGTCCTCACCGCCGATGGCTCCGAGGCAACAATCACAGCCAAGCATGAGATCATCATTTCGTGCGGTGTTTTCGAGACTCCGAAGCTTCTGATGCTCTCGGGCATTGGCCCAAAAGATGAATTAGCTCGTCATGGCATTAACCCAGTCCAACACTCCGAGCACGTTGGTCAGAATCTTGTCGACCATCCTATCCTTGCTCATGTCTTCCGACTCAAAGATGGCACTGGTCTCGACAGCCATCTTCTCCACGCCGGTGCCGCCCACAGCGCAGCTGTGCAAAAATATCGCACTAGCAAAAAGGGCCCCTTCAGCAGTGGGTTACTGGAAATGATAGGCCTGCCGCGGATTGACAGCCGCTTAGAACGATACAAGGAATATCGCGAGGCAAAGGCTCAGAATGGTGGTTTGGATCCATTCGGACCTGAAGGGCAGCCGCATTTCGAGATTGATTTCGTGGTATGTCATCTGTCCTGACACTTGCACTCACCAGCACATCAATAAAGAACAGTCCAGCTGATAAACATGTAGCCAATGTTCTCAGACGCCTTCCAATGGCACTTCCCCGTCCCCACCGAGGGCGACTGGCTGACCGTCATCGTTGATCTTCTCCGTCCGCTGTCCAAGAACGGGGAAGTGAAGCTCAACTCGACCGATCCTCATCAGCAGCCATACATTAACTTGAACTTCTTTTCGAACGAGCTCGACATCCTGGCATTGCGAGAGGGCGTCCGCTTCATCGACGACATCCTCATGACCGGTGACGGGATGAAGGATATCATCGGCGAAGACTACCCTTGGCCGATGCCTCGGCACTCAGATGAAGCCATGAACAGAGCGATTCTGGAGAGATCGCAGATCGGATACCGTAGGTTTTCCTTTTCCTGCTTTATCGCGCAGGGCGACTAATGCACGCATCATAGACCCCTGCGGCACGGCCCGCCTGGCTAAGGATATTAATCAAGGTGTCGTCGACCCGGAGCTTCGTGTCCATGGGGTAAAGAACCTTCGTGTCATAGATGCGTCGATCATTCCTGTTATTCCTGATTGTCGGATTCAAAATGCTGTGTATATGATTGGAGAAAAGGTGAGATGGTTGACCCGAACTTTACATGGATATCGAACACTAACCTATACCTGGTGGCTAGTGCGCGGATGCAATCAAGGCGGCTTATCCGTCCCTCTATCAAGCTTAATCCTGGTCTGTATCGGCGATTGGCTATCTTACAGAGCATAATACGATTCTTGACGAGCCAAGTTTGTGTTGCTTTGTACTCTGCGTCATAATGATTATCAGTTCTCAAGGCGAGCTTACACTCGTCTAATAAACTAATGCCTAGATGGGGGTGTCATGTGGGTGCGGGCTCGAAAGTGAGACAGACTACAAGTGAACTTGTGGTATAAACTTGGTTCTATTAGATACGGACTCGAAAGGCCCGATAAAAGGATAATCATATGCACGTGCATTCCCTCCCAGTATTCCATTTATGGTAATCTCTCGAGGACGTCCAGAATTGGACATTCATAAGGCTTCGGTAGACCAGTGCTACAGTTCGGAGCAGCCAAGGGCCAGAACGCCGTTCTGTTTTCTCGTTAGACAAACCTTCCCTTCGAAGAGAGAAACATACCAATAGGTTGGCCTCAGTGCAGCACTTAGGGGCCGACGTGCAGCTGTTGCTGTAGGGAGAGCCTATTGGTCCGCATTAGTATTCGGTGTCTGTGCTATCAGGTCCATATTCAACATACAGTCAAGACCGACGGAGCCGACGACGCTGGCAGCATTGATACCCAGGGTCGCGAGTAGAGGGTCGACAGTAGAGTCAAGAGGGGTGGTCAAGGAGCCACAGCACAAAAGCGAACCAACGCAATCAGAGGATGTGCCTCTCTGAGCGACGGGAACGGCAGAAGCAATGGCGGTACTGGCGATAGCCAGGATAGAGACAGCGGTGGTGAACTGCATTGTGGCGATTTAGGTGCAAGAATAAAAGAGATTGATTCTGTGATGAAAGGAATTGAACTTCTTTGTCTGAGCCTGGCGTTGCTGCTTGATGTTGGATAGACCACAGGAGGGATTCGAGCGTCCTATATATACTCGAGGATAAGGCAGTTTCCAACGATCGAGCGTCGTGGATCGTCACCAAGCCCATCGAGTGAATTGGTCAGTCCCATAGTTAATCCCCAATCAGACGTATGATGGTTATCTCGCTCCCCTTCCTTCGATGCTTTCGGTCGAGAAGGGTCGATAGTAGAAGCCTCAAAAGCGAGTCGGACACATTCTGGATGGATCAATTGATCTGCAAATCGGCTGTGGCGGTATAAGGATGGATGTCGGTCCCATGGAACAGAAACAAAAAGGTAACAGTCAAAGTCTCCAAGGACGACTGATGAGTCCAAAGCCATGGGTCGTAGTGTCTTGGATCTTCCAGGTACCGATGCAAGCGAGGGACCCCTGTGGGGAAACCGACCGATCATTACCCAGTTCCGGGGAAGATTCTGCATGTAGTGAAGAGCCAAAGTCCGATAGTTTGGAAACTGGGGCTAAATCAAGTACAGTGCGCCTGTCAAGCAACACGGCCTTATCAGTCGAACCAAAGACAAGATCGATATGGTGGCGAATCAGAAACGTTGTTGGCCATCTCGGGAACTCTAGGAATGCAAAATAGCCGGACGGAAGAAGGGAGAGCGAGATATGGAACCATCTAATTTTGGGTCCCTGAAAGTCTGGTCTTGCATCTGCACCGCATCCAGGCTATGCCAGTAGAAGGGCCGTTACTCAGCTAGAGAAATTTGGATGAATGCACTGTTGACGATTGCCGGCCGGCCAAACGGATGTGAATGGTCACCACCGTGGACAGCGTCATCCTGCGGTTCATGTTCAACCCAGGGTTCACCAAGTATACCTCCTCTAATGGGTCCCTCAGGTCGGCCGCTTTCAACCTTGCTGCTGAAGGAACTGATAGAAGATCATTTACGTAAAGCCATACTGGATGTCGTTCCAAGCGCTCTGATGACCGATCTCATTGACATGGCCCGACTGGATTAAGCTTCGCGTTAGATCAGATTTTGATCGGCCTCCGGCAGAGTACAGACAAATGACTGGCGTATCTTCCTGGGGCCAAGCAGCTATCCCGATTTATTGGCCGGCAGTGCGCATGAGACTCGGGGCTCATTCGGAGGTGTCCTATCTATTGTCGATCATTCGGATGATTTGTCCACTCGGGGGCACAGGAGAGATAAGAGATGACTGTGATCGAATGGTAAGACAGAAGACATCGCTGGGGATCGACTATCAGGATGGATTTACCGAGGCTAAGACCAAGGCAGCCATGAGAGGAGGCGAGAAAAGAACCATGGACGATGCAGGTCGTGCATAACAGTTTGTACGGAATACCTTGACTAAGCCGAGATATGATGGCTGCATATTTTCACGTGATTATCAAGACCATGTGGCGGTGCAGTGCCAAGCGGGTGCGCCACACCGCTCGCGACACAAAAATGCAAAGTTGAAAGTTGAAGCCCAAGTCGGTTAATATCCGCCGTCTGCGATACCCCCTCCAGCTCCTCCCCAGACTCTCCCCCGCTGGGCATTCTCTTCCTCTCTTTCCTTTCTATCTTTCCCGAGGGCTGTCCCTGTTTTTCAGACATCATGGCTCCCTTCTCCATCGCAGACATCGTCGCCGCTCTGCCGGCCGAGGACACCTGGGGCCCCGCTACCTCCGGCGACAACATGCTGGAGGGCGTCCCCTACGCCCCCTTCTCCAAGGGTGACAAGCTGGGTCGCATGGCTGACTGGACTGCCGAGTCCAAGGACGCCAACCGTGGTGGTCGCCAGGCCTACAACCGCAACTACAGAGGTACCCTATCACCCCCAAGCCTAGACCAGCCAAGCCAAGACAAAGCAAGCTAACTTTTCCCTTCTCTACAGACCAGCAAGTCTACGGTGCCGGTTCCTCCAGCCTCTTCGCCGTCCAGGTCGCTGAAGACGAGTCTTCCTTCTCCGTCGTCGACAACACTCGCAGCTCCACCAAGCGTGGCTTCGGCCGCGGCGGTGGTACCGTCTTCCGTGGCCGCGCCCAGCGCGGCGGCGCTCAGCGTGGTGGTCGCGCTGGCTTCCAGCGTGTGGGTGCTGGCCGTGGTGGCCAGGGTGGTGACCGCTACTACGACAACCGTGCTGGCCGCAGCAACCGTGGCCGTCGCTTCGGCTGGAAGGATTACGACAAGCCCCAGCGCACCCGCGAGCCCTCCGTCAACGTCCGCCCCGACTGGACCATGCTGGAGGAGGTTGACTTCAGCCGTCTGTCCAAGCTGAACCTCGAGGCCCCCGAGGGCGAGGACGTCGACTCGTACGGTTTCATGTACCACTACGACCGCTCCTACGACAAGGCCCCTGTCAAGAACGCCGAGCGCAGACTCCAGTCCCTCGACCGTGCCGCTTACAACGTCACCACCTCCCAGGATCCCGTCATCCAGGAACTCGCCGAGAAGAACGAGGCTACCGTCTTCGCCACCTCGGACATCCTGTCCATGCTCATGTGCGCCCCCCGCAGTGTCTACTCCTGGGACATTGTCATCGTCCACCAGGGCAACAAGATCTACTTCGATAAGCGCGAGGGCGCCTCCCTGGACCTCGTCACCGTTAACGAGAACGCCGCCGACGCCCCCATGGAGCTGGCCGACTCCTCCAACAAGCAGGAAACCATCAACACCCCCAGCGCCCTGGCCATGGAAGCCACCTTCATCAACCACAACTTCGCCCTGCAGACCGTCGTCGAGTCTGAGGACAGCAAGGTCGACCTGGCCCACCCCAACCCCTTCTACAACGCCGCCGAGGAGTCCGAGCCCCTGGCCTCCAAGGGCTACAAGTACCGCCGTTTCGACCTCTCCCTCGAGCGCGATGAGGAGCCCGTCAACATGATCGTCCGTACCGAGATCGACGCCCTGATGAAGAACCCCGTCAACGGCGAGGACCAGCAGCTGGTGATCAAGGCCCTGAACGAGTTCGACAGCAAGGCCCAGGGCTCCGGCGGCGCCCTCGACTGGCGCAGCAAGCTCTGGTCTCAGCGTGGTGCCGTCGTCGCCACCGAGATGAAGAACAACAGCGTCAAGCTCGCCCGCTGGACCACCCAGGCCATCCTCGCCAAGGCCGACGCCATGAAGCTGGGTTTCGTCTCCCGTGCCAACCCCCGCTCCGCCGCCGGCCACGTCGTCCTCGGCGTCATCGGCTACAAGCCCCGCGATCTGGCTGCCCAGATGAACCTGAACCTCAGCACCGGTTGGGGTATCGTGCGTACTATCGTCGACCGTATCCGTGCCCTCGATGCCGATGAGGAAGAGGACAAGGTCACCAAGTACGTCCTCATCAAGGACCCCAACCGCCCTGTCCTCCGTCTGTACAGCGTGCCCCCTACCACCTTCGATGAGGATGAGGAGGCCGCCGCTGCCGAGGAGCAGGAGGGTGCTGAGGAGGAGACTGAGGAGTAAACGGGATGATGCAAAATATTTTCATGTGCATATTGATTGTTTTGAAAAGTTAGTTAACGAACGTACGTCTCCGTATCTCATAGCATAGAGTATTTGGTCCATGGCTTTCTTAATTTCTTTCCATAATAGCAACCCGATTATCTTATTTCATGACACATGATGCAATAATTCAAGGTAGCATAGATAGACATCGTACTTTCACAGAGACATAGACTAGACATACATAACCTGAAAGCGAATGCACCAACCCATCTCTTTACTCGACAACCTCCAACTTCACCTCCCTCTCCACCCCAAACACCCCCCTCCACTCCTCCCACAACCGTCTCAACTCCTTAATATACAACCCATGCAACTCCTCCACATACTCCTCATCCTGCTTCCACCGAGACTCCTTCACTCGAATCGGCCTCCCAACGACAACATGTACCGGTTTACGAAACGGGATCGTCAACCCGAATCTCCCCACAATCATTCTCAGATTCCGTCCCGTGAGGAAATTCCACATGCGCGGGATCATACCTGCCCATGGGCGGTCCTCTGAGTTCGCGTCGACGATATCGAAGAGGTCGTTTTCTCCGAAGGCGAGGACAGGGACGAGATCTGCGCCGGTTTGGATGGCGACGCGGATGAAGCCGCGGCGGATGTTGAGGACGAGGTCGAGCGTTTGGGGTTTCGCGAGCCGAGCTTCTCGGGCTCCGCCGATGCAGATGGTGATGGATCGGCCTTGGCCTTGGCCGTCGTGGCCCGAACGGCTCAGGTGGTTTATGCAGGAGGTGCGACTGACGCCGTTGATGCCGAGGGAGAGGACGTATTCGCGGAGGAGCGGCGCATGGAAGAACTTGTCGGTGGTGAGGAGAGTGTTTGTGATTCCTGGGAAGAGTGAGGAGAAGCCGGTGCCGTTGGCGGCGAAGGAGCCGACTGCGCCGCGAATGGAGACGCCGTGGGGGTGGTAACCGAAGATGTACTTGCGGCGAGGCGAGAGGGAGCAGCTGCGGTAGAGACGAATGGGGAAGTAGGAGGCGAACATGGTCCAGAATGAGCTGTTCCGGAAGGTGTCGTTGCGGAGCCAGGAAGAGCCGGATTTGTGAGCTTTGCTGATGTACTTGATGTAGATGAGGTAGATGAGGATGGGAAGTCGGAAGCGGGGGAGGATGAGGAGACAGTAGCCTAGGATAGGAAGAAACCAGGTGGTGTTGGTCGATATGGCGACGATGAAGAATTCGAGCATGCGTTGTAGGTAGGCGGCACTGGTGGTAATGTTAGCCAAGAGGATTTCTATATCAGGATGCTAACAAGGCATCAGGCATACCCTGGGACTGTTTTGTCGGACTGGGGAAGCCGGATGGTCTCGAGGATGTCTCCCGATGCATTTTTGATACTCTGGAATTTGCCCTTGGAAGGGAGATCAATGTCGTCAACGCCTGGGATAGGCAAGGCCATCTTGGTTGGATTGTGAACCAGCCCAGCGATCTTCGCAGCTCCTACAACACGGCCTTCCTTTTTGCGACACAGAATAGACAGCTCTGCTGCCTTAGCCTGGTAGGACGGATTTCCGACGACCTTAAGAAGTGCATCGGCTAACTCGCGAGCATCCACGCCCGGCGCAGCTGATTTATTTGCATAGACGCCAATGCCGAACGATTCAGTGCGGACTGCATTTTCGTAACAGTCTTGCCAGCCGGGGAGAACAACATGAGGCACTCCATTTCTGTGTCATTAGTTCAGCCCTTTCATAATTGGGGTTGGTAAAGTAGGACTCACTGTATAGCTTCGTACCATGAATTGGCACCACCATGATGCACGGTACAGATGATCTGACCCGTCTGAAGCATAGCTAAAGGCTCTACCTCAAACCAGGACTGGACCCGGACCCTATCTGCTTCGATCTCCACTCTTAGTAGATCTAGTACCTCCTCATAAACGTGATCACAGTCCAGATGATGCTTTGGCAGCTTCCATAGTACTTGAAGCTGAGAATCGCCCGACCACGAATCCAGAAGCGTCTTCAAAGCTGTCCCGATATTCATTGCGTCACGCGGATCCGGTGTGGCCAGTGTTCCTAGGTTGACAAGAACGGTAGGCGCATTGTGCAGCCACCGATCGAGCTCTGGATCATGTGCTTTAACAGAAGTCACTGGGAGTAGGATGGGTCCGCATGGGAGTACATTCTCCGGCACCTCAAAGGGCCAGTCGAGCTCCTTCAACCCCGGCGCCAAGTGAAATCTATCAGGCCGCCATGCATCTGCAAAAGCGAACCGGCCCTGGATATGATGCTTTATCCTCCAATCGCGAATCTCGCGTTGCCGGTTGCTGCTGCGGTACATCTTCGCGGCTTTGATGACGGCCATTGCGTTGGCTGGGATGCGGTGCCAGGGAAGTGGGTAGGGGAAGTCGGTTCCAGGCCTAGTCATCGTTAGCATCAGTCGTCTGGGGGATTCAGTAGGGTATGGTCCGCATAGGGGCTCACATTGGGAACTTCCAAGCCCATGCGGCGTTAGGCTGCAGCCCGTATACCACATGAGACAGCGATGTGGTATACAACACAATAGCTGCATGACCGGCGTTGTACGCGGCATCTCGCCCCTGAGGAAAGAACCAATCCACGATTACCGTCGACGGGTCAACGCCATGGATGATCTCCAGGCAGCTATTATACACCTGCATGTAGTCCTCCTCATTCCACGCCCAGAGCTCCTCAAAGAGCGATTTGAAGCCTAACAAAGCACCTTTGTACCCAGGCGGATGGCATACAGATCGTTTGCCCGTGCGCGCGAAGGCCTCGCTATTTGAAGGACCCCGAATGGGGTGAAAGTGAACACGCGAACGGTAGGTCGCATCATAGCTTGAAGCGTTGTCCTCAAGTAGCTTCTCGAGTCGCGGTTCTAGATTAGGGAAGGACCCGATATGCACGTCGATATCGCCTCGGATGAGCAGTTCATGTGTCAGCGCAAGAATGATATTTGTCTGTCCGTGTTCGCTGTTCGCCAGGAAGAGTACGCGGGGCAGTGGTGGCGGAGATGGCTTTGTTTTCTTTCGTGAGCTGCGTCGGCGCAGCACTGAGGACTGTCTCTTTGCCTGCTTGGTTTTCATGGCGAGTCAGTACGATGGACTATATCCTGCATGCAGGTCAACTGCACGTTGCACTGGTTGTGCTACATGGCGGTCAAGGGTAGATATATAAGACTTGCCAATCAAGGGGTCATTAAAGGGAGGAATGCCCGGGGGGTCAAGGCCCAAGGGATGCTGAAGGGATGTCCATTTAAAGTTGAGACAGCCATCCGCTTTGGTAATAGTATGTGGCTTGCGAGGGCTTGCGCTTGATGAATCTTTTCGGAACAACCTTGTTCACTTCAGATTAATAGTCTATGACTGGATGCAAGACAGAAGAAGATGGGAGCCAGCCAGCCGGCCAACGCCAACCCGTATCGACCACACGCCGGCAGGTGACTTGATAGGAATGACCGTCAGATCAGATCAGATCTGCCCCAGTCTCGTCGATACTTTATAAAAGGACTACTACTAGTCAGTGACTGCCAGGAACCAAACCAATCAAGCCCACCAAGAGGTTAGTCATCGCGCTAGTCCCTCCCTAGCCGTTATGCCTTCCGTCACTTACCCACTCGCTATCCATCCGACGATCCATTCCAACGATCCGTCCATCCTCTGCGCCCTCGCAGCCATCCCATTGTTCCAATCACCCCCCACAACCAATTCTCACGCGCAAGTCAGAACCATCTGAACTGCCCCAATGCCGGATACTCACCGCCCCAAGTCCCGCCCTACGGCATCCTGTCTCCCCTGTCGCACCCGGAAAGTCAAAGTAAGTCTGATATCTCCATCCCCAATCCCGCCCGAGCGAGTTACCAACAGAACCACCACAGTGTAATCGCCTCACCCCCTGCGAGGCCTGCGTGGCGCGGAACGTCACCCACGAATGTAAATATGCCGTGCCGGACGAGGACCGTCACGCCATTGCGCAGGCGGAATTGATTGCCGATCTGCGGGCCAAGGTCAATCGCTTGCGGAGCCAGTTGGTACAGGGCCAGCAGCGGGGCCGGGTGCACGAATTAGATCTGGAGGGGGAAGTGGTGGAAGACGAAGAAGTGGAGGATGGATTGGCGGACTTGGAGGCTGTGTATGCGGTGCTTCGGGGAGGGTCGTGGGAGTCGGCGCAGCAGGTGATTACGAGGATTCGGGCGGGGCAGCCCATAGGGGAGATTACGAGGGAGGTTTACTGAAGCGAAGGGGTTCGTCAGGGCTCAAGTGTATATAGTTTGGCATATTGCCATCAGGGAACTCGACTGGATCGGATTCATGAACGGACATCTCGTGGTCTCACATCTCTAAGTCGTACAATAGATTAGGTTCCGTGATATAGGGGGTCTATCCCTCACGGCCACAAGCATGTGTGGTGGTAAATCATGACAGCAGAAAAGACATGCATCGAAAAGGAAAAGGAAAAAAAAAAAAAAACACATCAACAAAGCTAGACGGCCAGTCGCTGTCTGGCGGTTAGATCCCAAAGAAAACCGTTGCTCCCAGAGCTTTTATTTACACCTCGCCAGGACCCGCATCCAAAACACAATAAATCGCTCAAAACTCCGCCGCCAACCAGCTCACGAATACATCATCTCATCTCCCGCGTGCGACAGGCCGCGATCGACCTTGGACCCGAGCACACTACTCAGGCAGTCCATCAGCTCGAAGTCTTCCACCACGGCCCCGAACCCGTAGCAGCGGACTTTGGTGTTGAGGGTCTCGATGATGATCTTGATATCGTCCCGGGTCAGGTTGCGGTACAGCTCGTGGTTTTTGAGGCACTGAAGCGCCATGATGGGCGTGATCTGTCCTTCAGTGACCAGCTGTCGGCTGAGGTTGAGAAGCGTCGTAAGGTTGGCGTGAGGCAGGTCGTATGTCTTGTGCGGGTACACTTGCTCGTTCGTTGTCGTGGCAATATATGTGGGCGGCGGACATGTCGCCATCAGGGCATGGCCTGAGAAAGGCATATCCTCGTCGTCAGCTTCGGTGATCGACCGGCGACAGAGATAGTCCGTGTGCTCGCGACATGGCGATTCCAATCTATGCACAGTTAGCTCCATCGTCCCACTTCGGGGAAATATGCGGGCAAGCTTACGTTAAGATAAAGTCAATCTGCAGCTGGGGCTGCTCCTCAAAGATACCAGGAGGTTGGACCGGCGCCCGGCTTGCCGGAGCTATCTGGTCTAGCGTGGCCAACGCGTCGCACGGAGCGGCCTGGTACGGCCCTTGCAGTGGTGTCAACTCCTGCATCGGTGAAACATCGATATTCTCGATGCCATTGGTGATAGGACTCAAACTCGCGGAGACTGTCGTAGGTGGCGTCGTGTACATGTTGCTATTCGAGGGATTGGAGGGAGCAACACCTGTAGGTTGTGATCCGACACTACTGCTTGCAAACGGGCTTGACTGATATCCCAGATTCGGTCGCTCAGCTTTGCGGCGTTCGAGATCGGCCTCAAAGTTAATGCCATGAGCCGTAAGGATCTCTTTCAGTATGCTGTTCTCGTCCGACAGTGATTGCACCATATCCCGGTGTTGAACAACGGTTAGGTTGGCGGCCGAGATTTCCTGAGTGTATGCCTCCCGTAACCGTGACACCTCCGTTTCCAACGCCCGTATATATTGTTCCTTGCGCTCGCGATGGGTTCTAGGTGACAGTTGGTATCCGCTACCGACCACGGCAAGAGTACAGAGAGGGAGTGGTCACGTACCTCTGGGCCTGGCGATTCAATTCTTGCCGTCTGGTAAGGGCCGGTTTGCTATCTGGTTTGGGGCCGCGTCGTTTGGCCGGTTGGCCATCTAGAATGGACTCGGTTACAACGAGTGCGGAGAACATCGAACACAAGGTATCACAAACCTCGAGTAACCTTCTTCTGCGTCCCACTAAAGAATTTGAAAAAGTCGGCTCCCAGGGTCGAAGGTCTGGAACCGGATTGACCTGCAAGCAGCGTGTCAGAGGCGAGCAATCCACCAGTTTCCAAAGCCAGCAAGGCAGCACCACCGCAAGCGATAAAAATCACGATGCATCAAAAAACGCATGTACACCACGTCTTACAACATCCGGCAGTGCAAGCGACAAAGCGACCCATGGTATGTGAGGCCATCCACACCCGGCACTCTTTGTCCAACCCAAGCCAGGGTTTCCAGGAAAAAGGTAATCGACCGTCTCACAAAGGTATACGAGAAGCATTGTGGAGTAGCCAAGTCCAAACGGCGTCGTGAACTTACTTTGCATAGCCTCTGGTGGCAATGTCTGTCGATTGGCCGCACTCACGTCCAACGGCATGGGCCCCCCGTTCATTGAAGTCATGATGGGCTTGTTGATGAAGCACGAGGGAATTAGGAAGAAATGCGACCGGCGCGTTGACAGTAGTAGAAGGGCGGCAGACGGGCCAGGAGCGGAGGATAAGCGGAGACGAGGAAGAGCGCCGAGGGACGGACTAGACGGTGGAACAGACTGGAGGATAAAGGAAGGAGGGAGGCATCAATATCCTAGACCGTTATCAGCCTTAAAATGGACTGCTTGCAGCCAAGTGGATTCCTCCGTCCAAGCGCCCTCACCGTTGAGGTACGATATACGCCCCGGCAGGTCGGATGTTTTCCCCGATGTGCGCGGCCGATGGGGACCAGAGTTGGGGACACCACACGAGCTCTCGACAGGAGGCCGGCGGGGTGGAACGATCAGGCAATATTGACGACCCAAGGTTGGTAAGACCGATAGATAGATAGGTAAAGAGACAGAGAGAGGGACGATAGATTAGTTGGTTACTTGGTTGGTTGGTGGGTGGGTGGGTGGGTGGGTGGGTGGGTAGCGAGTAGACGAGGAGTACGGAGTAGTGGGCGGACGGACGGCGACGGATGTATGTGTGTCAAAAGGGCGAGTTTCAGTCGAGGCTGCTGCAGGCTGAAAGGGGTGGTGGAGGCCAACGAGTGGCCGGTGGCAAGCAGTGGACACCCGCTACTGGGTAGTCAAGTTGATTATGGGGACTGGAGATGACCCAGAAGAATAATCAATATCGAAGGAATCGGAACGAGGCTAAGAGCGTCCGTCCGTAGGCGAGCCGGGCGTTATATCGAGGCATTGGAACGGGGAGACCCTGTCAAGCGGCCCAGGGCCAACCGTCCGGCGGGCAGGGCATTATTGGCTCGTTGCTTCATCCTTTTCTTTCCCCCCGTTCTTCACGGGCCCAGCAGGCCTGGCCTTTGCGCAGGTCGGCCATGCATCCACTAGTCTGTCTGGTCTTACGGGTTAAGCACCGATTAATTGGAATTGCACGCAGTTCAGATCGAGGCGGGTTAGTCGGGGATGGGCTGAACCATTATGGTTTGGAATTAGAGAGTAAAGAAAAAGAAAATAATCCTCATATTAATTATCATAAAAGGGAAGCCAAAAGGGTGGGAGGGGGGTGTGAAGTAGGAGGGTGGATGTGCAGGAGGGAGCGGTCCGGAAGCAAAGACGCGGTTGCGCGATAAGTGAGAGAGGGAGAAGACGACCAGACACTAGACACTAGACAGACCCAACGGGACGTATCATTGGTACCGGGAGCGTACCTTACAGCGTACACATTCCCGGCCCCTCTGGGACTAGCCGATTCTTGTCAGATCTCGCCTCGGCTCTCCCTCTCTTTAATTGACGCTCATCGAGATCCGCCCGTTCTCTTGATATCCAACCCAATCGGAACCGTCGTCCTTACAGAACCCCAAATTACAACCGATGATGCTAGAAGAGAAAGCACCAGGATGGTGGGCAGAATAACTTATAACCAACATGCCAAGGGTTCAGGAGACATAAAAAACCTAAAACGAAAGGGACACAGTGAGAGAAAAAGCATCTGCCCGTGTGGAGAGGGCAAGCCGGGTGTGATCGGCCAGGCATTCAGTCACTGGGCGGTTATTGGCTATTGGTTTTTTCTTTTTTGCCCTCTCGTCGGCGCCCCTCACTTGCACTCCCAAAGCGAATGAGGATCCTCGGTGCCTGGTCAATAATCGTGCTACTCATCATCACTAACCCGCTGCCATCATATACCGTTGGGATCCCAATCGGTAAGTGCGGCCTTGATATCACAGCCTGATCCTGCAAGAAGGGGAGAATGGCGCGCCATTCAGTCAGAACAAAGGGGAAAGGAGAGAGAGAGAGACAGAGACAGAGAGAAGGAAAACAAAATTAAAATAAAATGGTTCAAGAATCTGATCTGTATAGCGCATCTCTCTGGCCCAGTGTTTCGATCGATCGTCCACCCCCAGGCTGTCGTACCAGTCGCTTGTCGCCGGTCGTGGAACGTCAGCCTCTCTTCTCTCTCCTAGTCTCTCAATCGACATCTCAGAAAATGCGGACCCCGTGTGTGTAACATTCCCTGTTCCGCCGGGGCCCAGATAGTAGATACTACATAGGTACGGAGTAGATGGATTCTGAACAGGCCATCCAATCTCGATCTAGCCTTTTTCCTCCCCCGTATTATTCCTGGCCTCTTGCTTCGTGCCCACAAGTCGCTTTTTCGTCTGTCCGGTTCACCTGTCCGTGTTTAACGGGCCCGTCGGCCCCACTGGCCAAAGAGGCCTCGGACTAGTCGCCTGGTCCAGGATAGCGCTGCACGTTATTATTCATTAGTGGCAGGCACAAGAACCTATTGTCCCCAACGCTCCGGCTGAGCTGCGTCATTGGGATAAGCATGCGCAATGTACCGGGCTCTGAGGTGGTCAAGTGGGCGCGGACTCGGTGTGGTACCTACATCCGGAGCGTAGTGGAGGCCTGGATGTAAGTATGTGCAATGTGCATCCTGCTCCTGCTGCGATAGCTAATCACCTGTAAGGGGGGGGGGAAGAAATGCCATCCGAAGCATCGTGATCGTGTCAACCAGTCGCCACTCCGCCGCTCTTTGCCCGGACAGGTAGGTTTAAGCCGTAGATCGAGGCCGGAGTAGCATCATTATCCATCAAAACTGCCGCGGTTTTCCCGCATTAGACCTACAGGCTCTGTGGGCAGGCAGGAGAGGGCACACGCGCCCTGCAACCAAGGTAGTGTAACTGGCCAGGATCCTCCTCTTCGGGGTCTCTTTGCTTTTTTCTCTTTGTCTTCCACCCTTTTGGATCATCGATTTCTGGTCCCCGACTGTCGTCGGCGACGAGTGGGATGGTGCATCGCGACCAACACCGCAGGTGCCAGGTGCTCTGCACGGGCTCTTGGGAGGAATTTCCGGTCATTCAACAACACGTTCGAATCCAGATCATATGCCAAGCGATAGCGAGGGTGATGGCTTCGAACCTTGAAACCTTGGAAGACGGATCTTCCCTTCAATGGTTCGGACCGGACTCTAATAGCCATTATCATCACCGAAGCATGAAACTTCGGCATGTCCACCAGCTCTGTAATTTGTATCCACCATCGCCCCAATCCTTTTGCCTGAAGGTGGACAGGCGGCGACGATCATCAGCAAGATTATGACTAAAAGAGTTAGCTCACCAGCTGACCACGGTCCCAATTGAGATTAAAGGCCGAATCATCGCCGACGAAGCTGCCCCGAGGTAACGGGTCAGATCGAGGGGGGGGGTGAATCTCATGAGAAGTGAGAAGAGGCTGGTGAACTTGATGGAAGAGAGCAAAGGTCCAAGACGGCGCGGAAACTATCGAGGCGGATCGGCGGCCTAAGGCCGCGAGACCACCCAATCGGGAAGGCACCTCAGGCCACCATGACTCGTGATCTTCGGCGGCTCCTCCTATCATGTGCCCGCCTTCAAGGTTCAATCTTTTCTTCTTCCTGCCTCTCAACCATCAAGATCCAACAGCCTGGTGCCTCCCCCCTTCCACCCCCACCCTGCGCCCAGGGAAGGCAGCCTGTCAGGCCTACAGTCAAGCACCGAGACAGGAAGCAAGAGCCCCACCATGTCGGGCCAAGCTCTTTATCAACCGTTCGTCCGATGCCATGCCAGAATCCGAAGTCCTTGTCCACATCTCCGCGCCCAGCACCGTCAGCAATGACGCTCACTATCGGGCTCAGGTCGAGGCCATCCTGGGTTTCGAACCCTTTTCTCATCAGCTTATAACCTTGCGATCAGATGACGGCGATCAAATACCTGATCCCAATCCCGCAGCCGGTAGACGCCTAAGCGCCTCCCCTGGCCAGGAACAGCACAATGCCCGCCCTTGTATATATAAACCATCCAACAACACGACTGCCTCGCCAGTCCCGCGACAAACTCGCTACGACAAGGACTCACTCGGAACACCCCTGAGTGTCATTCCAGATTCACAGCCCGAGCGGCCACCTCCTGACCCCCAGGACTTGCAGGAGATCGAGCCTCCGCGATCAAGCCCTGTTCCTCGCAAATATATATATACAAATGGCACATCTGTCGTGAAACAAACTCGGTTTCATTCCTCTCCGCGAGTGTCTGCAAAATTACACAACAAGGTGTCCTGCCTAGACGAACACCCCGATAATGGCACCCCACCAAATGACGACAAGTTCTTATCACTTCCACCCCCCAGTGCTCACGATGACGACAACTCAGAAAATGACAACTATGACAATGTGCCGCTAACAAGGGACCATGCCTCCCTGCCAATGGAGATCAGACCCCGATCACCTCCAATATCATCAGAGCGCTTCGTAACGCACATTACCCCAACCCTAGCAATGCTAGCCACCCGCCTCAAGTCCCCACGGACATACAATCCTATAAAGCAAACCAGAGCACTGGACAACCTGGAAAGAGGATACTGGTACGTCCGTGTCAACCTGGAGACACCCGGTCCAAACGAGCAACACAAACCAGCAAACCCCACCCCGATGGCCTGGGACATGACATTCTTCACCCGTTTCTGGACCTTCCTATCCGAATTCATCGCCAAGGAACGCCGCGCCGGCTGGGGAGTCTGGTGTATCCTAGAGGATGTCGAAACAATTGCCCAATCCTCCCGTGAGCCTGGTCACATAAAGCCCGTAACACTAAAGGTTTACGCTTGGGGTGAAATAGCTTCACATGTCTACCTACTTTTGTTTCTGGCTAGTGAACGTCGCGTCCGCAAGATGGGGCTTCAATGGCGCGATAGTGCCGAGGAGGTCGTCATTCAGATGCCGTAAGATGAATCATCCTACTTTACTGTCGTAGTGCTTATTCTCTGAATGATATTGTATCTTCAGAGAATCGGAAATACGTATACCTTATCTGCTATAACTGATGATTATATATATATATATATATATAGTCGAAAATTGCACGATAAGAACATAAAAAGAATATGCATAAAATTGATACTAATTGCTTAACACCCAATCGATGTGACACTCAAGAACATAGCACTCTGGCTCTGCCATATCGAATTGGATGGCTTGCAGTGGTTTACCTTGGTTGTACTCCGTAGACAGGCCTCTACGTATACTTCGAGACATCTCACAAGTCAAGGCTAGATAGCGAGGCAACCATGTATCATTTGGCTTGTGTTGGAAATCTCAAGACGAAACTATGGTACAATCTGACGAGGAACGATACTAGAAACGATCAAGGTAAAGAACGAGGGAAACCGCAGCCGAGAGTTTTACGATCCCAAATTGGAAACAAATCACCTTCACCGGAACAGGCGATATTGCGTAAAAGAACAAGGAAAAAGGGGCAATCTCAACCCCCTGTAACCTATCGCTTTCGGATGGATGAGGAGCATGAATAACGGAGATAAGGGAGACCAAAGAAATCGGAAAGAAAAGGAGCAATTTTGGCTCATATACGCAAAAAGAGAATTACAGGCAAAGGAGAATGCATGGCATATGCGGCGGACATCGAGAATGTAACTGGCTTCTGAAATGCAGGAACGACAGACCAGGAAACGCCATTTGCTCAGAGAGAGATTCCGGTTGGTGGATGTCTAATAATTCAGCTCACCACTTCCGGACCCACCCACTGCATCAAGATCCTCATAGCTCTTGAGGCTGCGGCCATGGACGGCTTCGCGCGGGCCCATACCCTGTTGAGCGGAACCGGCATCAACGAAGCCGCTTGCCCCCATCAAGGCGGCGGCAGGGTGGCCAGGGGGGATGTATGGAGGTCCAGAACTGGCGGGCAGACGACCGCCAGACCCATACATGTTGGACATGCCACGGATGGGGCTCAGGCGGCCACTCCCAGTGCCGGAAGTGCCATGCCGATTTCCACGTCGGTCATAGGGTCCCGTCCGGTTGTTGTAACGACCACCACCACGGCGCATGGCACCCGGTTGATGCAAACCAGAGCCATCTGCAGACACCATGCCATTGGCACCCCAGCTTTGGCTGTTGACGCCCATGAACCCGGGTAGTCCAGATCCTGGGACACCTTGGAAGCCTGGAGGCACACTTCCACTACCTCCAAGGTATGCCGGCATTGATGCTAGGCTGAACCCACGCGGTGTGCCAGTTTGGCCTTGGCCAGAGCTAAGGGGGAAATGGCCGTTGCTGTTGGCATCGGACCGCGAAGGTGCGATTCGAGCAGGATCAAGGACGTAGGCGTTGACCAAAGAAAGCTGCGGAACAAATTAGCACGGGTCCCATAGAGCAGGTTTAGGAAGGGGGAAAAAAGCCTTACATCACTGCGGATGTTATCGAACCATTCGGTATGGCGCTTTTCGATGTGCTTACGCCAGAAATGCTCCGCCTTGAACAGCTTTGTGCATTCAGGTACTTTGCAGCGGAACTTTGACTCATCCTCCTGTTTGACATATTTTCCCAGCTCCTCCTCCAGAGCTTCCTCAACGGGCTTACCACCCAGCTTCCCAATATCCACATTATCTGGCTCGAGTATCTGCAAGAGCTTGTCCTCAAATGTTTTGACCCAGTTAAACGCACGCTGAAGCTGTTGTTCCGACTTGGAACTGAAGCGCTGCGGTCGCTTTTCCTCGGCAGCTGCTGGCGCTTCTTCACCCTCCTCACTTGGCTCTTTCTTCTTGACAGGGAATGGCTGTCCGAGAGCGCTGGCTCGGGCCACAGCCTTCGACTGTGTTGTAAGACCAGCCCGCGGCCGACGCAGATGTCCACCGGGACATTTCCGAGCAAGCTCATGCACAGAATCGCTTTCGAAGACACAGAAGAAACAGAAATTGTATACCCTGCGAAGGTATTCCACCATGAGATCCAATTTCTTCTTGTTGGCCAAAAGCTCCTCATCATCGAGTTCGTCATCTTCCCATCCTTCCTGTTCCTCACCCTCTTCCGCTTCTCCCTCATCCATATCATCAGCATCATAGTCGGGTTTCCTCTTCTTGACGCTGACAGGCCCTGTCACAGGCGGTTGAAGCCACCCCTTGCCGCGCAATTCCTCCACTCGTTCTTCAATCTTGGCAAAACCGTCTGCACTGCCTCCCATTTCGGAATCGAGCTTCGACACCAGTCTTCTTGCCAGTTCAAGGTCACGCGAGATGCGCTCTGGAGCAGAGAACAGATCCCACAGGGCCTTTTTGCGGGGTTGAGAAGGCGGTACGTGAACCCCCACGTGGCAGACAAAGTCCCCATGAACAGGATCATGGATTGTCTTGTCGTTGATTGCCTCAAGCGCCTTCTCGGCAGCAGTAACAGTCACTGCTCCGTTGGCCGTGTTGTCATGCTCCATCTCCTCACCCTCTTCTTCTCGCCCGTCTCCTCGCTCGACAACCTCAACATCAGGGGCAGGATGCAGCATAATCCACCCCATCCGATGGTATTTCTTGGAAGGATTGGGATCGCTAAGACTAAGCCACTTAAATCCGCCATCCTGCTCTCCCAGATGCTCCTTACAAAAATCTTCAATCTTGTCACGGCTAACGTTGGGTGCCAAAGTCTTGATCAATAGGGCGGACTGGGAAAGGGCCTCATCGCGCAGATCTCCACCTCTTGCTGGGAGCAAATCCAAGACACCCAAGGTTTCACCAACCGCGGTAGTCTCGCCTTCCTCCTTCTCGATCACTCCGCCTGCACCATCACTCTCACTCTTGTATATGCCTTCAAGGGTGAACTCGTCGAAAAGCCCACTGTCTAAGTCACTCTCCCATTGCTGATAGGCACCCGCTCGAAAATCCATCAGTCGACGACGAAGAGGATCCCTAACATCGGGGACATAACGCTCTCTGAACCATTCCTCATTCCGATGATGTTGGACAAACGCACGGGCCATTTTTGCCTGAAGATCCACCTTGTATGCATCGTAAGCCGCTTGGATCTGTGCTCTTTCTCTTTCCCGGTCTTCACGAGCCTCGCGCTCTCCTTTGACGCGGTCGGATGGACGTCGCCCGCCATGCTTGGCGCGATCTTTTTCTTCTTTGATTGATTGTTCTGCTCGCCACCATTCCGCGAACCAATTGAATCCCACCTGGAAGTCCAAGTTCAGTGGGTTGGGGAGCGGATTGGTGGGAATAGGGCGCTTGACAGAATCTTGTCCAGGGACATAGCGATCAATATTGGCGACATTTGGAGAAGGAGCGCGCCGGCGGTCCTCACGGTCACGCACGGCGTGCTCCCGAGAAGCAGCATAGTAATCGTCTCGCGAAGTACGGCGATCGGAAGGTTCGTAACGATCAATCATAACGGGTGAGCGAGAACGTCCGCGTCCTCGACGTCGATCCTGAGACACTAAAATAATTCCAGTGGTTAGAGATGATCACGCGGCCGGAAGTCTCCAGCAGAGTTGTTTAGGCCTGGGCACTTACCAGGCGATCTGCGACGGTATGAATCCACCGGTGCCCTAGAAGCGTAAGGGTCGCCGCCTCCCTCTCGACTTCTGCCGGGGGACCCGTAACCGTCATATGAATCCATCGGAATAAGGGTATAGCGATTCGCGTGAACTGAAGCTAGTGAGGGCCTTGGCGTTAGGTGGCTTCGGCGCTGTAATCCGAATGAGGGCCGAGGGTCGCGCCCAGGGCGATAGAGACGGTACACGTAAGCTAAGATCCGACATCATCAACATTAGAGCGCGTCCTTCATGATTGAAAGGGTGCCTGATAGGTTGGACGTTGACGGAGCAGGGTTAAGGGGCGAATTGGGCAAGAAGAGGATGCAAACGAAGCTGATTGCCGGCAACCGGCCAAGGAAGATAGACAAGGCATGCTTTTGGATAGAGATGACAAGGGTGAACCCGAAAATCGAGAAGATAAAAAGCAGGGCGCTCGCGAGAGCCAATGAAAGAGGATAGAGAGAGCACAGAGAGAGCACAGAGAAACGGCAGGCAGGCAGGTAGTAGTAGGTAAGCACGGAGGGTCTCGCGGGCCAATAATGGCGCGGCGATGAAAGGAGCGACTCCAAGAGGAGGTAAAGAAAGGGACCAACGAAGCACAAGCGAGGCACGAATCAATGGATTGGATGACAGGGGCTATTCGATTGAAATAGCGACGAGATCGTGGAATGGAAGGGGAAGATGAGAGACGAGGGCGGTGGTGATTGGACTAAACGCGATAAGAGAGAGTATGGCAAGGCAGGCGACCTACAAGAGAAGAAGCCTTAGGAGGATTTGGAATTCCAATGAGATGCGAATTCGAAGACTGAGCACGTCCAATCCGACTGAGGGCAGACGGGACGAGACAGATGAAATCGCAACAAACCCGGACAATAGCGCAGTCACAGGAGGAAAGCTGGAGGGGGGAAGAAGAAGGGAAGAGAGGAGGAGGGAAAGAGAGAGGAGAGAGGAAGAGAGAGAGAGAGAGAGAGAGAGAGAAGAGAGAGGGAGGATTGGAGTGAGGCTGGAGACCCGGAGAAGGCAGTCCGCCGCCACTAAGCCCGACCGGGCATGGCGCCGCGGATTCTCCCTTGGGCGGTCGATCCAGACTATGGGCTATCTATGAGATAGTCCGGAGCACTCCATACCCAGTCCTCTCTAGACTCTGGAGACTCCCACTATTGCTGGATGCCAGTTGGGCACATTGTCCCGCCAGAAAGGAAACATTCCACTTACCGGGCATCGGTGAGTCCTGATCCTCACGGACCTGAGATCCTGTAGTCCAGCACCGAGTAATCCGGGGCAAGTACCGGTGGCAAAGAGGAACGGGGAGCGTTGATTCAGCTGGCCCTCCAAGCTGTGGGCCCAGACGGACCGGTTCGAACGGAAGTGTACGGTGAAGGGTGGACGGTGACACCTTACTTCCAGTGACTGTGCGCTTATTCGCGAGTCTTTCCTATTCCCCTCGTGGTTCTTCACACGACACGGGAATGGCCGCGGCCACATCTATTCTACTCAGTATTCACAACGCAGCTACCGGCTGCAATACCCAGTTACTGCGACAAGGCAATCAAGGCTAGCAGCGGGATCGCGCAGTATGTCTTGGTATTTGTACACGACTAGTAGGGGAATCATCCGTTGAAGACCAAAATAATATATCAAATGAGGCGTCAATGGGGGGCGACAGAGAAAGGAAGCGGGAAACCACAGTGGAGGCCCAGAAACACCACGTTTTTCGGGCCCCAGACCATCCTCGCGGGAACGGACTCCAAGGTGCGCGGTGTCCATGTTGTCTTGCAGCCAATTCGGCATGCAAAACTCAAGGTCTCGTGCCGCAATCGAGTCCACTGAGGCTGCGGGATGGAGACTGGTGTCAGAATATCTCTACTGAGATATGTTACACCCCGTGAAGAGAAGATGGTTCGACAGCATCCCGTCGCTCCCACTGTGCCAGCAGAATTCGCAGCATGAGACTATGGCATGCGTGCATCGTCCGTTGCCACCTTGCAATCCAGGCCCTGTCCCGGCGCCGGTCAACGTCGGGGTTTAATTATACCAGCAATGGGCATCTCTCTAATACCAACCAAGGCCCGAAAGCACGATGCAAAAGCACGGAACCGGATAAGATGGCGGGCTTGTAGGCGAGGGGAAGAATAACACAGTACACAAAAGTTGCCAATGACATTGAAAGCGTTGCCTGTCGTAATTGAATTGACGACAGTGCGTTTAAAGAGGTGACCGCCAGTTGCGAGAACCATGACCTTGGGGGAATTAGAAACCGGGTCATGCAGCATCGACAGTGGGACGAACGTAACAATTCATGAGATTGAGAATCGTGCACCATCCCGAGAAATGAGAAAGAAAAAAGAAAAACGAAAACATAATCATCTCATACATGCAATCCTAACAGGCTGAACATCGTTAGATGAAGTGAGAATAGTAGTAATACTTCGTGCCAGCATAACAATATAAACAGACATAAAAGTTTCAAGTGGATGAAACGAGGTGTTCCCGAGGAAACGGTAGGTGGGAATAACGTCAATAAATACGAGAGAAGATGGGACAGTTGCACATCGCTCGCTGCGAGAGGAAAGGGTAGGGAAGACGGGGTAAAACATTTCCAGACATCCATCCATCGTAAAAAGTAGTTGCGAAGAACAAGTGTTTTAGGAGGCAGCCCAACAGCCAAGTGCCACTCAACCGTCCTCATCAGACAGCTCAGCAGACTCATTTTCACTCTCGTCCGCGCTAGTGCTTGTTTTCGGCGCACTGGTCTTCGTCTTCTTAGACGAGTTGATAGTGTCATCGTTGACATCACTTGATTTCCGTTTCTGTGCAGATGGAGGATTGTCTCCACTTGGCTTCACCGCATTGTTATCAGGAGCCTCATGCCCAGTGGTCACAGAAGTACCCTGCTTCTTCTCCATAGCGGCCACTTCGTCAGCCGTCAAAAATCGCCCGCCAGGACCTCTAGGGCGGCGCATGGCATGATTATGGCGCGATTCATGGAGATATGGTTTACGACCCTTGGACGTGAGTCGCAATTGCTCTTCCAATTTTTGGCGCGCCACTCTTCGCTTCAGAATGCGATGGAACTGCTTCGCATTCACGTATAAGGGCGACTCCTCCGCGGCACCAGCCACCATATCAGGAGAGGGTTGGCTCTGCTGAACAGGTGGCTGGGGCGGAGGCGGCATGGATGGAGGGACCGAAGGCCGGCCAACATGATTCAGGACCGGCTGCGCGTTCTGGACATGCGGACTGCTAACATGGCTCATGCGACGTTGCTGCATTTGCGCGTTCTGAGACATTTGGACCTGGGGGCCCATTGATGGCATCTGACCAGGAATCTGTGGCGGTGAACGAGGGTTGCGGTCACTCTTCACCTGCACCCCGGCCATGCGCGGTGATCCACGGGGGCCTGGGGCCATCTGACTAGCCATAGAGTCTTGATGAAGGGGGTAAAATTGGCCCGAAGCTGCTGCAGTGGCCATGGCGGCCGCCTGGGTGGGCGAGATACCGTATGTTTGTGGCATCGCCGTGGTAACCCCATACGATTGAGGGAAATTCATTTGTTGATGTACAGAGCCCGGCGCATTTTGAGCCGGTTGATAATGGGACTGTGAGGGTACAATGGGGGATGCCTGATGCGTAGGATGAGCTTGCTGCATGTGTGCTTGGGGGTTGGTGGGGGAAGTCATCGACCCCACTGTTGATCCTGCATTTTGAGGAGCCGTCTGATACGGAGCAGTGATGTGAGACGAGGCATGAGGATGCTGGCCATGAGGCTGTTGATACTGAGGGGGATATTCCATCATGGAGCTGCGACGGTGTTTACCGTCAGACTTCCAACTGGAGTCGTGATTGGAGTGGCCTAGCTGTCAGGAACCAGCAGGCTAGGGCCAATAATACTGTCAAAGCGGGCCAATCGAAGAATATCACTTGTCTGAGACCAAAGTGGCGAAAAATAGGGAAGAATGATAGGTTGTAGCGGCACAGTTGCACCTAACGATATCACGGTCGTGCACAAAGAAAAGGCAGCCGCAATCCAGTGGTCTGATGATTCGACGAGTGAACTGCGAAAGTCTGCAAGTTCTGGTTTAAAGTGTCAGCAGGGAGCGCAGCGCCAACCGGTCACTGGACTGCGAGTGGGGGTTGGATGGGAATAGAGAAAGGCGCTTACACCGGGGCGCGTACCTCTGTTTTTGTTTTGCCAATACACCCACTCATCAACTTTCTGGCGCCAAAAGAATTCGCCCAAAGGTGCACGCTTGTTTGCCGAAATGCTTCAAGCCGCTGTCCCCGGAGGTTCTGCGTCTTTTGTGGAAATCTTACGTTCACTCCAAGTGTAACGTGGTTGGGCTTCGATGCAGGACACCAGGGTGCCCTCGACTAGATGTCGCACTTGATGCGTTGTCAGACAAAGCGCGATCTTCTTGATAATGGCGCTCAAGTCTATCGTAGACACAAAGACTACGCAGTATAATGAGACGACAACTGGCAGGCTACCTTGGTAATGCTGCTCGAATGCTAAATCCGTCAGGCTGCTTGGCCACGTCCGTATGAGGCGGTGCTAGCAGCGTGGTGAGTTAGGTCGCCTGGGCCCGGGAGTTTGGAATTATCCTGGTCCGCGGTCTCCCGAACTATAATGCCACTCGACACTGTTGTCAGGGTACGCCTGAGAGGGGCTCGCACGGCTCAGACTACAGGAGACTATCAGCATCTATCCTCTCCACCATGCAAAACTTTCGGCTCCTGATTTGTGCGCTGTCACGATTGGGGAGATTGTCAAGGTGGTGGTGGGGTGGAGAGTGTGTGGGAGGGGGGAAAACATCGTGGCGGTTTAGTCTCTTCAGGGCTGAAGGATGTATGCGTTGGCAAGCGGAATCATGATGCAGCCGGCAACATACCTTGAAATGCAACGCACTCACAACACCAAACAAGGGTAGGCGGAGTTTTGCGCGCGCGCAAATAACGGGACTTGAAAACAGGGAAACAGGCAGCCCTGACGACGGAACTATCCTGCAGTCTCCGACCGTAGAAATCGGGATGCGCGCCTATTGACAGGTCGATGTTAGAAAGCTGTAAGAGAAGGCCAGTAGGCAAGGATTGACGCGTGGTGATTGGGCCATCCTGGGCGGGGAGTCGGGGTCGCAACTGAAACGCGACAGAAAACATAACAATGCATAAGCCATCGCAAGAAGCTCACAGGGGGGTCAGATGTGATAGGAGGATTCGCATCAAAGGGTCTTGCCTGCAGTACTTGGAGTACATGCGACACTAATTCTAATGGTCTGGTTTGCTTTGAGGGTGGGTAACGCCAGCCATGTCTGGAGGGGGGGCAGAGGAATCACAGTCGTCGCGGTTTGCGGGCCGCGGCCAAAGGCCAAGAACAACAACAACAACAACAGGCTTGCCTCGTGGTTTGGGAAAGGCTAATTACCTCTATTGAGGGTTATTCTCCGCAGGTGGCAGAAAGCCTCCTATGCAGAGCGACACCGAAAGTGAGTCGATGTAATGATTTGACAACACCTTCTGTCACGAGGGGAGGAACCGGTGATGATTCGCGGGGCGATGGCAACGCGACGGAGCTCTGCCAACGAGAGAAGGCGGACAGTGAGAATCTCCGTCTTCACCGCACGGTAGGCTGCCGCTGATGTCAGTCCGGCCCGGGTTGATCCGCGACCGAGCGCCCGCGGCACACCAGACTGGGAAAAAAGGAAAACGAAAAACGTAAAAAAAAAAAAAACCCCCCAAGAAAATAAAAAGAAACTATAAACGGCGGTAAATCGAGGGAAGAGATAAAAGTGGAGTGGCTTGGAAACAAAGAACAGGCTCAAAAGAATGGACCAAAAATAGACTATGATATTTGGTGGAGAGGGCCAGAGATCGGGGGAGATAGGCGCAGTGACCTGTGGTTGGGTGCTGGCTAAGCAGCCGATGTTTGGAAGGCCGCCCGGAGAGGAGAGAAATGCACACAATGGATGGCCGCCAGACATGGGCGGGGGAAGCAGGACTCGGATGATTCGTTTGGCCCTGCCTCGGAACGCAGGAGGGAACAATTGATTGGGCGCGTGCAAAATTAAAGTATGCAATCACAAAATAGGAAAAATACAAAGTTGAGCAAGGGGCAGCAAAATGGCTAACGTACCTTAGATGGTGATTCGACCACAACCGTGGTAATGACAGAAGGAGAGGATAGAAATGATCAATCACGAGGGTGAAGCGGATGGGGGGAGGTAGGGCGGGCAATGATTGGGTTGGACGAAGAGGACGGGTTAATCTGAAGCCAGGCCGGCGAGGAACGAGTAGGAAAAAAACAAAATGGGAGGAAACCAATGGGCTCTGTGCAGCCAGGACAGCCCGACGTTGTTGACTGGAGGGCACGCAAGGACTGGAGAGGTTGGATGACCAACGAGAGGGAGCAGAGAGAGAAAGCCGCAGCGAGAAGAAGGGGCGAGCGATGGGGCATTTGTACCGGACGCGCTCAGGTAGTAGCTGAGTGGCTCGGCAGCTCGTTAGCGGACGAGGCGGCGATGAATCAGACCAACAAAGGCCAGGACCATACAGTCCGGTATCGACCCCAGGGTTCGGTCCACTTAGCGCCAGCGCTCTTTCCCCTCCTGGGTAAGGCGGGTAACGTTTAACGTAAGATATCGTAAGCACTTGGTATGTATCGTCTGGTAATTTACCCACTCTCGGCCAAGCCGTATTACCAACGAACCTTCCAATGGCTCAATGTCCGGAAAACTTGGGGTCGAAGGACACGGCGTGGTGTGTGCCTCCGGGCAGCAGCTTGCTCGCAATCAATCTCGGATATTAGGCCCTCCCGCTCCCTCTTCGCTCTCCCAAATGAGATTGGCAACCCGATCTTTGTCTCATTATTACACAAGGGGGCTGAATCCGATCGATCGAGTCTGACCTCATCCTGGTCCGGGGCCTTGGACTTTATCCAAGAGCTAGAAATATCTCTTATCTGAGGTAGCCGCCCATTATGCAAAGCATCCGGCCATCCCGAATTTGTGACGCTCATCATGTGCAACCCAAAACTGGCGAATCGCCCTCGGGAATAAAACCTGTATGACCCAAAGTGACATAGACCAGCCACCCCCATTGGCCCACTTGAGCTTCACTTGGTTTGTTTTTACGAATCATGGTTTACTTTAGCCACAGGATTATGTGACTGGCTTGCACACCCTCCTGTTCTCTTTAATCTCTTTATTCTATTCTAAATATTTTATTTTATTCTAACTCCCACCCTGGACTTGGAGTAGGAAGAGCTTCGTCCTCGTATGGATGTGTTACCTCAAGTAGTGAAGGAAAAAAAAAATAGGCGGAGTCAATGTGGAAATAAACGCATACGCTTGCTCTTATGTCCACCATGGCAAGACATACTAGAGGAAATAATTAGGATGAGATAGGCACGTGAAAATCAAGTGCCGTGCTATCACTGACCTGACACTTTACTAATGCAGCATGCAGTCTCTTGCCGTGGGATCACATTGTTTCCACGGAGGAAGTGCGGCTGGCTTCTGGCTTTTCTTACGTACGGGCTGATACACCCAAACGTCAGCGGAGCGAATCGAAGCCATGGCCAGTCTCGGTTATATAACCAATCTAGGCAAGACTCCATGGGACCGTGGACAATCCATGTTCTCTGTGCTAAGTACGGAGTAAATGATGAGCGAATATCACTCGGCATCAGCATGAACATCACTGATGTCCCAGGCATGAGCGTATAATTGTCGTCGAATACTAATATCCTTCGGGTATCTACGTCGGATTTAATAGTAGCTACAACAAACAGCCTTATGTCGAGCACAACGGCTAAACCTTAGTCGCAGTTGTTCTCCGCCAAGACTGAGACCAGGAGGTTCAGTATAATATATATATAGATTGAATCGCAGACCTGCCTGGAGTACTATAGCGATAACGATGCACGAATACGAGATTAGGGCCGTTTATGATCTGAACCATACTCTCCCTCGTATATGTAGAGTACTCCAGAAACCTTTGATCTCATGGTCTGGGTTTGTCACCAGGTTGCCTGGCCGTCAGGTCGCAAAGTTCCATGGAAGAATTGTGAAGTTAGTGAACCTGCGGAGTCCCTGTTAGCGTCGTTGGTACACAGCGAATTTCGCAAGTCAATGATAATAATGATAATAATAATGCGACTTGATCCAAATGTAGCCTACCGCGTAATCCTGCGGACTGGGCCGCCTATTTTCTTTGTTTTTATTCCCCCCCTCCACAGTTCAAGTGGTATCCCACTTTTGTCTTCCTCTCGCTCCATCATCAGTCGGGTGAGAGAATGGGTCATTAAATCCTGACCAACCGAAAGCAAAGACCTCAATTGAAAGCAAAGGGATTATTACGAGAGCAAATGAGAACAAGGGATCGCAAACTGACGGCACGAGCTAGGAGGGGCAACTCACGGGCTGCTCTATGTACCTAGGTGCTATGCCTAGGTGCTATGATTGCGACCTCTGCGCGATTAGCAACCTTGACAAGACGTAGATCTTGGGATCTGGAGTATTTAAGGTACTCTGGAAAGAGGTAGGCAGTAAGTAGAAGTAGAAGTAGATAGCGGAAATTCTAGTCTTCTATGAACGATTATACCGGCGTGTGTACTCCGTACTCTGTAGTATAAGGCCGACCGGCACGATGGCAGAGCAGATTGGGGGGCGCCGATCTGTTCCACACCACGTGTGAAGCTTGACCGCTTGGTTCTCCATTTATGGGGACTTTTCAATCTTACCTGGGAGATGGAGACCGACCTGTTCGACCGTCGACTCCGCAGGCTTGCAACATCTGGATCACTGAGGTGGCCCTAATGGGATCATTTTCCGTTGAGGGATACCCCTTCCAAGTCGTCCAATTATACTACTAAGATGACCGTGTAGAGTGGTAGATTGTAAGTAGGGCTCTAGTAACAATTAATGAATAATAATAACAATCTGTTGTTCTTTGAACCCTGCGCGGGAAGGCGGCAAGCTCTCCGTACGGCGTATCGAGCTCGATACTGCCCGGTCGCGTATGCGGCCCGTTCAAACCATACCTGGACAGATACAGAATTACCGCGTGTACATGGGACGCCCGTGTCTTGGTTCCAACTCCCAGTCCCAGTCCCAGTCCCAGCAGCCAGCAATTCAGCACTGACGGACTGACATGGGGGAAGCTCGAGCCATCTGACGTCAAAGCCAGCCAGGTTTCCCCGCCACACCGCTCCTCGTCAATATCTTCCTCCGGCTGGTTCTTTGGACCAGCAGTGTCAGTGTCACAAAATTGTGGGAGAGATCCGACCTGGAAATGATCTCTTGTTTATGCCACTCTTCAAGTTCAAGACTACCCTCAGCCAATCACGTATTTCCCGTGTCCTACCCAGTGCTTGTATTGGAAATGGAATTGTAGTTGCATCATGAGCTGTTGCGGTCCGTGGAAGTACGCGGGCGGAGTCAACTGCCTAAGGTAACAGCCAGCGCCGAGGCTTGGTGAAGGTCCCACCAACCACTCTGCTGGAACCTCTGTCTACATTGTTTGTCTTTGATGACCTTGCTTACGCTCTGTTGATAATAGGCGACCTTCACAGAAGCTCTTCCACCTGACGAATGTGTTTAAAGTAGCGCCTCTTCCCATCCAATCATCTTTGTCACAGGCTAACATCTATCCCCCCCGTTTACCGTAGGACCGGATATGAATATGTCATCCCAGGTGGGAGATGTTGATCGTCGAAGCTGGCACGACTTAGTGTCAATCGCTTGCTTTGTTTCTACTGGTCTCTTACTTCATATTTCTTATCCTTGGTCACATGGCCCGCAACTCAGGAAGGCAGCGAACATAGCTCTCTTTGTTGACAAGATGCCCCCCGAGAGGTGTCTTTGACGCATTACATGACAAACAAACACTACGTTGCGTCTGTTGTCCTAGGGATTTAAACGTTTCCTCTTCTAGTATCCTCCTTCCAGCACCTGCCAGCCCAGAGCCTCGGGTGCTAATGTGATGGCGCGCCAGTCTGAGTGACGTAAACTAGATCATTTGGGACTACGGTTTTTAGGAATTTGTACTCCAAGCTGATCAGTCTGCCGGGTAAGATTGCTCTTGCTGCATCGGCTTGATGAAATGTGGAAATGCCCAAGCAGCAAGGACTTGATGTAGCATTCGGTATCCCCATCATCCCGTGCGCATCATACGAAGAAGCAGATTGACTAAAGAAGCAACAGGTGAAAGCCGTGAAGGTACTTCATACTTGGGATTACCGTTGGCCGTGCCGAGAGTAAGAAAAAGTCCAACAGGGTATAGTCATATACTCTTACTGAAAGATTACTCTGGAGGTGGTCATAGGACCATGCCTCATTACCGCCGGCAGCTCAAGAGTATTTACTCACTCTTTTGCTATGCTGAGCTGTATGCTTTCAGATGAGGTCCTGAACAATCATTTACCTCTTTTGGTGTACGCATCCTCCGGGGCAATCATGTGCACACCTCATGATACGGTCTTTTCGGCTGTATAGGGACATAAGAGAGCTTCATGTGCCAACCTGGTGACTGGTCAAACGAATAAAGAACCGAGAGATGGGACGCAAGGAGCGAATCGTCCACAGTCTTCGGTTTTTTCGGGTTGTAAGTATCGAAATCCGTCGCAAAGCGCGGGGCTTTACGACAGCCATCGTCCCCCGACCTTACGTTCTGTGCCGTCTTATCCACAAGAGCTGCGGCTACGTATTGGACGACGTGGCGTACGCCTAGGCAAATTCACACTGCCCATCCTGTGAAAATCAATTACGGGACTGAATGAAACCAATTTTACACCAATCCAAGTGCTGTCTCATGTATGCAGTGGAGGCTTCAGGAGCCCAGCCTATGATCTGTCGGAGGACCCCTTACACATTACTATCATCAGACCATAACATCACACAACTATTAGCAAGGTTGAACAGCGGCAGCCCTGGCCTTTGCAAGGGGCAAAGGAATGAGCAGGAGGCCCTCGTCCAGTACAAGCACCCAATAGGACATTTGTACTCCTTCTCGCTCCTCAATAGGGCGCTGCTTAATGTGGCAGATGCTTCCACTGCATGTCGTTCATTGGCTGCTGTGACCTTGATTCCAGGCAGGCTATGAGCTTTCGTTCTCCTTGGGGTGTACTGGCTGCGTTGCGACATGTCACCATCAACTACCTAGGAAACTCAAACGGGCCCGCTCGAAACTGATACCGATATGCTTTCAGGTAAGGTGAAGCTGTCACATGGGCTGCTACCACCAAGACCGTGGTATTTGGTGACTCTCTTGATGGGCCGGTGTTCGGTATTTCAAGTTACCGTCTTCGGAGACCCCGAGATTACAGGCTGCTCTAATTCACTCATAGTAAATGCCCTTTTGTGACGATTTAATCGCCCACTCAGTCTAGATAAGCTCCTGATACGAAGCACCTTTTCGCCTTTTCACGTTTCGCTTGGTAAGATTCGATGGGTCTACACCCTTCGCATCTTATGCAAGGCAAGTATGACAGACAAGTACCCAAGTTTGAGAACACACAGAGATAAGGTGCCTCACGTCATAAACTGACATCATGCTGGCATCGAACAGTATCTGTGACTAATGTTCAAGCCAATAAGGGCGGAACACACTGGCTTGTACGGAGTAGTTGGTTCGACAATCAAACTGACAGGGTAGAGACAGAATAAATCAGCCATGCACTGAAGGCGCTCAGATCAAGAGTCTCGCCTTAATTAGCCCCACGGCATTAGACAAAAAAGAAAGGAAAATGCCCAAAATAAAACGTGACAAGCACAGCTTCTGTGGGATAAGAAGATGTCTTTATGTTCACACTTGGCCGCCGTGATGTTAGTTCCTAGGCCATCCGGATTGGGCACTAAGGTATCAATGTACCTCAGAGGTACATATGTGCCATGTACACCCGTTGACAAAGTCCTGCAATCATTGGGTACAAATGTGGCCTACGTCAGAAGCTGGCTGGCACCGACACTCACCGCTGGCTACATGGCCATGTCTTACAGGTCCAAAGGTTGGTCCACCGCAGACTGCCAGCTGTTCGTGCAGTACTCGACCACGCCTGCCCACCACCGAGTAGACTGGGTATCCGCTGCTTGCTATATATTGCCCAGCTCTTTCAAAGTACATTTCTTTGGGGCTTAACTGTACGTTGGACCCGCTGATGGAAGTGTTTCATCGCTGTCGACATCGAGGAACTCTAGCGTGTGGGTGATCTCTTCAATATAGTGCGGACTTGATACAAAAATCGCGCAACATGATAGGGATATACCATGACGAAACCAAGGAAAGATCTCCTCCGCCCCGGCAGTGACTCCTTGCTAGATACAGCAATTTTCGGGAGATGTGGCAGTGCTCAGGATCAACCTGAATTCTTATGGTCGCCTGTGCTAGTTATACTAAGCGATGTCAGCAGGATTCCGGGTAGCTGCTCTTCGTGTATGCAGAGAGGCGGATTGGGCCCAGTCAGCAGCGGAAAGTTTATACGGATTAATAATAATACACTAGACACCCGAAAACGTCCCATGATGCGGGGTATGGGCTTTGGAAATGTTCTGGTAGTGGTTGATGGTACGATGACGGATGGGTGAGTGCGAGAAGCGGATTCGGTCGAACGGACAGGATGTGGAAGAGAATCCTGAGCTTTGACATAGGAAGCATGGGGTTGCGGAGTATCCATGGTTCTTTGTGGACATGACGCTTGGACAAGAAAATGTGATTCTCACAAGCTCATATTGTTATCGACCAACCTAATATTATATAACTTCTCTGGGACGTCATTGTTTTCCTTGGAATCGACTGCCATAAAGGAATAGCAGATCGTCCAAGCCAAAAAAGAAAAATCCATTTTTATATGTTTGTAGCGAAGGATAGGTTATATGCTCAACCGTTGGTGTTTATGGAGTGCTCTTGCTGGGCCCTACCCATTAGCGGATGGACTCCCTGGAAACCGGGCGGAGCTGCTGCAGAACCGTCACCGGGGACCTATTACAGAGCCACGATTTCTGAGCCCCCAGATCGATCCAACACTTTATATCACGCAAAGCGAATCAGAAGCTTGAGAAGAGCGACCGAGAGAGGTGTGCCTGCATAACGGTGCATGTTGAACGACAACCACTCTTACTGGTAGGGAGCAAAGTGATGATGAGCCGGAATAAAGACCCGCGCTGCTGATTGGGTCGCGGGGGGAACTCGGGTCGCTTACGTGATCCGCCTCGATCCCGCCCTTCGATCCCTCATGTGGCTTTTCCCCGTGCTTGGGGCAAGGAGAGCGACCGAGTCGGCCTATCTTCGTCTCTTCATACCAATCCCTTCGCCGTTTGCTCGACCCTAGACAGCCCTGGGATCCTCTCGGAAACGGCCTGGTCGCACTACGGACGGGCCCCCAACACCAACCGCTCCGATTCTCACCGTGATACTACCCCTAGAACGCGCCGATTTGTCCGCCCGCAACCCACGATATACATGACGTCTTTGTTGACATCCTTGTCAAACAGTCAATTCTCGAGTACCGTCCTACGAAAAGAACGCATCTAGCATCGAAGATAGTGCCGCGAATCCGGAAGACATTAGCTTGCAAATTCCGATAGAGCGGCGCTCCTCGTAGCGTTCGCGACTCGTGGTTCCCGCTTGTGTTGTTCACCCCCTTGCGAACCTTCCTTGGAACAGGCGGAAACGGGCGATCGGACCCAGGTGTATGGGGAATAAGCCAAAATGGCTCCAGCAGGTGGAGGAAACATCAAGGTGGTGGTGAGAGTGCGGCCTTTTAACAGCAGAGGTGAGTTATTTTGGCGTTGGGAATGCGACCAAGCCCCTCCCCCCAAACCCGACTGACCCGGTTTCCTCTTCCTCCAGAACTCGACCGAGGTGCAAAATGTATCGTGCAGATGAAAGGCAGTCAGACCATCCTCACCCCACCGCCAGGCGCTGATGAAAAAGCGCGGAAGGCTGGGGGAGGGAAGGGCGCGGTGGAAGGGCCCAAATCGTTCGCCTTCGACCGGTCGTACTGGTCCTTCGACAAAAACGCCCCGAACTACGCCAGTCAGGACAATCTCTTTCTCGACCTAGGTGTGCCACTTCTAGACAATGCTTTCCAGGGTTACAACAACTGTATCTTCGCGTACGGTCAGACGGGTTCCGGAAAATCGTATTCGATGATGGGTTACGGCAAGGAATTCGGTGTGATCCCACGAATTTGTCAATCTATGTTCGAGCGCATCACTACGATTCAACAAGACCAGAACCTCGGCTGTACGGTGGAAGTGTCATATCTTGAAATCTACAATGAGAGAGTCCGTGATCTGCTCAACCCTTCGAACAAGGGCAATCTTAAAGTCCGTGAGCATCCGTCGACCGGTCCCTACGTCGAGGATCTCGCCAAGCTTGTAGTGCGCTCTTTTGAGGAGATCGAGAACTTGATGGATGAGGGTAATAAGGCCAGAACGGTTGCTGCCACGAACATGAACGAGACGTCCAGTCGTTCGCACGCCGTGTTTACTTTGACACTTACACAGAAGCGCCATGACTCGGAGACGTCTATGGACACGGAGAAGGTGTCGCGGATCAGTCTAGTTGATCTTGCTGGTTCGGAAAGAGCGACATCTACCGGAGCGACCGGTGCTCGATTGAAGGAGGGTGCCGAAATTAATCGTTCGCTCTCGACCCTAGGTCGTGTCATTGCGGCTCTCGCAGATGTGGCTTCTGGCAAAAAGAAGAATGCCTCTCTCGTTCCATATCGTGATTCCATCTTAACATGGTTGCTGAAGGACTCCTTAGGAGGTAACTCCATGACAGCGATGATTGCCGCTATTTCACCAGCCGACATCAACTTCGATGAGACTCTCAGTACGCTACGTTATGCAGACTCGGCGAAACGGATCAAGAATCATGCGGTCGTAAACGAAGATCCCAACGCACGAATGATTAGAGAACTAAAGGAAGAGTTGGCTCAACTCAGGTCGAAACTCGGGGGTGGTGTAACCGCCGCTGCAGGCGGTGCCGCTGGTGCCATACCGGCGGAAGAATACTACCCTCCAGAGACACCTTTAGAGAAACAGATGGTTTCTATCCAGCAGGCAGATGGTTCGGTCACGAAGGTTAGCAAGGCGGAAATCGTCGAGCAGTTGAACCAGAGCGAGAAGCTCTACAAAGACCTGAATCAGACCTGGGAGGAGAAGATGGCGAAGACTGAAGAAATCCACAAAGAGCGAGAAGCCGCGCTGGAGGAACTTGGTATTAGTATCGAGAAAGGCTTCATCGGCTTGAGCACGCCAAAGAAGATGCCGCATCTGGTCAATCTTAGCGATGACCCCCTGCTCGCCGAGTGTCTTGTTTACAACATCAAACCGGGAACCACGATAGTCGGAAACATGGAGCAGGGAGGTCATGTGGAAATAAGATTGAACGGCTCGAAAATTCTGGACGACCATTGTAGGTTCGAAAATGTGGACAATATCGTCACAATTATCCCCACCGAGGGCGCGGCGGTCATGGTGAACGGATTGCGGATCGATAAGCCGAAGCGACTCAAGAGTGGATTTCGGATAATTCTGGGCGACTTCCATATATTTCGTTTCAACCACCCGCAGGAAGCGCGTGCCGAAAGGGTCGAGCAGAGCCTATTGCGCCATTCAGTTACTACCAGTCAGTTGGGCTCGCCGGCCCCGAACAAAACCCACGACCGAAGCTTGAGCAAGACCGGCTCGGAGGTTGATGGGGACTCTAGCAGAGCGGATTCCCCAATGCCCTCCCAACGTGGCAGGGAATCTGATTGGTTTTATGCTCGCCGTGAAGCCGTCAGCGCTGTGCTGGGGCCCGATCAAATCTCGCATATGCCTGATGATGAGCTGGACGCCCTGTTCGAGGATGTGCAGAAAGTGAGGGCAACCCGCCGTGGGCTCATGGAGAACGAAGAGGACTCCGACTCGCTGAGTTCGTTCCCGGTGCGCGATAAATACATGTCAAACGGCACCATCGACAACTTCTCATTGGATACTGCCATCACTATGCCGGGTACCCCCCGTCCAACTGACGAGGATGATGGCCAGACTGGGGGTGATGCAACGTTGCAATCTGTTCGCCAGGACATGCAGCGCCAGCTGGATCGACAAAAAGAGGAGTATCAAGATAAGTTGAGGAATGCTGAAGCGTCGTCCACCCAGGATGTCGATGACCTACGATCTGAAAAGGCTCGCATGGAAGAAGCCCTGCGAGCAGCCAAGGAAGAATTCGAAGAGCAACTGAAAAAGCAAAAGGAAGCTTTCGAGTCTCACATGAAGGACCTAGGCCAACCGGTACCCAAGATCTACGAGAATGGATTTGCCAAGTTAGATGCCCGCGAGCTTGAGGTTGCCAGCACGGTTTACCGCCATTGGTCCCAGCAAAACTACGTTCGCATGGCCGAGAAAGTGCTCCAGCATGCCTCCTTGTTGAAGGAAGCCCAGGTGATGAGCCATATAATGGACAAGAACTTTGTGTTTCAGTTTGCGATCATCGATCATGGGCACAACATGGCTTCATCTTATGACCTGGTGCTCAACGGCATTTCTGGAGACGAGGACGTCGTTCTAGACGACGCTAAGAAACCCTGTGTCGCGGTTCGTGTGATCGACTTCAAGCAATGTGTCATCCATCTTTGGTCTATTGAGAAGCTCCAACGTCGCGTCCAGGCTATGCGTCAATTGCACCAGTACATCGATCGCCCCGACTATATTCAGCACTTTAAGCTCGAGAACCCCTTCTCCGAGCCATGTTCGCCCCAGTATTCGCTTGTTGGTGATGCCGACATTCCGCTCACGGCAGTTTTTGAGACTCGAGTTCAAGACGTCTCAGTCGAAGTTATTTCGCCATATACACAGAACGTCATAGGCATCATCAGGCTGTCCTTGGAGCCCTCCTCGGCCCAGGCGCCTTCGTCTACCCTCAAATTTAACGTCGTCATGCGCGATATGGTTGGTTTCGCTGAATGGGAAGGATCAGATGTCCACGCGCAACTGTTTGTGCCCGGCATCTCCGACGAGGGAGGGGCTACGACCACCCAAATGATCAGCGGGTTCGATGAGACACCGGTCCGGTTCGAGAGCGTTCATAGTATGAGTCTGCCACTTTCGAGTCCACGGACTGCGGCGCTGAAAATTTGCGTCTATGCGCGCGTGACCCAAATGCATCTGGACAAGCTTCTCAGCTGGGATGACATGCGCGATTCCGCAGAACCGGCGCCCCAGAAACGCAAAACACCACGAATTGCGGAGACGGAGTTTTATTCCGAAGAGAGACACGATGTTTTTGCAAGGGCTCAGGTACTTGAACTAGCGGAGACGGGCGAATACCTTCCGGTCGAAGTAGTCCAGAGTAACAGCCTGGATGCGGGCACTTATCAGCTCCACCAAGGGTTACAGCGCCGGATTCTGGTGAATCTCACCTATAGCTCAACTGAAAGTCTCCCGTGGGATGATATCACCGGTATTCGCGTGGGGTCAGTGCGGCTGCTAGATCCCTGGGGCAAGATCCCTGACCAGGACCTACAAACGCCGGACGTTCCGTTGAAGTTTGTCCAAGAGCCGAATGTCAAGGAGAATGCAGATGGAACATCCAACATCACCATCATAGGGCAATGGGACTCTAGTCTACACGGATCCCTCCTACTTGACCGAGTAACTGCGGACAAGTACCGTGTGCAGGTGACCCTACGATGGGATCTTTTGTCCTCCCGCCTACAGGATCCTGTTCCCTTTGAAATCGACTTGACTCTCCAAATCCAAGGCCGGACGTATGTCCGACCCCAATCCATGTTCAAGCAATTCTTCAATTCGACGCGGATTGTGCACTCCACCGTTCGGATGTTCTCCTTAGTCGTTCGTCCGGTGTCCGCCAAACGCGCAGCTGATCTCTGGCGCATGAACACGCAAAATGACTATGTCAAGGGCGAAGAATTTCTGACCACCTGGGCTCCACGCAAAGTCTCACTTGTCCGGGATTATGTAGCCGCCCGCAAACGAAGGCGACGTGTTGCCGAACTAAATGCTGCGAAAGGTGCTCTAAGTGCGAATAGCCTTGTGGCGTCGCCTTCACGCAGCGGACGGTCAACGCCGCTCCGTAGCCAGGAGCGTACTGACCGTAGGACTAAGCTGCTCCAGAAATATGTCGACCTTTGGGCCAGGAGGACCGACCCTATCGAAGCCATCCTTGTTCGAAGCAACACAGAGCCACCTGCAGGCGGGGCGGCTTTCGCCGCGCGGGCGAAGCCATCATCGTCAAGCGATGATGATAGTTCGGTTCTGGACGAGGCGTCATTGAAGCCGCGATTTATCGCCACCGTCCAAGCTCTCCCCAAAAATACTTCCTCTCTGAAATCGGGCTACCTATTGACACCCGACGATACCAACAGCCAATGGGTACGGCGCTTTGTTGAGCTCCGTCGGCCATATCTTCATATATACTCGGTTCCTGACGGCGACGAAATCAATGCGATCAATCTGCGCAATTCACGGGTTGACCATGCACCCGATTTTGCACGGCTTCTTGATGGTCCCGGCGCCGGGTCTGACCGGGGGACATCTCCACGGGGTCGTCCGAACGTGTTCGCGGTGTACGGGGCGCAAAACACGTTCCTGTTTGCGGCCCGAACCGAAGCCCAGAAAGTGGAATGGATTCTCAAGATCGATGAGAGCTATTTTAGCAGCAGCGGCGCCCGAGCGATGGCCAATAACAATGCCTAACTCCAGTGTCGTCTGTGATCTGCCCGTCTCAGCATTAATGGTGTTCTTACCTGTTGAACAGGTTTCGTCCACATCCATCAGTTTACCCCTGCATATAGTACTTACCCCCCGGTGTTGTCTGCGTCCGTGGTTGTTAGCCCTTCTTAACCATACACTTAGATTATACGGTCCGTTTCTTTTCGCGTTAACTGATTGGCAGGCCTGGTGTTCTTTCGTTGAGCATTGACATCCCCTTCCACTCTACACCCGCTCTTGATTGATTTTGAGATACCCCCTGAATAAATTTGCCCTCACGGCCTCGCCGTCTCCATGTACATATTTAAAATCTGCAAACATAGATCCAACCTGCCTGCAAGCATGATGTAAGAGTAGGCCTGTACCATTGATATCCCGTTACAAGGACAGCGAATCCGCAAGTAGAGGGGGAGTATGTTATGTTCATAAGCCATGTAGGCGATGGTCAGTGGGCCAAGTAGATAGTTTCTACGGCAGGTGATGGGGTCTAGGATGAGACGGGCACTGTCCCGGTTGATTGAGATGAATTGAACAAAAAGAGCAATAGTCTTCATGTAGTTCCCATGGTGGAGAGCATCTTCATTCATCTTTCAGCCTTAAACCTTAGATATCCCATAGCTGAAGAGTCGCTGCCGAGTGCATAGGGTCGAAGATAAGACCCCAAAGTATCCTTCACCGCCGAGTAATTCAGAAGCGACTAAGTTGCTGGCGCGTGAGTGCGTTTTCAATGATCAACAAGTGGCCCCGAGGCCCGAGCAGGGAGCAGCGAGCACACGGAGCACTCGAGTACATGGGCGCTGAACGGCAGTGGGACAGTTACTATATACTACTATTAGCATCGGCCGTTGCCGCGGCGACGTCGATCCCCAGCTCCAACAGTTGCATCATGATATCCCCCACAATCTCGACATGAACTAAGTGCACCTGAACCACCTGCACAGATACCAGTTGAGGTAGATAAAAGGTACGGCAATGCAAATACTGCAAGGACAATCGTCAGGCTTCCGTTTCTTAGCCACAGGTGCCGTCGTCTCATTGATCATCACAACCTTCTTCATCTTTGGTACGCGGTATTCCAATGACGTCGCCAAGTATGCTTTGAAGACATCCCTCAAGCCAGCCCCGCAGTCCTGTTCCCATCTATCTCAATCGACGTCAGTTAATGATACCACGTGGGAATTTGTGGTCGAGCGCGATGGCGACAACCATGGGCTTTCGGATACGCAGTGTCGCATTGCCTTTCCCAAGTTGTTTGTCGAGCTTGACAAATCTGCGTCGCTGAGGGAAGGAAGTCGTATTACATTCGAAGAGCTGGATAGCCTGGAGGTGGAGGATGGTATGGTGCGGGGTATTATTGATCGTGGTGAGGTGTGTTTACACATTGACAGGGGCGTTGCTAGAAGTGTTTCTAATCAATGAATTGCCATATAGCTCCATATAGTCGACTTCGGCGCGATGCCCGCGACATTCACCCGCGGAAAGGCAACATTACATGCTCTTCATCGCGCCTTGGCCTCATTTCCGGACCGAGGCAACTTGCCATCCATCGAATTCGTCTTGACGACGGAGGACTTTAGCAACAGCGAAGGACCGATTTGGTCCTATTCCAAGCGGGATGAACAGGAAAATGTCTGGTTGATGCCCGACTTTGGTTACTGGTCATGGCCGGAAGTCAAGATTGGCCCATACAAAGAGATCCGGCGTCGCATTGCTGCAGTCGACGACGGGGAGGTCACCATCGATGGGGAGGTCATCTCGGGACTGCCGTTCCAGGATAAGAAGAAACAGCTTGCATGGCGAGGTAGCGTTGCTACGAACCCCGAGATCCGGGGCAAGTTATTGAAGGCTGCCCAGGGCCGGAGCTGGGCAAGTATACGGGTGATTGACTGGGACGATGAGAACGATGTCCGGTTAAATCTGCTGCCCATGGAAGATTACTGCCAGTATATGTTCCTGGCACACACTGAAGGACGCAGCTTCTCAGGGCGGGGGAAGTATCTCCTGAATTGTCGCTCCGTGGTGGTTTCGCACAAGCTGGTCTGGCGCGAGGCACACCATGCTGCACTCACTGCGTCCGGTCCTGAGGCGAATTATATTGAGGTCGAGCGGGACTTTTCAGACCTAGATCGAAAGATGGCCTTCCTCATTGATAACCCGGAGGCGGCGCAACGCATTGCGGAGAATGCTGTGAAGACCTTCCGGGATCGGTATTTGACACCCGCAGCAGAGTCTTGCTATTGGAGGCATTTGATCCGACAGTATGCCTCATCTTGTGAGTTTGAGCCTGTCGTGTATACACAGGAGAATGGCAAGAGACAGCCCCGGGGAGTTCCATTCGAGAGTTGGGTCCTTGCTGGTCTTTAGATGTCACTTCTATACGCTTTCGTTTCTATTTGCATGTATACGGCGTTGGTGGCTCGGGTTGGACACCTTTTTCTTCAATTATTAGCATTCTATGAGTGATGTCTTGGATAGTATGACTATAGACGCAATGAATCCCTGCATAATAGCTTCGAAGCAGAAGCGAAGGGGAGGTACCTTGGTGGCTCAAAAAGGGATAGCTTCTTGTTGCGTCTGCTTCACCTCGGCCTCACCTCTTCTTTTCCTCTCCCTTCTCTCCTCCCTTCACATCAATCTACATGCAGACCCAGCCAAGCCCCTAGAGCAATTCATCTGCCCGACAGCCTTCCAGCTGAAGACAACGGCGACCCCGAAGCGATTGCTACCTCAAGTGCACAACTGCACAATTGTGTCCGAGTCTACCCGTGGCCCTCATCACCCACTGGCTCTTTGTTGTCTCGAGTAAGTTGCATGCTGCCCGATGTCGATCTCTAGGTCATCGTGCATAAAGAAGACCCTTTGCTAACACGAGTCGGGATTCCCCGCACTTTGAAGAATTTAGCGAGGAATACAGTTTCACCACCAAGCCCTTCCCGTGATGTGAGACGGCACACGAGCATCCTCTGCCCAGCCGTTGGATGATAATTTTCTTCCTCCGGACAATTCATGCGGGGTAAATCGGGGGAAAATGCGGTGAAAAGGTCGGACCTCACGAGGCCCACTTGCTCACCTGATGAGAACACGAGGTAGCCCTGCAGATCTCCCTGTCGGTAGGGTCTTAAGGGCCCAAGAGGCTCAAAGCCAGGCAGGCCCTGACTGGGACCAATCAGTTCAATCCCGACCGTTGATGGTTCCACGACCAGATCAGCGGCCTTGTACATCATGGAAGAAACTATTATTCTAAGCAAAGCAGATCAATGATATTCTCAGGGAATCGTCAATAGTGCGCTCTATGGCCGGATGAATGCTGATAGATGGGATGATCCGGTAGGCAGCACCTCCACAGGCAAGGGATAAAGCGCAGTGCCGTTGCCTTTGTTTTAAAGACCTTCCCAAAGGCTCATTGAGGTGTACATGGGCTCGGCATATCTTTGTCACGATGGTAGTACTACACGTTGCATGTGAAGGATCCCAGTCCAGGTCCGATTGAGCCACCTCCTAGTGAAGGTTGGGCGATGAAAGAACACCCGATGTGTGGCAGTCCAGCCAAGAAACCTACCCAAAGTTGGCGAGCAGCCAACAAAGGGTAGCAGGCACTACCACTGAGCCTTCCTGCCATGTGTCCGGCGCTTTCTGGGCAGAACCACTGGGCTGGGCGACGCTGCATGCGATAGGGTTATTGAATCAATGGACTGTTTGGTCATCCGTCCTTGACCCCCTGTGCACCCTCCATCTGCGGAATATCAGAAAAGACCAAATGAGAATAAGTGGGGAAATAACCATTTACCGGTCGACACAAAGACAATAACCGACGAGTCTGCATCCGTCTCCATTGCCGAGTCTGGGCTCTGGATCTCGGATTCTCGGTCCCAAAAGATGTCTGCACAAAGTTTGGGCTTCCGACATCTCAAAAATTCGATCTTACCTTGGTAGCGGCCAAAGCTAGAATTATGCTGGTCCTAATTTTCCATCAGGAACAGGAATAATGAGGACTTGGGGCATGCAGCCATGCATCATGCTGTGACTCCGGCCAGGGAGAGTCATCCAGTCGGCTTCCGAACTCTGACAATTGTGTCAGCCTGCTTGAGGCACACCTGTTACTCCTGGTCAGCGGCTTGTCCATACTCTCACCCCTTGATGATCGATGCTGCCCTTGCGTCGCCGCCTCAACCGACCTGTTCCACAATGTTCCTGACCAGTAAGCTAGACTCTGCATGCTTTATCCTGAACACAACACTTGATGCTGTGGGTCCATACCCACAACCATTCAAATAGCACTGACAAAGACAAAAGAATATTCATCGGTCCTAATGAATGCTGCTCGCTGGAGCTGCGCCGAGGCACTGGTCAGACTATTCCCATTTCCGGCACATCCAAAGCCATCGCTTTTGTTCGATTGGTCCAACATGCTGATAATGACTGCCTGTGAAAGCGAGTCATCTTTCAGATTTTAAATTCCCTGTCCTACTGACCGAACTCACATCCATTTGCTGGCCGATTCAGAGGCAGCCTCGCGGCACTTGCATGTAATGGGAGCATTCGTATGCCGTCTTCGGTCACGAAAGATGCCAAGTCGATCCAATATTGCCCGCGAGCTCACCTGAGTGATCTACAAAGTTCCGACTATGCATCTAGGCGCCTCTCAGATCCATTCTTCCATCTCCCTAAGCCCGAATCTAGCCTGTCGATATGCCCCATCCCCAGACCGGCAGACCCAATCGCTACCCCGACGCTGGGCATCAACTGATCGTTCATTTCGAACAGAATGGGGACAGCATATCATTGCAAGCGGTCATCGGCACAGGTGGGCCCTGCTTGATGCCATAACCGTGGCGCTGGAATATAAAGCATAGACAATGCGTCCTAGGCAAAAGAAACATTGCAGATATTTCTTTGTTCGTATTCAACTATAACCCGAGCCTCCCAGCCTGGTCTGCAACCTCTCTACAGCAACGATATTTGTTGTATTCCGAGAGCATCTCATCAACAACAATGTGGATCAATCAAGCATCATCATGGGCCTTCGGACTCTCCCTGATAACGTCTGTAACCTCCTCACCCATCCAGGTCCGAACTACAGGCCCATGGATGGCCATTGACTCGGACTTCCCTGACCCCGGCTTCGTCCAAGCGGACGACGGCGTGTGGTATGCTTTCGGCACCAATGGCAATAACAGGACCGTCCAGGTCGCCAGGTCTCCGGACTTCAAGACATGGACCCTCCTTGATAAAGAAGCCCTGCCTACACTCGCAGGATGGGAGACCCAGATTGACCACTGGGCACCAGACGTAGTCCGACGAGTACAAACCCCCTCCAAGCCATTGCCCCCTTCTACCAAGAACCCCAAGCTAACCTACTAACAGAACGACGGCAAATACGTCCTCTACTACTCAGGCGAAGCCAAAGAGATGCTCAGACACCACTGCGTCGGCACCGCCGTATCTGAAGGCACCGATCCATCGGGACCCTACATCCCCAACCCCACTCCCCTCTCCTGCCGTCTCGACCAAGGCGGCTCCATCGACTCGTCAGGCTTCCTCGACAAAGACGGCACCCGGTACGTAGTCTTCAAAGTCGATGGCAACAGCATCGGCAACGGCGGTGATTGCAACAATGGCATCGCACCCCTGAAACCCACCCCAATCCTCCTCCAACAAGTAGCCACCGACGGCTTCACCCCCGTCGGCGACGCCGTGCAGATCCTCGACCGCGACGACAGTGACGGGCCACTCGTCGAAGCCCCCAACCTCATTCTTCACGGAGACACATACTTCCTCTTCTACTCGACTCACTGCTACACCGACCCGCTGTATGACATCCGCTGGGCAACCGCCAAATCAATCACCGGCCCATACACCAAGACGGGCGCCCAGCTGGTCAAATCCGGTGACTATAACCTCGTTTCACCCGGCGGAGGCACGGTCTGTGGCTGCGGCGATAAGATGCTCTTCCATGGGTTCTGTGGCGACAATAGACGGTGCACATATGCTGCAGATATAACTATCCAGGGCACTCAGGTCTCGTTTGTTTGATCGATTGATCGGAAGCATCTATCTTGGTTAGTTGTTTAGTATGGCGTTACGGGAGTTGTTTCGGTTCTTGGGGCTCTATTCATACCCTGTTATGTTGACATTGTCGTCACTGTATGTTATATATACCACCTTCGTTTCAGGCTTTACTGAGCCAGCCATGCGATCTGTTTTCAACTAGCAAAGAACAGAAGGACCTGCCTCACTACCAGCTCACCTGAATGAACAGCGCATTTCATTGCATCGCATCGCATCCCTCATAGAATTCCTTGTACATATCGACACCCTCAACCAATGAATCACAAACTAATCAGATACAACTCACCCCCCATATTTAATCATACACACTACCATGATTATTCCCCGATTCCCAAAAATAGAGAAAGAGGTAGAAACCTCAAAAACCATACTACAAAGCATTAGTAACAAGAAAGAGGAAGGAACCAAGAACAACGCGGTAGATGCAACTTCACAGGATGAAAACATAAAACATGCCATTGTTTGATAACTCATGAATGCATATTGTCTATCTCTTGTTTGGTCATATGTGATGGGGGTGGGTGTGTTTGTCTGTGGCTGGGGGCTCAGTAGGGGTGCTTGGCACATCGCATCGGATTAGAGATTGATGGATTGTTTTCAGGGGGGATAAGGGGGGTATGAGACTGGGTGATGATTGGTAGTGGGGAGGAGGAGGGAATTGGAAGAATGTGTGGTGTGTATGTGACACGATGATTATCAGGTCTTCTGGTTCGGGACTGAGCGTACTGGGTACTGTATGGAACGATTGGGTAAACAGAAAGAAAGACAGTACTGACTCATCTGTGAAGTCTAGAGGCAAGAAAAGAAAGAACAAGGATTCGGTTATGCTTATAGTACAGTTCATTAAGAGTAGGGTATCTATCTCTATAGTTATCTTCGTCATGATCGTCATTGCCAATAAGAATATGCCCGTATGTTCATGCAGCCTGTTTCTCAGACTTCTCTTTCCGCTCCTTTCGCATCTTTTCAGTACGCTGCAACCAAGCCGCAGTATCGGAAATCGCGGTGGCGGGATCGGATTTGTAGTTCAGGAGGTAGCCCTGGACCTCAGCGGCCGTGAACTCACCCGACGGAACCCGAGCCGCGAACTCTTCGGCCAATTTGAGAATCGCATCTGAGATGGGTGGAAGTTTCTCATCTCCGAGGTCCTTGAGGCCGTTCCGTGTACTATCCTTGGCGTTTCCGTTGGGCGTGATAGAGCGCAAGTCGCCCTCTAGTGTGGAATAGATGGACGAGAACAGTTCCTGGACATCTGCGGTTCGGGCGTAGCCAAAGGTGATGCTCATGTCGACTCGTCCTGGACGGAGGAGCGCGGCATCGAGCTTCTCAGGGTGGTTGGTCGTCATGATGAGGATCCGGCCTTCACTGGCTGCGACGCCGTCAATCACGTTGAGAAGGCCAGACAGAGTGATCCCTTTGTTGTCGGTGGTAGTTTCTTCCGAGGGCTTCTTGGCATCGGTGCCGTTGGGAGTGTTGGTGTTGGGAGCGGCCTTGTTGTCGGTATTTTTGCTGTCCTCTGGGTTGGCAGCGCGCTTTGACGTGATACCGGCGCAGTCGACATCCTCGAGAAGGACAATGCATCGTCGGGGTAGTTCCTGGAACAAAGACATGAGGTCATCCTCATCAAGGCTCTTCGAGCTTAGGTTCAGTAGATATAATGGGAGACCAAGGAGACCCGATGCCGCAAAACAGAGACTGGTTTTCCCAGTGCCGGGAGGTCCATGAAGCAGATAGCCACGGCGGTAGGGAATACCGCGATTGGAATACCATCTCCTCGTGCGGGGATGAAGGTACTCCTTGATGTCCTTGATGAATGCCTGTTTCTGAGCCTGGTCCAACACCACGGTGGAGAGAGGTCGGGGGTGGCGCGCCATGCACCGCACCCAGTCGGTGTACCCGCCGTTCTTCTGGCCGCGATAGATCAAAGTGCTGTTCCCATCTCGTGCCACCCACGCTCTCTGTGCTTCAGCCAGCAGCTCCTTCAGAATCGTCGGATCACGACCCAGACAGGAAATGAACAACCGCTCAGGCACGTATCGCATATACGAGATGGTGTTGTTGTTCTCCTCCTTGGCACGGGTGAAGGTCAGAAGACGACCCTTGAACCAGAAGAAATGCTTCCCTTCGGCCGGGGTGAAGCGGAGTCGTTTAAACTTGTCGCGTGCGACGGTTTTGGCCCAGTAATCCTCGAAGTCCGAGATGACATTTCCGTCCTCGTCGTACTCATCCTCATCTCCCAAATCTGCCTCGTCGTCGGAATCGTAGTACCGCGCTCCGCTGGAGATCTTGGTGCTGGCGACAAACTGAGTCGATCGTTTGGTAGCCGGGTGCTGCGCCATCCAAAACATGAGGTAATTGTATACTTCGTCCTCGAGGCGGATCTCGGCGGTTGAGACACAATAGTCGCTTAGGATCTCGTAAGACCGGATGTATACAAATTGGAGCGACGCAAGAAAAGCGATGGCGGTTAGAATGTAGGGAATATATTGAGAGACGTCGATATGCAGATAGGATATCAAGAACCGAGAGATGAAGGAGTATCCTGGAATGAAGACATCCAGCATGGCAGTCTCGGACGGATTGAGGTACTGAGAAGAGGTTGCGTTCATGGCCGCAGTGTTGTTGACTGTAGTGCTGAGAGAGGGGTTGAAAGCCATAATGAGAATCGCGCGACCGCAGTGAACCCGTTGATAAAGCTTTTGCGCATACGTGAGGAGGAGTTGTGTAACCAAGATACAATGGGGGATTTGATCAGGGAGGGGTGGTGAATGATGTATGAAACGACCTTTAGCAACCAACACCGGAGATGAATGAAAGCTGCAAAACCAATGCAATGTCTGGATGAAAGAGCTCTCTCTCTCTCTCTTCGAGCATCAGCTCGTCCTTTATAATTCCTCGCGAGTGATCAAGGCCAAGGCCGGCAGCTGGCAGGCAGCCAGACAGGCTGACACGGCGGTGCCCGCATAGGGTTGGTAGGCATCCATGAAGGATCTAGAGCGCGGTAGTGTAACGGTGCCCAAGTGGAGGCAAGTGGAGGAAAGGGGAATGCCCGCCTGACGGGGGAAGCCACTTGAGTCATCGCCGGGCGCCCATCGCAGTGCCAAAACTCGCCGATCGCGGGTTTCACCGCCCCAGCCTTTCAGCCGCATCCCCCTCCTCAGCGTGTCGGACAACCCTTGAGGAAAAAGTCATTCGATTCTAAGTCACAGTAAAAGTCAAAGTGGGTATCTTGATGACGTATTATGGGTTCTGGTCCCTTTCCAAAAAGCCGCGCCCCGCAAAAATAACAATCCAACAACCAAACAACCAAACAACAATCACACGAAACAGAAAAAGAAGCCGCAGCCACTCGGTCTATGTCTATCGTCACGCTCCCGTGAAGTTGTCCTTCACAGTGTCGAGCAGGTCGGTCGCCCACTCCTTGGCTTCCTCGAGTTTGTCCCAGAGGGTGCCCCACCAGGTCAGATCCTCTTCGTCCTCGTCCTCGTCCTCGTCCTCATCCTCATCCTCATCCTCATCCTCATCCTCATCCTCGTCATCGTCATCGCTATCCGAATCAGGCGCAGGCTGAGCTTCTGGCGCAGTTTCCGTCGGCGACGCAGAAACGGATGTTTCTGCCGAGGGCATCTTGGTTGGCGTCAGACCGGCGGCACTGCTGGGAAATGGTGGGTCGGACGGACTGTCCAAAGCGGGCGTGCTTTCGTCGGAATGAAGGCCTATCGTTTGGAGAGGCAGACGCAAGGTTCCATTATTCGGATGTGGTGTGACTCCGAGAGAGTCACAGATGATGTTGTAGACATTGACATTTTCTACATTGGTCAGCTCAGGCTCGACTCATAGTTAGCACACAAGGATGACTCACGGAATGCTTCTAGCCGGCTGTTGGGTTCATGGGGGAATGCGGGTCCCCTGGCGATGAAGATCGCCCGCATCAAGGGGTGCTCGTGGTCGTATCCATGGATGCCTCTTGGGTGGTAGACCTCCCCATTTGCCAGGGCTTTGCGGGCGTCGAAGTCGACACGCTCGACAATCGCCCAGCCAGTCTTTGGGATCACCCATAGAGGAGCGATTCGGTCGTTGTTCTGAAAATGGTAGCGTTCAGGCATACTCTCACGCGTATAGATCTCGACCGCATGCGAATAGTTCGCTGCCACGTTCTCAAGCTGCTCCTGAAGGACCTTGAGATCCTCTGGTCGTTTCGGACGCAGCCCACGCAACGGCCACCCGTCGATGCGCTGGACTAGATCCAGGTCGACCAAATCTTCCAGCTGTACTAATCGCTCGGTGGCAGTTGTTGCCATGCCATGGTCGGAGACAATCACAATATTCACAACGTCGGTAAGGTTGCGTGCCTCGATCCCGGAAAATAGACTGCCAAGCATATCGTCCACCTTGGAGATGGTGCCCCGAGTCTCAGTGCTGTTAGGACCGTAATTGTGCCCATCTGCATCAACATTGGGGACATAGGCAGCGATAAACTGAGGTCTCTGTGGCGCAACATCGGACTCGGCTTCTATCCCAGGCATATCCAATAGACCCAGGATGCGGTCCACTTTCAAGGAAAGCACCTCCGAGCCGTTGAACTGATCCAGATAGGTTGGATCCATGCCTCCAATATGTGCCTCCGAGCCAGGCCACATATGGACAGCGGTCCTCACACCCTGCTCTTCAGCCGTCATCCAAAGTGGCTCAGCATTCCACCATTTTGGTTGCATGCTGACCGAAGGGTGGGTGTAATAGAACTCTTCCTGCAACTTCGGGTCCCAGAAAGTATTCCCAACAATTCCGTGGCTCTCGGGATATAATCCAGTTACCAGCGTAAAATGATTCGGGAAGGTCACGCTAGGAAAGCTGGGGAGCATGTACTGCGGCGAGACGCCGTTTGCGATAAAAGAGCTGAGGGTGGGAGTCAAGCCGCGAGTGAGAAAGTCCGCTCGAAAGCCGTCAAGGGATATCAAGATGGTGGTGGGCGCAAACAAGGCAGTGCCGTTAGATAGCACGGGCCGGGAGGAGTGGGGAAGCCGATACTTCGCCGAAGCTTTGTATGCTCCCAACCAGAAGATGAGCAGAAGAACAAAGATAGCGGAGAAGATCAGCGCAAGTCTGCGCCATGAAACGCGCCGTGGCTGATCATAAGAGATCAGCAACCGAAATCCTTGTATCATCCATAATGAGTTTGTTGCTCATGATCCATACCTGTACATATGCGTATTCTTTGGCCCGCGTATCCAAGTCGGACGAAGATGCGCTCAGGAGGGAGAGCTCATCATCCCGGTGCCCCTCTTCCATCTCGAACATTATCTCTGCGGATTCACGCTTCTTCCCATAGCGGGCCTTGCGTGCCTCCCTTCTAGCCTGACGCTGTCGTCTGCGTTCTTGCTTTCCGATTCTAATGCTGCTGCTGCTTGGACTGAAGATGCGGCGAAGGCCATGGGTTGGCCCGCTTCGGGTCAGCAGTTTCTCCGTCTCTTCTTCGTCATCGAGAACCGTGCGATCGTGTTCGGCGAGTTCTAGTGTGGTGCGGGAGTTCCGAAGGAATTCGTCATCTTCTGAGTCAGAGTCCTGCTCTGACGGAGAGCGTAACGACTCGGCGTCCTCGTCATAGTCGCCGGGAGAAAGAAGGGAGGAGGTGGGAATGTTGCGTCGTAGAGGCATGGGTGGCGGAAGGTGGCACCAGGCCGAAGTGCAAAGGGCACGGAGGAAGGACGGATCGACCCCGGAGCTGGTACGACGGGACGTACGGAGGGGTGGATAGGGGATGGAGATGGGGGAGCTGAATCACGATGGGGAACTTGGGGATGGGCTGTCCTCGAGGAGGCGATCGGCAGATCTCCGGGCCGGTGCCGCAGGGTCCCCCGTCATCTTCCACGGAGTCCTCTTCTCCACTGCACTTGCATATCTGTCTACACAGTACCTCGGGGGATGAAAACTCTAGGTAGATGCAGCAAGAAGATTAGCTTTCCAAGTTGGCTGCATAGAAATGTCTACGCATCATGGTGCTCCATTTCTTCCCCCAAGCGTTAAGAAAATGCTGATGTTATCTGCGTGAAGCTTCACAAAGCTCCTAACCCGAGGCATTCAAACTCACTAACACAGCAACTGCTTGCTAATATGATGACTGAGACTATCCTTGCTCTGTCTGCGCTCCAAGGTGGCCCGATGACGGTCTGCGCTTGATGGTCTCAGAAGGCATCGAATGAAGGAGGGATAAAGCGACCAGAAAACATAGTAAACAACAGGGGAGGGGTTGGTTTTTGACACGGCTGGAGGCGACAACTCGTCTACTCCGTACAGCATCGAGCACGCCCGACATCTTTGCTATAACAAGCAAATGACATTGGCAGCACTGGGACATGCAATCCCGTCCATATCACCAACGGATTTACTGAGCTTCCGAGGATCGACTAAGATGACCCTCTCTCTGTGGAAGATGCCCAATCTGCACTGGTCTGGTTCATTCTATTGAACTTTACTGGATGTTAGGTATGGAAGACTATGCAGCATTCTGCTTGCGATTTTGGACACGATCGGGAACGATGGGACTGCAACGTGGTGAGCTTAATCGATTCAATTGACACCATCCCAGATGCTTCCGTCTATTCTGAAAATATCACCCAGCTTCATAAGCGAGACTGAGCCTGAAGATTGCCGATGAAGAATGGATCGACATTCCTTCGCTGCTCGCTGATTCCGGCCGCCCGATTGCCCCTTCAGGAAACCCCGCGGGAGAAGGCTCCGGGTCACATGATATGGGAGGCCCTGCACGCCGCATCTGCTAACAGTAAGCTTCAATATCTACATCCGGGCGGCTATAAATGCTGCTATTTTGAGCGATGTCAATACTACTCCGGAAGCAGTGCTGTGCTTCCCACGTTTGTTCCCACCCTACGGCATCCGGTTCTTCAGACCTGCTATTCGTGGATGGCACCATGGAAAGCTACTTTGTCCCCAAGTCTAAATCGACCGACGCTGATGGTACCGGATTGGTATGACAAGGAAGCTATAAAGCACCCGGAGATCCAAACCCATCTGTCTGCCTTCTTATCTACTTCTTCCAGTCCTTAGGCCTAAGTGTGTTGTTTGTACTACATAAAGCAAACGACCTCTTTCAACTTGTGTTTGTTATCTTTCCTAAGCACCCTACCCACGATGCACTTTTCAAACCATGTTGTGGCCGCTCTGGCCATCGCAGCTGGCACGGTTCATGCTGCCCAGAATGAAGCGTCAACGGCGGTCTCTGAATATCCAAGTGCCGCTGCCTCCGTGAAGCACCCCGGCCCAGAATATAGTACTCCTGAAGCCAAACCCACAGCTTCCACCGTTCCCACAGCATATCCCAATGCCGCTGGGACAGAGTCCGCGGCGCCTATTCCAGCCGCTGGCTCTAGTGCCCCGGTTGCAGAGTCCCCTGCTCCTAAGACGAGTGTCCCACTCATCAAGTCGAGTACTCCCCAGACTCAGCCGGCTGCCAGTGTTCCTGCTGCTGCTGCCACTACGCCTGCCGCGGATGCTCAACCCCCAGCTGCTGGATCTAGTGTTCCTGCAGCTGCCGTCGCCACGACACCCGCCGCGGAAGGCCAACCTCCCGCTGCTGAATCCAGTGTTCCTGCAGCTGCCGTCGCTACGACGCCCGGCGCAGAGACCCAGCCCACCGCTGCCCAGACAAGTGTGCCTCTTATCAAGCCCTCTGCGGAGAGCGAGGCCGCTCCTGAAACAAGTGCCCAGGCCACTCAGCCTTCTGTCCCGGCAGTCGCACCCGAAATTCCTCTGACCACCGCACCTACTACCAAAATTCCTCTCACCACCGGTACCCCCAGTACCGAAACGCACAAGTACTCCAACTCAACTACTTCAAAGACAACCCTCTCGACCGCAACCGGCGGCAGCAACGGTGGCGGTGGTGCCACTGTTCCGGCCGCACCCACCACCACCGGATTCGAGCCGTCCAGCTCAGGCATCAAGATGATTGTCCCCGGCCTGGCCCTTGTCGGCAGCATCGCCATGGGCCTGCTCATGCTCTCATAAACAACAGACCCCTAATACTGTCTCTCGTTTGATTTCTGATACTACCCATCATTCGGATGTTGCATGTACCCAAAGCGGCTGTTTTATAGATGCGAGTACTCACTCTGCCCTGAATATTCTAATAATCCCCAATGAGAAGTGGAAGCTCATACATTCCTTTATTGATTCCTCCTATCATTCCCTCATCCATCTTACTCACATCTTTGCTACTCTCCTTTTACACCTTCACCCAAAACTATACACCCACCATCACTCCTTTCCACCACCGACCTCTTGACAAAAACAACCCCGTTTTTCCTTGTTGAAGGCGTATCCGGCGTTTTTTGGATTGAAACTTGACTTAACTTAGATCTTGGTTTTATCTTGAAGTACCCAAGTTATTGAAAGTTACAAGTTAGAATTTTACTTCTTGATCTACATCAATCTTTTTTATTATCCTATGCATTCATCTAGAGTTTAGTGCAATGGTGTAATGGAGATGATTGCAAAGTTTACTACTCTGTATGTAGAGATAACTTGTCGAGTGATGGGCCATGGAGCCCGGCAGAAAGGAGGAGGAGGGGGGGAGGAGAGGCCGAATCTTAAGTAGAATGGGACTCTTATCTCATCGTAATAGAATTTATACTGGTATATCTTAATCTTATGTTATATGATCACATTTCTTTGTAATACCATCATTCACAATAGATTCTTCTAATAATCACATTCATTATTATGCGTAGATCAATCATATCAGATAGCATGAAATCAAATCAAGTCATATAGATCAATTTTTTTTTTTTTCACCTCCCCTACACCACTCCTGACTATTCCGTCTTAGTTGAAGTCATGTTATCTTCGTCATGTCGCAACCCAATTCACCCATTTACAAGAACATCCCCCCGTCCCACCATCAACGCCACCGTAGTCTCCAGTAGCATTGCTCGACGAATTACTATACAGATCGAAGATGCCCGGGGCGGGATTGACCAAATGGCCACCGTACGACCGGTTCTCGATCTGCAATTTTACGTCCGTTGAGTTGATCTTCTCGTCACTCTCCATTCCGTAACAGTAGACCATTTTCTCTTTGGCGTCGCCGCCATGTCGATCGAGTGTGATGGTCACGGGGTATGGGAAGGATCCGGGCCGGGTCCAGTCCGTTGCGGAGGAGTTTGCGGTGGATGTGGCTGTGGATGTTGCGGCGGATGTTGTGGATGTTGATGATGATGAGTTGGTCGAACTCGGGAGGAGGGTGCTGTTGGAGCGGGTCCAGATTTGGATAAGGAAGCGGGTCTGCGACCATGTGCATCGGACGCGGGCGTCGGATTCGTTCGATCCGCCGTTTTGGTCGTTGGGGTCGTCGTCGGTTGTGCTGCCGTTGAGGGGGGCCAGAGAAGAGAGGAAGATGGAGCGGTCGAAGTAGGTGTAGAAACCGTAGTGTTCTGTGCTGAGGCCGCGGTTGTAGAGACGGACGGGTTGAGATGAGGGCTGTGGGTATAGGGTTGCGGCGGCGGCGGTTCCGTCGGAGGTTTCGTCTGGTGAGGGGATGATGGTTGCGAGGTTAGGGAAGGAGCTGTCGGATCTTCGCGCCAGGCGAAGGGTGGATGTAGATGTCAAATGGCTGGCTGAGAGGATAGTCATGTAGAAAGGGGTCTCTTCGCCTGCGTAGGGTGTGGTATTGTTGTCGGTGGTGTTGCCAAGGAATGTCTGGTCCTTCAAGCTTGGTGGTGATGGTGATGGGCTGTAGGAGTTATCGGAGCTCCTAGAGGAGAGCGTTTTGCTGGACTTTGAGGCAATTGTGGTGCTGTTTGGATAGGTTCCGTTGCGGAACTGGATTTCCACGCGAAAGTTCGGCTCGTTGGCGGCGTAGGGCTCGTTTGCGGATTGTTCTTCTGGTGGCAGAGCGCAGCTCCAGAGGGTGGATGGAGCTATGCAACCTGAGACTTGTGTCTGGGGCTCTGGTCCTGCAATTGTTGCGATGCCGGTAGGCATCGGTGGATAGCCGGTGAGATTGAGCCACTGCGACTGCACCGGTGTTGAGTCGCCCTTCCTTGTCAACGTCATCACCAGGAGAAGAATGATTGCTATAATTATGAGAAAGGACGTCAGGATCGCCAGGTACCACCGGCGCTTTACTTTGTCCTTTTTGTCTTTCTTAGACCCGCCTCTCCCACAGCAACAACAACAGAACCCGAGAAATTTCTTTCCCTTTTTGTTTTTTTTGTCCTCGTGCTTCTCCAATGGCTTCCGTCGGATCTCAATGATCTCCCTTTCTATTATTGTGTTTGTCATTTCATCTCGCGTAGTAGGAAGTTGCTCCATGCGAGGAGGTAGAGCGGACGAACTATTGTGATTGGAAGTGTATGCAGGCGCTGGGCTAGTATGCATATCGGCTAAGGGAATCGACCCGCCTCTCTCAGTGGCTTGTTGAAGGCCAGGAGACGTAGGGTTAGGGGGCTGTGGCTGGGCCTCATGTTCCTGAGGAGGGAACGTGAAATGCTGAGGTAGAGCTCGATCGGGGGGCGCTATAAGAATCGGTGATGGGACAGTAGCAGGTTGGACATAAATGACCTGAGGGGGAGGTGCTGGTGGGACTATGGGCTGAATGGCCGGCTGAGGTGCCGGTTGAATTATTGGCTGTATGGCTGGCTGGGGTGCTGATTGGATGATTGGTTGGAAGATGGGCCAGGATATCTTCCTTTGGGATTGGCTGTCTGTTGGTGGTGCTAATCCCTCGACCCCTCCTTGAGCACGCGTCATGAGGGGGGGGTCTTGAGGGATCTCCCTCGTTTGTCCATTGGGGACAGGTTCATCAGAAGGGTGTTCGCTTTGAGGTTGCGCAATAGTCTCGTCCGGAGAGCGTTCACTTTGGGGATGTTCACTCGGAGGGTGCACACTCGGAGGATACACACTGGGAGGGTGCGAAACCATAGCATGCGAGCTTGGAGGGTATCCCCTTGAAGTACATTCACTTGGAGGACGCTCGCTTGGAGGATGTTGGCTGAGCCGGTACTCAGTTAGAGGGTGCCCACTAAGGTTATTGTCACGAGCATCGTTGTTCTTGATATCATCTAGGGGACCCTCTGACCTCTTGTCCATTACACTGGGTTCGTACAAGGTCCGCGCCCCTAGAGTCGCGGGTATTGCGACTCTTGAGTTTCGATCTTCATCCCGTGGTGTGTCAACATCGATAAGAAGGCCCTTTTCATGTGAGCTGACCGGAACTGCATTCTCAGTATAGCCCGGTATCTTGTCTTTGGGTGTGATGGAGCAAACATGGTTGACACATTCGAAATATGGCCTTCCGCTGAACAATTCGTGGGCACAAGCTTGGTAGTACTCGGCAGCAGACCCCTGAATTGGCTGGCCAGGAAACATAAAGGATGATGCACCCAGATCCCCTGTTTCCACGGTCTGATCCTGGTTGCCCAAGTCTTTCTCGTCAAATGAATTCACACTATCATCTGACCAATCGGATAGTTCTTCATTATGGTGGGCCACTGCTGCCTCTGGTGTGTCGGGGGAAAAGCAAGATACTTCTTTCTCCCACCACTCGTCGTTTGATGCTGCTAAGTCGGTTGTGATACTGGGGACTGGTGGTCTAGTAGGCTCCGTTGGTGTGGTATTACCCAAGGCTATGCTGAAGCGACCCATCAAAGGCGAAAGAAGATAGGTCCACCACCCTTCTGACTGATGTCGATTTGCTTCGGTATTGATGCTCAACCTATCTTGGATCTTTTTGACCGTCCCGCTGGAGTAAGAGCGAGAACGACTCGCACGTCGCATATCGTCTTCTTCGAACACAGTCCCGGTCGAGAACGCACGTTGTCTCCCTGCTGAAGCTATAGAGTGCATCTGTGCAGGCTCGATTCCTGTGTTTTCAGCCCCCCTGAGAAAGGGAAAGTCCGGAATGGCAGGCACCGGTGGTATATCGAGGTCCTTGTCTTTGTCGTCGGGATATGGGGTTGGCTGGGAGTAAATGCTGGATGCTATCCTAGGACGCGGATGCACTGGGCCAATACCGGTCCAGAATGTATCTTCTTTGGCCGGTGTGACAATAATCGAGGGGGTCAGTGCCGCTCGTTGGGCCTCTCCTGTGTTCACTTTCAGCTGTCTCTCATGAGAGCTTGGGGATTCATCAAATGGCATGCTGAGCCCAATCATGATGGGTCGATCAGAGGGTGAAAGGTCGTCTTTGCCCTTCTTCCTTCCCCGCATATTGAATAACGACAGGCGTTTCTTTTCTGATCCGGAGGATCTATCAGGGGGTTGGTCGAACTCCTGGTTCGAGCCCTTCTTCAGTATTCCTCTGATACCATGTGTGGCCCTCTCCTGTTCTCGTGCCTTTGAAAGCGCCTTCAAGTCATTCAAATCCATCACCGTCGGATCAGATTCATCTTGCAGACCATTAGGACCGGCCGGAGAGAAGTCTGTGACCAGATTCAATCCAGGAGGTCGGTCAGACCTCTTCCCAGTGTAAAGACTCAGGTTGCCGAGACCCTGTTGGTTCGGTTCCGTTTGATAAGAATCCCGTGTCCCTTCCACTGCTTCCTGCTCTTGTGCATGGTGATCCTGTCCTGCTTTGCGTATGAATGGATTCTTGCGTGTTGCTTTGTTCAGGAAAGCGAAGGGTCGATTTCTTTCCATTTCATGGTCCTCAGGGGACGAAGGCACCGGGCTAGGAACCTCCTCTGTGATGGGTGACGACAGAGGGAAAGTTGGAGCTGCAGGTATTCGTAGTTCTGCTGGTGGTTTCTGCATTCTGGAAACCGTATTGCCTGTGTGGCCAACACGGTTGCCTTGTACTGAACTAGGAGATTAGTTGTTGGGTCTGAATCGGGCGAACTGGATTGGACCAAGTACCGTAAACTGTATGATGCGTTTTGATAAGGTTGTTTGGGTATTGAACAAGCAGGTCAACTGCAAGAATGTGAGTCTTCCGCTGATGGATTGTCTGCCTGGTGATTCAATAGGAAACAAAGAAACCCAGGACGGCTATTGTTGTCAATAAAGAATCCACAGGTGAGACAGCCGTGAATGGATGAATGGAACAATGGTCTTCAGAACAGGTACCAGCTTCAGCACAACCGCACCCGCTGTTGTTCACACATGGTACATCTGGTGGAGAAACAAAGAGTAAAGATAAAGAAAAATAGGCCAAGATTGAATCCAAACTCAAAGTTCCGATGGCGCCAACGTTGAGAAAGGGGAGAGAGATACATGGACGGGAAGACAACGGGGGACGAAGAATTTCGCGAAGAGGAATAACACGAGCGGTCCCAGGAAGCGCAAGCAAGTGATGCAAATCATGCAACAGCTATCCATCCTGGCCCTGGACACCTGCCGGCCCGCATGGTCCTGACTATTAATTTGGCAGAGGACCAAATCCTCCGAGCTCCAGACGGTCGACCCGGACGGGTTGACTCCATTGGGCAGGAATGCTTGATCGGCTCTGCAGACGGATGTTTGACATGGAGCTTGCGGGAGGGATTGGCTCCTGAAGAAGCAGAGGAAGCTTTGTAGCCGCCGATGAGGGGACGGCGCGAACAGAAGTAGATCCGAGACGACGGTGAGGTTGCAGAACTGCCCCCGTGCGCCAATCAGCGGCCCGCACGCCCGTGACAAAAATAGCCCGTCTGCAGATTCTCGCCGCTTTTCAAAGAGTCCAAGACACCGGTGGTGGCCCGTGAGCCCAACCCCCTCACATTGCGATTTGACTACGATTCGTATGATGGCCCAAGTGCTTCCGGTAGAAGGCCTGGTCGAGGGTTCAATCGACGGGGCTGCCAATCCGCAGCACCCAATGCTGTGACATCTGATTTCCAGAGGTATCCGTATAACAACATACATATAATAAACAAGCCATGGGGATATCAAGTCCAACACCAGACACACTCCTTTTCCATCCAACGGCGAATCGGGTTCCCTTGTTAGCCTTCTTCCGTACACACACTGCGAGCTCGACCACACCGGCAATACAAGATGATGCAGACGAATAAACACTTTCCACGCCCAAGTCCAATTCCCAGGGAGTCTACCCCCGACCCCAAGAAGATGCAACGGAACACCACCAAAGGTATAATGTAGGAGGGGGGACGGAAAGAAAAGAGAGGGGGTGGAAATGGCGGGTTGGTGGATCAGTGAAGCAGATTGTCGCTCAAATGACAATAACCACCCAAAACAAATCTACAAAGCCAGATGGCCAAGTCAAATACCAGGTCTAGAGCACAGGGGAGTATGGCCTGTGTCAAGCAAAAGTAACCGTCACCAATGCATTCATCGCGGGGCCATTCCATGGCAAATGTGCGGTAGCCAACCATCGGCTATCGTCGTTCATCGCTATACTGCACCCCTTGCATCGGAGCAACCGTCCCATTCATGAGAGGGGGCAGCGTACGAGGTTGTTCTTGCGCCATTCCCGACCCAGGGGCATAACCGGAAAAGATCGGGCCGTGTACCTGCCCGTTCGGCTGAGGAGCCGTCATAGAATGGTGCTCGAAGATGGACGGCTGTCGGGATTGGCCGTTGGCTTGCTGCTGACTGAGTTGAGCGCGCATCTCTTCAAGCTCGCTCCTCAAGACCTCATTTTCTCGGCGAGTACTGCCGAGCATCTTCTCCAGATGAGCGATATATTCGATAGCTGGAAGAAAGTTAGCCAAAGAACAATGAACGGATCCCAAATAGGCTATGGTGTGAAGTACCTCTTGTAAGTGTCTCCCATTTACTAGACTTGTTGTTTTGACTCTGTGGGAGGCGTACACGCAAGGCCTCGAAACAATCCTTCATCTCACTGCGGCGCTTTCGCTCCGCCAACTTATGTGTGACCCTCAGCTCCGGGGTTCTGCTATAGGGTGTGCTGCCACTGTGTGCCTCGGACTCTCCGATTAGGCCACGGACTTGCTTGTGTTGCAAGGAATGGTGGTGTACATTTTGTGGTAGTTCTACACAGGTCAGAGGATCATGTAGTGTAAAGGACATAAGGCTGGCTGGAACACATACCATGCTGTCCACGGGGCAACCGTGCATCGGAATATACGCTGCTGGCCAATGATTCGGCAGTACTTCCTTTCCGCGAGAACTGGTTGGTAGACTTTTCCGTGGTGGAAGAGACGGAATTGGATCGCGCAACGTCTGGGTCTGGGAAAGCGTATGCGAGACCAGCGGTAGGTGCCTCGGCATTGTAAATTTCCGAGCGAGGATTTGATGAGATCGCAGGGGCAGTGCGGCCAGCTGCAAACCCGCGATGTTCGCCAGCCCGTGGGCCAAGTGGAGAAAGCGGCTGCCCCCCAGAATAGCGAGGACCACGGTAGGAGTTGTTCATGTTCACATCCATGGATATACCTCGCTCTCTCTGAAGGCCCGAAACGATAGATGTTTGGGAGACATTCGTACTGTGGTAGGGGGAGGCCGGGTTGATGGCTAGTGAGCTAATCCCTTGGTTCACTCTACTATCCACACTGCTCCGTCGTGACTCAGGAGGTTCCACGATACTACCTCGTTGAGAAGGAACATCATAATTCTGGTTAATGGAAGGTAAGGTGGTATTTGGTTGAGTAGAACCAAAGTTTGGCGAGGGCTGCGCCCCCGCGGAGGAAGGGGTATTGGTGTTGGAGTGGTCGTTGGGATAAGGAGATCGATCCGAGACATAGGATGCGCGATTGGGGGAAGGCTGGGAGGATGTGAGGAAGGAGAGGGAGGGATAATTGCCGGTTCCATTGGTTGCGGTAGAATAGGTAGACGACCCTAGGGAGAAATCAGCCTCCGCATGTAAGAACGGGTGAGACGAAGACTTACTGGTACTTTGAGGCATCGACCAATTCCCTGAATCGCGCTCTATCGTATTTAGGGAGGCATTCCCCGGTGATTTCTCGGCCTGAGTGGGGATACCGCCGGCCATACTTGCCGTCAAAGTTGAAATGGACGGCAGAGTCTGAGTCGACGATACCGGGGGGGTGTGCGGACCCGTGGTAGCAGGCTCCCAGGGCCGATGAGTAAGGGTCGTCTCCATGATAGTCGGCTAACGGGTATCTCGGTAATGTAACAATGTATAAGATAAGACGGTTCAGGCGAAAGGAGGCGTAGAAAAAAGGCGCCTTCGCAGAGAATGTGTTCGGACAGGTCTGAATGGTGTAGAAGCCAGTGTCCCTCCGCTATCTCATATTCGACGAATCGCCACAGCACGTAGTTGAACAGCAAACGTTAGACGTTGACTGACAAGCCGATCTCTGCGATGGAGACCGTATTCAACCTTATGTGACTAATGTGGGATTGGTGTGAAGCGCGTGAGTTCAGTGCAGGATCAAACCGACTCAAACTGGCGCGTGGGGTCAATCACGATGGGGAGGTCGCCGCTGTATTGCACGTCCTAGGTCTAGCAAAGCCACTGCAAGAAGGCCAGTTCGAGCAGATTGGGTAGGATGTCTGTTCCCTTCCGACACTCAATCCCGTAGGGATAACACGCAGCGTGTGTGTGCTGTAGTCGTGCGACAAGAGCAAAGCGGCGGTCACTATGCGAAAGGTACGAGCGCAAATGCCGTGCGAAATCGGTAACGGTAAGTAAAGTCGAGTCAAAACCGTAAAGGTATTTCCTCCAGGAGAGAAAAAAAAGTTGCCGGGGAGGAGAGGAGGGCGGGAGAAACCGTCTTGGTGGAAGCGAGCGGAGGACGGAGAGGTGGGAGGGACAGGAGGAGAGAGGTAGGTTATACAAGAGATCGGCGAAGGAGAGAAGATATGCGATGAGAATGCAGGTGGAGGAACAGGTGGTAGGAGGGAAAGGGAACACTAAATCTTAAGTAAAAGGGAACAAATCGTGTCAGCTTCGGCCACATGGGGGAGACGGAAATTATGTACGGCAGGGCCAATGGTTCCGGGGCATGGGTTTGCGGTGCAGGACTGGAGCTTACCAGATGGCGAGGGTGCAAAACGCTCGGGCGGCGCAGCGGAACGTGGCACGAGATTAAAACGACGAACAATTGGGCAGGAAGAAGTGTTAGGGCAAGGTCCCCGACCGATGGCCAGCAGAACCTTAACGTGACCGGCTAGAACGATGGCTGCGGGGAGGGAGGGGAGGAGGGGGCAAATGGTTGAACCGACGAAAGAGAGTGTGGAAAAACGAGAGAGAAGGAAGAGACTGGCAGGAGACGGGCGAGGGCACGGCAAGGCAAGGCAAGGCAAAGCCGTCGTGGGACGGGCTGGACTGGAGGGGAGCAGCGAGGAGGAGAAGAACCGCCAGACAGACGAGGAGGAGTTGGAGGAGTTGGAGGGGGGCCGCGGTTGAAGAAGGACAAGAGTGGGTAATAACTAGTAAGTAGTCACCAGTAACAACGAACAACTAACCACCGTCGTAGCAGCACTAGATACTAGTAGATGGTAGAACGGTGACAGTAATAAGAATAGTAGTCGTGGTCGTCGTAGTCCTCCTCGTCTAGTTCGCAGGAACAAGACTGTGGCACTGGTGCTGGTGCTGGTGCTGCTGGTGGTTTTGGAACCTGGATGGATCGGGCGGGAAAAATGCTAGGGAGATGGGAACTTCAACTTAGTCGCGGGAGCTATTCGGACTAGTTGGTCACTTTAGGGCGGGTCTGGATGAGAGACAAAAAAAAAAAATAATAATAATAATTAAAATAAAATAAATCGGATGAAAACTAAAAACGATGGGCAACCGAGTGCAAGCGGTTCGAGAATTCAACAATCGGAGACAGACCTGGACAAAGGAAAAAAGAGGTTGGAGAAGAGGGAACGCAGATAGGCATTAATTGATATGATCGAAGGTGATACCTCCTAGCCTGGTGGAAAAGGGACCGTCTTGAAGAGGGCCAGCAGGCTGTAAGTAATAGTACGGGGGGGAACCTGGAGTGCAAGGCAAAGGTACCGATGCAGCATCGCAAGCAAAATAAGAATGACGAGATCGAGTGACAGATGCAGTTTACCTAACGCCAAAATAAATTTTAATTTAAGGGCTGGAACAAAATAAATAATATTAAGGTAAAATAAAATCAATGTGAGATTCGGAGAGTGAAGGACGGCCAGAAAGGGAAAAAGAAAAGAATTACACTGGGGGAAAATAGGTGGTGCCGCCCACTCACCCTCTCCCAGTCACTCCCACCCCTTCCTTCTTCCCTCCCACCTTCTATGTATGAGAGGCAGTCAGTCATATTCTATCAAAACTAATGTCTGTCTGCTTCGCCCTTAGCATTGCCATTTTCCCTTCCCACCGATTTTTACTTTTTTCCTTTCCCCTTCCTCATTTAAATTTTGAACATAGACTGTATGGCTGAAGAGAGATGAGGATTACGGTTCGCTGCCGCATGATTTTGTCTTTCATCCATCTCGTCCGCTGCCCAGCCACATGAGACACCCAGGTTTTATACGAATGCGAAAGTATTGATGGGTAATTAGACACCTGACAAGTACAGTCCTGTACGAGGGCCAGAGAGACCTGGGCGAGAAAATGTCGCTTGGCACTGCGGACTCGACCGGTACGTGGTCAGCACTCGTCGCCAACAATTGGACAGGCCTTGAAGCCCATCTCAACAGGATCATCCGCTAAAGGCGACCATTTCTCCGTGGCTCAAGGAGCCTACAGACTATTCAATACGTCCATATGATAAGTAACCTCAAGAGGCGCACCGCAACGGACGAGATGAAAGACCGGAGGGCTGTCTAGCATAGGTCATAGAAGGGGAGCCCGTCTGGAAGCAGCCAAGCATTGGACGGATGGGCACTACTGCGCGCGAAAGCAGACAAGAAAAACAAATTAGTAATAATCCCAAATTCAAAATTCAACATCAAAAGAAAATCGAAATTCAATATTTCCAAATCAATGGGGAGTCCACCGCCACGAGGCGGCCATTTCTGGGGGTCCGACCCAGGGAAGAGGCAGAGCCTGTCGCCAGCAGCTCATTCCGTGGGTGGCAGCTCTGCCACAATTTTTAGCATGAGGCCGAAGAATGGTCGGTTCTTCGCATCAGACTTTCCAACATGGTTTTTCCGTGTCCAAAACTCTGCCGGTCGACGCGTCGAGGTCCAGCCCAGTCACATACGCAGTGGACGACCGATCAGTGTAAATGTCAGGTACCAAACTTGAAGTTGCTTAGTCCTCCACTAGCGATTTAGCGCATCGGATAGCTCTGCTGGGGTTTAAAGGGAATTTCTGCTTCGCTTTCCCTTTTCTCGGCAAGATCAGAGCCACGTTTGACAGTTCCCCGTCCCTCCCAGGGAATTATTGGGACTAATGACGCCTTGCGCCCACCCTCGTCACTGTCTCGATCTTGCCGGTTATCAACCGGTCGCTTCCGCCTGCCTTGGCTCATGATACATACGATATTGCCTGGCCCTGAAAGGCGGTAGTACGTACTCCGTACTCCGTCCTCCGTAAATGTTCGCCAATCTTTCCATCGCACCGCAAACGAACGGAGATCGCCTTCCTGGGCCAGGGATCGTATCTGCGATGGAAAAAGCTCGAACGAGACTTGTCCGAGTTGGGTAATCCCAGAACCTGCCTTGGGTAATCCTCACGCAGATCGTACCGAGGTTACTTTGCGCGCAGGAGGACTAGTTTTCCCGGCGATGCTATCTAACCGGTCCATCGGGGAGAAATTGAATGGAGAAGGGAGACCACGGGAAAGGAAAGCATCCTTTAGACCCGAATCCTTCTGTACTATCATGCTCCTGCTAGGTCGGCCGATTCAACAGTTCAACTTTCCAGACTGTCACCGGCCCCACGCAGCTACTAGGCCAAGTGGGATCCATAACTTTCCCATCCAACGGGAAAAGTTTGTGTCTGCCTGTTGGAAAGTTGGGGAGGGGCCCAGGGAATTCGGGAAGGCTCGATGCCCGTTTGGGCAAGGGGCTAGCCAAATGGGGCAATCGTAGCTCAGACCAGCCGGGAAGTGGGGCCCAGAATGGATGGAGAGGCGATCCAGCTCGGATGGCCCAATCAACGGCCGGGCCGCTGGCATGGCAAATGCACCCTCCACGCCTGCAAAATGTCCCGTGGGCTGAAGAATTCCCGGCACCTCGAACCATGACGGGAGAACACGTTGTTGAGCGCCTGTCCCAGGCATTCCGGGGAGGAGGGGCTGCCATGCTAGGGATTGACTTCCCAGCAGCTCGCAGCTGGCTCGAGGTACCGTACCAGGGGTCTACCGTGCATTGGTGTGCAGCTGCCCATTACATCACAACCCAGAGTCTCTGCATCATTGGAATTCGCGCCCGTCGTCACGGTCGACCGCATGGCTTGGAGCTCTTCAGCGGTCGACATATGTAAGTACAGAGTAGGACATGCGTCAAGCCTTGGTCTAAATTGGATGGAGCAACCCGGGGCCACTGTCACAGTCAGAGACTTCTCGGTCGAGTAAGCGCCGTCGGTTGACTTTCCGCTTGGCTTCCTCGACATCATCGAGTCCGTGCAGGCTGGCTCACATGTGAGACGAGATCAACGGGGATCATGGACAGATGGCGAGGACATACTGGATGACCGGTGTCCCAGGGAAAACGAGAGCAGGCGTGGCTACCAGATCACCCGCCTGATCCCTTCCAGGACAAAGCAAAGGCCATCCATCCATCCATCATCGGTCGGCAACGATCTCGATGCGAACTGCCTTCACGTGGCTGCAGTGAGCGATCGGCCTCAGGGGTCCCACGGCCTGCGAACTGCCGTAAGCGGCGTAAGCGTACCGTATCATCCACGGTGGGCGGGATGGTTGGTACCACTCCGGTTGAAGCGGTGGCACTGGTACTAGGCCTCCTGCGTTGTCCTCCTTGCAGACCATTTAGGTCTGGAATTAGAATACTCTCGCGAGGTGCTGATGTCAAGTCGCCAGGCGCATGGGTCTATTGTGAATTCATTCCTCTTGAGACAACCCGGTATCGAGGGTATTGAAAATACGCACCCTGCAGTCAGCCTTTAAAGGCCCCATCGACGGTCTTCTAATCGTTGTCAGAGCTCCATCGACATTCAGTTGTGCTCAGGCCTGTGTGGCTGCGATGGTTGGTTATTCATTGTCATCGGAAGCAATAATACCTGCCCGACATGGAATTTACAGTACGGAGCCTGGAGTACCACATGGGTCGATGGCCCCCTCTTCCCCTTCAAAGAAACTAGATAGGTGGAAGGCCAGAAAATACCCAAGGAAAAAAAAAAGCAAGGGTCGAGACAATCGCAAGATAAGAAGCCGAATTTGCCGTCAATCGACTCGGTATTGTTGCTCAGATTCCTGTTCTTTCGTTATTGTCCTCGGGGAGTCTGGAGGGGGTGGGCCCAATCAGCCTAAAGCACGATTGATTTGGCTTTCCAGCACCCGACAACACATGGCAACCATGATGGAATGATCGCCGCTAAGGGAGTTCTGGACATGCGACGGTTGGACCGGTGCAGCCACACGGCGCCAAGAGCTGGCCATCATCAGTGGTGAAGGTCAGACAGCAGCAGTGCAACCACCGCTGCATGGGTCGATGCCGCCCGTGACCAACGAGCAAACACCGCCATACACCACGTCTGCTCCGATGCAGGGAGGCACCAATAATCAGACCCTCAATTCCTGTAGACCCCCGCTCCGGTGGAATGTGACCATCCGACATGCGCATGTACGCCGCAGCTACATGTGGGATATCCTCAACATCCGACGACTATCTACAAGTGTATGATCGACCTGGGTCCCCTTCTAGATACATAGTAGATCCTGTCCTTGCCTGCCAAGCGCTGTATGTCGATCCCACTCCATGCGTGGTCTGCTAGACTCCCCTTTTCGGTTATCGCCATGGCCAGTGAGGTTGCAGGGCGAGTCAGTGCCAGAGCCCCTTCCTTGTCACGGCCACCGTTCTGCGGCGTGTCAAACTGCTTCCACACATGGAGCGAGAGAAGAATGTGGCGTCCATCGGGAGTTCCTGACGCTTTCACCGAACACCTTGAACTGGTGTCACCTGAGACCCTTGCTCCTGGTACCTGGTGTGGTTGCTTGCCTCCTTCGGGTGATTTTGCCTTTAGGATCGAACTCGTTCGGGAGGCTCCACTGGGGAGCCAACCCGCGACCGACTGTGATTCAATTAGCCGCGAATAACCTCGATGATTAACCCTCAACAGCAGAGAGAGGGGAAAGAGGAAGAGGGGAAAAGAAAGACTAGTGAAATCCAACGGGTTGGCGGGTGATTGCTAAGCCCCGACCTGGAGTTTGATCTTATCGCCGGAGACTCCCACCTACGGAGTCTGTTCGATTGTCTGTCGGCTGTCGCTGTCGACAGGAAGCGATGAGGGAATGACTGATGCATTAGGAAAATGTAGCATGGTTTTTTTTTTTTTTTTTTTTTTTAGTGCGGTGCAGATCTGCCAACTGCATCCCTCGAATCAGAAGCGGTGGCAGCCCGCCAGCGACGACGACGGAGGACGAAGCTAAGCCTGCATGATGCTCTGTAACCCAAGCAGGCGCCTTCGGTCACCATTCACGGACTGCCCACCATCAGGCCCACTGTCTCCCTCCTCCGCCCTCCTCCACCCAACCGTCACGATGGCCTTGTGGAGGAAACACGCGAGCGCCCCCAAACTTAGGACGGTCGGAGTCGGAGCCGGAGTCGGAGTCGGATCTGGACCGGATGGAGAAATGGAGACACTCTGGAATCCTGGCCCATGCAACGACCCGCTGCCTGGTTGGGTTGGCGAGGAGGATGAGAATTTGATTCCTGTACTCGGTACTCGGTACTCTGTACTCGGGGCTGGAATGGAAATCTCAACGGCTCGTGGGAGGAGCCGGATGCCACCTTCCCCTCTGCCAAACCATCATCCATCATCCAGTGATAGCTTCTGGTGCAGCGTGCAGCGCTGGGCCGCCGTGACAGGACAGGGGACCCCCCCCCGGCTGGTGGAGCCGGGCGCCCACTCAATCACCGGCCACGAGATTATTATGGATGGACTCCTCCGGACGGAGTACTTCCTACGGAGTACTTGCACAGTACTAGCAGTCGACTGGACGGGGTCGCTCGTGCAGGATTAGGCCATGTGCGTTCATCTATTTGACACCCACCGGGGCCTTCCAGCACCTGCCCAACACGGTCTAGGAGGCATCTTTCTTTATCCAGGCGACTGACGAAGCCGCCGCCCCTGCAGCTGCTGAAGGATGTTCTCCCCGAGGCTGTCAGCTCACAGCTGATGCCCTGACAAATCCCCGTTGTCGCTCGGGGGCCAGACTCGGGGGCGCTGCACCGTGCTCTCTCGATTAGATTAAGTCCCGGCGGATATCTCAACGATAAGCCCGGACGGTTACATTGACCCTGTCCAAGCCCGCGTCAGCACCTAGTGTCCAAGCCGCCATGTCTCCAAATGCTCCTGCGCTCTCGAGTGCCTCATCCAGGTCCCGCCGACATGACATGGCTTCCTCAGCCAACCGCAAACTGGTGGGTTGTGAGGCAGTGACCGGCATTGACTGGGCTCTACGGAGTACCGTGACTCTCCGCTTGGTACCTAGTCATATTTGTTTACCAGAGCTGAGATCGGTGGCGATTCGGACTGGGTATGAAGTCCAGGCATGACGGCAAGCCTATCCGCGTCATTGGCCCAAAATGCTCGGGCTGAACCTTCCCCATGGCAGAGCTCGGATGCAGATGACTAGACCCCACGGCTAGTTAGAGTGCGGCGTGCATGCAAGAATCATCATCTCCTCGACAACGTGCCTGGGCGCTTGCCATGGCGATTATGTCATCGTGAATTAGCGTCGCGACAGGCGAGACGGGAGGAAGATACGGAGTGACTTGCTCGCCAGCTGCCTATTCATGACGGACGGACATCTCCGATCGATTTCGCCCAAATCCACCGCCCGCGGGAATGTCTCCTCGATCGGTGTATTACCCGGAAGTTATCTTCACCCGCCAGCTATCTGACTCAGAGGATAAGAGTGAAGATGAACCGAGGCATCCTTTGGACTTTGATAAACTAAACTAGTTGCTACGGCCGCCTCGGGGGCCCCGTCGGATCCTTAGCCAGGCCATCGATCGATCCACCGGCCTAATAAGCTCTTCAGTCCCAAACTAAGTCCCCAACTCGGCCCTGTCGCCTCAATAAGCATGGTAGTGCTTACTCAGGCGACAAAGCGAACTTGCCGGTTGCCTCAACCGGAAGTGAAGGATGGGGTTGGAACTGAGCGCGCGGAACCTGATACAATCTTTGCAATGTATCCACCGCGACGGAGTACATCTGGACAATAACCGAGTTCAGCCACCGAGTGTGCCGTGCGGGCCAGCACGACCAACGACGGCCGAATGTATCCTTCATGCAAGCGCCTGCACACCAGAAGACCAGCTCTCATTCGTGTGAATGAACCAGGGGGGGAGGGGCCACCTATCACAATTTCCGACCCCAACGCCGGCTGAACGGGGCCCTTTTCCAACCAACAACACAGACCCCCAATATGTAGGTTATCTCCATGTGAAATAATCCTCCCGGCCACAGCCTCACCGGATGCGTCGACAGGTAAGCCGATGCACCCACTTACGCACGGTGTGCCAGGTTCCTGAACTCCGAGTATACGCGGACCAAACCACGTGGGGGCAACACTTCAGCCATCACTCGCCTAGCCCTACGAGTGCCCTTGCCTGTCGCCGCCAGCTTCGCAAAGTACCCTGTAGTTGGGCGACACGGCCCTCTCCGGGTATATCCTTTCAGCTCGAATACAATTCCGTTTCAGGGATTCCCTCTCATCCTGCAAGGCGTGAACTTTACAGCCGACATCTGATACAAAGAACCCATGGGTCAAGGTGAGGCTCTGGGTGACTGGGCATCAGCTGGCCGGATCCGCAGGTGGTGCTTTATTCCAAGGCATGGCTGACTCTTTGAAACGCCTCCTGTGCCTCTGGCAGGGCTCTTGGCCAATCAGCTGGTCGGACGCCCTGACCACCCATCTTTCAGCGCTGGATGCAGAGCATTCAGGGTACGACTTAAATTTGGGACGGGGTTTCTAAAATCCAATTCGGACAGGGATCAAATCAGATCATCTTGGGGACCAGTCTGGCTGTCCCCGAATAGTTACTTTTTCTGCATCCATCACCATTTACCCGGTAATTTGTCGCACAACAACCACCACCACCACCACCACAAGGAAAAGCAAATCTATCCCTCTCCAGCAAAGTATAAATAAGAGTCTAGAATGGGCATCAGCCTGCTTGGGAATCAAGGTTCCAATAGCCCTGTCGCAGCCGTCCAATCATGCCGCGACGGACCATTCGACGGATCATTTGCGGACAGATTCCGCCGTCGATGAAGGGAACAGTCAGCAGAGACGCCTCAACGGACCTGATCATGGCAATCAGCAATAAGCAGAGGGAAGTTGTCACCGGTTGGAGATCCCAGTCATAACTATCAACATATAGTCCTCCGTACACCATCGTGAGTCTAGATTCTTTCCAGAAGAAACATCTAGGCCGCCAAATAATTAGACATAAGATCATTGGACTTGAACGGCATCCTGCTCTGAGATAAAGAAAGCACAGTGGAACTATAAACGCTAGACATATATCCCGCAGGCTATGAATACCTACAGACTCGGATATACCATCCACCACCCACCAGACCTCTCCATCGAACTATATACAACGCCAGCACCACCAGTACTAGTACTAGTATGAGTCCAAAATCCTATTGCACAAGAATCACAACCCCGAATCTATGTAGGTACTAATAAAGTCTACAACCAAGCAACTTAGTACCCCACTAACCAGCCCCCAAGCAATTACCCAATCGGCCAGTATCTTATACAGTGTAGTGAACACACAACTTCATCCATTCATTCATTTACCCGCCCACCTACCCCCCCCCCCCCAAAGATGCCAAACGAATACGGAGTACTCTCCTATGATTTCCCTCCCTAAGCAATCAATCAATACTACCTAGGTATAGTACAATAATCCCCCACCATCCCCTGCATCAGCCCCTCCACTTCACTCACAGGGAATCTACCCACCTTCCTACTTCGTACCGACGTACCGTACACACTAAATCCCCACCCCAGTCACATCTCTGATATGACATGTCCAAGTCAGCCTCCACATCCGAGAGTATCAAGTAATTCATCACTCATCATATCACCCCTAACTACCATCTACCGACGGAGTACGCCGTCCTGTGTCCAATATTCCCTCCATCCTTCCTTCTTCCTTCTTCCTTCTTCCTGATTCCTGATTCCTTATTCCTCATTCCTCATTCCTCTTACTCTTCCCCCTTCCTTCCTCCCCTAGAAAGTATACCTATAATATAATATTATATCATTTAAGCAATCCATGCCCCCGCCCCGCCCCATCTCACCCACCAGGCTGAAATCCCTTCCAGGGTGGGTGGGGGATAATAATCACACTCCCCTCTAGGGTACTTACTACGTGCTTACCTATGAATCCGTACAATTTGTGGGAAGGATGCAACGATTTTACCCGATTTGCTGGAACTGGGCATCCAGGGTAGCAAGTAGGTGGGCTGTGCTAACCTCACTAACTAACTACTTAGTAGGTATCTATCTACTTAGGTTCAAGGGATTGGATGGATCCTGCGGCGGTAAGTAGTAGGGGGATTGGTGTTTTTGCTGCCTATTTACACTTCGTACGGGATTGGGAAATGGGGGTAGGTAGATAGATAGTACTGATGCCTATTGATTGGGAGGGAGAGAGGGAGAGGGGGATTGGGATTTGTTCTAAGCCACGGTGAACGGACGACTACGTGTTTGAGTTGGGCGTTTAAGTTTGGGTGGAGGGATTGGGATGGAGTGGGTGTCAGAAGGTGGCTTGGATGGGAAGGAATAGCTGTTCTATTTTTGGATCGAGGGGGTCCGAAATGACTTTACATAGATAGTATTTTGGTTGGGTTCATCACGTAGCGTAGGTTATGTACAGGAATTATCACTTTTTCACTCTTCATCTTCATCTTCATCGTCGTCGTCTTCGTCGATTTCGACGTCCTCATCATCTTCATCCTCGTCCTCCTCGTCATCTTCCCCAAACTCCACCCCCAGATCCCCGGTAATGTCCCAACGGTCGCCCTTGGCAGCCTCACTAACGTACTTGACGAACTTGAGCGTGCCGCTGTCCCGCAGCACAATGCTGAGCCGGTTCCATCCGGCGGCGGTGCTGAAGAGGATGCCGTCATCGTCCTCGGCCCCTGCGGACCGGTAGATCGCTGCATCGCCCTCATCCTCGTCGTCCCCGGCCATGTAGATCTCGTATCCACCCACCGAGGGCTCCTCGGCGTCACCGTTGGCGGCTTCCTTGGCCTTCTTAGGCTCGGCCTTGGCCGCCGATTCCTCGTCCATTTCCTCATCCTCGTCGTCCGCCCCCTCCTTCTCCCATCCGGGGGTCGGCGTCAGGCACAGGGACAGCTCCAGACGAGGTTTCTCACCGTCGTAGCCGCTGGCCAAGGTATAATCCTGCCCACGGCGGAAGCGGCGTGCCAGGAAATCGTAGCTGGTGATGCACTCCGACCCCGTAATAATGGCCAGCCACTTCCGGAACGCCCGGGAAGGAAAGAGGTCGTCCAAGATTTCCTGGATCGGAGATTTCTGGTCTTGGGTGGCCGTGCCATGTTGCTGGAACATGTAGCGCTGCTTGTGGGGTGGGCGGGCGATCGTCCAGCCAGTCTGAGCGAGGATCTCGTCGGAGGACTTGGGCAACTCCGTCTTCTCCTGCTCTTCAATGTAGGTCCGAATACGAGCGGCGAATTTCTCCGACAGGAATCGGTCCAAGCTGAGACACGACTCGTTGGAGAAGGTCTCGGACATTTCTTCGGCGATGTCGGGCGTCAGGTACGACGGGGCAATGTATTGGATTAGGAAGGAGAGGTCGGATTCCGTAAATTCGGCCGTGGGCTCCTCCTCCACTTTAGCCTTGCCCTTGCCCTTCGCGGCTTCTTCTTGCTCGTTCTCGCAGTCGACCGGCTTCGGCTGGGGGAGGTCGTAAATGTCGCCGCGGCCCTGGAGCTGGGCCAGACTGCTTCGCTCCGCAAGCTTCTCCTCCAAGCCGGCCTCAAAACCATCTTCACCCTCCTGCGGGATGTGGAACCAACCGCTGATGGCCATGCGCACCCGCTTGTGGGACTTGTCCTCGTTTTCTCTCGGGTGATACACTTCTTCGACATCGTGGAAACTCTCTCCGGGCTGGACGGTGAAGAAGCTCAGCTGGTTGAAGGCGGGCGGAATGCTGAGGGTGAAGTCCGGGCTGGGGATCAGGACGTCATCGCCGTTCGCATCCTTCTTGGTCGTAGTGGGATACAGACGCAATGCTCCACCCCATTCGGCCTGCCAGGGAGTGTCGGGGTCGGTCAGGTACAGGATATAGGATAGACGTCTGCTGCCAATGACATCGTCGTGGCAGAGCAAGTGGCAGCCCTCGTTGTAGACGTTGATGGCCATGTCGGTTTTGCGTCCGCTCAGCTTTCCGGAGCCGGTGACCGACGACAGATACTCGCGGAACCGGGCAGAATAGAGGGCATCGCGCAGCTTGAGAATCGACGGCAGTCGCGAAAGAGAGGCATCGTCGAGACCGTCCAGGTTGGCCAGGTCTCCGGACTGGAAGATCTTGTAGATATCGGTCTCCTTCTCGGTGAAGTCGACCTGGGCCTGGATTTCGTCGCGGACGGCGCGCAAGAGGGAGGGCTCGATCAGGGGGTGGATGACACCATGCTTGTACCTTGGAGCACGACCGGCGTCAGTATCCACCAGCTAGAGTCTCGGAGTTGACATACGGAGCAGACTGAGCGTATTGCTCGGTGTATTTCTGCAGCTCCGACGGCTCGAACAGACCGTCACGGAAGCGCGCAGCGACTTCTTCGCTCGACAGGGCGCGCTTTTTGGTCTCGGGCTGGTCCTTCCCGCCAAGGGAATCTCTTCCATCAGTCTTGCGCTTCATTTTGAAGGGATGAAGAGGAATCCGAGAGGAAGGGAGTGAAGACGCGAGGAAATGCAATGCTCAACGGAGCCTTTTTTTGCATTTTGCGAATAATCCGGGCGGTGAAAAATCTGCAGGCATCAATCAGGCCACCACATCAGGCCATACGGTTTCCCAAAATAGGTCCAGTCCCTGTGCGATCGACATCGTAGTCGTGATATATGGCGATCGTGGAGACAAGAGGGGTATCAAAGCGATTGCCATCAATGGTTGAAGCCAAGCTTTGGGAATCTCTCTCGCCGCGGGCTCGACAGCCCATCAGGCAAGGCGATGGCCGCCACGGGGTGAGGGCGCCCAGCAACCAGGTTACTCCGCACTGCAGCCCCGATAATCGCCTTCGATAAGCGCATCCAGCACCTTCCATTGCCCCTTCACCCAGTCATACCTCGGCCAGCATGAATAGGCCTCCGACTTCCCATACCTAGCCATTTCACTGCACGGTTTCTCCAAGAGGATCACCACAGCGACTGTCACCTTCGTTACCATCCCTGAACCCCTCAGTTCCAGGCACAGACGTCATTGCCGCCGATCATCGCATCGATCCAGGCAGCCCATCCGTTGGATCAGGTCATCTTCCTGTTCCTACCACGTATCATTGTCGACAACCCCCTCAATCCTGTTCTCTTCGTTTTCGCACAATGCAGCCCTCAGAGGAGAACCAAAGCAGCACCCAGCCCGCCCGGCCAGGGACTCCGCCGCGCCCGCCTTACTCCCCAGTGACTCCCGTCTTCGCGCATCTTGCGCCCGTCACCGTTCCAGGCAACGGAGCACCTCACCCCATTGTTCCTCCAGCCGCGTCGCCTTCGCCGACCACAAACGTGCCCCTATATGGCTCTGAATTCCCCCCGCCTGCGACGGCACCCGTCTTCGCCCCAGAGCCGGCCCCAGTCCCGATCTCGGAGAGCGAGAACCCCGATGCCATTGCTCTGCGATCCGCTCTCTCCATCCTGCAGCTCCAGAAGCAACAAAGCATGCGAGATATCCAGACCTTGGAGAAGATGAAACGGGCGGCGGCCGAGGACCCGGAGGGATTTGCCAATGAACTGGCAGCGGGGAATCTGTCGGCCAAAGATCCCGGGGGCTTCATCAATTTCACTCATAATGATACAGAGTCGGAGGACGAGGATGCAGAAAGTCCGAAACGAGAAGGCCTTGCGGGCCTGGGGCCATTGCCCACGCCGCAGAATGTGGTTCGCATGCCACCCATCAATTGGGCAAAATACCAGATCGTGGGGGATCCGTTGGATAGAATGCATGAGGAACAACGGATGCGACCATTCTCTGGTGAACCGAGACGTGATGATAGCGCCCAGAGAGCGCCGGAGCATGTTTTGGCTTCGCCGTATCGGCCCCTGGTGGACAAGCTGGAAAGCCCCAGCAAGACCAGGGGAGCTAACAAGAACAAGAAGACTTGATGATTAGAAGATTACCTAAAAGCTAGTTACAGGCGCTGTTCGTATGAAGCCGTCGAGTCATAACACATTAGCGTCATTCATGATACATGAACGTGAGGAAGAATCAAAGGGGTGCATCCGCCGCTTCTTTATCCTGCGACTGAAGCAACAGGAGCGGCTATGCCGACTGATGCTGGCGTTTTGATTCCTCAAACTCAACGAGAGCCTTTCGGAGTCTATCATGAGCATCCAAGACCCTCTGGAACTGAGCTTCCGCGCCGGTTTCCACGACATTTTCTGCATCATCTTCATCATCGGCCTTTTCAGCAGGTGGGAACTTGGACAAAATATCACGCACTTCCTCTTTGGACGCGTTGGCCGCCTTCAGCGCGACGAGCGTCCTGTGGCGCAAATTCTGAAGGACCTGCTTTCTGAGGTTCTCCCTTTCATCAACCCCCAGGATCATTTGGTCTCGGACAAGCTTGGTCATCTCATGGGCTTTCAACCACGCCTGCGCCTTGGGACAATTGCCCTTGGCTTCTCGGAGGATATTTCCAATGGCGTCATGAGAAAGCGGAGGACTTTTCTCGATCCTCTCCAACTGAGGGACCTTGAGGGCTGCAACTGGTTTGATGGTCTAAACTAGTTAGCATAGCTTCCACAATGAGAACTGAATGTCCTACCGCATCACGATCCAACTTGGCCTCGATAGCCGCTGGATCACTCGGCAACGGTCCAAACGGAGCAGCAAGACTCTCTGCTTTCTCGGCCCAATATTTTGCCCACGCCAGCTGAGACTGCTCGACCATGAGCTTTCCCTGCTCCTTGCGTTTAGCATCGATGTGGGCGGCCGTGGCAGCCCCAACCTTAGGGACGCCAGTAGAAGGCAAGGTAGCAGGATTTAGCACATTGGCTTTGCGCTTTTGTTTCACCATGTTGACAATGATGAGATGTATTACAATGAGTTTCGAACAATCAATGTAAATTAAGTAAGCCCTGCGAAAGCAACAAGTAGCGCGGGAATGAAGCCGAATCGTGGCTTGCGGAGAAAAAGATGAATTTTGTTGCGAGTCGTCTAGGATCCTGTATTCAATTGGAGAATTCCTCTGACATAGTAATTCACTGTGAGAAGACTCGCCATGAGACAACCGTCTCGTTGAGAGGTACGTGACGAGTCGTAAGGAGGAGAATTGATGAGATGAGGGATCTTGAAACTGACGAGCGGAAGAAGATATTGCGGTGCCAGTGGATGTGGATGTGGAGCCAAGAAGCATCTGTAGATATAGATAAGTAGGCACCTGGATCTACTCCCCTGCTAGGCGGCAGACTTTCCAGACCGTGGACTGTCGAAGATTGGTTCGGTCAAATTCACATGATTTACATTTTACATCGAGCATCGTACTGTCAAAGCGTATGCTACAATATGCATATCTGCAGTCTATAGACTCATCCCACTTACCACAATCCTAATGTAAACCACCACCACCACACCCATCTATCTACACAGTATCTACACATAGTACATACACACACCCCTGCAACCACTCACAACTTATTCCTACTCCTCTCCCACCTCTCGACCTCCCTCCTCGCCACCTCCTCCAACCTCTTCTTCCCCTCCTCCACCCTCCCCCTCCACTCCACATTCCCCTCATGCCCATCCAAAATCCCCAACGAATGGCGATACATCTCCTCCTTCATCATCCCATAAATCCCTGTCTCCGGCATCTTGACCAACTTCCTCTGTTCCACGAACCCCAGCGTCTCCTCCATCCCTCCCAACCCATCCACAATCCCTACCTTCAGGGCCTCCGGACCCGGAAACCTCCTCGCCTCGAGCACCACGCTCCGGAAGACAGACGGCGTGAGCTTCTCCCGGAAAATACTCATCATGGGAGCTTGCAGCGGGACACCGAACTCGAGCTCGTTAATGCAGAGGAATCCCTTGTGCGGGTTCTGGATCCGGTAGTCGTGGTACATGGCGAGCATGAGGCCGCCTGCGAAGGCGTGCCCGTTTAGGAGGGAGATGGTGGGCATGGGGTATCTATTTTTTTTTCCCCCAATCTTTGTTAGTATTTGAGGGTGAAGGGGGTGGTGGTAGGAGGGAGACATACGTCAACAACCGTCTGAATATCTTCCAGAGCCATTTCTCGACGAATCCCTCGGTGGATTGGGCTAGTTCGAGATCGAGTCCATTGCTGTAGAATTTGGGGATGCCGCTGGTGGTGATGAGGACGCCTTTGGGGTAGCGGTGTTCGAGGATGTCAAGGGCGAGGAGGAAGGCGTCGATGAAGGTTGGGGTGAGGCGGTTGTCTGGCGGGGAGGTGAAGGTTAAGCAGTAGATGAGGTTGTTGGTGGGGGAGGGGTTGGTGCAGGTAATGGTGCCGTTGGTGGAGGGGATGGGGAGGGTGAAGAGGGTGGTCATGGTGGATGAGTCGTAAATTGAATTGACTGGGAGATGGAGTGTGTTACATTGGGATGGTAGCGAGGTAGCATGGAAGGGATGAGGTGGTTTGTATAGGAGTACACCAGGGATACATCCGAGGAAGACGGAGGTATTTGTTATCCGGCAGGTTGAGAATCCCGCGGTATCACATGTGATGGGATTATGTGGGTGTTTCCCAGGTGGTGGTTTGAAGTGGCGATGTTGATTGGAACAATACTAGTTCTCTAGTTATTTGTATTTACTACTACTCCGATGCCCTCGACAGCCCCATTTTAATAGCTCCATAGTAGCTCAGGGTCCAGTCCAGCCGGACTGGGCCCCGCAATCGGCAACTACGGAGACTGGAGAGGCTACATTAGGTGGGATTTCCATCTCCAACAGCTCTGCATCAACACATTCAATTTGTTTGCTCGGCAAGGGCGTTACCCAGTTAATTTCCTCGGCCCAACTGTGACTGACTTCGATGATCAGGACCTACGGATTTGATATTGATGAGATGGAATGAACTGACCAAGTTCTGATCCACGAATCTATTAGCAGGCGTAAGCTCCTTGATATACCAGATGTAGACGCGTTCTAGATTGCCAACCTATTTAGGATGTCTTTTATATAGAATTGTACTTTGCAGGAATTGTAGAACGGGGGCATCGGAATCGTTGGTCCGCAGCAACCACTAGTATACGGAGATATATATCGGCAAACCCAACACTCCGGCAGGTCAACCCAGCAGGAGATTCTCAGCGCTGTTGCTAATGACCTACCCCTAAAACCATACTACTATGTATAGTAAGACTCACTAAAACCCGTAGAGCTCAGGCTACTCCGTACACAGCAGATAAGGATATCTTCAAGCTCCACCACCCGACATCATCACTGACGTCATCCCATCCCAGCTTCTTAAACCTCCCTCAACCCCCACAACACCCATACCATCTACATTCCACTATTCATACTGCTGAATCGAGCGCAACCTCAAACAGATACTCCCGAACTACCACAATGCAAACCCGTCGTCAAGCTGCCCAAGCTGCTCAAGCCGCCCAACCCCCCAAACAAGCAGCCTACAACGAATCCTCCAACCCCGTCGACCATACTCCCTACGAGCAGCGCACTCCCCAGCACCAGACCCGCCAACACGGCGATCCCATCTCATCCGTTACCCGCGGGGCGAACTCCCGTCCCTCGAATGATGAAGCCCTCCATCGACTGAACGCCAAACACGAACAGGAGCAGCGTACCATGCAGAACGCCTCGGACGTGGACACCGAGTACGGCGTGGAGCAGCAGCCCGCGGAAGGGGATATCGCGCACGCGGTAGAGTCCAAGTCCGCGGACGCTCGGGCAAGAGCGCAGGCCGGAGCTCATGCGGGCCCCGTCGGGAGTGCGATGGGACCCGGAGATCCTGGGTACGAGAAGGGTGAGGCAGCAGACCTGAACCAGAAGAGGGAGGCCCATGATCGGATGCTAGGGGATCGGGTAGGGCAGAGCCCGGCGGAACCGGATGGGGAGACGGTGGAGAGAGAGGCCCTGAGGGAGAGGAAGTTGAGGCAGGATCGGGAGTTGGATGTGCAGGGGGCTGTAAGCGAAGGCTCGGGGGGCCCTGTTGTTGGGCGATAACTGCACGCGTGTGTAGTACTTTTTATAAATAAGTGACGGAATGCATTATATTGATGAATCTCATGTGGTCATAATGGAGAATTCGGACCAGAGTAATGGGTATCAAGTATCGACCATGGTGACAGTCAGAATCGGTCAACCATCGGCATCGTCGCCCTCTCCAATAGACACCTTCTTCAATGACAGATCCTGTTTCAGATCGTGGATTCGCTTGGCCAGTTTGCCCTTCAGGATTGCATTCTGCATCTTCTCCCACTTAGCAGTCTCTGCGCGAATCAGTGCCTCCAATTCAGCAATTTCCTCCCGTTGCTGCTGCATCTGCCGCTGCTGCTCCAGCTGCTCATCATCCAGCTCGTCTTCCGGCTCGTCGCCATCGTCGGACCCGTCACTCTCATCACCCGATGTATCCGGCGCCGGCGTAGATGGTTTCGTGGCCATGGGGGTGCCGGCTTGGTAAACCCCAGCCTCGGATGGTGGCTCACCTCCGGGCACCGCCGCGGCTCTCGGCTCGCCCTCGTCGCCAGCAGCCAAGGCAGCCTCCATCTCGGCAGCAAGAGCATCCTCGAAGTCATCAAAGAGACCAGCGTCTTCCATGCCTTCATCCATCTCACCTTCTGCATCTTGCTCATCGTCATATTCATCATCATAGTCGTATTCGCCGCTCTGGACCAGACCCTCCGCCCGATTCAACGATGCACTGTCAACGAGCTCATAACGAGGAGGCGCCAGGGAGGCCTCATCCTGTGCGATTAAATCCTCTACGGCTTTCTCAACCTGCTCGATGGTCCGCGTGCTGATCCGTTCCCGGAATCGCCGCTTCCGCACCCATCGTAGCGGCGGCGTGAGACCGTGTGGATATTGTAGCGTCTTGTCATCCGGGTGCAAGATGTCGGCAGGAAGCGGGTAGTCCATTGCTTCTTGTTCGTTGGCGACGGATCCGAGGACCAGGAGCATCTGGCAGATATCCGCCGACTTGTACCAGCCACGCCGATCCCAACTCTTCATACCCTCAATGATACACGGCAAGTCCACGAGTGCTGCGGCGTATTGGCGGTCGCGGACCCTGAAGATGGCGCGGCGGCCCTCCCGGGTGAGTGGTTTGAAAGAGAACTCCGACCGATCGAATCGACGTTCGCGGATGGCGCGTTGTAGAAGGTCGCAATCGGGCCCGTCCGGCATGCGCAGAATGAACTGTTCTTCGATGGAGGGATCGATTTCCGTGTCGGAGGCTTCCGAGTCATAGCCTACGCCCACCGGTCGGTTGGGGACCAGCCCTTTGTTCTTGATGCGAAGCGACTGAACACCAGGCTTCTTCGACGGGTTTAACTTCAGGCGTTTAGGCCCCGATTGTTGGCTGGTTGAGAGGGGGACGGACGGTTCCGGCAAGACGGGTCCCTCTGCCGGACGCTTCTTGGAGATCTTCTTCTTCTTTGGCTTGCCATCGTCAGGATGCGCGTCGGGAGCTGGTCTGCGGGCGATCTTCAGTGTGAGTTTGCGGTGAGGCGCCTCTGTTGACGGAGGAGGCGCGGGAGGCTGGCTCTGAGACGATTCCTCGGGCGCCTTTTTTTTGCCAAAAGTAAGCTTGAGGGATGGACGAGGCGCATCAGACATGGCAACAAGAGGAAGTCACCAGGCTAGACGTGTTGAGTGTAGATAACCAGGAGGAAAGATAGAGTGAGGCGGTGGGTGGTGATGGAAGTGTTGCAGTTGCAGGGAGACGGCGAGAAGCAGAAGAAAGGCGGAACACCGCATCCATTCAGCGATTGGATCCCTCTTCGCTTCTATTCATCCACCAACACTCAACCACAACAATAGCCACAGGCTCCTCGTCCAATCTATTCTTATCTATATACGGCTGGCCTTCGAGCTGAAAAGCTCTTCCTCGTCGCTTCTGCCGGTTTTCACATCTGTCACTCCCATTCCAACATGTCCGGCTCCAATCTCCACAACGCTCTTCTCCGCCCGCCCATCATCCAGATCCTGCGCGCAGCAGGTTTCCATGCAACGCGGCCCTCCGTTCTGGACACCCTCGCAGACCTCACCGCTCGATACATCATGATCCTCGCTTCGTCCACAACCGCTCACGCTGCAAACGCTCACCCGCACGACCCTGTTCCAGTCCTCGAAGACATCTATCAAGCCCTGCAAGACGCAGGCGCACTCCGGCCCCAGCTGCGCGAATGGGAGGAAGAATGGCAAGGGGAAGAGGATATGCGTGGACTGGAAGGGTTTCTGTCGTGGTTCACGGGCCCAGCGAATCGGGAGATTCGACGAATCGCCGGGTTCGTACCTAGCGAAGGCGACATGGTTGATGCGGACGCGCTTGAAAAAGAGGACTTTCTCACAGCGCTAAAGAAGAAACACAGCAAAACCGGCGAGGAGTCCCGATATGCGGGAACTGTGCTTGGAAAGAGCGCCGACGAGCATCCGGTCGTCATCGAGGGCGGTGCGCCCACGCTTCACGATTGGGGCTCTCAAATGCGCTCGCGGGCGCCATACATGGGAGACAGCGACTCATCCGGGGTTAGTAGTGCGCCGAGCAATCTGTCCGATGGCGAGGGAATGGATGTGTGATGGGCCAACGATTGAGGCTTCCAAGCGAGACCTCCCACAGCAAACAATAGCGCCATTGGCTTTGAAGTCTACGAGGCAAGTCGCAGACTTATATACGAACGAACTGCCTGCATCAATGCCACGCCGAGTCTGGCACCGGGACAGCTGGCGGGCCAGCTTGATGGCAAGGCTGTATCGACACCGGCTCCGATACCAGCATATTGACATGCCACAGAATTGGTCGGCATATTTTAGGACAGTCAGGACAGGATGGATTCCCGGGATCACCGTCAGAACACGGTACGACGCCTTGGAATTGTCCGAAGAAGACCACGAGACGAGAGACCGGGACCGAAGGCATCTTGCGGGGCGAATCCTTGTATCTACAACCAGCAGCGTATAAAGCAATGAGTTAATCCGAGGCCAGTAGGCCTGAGTTTACCCGATGTGCTCATAGCTTCGTAGGTAGAATCCAGGCCTGATTCTTGGCTGCCGCGGAGATCTTCCTCCGCTCCAGCTCGAGCTCTCCTCCACCACCCCTTCTTCAACCTCTTACTGACCACCACCATCATCACCATGGTCTACGCCTTTCCCCTCCCGTCGACCTCTCATCTTTCTTTTCAAACTTTCCTCACCTCCAGCACGCACCCTTCCCTCCCTCAGGCCGCTACCACCGCCCGTCATGCCCTCCGACAAGCTCTCAAAACACACAAGCGGCTACCCCGCGGTCCGCAACAAGACGCCCACCTGCAGACTCTCTTGACCACCGTCACCAGCTACCTGCCCTACCTTCTCGCCCTCTCGCATAGCCTCAGCTCCGACCCATCCCCATCCACAATCACCGAAGAAATCGAAATCACCCTCCGCACCGAGATCACATCGTCCTGGCGCCCAACCCTCACCAACCCCACCACTCTCTCCCTGAAACAGCGTCCCTCTGCCACCCGCGTCAATGGCCAAGGCCTCGACTTTGAAATCGCCTTCGTCCTGTCCACTCTCAGCTACGTACTCAACGCCATCGCCCGCATCGGCGTCACCCGCACGCTCTACGCATCCACAACCCCGACCCCGGAGCAGCGCACCGCCGCCATCCAGACCGCTACCAAACACCTCCTCCAAGCCAGCGCCGTGCACTCGCTGCTCGCCTCCTCCCCTACATTCGCCACCGTATCCCGTTTCTTTGCTAATGGAAATGGAACTTCCTCCCTTCCGGACCTCGACCCCGCCACGCAAGCGGCCCTCTCCTGTCTTGCGCTCGCCGAGGCAACGCTCCTCGCAGTGCTGAAAGATGATTCCTACGTCGCGGCCTGTATTCAGGCACGCAACCCCAATGACAAGGACTGGATGGTCCGAGCGCCGGAGATCCCCAAAGTCCGGGCGCACCTGTTCGCCCGGTTGTGTATCCGGGCTGCGGAGTATGCGGAGCAGGCTGCCGCGGGGCTAGGGTCTGTACGCTCAGAGGGCAGGATGGGTATTGATGAGGATTTACTGGGATATACGCGGGTGCTGGGACGGGTTGCGCGGGCGCGTGCGTGTCGGTTCTTCGGGGTGGACGCAGAACTGTCCGGGAAGATTGGGGAGGGCATTGCATGGCTGCGGGCGGCCAAGGGGGCGCTGGGGGTGAGAGGGGCTGGATCTGGGGGAGAGGCGAAGGAGAATACCAAGGGTCGGGGGCTGTCGAGGTTGAAGCAGGGGTGGATGGAGCGGCGAGAGGAGAAACGGATGGAGAAGGATGCGGGGAGTCGGGACCGCACGGAGAAGGGCGCGCTAGGGCCGGGAGACAATGCTGGCCGGGAGGAGGAGAGTCGCGTGATTGAGATGTTGGAGACGAAGTGGGTGCGAATGAATGACACGGTTGGTGGTTTGCCTAATATATTTCAAGATGGGATGCTGACCAGGACAGATCAATACTCAGTTGATTCCGCCCTCGGCGGACCTGCTTGCGAACTTGCCCTCGGGCCGAGATATCCATGCGCCGCCGGCACCGTATAAGATGTCGGCGCTGGACGAGGAGCAGCTGGTGCGCATGCGTGCGCCGCCGCCGGAGGATGACTTTGGGCCGGGCAGTGAGGATGACAGTGAGGAAGAGGGCAGTGTGGCGCGCGTGTCTACTCCAGCGACGGTTCCTGAACGGAGTGAGAGTGCATACTACTGATCCTGCTGTCTTGGAAGACCGGACAACTAGGTGGCCAATACAGCCATTTGCCTGCTTAAAAATAATCAGATGCCTACTCCGTACACCCGTCTACCATAGCCTGAACTTCTCCTAAACCTACACATGCCTTCTCCACCCACTCCCACCCTCTCTTCCTCACCCCATCCTTAAACCTCCCACCCCCATCCCCTAACCCAAAGACACAAAAGTAAAAAGAACCAATTGCATACCAGCTAAAACACACTATCCGGGCATAGAGCATGCCAGCCTCTAAAACCGCATCCGAGCGACACAGAGGGAAAAAAGAAACCACAATGCATATATTGTATATCACATAAGAACCATTCCACCTAAACCTCACCTCACCATTCCACCCCAGATCGATAGAGGGAGAGTTCACTCCTTCTTCTCAAAATAATTCTTCTCCTGGAACAAATAACCCTTAATCTTGCGCTCATTCAACAATTCGAAGTATTTTTCTATACCCCAAAACCAATCGTTAGCATATTTCTCCAAGCTTATAAAATGAAACCCCCATTCCTCCCCCACAAGAAAACATAAACCAAAAGATACCAATAACAATATCAACAGCAACAGCAACAGCAACAGCAAAAGGCATCAAGGAATGAACATACCCCTCAAAACCCCACACTTCTCCAAATGATTCACCCCCTCACGAGCATAACACTTGCCCAATTCCTCGCCCACCAGACGAGACATCATGCTGCGGACCCATTGTTCGCGGATAATGGCGTCCCGGGCGTTGTGCACCGCAACGTTGTCGTCGAAGTCCACCCCGTCGTAGGTCGGCGCCACGGTGGGCTTTTTGGCGAGGAAGGAGGCGGATTCAGGGGTGGGCATTTTCGATATATCTTTTTTTTTGGTGGCGTGTGGGGAGGGGGAAGAGGAGGATTAGAATGAGGGGGAGAGGTGAGTGTCTGGAGAGTAGTATCAAGTGGTGATGATCAAGTTCGATTCCGGAGGTCGGGTCGAGGGTGCAATTGGGGAGTTGTGATTGGTCGGTGGGTGGGCGGTCGGGGTTCGGGGGTCGGGAGGGACACTGTGTGCTGGGCTGGGTTGGGTCACGTGGTGGGTATCGGTCTCGACGAAGTACGAGGGTATACTCTTGACACTACTGAGTACAGTGTGAAAAGGATTGATAATAAATGAATACGTAACGGTATCATCATATACGCCAAACGCCTTGCCAAGCACATCATCCAATGCAGCATCAAATCACCCATCATACGCCAGTCGTTAGATATCCGACCAATCATAGTCTGCCGCAGACAGGACAAACATAAAAGCACCAAGGGATTCCAGCTATTCAACCGGCTGCTCCTCCGGGAAAAATCTCTCGTATATCCCATTCAGCTTATCCTTCAGTCGCTCCCACCAGCTCCGGTTCAGCTGATTGCTGGTCTCGCGATACTGGTACATCTCGCCCCAGCAGTCACGCCCAAACTGGCACCCAGCCATGTTGACCACAAAGTCCCGCTCCTCCTCCTGGTAGTGGATAGTCGGGTCATTCTCGTCCCCACAGGCGCCCTGCGGAAACGAGTTGATGTACCGCTGCGGGAGGAAGGCCACTTGGTTGCGAACCCACGGTTGCGTCGCGTACAGGTACTCCAACGCATCCTGCTCCTTGTGCTCCCACTCCATATGCTTCTGCTCGTACATGACCGGGTCCCACCACGAATCCAGCAGGCGATCCGACCACAGCGAGCGTCGGATGAAGAACGAACCGAGGTTGAAGCCACCGCAGTCCTGCGACAAGAGCAGGTGCACGGAGGACACATCGCCGTCGCCGTTCGGTGAGCGAGACACCTCGTCGAGATAGTCATCGGTCGGAGGATGGCTGATGTTCAGCGGATTGTAGGCATTGATGTCGCGGTAGATGATCTCGTCCAGGCGATTGAACAGATGCTCCTGCAGGGAGTAGGAGTATTCCATGATCCAGGTATTGAGGTCCAGCCACCAAAACCTGCAACTGTCAGCAGCACTCAGGGATCTGTACGACGGTGAACATACCATTCAGCTTCAGGATGCTTCCGCATCGCTTCCCGGATCAGATCCACCTTCTCCCAACTTTCGCGCCATTCATGCGAATACCGCTTCTTGGCCAACATGTTGACCACCTCCACCTCATAGCCCCATTGCTCGGCGTAGTGGTTCTTGTTCCACACACTATTACGCTCGATCGCCCACTCGCGCGCGCCCTTCCACTCCATCACCCCGCCTTCAATATTTGATTCCAGTATGATGACGAACTTGCGCCCGCCGCCGAGCGGGGACCGTCGGTAGTTCTTCATGATCGCTGCAACGAGTCAGCCATATGCCATGTGGCTTTATAGACCAGGGCATACTTACAGGCCCCAAAAAACAGATACCCCAGCAAGCAAAAGATCAGCATCACCAGTAAGCGCGATCTTCTCCGCCGCAGCAACGTTCTGCCAAACCCCAAGCGCCAACCCGCAGCCGGAGCTTGTCGCCCCCGGCCAAATTCATCCTTATCGACATAGCCATTCGGCGACCCCGAGCCTAGGCGAAACCGCGGCAGTGTGGCGGAGAGCTGGCGCCTCGACCGCGAGAAGAATCCGCTGTTCCGGGTCGAGAAGGACGGGTAGCCTCGCACCTCGTCGCTCTTGGCTTTGGCGGCGGCCCAAGAAATCCCGCTGGCGCCGAGGGGATTGGGGGTCAGGAAGCCGCTGTGAGGCGTGGAGGCGCCGCTGCCGGGAGTGAGGCCCGGACTGGACCATCCTGCACCCGCGGGGTGGGGAGACGGTGATCGCGACAAGGACATGGGCGGGGGAGTCGGGACAGGGATGTCGGCAGGAAGGGCGATGACGGGCGAGCACGACGGCCCGCAGAGAAGCCACAGGCGGGCGCGATTGGGGAGTTCGCGCTCGGCAGAGGGTCGGAGTGGAGGGAGTATCACGGCGACGTCGCCGATGATGTCTTTCTTTGAAACGGCGCCCGGAACGTGGGAAACGAGAAGGCTGCAGCTGAGAAAGAGGGAGGAAGAGATCCGGGGCGATCGTGTAGGAGATATGTTAGTGAAGTAACAGATCGCTCATGAACCAGAAAATTAAGACACCTAGAAATTAAAGTAAAATTACTGCGGTTCAGGAGGCACCAGCTCGAAACGACGGAAGAGGAATAGCAGCTCGTCTTCCATTGATAAAAAAACTGGATCGATCCAGGAACAGTTGCTCCTCCGCGAACGGGTCTGCCCGTTTGCGTCCACTGCTCTCTTTCACCTTCCCAAGGGCGCGCTAGGGGCCCCAGTCTTTAGAAGCCCTCGCAGAAGAATGGAAGGATCCAAGGGTCGGTCGTCGTGAGGCCGCCAGGCGATACGACGCTGTTCTCAGTCCGCTTGCCAGTCATGCCCCGAACCCTGGTCATCCTGTCATGGCTCTCAGGATGACTCTCCAATGACCCTGCCTCCAGGATGGAAAAAGGCGCAAAACATCCGCCGAGGGCGCATCATTCGTTGGTGGTGGGGAGGAAGGAGATTAGACTGCAAAGAGCAGATTAATTTAATTAAATCCTCGGAGCAGCCCCGCCCCCTCGCTTGACTGCTGGACATCCTCCTGGGCCGCCGAAGGTGAAACGAACGGTTGGAGGCCTGCTCGTCCGACGTTACACCCGGGGCCACGCTGTCTCGACACGATTGTCTCACCTCAGCTAACATCTGATGCAACAAAGAGAGCTGGTGGTGAGATGCGTTCGTTCATTGTTTCCGGCTCGGAGACCGGAGCAGATGGAGTGGTGAGAGTTAGTGCGACCTGGAGTTTCACTCCCGATCCACCGCCAGACCCACGTTGCTGCTTAGCGCCAGGGTCACATGTCGGCTTATCGGCGGTGTCTACGGAGTATGGAAGATTCTCTACGCGTCGGGGATGGGGGCAAGAATACATGGGAGCAAGTTGTTGATTCGAGGCCAGATCAAGTCCTCGCCAGCCGCTTTCGGCATCACGAATCGAACCGTGGGCTGGTCTGGCACTACAATACCTCACCCAAGCTCAATAATAGCAACTATCGGCCAAGCTGATCACTCTGTGCATTACCGCGACCCAACTGTTGCTGGTCGAGCATCTGCCTGAAAAGCGATCCATATTGTCCGAGAAGTACCCCGGGCGTGTCACACTCAACGACCCTACCTTGATCAATCACAGCTACTTGATCGTAATCCACCAGGGTATGCACCCGGTGGGCAATCGCGATGATCGTACAGTTAGCAAACTCGGTGCGAATCACCTCCTGCATTAGGAGGTCTGTCTCGTCATCCACGCGGCTGGTCACCTCATCCAGAAGCAGGATCTTTCGTTTCATCACAATAGCCCGCGCCAGGCAGATCAGCTGTCGCTGGCCAGCTGACAGGGGGAGCTCATCGACCTTGACGTCCAAACCCCCGCAGCTCATGACGTGCTCGTATAACTGCACCTTGCCAAGAGCGTACCGGACCTGGTCATCTTCAACAGGGGTGAACCCGGTAATGTTGTCGCGGACGGTGCCCCGGAACAAAACCGGTTCCTGCGGTATCACGGTAACTCGATCGCGGATAAGGTCTCGGGGGCATGATTGTAAACTCACGTTATCAACGGTAATATCACCGCTTTGAATTTCGACTAGACGGAGGAGGGCAATGAGGAGAGAGCTTTTGCCACTGCCAGTGCGTCCACACACCCCTAGCTTGGTCCCACCAGAGATGGTCAGGGATACCTGACGGAGGACGGGCTCCAAAGCCAAATCGTAGCCTATACAGGCGTTCTGGAAGACGATACGTCCTTCTAACGGCCAGTCAGCACAAGGAACCAGGTTTTCTCCCGGAAGATCCTCCGTAGGGACCTTCTCGAAATTTCGGATGCGGGTCACCGCGCCAATACTGGTCTCCATCGAAGTCCAGAAATTGATCAGCTCCGACAACTGCTGATTGAACGTGATCAAGGAGATTAGCGAAACACCTATCGGACCAATTCCGGGGATGAACACGGCGAATATGACCAGCAAAACCGCAACCCCTGCAACAAACAGATCCAGAACAAGAAGAAGCCACCGTTGAATGACAAAAAGTACATAATAAGGCCGTTGGGATCTCTCCAGCAGTTCCAGGTGTTCTTTTTGGAAGCTGTTTTGCCAACCGAATGCGCGAATAGTGACAAGGCCAGTAAGTGTCTCCGTGAACTGGGTGTACAAAGGCGACTTGCTTTCCAGGTCCAAGTGGCGGAGCTGCCGCGATGTGCGGAGATAGAATTTTTGGATCCAATATATGATGAAGACTGCAAGGGGAATCAAGACTGCCATGTATTTGGCTCCAACGGAGATGAAGACCGCACTCATCACACATTGCGCGAAATTGTTGGATGTCTTGAGAAAGTCAGCCGGTAGGGATCGGTCAATCAAGGTCATGTCTTGACTGAAACGATTGAGGGTGACACCACTGTCGGTGGATGTGAGCCAGTGCAGGGGCGCTTTCTTCACCTTATCTACCAGGTAATCGTGAAGCCGGTTTGAGGATGTGGGCACAATCCGACAGAAGACGAGCCACATGCACGAAGCCCACAGCGCAGCCCCAAGAGCGGCCAGCACTGCATAGACGCTGATGTACCGGGCGAGGTGGCCAAACGGGGTTTGTGCATTTGCTTCTGCCCACCACTGGACCCAGAGATCTATACATTTTCGTCAGTGAGACCAATTCAATAAAGGGCGGCCATACCTACTGGGGAATTGCGAGCAGAAGACCCCAATAACCAAGGCTATGAAATAGAGCAGCATCTGCCGGGGTCCAGCAGCTCGTAGGTAATACGCATAGATGCTTAAGTCTCCGAGTTTCCTATCCATCTCCTCATCACTCTGAGACGATGTGCCCAAGGCCATTTGGCTATTTGACACTGTTCCTCGGGGTTCGTCAGCTAATGGTTGGCTGGATGTTGCCTCTAGGCGATTCCAAAGTTGAAGCTTTCGGGCAGGTCCTTGCTCCGAGATCTTCCCATTTCGGAGCACGACAACATGATCAGCAAATGCAAGAACTTTTTGATCATGTGTTGCCAAGATGGCAGTAGTCCCCTGCTGGCGCAAGATGCCCTGCGCTCCAAACACGCGTGTAAAAACTTGCTCTGATGTCTTAGCATCCAGGGCGCTCAGAACATCATCGAAAACAGCCAGCTGTTTCCGTGCATAGATCGCACGGGCAAGAGCGATCCTTTGGCGCTGCCCACCACTGATTGCCATGCCATTGCTGCCGATGACCGTAAGATCTTTCTGAGAAAGGCTTTCAATGTCTTGGTCCAGAGCGGTCGAACGGAGCACCGTGCGGTACCATTCTTCATTGTAAGGGAAGGGCTGGCAGATGTTATCACGAATCGACCTGTTTCGAATCCAGGTTTTCGTGTTGCAGAAGGCTATGTCATAGACTTTGGTGTGAATAAAGCCCTTCAAGCAGGGGATCTCTCCGAGGATTGCATGTAGTAGTGTACTCTTTCCTGAACCGGTAGGCCCAGTAACCATGATGAGTGACGAAGAGGGACATCTTAGATCGATATTCGATAGTGTGGCCGCCGAATTACGGTCCCACCCAAAATCAGCCTGGGAAATCTGCACCAACTCGGTTTCGGACGCAAAAAAGCGAGATATCCGCCCTCTACTGCGGATAACTGACGGTTGTAGCTCCAACGACACGCTGCCGTCAGCGCCCGCATCAGTTGTGCTTGTATCACCCGAAACATATTCATGAGACACGACTCGATCATCAAGCTTGGAATTCGCCAAAAGGTAGGCCTGGATCCTTTGGAAGCACTCTAATGCCCCAGTAGCTCTTGGCCCAGAATAGACCAGGTTCGACAAGGGGCTACTCAATAGAGAGATAATTGAAAGGGACATCATGGTCTGGGCCACTGTTAATGGATTGCGCCCTGTATGGAGTGCAATGCCGGTGTATAGGCTGAGGGTGAGGACAGGGCTCAGGCTTGTTGTTGTACCCGCTGGAGCAAATTAGCTTTATACCCAGGTTTGCACATTTGTGGCTTACCTAGTAGATTCATCTTCACCATCAAATGTCGGAATTTTGATTGTCGGTTCAACTCGTTGACGCGGAATTGCTGCAACATGGACGAAATTCGACCATGAAGACCAAGCATCTTGATGGTCGTACATGTATCAAGATAACTCGACGCAAACGCGACCCTTTCCCGAACAGCCTGCATCCATATCTTTTGCCTCCCCGGAGCCGACTTTGATATCAGATGCGTGAAGTAGAAGACCGCCAGGGTAAGGACCGCGGGAATTGCAGCGGCCCAGGCAACCTCGCGCTGCAGAAGAAATAATGCGATAGCCACTGATATCGGACTTGCCCAGAATTCGTGCATATTTTGGATCCCTGATGCAATATTATCGATATCATTGCTCATCAAAGTCAGCGCAGCCAAGTCGCTGTACTCGTCAAACTTCAGCTCAAGTGTTTTGTCATAGATCATGGATACAAGAGCACCTCGTATCTGGGTGATGAGGCGGAATGTATGATGTTCGTAGAGACAGTTGAAGACCTGCGTGCTTGTCAGACTTGTACGAAGTATAGGAGGAAATCCGAAGAGCGTTCAAACATACTGCTTTCAACCCAAATACTAAAACAAACGCACCAATCAGGCCATAGCCATCGTTGCTATTGGGATCAACTTCCCCAACGTAATTGGTCAGGTTTGTTATCAAGAATGGCTGGGCAAAGTTCAACCCAATCATTGCGAGCCTCGACAAAAACGAATTAATGATAGAAGCTTTGAATGTAAGAAGGGTACAATATGCCAGAGCAGTTTTTCCGGTTTTGAGAGCTGGTTTGAAGGTTAGAAGGATGTCAAGCTTAAGATGATCAGCAACTTACTAGAAGCCCATTGTGCCGAGAAGCTCTGATGGAGTACATTTGCCGACAGAGCCTGATCCAGGTACGGTAGCTCATCCACCGATAACCTTTCCTTGAAGCCGAGGAAAAGCAAAGGATTGATCCACCAGAAGAAGGCGCGGCTATACAAACCACGGACTTCTTCGTCGCCATACCGTGTTCTCTTATCGATGAAGTGTGCTTGCTTTGACCGCGACTCTAGAATAAACCAGACAACCTTTACAGCGATACTGGCCGTATAGATCGCGGCAAGAAGAGTATAGGAGGCTAGCCATAAGCTCCTTGCACGGACAGTATCGAAAAGGATTGACAATGACAAGGAGAGATTGAGCAAAAAGGATGGCTGGATCGAATAGAGGTGTTCCAAGTGTGACAGAAACAAGAGAGCAATGGAACTAAAGAAGGACAAAGCTGCAGCCGCCAGGGATGTTTGTGTTCGTGGTGCATGAGGGAGGAGCCAGATAACTAGCAGAGAGAGCTGACATGTTCCCAGAACCTGAGCAACAATCTAAGAAAGAGTTAGAACGAGCCAAGCACCGTCTTTGAAGTGAAAACATACCAGCTTGGCCCAGTGTACTGGACTTTGGAAGACCTTGGGGCTGCGCTTTCGCCATAGTTGCTTGTAGCGAAATGGAAGCGCCAGGAGCAGCAGCGCTGAGGGAGCAATTGAGAGGAAGCATTCCTCGAAGAGCAAGGTCAAGTCAAAGCCGCCTCGACAATGATTCACTTGCGGTCCAAATCAATCGTCTCCACAGGCATGAATATTCTCCATTTGGACCCACGATGTGCTAGATTCACCGAGATAGCTAATGAAGGTCAAAGGCAGTTGGGGGATGACTGGAAGTTGTAGTGGTTGGGAATCGGACAGAGGGGCTGTGGCCGGTAGGTGCCTAGTATTTAGCTGGTGGTCTGCCCAACAGCCTTGCACCATTTCCCCAGCAATCAGACGGCAGCGATAAGGTACATGGCGAAGACCCCTGTCACCCATGCCTAGGTGGGTTAGTAGTGAGAGTAGAATGCTATCGTTCATTGGTAGCTAGAAATCAAGCTGAGCGTACACCTAACATGACCGACAAATGGTCTTTTCTTCCCTCTCCTTCCCGCCCTATCCTACCCAGCCCATTATTTATATGCACAAGGCGCCAAAATCAAGCCCAAACCGCCCCAAGATTTCCACCCAAGAGGCCTACAAAAGCCCTACCTATACATTGACACAAACAACTCCAGATTCAAGCCGAGGGATCGGCCAAGCCCATCATATGCTTACACAGCAGCGCTACTTCTTCCCACCAGTGACCTTCCGCGCAGGCAGTCGGTTTATGGTCGCCTCCTTGGGCATCAGGACTTTGCGCACAGTGAAGCCTTTTTCCTCCTCGGGACGCGGGCGCGCACTGTCCCCGTGGTAGAATTCGCAGGCGAACTTCAGAAACTTATGGCGGTGCTGGTAAACCGTAATGACATCGCCAGTGTACAGCTTCCCGAAATGGAAGCCCTCACGCCCATTGTCACCGTCCGGCCCTCGTCGGAGCTCAGTGCCGTTAACCCAGATACACTTGCGAGTTTTGGTGGAGAGAATCGCCATCACACCGGGGACAGTCATCCACTCCTGTCCGGCAGCGATCTTCGTCTCAATCGCAGGGGCCCAAAAGGTGACTTCCAAGGCATATGCAGGGATCCGTGTGTCCATTGGCTCAGGATAGCATATGGTCGCTTGGGGCCCGCGACCCCAGGATGTCATACGCGTTTCCAGCGGGATGGTGAGGTCAAAGATGGACCCCGGAAGAGTGGTCAACCTGCCTAGGAGGGGACGTGTCTTGCTGGGCTGGGAAAATACTCGAGGGTTGGTATCCGGACTCGGGTCTGGTGCGGGCTCCGCAGGAAGTTGGTTGTCGCCCCGTTGAAGTAGATCTGGAAGCTGCTCTCCAGTTTTGGCATCGATAGTGTTTGCCAATTCAATGTCAAAAATCTCTCCGTAGTCAGCTTCGGACTCAGCCCGGCCGTGGTTAGACTTCTCGATTGGCTTTTCGGTTGTCTCGGTTGTCTTCTCGACTCCATCCTCATCTGCCTTCTCCGCTGTCTTTTCTATCATTTCTGGGCTCGAGCGCTCACTGGCCGTATCGGGTACGGGCAGCTCGATCCGCCGGCTGAATTTGCAAGGCTTAAGGGTTGCATCATCGACAGAGGTATGCTTTGGTGCCTCTGGGGCTTGCTTATCTGGGACTTGCGCAGCCATGCTAGTTTGCGGTCCCGGCGCCTCGATGTGATGGGGAGGAATGTTGTTCGATGTGCCAGGGTGCCACGAGTCCATGTTCAGCTGCCCAACAAGTTTCTCAGCTCCCATTAAGCTAGGTGCAGATCCGGCGACGGGGTTTTCCGGGAGGGAGAGGACGGAATTTAGGCTGTTGCCGTCGCTAATGTTCGACTCACCAGTGGAAGAAACGAAGTCATGGATGCTAAAGTCGTCACCCTCAAATGCATCGACATTCTCACCCAACGCATGTGAACTTCGAAGAACCGATGGCGTGATCTCCCCGAAAAGTCGTTTTGGAGTTGACTGAGAAATAGGCTGCACGACCTGGAAACTGTCGATACTTGGCAACGATGGATAACGGATATCTGCTGGGGGGTAATCAAGCTTAATTTTCTTGGATTGAGCCGCTTCATTGTCCTCCTCGACGGCTACCTCCGCTGCCGGCTTATCATTGAGCGAAAGTTGAGAAGCGTCAAGCTCGTCCTCTAGATCTTCGCCTATATCAGAAAGATCATCTGCAAGGTTCAACATGACGTCCTCGTCCTCATACTCGTCAATGTCCGCAACTCCAGCAATCCATGGATGTTTAAAGCATTCGCGTTCGCTCGGTCGAGACGTGGGGTCACGATTCAGCAGCCGAGCCACCAAGTCTATTCCATCCTCAGAAACACCTGCTTTGCGAAGTTCCCCATAATCGGCATCCTCGGTCATGATGATTCTCAGCATTTGGGTTCCCCTATCATCTCCTCGTGGAGCGAATGGAGGGACCCCTGCAAGGAGATGAAACAGAACCGCTCCAAGTGACCACATGTCAACGGATTGATCATAAGGGGACGTTTTGGGCGGCCTGATGGTCAGTAAAATCTCGGGGCAATAGGATCGTAGAATAAACTTACGGATCACCCAGCCTGCGGCGTTTCCGAACTTCACCGCGCCGATAGGTGTCATATTCAGGGTAGACTTCAGGAGCGCAATAGAGGAGAGTGCCACAAAAGGTCCTGAGAAATGTCTCTTCCTGGGCCACCTTGGAAAGGCCAAAGTCGGACAATTTCACCCTCAGAGGATCAAGGGATGCGATCAGGATATTGTCCGGTTTGATATCGCGATGCGTGATTTTGCGTTTGTGGAGATAGTGAAGTGCATGCAAGATCTGCCGCGCCATAGGCCTAACCATATCCTCCCGAATCTTGCCATGGGACTGCAGGTATGTGGACAACTCTCCGCCCGGGACGTACTCCATGATGATGTAAATCCATCTGTCGTGCTCGTGGTGGTCGACATACTGGACAATGTTGGGCTGAAAGGCATGCGTGGTTAATCGTGACGTAACTTTAGCAGATGCAGCATCACTTACGTGTTTCAGATCCTTCATGATCTTCATTTCATTATCGACCTTCTTGTCAAGTATCCCATTCTTCATAAAGCGGCGCTTGTCAAGTTCCTTAGCTGCGTAAACAGCGCCATGTTGTTTCGTGGCAAGTTTGTAGACCGTTGCAAAAGCTCCTTTGCCTATCTGACCGGTCACGTTATATATCAATCCGCCAGACCAGTGCATGCCGTATGTGTTGGGCGACGCCATTTGCAGAGCAGGTGCAGGAGTTGCACGAGCTCTGGCCCGGACGGCGCCTGCTCGCTGGGCCTCAATCCTCTCGAAGTAGTGAAGGACGTTTTCCGTGTACTGCATGACAAAGCCTTCCCGGGACGGAAGGCGCACGATGAATCTGACTTCCTCCGAGCCGAGGACTTCACCATTCGGTACCTGGATCACGGAGCCGTTGACTAGCATGCGACTTTTCTCTTTTTGACTTTTGCGAAGACGACAGTTGTCTACGATCGTTCCATTGGTGGAGGTATCTTCGAGCATTATTATCCCATCCTGCGTGAGATAGATGCGGAAGTGCGTGTTCGAGATACGTTTCGAATTAGCATCGGCAATGAGAAGATCACAGCGAGCTCTGTTTCGTCCAAAGCAAAACCCCGTGCCTGCTTCATACACATTCGATGACAGTCTAAGGGCGAAGTCCAAGGCTGCAGTATCTGAACATTCATATTCCAACGCCTCCCTTTGTAGGATGTGCTGCGGGCGATGGCGAGCGGTTGCAGCTACCGCGTCATGAGCTGCAGGTGAATTGGGGTGTAAGATACAAATGATATCCGTCATATCATCATCGTGGAGACCGGAGTTGTTGTAGCCCATGCGGCGAGGGTCTGTGCATGGCTGGGTGGACTCCTGCGTCGCCTCCATTTGCACGGATTATAGTGGCTGCGGGGCCGGGCAGGAATAACGGTGATGCTTTTGAGAACAATAACAGCAGGCAGGAGATAGAAAAAATAGACAAAAAGAAAGCAAGCTATTTGACAACAACGAGACGGTAGGGTATATGTCCTGAGTTCGATTCTAAAAATGGGAATAGGATTTCGCGTGACCAAAGCGGTGATCAACAGGCCTCCATATCACTGTCCTAGCTGGATATAAGTCTTGACATGGAGATTTTCGTGATGCGTGAATGCTACCTGTAGCAATGCAAGAAGGAGTAGCCTTACCTGGCGAGCAACCAAACGGCAGCCCGCACTGTGTCCCGGCAATCTCGGCGCACACTCCTAACCCCACCCAGTGTATCCAAACCTCTTCGTATGCGATCAAAACCAAGTGCGGCGAATTGAGGCGCCGACCTTTGGCTTTTATAGAATGGACCCGGCCAACGACAGATAGATGGGTGGATAGATGGGTGGGAAGATCGGTCTTAGAAGTATCCTAGCTCCAACCTTGACAGCCAACCAAATCGCGACCTGAGAAGCTCAAGAATTTTGTTGTATTGGACCATTGAAGCAAGGAGCGAGAGGGGAAAATGTCGAGGGGTTGCTTTGCAAAGGAGCTATGCCTAGTATTTCTAAGGCAGGTCGGTGGTAATTAGTCAAGGATGCCCATGTAACTATCGACAGTGCATAGGGAAACGGAAGATCAAGCTCACACAGTTCGCAAAATCCCCACCAGCTCTTTATCGCGGAACCCGTGACTTCGGGTGCAATGGACTCAGCTTCAGGGGTGGACCCGGGGATGGGGACGAGGCAAGAGGACGCCCGGCAGGAGTTGTCTGAGAAACATGCAGCAAGGCTGGGTGCTAAACCGCCGCTCTTTATTTTGAAGTCGCGCGGAGCCCCAGGCACCAATAAGGCAGCACCCCTGCCGAGCCTGCGCCAATGGGGATGCGCCTTGCCTGGCCGGGCGGGAACCACCGCATCTATGAATCCGTGGATCGTCAATTCAGATCAAGACTATCAAGACCTAATCCTACTGCTAATCTCTATCGACTGCCATACGGTTTACTGCTATCCGTGCTACGCTGGTGTGCCCCACTCATAGCGATCTCGAAGACCTGGCCCAATCGGGAAAGGGACTCGTCGGATACCTCTGCGATGAAGTTAGATCCCATTCAGGTCCACTGACTGAGCAAATCAAGTACTTACGGTAGTGGACAACGATGCGATTACCCAGCAATTTCAAGCCCTTCTCCTGTCCGATTTCGGCCAAATCATTAGGTCCCAGTCCGGACGACTCGATATCCAACCACACCATGTTGGTCTCTACAGGATGCGATAGCTTGCCTCCACGGCTAGTCCACATCTCGGCAACCTTCTTTGCCTTCCTATGCGATCCGATAAGCTTCCCTTGCTGTCCATGAGGGTCCGGTCCGAATGTTTCCTCGACTGCGACGCGAGCGGCCGCAGAGATGACTCCAGCTTGACGTACACCCCCACCGATGGATTTGCGAAACCACCGGGCCTTCTTGATGAACTCGTTCGAGCCAACAATTATACTGCCAATGGGGGCGCCGAGGCCCTTCGAGAAGCATAGACTCACACTGTCAAACAAAGTAGTAAATTCCGGCAAGCTGCCGGCCCCGGACACCACTGCTTCCCAAAGCCTGGCACCATCCAGGTGAACCTTGATGCTGTTTTGATGCGCCCACTCAGTAATGCGCCGAGCTTCAGCAAGAGGCATAACCAACCCGTCCAACGTGTTCTCAAGACTAATGAGCTTCGTCGGACAATAGTGGATGTTATCACTGAGTACCGCATGTTTCTGGACATCTTCCAGGGTAAGATGGACACCATTCTTCGGAATGATAGGCATTACCGTTGCGCCTGTAAGGGAGCTTACCCCACCGGCCTCGTAGCAGATAATATGAGAACGATGGTCGCACAAGACAGAATAAGGAGGCTCCTTCAAATGCGTGCGAATGGCAACTTGGTTACCCATTGTACCCGACATGACCAAGAGGGCCTTCTCATGTTGAGTGCGTTCTGCCACGTAGGCCTCGAGATCGTTGGTCACTGGATCCTCGCCAAATACATCATCGAGAAGAGTAGTCTGGCAGATAGCTTCGAGCATTGCCGGAGTGGGTTTGGTCATCGTATCACCTTATGTGGCCCCGATTCTCAGCATAGCGCACGCCATTATGGCAGCATTCTTGGGGTGAGTCATACTCACTTCTCAGGTCAAATTCAGCTGCACCAGCACCCTGCCACGTACTGGGCCTGCTGCTTCCACTCGAAGCTGTTGATACGCTAGCCATGGCGATTCTGAAAGCGACCCTTGGGATGGGGAAAGAGGACTTCAATGAAAACAAGGAACGGAGAGAAGAGCGAGCCAAAGATCCCATGGAGCCTCAAGACTGGGATGTTAATTGCAGGAAACGTGGCTAGGGGAAGCAGGAAGCAGGAAGCAGCACGACCGGAGCGCCGTCGGGCTAGGATTGGATGGGATAATTTAACGGGCATGCGGGGTTATGCGCTGGATGGCATTCCGAACAAGGGAAATGTGACTAATGGGATACGAGATACCGAAGATACCGAAGTAAGATAACAGGTCCGGCTGTGCGTGGCTTTTGGATCAAAACCTGTGGCTCTTTGCACTTCGCACAGACTATACCGAGTTCATCTTAGTTCCATCGACGCATGAATCGTTATCGTTACTAGAAACAAGAGCATATAAGGGGGTTGGCCTGCATCTCTGAATAATGGCTTCCAATATTTTACAAAAATACATTGATTATCTAGTGCAGCGAGATACCTCAGTACAGTAACATATTAGTTATACGCCGAGATCCCTTAATGCCTACTCTCCTAGAGTCTTTCGAATCCACTCATCCTGTTGTAGTTCTTTAGCAGAGCTTCGCTTGGCCGGTTCCCACTGCAGCATTTTCCGTACGAGGCGTAAAAACCCGGCCTTATCCTCTCCCTCAAGGGTGGTTGATCTCTGCTCAAGCGGAACCGGCTTCCCTATCAGAGATTTTGCGCAGAAGTCACCTATAAAACCAGGCATCGTGAGTAGATTATCACAGAATAAGATCGTCGGCTTACCCTCATTCGAGAAGAACTTATGGCTTAGCTTCCCTCGGCCAAGAAGACTAGGTGGGGGAGGACCAAGTAGTCTTATTATCTCAGCAAGATGAGCTCGGCTTCGATAAGCTTGATATCCTGGGTCGTGTCCGGTAAATAAGGACTCGCCCTCAAAGATATTCCAAATCTATATGGCTTTCAGCAATTTGACAAGAGTGACAGAGTAACATCAGGTTTCTTATCTTACCATGCATCCCACGTTCCAAATATCAACACTGCAGGTCCATGGGACTTCCAGTATCACCTCCGGCGCTCGATAGATATTAGGTTGAATATCTTCCAAGTGCTCGATCCCGCCGGGCATGGCCGAGCCAAAGTCACATAGTACCAGGGCACCCCACTCCCTGGGTTTTCTGAGGTCCTGGGAAATATAGATGACTCTTCCGTCTACCTCCTTCCTTGGACAAGGGGTTTGAAGTTCATTTTCTATAAAGTCATCGAAGACCGAATCGTCCGCGATACCAAATATGATGTTATCAACTTTGATATCTGTCAAGTTTTATGCGTAAGCCAAAAGTCCGTCGGTAGATGGTAGCAAAATACGAAGTCAGAGTGTATACCCGCATGTATGATCTGGCATTCTGTATGCAGGTAGTCTAGCGCTAAAAACAGGCGCTTCAGTATGAATGCTAGGACTGGTGGAGGTAGCCTCCGCACTGGGTTACGGTGTAGAAAGGCCAATACACTCTCCCATAGTGGAGGATGCACTAAGCATCGATGTTTATCTTGGAGGCTGACCCCATCAATATCAAATGAATCAAGTAATGATCTAACAGCACTGCGACCTGGATGGCTTGTTGAGCCCTTTTCGATGCGCTGGTACATCTGGAGCTCATCATCCAATTGCTGTCCCATAGATGTAGACGTGATAAAGATCTTGAGAGTAACATAGCGACGGTAGCTATTGTCTCAATGGGTGAGTCGGCTGGACCAAGATCAGGTTTGGTGTATGGTCCTTACTCCAGATCACGCGCAAGCCATACAGTCGAGCTAGCTCCAAACCCCAATTTGCCTACAATCTGATACTGGCTTTTGATAACTTCCCCTATTCGGGCAGGATAATACCGAGACGCAACATAACCTGGCATAGTCTCTTCTTCAATTTTCTGAGTTACTGGTATTCGCGCATAGCTCGGATTGGAGAAGTCAAGGGGCTTCCATGTTCGTCCAAGCCGCCGGGGGAAAGAGCGGAGAAGTGATGACAGCATGAATGATGCAACAAGAAGATAGAGTAATCATGTATAGCTCTTGAAAAGGAACAGAAGGATACAGAGTACATCGAATGGCACACTCACAACCAGGCTCCCTCAATTGATCATATGAATGTTTAGGACTGTAAAATAGTGAAATGTGATAGACCACGCACCAGATGCCAAGCCGCTTTCCCCGAAGCAGAGCTAGAATACGGAGATACCGTAAGTTACTCGGACGGGGCGGAAGCCGGGCCCAGCCACTGAGTGGGAAACACGGAGGCCCGGCTATGACGACAGTGAAACGCGTGCGGCCCTTATCGATTGCCTGAACAGGAATGGTCGACCCGCCAGCGTGTCCCCAGTTGACGGCTGAGTCAGCAGTCGAGATCCCTCTGGAACTTTTGCAGGCAAGTTTGCGCCCTGATTTCGTTCAACTCGCATCTTCAGGCGGGCTCACGGCCAAGACGCACTTCCCGGCCTGGGTTCTACACATTCCCCATGTCTACCGCCATGGATCTGTCCCGGCTAACCCGCCCCGCGATCCTCTGCCAGTGTTCGCGATGCTCAAGTTCGCTGGCGGCGCTGGAGAACGAGTGGGCCAAGCTCTCGAATTCTTACTTCATAGCAGCTGGGTGGCTGAGCGTCGAGCTGCATCGCATTTCCATCTCCTCGGATAAGAAGCAAATACCGCAATCTTCTGAACTGAGCGTTCTGCAGGGCCGGATTCTCCAGGAGATCTCCTGTAAACTCTGTCAGCAGAAGTTGGGAGTTCTCTGCTCGCTGGACAATGGGTAAGTGGGGAAATGCTGCAAAGTCTTATGTTTCAGGTCTCCGATTAACACAGTATCAGCCCTAATATCTTCTGGAAGCTATCGAAGGTCTCGTTCCGGGAAATTGTCACCATGCGCACAGTCGAGCCCACATTCAAGGATGGATCGCTCGAACGCCTCCTATGTCCGACCCCCTCCAGACAAGACCGAACCCCAGTCCGCCCGGGAGCCCTGATACCCACCGGGTCGACGGAGATAGACCCCTACAGCATATCCGTGGAGCAACAGATCCAGCATCAGGGGCTGAGCCTCGACCATATCTCTTGTTCCGTCAGCAACCTTCACGATACCATGTCCGAATTGAAACACGCATTCACCGCTCTTCGTATCGAATTGAACGGTCCGGGTCGGTTCGGGCCTGAGATGGGCACTCCCGCCAGCAAGGACATGATGATTGCTACGGTGTTGAAAGAACTCCGATCCAAGTCCGACGAAATCGAGAGACTGAAGTTGGAAAACGAAACACTCAAGCTAAAGAACCGCTACGCGGAGGAACAATCTGTCAAGCAGCAACAGCAGCCACCGCCACCCTTGTTGGGAGACACAGGGATGATTCCGGAAGTTCGCAGTCCAGGTCTGCTGCAGGGAAGCAGGAAACGGCCTTGGCCAGATTCATTCCCGAGTGGTCGCACGCAACCTATACTGGACTCATTCGACGGCGACTCGGACAGCATCGCAGACTTCTCCTTGGAAGATGACAGCATACCTCCAGTGAAGATCCCTCTCAAGGATTCCCAGTCGGGTTCTACAACAGACAAAACACAGGAGCCCACACCTTCAGATTCTTCCCGATCTCGCATTGAAATCAACCCGTCACCACAGCAGACCCCCAACAATGGGAACGAAATGGACGAAAACCACGATAGCGCGACGAGCACGCACCGGGAGGCCATCGTGAAACGTCCCCGCCTATCCCAGACAGCCGACAAACCCACGACGACTGGAAGAAAGGTCGGACGACCGCCGCGCAAATCATTCAGCCAGCCCTCAAAACCCGACATCAACAACATCCAGAGCCCCAAACCAACACCCCTATCCGAGCAAAACGGCAACGCCAACAAGGACTCCCAGCCTGCTGAACCAAGCCCCAGCGACCTCCGCACCCCGAAGGAAACCCGGCCCGCGCGCTCGCGAAGCCTGCGCAGCCGATCTCGACCTCCATCACGGCGCCAATCCGCAGCGACTGCAGAAACCCACCTACCGGAGCCGGAGCAGATCCAAAACGACAGCCCAAACGGAGGTGCTCCAGACCAGAGTGAACCACACCTACAACAACCATCACCCCCACCCCTCCACGTGGGCAAAGAAAACTCACACATCCCCGCAAACGGCATCCACAAGCCCGAAACACGAGAAAAGCGCAAAGCACAATCCGCAGCGCGAGATATCATGGTACGATTAGCGATGCAACGCGAGGAAGCAATGGAAACCGAGGATTCGCGCTGAAGGCGGAAAGGAAAGTTATACCTGGAAGTAAGCAAGCAAGCTAGACTGCCCGCCTTCACACTTCTTCTACCAATGTATTATCTATCTTGATTGATGTGACGTGACGTGACCGTCCTCTTCCTCTTCTATGATGTGTCTGTACAAAAAGCGCCCCTTTTATCCGTCACGCAAAAGTGGGACTTTTCTACTACTTTTCTTCCCTTCGCTTTTTTCTTTATTTCTTTCACCTCACCGGGCTCTAAAAGTGCTGGTCTAGTTTTGTTTTGCCAGATGATATCCCCCAGTTGGTCTGGTTCTATCCAACCCAAGCAATCCAATCCAATACAAAGATGTTCTCATTCCAGAATGGCCGTACCTGTTCCATATTTAGGTAGGCATAGAGTAAAAAGTAGATAGTACTACCACTCAGTGGAAGTACTAGTAGATCGGTGATGTGGCCATGAGCGGGGATGAGTGCATCCAATTAAAGCATGGGGAGATTCCGAAAGAGCCCACGGAAGGTATTTCTGAAGAGCGCACCAGCTCTCAACCACCATGCACTGTACCTTGACCCCGGTCTGCTACCTGGTTAAAAACAGCTTATGGAGGAAAGTAACAAGGCGAGAGTTAAGGCGTTATTTACTTCACACACATAAACCCACAACCTTCTCTAGCGCGCTCACAGGCCTTCTTGAGTGCCTGTTCCTCGGTGTCGGTCCACTTGACGGTCAATTCATCCCACGGCTTGCGGGAGTTGAATTCCTCGCGGAACGTCTTGTGCATTGCTTGGAGGCGGCTGACTTGGCGGGGGTCACCGGTGCCGGAGTAGACGAGGAAGAGTGTGCAGGGGGGCAGGGATTGGTAGATTTGGTGGATGCTGGAGACGGTGCGGGACACGGTGTCGGACAGATTCCGAGTGGCTTCCTTGGTGGTCGGCACCGCAGCGGAGGTCGGCGTGGTCTCCTCGGGTGGGGGGACGAGCGTCGTCGACTCGTTGGCGTTGTTGGGATCGGGCAGCCGGTTGCACCATCCGCGATACACTTCCAGTTCGCGCAACCGTGCCCAGGTGAAGTCAACCCCACCGCCAGGAATGGAGGTGTTGCTCGCGTCGCCGTTGACTACGGAGGAGATGCCCTTGACTACATCGTTGTCGTTGCTGCACCCGATGGCCACAGTCGCCTGCGATCCGAAGCCGCGCTCGGGGTTACCCCAGTCGACAACGGCGCCTGTGCGGCCTTCGTTGTTCGAGGACTTTCCTGAGCGCATGGAGCGTGCAAGGCGCTTAAAGATGCTCTCGTTGGAGGCCTCACTGGTGCCCCATCGCTCGCCCTTTTCACATTTCTGCTTCACGAGCTCGAGCACAGCGCGCGCATCCTCGATCGAGTCATGACCGGTCTGGCCTTTCTGGATCTCCTTTCCGAGATACTTCTGGGTAAGCCACCTCAGACTGCACTTGAGCGGAGGACCGCGAGGATGGGGGTAGATGAATGTGGTGTCGACAATGAAAGGGTGCGTAAGTTTCAAGGCGTTCAGGTCGGAATTGAGGGAGTGGCCGACAAGAATTGAACGGGGAGAGAGAATGGAGAGGAGCTTCTGTTGGATGTCCGCGAGGCTGGTGGTGACAGGATCTAGTAATTCTTTCGTGATACCGGAAAATCGAGTCAGATAATCGATGATGGGTCGTTGGGGTTTCACCAGCTCATCTAGTACGACTTCACCGTCCCAACGGACCATGCTGATGCGCGTGAGCTCGGATTGACCGCCTTCTGTAACGCACATCTCGCAATCCAACGCGAACACATCCCGACCTGCGGTCATGCTTCCTTGTTGAATTTCCGAGTCCGGGACTTTCCCAGCTTCCAAGCTCTCAACATGGGTATCGACCCATCCGTCTTCAATGGACTGGCCAGCTCGCTTGCGGCTCTCCGCCAGAGCCAGCTTTCCTTGTTCTGTGGCGAGCACGGCTGGGTGAAGAACGTAGTCATTCTCCTGAAGATCTTCCACGGAACTGATGAAAGTGGTGATCGGAGTGCGCTGGAAGACAAGATTCTTGTCCACCCTGGGCGGTTTCGCTCCCTTTGTGTTACTGTCCTTGGTTTTGGGCAGCGCAGAGAGAAGAATCGCCTGGAGCGGGGAGTGAATCTTATTATACTTGGAATCGCCGGGGGCTTTCACGGGCCAGGCGTGAGGGAACATATCCGCTAGAGGCTGTAGGGGTGCTGGAAGGTCCCCACGGGAAAGAGGACGGGGATTGAACCGATGTGATCGGTCCTCAAGCGGCAGGCCTTGTTTCCAGCGAGCATAGTCTGCCGCTCTGGTATCCTCCATCGCATTGGCATCCGCTAATTCCTGCTCCTTCTCCCCAATGGACGCCTTCTCATCACCGACAGCGTCCACATCCAAAGAAATTGACCCATCAAACATCCCCAATTCCAGGCCAGGCACCATCAGTACGACAATCTTCCTGACGTGACCGGAGTGCTTGACCGAAATCCATTGTGGTGCGATGCCATCAGCGAAGCAGTAGAGTAGCAGACTCTGGAGATCCGCAATTCGAATGGATGATTGCAATCGACCTTCAACATAGGTGAGGACCGGATATTTCGTCTTTTCACCATCCACACGCTTCTTTTTCGATACTCTCTGCACTGGCATGTCATCTTGCGCCTTCCGTGTTTCTTCCGATGAAGTAACACTGTCGTTTGGTGTCGATTTGTCCGAATTCAAGATCGCAAGCGTTTGAGCCAAGCCAAAGCTATTCGCCGCATCCGAGGTATTCTTGACCGGTTCTTCGTCATCGGAGCAGCCAGCTTCTGTACGCTTGCGCTTAGCTCCTGCCATTTTGGATGGGCTGCGGCGGCGGCAAAGAGCAGGACGATGAGGGTCGGGACTCCGAAGGTGTGCTAGCTGCAGAGGAACCTACCAGGTGCGTCCGCTGTTCTTCCGATATCGCAGCGCCAGCTCACACGGATGCGAAGTGATCTAGACAAGGATGGGGGATTGCCGCGACTTGAAGATCGACGGAGGTCGCGCGACGAAGAATCCCGACGACTTTTGAGGCACGTGATGATAGCCTATCTGGTTACCATACCGTACGGGTGACATGCAGGGCCCCGGCCCATCACCGATTGCGTGCGCGCAGCTTGTTCCTGCGTAAAGTGGCGGCACTCGCCTTGAATACCCAATTTTCATGGTCTACGGCTCAGCAACAACTTCTCTTGAGCCGGCAATAATCGTTGCAGGTGACTGCCAGCAACCTTGGCAGCTCATCAGTGCTGACTTACACTCGGAGCGACCGATTCTCCGTCTTACGTCCTCTTACGCCGAAGATCGCAGGGGATAAAGCGGGTAACGATGGTGTAATTACAAACGCCCCGATGGGTTCGATCTGATAAGCGGCCAAAAATTCGCCATCGGTCAGCGATCTTCCCTTCTTCTCCTCATCTTCTCTCCATTTCGGCCAGACCGCGGGGCACATCGTGACTCCTTTCCTTTACTTTTCTTCGTTTCTCCCCAAACCTCCCTCGCTCCCAGATCCCCCTCTTTTCTATACACTCAGCCATCTATATCAGAATTCCCCCTCTATCTTCATTTCACGAAACGCCAAGTTTTCCCCGCCTAACCCCCACCCCAGTCACCATCACTATGTCCGCCCTCGTCGAAGTCGCCTCGGAGGCTGAATTTCCCAACATTATCTCCTCCCTTCCCCCGTCATGTCTGCAGGTTCTCTACTTCCATGCTCCCTGGGCCGCTCCTTGCGCCCAAATGCGCGCCGTCCTTTCCGCCCTCGCCTCGCAGTACCCCGCGACCACCCCCCCCTCGATCGCCTTCCTTAGCGTTAACGCTGAGGAGCTTCCTGACATTTCAGAAGAATATAACGTCACCGCGGTTCCCTTCGTGGTCCTCGTTCGTGACAACCAAATCCTCGAGACCATCAGCGGCAGTGAGGCAATTCAAGTGCGCGATGCCGTTGAACGCCACGCCGGTGCCGCCGCCGCAGACGGCCTCCCTAAGACCACCACCATCCCGCCCCCATTGACCGCCGTCCCTCGAGAGAACATCCCCACCACTGCTACGCAGGCGCCTGCGAACGGAACCACCGCCGCTCCGGCATTGACCCCCGAGCAGTCGAAGGAGGCGTTGTTTGCCCGCCTTGCAGAGCTGGTGAAGGCTGCGCCGGTGATGCTGTTCATGAAGGGAACCCCGAGCTCGCCGCAGTGTGGGTTCAGTCGCCAGATCGTGGGCATTCTGCGTGAGCGAAGCGTCAAGTACGGCTTCTTTAACATTCTGGCCGACGAGGATGTTAGACAGGGGTTGAAGGAGTTTGCCGATTGGCCTACTTTCCCTCAGTTGTGGGTGGAAGGTGAGCTGGTTGGTGGATTGGATATTGTAAGCCCCCTCTTTCCCATGGTCTTCCCTCTTCGCGTCCCTTCTCTTGCTATAGTGACGAATGTGATGCTAACGTGAAAATAGGTCAAGGAGGAACTCGAAAATGATCCAGAGTTCTTGGGTCGGTTCTCCGTTAACAAGGCTCCTGCTGTCGCTTAGGGCTATAGAATATGTCAATAATATTAAGGGTTTGCTTGTATTGGGTAGTACTATCTCTTTCCTTTTCTCTTTTCTTGTGTGATTCTTCTGGCAGTAATTACTGCAACCTCGATTGTTAGAGCTTGACATCTAGCGGGTCCTCTATCTTGATATCTATATCTATTTTTTCCTCGGTTACTTTCTGTTGATCCTGCTCTACTGAATGATGTCTGTGCGTCATGCATGTATGTCATGGGAGATGTTGAGATATGAAATGAAAATCTGACAGAGCGTTATGGACTAGACTGTTTCATTTAGTATCACGCATGCGACTCATGTATAGGCTGGGGTAGACGAGCTATGACTGTATGTAAGTAATATCAGTTCTTAAGTGCGAGGGTCCAGGGATCTATAGTAGATGGCTACCAGTCCCTTATCGTGCTCGTTCATACAATAAACCGTTTATAGATTCGGTTGTGGTCGTGTCTAGAGTTCAGTCTCTTCTACCCTACTCTCTACATCTCCACAGTTTGGGGTATGTGTTTGCAGAAGTCTTGAACAACAATAAAACGACATCTTCATTGACATCCGTACCAGCCAGCTAACATCAGACACTGCTGATGTCAAACATACAGCGAGCATGCGCTATCTGATCGGCGTGCCAGACAGTCTCTTGTCGCCGCCTTCGTAATCAGGCCGTAAGGCAGCAACCGAGGCAGAACGAGAGTTCGGAGTTCTTCCATCCATGCAACATAGATTTCTCCCTGAACTGAATTTCCATCAATAGGAAAGTCAAAGCCACAAAATCACTCGATGCCAGTCACATCGTCACCAACAGAGCACCAGTCAGCGGAATCATCCATCCTGCCAACAACGCGTGGCTATCTGTAGATACGATGGTCACCCGTCTTAATCTCCGGAGTCCGTCCGGAGAAAAGCCAGTCACACGTCATACCTGAGCATCATTTACCCTTTTTTTTTCTGCCCGTTGCCTTCGGGATCCCCCAACACCACCATGTCATAACCACCACCCCAATGCCAACCCATTCATAATCCTCTACAAATCTCGACCTCGCATACTCCCATACAACTACCAACTCGCCTCCATCGATTGACCATCCACCGTCACATGCATGTCGGCCGGGGGAGAACACCTCAAGGATGAGGTACGCACCAGTCTCCCCGAGCCCGCGAATCCATCCATCCAGTCAATCATGGCAATGACATGACCTGGCGCCCTGGCTCCATTTTAATTCCATCAACTTGCGCACGCTAACCACCACCATTCCCACCAGGGCACACGACGCCAAGTCGTCCTGGCAGGTGGAATTGCCGGTCTTGTGTCACGGTACGCTCCATTTCCCATCACCCCCTTGCGATCCCCCCTCCCACACCCAAGAGCCATCCTAACATCTATGTCCCCCTAAACTTCAGATTCTGCGTCGCGCCCCTCGACGTCGTCAAAATCCGCCTCCAGCTCCAAATCCACTCCCTCTCCGACCCAATCTCCCATCACAATGTAACCGGTCCAATCTACAAGGGGACCCTCTCCACGATGAGAGCAATCATCCGCCAAGAGGGTATCACAGTACGTCCTCTCCCGCATCCCCTTCCCCTCCCTCCACGGCGCTCCCCAATCTCACAAGTCATGAATGAATTCAGGGCCTATGGAAAGGCAACATCCCCGCCGAACTAATGTACGTCTGTTACGGAGTCATCCAATTCAGCGCCTACCGAACAACCACCCAAGCGCTCGCACAACTCGATCCGCATCGCCTCCCTCCATCCCTGGAATCCTTTGTCGCCGGCGCAGCTGCAGGCGGCCTTGCTACGGCATCCACGTACCCGTTAGATCTACTGAGGACGCGCTTCGCTGCGCAGGGCACGGACCGGGTCTATACCTCGTTGTTTTCGTCGGTCAGGGATATCGCCCGGAATGAAGGGTATAGGGGTTTTTTCCGGGGCTGTAGTGCTGCGGTGGGGCAGATTGTACCATATATGGGGTTGTTCTTTGCGACGTATGAGACGCTGCGGCCGCCGCTGGCGCAGTATCAGGATCTGCCTTTTGGCTCCGGGGATGCGGCGGCGGGAGTGATTGCGAGTGTGTGTTCGAAGACGGTCATGTTTCCGTTGGATTTGATACGGAAGAGACTGCAGGTGCAAGGTCCGACGCGCCATTTGTACATCCATCGCAATATCCCCGAGTACCAAGGCGTGTTCAACACAATGGCGCTGATTCTACGGACTCAGGGTGTGCGGGGACTTTATCGCGGCTTGACTGTCAGCCTGTTCAAGGCTGCTCCCGCCAGCGCAGTGACCATGTGGACCTATGAGACTTCTCTGCGGCTGCTCCAGGATATGAACGTGGCTACGAGCAAGGACGATTGAGCACATATTGGCTCCGCCATGATGATACCTATTTTGTATTATATTGGATAACATATTAGACTTTTCGATATTCCATACTGGATACCATTCTTGCGTCCTCTCAAGAGACAGACGAATTCATGTGCTCATATTTTCTCACGGCGGCTCTGCCGATTCATTATTGGGTACCAGCTCAGGAGACAAAACAACGCTAGAGACGCACGAACGGAAGGGGTTGTCGCGAATAGAAGGACAGGATAGACACAATTTAGGCGAGAGAGTTAGACAGACCAAGAAAAGAAGCGGCCAAAGCACCACGAGCCAAGAGGTGCGAGAAGGATTAATACTCAGCCTCTTCCTCACCCTCCACCTCGGCGTAATCGGTGGCAACCTCCTCGTAGTCCTTCTCCAGCGCAGCAAGATCCTCGCGAGCTTCGGAAAACTCGCCTTCTTCCATACCTTCACCCACGTACCAGTGCACGAAGGCGCGCTTCGCGTACATGAGGTCAAACTTGTGGTCCAGACGACCCCAAGCTTCGGCAATGGACGTCGTGTTCGAGAGCATACTGACGGAGCGGTCAACGGGGGCAAGCTCGGTGTCAGGAACGCGGACGGGCTTCTGGTAGTTGATTCCCAGTTTGAACCCGGTAGGACACCACTCAACGAGGTTGAACGAGGACTTGGCCTTGAGTGAGGCAATGGCTTGGGTGCAGTCACGGGGTACCACGTCACCACGGTACAGCAGAGCCACTGCCATATACTTACCCTTGCGAGGATCACAGACCACCATCTGATTGTTCGGCTCAAAGCCTGCAAGCTACTGTTAGCCACGCAACAACCCCATCCTTCAATAATAGTAGTACTAGGAGGGATACGTACACTGGAAGGTAAGATCCTGCACCTTGAAGCTCTCGTGGGAGCTGCGGCTGCTCGAGACCACAGGTGCGTACGAGATCAAGGGATAGTGGATACGAGGGAATGGTACCAGATTGGTCTGGAACTCCGTCAAGTCCACGTTAAGGGAACCATCGAACCGGAGACTGGAGGTGATGGAGCTGACGACCTGGGCGATCAAGCGGTTGAGGTGCTCATAGCCGGGACGCGGGATATCGAGGTTCCGACGGCAGATGTCATAGACAGCCTCGTTGTCCACCAGGAAGGTGCAGTCGGCGTTTTCAATGGTGCTGTGAGTGGACAACACGGCGTTGTAAGGCTCAACGACGGCGGTCGAGACACGAGGAGAGGGATATACTGCAAATTCAAGCTTGCTCTTCTTCCCATACTCGGCGGAAAGACGCTCGAGCAGCAGAGCACCAAAGCCAGACCCTGTACCACCACCGAATGAATGGAAAACCAGGAATCCCTGTAGGGAAGAGCAATTATCTGGGAGACATAAGCCTAGTCCACGAAAGCGGTCACATCAGGGGATTGGAACCTACCGGAAACACGACGGATGCGATCGGCAACTTCTTCAACGAGCTCCTTTCCGATAGTGTAGTGTCCACGAGCATCTGCCATGATCAGCTTCCATGTCCAGATCTAGTGGGATGAGAATCGTACAGTTGTTAGCCGCGTCTTCCTTTCCACTAATCAACATTTCAGGGTGAAAGAGTTGACGGTATTTGCCGGTGCGGATCTCATCGACAGGCTATATCCATTGTTTCAGCATACATCTCGATATACTTACCCCCTTTGGGATAGGGGAATCATACCGATGGGTCCAGATCAACAAAAATGGAGCGCGGAACATATTTGCCATTGTTGGTCTCGGTGAAGAAGGTTTCAAACGAACCGCCCGAATTGATTGCTTCAGACGCCTCAGGATTAAGTTGACCATCTTCCTTGAGGCCATGCTCCAGAAGGTACCTGTGTAGAACACAACAAGCTCAGTATGAGGTCGGTTTTAAGAATGCTGGCGGGTCCGGGGTATACTAAAAAGCGGTGAGGACGTACAGCTCCCAAGCACTGTTTCCAAGCTGGATACCAGCCTGGCCAATGTGGATGTGGCAGATCTAGATGGATATAAAGAGTTAGAACAAGCAAACTTTCATTTATGTTCAAGAGATTGCATGAGGATTGATGGGTGAGGTCGCGAGTCTATCTTCTGCGAGGGGGTAACAGTGCGGGGAGTCCCAGGTAAATAAAACGGGGTCCATACCTCGCCGCGCATGTCGAGAATGAGTCCGGTTATCGATGGAAAACGACAGGAACTGGCCCAGTAGATGTAGGATAGAGATCGTTAGAGTGGGAGCCACAAGCAGTAAGTTGGAACCCGAAGAATGATGGAGAAAGCAGAGGAAGTGAAGGAAGAAAGGACGAGGAGTTGCTGGAACGGCTGGAATGGATGACAGTGACCGGGAAGGCGTTGGTTCTTGCCGGTCCCATAAACAAGCCTCGCTCAGCCAATCAGCAGCCTCCCTTGTCCCCTGACCGACTGATCAGTCGATCATGGAACCCCTCCCACCTTCCAGTTCTCAGTACACCGTAAAGCGGCCAACAAACGGACATGGCACCTGGGTTTATCGATTGCGGCTTGTGAGACAATCTTCGTCTTTTCTTTTCCCCTTCCTCGTGATTCAACATCTGGCTATTCCCACGTGTCTTCTGCCGTGGAATGCGGGGAAGCTGCCCTTTGATTTGAGGTATGTGACAGTGGTTGGCCTGCACAGACCAGGAAAGCTGAGACGATGCTTGGTTGCAGCATCTATCAAAGAAGGAAGATGGAAATACTCGACGAATCTATTGGTTGAGATAATAAGACATGCTACCTTTCGACACAAACTAACCAGCCGTGCCATAAGCGTCACTGCTCGCAAAGAACAAGGTTTGATGAGAGCAAAGCCAGCTGAGACATGATAGGTACCGCCTCGAGCTGGTCAATAATGGTCTTGTTGATGCATCGTTGAGTACTGCATGCGGCTGGGCAGTATGGGAAACCCTGAAGAATATCACCGTGCCATGCTATTCTACAAATATTGAGCCATTGCCGATGCATGTCGCTCTGATGGGGTCAACCTACTAAGTACCGTTTGATAGCATTCGACCAGAACCCACCAACTCCAGTTTGCGGATATTCTAGGCCTCATCAGACAACCTCGGGGATCTTCAATGAAATGGCGGGGCAAGACACGTCAACGGCGGGGTGGTGAATTGCCAATGAACTTTTCCCCTGGCGGAAGCGATGATGTTGAGCGCCGATAGCCCAATTAAAAATAAACTGTTCTTTGGCAATCGTTTTGACATATGCGGAAGATTTGACGGGTCAGGGTACTCTGTACACCCATGGTACACAGTACGCAAGATGAAACATCGACATTCCATCTTGGCAAATGCACAAAATTCACCGGGCGCTGTATTCATAGAATTACTTATTCGCGGAGAGGTGCATTACAGAGCCACAAACTACATTGTCATCATTCATAATATGCAGTCTTATTAATCTGTCAACACCCGGAGCAAAGGATCGGCTAGAGGACGCTAGCAGGTAGAAATCAAGTACTGTGGATTCGTCCAGGCTTAGTGTCAAGTGCTAGTGCTGAAGCTATAGGCCTGCACTGACTCGGGTCTCACAAACCATAACAGGGCTCTTAAGATGAATGACAGCCACGTCGGAGATGAGATAGACATACACAATGACTAGTCTTGGTATATCAGAACAGGTGAAACATAATGTGCTCGGTTGTCAAAGTTTCCGAGCACAAAACAGAGATTCTACATCATCGTCCAGGGTACCGCAGCGAGGACAGCCGGGAGTGCCTGAGGTGGCGTTTCTTGGCGGTGGCCATTCAGCCTTTGGGGGTTTGAAAGCTGCCGGAGCAGTCCGTGCTGTGCTCTCCGCCGTCAACGGACTGATTGGCTTTGCACTCTCGACCATTGCGTAGTAACAGATGGAATACATTGGTTTCCCAGAGTTGACGTGTGTCTGGAACCTTCCCACCCTCCCCCCGTGCGATCGATGACCCTGCAGCTGCAGAGCAAGGTAGGCGTGGCTCTATCGCTATTCGTTACTCCGTGCTGCGTGAAGAAGTAGAGTGCCAAGGGCTCGGCCAACTCAGGAAGGTATCGCGCTGAGACATCGCACTAAAGCTGCAACGATGGAGAACTAATCCAGGTAGTTCGGGTTAGCAGCAGGGTGCTCTGGGTCCCAGAGTTTTCTTTGGACTCGTTTGAAGTTTCTAACGTTAGACCACTGGCCCCACCAGGGCCACTGGCCAGAACCGATGCTGAGAGATGCCCACCCACCGGATCCATATCGATCTCGGAATTGGATCGCAGAGTGACCGCCACCGTCTGATAACCGCCTTTGCCCGATAATTGGGATCGCAATGGTGTACGGTATGTGTCGTTGGATGGGCGCGAAGTCGCGATAATGGCAATTAGTGTAACATACAGCGAATACATCTAGATATGACCTTCGCTTCAAGCGATCTGAGGATGGTCTGGACCGTCATACCCTCAGGCATCGAGTCGATTGTCCCGTGCGATCGGCATTCTCTCCCGCATCGATCTCGTCCTTCTCTGCTGCTGCTGGATTGACCCAAGGTCCAGCTGGAGCTGGTGCTTCTCGGCCTTGCGTGGTCTTTTTCTTTCGGCCATTTCCTTCTTACTGCTCTGCTCCCCGCTCTCCTCTTCCTCCTCCTCTTCTGTCATCCCTGCATCGGGCCTTTTTCTTTTGACCCTTCGACCCTGCAACTGGCCTTTTCCCATCTGCACCGTGCAACTAGTGTGCGCTTATCTTCCGTTCCTTTTTCAGCCACCGGACTGGGGCCCATGCATCATTAGCTCCTCTGCTGTCCGGAAAGATTTCCCACCACTGTAGGTCAGTCTTCGCCCTTGCTCGTGCGAATCCTTGATTTCACCATACCCTCTTTGGTTCACAGACAATCCTTTATGATGTCTCGGTTCATCGTTAATCCTTCCTCGTGTTTTTCTGCGTCGATGGGTTTGCGACTTTGCATGTCTCTCTTCATCTATCATGATCTAATGTGGTATACAGTCTGCCTTAGACCAGTTACATGAACAGTACTTGAGCAGGTCAACCCTTCATTCGGCTCTTCACTTCTGTTCCTTGGCCTGGTGCCAACATGTCGACTCCCATTGAAGAGCATCTTGCTCCCCATTATCCGGAAGAGAAGAGGAAGCACAGACTTGAAGATGGGTCTCCGGACTCCGATGAAGGCACATATGTGTACGACAGCTCGAGTAACGGAAACCACCTAAGGGTTGATACCTCGTACGATGAGCCGGATCGAGCTGCCTTGTACTCTCCTGCCACAGCGAGAGAAGAATCCACCCGGCTAGAAGACGACCTGGCAGTTCTGGAGGCAGAGCGAATGGCATCACGTTCCACCCATGAAGGGGAGTCGGAGAAGAGAGTGAATGACGACGGGACATCTATCTCTCGCTCTCGCTCTCGCTCTCGTTCGCGTCGATCCGCAGTCGACGAATTCGACGAGGCCACCAATCCGTTGCATGAAAAAGCCGCGGTGTATAACCCACCGGAAAACCCCAACACCAACATCGCGAGGTTCGTGAAAAGGCTTCACGAGTCTAGTTTCATCATCCGCTATCTCACCTACATCCTACCGCTTGTGCTTATCTTGTTGATTCCGTTGCTGGTCGGCGCACTTGCGTTTCCGGATGCTAACGTTGGTGGTGTTCGATTGGTTTGGTTCTCGGTGTGGTTGGAGATCGTTTGGCTAACCCTATGGGCTGGAAGGGTGGGTCATTGTTCTTTGCTATTCGCTCACTAAGATATTAATATGTTCTTGCCAGATCGTTTCCAAATGCATTCCTATCCCTGTGGGCGCTATTGCTAGTATTTTCACCAACAATGCAAAGAAATGGCGGGACCTGGCCAAGCAATTGGAGCTACACGGAACCTTGTTCTTCTGGTGGCTGGGCGTGGAAATCTCCTTTTTGCCCACGATGAAGAATCACCATGTTGATGGAAGACATGCTACGCGCTCGTGGGAAAACACAGTCAACAAGATCATCATATCTGTCTTTGTCTGGACGATTTTGAACCTCGTCGAGAAATTTATCATCCAGCTGATCGCCATCAGCTTCCACACGCGTACCTATTCGGATCGGATCGAGATCAACAAGTTCCAGATCGGCAGCCTGACCAAACTATATGATTTCTCCCGGCAGAAGATTTCTGCCAAAGATACGGAATTCGAAGAGAAACAGAAGCCCGGTACTAGCACACCCATGAAGATCCCGTTCCACTACGCTGGGAAGGCAGGACGGCTTGCCAAAGGTGCTTTACACAAAGTTGGCGACGTCGCTGGCGCAGTTGCCGCGGACTTTACTGGCCGCACGGCCACTAACAGCAACCACCCTTACCAAGTTGTGCTGACGTTGTTGCGGACCACGAGTGGCTGTCAGGTCTTGGCTCGACGTCTCTACCGGACTCTCGTGCGTGATGGATTTGAAACCGTCTTCTCGGGCGATCTGAAGGAGGCGTTTGATAACAACGAAGAAGCCGAGGCAGCGTTTACAATGTTTGACAAGGATATGAACGGAGACATCTCCATGGAAGAATTGGAGGCAGTTTGCGTGGAAATCGGACGCGAACGCAAGGCCATTACCGCATCTTTGAAAGATCTCGACTCTGTCGTCAGCAGACTCGACAACGTTCTAGAATTCTTCGTGGTTCTTATCGCTTTGATTGTTTTCCTGACCTTAATCTCCACGTCGGCTGCCGGCGTGCTCACGTCTGCAGGTTCCAGTATTCTTGCGCTGTCCTGGCTGTTCTCTGCCACTGCGCAGGAACTGCTCCAGTCTGTCATCTTTGTGTTTGTCAAGCACCCGTTCGATGTCGGTGATCGGGTGACAGTCTATGGTAATTCTGGCGATGCGGGTCTGGGCGACGATTACTTCGTCAAACAGATCTCGCTCCTGTACACGGAGTTCAAGAAGATGCAGGGTCATGTCGTGCAGGCCCCCAACAGCTATCTGAATGGCCTTTTCATCCTCAACCAGCGCAGATCTGGTGCCCTCGCCGAGGCCGTGCCAATTGTCATCAAATATGGCACGACCCTTGAGCAGATCGATGCCCTTCGTCAACGGCTGTTGGAATTTGTTCGCAGCGAATGCCGCGAATTCCAGACCAATATCCTCACTGAGATGCGCGAGGTGACCGAAAACTTCTCGGTCACTCTCAATGTTGTCTTCTTCTACAAGTCGAACTGGCAAAACGAAGGCTTGCGTTTGCAGCGCCGCAATAAATTTATCTGCATGCTCATGCTTGCCTTGCAAGAGATTGGCATTGAGGGACCACGCATGAACCTCCAGGGTGCTCGGGTCGACATTCCCTTCCATGTCGCCGGGTTCCCCTCTCATGTGGCAGCTGCCCCGGGCAGCAGTGATGGTCGGCCTCCGCCCACTCCTGTGCACGAGAACAACTCTCTCCATGAAAATTCCGGCGTTAGCAGCGCTGTGCGCCAGCACTCTATTCTCCGCAAGGGCATGGACACCGCTGCTGCGCGAGCCCGCGGGGATTCCATGCTCACACGGAAGCATGTGGACTTCTCTCTAGGCATGCGCGACATCTCTTCCGGCGACGTTATGGGCGACGTGTTCGAAGACCGCCGCACTCGAGTTGATGACATTGTCCGGATGGCCAACCGGGAAACCACCGAGCGTCGCATCCAGGAAGAGGAAGAAGAGGAGGCTGAGCGGCGGAGCCGTGCATCTATCTCCCACCGACGAAGCGGCTCGAATCTCAGCGTGCCGTCCGCAGCGCGCTCTGGTCGCCCGTCGATGGAGTCTCAAGGTGGTCACAGTTTGTCCTCTGTCAGCCGCGGGCGGTTCTTCCGTCATCGCAGCAGCATCGGCAGCCAAGGGGGAGCTGATCTGGAGCAGGGGCCGTCTCATGGCCAGGATCCTCAGATCCGCGCTGTGTCGCCTGGTGTGGAGGAGAAATGATTTGCCTTGGCTTGATGCGGTAGCCGTTCTGGAAATGACTGCGCGCTTGATCGTCATTGAGTAATTGCTCCGATTCGACATATTCTATATATTTCCCGTACATATGAAAAGGCGGCACCTTCAACAATGGGCAGGCGTCTTGGGATGTTATTGTTGCTTTGCCAGGGGCTAGACTAATAGGGGGGGGGTGATCTGCTTGGCAGTGTCAATCTTGTTGTTTGGATTTTTTAGATCAATATAGACTCAATAATAGTACACAAAGTGTTCAAATCACACTATGCTTGATGTGAATTCAATCAACTTCATGACCCTTCATTGACTTTCCATTTGATGAAGATAAAGCGACATGATAAACCAATTACACGACACTTTCCTTCCCCAACATCACCTCCAACTCATTGAACTGAACCCCACACCCAACAACCTATACAATCAGTACTACGGAGTCCATCCAACCCCAAAAGAGAATCATTATAGTACCTAAAACCTGCAATCCACTCACACCTTGCCTATCAAGCACTCTTCTCTGCCCCCCATACCGAACCGAACACCGCCAGCCCCATTCATACACTACTAACCTTCTCTCTCAACCAAGAGACCACCTGCATCTCTTCTCCTGTATCCGTCTCATCCTAACAGATCTAGCCGAGTACTGTACCGTGCTAACCACGCTCACCATCCACCACTTACCTCGATAAACAAATACCACAATTAGTACTATACAACGTGAGATATATTCCTCAATCGTCAATCCCTCACTCAGCCCCCTAAGCTTCGTCTCATTCTATACCCCAGAATTCCAAGCAGCACCCAGAAACAATAACGACGAAAACAGCTCCCCTCCTTCCAAAGCAACTAAGCATGTACAAAGAATATAGTCACGACACCTAACAGCCCCCTTAATTTATAGGTTAAGCATAACCAATCATCTTCCCCTCCTCCTCCTTCCCCAACACAACTCCTCCATCAAACATCCCCTCAATCTCAACCTCAACCAGATTAAGAAAGCCCCCATAGTAGCCTTACTCGATGCACTCGCCCCAACCCCGCAACCGCGAAATCCATGCCCAAGACGTGGGGGTCATTCCTGAACTGGACGGTTGCGGAAGCGCTGATGGCCCCCGTGGTGAGGTGTTTAAAAAGGGCGTGTTAGCTGATGGGGATAAGGCCGATGAGGGCGACTTTGGGGGTGATATCGGGGGGAAGGGGAAAAGGGTGCGGAGGCGGGTTAGAAGGGGCGTATTGTATGGTTGCTTGAGATGGTTTCTTGGGGTTTAAGAGGGGGAGGGGTTGGGCAGTATTGAGAGAGAGAAAGGGTGGGTGGTTGGTGTGAATGGCTGATATACTAAGCTGGAATCACGGAACTACTGATGGCTCTGGTCGAGGTCTCCGACACATCGTGCGATCAACACTGTACATGGAATAATCTGGCTGAAGTAATGAAGAGAAAAACTAAACTCTTTTTTGAAATCCGGTACGTATAGGTACATACACAATTTTGCGACCAAGGAGAATCGAGATTGAACACAAAAGAAATGATAGACGCCGGGATGATGACAAGAGACGCAATGGAATGATGAAGAGGAGAACACCCGAGCAGGGAAACAAATGAGTGGAACTCAGACAGCCTGGTTGAGAAACAACACTCCCAAACACCCGCTAGCCTTGAAGCGCAGAGCAAATGAAATCAATGATACAACAAAGAGGAGAAGGTGTTCTGACAGAAATCAAGGTCATAAGCATGGAGGAAGATATCGTGGATGGCGGGTAACCGCTTCAAACAACCACGAGGGTCAAGGATGTCCAACACAAATCACAGTAGTCTGCAAGACAGTGACAAGTCTATCTTTCAAGATAAGATAGCAAATTCTATCTCTCTGATGGACAATGGAAAGCATCCGGGTACGGATGGGGTGACGGGGTGTGCAACGGCCGAGGCGTGGCATCGGCATCCAGGTAGTGGTCAATATCGGCTTCAGCCCCAAATTCGGCAACCAAATCGTCACCGGGCATCTTGACACATGGGGTGTCGGGATCTTCGCCGGAGTGATCGACATCCTCTTCTCTGGAAAAGACAATCGGGGGTGTTATATGTCCCATTTTGGGTGTTTGAGTGCTAGCCTCCAGGGCCGGTGTAGCTGAAGTCTCTGCCAAGTTGGGTGAACTGGGTTGTTCTGAGAAGATTGCGGGGAAGTCCGAGCTCAAGCCCAGCTCCAAGACGGGGGAATGCTTGGGACTGTATCCTTCAACCGACCCCTCAATGGCCTCTTCGGGAATCTGAAGATCATCAAACCCACTGCCCAGGCTGGGACTTGGCGGCGAGGGAGAGTCGGTGCGCTGCTCACCACCATCACTGACGCGGTTGGAACCCCCACTGGTGCGTCGCTCCAACGACTCTCGCTCTCTCTTGAGCAGCTCTTCGCTTCCACTGACCACACTGCCCCTGCTATTGGTTCTCATCATCTCTATGCCCAGCTTGGAGCCAGGACGACGAGACCTCTGCCGTGGGCTGCTTGTTCGCGTCGGGGAATTGCCGAGCTCTTCGTCTTCATCATCGCCGGACTCGGCACACTCATAGCGTTTGCGTTCTAACGATTCTCTCTTGGCACGGATAGCTTCACTAGATCGCTGTTTGCGAGGCGTAAGGCCTCCAGGCTGATACATGGTGGCCGGTGCAGAAGTGGCGTGGAGCAAACTTGGGAAAGGCACCGCGCCGGAGCCAGAGGTGGAACCGGCATCGGTCGGTTCTGAAGCTGGCGGCGCATCTTCGGTTATACCGAGGCCACCTTTATCCTGTTCCAGCTCGTCGTTGTGTTGGCTCACAATAACCGGGCCTTCCTCGGGTTTGATCGATTCTATATCGCCAAAGTAGCTGCTGACGATGGAATCTTCTCGACTAGACCCTCGGTAGGAGCTGGAGGGTACATGGGCAAAGCCGGATGATGTTGTTGAACTTGGGCTATGCTCGGCTTGCACAGGATTCTGGCGTATCGTAGGCGGAACAGTGATGGACTGAGAAGGATTGTAGTCCTTGGGGGGAGGCTTCCACTGGCAGAATTTACAGAGTGCCTCTGTGAACTTTGTCAGGGTGGGCGGTTTTTCAATGAGAGCGTCAAAATGATGGGTTTCGGGCAGGTCCTTGAGATAGCCGGTGACCGCAATGATCGGGGTATGCCGGTTGGCACTGCGCGTTTCTCGCACCATACGTGCAACATCGGCTCCAGTTACTTGAGGGAGCTTGAACTCCGTCATGATAATGTCGAACTGGACTTCACTCAAAGCGTAACGCATCGCCTCGGTTCCGTTGACGGCCGTAATAGTTCGACACCGCAGCTTTTCAAAGAGACGTTCCATCACTATCCGAGACACCGGATGGTCCTCGCAGATTAGCACGTCCAGCGGTCGGAAAAAGGGACCTTCAGGGAAATTGATCTGAGACAGACGCCTTGAGCTTTGCCGGCGGCGTTGCACCTTGAGCAGGGCTTTAGTACGCGGGTCCTCATTATCCGACGAGGAAGGTGAGATATCGAACAATTGGCTGCGACGCTTGTAATGACCTGCAACGTATGATTCCTTGGCTAGAGATGACGAGAGATCCCCATCCTGAGAACCGATAGTCTGCGATCTTGCTCGTGACGCAGGAGCACTGCCATGGCGCGGTCCGGAAGGCGTCTTGTCAGGCGAGTGAGCCGCAGCCCGAGTAGGTTTAATAGGAGACGATGATGCTGAGCCAAACTTAAGACTCGCCATCCGACCAGAGTCGACACTAGTGGGTTGGCTGTTTCCTGCAGACTGGGAGTTGTTTGAAGACGATCCCGACGTCTTTCTGCGCTCGTGGTTTTGACCGGTGCTGAATTGAACGAGCAGAGGGGACGAAGGTTGCGATGGACGACTGGGAGACGAATTCGCCTGACTCATGCTGGAGGGGGACGAGGGGCGGTTGCTGCCTTTGGTCTGCGACAAAGTCCGTTGCAAGGACATTGGCAATGGGCTTCCTTCCAGTGAGGGGGCGGGCTGAGACGGAGCTGGCTCCTGTGGTTGCACGTGCCCTGCTTGCTGAGGGCCCTGGGGAGGAACATGGCGTTGCTGCGCCTGCATGGCTTCTTGGCGCAGTTTTTGGATGACATCCTTGTTGGCCTTCTCGAGCATGGGCAGGTTTTTGAATGAGAAGCTACCAAAATCATCGGCCATCGCCGGTTCGCTCAGCCTTCTGCTGCGCGACTCCCGGACGTGGGGTGGTATGTGCAGGGGCATCAACGGCCGCTTCATTGAATTCACTTGCGAGCGAACTTTGAACAAAGCATCATGGGGTCGATCTTGAGGGTATGCCCCGACGGTTAATGGTTGTGGCGGGGGACTTGCATCTTCAAGCTCTTCAGTGAAGGCTTGAAGTGTGGCCCCACGAGCGTCAAAATACTCGGTATCCTCGGGGTTCTCAATATTTGGCACGAATTGGGCCTTGTCTTCCAGCAGGGTATCCCAGTTGACATCTGAAAACCAAGGATGGCTGCGGATTTCTGCTCCCCCATTTGGATATCTCTCATCAACATTGGCACCGATCCGTTCGCGCGGGTTCATAGCCATGAGCTTGTTCATGAGATCAAGGGCTTCAGGGGAAGCCAGCTCGTCGGGTTCGTCGGGCCAGTTGATCCTTCGGTGAAGTATATTGTCAAAGACCTCGTCGGGAGTCTCCGCATTGAAAGGTGGGTAGCCAAAGAGAAATTCAAACATGATGCAGCCCAAAGACCACCAGTCGCTCATCTCATCCTGGCCAACTCCGTTGATGGTCTCCGGGGCTAGATAGTCCGGAGTGCCAACAAAGCGCCGGTTATGGTCGTCGGGATCGAACAGTGCCATCAGAGGTGGCATCATTGACTGTTGGGGCGGGGTGTTGTACGAAAACGAGTTGCTCATGGTTGGCTGAAGCGGGTATAAGTGAGGAGACTCGCCCGCCTCGCTCTGACTTTCTTCTTCAGGCAAATGATGATGGCCGCCCGAGGAAGGGACGGGCACAGGCATCGTACCCGAACTTTCACCACCCTCGTGGAGACCAAGGGTGCGGAACATGGCGTTCAGGCTCTCGCTAGCGCCGCTATCGCTACGGTAGCCCGATGCCCGACGAGAAGTCTGCCGACTGAGTCCGGTCTGGTTGAGGTTGAAGTAAGACGGCTGGGGGATGCTGCCAGCAACGTCGGGAGTAATCAGGGGAGTGGACCCCGGCGACCCGCTGCCTTGGAAATCGAAAGACGCCGATCTGGAGGATGCGATGGACGTTGCTCGAGGAAAGGATCCTTGCTTCAGAAGGTCCGGGGCCGGTTCGTTCATACTCTTCAAGACGCGCTTTTGACGCCCGACCAGGCCCATTCGAGACAAACCGAAATCGGTCAGCTTGAGATGACCCGTCTGGTCTATAAGCAGGTTGTCTGGCTTGAGGTCACGGTGGACGATCCCTCTGCCATGGAGATGTTCCACCCCGAGGACTACTTCCGCGATGTACTTTTTAGCCCAGTCCTCAGGCAACCCCCCCAGAACCTTGACGAGCGAAGCGCAATCTCCGCCGTTGAGATATTCCATTACCAAGTAGAGGTAGTCCTTGCTGGAGAATGTCCAGTAGAGCTTAGCAACAAAATCGCTTTCCCCTTGCCACATCATGATTGCACGCTCCGCCTTGACATTGGTAACCTGATTCTTTGCGACCATATCCGCCTTCTTCAACACCTTGATCGCAAAGTACTCGCTGGTCACCTTTTTCTTTGCCAAGTAAACACTCCCAAAGGCACCTTTGCTGATTGGTTTGATAATCTCAAAATCCTTGATTGACGGCGGCGCGGGTCTCGGCTGGGGCTGGCTGGCGGAGGACAGATGGGGGGAGACGGGCGGTTTCACGAGATCAGAAGACGTTGCGGACGACTGACGGCGATGATGAGGGTAGTGGAGTTGTGCCAGTTCAATTGCATTTGACGAGGGAGAGACTATGGGGGACGGTAAGCTATCGGCGCCGCTCGAGAGACGTGCCCGGGGCATTCGCAACGGAGAATGGGGGCCCGATATGCGAGCCGGAGAATGTTGCCGTCGGGGTGAGCTAGACAGCCCAGGAAGCACCAGACTCCTGCGTTTTCTGTCCATACTGCGATCGGAGGAGGGTGAATCGGTTCGCACGGCATTGGGGAAAGCAGACGAAGGAGCACTGCTATCACTGTTATCCCCCGCGTCAAAATCGAGCATGGAGATGCCGCGCCTAGAAGGCTGCGAAGTGCCGAGCACTCCAGCAATACTCTTATGTGAACGGGGTGTAGGACACTCCATCGGGCTGTTCGATCCGGTGGACACGGCAACTGAGGCTTTGCCTTCGGAAGAATGGCCTGAATGGAACCGATCGGGCGAATTGCGCATCGACATCGTGAGAGCGGACATTGGAGGCGGAGGTGCCGATTCTCGCTTCCCGTGTATTATCGGACTATGTGCAACCACAGCGGGGTCGGGTTCTGGGGGAGAATCATCATCTGAAGCGCTAGAGTCGCTTAGCTGGCCGGCCGCAATTCGCTCGGCCTTGCTCAGAGCTGCAGTGATACACTCCTCCACCAGAATTGTGTATTCAATCCGAATCCGCTCCGCATACTCGACGATTCTTCTATGACGAATAACGGCATCGACTTTTGCCTTGGCCACTTGTTCGGTATCTGTACACAGGGCCGCGAGACCTTGCTCCTGCTCCAGTGTATTAGAACTGGGCGACTGCCACTGGAGGACCTGAGAGATACGAGATTCCGACTGCGGTGATAAGGTCCGGAAGTCATCCCCATTATCCGCACGGGTCTCCTTGATCATAGGCATGTTAATTTCCAAGGCGGTATCGCAGAGATCGAGGATCAACTCAACGACACGAGCCAACGGACGCCGCACTGCGAAAGACCGGGCGCGAGCATGTCCGATGCCCGAAGCTGAATGGTCTCTCGATCTAGGTGGCGTGCCAGGAGCCGAGTTTGAGCTGGATACCGAACCCGAGGATGGCGCTGAGGCAGCTGGAGACGGTCCAATAGGCAGTCCTTTGTATTCCGGCTGGGTAACTGGGGGGGGGTTGGTCTCCCCGAGCACCAATGGCCTGCTCTGCCTGGCCTCGAGGGCATCCAGCACCTTGACGATGGCATGGCGGTGCTCATTGAGGTTTTCCTGGGCTATTTGCACGTCCATCTCGGCTCGATGTTCCTGAAGACAGAGGTCTGAATGTTTTTCGAACCACCAGGGCGTGATCTGCCGTTCGCAGATGCGACACAGCACCGGGTTCGGGGCTGGATGTTTCGAAGGATCGGGTTCACTGGCAGCGGCCTCCGCCAAAGTTGTCAAGTAGTTTGCTAAAACTTCCGCTCCGACGCCTAAAGATTCTACCAGCAAGGGAGGGAGGTCAATGGTGACTTCTCTGGGTTCGGTAAACGGTCGCAACATCCACATGGTCTGCATTTTGAGAACGTCAATTATTATTGGGTATTCTGATTCTAAATGCTTGCAGTGACTTACATGCCCAACCCCATCGGCGGTACGGTCAAAGACCATGATTCCTTGTCCTTCCAGATGTAGGACATCATGATGTCGGTTCTCCTTCTCTGGCAAGTCTTCCTGGGATTCCGCAGTCTCCGCTATTCCAGTAGTCTCTTCCTCCATCTCCGCAGCAGGTCGTGGCTCGGGCGAGTACTTCAGGACCGATTCGGGGCCCATCTGGACGGCAAAGCGAATGAAGCGACTGCGGGAGTCATCTTCCTTCATACTCTCTATCGCATCGTGGAAGACATTCTGGTTACCGACCACGATCTCCGATATCATCTGCCCCTCTATTGACTCCGGAGATGTCCCCACGACCTGTTTCCATGACGGACTCACCCATTTAACACGACCATCGAGGTCCAGATCCACAATGACGTTCAAGGTCTGCTCCGCCGCCTCCTTCAGGTCTTCGCGCTCCTCTCGCATGTTATCGACGCTGGAGGAGCGAGAGGGAGAGAATCTCGGATCGACACTCCGGGCTTCCTGCCGCAAGGCAGTCACGGCCGGAGGAGCAAGATATTGGACATCGTCTGTGCCATTGCCCGCCATGCTGAACAGGCAACGCCGACCGGAATACCGAAAAGCGGACCCGAGGGGAGGGAGGTCGAAAGGCGGATGGGCGCAGCACGTAAAATCAAGCGAAAGGTATTGTGAACGGTGAGCAGCTCCAAGCAGGACCGTCTGCCAGGCAGAGCGGGTGCCCTTTGATTGTAGGTTATGAATTCATCCGCAGCATTAATTGGCCATGGCTGGATAGCGGGGACGTAGAGGGATGAGAGAGCAAAACAACCCTATCGCAACAGAGAGACGAGGGGCACCTGAGAGTCCGAAATACTTCCTTGCCTGATCCCGAAAGAAAGAAACGAGAAAAATCTCGTGATCACGTAAGGACAGCAGAGGGAAGCGAAACGAAGAGGGAAAAGCGGCTATGCGGGGGAATGGCGCGACGGAGCGTCAACGCGCAGCCAGGGTGATTGACCGAGTCAACCCCCCGAACGAGGTCGACTAAAGGCAGAGAATAAAGCGGGTGGGGGAAGCCAGACAGGTGTGGGAAAGAGAGAAGAGCGACATAGAATGAACAGAGACAGTCGGCCAAGAGGATCAGATTGGGGGACGAACAAGAATTAAGAGAAAAAAAAAACAATAAGGAAAAGGCACAGAAAGACGGCGGGCAGATCGGTGGGAGGTATGGAAGAAGTAAGTTGAGAGAGTGAGACTGTATGAAGGGAGAACGTGAGTACGGAAAGGTTACCTGCCCGGTACCCAAGGTCCCGAGGACAAGCCCCCGAAGGTTGCAGGCAGGCCAGTGCGGCGGTGTATGGTATGGTAATCGAGGCGGGAAAAGCAGCAGCGGATATCACAAGTGGAGAGGACCTTCAACCTTCGGTTGAAGGGACACAATCTGGAGTCTGGATGGGATTTAGGTTTCCCGCCTGAAACCATCACCGCTCGAGGGGGGCTGGCCGGGTTTGACCTCGAGGGAAGACCGTTGGAGCCGTCCCAGCCGGTGGAGAGCGAGCATCAGAGCATGATTTGCGAGGACTGTACCATCCCCCGTTGTCAGTCAGTATCTAGTCGGTACTATGACACTGCTTTTTTTCTCCCTATCAACGACGTAAATTCCGATCCACTCCCGATAATCAAAGGCTTTCCCTGATCGGCCACTCCATGGATCTTCATTCTCCTCTCTGACACCACTATAATGTGTCTCTGCTACTCGCACTGCCGTACGGGTTTCTTACCGCCGGCCAGGAGAGAGTGGCTCCATCTGCAAAGATGCATTAGGTTACGGATAACAGACTAACAGTCCACTAGACCTCTCAGAGGAGCCGCGGTGGATGCCCGGACGCACCCGTGGTATAGGCATCTAGCCACTAGCTACATCACCCTAACTGTACCTAGCTGTTACAGTTATCTAGGCGCTGCCATCATCATCTGCTCTATTCTCGTCGACTGGCTCTTCTAAGCCACGGGCAGTAGTTGATCCTGGTCCGAGGCGAACCCCCCGACCGTCAACACGGCTCGTTCCTCACGACGCCCTCGTCTCATTTGTTGTGGCCTGACGATTATCGGTCGCCATTAACATCATCGCCGTCATCGTCGCCCAGGAACCGACCCCCTCTCCAGCCATAAAAAACGCAGCATGCCGACCTCGTACTTCCCGTGGGTCAGATTGCGCGGTTGCTTTTTTTGGGGGGGAGGTCTCGATCCCTTTGGAGGGAGGTCACTCCGAACCACACACGACAGCATCCGCAGCCACGAAGCGCCACTCCAGACCCGGTCTCAACGGTCGGGCCATTTCCATTTGGCGGATACTTCGATGGCTTTCTGTTCTCGAAGTCCCGTGCAACCTACACATTTTTCCCCCTGCCCTCCGCGGTCGCAATCTAGAAGACCCTGTAGACTGGTGCGATTCTGCCCCCCCGGAAAGGATGCCAACGAGTGAGCGAGAGCGACCGACGGCGTACGTGTGTTTCCTGCAGCGAGCCAGTGCACCAATAATCCAGCGGGGAAAGAACCACCAGGACGTCACCGCCCGGCCAACTGCCTATCGAGATTAGCAGATCCAGAGTCTCTGCTGGCCCGGCTCAACCATGGATCAAGCTCCCCCAGACCCAGCGGATATGCTGCTCACTTGACTCTCCCTTTGCCCCATCCGATACATCATTCAAGCCGGGACAGGGGCGCTAGAAATCCGGGACTCAACTTCGGAAAGCAGCCCTCATCCTGGCATCCTGACTGGGGTGCCGCTGGTAAGCGAGCAGCTCGTCTGCAGAGTTACACGCAGCTCGGGATGCGGTCGGCCATTGGCCCGCGACCGATCATAGTCTCAGCCCTGGATTCCGAGCCCTCGATCGACTCAACGATGGAATCCAATATCGAACAGCCCCGGTTACCACTCTCCGCGGGGGACAATATCCATTCATCGGCATTCCTCCACCGACTGAGTGGTCAACCACATCCGTCCGGGGACGAAATGGTCGCCCACGTCACTCTGATATGGCCCGAAAATGGTAACCTGGTTCGTCATCACCAGGACCCCTTCCACGTACCCCCCGATGACACCAATCAGTATATGATAGCTGAGGTGGATGGTTCTGCGGGGTAAAGAAGGTGGGGAGATTTCCAAGCTGATTGCCTGCATGGGAGGAAAAGTGACCGCAAACAACTCTTCTTTTCCTTTTCAGTGCACCTGTCTTTGCCTTGCTGCCACCCGAGTCCACATACTACCTATCAGACCAGCACCGATCAGTCTGCGGCCCGTTGTTCGGTTCTGCTTGATGGTTGGACGAGAATCTCATGATGATGACAATGATGGGCTGTTTGTGGAGCCCTGTTTCGCCATTCCTCAATTCCGAGGATAGGCCCCGTGGACTTCAGCCCCTGGACATCACGATACTCCAATGACAGCCGTGTCCTCGTATCCTTCTCGATCATTCCATCGACTTATCCAAACACCCGAATCCCATGGGTCGTTTCCCCTCAGAGCTCAATGTGAGGATTACCATCTGCAGGTGGCGTAGGCATGTTCTATGTACAGTGTATGGAGTTCCTGCACTGCACCTCCCACTTCCGAGACTGCATTCCACCGTCAATCCTTGCCGAAGAGGCCAAGGGAATGAAAGCGAACAATGATCGTCCTGTGGAGATCCTGATACAGTGCACAGTAGTCGATAGTCCATACATCATCCCCTCAGAACCAACAAACCAGATCCATCGCAAGCACTCCGATGCTAATATCAGCAGCATGATCAGAACAAAGAGTGATTTAGAGTAACAAAAGTACCACCTACTGCCGTACTAACCATCTCCTGCCATCCCCGCACCCAAGCCAATATGCACATCCGCATTGGCCGAGTCCCAAAAAAGCACAAGATCATCTGACAGGGGACACAAACTTACCACCTCTAGTCACTAACCTTACCTCCACACATTCGCATCCACGTCCACCCTTCTACCCTCCATCCATCCATACACAGATACATACCACCAACAACCAAATACACAATACACAAAGTATCCCCCAGTCCACGAAGTAAATATGCAAAGTATAACATTAATTACCTTCAGCCACCTCCGCCCCAAACCCAAACAATTCTCCCAACAGGTACCACCCCATCCCTCACTACCTAATAGTATTTACCCAAAATAGCAGGACATGACACATTCCTCCTGATTAAAAAACATTAAATCAAAACTACAAAAGACTATAACCAAAAATAAAAACTGAGAAAGATAAGGCACCCATCTCTACCCACGGAACCAACACACCTGGATCACCATCGACCACTTCATCATTCATCTTGCAACGGGGAGAAGGAAAATCTAAATCTTATATTAGGTGGTTTCGGGGAGAGTGGTCGAGCAGGTTTTCGGCCGGTTGGGATCTGGTTCTAGGAGGGTTGAGGTTTGGGTGGTAAGTTGCTTGGTCTTGGTTGCCAGGTAGGTCGGTAGACTGGTCTAGGTTGGTTTATCGTTTATAGGTCGGATGGCTAGACGGGACTATAGTACTTAGATACCACCCTAGCGATTTTATCTGTCTATGGGGGATTAGAGATAATGGATTTAGGTATTCCGTATAGGTATCCAATTCGATACACGGAGTACTTAATTAATTAATACATGTTGAATTATAGGTACACAAATTATCTGCCCACCCTGCATATATAACAAGAAATTATGAAAACAAGCCTAAACATAACACAAGCAGTACATTACTCCGTCGCCGTAGCCGTCGCCGTAGCCATACAGACATATTCCAGTCCATACGGAGTACGGAGTACATACTAACCAGTTACCATGGCAGCAGCCACCACCACCACCACAACCACTTTCCTCCGTACCCTAGAAACCTACCCAGTTACACACCCCCAAGCACCCCATACAGGGATGTAAGTATCAACCAGGTACTCCGTACCTTGTCTCGGGTAACTACATACATGATACATTCCATGCTCATTCCCACTAGATACTCCGTACATAAAAGCAAACATACTACATACTACATACTACATACTACATACTACATATGATATACATCATTGCATAACAACCGACATATGTATGTACTATCATGTATGTTTGATTCAGCTGCCAGCCCCCTACCTCATACTTCCATCATACGTACATACGTACGTACAGACATACATGATGGATAAGGGGTAAGTTAGTATGATCTGGCTTGGTTGTTGCACGAGGAATTCATCCTTGCAGGGGGGTCGATGGGGTATGATATCAGTAAGTGCCGAGATGGGAGGGGAGCAATCGATTTAGGTTTGTTTTGATTGCTTATCCGCTCGGTCGCTTACCTCGAGACGGAGGGAGGGTGTGTTCCCTAATGCATCGTACCATTGTCTATCTACCAGTAGGGCATGTGCCGACGGTGCGGGGATCGGTTGAGGGCAGCCGGTCTTGGAGCATTGTTTCATCATCGCGGGTTGCGATGCGCAGGGCTGGTCCAATGATAGCGGTCGATAGTGGACTGTCATGAAAACGCCATATTGAGTTTAGGAGATGCAGGAATTGGTCTTATCAGGTGAATTGTAAAAATATTAGCGTGAAAGAAGGTTTATCCCGCTGAATCGCACACCTTCCAACAGCAAGCCAGAGCCACACCACATCGTACATAGGAAATCCCAGAAGAACAGGGAGCTCAACTCCCTAGGAATAATGTTAATGATGAACCATGCCAAGCTCAACCAATCACGGCGCTCAATCCCACATAATGATATCGGATGCGATCTTCTCTGCAAGCATATCTAAGACCGTTAGTATAATACGAGGACGGCAGATAATACACAACTTACAGGCTACCGATTGGGGATGTCCAGGAGGCAGGATCGGAAATGCACTGGCATCGACCACTCGCAATCCCTCCACTCCAAACACTCTGGCCTGACTGTCGACGACGGCCATGGTATCATTGCGGACGCCCATCTTGCACGTACAGGAGGCATGGTAGACTGTCATAAGCGTGCTCCGAATCACATCCAGGATCTCCTCATCACTCTGCACCTGGTCTCCGGGGAAGTATTCTGCTCCGATGATGATCGGGGCCATGCCCTCGCTCCGAAAAGCTTCGCGGAGTCGTCGATACAGCGCGATAGCCACCTCTTGATCTGTCTTTGTTGCAAGCCAATTAGGGTTGATTATCGGCAGATCATCTGTATCGTCGGAGATTATGGTGACATTCCCGCGAGAGGTGGGTGCGACTAATGCCCCGATTATTGACGCATACTGGGCACCATCGTGCGGTTGTTGTTTGACAGGGTCAGAGAAATCTCCGACGTGAAGAGGTACTGGGAGATACTAGCGTGGATAATAGATTAGTTACGCCAGGCAATTGAATTGGGAAGAGCGTACCTCGACTTCGGGCCAGCCAGCAGGGAACCATGAGAGATCATCGACAGTTCCTTCGGAAAACTGGGACCGCACCCTGCTGGGAAACTTTTCAAACGCCAAAAAGTCCGTTCCTTGGTTTGTCAATGGCCCATGATGATAGCCGATGTACTGGACAATCATTTGGAACAGGTATAGAAGGTCGGTGGCGATCCTGGTACTGGTTTCGAGCCCTACTCGGTACGAGGGCCCGAAAAACACATGATCCCACATGTTCTGCCCTACCCCCGGAAGATCCACGATAACATCGATGCCGTGCTCTTTCAGAACACTGACCGGACCGATTCCAGACACCATCAATAGCTGGGGGCTCTGGAAGGCACCTGCGGAAACTATCACCTCCCGTGTGGCCCGCAATGTATATTCCGATTCCCGCGTCCTGACTACTATCCCAATTGCTCGCCGTTCTGAACTGAATAGAATCCTTTTTGCCATCGTGCTCTTGTACAGTGCAAGCGTTGCTAGACGTGGTATCGATGTACTCTTGAAAGCGGCTTCGGAGCTACTTCGGAGCTTCTTGTGTGGGTTTATGGTCAAAGTGCAATACTGAGCACCCAGTAGCGTCCCGCTATTGAAGTCCTGGACCGCGTCAATGCCTATAGACTCCATCCCACGTTGTACCCAGCTTGAAAATGTCACGGGATTGTCGGGGTAGGACACATGCAGAGGCTCGCCACGTGTATCGAACGCCCCTGTATCGAATGCCGCCGAGGCATTGCTTGTACGAAGCTTGTTGTTGGGCGGGGTGAAGTTAGCCGTTCGTTGAAAGAATGGCAGGACTCGTCTGAAGGTGTAGCTATCGTCATCAACGAGTTCGGCCCACTTTTGCATCGCCTCTTTATTTGGCCTAGATTCGAACGGCGTTAGCTCTGCCCTCCGAGAGCCAGTCATATAGATTCGAACCTTTGGTATATCATCATGTTGGTGGCAGTCCTGAAGTGAGTCGCAACTGTTAGTCCTGGAAAATCTAAAAGAGCGAACAGAAGGTAAGGTGCTCATACGATCCTCCTAGGCATCTGCCTCTGGGGTAGTGAACGTTGCGGTAGTTCGCTCCCGGAACGCCATAAGCAATAAACCCCCAGTCAATGGGGGTCGTGCTGTTGACGCTGGCTCCTATTCCCACAATTGCAGCCCCAGGAATCTGTGCCAGAGGGTATCGGAGCTCGTAAAAGTCCCCCGCTTCAACCAGAGCAACACTGAACCTCTGTTCGGCCAGGCGAGCGGCCAGAGTCAAGCCCGATGCCCCGGCACCAACCACAACAAAGTCGAATGAGGCGTTCGCCCCTAAGATACCCTGTCGAGCGCCATCCAGATCATCGGGCGAGGATCCAGACGTCCTTGTGGCCAAGAAAAGCAAGGCGAAGATCCAAAACCCCAGGGAAAACATCCGGCCAAGGCAAATATAACGGCAAAATATATTTGGTGTGGGAAGGAGCCCTTCAGTCACCTGAGGCGTGTCCTAATTGTTAGAACTGGCACAGCTGCACACCAAGATCCATGAGTAAGAATACGTGGAAGGTGATTCTTAGGAAAATATTGAGGGAGATGAGAACTGGCGTGGGACACCTAGACTTGTCTTACAGCAGGAAAGTCATTTCCCCGCCAAACGAGGAAAGAAGATACGATGGCCAGTTCCATTTTGTGCTCATGCAGTGCCAGAGACGAACAATGAACCTTCTCGTTCAGCGCGCGCATTGTAAACCGTTCCGGCATCATGCTCGTTGAAAACAAGATCACGGCATCTGTGCCTGTAAAAGTACAGACCAACCGTGACTTTCCATAGGCATAGGAAGCTGGAGTGAATGTACAATGTCAAGCGGCGGCGACTACCTGCAAAGGCAACATCTCTCTTCCTTAACAGCATCGTTCACACATCATCAATGTTTCTGAGGCTCCTGCACTGGCTACCAATTGACCTTGTCGTATCATCCGATTGTCTGATTCCTCATTACAATCCATCATGACCCAAGGGACATCCATGTCGGCCCCTCGGCCGTGCTTCAGCAACTTCCCGGATTTCAAGCAAAACCCCGATCTCCCAATCAGCGTCGAGTTCAACCGACTTGCATCCCACCGACGCTGGAAGAAAGGCTCGAGGACCTGGTGCAGGGTGTGGAACCTCTGCATGAATATGGAGTATGACAGAGTCATAGGAAGCCATCTGGCAGAGTTGGACGATTGGCGCCGACTGTGCGAAGAGCTGGATTTGCCAGGACCTTTCCCTTCCATTCGGCAGTGTAAAAAGGTATGGTCCGAGGACACGAGTGTCAGCCTATCGGGTTGCTTTGGATGAGTACTGACGATCGTAGGCCTTGTCGAGAGTCTATGTCAACATTGTAGATATCATCGAGTGTCGACAGCTCGGGCAGAAACCAAGAGAGTTCCATACACTCAGGGCGCTGATTGCGTATACCCGGAACTCGGGCAATTTTTTCGGCAGAGCTCAAGCTAAGCAGGACAAATTGCTCAAGACCCTGTTGAGAAAGGTGTTGTGAATCTCATCAGGGATTGAGCTAGGCGGACCGATGTGAACGAAGATACCAAATCCCGCCTCAGCTAGGACAAATCGGAGGATAATGGGACATCACGATATCTTCCACAGCACAGGTGAAAAGAGGCAATATTGGTCCCGTGCTCAGCCCAGGCGCGATCGGTTTCAAAATTATCGGGTGTCAGCAAGGTGTGACAAACTGTATTCGTGGATCAATGAGTATGAATAGAAATGGGGCGCAATAGAACACCGAACACACGAGAAATTACTTATATTACATTAAAATGTACACCCGTATCAGAATCCATCCAGAAATCACAAGGCCTTCTTTTCACCCGCCAGCCGCTCCTGTTCCACGACATATCCGACTGCACGAGCCAGACCCTCGTCCACGGGTACAAGAGGCCTGTATCCAAGCCGGAACTTGGCCTTGTCGCATGAGTAGTAGCGAGTCATGCAGGAGTAGCGAACCGTTCTCCTAGTCAAACGAGGGGTCTTGCCGAGAAGTCCCAACACCGTCTCTGCGACGCCGCCAATGGGCCCCAGGATAGATTCGGGAAGCTCCCACACTTGCTCCGGCTCCACGACCTTGCCAGTCAGCGCCCAGGCAGCACGCGTCATGTCCCAGAAATAGACCGGGGAATCGTTCGTGACGTTGAACGCTTCACCGTCAACCCGCTCGTGGTCGAGCGGCGCGCCCTGTCCAGATTCATACCGGGAGTGGGTAAAAAGCAAGCGGTATGCGGCCAGAGTATGAGCATAGGCGATGTTCCCAACGTATGTGAAATCGAACAAGTTGTTGTTCTCACCGAGCTGCATCCGGAGGACGGTCGGAGAGGCCTTGGCGGAGTGTTCCAGAACCTTGAAAGTAAATGTCGTATCCTTCTCACCATAGATACCGGCCGGACGAATAGCACAGGTCACCATCGAGGAAGGGGAGGCACAGTTGTACTTCAAGACGAGTTCTTCGGCATCGGCCTAAAATGATTACTGGTTAGCACCCACCATACCATGACAGGAGGCATAGCCCACCTTGGTTTCCGAATAATACTCCTGCTGCAAGGCACCCCGGATGAGAGGCCATTCCTCATTCACGTTGATAAGGTCGCTCTGCGTATCGTGCACGACGGAGCTCGAGCTCGTGTACACAAAAGCCTTGCACTTTCCACCCCAGTCCCCACGAGCGCCGCCCGCAACCTCGACCAAAGTCCTAGTTCCATCAACATTGACCTTGCGCAGCAATGGCTTGTTTCCTTCCAGAACATTGGGGGTGGCGGTGTGGATGACGATGTCGGGCTTGACCTCGCGGAAAACGGCCAACATGGACTCTGCGGATGTGATATCGCCGTCGTAATACTCAGCACCAGGCAGTCGGTTGTGGGTTGTGCGCAGGTCGACCACCGCGACTTTCGCTATGCACCGAGGGTATCGATCGCCCAATTTGGGGTAATTGAATCTGGCATCTCCCTGTGGCTTGGGAAGAGCGGCACTGGGATCAGTCTCCGAGGGGAAATTGAGCAACTGATCAACAATGTGCCAACCCAGGAACCCACAGCCACCAACCACCAGGACAGTGCCCAGTTCCATCGTAGGACGTTTGGTCGACATGGTGACAGCAGTGGTTTTACTAATGGACAACTGTCTGGGGTAGGTGATGGGGTAAAATGAAGTCAGATAAGCGCAAGGAAATGCGAGTCGGCTGGCGGATTCGGGGGGGCGACGATGGTTTCCGCCTCCAGAATCTCCGGGTTAAAGCTCGGACCCCCGCAAGAGGCCACACGTGAAGTTTCCATCACCCGACAATGAAAAGGCGAGACACTAGATTATAGTTACATGCTGATTAGGTCTTACGTCCTATAAGGAATGTCTCTTGTGGAACATGACATAGGCAAACTACCTCTATTGCAACTGTAGCCAGATATTCCAATAATTTTCCCCTCAGGTCTTGCTGGGACAATGCTGGCCATAACTCCTGGACACCTAGCTGCCGAGCAATACAACCCACCAATTGTCGTATGGATTAGACAACCAGGGATCTCAAGCACGGAGAAATGAAAAACGATGGCACACGATAAAGAATAGCAAGGTTGTGCATAACAAGGTCGAACATTCTAGGTTTGCCATCTACCAGTCCGATATCTAGAGGTCCGCTGCACGTGTCTCTGGATAGCCTAACCCCCTATGCTTCCCTGACCACTTGCATTAATACGGTTGCTTATTTGGCCATTGATGTGGATGGAGACTTACATAGTCCTCGCTACCGATCGCCGCAACTCCCGGTTGTACTTTTTTCGATCTTCCGGTGTACCCCAGAACAGCCTGGTTGCCTCGGGATTCACAGTCGTCCGGGGGTCGAAGGGGGGATGATCTTCCTCCAATGATGCAATGATTCCTTCGATGTGATGCCGCATCTCGTCGGTCCGCTTTGGGACATAGCATAGGACTCGTTCCTTGGACACCCGGATATGGTAAAAGGGCGTCTCCAAGAAAACCCGGGGTTGTTCTTCTGGAAATCGAGGGCTGACATGGATCAGGACCTTGAACATACCACCGTCCAAATGTGTCATGGGCCGCCCAAAATACGTGAGCTTCCACACGAATGGGTTTTCTCTGACAAGGTGTAGATCAACCGTGATGTTGTTCTGATGCCTAAGGGTTTCAACAATTTGCTCGTACTGACGCTGAAGACTCGCTGCAATTCCCCACTCTTGCTCTTTGGCTATGAGCCCCTCTGCAGCCCAATTGTACGTTTCGTTGAGGATTGTGTCCTTTATCACCCCCATTCGCCGTCTCAGCTCGGGATAGTTGAAGTGGCCGTCCATGCTATTCCCGTTTCCCTCGAAAGGCATCCTCTGGAACTTGGCCTTACAGGAGTGTTCTGCTTCTGCAGTAGCAATAGATTGCATGTATGGCTCGTAATACCACAGGAAACGCCTTTTACGCAGGTCTGCGAATGGTTCAGAGGAAGACCTGTCATCGTCACACAGAACTTGATCATCGCTTTCAGAGAACCTGCCCGCTAGTAAATCGTTGTTCCCCCCTGGCATGATATCCAACGAGGCCTCCAAGGGCTCGATAACTGCAAGGCGGAGAGTCTCATGGCGAATCTCGATGATTGATCAGCAACAGCCCCGCAACTACAGGGTCTTAAATACCTTAGCAACATAAGCCTCCATGTTCTCTTTATCAGTCGACGAATTGGAGTTTTCGTAGCCAGGTTCATTTTCGTACGGGTTTGACGACATCAAACTCTGGATAGAAATTAAAAGGGACTCTAAGCACTGCGCAGAGGACCATTGCTCTCCAGACTCGCCGCGCCAGGTTCTATAAGAACGAGTCAGCCATGCCCACTCAGCAGAAATGTATATCAGGCTACCCAAGAATTGATCTAGAGTTTCTCGGGTGTCAGTAAAGGTGATCACAATAGTCAATATTTAACTCACAGGCAGATTCGCCCAGACGCATAGATGTTCGGGTTGAATCGACTTTGGCCGCCATTATTCGTCAGAGCGCGAACAGCTGGAGCTTCTGTCGGGTACTCTGCGAAGCTTAGCATTTATATGGGTAGGTTTCTGGGTATTTCCACGATGGCTCAATAATGTACCTTTGCCGAATTTGATGAGGAACTAAGGTATCGTGCTAATCATCAACACATGGCCATGCAGGAGGCATTGCCGCTCAGTCAAGGGGTAGAAACTAACCTCGAAAAACCCAAACTGATAGGGAGTGTCTGGGGGTCCAAGAATAAGGGCGCGAACGTTTCTGATGTCAGAGTCTTCATAAGACACAGCGAGTGCTAAATGCAAAGAAAAACACGAAGATCGCAAATCAGCGTAAGCCAACACTGTCATCAACGGGGATTCGACGGAAGCGATCTCCGACTGTCAAGGTGTGGAGTACCCACATAGGTCTGCGCCTTGCTGGATTTGCTTGATTTCCTAGTACCCCGCCCAAGGAGAGACCGGTCGTCAGTCCAGCGAAGCTTGGAGGGATGCAGTGAGGGGCAGTACCCTGGTAATACGAAGGATCGCCTGATCGGACATCTTTATGGCCGGGTTAGTACAACTGAAAGAGGCAAGTTGATGAAGACCTCAAAGTTGATGGTTGTAATAAGAGGTGTAATCAAGGCGGTAGAGGAAGAGACGCGTTGAAGGATGGTAGGTATGACCATTGAGGCCGTACCGTAGGCGATGGCGGGGAAGTAAGAACTCGAGTGTAAAATCAGCTTGAAAACAGAGTGAACGATTTCCAATAGCCACCAACATGCAAGTAGGCAATGAAGACGCTCACAACTGGCCAAGGGGCATAAACTTAACAGTGTCCTGCACCTTTGGCTGGGCGAGGAGGCAAAAGCCTGCATGTGCCGCCTAGACACTTAACCCAAGTGTACGTAAGTAACGATACCCCAGGCGACAGCTCTACATGCAGAAACTAGGTACTAGCAGTCGTATTTTATACACATCTTTGGGGGTCAATCTCGATGTCATGGTTTTGACAAACCCATCAAAGATAATAGGCCTCGACCCCCATCCTAGCTGCGACTATCTCTGCTCCTCTACAGCGCTTCGACGGGCAATAGCTCGTAGCAGTGTCTGCTACGACATCTGGAAAGGGGAAAGGGGAATAGAGGACCTGAAAACCAAGCTAGGTACTAGACTAACAGATGTCACAAATCTTGGCACGAATAGCCCGTATGGAGGTGGTGGGAAAAGGAGCAAACTGACCATCTACTATGAAGATTGAAGAGGTCTAATCCGGCCATCATTAGGTTGCAATGCACACTAACTTCTTCTGAACCTACATACTAGCACTACTGAGTACTACTATTAGTATAATAACTCTCCGAGTACTCCGTAGTGACTCTTACTAAAAGCACCTGCCAGGGGACGAGATCGATTTTCAACCCATGGAAACAACCCCTGTCTCACCGCCCGCGGAGGTGGAGACACGGATGGGACTGGCTGCCTCGGGACAAATGGAGTTGTGACCGACCACTTAAATCACTGACAGGACCCTGGGCCTAATGCCCGTTCGGGAAAAGTGTGTAGAATGACTTGGATCGGTTCCCAAACACAACCAACCCATTTGTTCTTTGCCATCTCAACCCTCGCTCCTCGACTGATCGCAAGTCTTGCTACGAGTTGCTTGAACAGAGGCAGCCAGACGCTCGTCTTGACTAGAAAACTTGGCATGTGTTCCATGCCTCCTATATCGCGTGTCGTGCAGATCTTTCAACACCCCTTACACGGCACCTGTTCATGGATCGACTGGCCGCTGAAGATTTCGATGTTACCCCACCGAGTACTCGTCCAGTAGAAGTATCAATTAACCCAGGCCGAACAAGGAACGGACAGCATCCCGGCTGCCAACCAATTTCCCAGGAACTTCCATGTAAATCCGGAAAGGTGACACTACCAGGATCGGGAATGCTTCAAGAATGCGGATCCTTTCACCAAACGGGACCCATGATATCAAGCTGCAGCCTGGCTGATGCGCTTCTCGGTACGGAGTAGAATGAGTATTTATTAAATGAGATTAACACTACCTTGTCTTTGTGTCACCGTCAATTGTTACACGTCTTGATATTATACGATGGTCTCGATCACATAGGCGTTGTGTTGAAGAAACAACTGGACCTTGATTTCATGAAGCTGATAAGTGAGGCAGAATACACCTCAAAGATAGGGTCGAGCAGGGACGGTTAGATTGATGGATGGATACCTCTCCAAACTGAGGAAGGGCGTTCAGCCACCCTACCAATCATTGTTAAGAAGAGAAGCCACAGTGCAATTCGTAAAGCAAGAGACAGTCTGAAGGGAGCAGGCGAAGAATCTCGACGCATATTTGCATGGATTCGCAAACATGTGTGAGAATGAGCGCAGCGGAAATTGAATATGCCGGCTCTCCTGCGATCAGTACTATGATTTCCTCGGCCAGGGCGTTCGTTGGTCGACAATGGATATTCTGGTATTGTACATCCCTGCCTAAAATACCAACGAAAAGGAGGAGCTGCTGCTTCCAGTTTAGAAGAGAACACCTCGAGAGTCACCACACAATGGAATCTCGAAGAAGCGTATAACAACGCGATGAGTATTTGTTGCTTAGATAGAATCACAACAAGTGGGCTTGTCAGAGTAGCAAGGGTCAGGCATCGGCCTTGAGTGTTAGTTACACTTCAGGCTTTAGTCAGACTAGGGAGCGGGTTTAGGCAGTGAACAATAAGGGGGAGGGAGAGGATGCGGGGAATCGACCAAAGGCAAGAAGAAAATGCCGCGTGGAGAAGATGAGGTTCTAAAATAGCAGCGCGTGGTTGCAAAGCCGGTGAGGTCAGGAGGTATGTATGGAAAACGTCCAGGGATGTCTTAGGGGTGGATTCAAGGCTGTTCATCCTGGAGGGGAGAGCATGCACAGCATCCCATGCCTTCACCTGCCATCACTACCCACCATGGCAGTCGGCATGGTCCTGAGGTCTCCACATCCCTTAAAATTACAGGGTCTGTTTCTGCCAGCACATCAGGTTGTACAGGGTACCTGTCTCCCCTCTTCTTACCGTGAACGAGAAGGTGGGTGCGATGCAATCGTTTGTCTGTTTGTTTGCACAAATTTGCCGAAGCAGAGACCAGAGAGTATAATAATTTCACCCACTATACTTTTTGCTGTCAGCAACAACACCGACTGTGTCTCCTTTAACTAGTTCACGTTGAGATAGCCCCATGCAGTACTTGGTACTGTACTTGGCGACAGTTACCCTGTCTGGTAATACACCTATAAGTGAAGGAGCTATGGAAGCGCCTTCTTCAGGCGGTGTGACGGGCGGTGACCCCTTTCACGTGATGGTCTCTAGCGGGCAACCAGCAACATGAAGCATAGGGGGGCAGAGCGACAACTGCCAGCAGCACACTCACTCTCCCCAAAACACGCGATTTCCTGTCCTCACTCTTAGTCCTTCGAGCCGACACTATAGACTCGTCGCGACCTCACCCTCCCCTGCTCTGCTTTGTCGGCCCGTATCCTTGACCTTGGATTCTGGCCGCCCACCAAAAGTCTCTCGCTGGAAGGGATTAGGAATGGTTGTGATTCCAGACAGCGCTCTCCGCCGCTTGTTGGTCTCACTTTGAGCTCCAACCCTTCCCCATTCCGCTTCGCTCGACGCGGGCGGTTGCGCTTTTGGAGGGATTAATCCCTGAATAGCCTACTACTGTTCCAGTTGCTTTGAGCGATTTTACTGCTGCACTTTGATCACGCGCCCCCGATTCCTGTCATCAAACTTCCCCGCAGGTTTCAGCTACATGGCGTGAGGTGAGTTGCTCCGGAAAGGTCGCCAATTCTCCTGGACAATCCCGCGCAAAACACCACCGGGAAAGGTACCCACAAGGCTAACATTGCACGCTATATAGAAGACGAGACCATCAGTTAAACGCGCGACATCAACGACTCGTATCCCGACGTTTCCAATTTCGCTTTAGCTTCTCCTTTCCCCTCCCCCGACCTCGACAACCCCGTCCCTGACTCTGTTGGCGCCAATACTATCAGTACCTCCGACTCTCTTCGGCACAATTCATTCAACCGAGCTTTACTCGTTCAAATCTTCACCAGCAAGGCGTAGTTCTTCACGGACATGCCTCCCGGCGACGTTCCTTTGCCGGACAGCCTCGTGCCGGGCAACGGGGCTGTCCGTCCGAAACTCAACACCAGCGGTTACGGCAGTGGAAGTTATTCGTCGCAAACACCTACTTCTCCAGCAGACAGCAATATTGCTTTCGACTCGCCCCGTACAAGGACAGGAGGGTGGAATGGCTCTACGAACAGCCCTATTGATGGACCTCAAGGCTCAGATGGTCGTGTGAGCCGCCGGCTGGAATCCGGTCATCCTGGGCCGAGAGACCCTTCGACTCCACGGGATCGCAATGGTTACTATGACAGGTCAACGCCACGGGAGAGGTCCCGTCCAAATGGTCGGCCACCTACAAAGTCCCCAGGAAGTTCGTCGCGGATTTGCAAAAAGTGCAACGAACCACTTACCGGTCAGTTTGTACGAGCTTTGCTCGCAACATATCATCTTGAGTGTTTTAAGTGTGAGGTAGGTTCCCAGGGTCTTAAGAAACATTCCTTCTGCTTTGGTTAACCTCGTTTGGTATAGGACTGCGGTCAAATTGTGGCATCGAAGTTCTTCCCCGTCGACGCAGAAGATGGAAGCGGCCAATATCCCTTATGTGAAACGGATTATTTCCGACGCTTAGATCTTCTATGCCATGAGTGTGGCGGTGCCTTGCGTGGATCGTATATTACGGCCTTAGAACGCAAGTATCATATAGAACATTTCACCTGCTCTGTTTGTCCAACGGTTTTTGGTGCGCAGGACTCCTACTACGAGCATGAAGGCAAAGTGTACTGTCACTTTCACTACTCCACACAGTTTGCACAACGTTGTCATGGTTGTCACACGGCGATTCTGAAACAGTTTGTGGAGATTTTCCGCAATGGGCAGAATCAACATTGGCATCCCGAGTGCTACATGATCCACAAGTTTTGGAATGTCCGTCTGGCTCCGACAGGCCAGCCATTTGAGCCACCCGAGACCGAGGCGGATGCCACCGATGAGGAGCGCAATAGAGTGCGTGAGGAGGAGGACATAATGGAGGAAAAAGTGTACAAAATATGGAGCATCCTTTCCAGTTTCGAAGAGTCGTCCGCAGCTTGCATCTCCGATATGCTTCTTCATGTTAGCAACGGAACTTATATGGATGGTGTTCTCGTCGCTAAGAGGTTTATTGGACATGTTGATGTTCTCTTCTCTGCCATCGATCAGCTTGCGGGACATATTAAATCCCAAGGCATGAAAGGTTTGCTGCGATGCTACGTCTTCACCTAAACTCGGACAATCGGGCGCTAACAGTTGCATGATTTTGATTCTAGATCTGGCTTATGGACGCGAAGCAAAGCTCCTGTGTAAGAAGATAGTTGCATTCTTTGCGTTGCTCTCGAAAACACAGGAAACGGGGGTACGCAAGCTCGGCGTCACCCAGGAGCTCCTGTCGTTGGTAACAGGTCTTGCGCACTACCTCAAGCTTCTCATCCGCATCGGCCTACAAGGAGCTCTGAAACTCGAGAGAGAGCAACGGGCGTCCGAGGGGCTTCATAATTTCCTGGATCACCTGGGAGATTTGGACGCACTTCGACCACCCGAAGAGGAAGAGACGCTTGCAGATCTAATGGCTGGGGTTGAAACTCTTGCTGACCAGCTTTCAGATTGCTGTGTTGCGTGCAAAGAGCCTATCGATGATGAATGTATCATGTTGGGTGATAGCAGATGGCATATGAAGCCACCTCATTTAACATGTGCGTCATGCCAAAAGGATCTAACACATACCCTCCAGGATGCACTATGGAACTCCAAAGAGAAGCGCCCCTTTTGTAGGGACTGCGGTTCTCAAAAGGGACTCGTACAAGACACACAAGTCGGGTTTGCACACATTACCAAACTCCAGCAGTTTGTCTTCCTGCTAAGAGTTGCTCTCGCGCGCCTCCTCGCTGTTCTGCGAGCGGGCGGGACTCTGTTGCCTGTTTCTGGTATGTCATAGTGACCTTGGGATTTTCTCATCGGAGAAAATTTTTCTTTCTGACTCATGCTCTAGACGGATCTTCCACCACACAAGACGGCAATGAAAGTGGTCGCATCCCTCCCGGTGGGGAAGTGCGTCGATCTGCCACTCGATCCAAGTCATACGCAAATGCGACTAGAAACGCTCCTGAAGGATCGTCACTTGAACAAACTGTTGGCGAAATGCGACGCCTACGATCTATCCGGAACGAGCGTACCCTGTCAACCACTTACAAGAAAGCTCGGGCGTCTCGTATCATCGATGGGCCAGAAGGCCGCAGCGTACGACCTGGTTCATCGGGTGGCGAAGGGTCAGATTCGCGGGGTCATGGCTTCCAGATTGTAGAAGAAAAAGATGCCAACGGAGAAACGGTCACCGAGCTGACGTTTGGCAACCAGGATGCATTGACCTTGGACGATATTCCCAGAATTGTCGCTGCCGAGCAAGCTAAGGAACAACGTCCCAACGCCTATAAGCACGCAGGGACCAAGCTAGTCGGCACCACTGAACCGCTTCCCAAATATAATCATGGCCATCAGCGTGGGGTATCTGGTGCAGGCCTTGAGCAGCATATTCTCGAACAAGGCGGCAGAACCAAGAAGTATTTCTCCGAGCTTTCCGCTCTGGAATACTTTATCGTCCGGCACGTTGCTGTCTTGTCGATGGAGCCGCTGTTAGACGGCTACTTCACTCTGGAGGAGCTGCTCTCCTTGATCGAATCGCGGAAACCCACCATATGGAACATCTTCGGTCGCGCCTTCAATAAAGAAGGCAAGAAGGTTGGAAAGAAGAAAGGGATGTTCGGTGTCAGTCTGGATTTCCTCGTTGAAAAGGACGGCACGGAATCTAGTCACGGTGTGGGTCCGGGAGCACTTCGTGTTCCAGCCCTGGTTGACGACGCTGTGTCCGCCATGCGCCAAATGGATATGTCAGTGGAGGGTGTCTTCCGGAAGAACGGCAATATCAGGCGTCTCAAAGACCTCTCCGAACTGATCGACAATAAATATGAGCAAGTTGACATGACAAAGGAGAACCCTGTCCAGATTGCAGCGCTACTTAAGAAGTTCCTTCGTGAGATGCCCGATCCACTTCTGACATTCAAGCTCCATCGCCTTTTTGTTGTTTCACAAAGTGAGTGACAGTTCCTAGTCTTGCGGCGTACCTTGCTTACCTCTCTTGCCTCAGAATTACCCGACCTGGAGAAGCAGAAACGTATCTTGCACCTTACATGTTGCCTTCTTCCCAAGGCTCATCGGGATACCATGGAGGTCCTTTTCGCATTCCTTAACTGGACTTCGTCTTTCTCCCATGTCGACGAGGAGTCAGGTAGTAAGATGGACATACATAATCTGGCGACTGTAATGACACCCAACATCCTCTACCCCAATGCAAAGAATAGCACGGTGGACGAAAGCTTCCTGGCAATTGAAGCTGTTAATTGTCTAATTACTTACAACGATACTATGTGTGAGGTATATACTCCCTTCTATTCTCAAGCCTGGTCTTCGAGTTCTCATTTCTGGTTAGATACCCGAAGATCTACAATCGGTTCTTAGCGACACGAACTTCTTCAAAGAGAACTCTGAAGTCACAACCAAGGAGATTCTCAGACGCTATGGCGACATTGCGCGCGGAAGCTTTTCATCAAAGGCAAGCAATGGTGGCGAAACAGTTACGATCACGAATTCGAACCGTGGGGCGAATATCCCTACTTCTGCCCGCATTGAGACAGATCCCTCTCAGGACGCAGCATGGCAGATGCAAAGCTCAGTGCGTCATGTTCAAAGCCCCGGTGGCCATCAGCACTCAACCAGTGGTGCTCCACAGACACAGACAGGCACAGAACTGGGCCCTACACCCTCGAATGACTATCGTGAACGAAGCACCAGTAATGGTAGCCAACAGAATCCTATCCAAGGCGACGGACAGTCTCAAACGATGCCATACAGGTCTCGTCCAGGTGCTGGGCCTATGGGGGTTGCTGGCTAACTGTTGGCCGCCTGTGCCCTCAACGATACCAACCCATCTGTTACTTCTCTGCATAGTTTCGAAGACATTTACTGATGCATTACCCGCCTCTATATCCTTTGAACCCAAAGTGATTGCTATTGGCGTATTCTTGGGCCGTTCAGCGTTCTTTCGATTTAACAAGGTTGGATGGAGTTTGTTCTCCTTTCGAGACGAGATGATTTCCAGGGTTTACTTAGCTGATCGGCTGATAGCTTCTCCTGATGGATCGAGGCTTTTCTAATTTCCTTTCTATTGCGCACTGACTGTGTGGAGTGCATTGCATTTGGTTGTGAGTCTCGACGCGATTCACTCACTACCCCTTAATTTGGATCTCCAACCACGCGATTGGCTACCCGGCCCTCGTTTCGTCCGGTGTGGCTTGTCAAGTACAATTTCTGGGATTTGGGTGCTGTCTTCGATTCTCCCTACCTTTCTTCTTCTGGCCCTTTCCCACTTGCATTCCAGTTGAGAACCAGCGTGGACCGTTCTCCTGGCATTTTCTTTCTTTTCTCCCTTTCCTTACCTTACTTCCGTCGTGCTGGCGTTGCGCCTTTCTGACTTGCGATCGATCAAGATGTGAGACTATCGAGATCCATTTTGCTTTGCGTTCATTTGCCAGCCAGTCCAAGGACTGCGAAGATACCTGTGCTGAGTCATACGTTCAATTCTTTTCATTTTCCTACTCTTCTTCTTCTACCCCTTTTATTGACAGTTTACCCATACGACCTACTTTCTGATATCCCGAATTGTTCGTGTCTGGTTCTATCACATCCATGTCTCCATGTGATGATGTTTCCTTAAACAAGAGGTGTAATTTACATACAGTTGTGAAAGAAGGGATACCATAGTGCCAACTCTGTTGAAGTACAAATTCTAGTCATACTTCATATTCAGTACATTTTTCCTCGTAAAATGGCAGTGACAACGGTACTAATAGAAGCCTGAATGATTTCAACCCAAAAAGGCGATCTGTATGCTGTATTTCATACCTATACAAGGTACCAAACTAGTTCACATAATGTATATCAAAGCGTCAGAGAGTAGAAACCCCCAAGATAAATCCTCCGTGGAGTAATTATTCAATGAACAAAAGGGGTAGAAGAGAAAATATAAAGGTGAGACCAGAAAGGCTCTGTAGCCAAGAATGGGCTGTTTGATAATTGTGCAAGCCCGATAGAACTCCAAGTGTACACCAACCGCCGTCTCATTATAGTTCCTCGCAAAGGTAACACCACTTTACTCCATGTCCGTCCCGATAAGCCGATTTGAAAGATTGATTAAATTCACCTAATGATAGACACCTTATGCGCGTTTCCGAAGGACTCTGCGGGCCGCTGTGGGAGCGTCACCTCCTGCCGGGGTAGGGGCCCTTTTGGAGGTGGCAGAAGTAGTGTTTCTTTTGGCAGCTGCGGAAGTTGCTTGGCTCCGGGCGATGGTCGTCTTCTTAGCTGTCGCGCTTGATGTCGACGCTGTGGTTGCCTTCCGAGCGCCCGTGCCTGTCCGAGTTGGCTTGGCAACGGTTGTGCCGGAGGACGCGGAAGATGAGACACTGCCTCTGCGTTCGAGCTGGCGCGTTGCTGGTCTTGGCAGCGGTGACCGCATCGCTTTGGTCCCCGTGGCGGCGCGGCTGACGGGTCTCTTAGCCTGTGATGGAGGTCGGTTGTCCCTGATGGATGCGGATGCACTTTTCATTGGTTGAATGCGGGCGTTATTCGCCATTCCGGGGATGCTGGCTGATGTGGATTTAAGCGGGCTCGATGGCTTCAGAGGCGACATGGGTCGTGCAAGATAGGAGGAGTTTGTGGGTTTCTCAGGCGAGGCGCGCAGTGGCGATTGTGGGTATGTCCGTGAATTCGACGTCTTCGGGGAAAGAATTCTGTAGTCTGCGCCTCTCATTTCCTGGGATACCACTCGTGAAGTACCTGCAGCAGCACCAGGCTTGCCACGTCTTTTGGGGTTCTTCAGCACATCGAGGGATTCTCCTGCTGCGGGAGCGTTTTCCTTGTCCGAATAGATTTCTCCGTGGCTGCATGGTCAGTTAGCCAGGCTCAGTGGCGGAGGATAGCTGCAGAAATGAGATATGGTCACGACATACCTTTGCTTCTTCACCCTGCGAGCACTGGGGCTTGCAGCAGAAGCCTTGTGCACCCTGGGACTAACAGAGACAGTCGCGAAATTCCTTGGCGCTTTGGCCGGGCTGAGATGTTTCCTCGGTGACGTATTCTCTTGTTGGGCCCGGAGAGAGGCCATGTGCTTCTCCAGCAGCTCGCCCATTGTCGCCTTACGAAGGGCGATTGGAATGCGGTTTATACGTCTCTCAATGCGTGCCCGGAGATCGTTCGCCTGGAGGGCATATTGTGCGCGAAGTTTGCGGGCGCGCTCGGTGACTATGACAGCGTTAGTAGGTCGCAGTAAGGAAAGCTTGATGTCGGCAAAGCATACGTTCAAGCTGCAGGTTATCAATAAGAGCTTGCTTCTGACTGCGTGTAATCCGAAGCTTCTTCTGGGGGGGGCTGCCTGTAGGTGTCCTTGCTTCGTCATTGTGGGACGCGTCTTCGGGAGACTTGCGTTTAGCGGAGAGCGAAGCCATTGGGCGCAGTTAGGTATAGTCGAGATTGGTAATGAACAGGATCGATATGGGGGAAGTAGTCGACGGATTTTCGTATGATGGGTGGTGGGGAGAAGTTGGGGACGGAAGGGATGGGGGGAGAGAAAGAGGGGAGCGCGTCGAAGGCCGTCTGGAGGCAAGCGGATGGAGGATAAACAAGCGCTGACTTAATTCGTGGGCGGGTTAGTTAGCTCCGATCGGGACGGTGTGACATCTGCGTCCTCGTCGCCAGCAGCAGCTCCATCATCATCCCTCCTCCTCCAACCCCATCCATTTCCTCATCCCTCCTTGCTCCCACCTTCTGCTCTCACACTCTAGCAAAACTCTATCCCCCTCTCAAATCCGATTCCTCATATTTTCAATTTCTAATCCGAATTCCCCCCACCCGCTGAGCCAAGATGTCGCTCGAAGCTACCATGATCATGTCCGTCTAGCCACCTCCATCCCAAGCTCTTTGCGCACCTATTAACGCCATCTACAGTGTCGACAACAGTGAAAGCAGCAGAAACGGAGACTATACGTAAGTGCCCTGTGCTGGACCGCTCCGTGTCGACCGTCGGGTTCCGTTAATAACAGCTGCAGCTCGACACGATGGCAAGCTCAGATCGATGCCGTCAGCGTCATCCACACCACCAAAATGCGCGTACACCCCCAATCTGCCGTCGGTCTCATGAGCATGGGCGGAAAGGGCCCTGAGGTCCTCTCGACATTCACCTCCGACTTTGGTGGCATTCTGGCCGGTCTCCATCGCACCAAGATCCATGGCACTGCCCACCTTAGCTCCAGTATACAAGTGGCCGGTGTATGTCTCATTCCGCTTCTTGAATAGCTGCACTCCGGACTGGCTACGAGATAATGCTAACGAATTATCGACTGATGCAGCTTGCCCTCAAACACCGCTCCGAAAAGTCCCAGAGACAGCGCATCATCGTCTTCTCCTGCTCCCCCATCGAAGAAGACGAGAAGACGTTAGTGAAGTTGGCCAAGAAGATGAAGAAGAACAACGTGTCCATCGACGTGATCGCTTTCGGGGACCTGGAATCCGACCAGACCAAGAAGCTGGAGGCCTTCGTTGAGAACGTCAAGGGTGGCGACGGCTCCAACCTCGCCATCATCCCGCCCGGCCCGAACTTGCTGAGTGAGGAGCTTCAGCTCACTCCTATCCTGGGTGGTGACGGCGCTGGTGCAGAGGGAGCCGGTCCCGAAGGCGGCGATGGTTCCTTTGGATTCGAGGATGCGGCTGAGAACGACCCCGAATTGGCCTTCGCCCTTCGCCTGTCCCTGGAAGAGGAGAAGAACCGGCAAGAAAAGGAGAAGCGGGAGCGGGAGGAACAAGAGCGCAAAGCGAACCTGGAGAATATCCCCGAGGAAGGCTCCAGCGGGAGCAAAGACAAGAAGGACGATAGTGACAAGATGGACACTGCTTAGTGTGGAGAGCCGAACAACCTCCTGGATGATTTGATGCATACCCGGCGTTTTTATGTACTTTCGTTTTGTGCTGTAATTGTAGAAAGCGGTCCACGCTTTTGAACGGATGCGGTATTATATGCAGTCTATCGCCATCGTGATTGTGTTCCATGATACAAACTATGACGCCTGATATGCCATTACAGCCGCAAGAAAATAAAACAAGAACCCCCTACTACCCTTAGAAATCAAACACTACCCCCATTTATCACCCGCCAGGCAATCAATCACGCCCTCCCCCTCAACCACCCCTGCAAATTCCGATCAAACGCCTCACACCTCACCGGCATCTCCAACTGATAAAACGGATTCTTCATAACAAAATCCGCATACAGCTCATAAATCTTCTTCATGACGACATCAATATTCGCCATGGTCGGTTCCGTAAACAACAAGAACTTCGTCCCCGTCAACGTCTGAAAGCACGTTAACCGGAACTTGTCTGTCTCGAGGGATTCGAGGCCCGTGGCGGGCACGCCGGGGTTCGGGTATGTGTAGCCGCCGGCGGAGGCGGAGGAGGAGGAGGGCGTCGGGGTGGAGGTGCTCGAGGGGGAGGCGATGTTGGGGGAGGGTGTGGTTGCGGTGGTGGGTGTTATGGGGGGGTTTGGGATGGCCGCGAGGGGGAGTTTGGGTGTGATGGAGCGGGTGATGGCGTGGACGCTGTTGTAGAGAGTTCAGTTAGCTATATAGATTAATTCCTTTTTGTTCAACTCGATTGTGGAATTTGGTTTGTCGTTCATTGAGGTTTAGGGGAGTGAGGGAGGGAAGGAGGGACGTACCCATGAAACGTGCCCGCCAGGACGAGATAATCGTTCGTGGAGAGTTTGCGCAACCCGGGTTGGAATTCGCGCTGGTAGACTAATCCGCCGGCTTTGTTGATGATTATGAGGGAGAAGACGGCCCTATATAATCCATTTCATTAGCACTGATTCCGATACTGTGAGGGGCGCGTTTGCGACGGACATTGCGGAGGGGGTGGGTGTCGGAGAGTTAGTTGTTCCTGGGTCTGTTCTTTTGAGTGGGTGTTCAGGGGGTTGGCTCGTGTAACATCGGTTCAGTTTGGTGGTAGATTGGTGGGGGATATGGTGGTTAGGAAGAGGAATTCGTTTGGTTTTTGAGCATTCACATCGTAATCGTTGTTCGTGTCATCATAGCATGGGGGTGGGTGTCTTTGCCCGAGACATATTGCGGAGCGGAGCTGGCGCTGGTGTTGTTGGTTGGGTGGCTATACTGCACTTGTTTCGATGGGGCGGCTGGCTTCACCGCCTTGGTTTTAGGGGGTGTTGGCCAATGGGGTGGGATATGTCGTAGCTTGGGGTTGAGCTTTAGTTGGCTGTATTGCAGCGAGGGTGCTGGTTGAGTAAGATGCTATGGATTTGAAATTACTCTCTTTGGATATGTGATACTTAGTGGCAGCTAGATTGTAGCTTTTACTGTCAATGGAGGTGACATGGTACGTCAACAACAGTATTGACTGCTATCCGCTGGAAGATACAGATGCTACTGTGTTAGAATATCCAGAACCGGAACGTTATCCTATTTTATTCTGATAATGAAGTGTTATTCTGGGTATATCTGCATTATTTGGAGGACTGAGTTTTTGATTTCATGACACTTTCTTTCACATCTTGCGAGTTCAAATATAGGGTGTCCGGATCTCCCTTGAGAACAATTGGAATTTATAGCGGAGAGGAGACATGCTCTCAATCAGCCTTCACCTAAGTTGTATTCATATAAAATCCAAAGAAATACAAATCATCACATGGCTCTCGTCAAGGCAAACAATGCACTTTCCATATACAAATCATCAACCCAATCGCTCAACAAAAGTCCAATCATATAACCATCATCTCATCACCAACACCTGTCTAAGGGGCTGCCACAACAGTCGAAACCTCGACCATATTCTGCCAGAAATTAGCCACGATTCCGTCTCAAAGCATCACAAGCAGATATCAAACTTACCGGTTTCCGCCTCTCGCTCACAGGCTCAGACTGGAACGACTCCGTCTCATACCTCACCGATCCCTCCCCACCGCGCCCTCCAGCCCTCAAATACTCCAGGTAGTCCGGTGCTCCCGGAATATCCGTATTATCCGCAATGACTCTGGATCCCTCATGGAAGAGGCCCAAATCCTCGCACAGCTGCAAGTCACTCAGATAGAACTTCTCCCAATGATCGAAGAAAGCCATATCGACTCCCTTCACTTTCACCTTTCCTTCCTCGACGAGCTGCTTCAGTGACTCTGACGCCGGCCCCACGATCACATGCACGATATCCTCGACTCCCGCGACCCGGATCAAGTCCCGGGCTACTTCGGCCACCGTTTCACTGACCTCGAACGTGTAGACGTGGAGACCCTCGGCGAATGGGCCGTGGAGATCACGGAGGATGGCGGCCCAGGCGATGGCGGAGCAGCCGATGTAGGTTCCGAACTCGAGGATGACCTTGGGTGCGGTTTCCATGGTCGTAAGGGCATCTTGGGCGATGTTGAGCTTGGCTTGCTTGAAGTTCATGAGGCGGGCTGTGCGACTGTAGAGGTCCAGGGCTTGGTATACTGCCCATGGGTTGTTGAGTAGGGCATCTTGGGGCTGAGAGTGGATGTATTCACGGACGGCTAGGGCGTTGGTTTGGAGGATCTGAGGGACATCAGTGAGTTGAGGGAGTTGAGGTAGGTTGGTAATGGACTTACGTTGTCTTCGGAAGCCATTTTGCTTGGTAGGTTCAGAGAAAGTGTGAAATGGGGATCTGAAGTGTAGACGATGGTGTATTGAGGAGATTGTATGGCTGTGGATTTAAATGCTGTTCTGAATTGATTGAGAAGGCAAGCGTCTACGATGGGTATTTATATACAGCTGATACGCAATGGGGTAGGCATTCATACAATTGAGACTTTATCCACAGCCTGCTGCGCCACTCAGTATCCTTATCTCCGATCGAAATCGTCGTCATTTTGGTTGAGGGCACATGTGGAAATTGGACATACAATCAGTCAATAGCAACCGTAGGGCTGATCCGCTTGTGACGCCTCAGGCAGAACTTGTTATAAGCCGAGCGGAAGCAGTACCTTGATACGGCAATTAGGACCGAACACTCGGTCACAAATGCCGTTTAGGGCTGCTAGTTCCGTAACGCTTAACACCGAGGCCAGCCATCGGCACCGTTCCTAAGAATCTAACTGCTTCTGGCAATTGCCTTCAGTCTTAATGTGCCTAAAGATCTTCGATGGTGTGGGTTTGGCTTGGATGATATAATATGTTTCGGGCTATTCATTTCCGACGCTACCAGCTATGTCCTGGTTCCATATCATGCGGCCATTGCATATGCAGTACGTGGAGCTGAGAACTCAGTGCAGCATCTCAAAGTCATCAAGCGGGTCGTGTCATGATTCATTTTCGTTCGTCGGGTTCACAAGCCCTTCATTGTCATATTCATACCTTGGCTCCATATCCTTTATGATAGAGTCAGTATCCAGACCGACAGGCTGCTGAGATAACTTACCCAATACTTATTGAACCCAACACCTTCACACACTTCCGAATACCCTAGTATCATAGGAGGAGCTCCAGTCATAAAACTGCGCTTCAATCCATCCAGAGCCTCACGGATGCTCTTAAGCCTTGCAGCAACCAGAGTCCATGGATATGCCACTGCTGCAAATCCCAACTCACCCAGTTCCTTGGCCGACAAGTTCTCCGACTTTCCACCCTCGATTATATTAGCCAGCATTGGAATATCCAGCTCCTTCACACAGTTCCTCATAGCTTCTTTATCAGGTAATGCTTCGACAAACACGCCATCTGCTCCAATCCGCTTAAACTCTTTCGCCCGAGTCATAGCCTCGTCCCACCCATGAATTAAGGAGTCCGTTCTTGCCAGGATAAAAATGTCCTGTCCTTGGTTACGCGCATCCACCGCAGCTTGGATCCTAGCGTAGGCCTCACCTCTTGACACAACCGACTTGCCTTTTGTATGACCGCACCCTATGCATCCCAGTTAGTATAACCAGCGTGTCAAGGGCATGCATTTGTGAAACATACTCTTCGGCCATGTCTGGTCCTCAATCATCACTCCCGCTGCTCCTGTAGCAGCAAAGCACTCCACGGTCCGTCGCACGTTCATCGCGCTCCCGTACCCCGTGTCTCCATCCACCATGATAGGTATACTTGTCACACGGACAATTTCCTGGATCCTGCTGGACATCTCTCCCATTGCAATATAGCCCGTATCAGGGAGTCCATGAGAAGCCGCCACAGCAAATCCGGATATGAAGATCATAGGGAAGCCGGCTTCCTCAATCAGTCGCGATGAAAGGGCGTCGTAGCCGCAAGGGTGCGCTATGATCTTGGTAGGGTCTCGATAGGCTTCCAGCCACATTGTGCGTAAACGTGAGGCTTGTGTCGAGGGGATGCGTCCACGGACATTTTTGAGAATTATTGTGGTGTCTTCGGAGTTTCCGTTGGGTGTTTCGATGTGGTTGGATGTGTCGAATTGGAAGGGGTATGGAGTGGGGTTTTGTGAGGCCATTGGGATGTAGAGAAGACGTAGACTGAGTGAACTTGACTTCGGTGCTGAAGGAAGCAATGCTCACTGCTGTTGGGTTATTCACAGGCTGGAGAGACCAGAAGGTGTTTGAGTAAGTGGTGGTCGTGACTGCCATGGCAGTTGAAACCCCGCAGTCCAGCTGTCGACCTTGGATCCCCGCACGCGTCATATCCTCACCAACAGACAGCGGACTATTCACCCGACAGCCCATCGGCAGCCGCTTTCGAAGAAAGACCAAGGACTCTAATAATGCTAGCTATGTAAACCTCATTTTTTCAGTAAAACCATTGATCGCGTATCCTGATAATATATATGCCTTTATCCCATGGTAAAAGGAAGGGCAGGCCATAATTGAGCTAACCGATAAGGATAGATCCAACAAATACTTTCTCTATGAACTGTGAGTGGTGCTTCTAAATGCCAGTGAGCGATCCCTTCTACTTCCTGGCAGCAGGAAACGTGTTTCAGCGGAACTGATGCCTCTACAATAAGCAGTCAGGTGGCTTTAGATGACAGAGACAATGCTGCGCATAAACCGTCAAAGCAAGCCAAACACACAGAAGACACCATGTTGAAGAAAATACATTCCTCAGGACCTCTGCCCTGCATTCTAAGAGGGCTCAGATATGCAAGGCCCGACCGGCATCAAGCAATAAAAGCTGGGCTTCTGCGACAACGGTGCCTCTCTAGCGGTCAGACCACTTCGATTTCGCGCATATCATACTCCATACGGAGTACGCTGACTGCTATGGAAAGTTAGTTCCAACTTTACCTCTTACGATTAACACGAAGGAAATGACGAAAGCCATGCCTAGAGCAACAATCGAAAGGATCCGTGAAGTTTTATCGACGAAAGTTGGCTTTTCGGGCCTATGACACTATTAGCAATTGAGTTGTTAGCGCTGCTATCATCGCTACCGATATTATTACTATCTAAGCCCAAAATCCCAATCGACACGCTACTACTGAAGACCCAAGCGACAAGACACGACCGCAAGAACCCACCCCAACCCAGGAACCAAACCAACGGAGATGAAAAAGGGAACAGAAGGATCAAACACGCGCGCGTCAATGTCATCGATGTCATGACCTTGGCAACCACAGCTGAACTTGACATCCTATCATTCCTCCGCCTTACACTTGCAGAAAGTACTAATACTCCACACCACCCTCATCTCCCCTGTCAGCTGTTAATAACACGGCTCTTGCCCAAGAAAGGAAACTAATACAGGAACAACCTAATATAGAATACGACCACATTACATACACTAGCCCAACGCCAGAACCATCCTTCCCTCTTTTAGTTCCAATCCAGCAAACAGCAATAAGAAAATCTAGTCCAGATCAAGCTATGTACATGCAGCTGACCCGCCGATCTCCATTCTAACTACACTAAAATCTCACTCTCCCCGGCCAAGCCCGAGCTGAATTCTGATACAGTGGCGTACCTAAGTGGTAACCACTTACCAGCTAGTCCGGTCCCCTAACGAGTCTACTTGATGTCTTTCTATACATAGTGTCACGTCGCCGATCAGCAGCTCTCGGTGATTTTACTTCAGACTGAAAGCTACCGACCTACTAGTGACTAGCTCTGCATAACGGGCGTCATCGGTCGAATATCTATATCCAGTTCGGAGCCGACGATCGACAAACCACCCATGGACTAACTAAACCGTTCGCATCCACGAGGTTAGTTCGTTGTCCGTCCATGCATAACTAACGTTTCAGACCGTAGGTCCGTGGCATAGACCTCGTGTAGATCTGAGTTCGGATCCGAAGGTGGATGTGGAAGTAGAACCGAAGGCCCAGAACAACCAAGAAAGGGAAAAGCAAGTAAGCTACGATAGGTACGTACGGAGTACTTCGTGCCTACTTACCGATACGTCCGATTCTGGGGCGCCCGCCGGGGTAGCCGTGCCATGCCACGTGGGACGAATTATTTCCTCTTTTATAGGATTATTGTTGATGCTATGCTCCTTCACTACGTTGGGACTTGGGTGGCTATGCTGATTGGACGTGGCAGAGAGGGAGATGCGACTTTAGCGCTAGGGATAGATTACTGGGTACATTCTGGAAGAAAGAGATGGTCTGATTCTTCTACATTGATCGGGTAAGCGCTGCGGCTGAGAAAAGAACTACGGGTGGTAATGTTACTGAATTGCAGTGAAAATTAAGAAGGTAAGATCGTATCGTATTCTCTATTAGGGAGGAACTCCAAGTACTCGAATAATACCGGAAACCAAAACCATGTTGCGCAGTATCTCCGTGCTCCGTCCTTTCTCTCGGTGTAGTATGAAGGGGTATTGTGCAAAATCCGGGAAAATCTCAAAAGTCCAAAGGGACATATCAAACCAGCATAGTTGAATACAGGATATCAGTCATCAGTCATCATCAGTTAGTCCGTGCGTTCTCTCTGCGCAGAACCCATGGGGGGGGATAGGCAGTATTAGAAAGAAGTACGGGGGGTAAAACAAAAGAAATGAACAAGAAAGAAGAGAGTCATCGCAAAGAAAATTCGTGGGGGGAGAGAGGAGAGAAACAGGAAGGCGGGGAGGGGCAGCAGTGGTCGCCTTTACTTCTCGCAAAGGCCGGCCAACTTCCACTCTCCTTCCACCTGCCGGATGATGTCCTCCTCCATTGCCCATTGACGCAGCAAGGTATCTTCTGCTTCGTACTGGGTGTCTCCTTTCTCGTAATGGCGGCCGACATGCTCCATGCGGTCGTTCCAGCTCCGCGCCCCAGTGAAGTGCTGCCCGCAGAAGCCACAGCGGCTCTGGGAAGGCGGCTTGCGCTGCTCATGCCAGCAGCGAGCCCGAACGGCTTCGAGACTCTGCTCAAATTCATCTCGCTCCTGGTCGTTTTCAGGCTGCTTGCGGCTCCGACCGACCCAGGGGGCATGCATGCGACGTTGGTGTTGGGTGAAAAGATCCTTGCGGTTGAAGTCGTTCACCAGATGCGTTTCGTTGTATGAGGCACAGCTGCTTGGTTCTAAGGTCTTATTCTTGCTGAGATTGTCGAGACTGCAGCGTCCAACGTCGCAACGGTAGAATCCCGGTTGGATGTGCTGCGAAGTCACATGGCGCTTCCACTCATTCTTCGAAACAAAAGTGCTTTGGCACCCATAATGAGAGAAACTGCAGATAAACACTCGGCCGGTCACCGCACCATCCTTCTTACCGCCAGTCTTGGTATTGGCCCGGGCCGCGGAGGTAGACCTCCCCTTTGCGGAGGGTTTGCGGGGTCGTTTGACTATGCGGCCAGTGTTAGGTCTGGACGGTTGCCGTGGCTTGGACTGAGAACTGGGTGAACTGCGGACGTCTTGCTGACTGGTGATGTCTGAATATTGGCTGCTTCGAACGTCATAGGCAGTATCAAACTCATCGTGCCGAGGAGGGCTATTATAGCTAAAAGCCCCGCTCATGGCATTATCCGACTCTGTCTCCAGCTTCACCATAGGATCGGGATCAGGATACACTTGGGAAGGCACCACGAGGCTGTCGGCGTCGGTGAAAGACGCCGGGGAGGAGCAAGCTTCGAGCCCTGATTGCGGAAGCACGACATCATCGCAGGTATAAGGAGGGGACATATAACAGCCCATGTTGAGATTGCTGAAGCTAGCGCTAGTGGGGCTGTCTGCTCCTGGACTGGAGATAAGATCACTGCTCCAAGGAGAATTGAAACCAGAGGGGGCAGGCAATGAACCGGTGTTATGCGACAAGATCGGCTCGGCTGACCACGGCATAGAGGGGGCGATGTAGGCGCTCTTCATTGAAAGGTCGGCGGGGGAAAGGTGAAGTTGGTAGGCTGAGGGCTGTTGAATCATCGTGGGGTCCGTGTAAGGCTCGTACTGACTGGGAAACAGCTCATAATCCTGGGGCAGATTGTCCCCGGAGGATATATGCGGGAAGTCTGCAAAGGGTTGGAAGTGGGCCATGGTTCATAAGCTGCGACGAATATTTTCTTTTCAGGGAGCCAGAACGATGCCAACGGGGAAGGGGATCGCTGCTTTATAACCACCAAGGCCAGGGGCATTACAACTTCAGCTGGGGAAGCCATGGTTATGTACTGGTTTAGGAGGGCGGTACACTCGGTGGGGTCACTGGGACCCAAGAGCAGCGCGGAGTCAAGGCCATTGTTGAGCCGCATCGAATGAACGAACTGAGCCATTATTCGTCGAGACGCTCAGGTTGGAGTGCACCTTGGGAAAGCCGGAGCACAGTGAGCCCCTGCAGTGACGGTCGATAATCTTCTAGCCCGGGCGTCTGGACGTCAATCTACACGGCCCAGCCAGTCAGAGCCCATCGTTCTCGAGGGGAACCCCCTTTTTTTAATTTTCCCGTCTTGGATTTTCACGATCCTTAATCCGATTTTAATTATTCTTCCCTTGGGGTGGGTAATACTTCCGCTATGGGAGCTCGAATGGCATCGTCGTAAGACGGCGCCTGTGGGTTGCAAGGATGGTGGTCCTCGTGTTTGGGGATTGACAGGACGACGGCATCCACCAGAGGAAAGGATCGATCTTTGGGAGGGTTGGCAGTTGGCACTTGGGAGGGTCGCCAGGCCCGTCCGAGGCCGACAGTCCGATTCCCCGAGAGAGCCGCAAAGACGGTGAGCGACGACGACAGTGCCCTCGCCAGTCTCTGGTCAGTCAGTGGTCAGTGGCCCAGGAGGATTTCCTCCCCTCGTGGCTCCAACTCAGGTTTCACGCCTCCACATTCCACCGCCCGATTGGCCCTGCTGCACTCTCGTCTTTTGCCCAACATTGCTTGGGAGCAATGGGAGCAATGGGAGGGCCCGGTTCAGCCTCAAATGATAGGCAGTGTTGAGCTAAGCCTGCATTAGTCGGGCAACGGGGGGAACCACGACAGGGTTCATTTCGGGGGCCAAACCTACGGGGCCACTCGCGGCCCATTTAGCGAGCGTTATCGTTGACCCAACGTCGAGTCATTTGCTGTCCCCCCTCCCCGCCCTGATTCGTGGTTGCACTGCAAGGGCTCTTGAACAGGCAAGAGCCAGCGATCATCGGAATCCTGATGGGGACCATCCACTTTCATGGTTGGTTGCCTCTTGCCCAGGTGTTGCCCTCCTCCGGGCGCGATTTGGCCTGCCGCCGACGCACGCCCGCCCGCACGACGCCCGCGCCACGCTGGTCCAACCTTCCCAACTTCCCCGGCAGACACGCTTCTGGAATGGTGAGAAATGACGATGGACGACGGTTGATCCGAAGTGCTTCCGGGGGGGTCCTGGGGAGCCACCCGCCCAAGGATATCCGCTTAGGGTCTGACAGCTCACCAGTCCTCCCGTTAGTCGATGGTGGCTCTCGTTAGCACTTTGGTCATCCTCCGAGCTGGGATATTGTCGCTGGATCGTACCGTATCACCGGCAGGTGAGCAGAGGGCACCGACCCACCTCTGGTTACCCCTTTCCCTCCCATAATCTGCTGGACTCCGGTCATTGTTCGCCGTGCATGATGCGCATCTTGAAGCGGCCGTTCAAGTCCACTTGGCGTCCAATTTTTTGGGGGCCAGAAAATCGTGGGTACGACACCACCACGCGACAAACCTCCGACTCCGCGAGTATCTACTACTTAACCTCCCATAGGACAGTTCGCTAAAGATTTAATTAAACATCAATGAAGATGGATACACTACGGGGTACCTAGGATCTAGCCATCGGCCGATCCCCGCACCAAAGCCAATCACGGCCCGAGGATCTATCGACTAAACCAGTCAACAATTCGTTGGAATCATTGGATAGATCCTGGAGACTCCTACTCCGTACTAGTAGGTAGTATGTGCTAACTAGCCGGTGGTGTGCTGTCATCCCCGTCAAAACTCAAAAGGCCAACGTATCAGGTCTGGATGAAGTTGCGCTGCAGACTGGGATACACTGGCATCCAACAGTTGACTCACAGAGGCATAACTAGTTGTGTGGCTGAGGCGCCGGCTGTGCTGTGCCTTGAATGCGCCTTGTTCAACATACAGTTGCACACCCGCCCACCTGCCACGAAGTCTTGTTACAAGGCTTCTTTGCTTCGATTTCCCGGTTCCGTAAAAGGTGCCAAGCGATTTAGTACCATCACCCATCCTTGGGTGCTGCTGCTGATGGCATCGATAATTGATACATGGAAGCGGGAATAAGTGCGAGATCCGTCTCCAATTTCGGAAGCATCCGGGAAATTTAGTCCCCATCCACTCTGCCTGGCTGCCTGGCACATGATCGCGCGGTTAGCCGCTGCTGCGACCACATCCCTGCTCGATCAGTCTGTCGGTATGCGTATCGTAATTACTGGCTCTGTACTCCGTACTGCCTACTCCGTACTGCAGGCCCGGAATCCTGCTCGGTACTCCGTACACAGTACACCATTAATGTTGTGCATTCTCCGCGACGCACAACGGGCGCCCCTCTCACAGCCAGGATGATTCATTTCATTCGCGCCCGGGCGTCGTTTCCTTCGGGGCCACAGCCCATGCCTGCCCGCTGCAGGCGCGGGCGTCTGGGCCGCGGCGACTGCATGCGTGTGCACCACAGCCCCAGCCACGGCCGGCATCACATGGATGGCTCGGAAACATGCCTACTTGAACATCCTTCTAGGCGTTTTTGAGTGACATCATGAGACTATGAAGTAGTACAACGTGACATGAGCCCGGTCGAGGCAGTAGAGCATAGGAATCCTGAGAATTGCGACGACTTGGATATCCTTTAGGCTTTTCTGGTGACAACTCTCAAGGCAGACAGCAAGGTTCTTGTAAATGTGGAACTATTGATCCTCAGCAATGGCAGCTGGGATCAGTAATCATGCAAACAAAAGAAAATACCCCAGATGTACTCTACATGGTAAGAACATAGCCTGACTTCCCCAGCCGGAATCCTCCCATAGCATCTCCGATCCTGCTCCCTGTCTACTCCTCCTTCTCCTTTACGGATTTCTTCTTCGGTACCCGAACCAACCAGTACAAAAACACGGCGGCGAAAGCGTTAAACACCACATACACGAAGAGAATGCCCACGTTACGCCAGCGGTCCGAGTAACTCATACTCAGTGCGCTCAGGTACTGGTCCGTCGTGGATATCGAGCACACCAGGCACTCGGTCGTATTTCCAGGGTCAAGCAGGCTCGCTTGGTAATCGTGAACATATGATCCCAAGAAACTCGAGCAGTTTTGTCCCGCTGGAGGCGGTATATGCAGCAGCTCGATGTCGGAGCATTCGACATCGTTTCCCGCTATCCCCACGCTCAGCACAGAGGACACGAGATATGTGAAAGGCGAAACTCGATACATGAAAATCCAGAAGCGAGGCAGGGCCGATGGGGTAGCAAGAACGCTGTGTCATGATAAGTCTTTCGGACAGAGAAGAGGGGCTGATTACTTACCCATTGAAGATAAGGCAGAATGAAAACAGAAGCTGGGCGATATTGCTACCGGTATCTGGGTGCTCGATGCCTGCAATGACCATGGAGCTGAACGTCGAGGTAAACATCATGAAGATCAAAACGAGGAGAAACATGGTGCCACCTCTTTCGGTGACCGTGTCCGATGGATAGGCGTTGCGGTATAGACCAATTGGGTAGTACCATGAGAAGTATGCCGGGACAGCCATGAGAATATTCCAGGGCAATTCGACCATAATACTGGCTAACATAAACGCTTTCCAGGAGTACGCCTTGGAAGGCCTTTCGCGGACTTCATACAAAGCCCGTTGCGTGGTAAAATACGGCATCATCTGTTGCACGAGGTTGGGAAAGATGATCAACAGCATGAATATGGCGAACATCTCATTCTGCAACCCTTGGAGGCTGTTTGGCTCACGCCAGAAGGTGAAACCGATAAACAAAGGCTGCAAATACTTGTCAGCTCTGTACTCCGGAGATGCGCAATATACTTACAGGTATGATGCACATGGAAGCCTTTGAGTAGATATATGAAGGACTTCGCCAATATTGCTGGAACATCCGTTGTAGACAGAGGAGGAATTGCGTCCAAATCGGCATGGCAAACTCCCCATAGCCCACCATTCGAGGAGGCGGGGGTCGCTGTAATAGTTCCTCCTTCATCTGAGCGAGCTCAAAGCGGACTTGGGTGCGCTCAGGACTTTGATTCCACACCTCTGCCCAGTCCCGGTCAGCATGAGATCCTGGAGCAGCCCCGATTACTTCCAACATCCACTCCGCGGGGTTTGCATTCCCTGGGCATTTTGGCGAGCCCTTATCCTCGAAATATCTTATCAAAGTCTCCATATTTTGTCCAAGCTCGCCGAAGTAGATTGTCTTGCCCCCTTTGGCTAGAAACAGCAGCCGATCGAACTGTTGCATCAGGATAGCTGACGGTTGGTGAATTGTACACAATATCGCTTGTCCATGATCTGCCAGCTTCCGCATAAGAGAACATATGGACCACGCAGTTTGACTATCAAGTCCGGAAGTGGGCTCGTCAAAGAAGAGAAGGAGATCAGGCTTGGCCGCAATCTCTACCCCGATCGTCAATCTTTTTCTCTGTTCGACATTCAATCCCTCACCCAGAACCCCAACAATAGCTTCGGCGTATGCTTCCATATTGAGCATTTTGATGACTTCTTCTACGTAGGCGATCTTCTCCATCCGAGGCGTACTCGCTGGCTGGCGAAGCAGCGCGCTGAAGACAAGGGCTTCCCGCACCGTAGTCGTTTCCAGATGCAGGTCTTGCTGTTGGACATAACCGGTTTTTCTTTGAAAAGAGTCATCTCGCATCCGCCCATCGACTAGCATCTCCCCGGTGACCACACCCATGGTTACCCGGTTAGCTAACACATCCAAGAGAGAAGTCTTTCCAGCTCCCGTGACCCCCATTAGGGCAGTTAAAGTTCCCGGTTTAACCCACCCATCTACGTGGTCCAGAATCTGGCGTGGTTGACCCTTAACCTTGATATCGTAGCAAACATCCTGCCAATGGAATATAGATGTTTGCTTGACAATGGCAGCCGTATGGTCGGGCTCCTCGGCGCCGATACGCTGTTTCTCCGAGGTCGGGACGTTCTCCACATCGTCGTCACCGGGGACCCTCCTGACAAAGGCCGGGATTTTTCCTCGAGGAAAGACCAGAATCTCACCCTTGGAAGGCTTAGCACGGACTAATTCACTGCTGATAATATAGCAGGCAAGGGAAAAGAAAAGAAACCCCAAGAGAATGCCATAGTTGCGCCAGAGGTGCGACCGGTAGTATTCGAACGAAATATTCAGATATCTGTCGCCGTCAATGTAGTCTTGACCGGCCACAGCACCATTCTTACTGCAAATCTTGGACGTAATGGGAGTGTTCTCGTAACCTGGGCCAGAAGGTACATACTGGGCACAGGGAAAGCGGCGGTCACTAAACTCGTTGATCATGAGAGACTCAAAAGCATACTATTCTATGATTAGCAGCATCCACAAAGTTTGCGTAGAGGGAGTCAAAGAGGGGCGTATTTTGCTGCAGGCTTGTGAATGTCATTGCACCTTTCTGTAGGGTCTTGCAGTACTTCTGCTACATACTAGAATCACCAGAGGTGCACTTACCGCGATCGGATCCAAGTAATTCAACCACCGAAACCATGGATGCATATCCCGGACCGGGATTGTAAAGCCTGTATAGATCACAAGGATCATCATGAAAATGGACGAAGGTACCATGGCCTGGGCCATGGATCGCGAAACAGCTCCAGTCCAACGGAAAATGTTTGACATAGTCAAGGTAGTTGTTACAGAAAATAGGTAAAACACGAAGAAGTGTCCCGGGGTACGGCGCAGATTGGACATGAAATAAAGGATCAGATTGAATACCACGGAGACAATTGCTTTCGATGGGAGATCAACGAGCATGGAGCTGATTGCCTCTGCTGATGGATGATAGAGTGCGTACTTGTCATGCTTTTCCACTATCGGTCGTTGTTGCCACAGCGTAAGGATTTCGAGTGCGCTTGCAAATGCATTCAGCAAAATTGCAAAGAACAGGAGGGCCCCCCGCTGGAAAAAGCTATCTGTTGTCGGACCAAGGTTGTAGAACACGCTAGAGACGACCAAAGCCATAACACAGTTGCCAATGACGCTAGCCAATGTCATACTCATATCGCCTTTGAGGCGCTGGAAGCCCCTGCGAAGACACAGACGAATTTGCATTGGGTATGATAGTGTATATGGTGACTTTATCCGGGCTCTTTTGGCCTTTTCAGCAGCACGAGAGCGGTTGAATTCTTCCAATTTGTCCCCGCCCAATGGGAACTCGGTCTGGAAAGCCTCAATATCGGCCAACAGCTGTTTTCTCTCAGCGCTTTCCCTCCACCGGACCGCAAACTCGTCCGGGGTGCGAGGAACTGCATGTTCAAATCCCTTACGGACCTTTCGCTCCGTCGGGCTGGTTAAGGAAGTCAAAAAATCAGCAGTTGTTTGCCTGTCTGGGCATTCAAACCCCATCTCAATGAAGAAACGTCTTGCGTCATCAGCATGACCGAAGTAGATTTGCCGGCCTTCATAAAGGACAATGGCTTTGTCAAAAATATCGTAGATTGCTTGGCTAGCTTGGTATATTGCCACAATTGCAGTAGACCCAGTGTATTCTGTGGAAAGCCGCAATTTTCTGACAAACTCAAGAGCCGTTGAGCTGTCCAGACCGCGTGTACTGTTGTCCCAGCACTGTAAGGGACTGCCACACAATATGGTCTCAGCTATGCTGACACGTTTTCTTTCTCCGCCAGATACACCTCGAATGTATTCGTTGCCCACTCGCGTGTTTATAGTGTGGCTCAGGCCCAACATTGCCATAACAACATCTCTCATGTGGGTCGCATACTGCCCTCGGGTGACGCCTGGGAATCTGTTGGATGGGGCTCGGGCATGTGCCGCAAAGTGAAGTGTTTCGCCCACCGTGAGTTGTGGGAAGTGGATTTCAGTCTCAGCCTGGTAGATGACTTCACCCCGGAAACGGCTGTGCATCTCGTCCCAGGATATACCTTGATACTGGATATCGGTTCCATGATCGAGCCATAAGCCGTGGGTCTCACCTGCGATGGTTTTGAGGAAGGTTGAGCAACCACTGCAGAGATCATAAGTTAGCGACAGATAGCAACAAGACCATGGATACCGTAGACTGCGAGATGCTAATAATGCTGACTGCGGAGCTTACCTTCCAGGGCGACCAAGCACGACAAGCATCTCACCACTGTGGACAAATCCCTCAAAGTTACGAAGGATATCAATCCTGACCTTGTTCCTACAGCCCAGCTTTTCTCGAAGCCAACCAAATCCCTTGAGCCACATGTTTGCGACATTTGCCTGATAATCAGCGGCGGTACCATAGCCGAAAGCATTTAGATTGCGAAAGGAGACACCCGCAGTACGGCGGGGATATCGGTCTGGGTCACGCGAGGTGATTCGAAGCAAGTTTTTGGTCCATTTGCGCGAGTTGAACTGATCCGAGTTGGGATCCAGCTCGGGGTTGCTAGTGGGGTCGAGAAAAGTATTGGTTCCCTCACCGATGCTGCTTTTATCGGATAAATGCGAGAGACTGCGTGCTAGAGCAGCTATCGCCTGCTGACTGCCCCGTCCGATATCGTCTTCTGATTCCAGACAAGCTGAGTCTGAGCTCTCCGTCTTCTCCTCCGACGGCATTGATGTCCGCATCGAGCCTCCAAGCTCTCTACCCACAGCAGTAGAGACAGCTGTAGCCCCAAAGGGCGCAGGGGGTGCGGCCTGGCTGGCCATGACAACGGTCAGAGGTCGGGTGTCACGCGGGGCATAATAGAAAGCAGGTGAGATAAACTAGCGACGAGTTGGGCCTTGAAGAGGACCTAGATAAAGGTGACAGGAGGGAATCAACAGAAAGTAGGGTAGGGAAAGAAGGACCGAAACAAATAGCTATGGTGGTCAGAGAAATGTCAGAGTCCGATAAGGTTCGTATATTGTGACAGGTTCCAGAGCACGGAAGACGGAAAGTAGGCATCCGACCTCACATGGCGTGGAATCAACTGACGGTCAAGGTCCGTCTAAGGTTTCAAGCCAAAGCTAGTACCTACCCAGTAAATGCGCGCGATGATTGTGACCAAGGGGATAGGTTGGGTCTTGGGACGCGTTATTTCTGCCTGTCTGGTGGCGGCCAAGTGCCAAAACAACAAAGGAGAAATGCTCCGTGAATACGGAGTACGGACTACTGAGTAGGGAAGTCGCTACCAGTACCTAAGCACTACCAGATTGGGTAGCCGGGGGGTATCTACCTTGCACCCCGCACGGCCCCCGAAGAAACCACGATGCCTATTGCTCTGTGTTTGAAGGAAGTGCCTGAGTAGAAATTTCGCCAAAGGTCTCGTTATCAAAAGACAGCTATTGATACCGTATGATGAGGATGAGGATGATGATGATGATGGACATCTAAACTTCAAAGGACCCAACGGCATCCAGGTACCCAGCCTGTATTCCCGAACCTGGTTAAGACTCATTCGTCAGCCAGTGTTCGCCAACAACGGCTATTCTGTCATCTTTGTATGATGAGCTGTTGGCCTGATGATCCAGGACCGTGGGTGACGCCACCTAAACGAGGTGGTTTCTTCATTCGGATACGCTGGCCATACTTCAGTGTCCCTGCGGGGGGTACGATCATCGCTTCTGATTGGATGCGTATTCGATACGTATTTCGGGAGCCGTTTGGTCTCCATCCGAAACCCCACCGCTACCCCGGATCTAAACCCATCCGAGCTGTTATGTGCATTACCATTTCCCACTTGTCCCTCGGATACGGGCGAGCTTGATGGCGATCTAAGTCGAACTGTCATCAATTATTGCGATTGTCAGGGCCTATGCTGAAATGGCAGATCGTCTTCTGCTTGTTGCCCACTGAGAATCGTCATCTCTCACGAGAATCCAACTACTTGCCTGGTCAATGTTCTTTTGGAACATCTGCTTTTGACCTGTCACTCTCAGGCAAGATAACATGAAGCCACATGTTAGATTAGCGAACATCTCGCATAAAATTCCCGACGGTTGCAGAACGATATTAATAAATATATGCCAGTCTGACGCGGCCTTCCGCGTAGATTATGAGAAGTCATATACTAGCTCTCACGTACCTGCGACAGGAGCCCGCTTCTCCAGTAGAAGAAGGCTGCATTAGTATCTAGTATTCAATGATACTTCATAATATCGGAGAAAAATCCAATCCAGACCTTTTAATAAGGGTCTCTATTGCTTTATCTGTTCTATATTTGCCTTCCTGAAGACCATGTGCCAAATCAAACCACAGGTCAGGCCCTTTCTCCTTCCTTTGTCGTCCTCCTCCCTTGCTGCCACCTTGCATCGTATGGTAGGCATATCTAGATATAATAGTATGTAATTCAAGCTGCAGCGCGACCGACACCGTCGTAGTAGACCGCTCAAGTAGAGCTGCCCGCTATGCGGCGATGGATTCCTGAGGCCACAATCATGTAATTGTGGAGTGTGATTTCGTGCTCGGCTCGGGAGAGAAATCGTCTCCTACCATCGCAGCCGGAGCCACGCCCGTCCCGGCTCGATGGGGGCCATCGGCAAACTCGAACAATATCAACCAATGCGATCTAACAGATAGCCTATGATGAGGGGTCTGGACCTAAGGTGGACCAGGCCTCAGCTGTATAGCTCGCGGCATTTGTTGACTTGTCCGCACGTCGAAGTACAATGCAGCAATGCAGCATCTCTCGCTTCGGTGAGCGGTGTTCCCCGCAGTGGGGTCTGTGCCTGTTGTTTATCTTTCGCCAGGTACCAAAGGTGTCATGGCCGAGATTTTGAGCTGCAACTGCACACCCCGAGAGAAAGGTCACTCAATCTGCCATGCATGATTCGCTCCATCATTCCTCTACAGAGGACACACTCAGGAACGAGTCCGACATCGAACCGGCGATGCCCACACCACACGAGGAGCAGCCTTTGCTCTCTCAGGAGGCTGAAGCCGCCTGGAAGCCTCCGGTGGGATTTGTCTGGATACAACTAGGTTTGTCACTTGGCACAATAACAAACGACTGGATGGCTGACTCGATGCAGCCATCATGTCTAACGTGTTTCTATCTGGCTTCGACGGCACCATCACCGCATCAACATACGCTGTAATCAGCTCCGAGTTTAACGCAGCTAACACAGCATCGTGGCTCACGACCTCCTACCTGATCACTAGCACCGCATTCCAGCCGCTATATGGTCGCTTCTCTGACATCTTTGGACGACGGATATCGTTCTTCACGGCCACGATAACCTTCATGATCGGTTGTCTGGGGTGTGGGGTTGCCAAAGATATCATTCTCTTGAATTTGATGAGGGCGCTTACTGGTATTGGTGGTGGTGGGCTGATGACAATGGGTATGCAGTGGACTTTTCTGCCCTCACTTTTGATATTCACGAGACTGAGAGCTAACTCGGACTAGCCACCATCATTAACTCAGACCTCATTCCTTTCCGTCGTCGTGGGATGTATCAAGCCGTCCAAAACGTTCTACACGGGTTCGGATCTATCTGTGGGGCTTCGTTTGGAGGCACGATTGTCGATTCAGTCGGATGGCGCTGGTGCTTTTTGATGCAAGTTCCCGTTGGATTTTTGGCTCTCATCACCGGTCATCTTGTCCTTCATCTGCCTACGCAAAACAAATATGCCAGTGAGGGGCGGGGCCTACGGACTATCTGGAGACACGTCGATCTGTCTGGAGCATGTGCCCTGATTGTTGGCCTGTCAACACAATTGGTGGGTCTGAGCTTGGGTGGAAATGAGCTTCCCTGGTCCAACGTGTGGGTGATACTATCTTTCGTGGCGAGTATGGTGTCGCTGGCTCTCTTCGTGCTTATTGAGTACAAAACATCTGCAATTCCACTGATACCGCCGAGGATGCTGAGAGGCGTGCTGCCGATTGCCACGCAAATTGCCAATGTTTGCGCCGGCATGGCTGCCTATGCAGTAGGTCGCCGCCCGATATCGCTTTTCCTGGTCGCTAACTGGATAGTTTCTTTTTACCCTCCCTCTATTATTCCAGGTGATCCTATTGGATTCCCCCTCTAAAGCTGGAGCGAGGCTTGCAGTACCGTCTCTGGCTACCCCAATCGGCGGAGTGATTTCCGGCTTTGTGATGTCGCGCTGGGGCAAATTGGCCTACCTTGTCCGTACAGGATCTCTCCTGATGTGCCTTGGTAATGTACTTTTGATGCTTCTGCAGTTTCACGATGCAGAGTGGAAGTATTATGTGGCGATGATTCCTGCGAGTCTCGGCCAGGGTATAACGTACCCTGGTATCTTGTTCACATTTCTTGCCGCATTCGATCATGCAGGTATGTTGTTCCATTAGATGGAATAGATGACGTGAATGGAAACCGGACTAACATGCGCACAAGATCATGCCGTGTCGGCCTCTACTGTCTACCTGGTCCGTTCAATGGGCACGGTCTGGGGCGTTGCGATCACGTCCACCATCATCCAGAACACATTGCGCTCAGGCCTCGCGGAGGCCTTGAGTGGAATACCAGACAAATGGAAAGTAACTCTCCTCCTAGTTCGTCCGCTTGTACCCTGACACAATGGCTGATCGATATTATCTCACCCGCACAGGTAATCGATGACATTCGTCATTCAGTATCTGCCATTCACAACCTGCCGCCAGAGATCCAGCTAGCCGCACGAATGGTCTATTACCAGGGAATCCGGCTGTCATTCTTGGCATCAGCCTGCTTCGGCTTTGTGGCTACTATTGCGGCCCTCTTCACCAGAGGCAAGGGCCTGCACCGTTCAAGCGAGGTGTAGATCACGCGCAATTCACATTTGGCTCGCTTAACAAGCGTGCCGCCTAGAATTTAGGTGGTGGCGGGGTTGGGGTGGCGACTTGGGGAAGGTAAGTCTAGGACGTCCTCGTCGCATAAATTTTGGAGGCAGCAGTCTTGGGGGTTTAGGAATAGACACGAGCCACTTGGCAGGAAAGTTGCCGTCTTTTGGTGATGCGGGGATTGTGGTCCCTGAACGATCAGGCAACTGGCCGGTGGTAGAGACATCTGGTCGTGAGAAAGCACATACTTTGAATACATTCGTTTAGAATCTCTCGTTCAGTTCTACCCCTGGTTTTCCAAATCACCTTTCTCAAATTCTTGATTCGACATGAGTGGTATATGATTGATCTCATGCTCCGCAGGCTCCATTCCGCGTTGCGGAGAAAGCTCCGTCTGCCGAGGAAGCTAATATTTGGTTCCTCCATCGCCGCCATGGAACACCAATCGGAGACATATATACCCAAACACGTCTGCCTGGATCTTGCGGGGAGGTAGTTGCGCTGACAGCCAAGGAACTGTGTCTGGTTGTATAGGGAGTCCTTCACGACGCTATAGCCTCATTAGCTGCATTTCCCCGCACGATCGCCAACGATCAGCTTGAGTTCATGGATAATTCCGCCCTAGTTCCGCCATGATGGATGTCTCTAACCTTATTCTGGCGATGGTCCAGCTCCTCCTTCGCTCTTGGTTGGTCGGGGATTGATAACCGGGCTCGGAATTCGATAAGCGTTCCGGGATATCTTGGGTATCAGTCATCAGTCATTACTATCGGACTTTTTTGGCGGTGATAATCAACGAATCTGGGTCCCCACCGCTTGATGTTATCGATCTGGGGCTGCTTATCATATCCAGGTGGTGGCTGTCAAGGTGTATATGCCAAGCGGCGCTGAGATCGTCTCCGTAGACAGGATTCATAAGATGAATACTCCTCCCCCGAGCGCTCATTTCCAGTGGCTCGTCCACAACGCACAAGTCAAGTGACCATGGAGTCAAATAATACCAAGGACTCAACCCTCAAGACCGGGTATGCGGCTTCGGCAGTCCCGGAAGTCGACATGGACAAGGGGCAGGTTGCCCTGACGGGCGTTCCGGACATGCACATGAAGCGAAACTTCAGCATCGTCAGTATCATTGCGTTGGGATACAACAACACCAACAGCTGGGTAGCCATTGCCACGAGCTTTGCCATTGCTATCCAGTCCGGAGGGGCAGTATCTCTGCTGTACGGTATTATTGTCGTCACTGCTGCCATGTTCTGCACGGGTGTGACGTTGGCAGAGCTGGCCAGCGTGTACCCCACCGCTGGTGGCCAATATCATTTCACATCTATCCTGGCCTCTAAGCGATGGAGCCGCGGGCTGTCATACTTCAGTGGCATGGCTGCCGTGTTTGCGTGGATTACGCTTGGGGCCTCGATTGCGCTGTCCGGGACCGAGGCCCTCATGGCCGTTGTGATCCGCTGGCAGCCGTCATATGAAGCGAAGAACTGGCACTATTTTCTAGTGTACCAACTGCTGAACGCAATTATGGTCCTCTACAACATTCTCCTGACCAACAAGACTCTTTGGGTGTACAATCTAGGCTGTCAGTAATCCCTTCAGTTTGAAAAGTACAAGACTAACCAGAACATCTCTGTGCAGTCATCCTGTCGATCTCGACCTTCCTAGCCATAATTATAACCTGCCCGGTACGCTCCTCTGCGCAGGTCAACACGTCTGAGACTTGGAGTCAGTTCGTCAACGGCTCGGGTGGATGGCCGGATGGCATCTCCTTCTTGACCGGTCTCTCCACCCCGCAGTTCATGTTCTCTGGGCTGGACGCCGCACTTCACCTTGCAGAGGAATGCCTTGAGCCCGCACGCATTGTACCCAAGGCTCTCATTGTTACTGTCGCGGTGGGACTCCTGACTGGGTTTCCTTTTGCCATTGCCATTCTCTACAGCTACAGCAATGTCGAATCATCCCTCAGCACACCTACAGGGTATGGATCCCTAATACCATAAGGTATGAAGCTAACACGAGTATCAGTTTTCCAATTTACTTCATTTGGGAGAAAGCCACCCGCTCCCCTACTGCAGCCACCGTCTTTATGGCTGCGTTAGTTGTCGTCTCCTTTGTCGCGCTCAATGCGGTGCATCAGACTGCCTCTCGACTCACGTGGTCATTTGCCCGCGACGATGCTCTGTTCCTCTCCAACCGTCTTTCCACCATACATCCTACCCTCGGGGTGCCAGTCTATGCGCTTGTCCTTGACGGTATCGCCGTGATGCTAGTTGGAATTGTCTACGTTTGCTCGACAACAGGTACGTCCTCGCCCATACAAACTATACAAGTCTAACAGAATACAGCATTCAACGCCTTTATCAGTACAACGGTTGTAGTAGCTCAGATCTCTTACGCCATCCCCGCGGTTCTACTACTCGCTGGGCGCAGAGATCCGCAGTACCTGCCCCCCGATCGCTTGTTCAAAGTTCCGAGCGTGGTGGGCTATGTTTCGAATGTCATCTGCGTTATCTGGGCGATTATCCTGACGATTTTCTTCTGCTTTCCTACCGAGCTTCCCGTCACGGGCAGTAATATGAGTATGTTGGATACCATCATTTATGAACCATACTAATAGGGCTTAGATTACGCTTCCGTTGTGCTGGTGGTTATGCTGCTTTTGGGAGTCGCGAACTGGTTTGCATACGCCAGGCGACATTACCACGGGCCACGATTAGAGATGTAAACTTATGACTTATGAGAATGGAAAATTTGTAGCTCCACCACTTGGAGATACGAGAATTTACCACAATTATGATTCCTTCAAACTGACACGATGTCGTCTAGTACATCCCCATTAGAGTTGTTGTAAAATACCGCGATACCCACGCTACTCTAGTTCCATCACCGTCATCCCTACAGGAATTCCCAACACGTACTCGAAGAAATATCCCAGAATTCTCTACTGCATATCATCTATTGAATCTAAGACACACCCACATACAAAAATCTAGGTTTGCCGAAAAATCAACACATCTCTCAGAATAAAACCCAAAGATATACACAACCCCACCCCAAATCTACTACCCAACCAAACATTTCCATCCAAATCTTCTAAGCACTTAAACAGACCAATCATCCCATCCAACTGAATATCCCTCTCCAAACGCCAAAACCAACAACCCATCAAAACATGTACAAAGGACCACTAGAACCAACAAATAGCAACGAGATGCGTGCCATATCATCGGAACAATTCCGAACCCACTGAGCGAGGATGCACACGCGGCCAATCCACTCCGATAAGATAGTGATTATCTATATTCCATAGTGAAAATATTTATAACCACTGAACTGGAATGGCTGCGAGTATGTACTTATTCTTATTTTGGGAAATGGATTTTTCTTATAAAGGCCTAGTGTATGTCATTCCTAGATAGTGGTGGTAATTATATCTGTGGGGAATAGCTATGCATGATTTATTTGTACACTTTGTGCGCTTTGTGTATGGGATAGAGATGGATAGAGTATGTAGTTGGTTCCCGGGACTAGTGTTTCTCTTTACTTTCAAAGCGCTAACGATGAGGATATGATAAGAGTGACAAAGTGCTTGAACGAGGAGCTGGTATATAGTATACATCATACGTCCTTCGTATATATTTCCATCCCTTCACTGTTTTTTTCCCCCCAAGAAATCTCACTATCTAGCTACTCATCCCAATGAAAAAAAAAAAGATAACACATATACCACAGACAAAAACATAACACCAATACTACCTCAATCGAGTATCTACTCCCTATCCCCGAGAACCACACCATATCCCTTCCCCACAACCCCCTCGGACCGACACACCGGACATATTTTCCAAGATGGGTAGATAGTAGTATATTACACACATGGGTATACTAATTAGTATATGACCTCATCGAAAAACAAACCCCATGACTAAAAATACGAGTACGTCTTTCTTGATTTCTTCACTACTGCCTAGCGTTTATCTATCTATCCATCCCCACCTATTCTCGGAGAGGTGTGATTGGTACGGAGTACGGAGTACAGAACGCAAGGGAAGGGTAGGGAAGTGAAGGGAAGGGGATAATTACTTGGCTGTGAAGGAGTGAGTGTGTGTTCTTACAGTTCATATCTAGATCCTTCTGCGCCTAGGTATACAGTACGGAGTACGTAGGTGGTTTGTTGACAGTTTATCGTGGTATGGGAGGCGTATAATCTGAGCCGGGATAGGGCCTAGACCTGGAGCATAGACTTTTCTTTCTTCATCAATAACGACTAAGCCTCAAGGGGTAGATAGGGGACGATGAAGAGTGGTCTGGCAGGGTCTGCAGGGCTGAAAGACGTCTTTGGGCCAACAGGAACCGGATGGATCTAGAAGCAGATTAAAAGGCTGCCTAGCCAACCGCTGGTGGTACCACCAATCGGAGACGCCGCGGGTCGTCATCTCGCCAGCGGTCGGCTTGGCTGGATTCAAGCTCATCCAGAGTGCAGGTCCAAGACGGCGATCGCGTGCCAAGATGTCAAGTTAAATCCAAATTCAGTCTACACTGCATATCACATAGCAGGGTACCACGCGCGGGCGGTGGACATTTCACAGGTGGCATTCACCACAGAAAAGAGGTAACGACCAACATAGGGATCAAGAAAAGAAATAAAGTCATCAATTAAAGCGCCATGAAGCAAACAGAATGGTTCCCTTCCTCCCCGTTCCAACGCACCCCGTGTCCTAAACCACATTTCCGATCACTAGCATGAGCAGAGAACGCTTTCCAGAGAGCACGACGCAGCAGATAACAGAGAGTCCGGGTAGATTAACAGGAAATAGACAAAACCGCGTAGCAACTGCAGCTGTCACAGCAGCGCTTCCCGGCGCCCCTGGACTCGTCCGGTCTAGTGTAGCACGCGATGGGAGAGGGAATTATCGTATCGTGGGGGTCATATATCGATCGTGAGAGCTCGGCTTCCGCGCAGCCCTCGCTCCATCCGAGGCAGCGCCCGTAATCGATTCACAGCTTAACACATTTCACAGCACTCGATGCACTCGAAGCAGCACTCGCAAGATTCCTCGCACAGGAAGCAACAGCAGAGGGTGGCTAGGCTGGAAGAAACGGTAGGATTAGTAAGACGGTGCGGGTGGGAAAGTCAAGGGAGTGAGTCTTACCAGGCACCGAGACATCCGCGGTCCTTCTGCTGGGGAGGAGGCTGCTGCTGGTATTGCATCTGGGTCCGTGTCAGTAGTTGGTTGCAGACCGCACAGCACGGTGGTGACATACCGGAGGGTAGGGCTGTTGGGGGTATCCCTGGGGAGGATAGCCACCCTGCGGAGGCGGATAGCCCTGGGGAGGGTACCTGTGCGGAGCCAAGTCAGAAACGATGCGCAAATCCGGGATATGGTCCAACAAGTGGCTCGCCGGCGCCGTCAGTTCAAGAACGTCCCCAGCGTCGAATAGGCCTGATGACAGGCCTCGACCCGGGTTCTTGAGCCAACCCGCCGCGGTCGCTTGTATGCCGGGAGTCTGTCGCAGGGCGGGAAACGGGATGAGGCTGGGGCGCAATGGGCGCGGGGGACTTACGCCTGGGGCGGGGGAGGAGGGCCGTTGTAGTATTGTCCAGAGCTCATGGTGACGAACAAGAATCTGTGAAAAGAAGGCGAAGCAGCACTGGTCAGCGTGGGTAAACTTTGGCAGTGACAGAAGCGATGGAGGCGTGAGAGTCGACGGGAGAAAGAAGGGAAGCGGGTGTGGAAGGGCCAATAATAAGAGGGAGACAAACACACCTAAGACAACGCCAAGGTCTAAACGGGTCGATAAAGGCAGGAAACTGGAAAGGGGGAGGAACAGGACAGAGGGAGGACAAGAAGCGATCGCTAGGGGTCGAAGGGCGAAAGGAGGCGGAGAAAGAGGAGAGGATCGCTGAGCCGCCGTACCTTTAAGGTTGGAGGAGGCCGCGAGACTTAATAATAATCCTAATAAACCAGTGTCGGTCCCTTATTATTACCTCTCCGGGCCGGCCGTACGGCGCTCGTACCGCCCAGCCATACCGGCACTCTTGGCACTGGGATCAGACGCCCACGAGCCAATCCTCATCGTGCCTTCCGATTCCTGGCCATCTTTTTACGCCCCCACCCCAAATAGAAGGGCGCCAGAAAAAAACTAGTCACCATACCTGGACGCCACGACGCAGGAAGCAGGAAGCTCAGCTTGACAAGTCAATAAATTTGGGGATTGCAATTTGAAAAGTACTAAGTGATGGATCATCAATCTATCAAAGGCTGGACAAGGTCCAGCCGGCAGGAGCCCGCTCCCCCGACCGACCGTCAGCCGTCATTACAATACAGGTTTGCTCGTAGGCAGCACCGCCCAGACTCAGCCACGGAAGCGCAGCCCTACAGGACCCAGTTACCGCCAGGCACCAGCCACGGCGGTTCCTGCTATGAATCAGTGTCAGACGGTCTCCCTGGAGCGGTCGGGGTGATGGCAGCATCGCGGCCAATCACCGTGCCGAAACTCGGGGACTCACCCCACAGCTACCAGCCGTGGACAGTGGCTCAGGGAATGAGAGGTTAGTTGTCAGCCAACCGTGCTGGCCGGGCCAGAGCATCGCTGCCATCATTGGCAGGACGGCTACCCTGCAGTTCCACTGCATGTCCGTGGCGCTCATGAGACCCTGAGACTGCGCCCAATCACCGCCCCCTCGTCAGGGCGTCGGGTGCCAGCACCATGTCACTCCATGTCACCGCCTAACAGCACCGCTGCTCCGCCTACCTTACTGTCTCTCCGTGGCATCTCAATCATGGTCCCTGGGCTTCTTAGTATCCTTAGTAATAATAGGCTGCAGTTACCAGAGAGGCACTGCAGAGTCGGCAGTGGTCATCCCATCAGACCCTAGCCCCAGGGGTTGTGCTCCGAAGGACCGTTGCTTTCATGCACGACGTTCACCAAATCAATGTATTCAGGAATCTGAGTCTGGCTGATTGACTGCTCATCATCACACATTATGTCGTAGCGCCCGTTAGGGCATCACCAAGTCGACTATGTCGGCCTCTGGGGTCGCAAGAATGAAGATATAGGAGAAGAGAAGAGAAAAAGAACCGGGAGAAAAAGAGATGAGAAAGAAGAATCAGGAAGAAAATCCAAAGAAGAAGAGAAGAACCAAAGAGCAATTATCACATGAAATATAGTCGCAAAAAACGCACAATGTGAAGAGTATAGAAACAGCCCCAAAGACGCAATGTTTAAGAAATATATCAACAAGAAACCCGTCAGAGATACGAGAGATCTAGTCTCCAGATTCTCGGGAGGAAGAAGCCAACCGTCAGGATGTTTATACAATCACACATACGAATCGATCTCAGGCGGCAAGGTCTGAGAATCGAAGTAACACGGAGCAGCATCAATGGACGGGTCCATGGCCATCGTGGGCAGCGCAGCATAGGTTTCATACCCGTTCACCAGGGCGGTTTCCAAACCTTGGGAAGAGATGTCTTCGACCGAAGCTTGCGGCAACCCGGAGAATGGGACATCATCGGACGGACCAGCCGCCAGATCATCGCCTAGTGCATCCTGGTCAATATAGTTCTGGGCATTCTCGAGGACAATTTCCTCTTTCTGCACCATCCAATGTTTCAGGACATCCATAGGCGGATGGTTCCCACCGCCCTTACCACCGCGCTTCTCACTGTCTTTTCCACGACCACCACGGCCGCGCTGGCACGGGTTGAAGTGGGTGCGACGAAGATGGGCAGCGGCGTTGTAGTTAGCACCATATCTTTTCCCATTCCGACAAGCCTTGCAGTTTGCCAGGAATGTCTTCCCTGGAGATATGTCAACACACACCCAAACCTTGCGAACAACAGCGTGAACCCGCTCAATGTGTCGACGCAGCTCGTGCTCCCCATGGAAGCCGTCAGGCTGGTCGTTGCACATGTTACAATACGTCTTCGGACGCGGGGGCCGCTGGATCGAAGCCTTGGGAATGGCTGCAACCTCTTTGGAAGTACCATCCGATGATGAGATGCGAATCATCTTGTGCTGCTCCGCCACCTTGGGTGGTGAGCTGCTGTGCGGCTCAGCTTTGGGGGCAATGGGCCGCGTGCCCTGCACAATCTGTTCTTGAGTCCTGCGAGCCGCTCTAGACGGCTGAGACAGAGACGAACTGTCACTCTCAACGGACATAGAAGGCCGCATTTCCGTCGCGGGGGACGGGGAGATGGTAGGGATAGGCGGATGGAAGGATGTAGAAGATGGTGCGGAACAGGAAAATGACATCGGCCCAGAAGGTTCGGTAAATGGGAAGGGAATTTCAGGGTGGGGATTTCGGTGCATGGAGGTGAAGGAGGTGGGGAAGGGGACGTTCATCGGTGAGGTGGAGGTAACAAATTCAGAGGGGACGGAAAATGAGAAAGTAGAGTCCAGATTCGGTCCCGAGGAATCGAACCTCATCATTCCCAAGCCCCCACACAGCGAGTCCGTAGTGGTACTCCTGCTCATCTCCACGGCAGCCGGTTGAACCGGCTGGTCGACCATGACGGGGTTGGTCATGGCGGTAAAGTTCGCCATCAGCTCAGGCTGTCCCTGATTCAGCTGTGGTTCTTGTTGAAGTCCAGTCATCGTCGGATCCGCAGAAAGCGCCATAGAGAGTGCCGAGACGTGACCCTGGCCCTGGAAGTCACCCAAGTACTGTTTGGTGTATTCGGAAGGTGTGTACTCGTTGACATGGTCAAGGCGACGCTGAACACGCTGGGGTCCATAGGAATGGCGAAATCCCGTCACAGTGGAGGCCAGCGACGGCCGGTGAGCAACCGGCGTCTGCTGGCTCTGCGAGCGGACCATGGCTGTATGCCGGGAAGAGGACCCAGGACCGGAGAAGGAGACCGAGTTGCCCTTCCGAGAGTTCGTTCTTGATAGGCGTCGAGTCTCAGGAGCCGCCGGCGAAGACGCGTGAGACAGTTCGCGCGTCAGATCAACGGTCACTGGAGGTTCCGGAGTCTGCCAAGTGTCAATCCAAGGACTGTTGGCGGGAGATGACAGGAGAGAAGGAGACTAGAATAGCGCGGGAGGGACAGGATGGGTAGAAACGCGGGTATGGAGGAGAGGCGGGAGCAGAAGACCAAGATAGATCACATACGGTGACTCGTCGTTTCGGCGGAGGAAGACCAGAACCAGGTAGGGTCCGGGGAGTATCCTGTCGTGTCCGTTTCCCAGATTTCTCGAGAGCTGAACCGCCATCTTCAAGGAGACCAGAGCCGGGAACCGGGCGGTAGCTGGAAGAGGAGGCGGAAGGGGATGTGGAAGAAGAGGCCGTGGTGGTCATGAACTGACTTAACCGCTGACTCCAAAGTTCATTGCGCTCTGATTCCGGAAGATGGGAGTGTCGAACCAAGAAAGCGTCCCGATACCCAGAGATGGCCCTTGTGAAGAGTTCGTCGTCGGCCATGGTGCCAGCCATCGTGGGTGGAGAAGTCCTCTCTGAGTGCTGCCTCTCTCACGTGGGATGAGCGAGGAGGGAGAGCTGCTATCAGTATCAAGTGACTTCAGGGGGTTGGAGGGGTCTGTGTAAGCCGCTGTCAGTATTTCGTCCGCTCAGCCAGTTGGCGAAGCTCTAGTGACGCCAAAGCGAGTGTAGGAGGGGACTGACTGAAGGATCGAGGTTGCGTGTAGAGAAAAGTAGCCGACGCTGAGATGGCTAGGGATTGATGGTGGGGAAGAAAAAAAAAAGACCGGTATAGATAGGTCGTGTGAGGAAGTAGATAGTGTGAGATGAGAAGAGAAAGTGGACGGAGATATGGAAGAGGAGGCACGGGGAGGGGAGGAGATATATGAAGGAAGGGTGGAGTGAGAGACAATGGAGAATGGCAGATGTATGTTGACTGTTGACGAAGAGGATGACGATAACGATAAAGAACGAGGAGGATGAGGTGGGAGGAGGTTATCAATTAAATGGAGCATCCACCATCCCCACAGCCGGCTTGGTCGAATGGTCCGGAGGGTCGAGGATGAAACTAAGGTGAGAAGGGACTAGGAGGGGGAGAAGCCAGAGCGAAAGGGTAAGGTACGAAAGAACGAGCGTGAGCCAGCAAAAGATCCGTCAGAAGGAGAAGCAGTAGTTGCAGGTTAGTTAGGAGTTCATCGCCCATCGAAAGGTTGAAACTGGGCGGGGATGAAGATGGAGGGACGGATTGAAGGCCTCCCAGACGGTTCCAGACCCTCTTGGGGTGGCCAGGATCTGTCGCTTTTTTTTTTATTTTATTTTCACGGGTGGATTGTTGATTTTACTTGGTGATTTTCCATTACTTTTTTTTTTCTGTCCCGCATTACTTTTTCTTATTATTTCCTGACCAGGAAAGGGGGTAGAAAGAGGATGGATGGATGGATGGAGGGGACAGGTGCGAGCCAAAATTAAAAAAGGAATTATTATTATTGTTCAGTAATTTTGGGGGGGAGGGATTGGATTCTTCCTCTTCTGGGCCGAGATGGTGATCAGAGCGCTAGTGCCAAAGGAGCAGAAAGATACCACCACCATCCTTGGGGGGAAGGAGGGGGAAGGGGAGGGCACAAGGCAAGACACCACCACTACCACCAGAAACCCATCCTCCGTCCTCCATTATTCCGCCGCCCTGGTGGTCCTCACTACCAGCAAGGACTAGACCGGATCGGAAAAGAAAAAGGGGAGGGTGACACGCTGACTGTTCAACAGAGCCCGAATGGGCCTGGTTACAACGGGTTAGATACATCGATCGAACGAGTCGCAGTGGCCGGACGAACACGGTGTGTGCACCCCAAAGTGAGGCAGCGAAACGGATCACGTCGTCATCGCCCCGGACCAGCAAAAAGACTTGCTGCGCTGGAGGCCATGATCAGTCATCCGGGCGGTTATGATGGGTTATGTGCACGGGATTATTGTCACGACGATTATTATGGGGACTGCACCAGACCAATTCCACTCGACATGATACGCTGTCCCAGTCCCCAGCAGCGCCTACGGCGGTACAAGGCCTTGGAAGCATCATGGGCCTGGCTGCCCGCAGTGGCTCCGCAACCTCAGGTACCGACGGTTGCTCAGGTAGGTACAGTACACCGTACGGAGGTACCTGAGTCCTCAGGCGTACCGGAGTAGGAGGAGGCCCTCCCTACCCAAGTGCAGTCGGTCGACACGGCCAGTGGCTTGCTGCGACGGAGCCTGGACTAACGGTCCGGTTAGTGGCCACTGGCCAGTGGCCAGGGCAGGCCACACCTGCGCCCGTCTGTTCCATCCAAAGCACCCGGGAAGTCTCCCAACCTTCCCCCCTCGACTCTACGGCTGCCACGTCGATGTCAGGCTACACCCGTTCGGGCTTTTCTCGTCCCCATACAGCTTACCTACACTACTACGGTGCTCATCATGGCCAACGTTGCCATTAGTTGGTCTGACTCCTATGTCAGTTGGTGATGTGCTTGCAGATGACGAGCCAGCCGGAATTCATGTTGGCCGTTATCGCGGTCGCTGGTTGTCGTATCAGGCGCGGCAGCACAGCAACAACGAGGACGAGATCTCCTGAGCATCGAGCACAAACCTCCTCTTCGATGTGTCTGGACTAAACCTTGCGTTCTAGATGATCAAACTTAAGAGGCAATTGGGTAGCAACAGGACTGGCTGGCGACCTCCAGCATCCCATCCTCCGTCCATGGTGGTTGTATGTAGTAACTCGCAACTTAAAGCCAGCGGCAGTACTCTGTAACCTGGGTACAGCCCCGGGCTCAAGCCGCGGTACCACGCGGAAGACACCCAGGGTTTGGTCGGCGTTGTCTGCACATGGCCGTCCCAGAATGACACGAGCTGGACTAGGGCACTATTGAGGACTGACACTGACTGCTGGCAGGGGCAGTCCGTCGCCTGGAGGGGCTATGCTGCGCCGTAATGGGGGGAGGTGACGAAAATCTCTCGTAAATGGAGGTGCTAGAATATTTCCCGGATCGACCCATGGCGCCGTGACCGGACGATCTCGCGACTATCGACGATGGAGCGATCATTTGGGGAAGGGGGAGGCGTGGGGCGGATGACGATGCCGCCCAATGCCGGCGAGGGACGGCTGGCAGTCACGTGAACACACGTGATAACTGCCCCAAACTGGAACAGGCAACCGGGAAGGCCAGCTTATCAAGTCGCGGTGGATCATGGAAAGGAATCAGGAAGAATAGTTGGTCCATGGGATCAACTACCTAATCGGACATTGTAAGTGAGCTCCGAATGGAGTGGCCGATGTGCTGGCGTTTCACCTCCACCATGCCAGCACGATGATACCCAGTGAGCGACCGAGCAACTAATGATGGAAGGCCTAGGGAACGCGCTCTCCTCATGTTCTCACCGAAGGCAGTGCTTTTGGCGGTCAACCGCTGTTTCCCACCGTTGTTTCAGACTTCCAGCATCCACCACGAGCCCACCACCAAGTCACCGCTTTTTGAGGCCCAAAAACAATGACGATGCAACGGAGTCGAAGCGACCACTATGGACCGACTACTGCACCGTAGCAGCCCATAGTCTGGCCCCGAACGGGTAAAGCGGATTTCCTCTGACCGGCTATCGTGTCTGCACCATGCTCGGGCCAATCAGCTTTGGGGCTCATAGTCTGTTCGAGAATAGCAGCAGGAAATCAGGGACTAGATACGTGGGATACTCGTGTGCAGACCTCCAGCTCGGACTCCACTGTGGCCTTCGGATTAATCTGCGAGGTGGAGGGGATTCCCAGAATCCCCTCTTGCCCATTCTCGAAGTCAGTCGAATGTCCGGCCCCGGCTACGGAGGACGGTCGCTCATTGTGGACGCCGTCCTCCGTAGCGGGGTATTCTTGATATGAGCGGCAATGTGTTGAACCCGTGAGTCATGTCCCTACTAAAGCCATTCCTGTCACTCCTGTGCTCGGTCGAGATAGGGAGCGAGCGAATTGAGCGAATTATTCACATCCCGGAGTTTAATGGGGTGGCAAACCGGGCTTCTGCATGATGTTTCAATAGACCGGAGACTGCCATCTTTTCGGTCTGGGGTATGGGAGGGTCGCTCTCGGAGTGCCACCCGATGCCGACGCCTCTTCATTGTCAATAGCAGACACCCGCAACAGCCTAATAGGTAAGGAAGACTGCGAGAGCATACACCACTATCTATCCCCATTCAACCGATTGAGACATATTATGAGCCACGCAGGGGATGGCGTCGCGATTGTGCCCTCGTCTTTATCATCGTTTTGTGTTCTGCCCCTCATCCGTCTCATCTTCTCTTACCCCCTCTAATTTACCCATCTTCACAACTTCCCCAAGCCCTCAGATCGCATCACACTCGGGTTATACCTTCCAAGTTCCAAGACCTGTCAAACTCCCCTATAAACCCTCGATCAATCTGGTGGATAGTTCTCTATACCACAACTCTCCGTGCGAAGTACCTACTCGAAGCAGCATATCGCCGTGTTCGCGACATGCAAATTCCTAGTCTTCCTACTTAGTTCCTACATACCCCTCAGAACAGCAACCGATAATAGTATTGACCAAACCTGTACCAGAACCAGGCATGTTCAACCCCAGGCAACAGACATGATATAGAGAAGAATACTTCACCCTAAACGCCCCTCTATGGATAAGATGGATATGAATCCGAATTTGACTACTCCGGGCTGGTACTAGCCCAGACTCTACGATCTTATGTGGTTTCCTCGATTGATTAATAGCAGAAAGAAACATTCGAGATCTGGTCTTTATCTAAGAAGTACTTAGTGCTGTATGAAACTAGTGTCGCCAACTTAATCAACCACCTTCTCTATCGACTGTAGGCTCCCATTGTAGAGTAATATATCTTGCCGGGTAACTATCTACTATTGGAAAGAGAATCCAGATACCAGCTAGCTCCCATCGGACGTTGTACTAGAACTGGACGCCGGATTGAATGGACAAGTAGTACATTGTACCGGAAGGACGGATGACACCGTTCGAGACAATGCGACTAAGAAATTCAATCTATCTACACCACAGGGAGTTGAGAAGCGGAATAGATGGTCCAGCTACCATCCATCAAGATGAACCATGGCAGCGAGGATCAAGATCATACGGTGCTGGTTGGCAGTCCATGGGCTAGTTAGCTAACTAGCTATCACACCAACGCACTGTGATGATATTAGGCACACACTTAGTTGGAATGAGACAGAGGCATTGTCGTTATCCTAAATCTAGTCGTCTTGGTCCCGGATGGAGTTGGGTGTCATTCATCCCGACGGACCCTCCGTACACATCCGGACTGGCCCCGATCAAGCTGGAGAGAGGGTGAAAGGAGGGGAAAGTAGGCCCGGGAGGTACACAATGGGCTGGACAAAAATAGACGCGTGACGCTATTCCGTGCCCGTCGGGGGGACTCAGATGGGGCCCCTGGAGCAAAGCACCCCTATTCGACGGAGAAAAGGATCGGCGGGCCCGCTAGACGTTCTGTGATCATCCAATTTCCCTGAAGGGGGTGGGATGATAGGCTGGAAAAGGCTCTCCAGGTGTCCACTAGTTCGTACCATCTGTGATTCTATGCAGGATGCGCATACACTGTGCTGCCGGTTGATGGTGGAAGCAGGGAAGAAAGTTTTTGGGTTGAGAGGAGGGGAAAAAATGGATGTTGATTACGAGTGCCTGACTTGGGCCGTCGTCGTACCAACTCCAATTTGGAAAGAGGGTCTAAATCCTAAGTAAGGAAGGACGGGTTAGAATCCTGGAGCCATGATGATGCTTGAGGGGAGAAAAATAAATAAATCAGGGAAATCAAAGAAAATAATCGTAATGGGAATCCAAATCCTCCACTGGAACTCGACCGAACTTTGGAAGGTTCCATGGGACGACGCCCGGTTGGCGCCATATGCAAACTGCAGCTGACAGCGAATCATTTAAGATTCGGCCGGCGCTGTTGGGCCACTCTGGAGAAAAAGATTCACCTGTGTACTTTATGTCACCAACGCGCCCACCTCAGTCCCGGCAATGGCTGAAATGGTCATCTTACCTGAAACCACTATGACAACATTATCGCAGTGAATTTCGGAACGACTACCGCCCATGCCCAACCAGTCTGATTAGTCGGTTTCTGCCTTACCCAATCCCTGTCCAGCTGGACCGAGTCAGGCTACGGGCTGAGACTTGGAATTCGGGCAACGACAAATGGCTTGGAAGGAGGGACAGAAGAGGCGAGATCTGCTTTCGAGGCTCGGGGATTCACAGAGCCTACCAGCTGGCTGAGGCGACGTATGTTTACCATCGATATAGTTGACTCATGCTGATACGAACAACAGAGAAACTTGGCTGGGCTGGTTTTTCGATTGTCAAGATAGACAGCGCTGCCTGAATGTTCGATCCATAGATCTTAGGACAGCTCGCCACAGGTAAGCCTGAACATCTTGCAAGTCCTGGCCCGGAACGGCGTCTAGCCAGCCGCTGAGCCAGTTTTCATCCCGTTGGCTTCATGTGAATGGGTGCTATGGCCTCTAGAGGCAACCAAATGCTTCGCTTCAGGTCAGATACGGATCCCTCATTGGATCTCGGATGAGACATATCACGATGACGCGGCTGAACAAGCCCAGGGCTTGTGGATAGCTCCCCTGCACGATCGCCGCTATGCTGCTAGGCCTTGTATTGCCTGAAGGATTACTCCGTAGTCGCAGGGCCCTACTTTGCCCGGTGGATGTGGCGATGCCTTGTTCTAGTGGGCAAAGGGCGCATTTGAAGGCTGTGCACTTCGGCGTGTGTTGTTGGCAGATGGCATGTTGCGATCGCCGGGGTTTGCAAGATGTGTCCTCCATAGCCTGCGTAATATTCAGCCACGTATTGGGAAGGTGATGTGGTATGGGGTGAAATGAAGGGACCTGCTTCTGGAACATGGGTCTAGAGTGTCCATCGCCTGCCAAGTGTTATTCTCGTCTATCTTCGTGAGCTTCTGCCGTTGCAGGAGTCGATTGTGAGGCATTTCTGCCAGCGCATTATCTTCACTATCCTTGCACCGTATCGCTTTCGTTCGATCTACTCAAGTCAGTGTTAGTAGATTGCCACCACCCTTCGAATGGTAGAATATGCATGGTTGTTTGCGGCATTGCTCACCCAGCAATAAGACATCCCATCCTCTCGGATGCTATCGCTAAGACGAAGATGATCAACAGCTGGATCACAATTCGGTAATTCTGGTGTCCAGGGCCATCTCTGCTTTCCATCAGAGGTCTTATGGATGAGGAATGTCGGACTCCATCAAATCACTCCTTCCAAAAGAGCCTTAACGCCTGTGTACTATACGGGTTAGCTCCATATCCATCGATTGATTGCTCTTTCAATTCTATCTTGCGAAGGCCGGGCTCGTTCGCATCTCCTGGACAACATAATACTAGATGCGGTGGCGCGCTCTGCTGTCCATTAAATTCGCTTCTATATGTCCAGGACTGTGCTTTGGAAGTGTTTCAGGCCCACCTGCATTGGTAGTCCCTGACTATACCACAAACGCCGGTTCAACGTACTGCTCAATCTGGTAATGTCTGACCTAGGATATCTTCAGCAATGGCCATTTGAACGAGCTAGGTGATAGCCTTCCCCAGACTACACTATCTCAGATGGTCTTATATTTTTTGGCATGTTTGCACACTCATCCAGAATCCGTGTTGATCTCACCAGTTTATTAAGCAATGCAACCACTTCGTCGTCCCAATCGGCCACAAGTGCGCAGTGACCGCTTATTAGAAAGTCCTCACAACCCACAAGTTCGAGATCGACGGTTGAGCACGAGATAGTGCACGGGTTGTTCGTCATACGTATGCCTCGAGAAGCAATCCCCGGCCAGGAGAGAAGGGAATATCAGATACATGTTGGAAAACCTTATGAGTGAAGAATAGACGCCTGAAGACCTGTGAAGGAAATCTAGACATGAACGAGGAAAGAGTCGTTTTGTACTTAGTAGCTCAGCCTTGACAGCTACTCCAAGCGGATACTGCAATGTGTTCATTGCTGTCGATCTGACCCTGATCCAATAGCTCCTGACTCTCAACAAGTTCCACCTCGCCACCTCCGGAATAAGTCTGCTCCAGGTAACCGATTATTCTGCAAGACTTTTGAAAATCATTCTCAATGCATCTCTACCCAGTACGCATCCTTGCGCTGATCGATATACGTTGAGCAAATACATAGTATGTGGGAGACCCGCATCTACAATTACATCATAAATAATCGCAGGGAGCCATCCCAACATACAGAGATTGAAACGGACCATGTAAATTGATATACAAGCCAAGGGAGGCCCAGTTAGGGATTTAAAAAGTAAGTTTGAGAGCAATGATAGGGGATATTCAGCGACGATCGAGGAAATGAAGTCATGAGCCGTTGAGAAAGCGATAGCTCAATTTTGGGGCCTTGTCAATGGAGCTGGTGACATCAGGCGTACCACTGATGATGCGACATTTTCCTATTGCATCCACTTTCCTTCTGTAGCGCTGCATGATGGCCTGAGCATCGCCTAGGATAGCTGTGGGGTTGACTGGGAAGATCAATATCATGATATGGAGCAGGGTCGGGTGGTACCGAGAAGAATAGAGGTATCCGTTACAAAACTCGAAACGACATTGGATGATGCCGGGCCGTTTTTGATATCGCGATAGACTGACGTCAGATTGCCACCCTGGAATCAGATCCCCCACAATGAGGCTGCCGACGGCGTTAGTCTGACATCAATATATAAGAGGTGGTGGTGCTACTCACTCCCTGGCACACCCTTTCCACCCTTGCTGTCCGGAATGAATATCATTCTGTTTCGATAGTGTCTGGGAACACACTGATACTATTTATCCTCTGTCTCGGCCTCTTGCATCGACACCAACCCCCACGTGACCTCGCGCGGGCCTCAGGAGTTCAGGAATCCAGGAAAGCCACGTCATTCGGCGGTGAAGGAAACTGCCCCGTACTGCCCCTCGATTGGGAAGGGGCGCCTCAGACTCGCCGGCGGTTTTGGAGCAAAAGGGGAAGCGGGCCTTCATCAACGCGATCGTCATCCTTGCCTTCTTCCCCTCACCAAACACCTTCTCTTTCGATTTTGCATCCCACATCACCTTCGCTACTCCCAATTTTCTACGATTCCCACCATGTCCGACTCGACCCTCTACCTTTATACCTCCCTTACTGCGGGGTCGTCCCACATCGTCACTGCAACTGCGCGTCTGGAGACGATCCTCAAAGCCAACAAACTTCCCTTCCGTGCGATTGATGTGGCCACCGACGAGGTCGCTCGGAAGCTCTGGGGCCGTCGCTCTAAGGGCAAGAAGCTTCCCGGCTTAGTTAAATTCGGCACCGTTGTCGGAGTACGTATCCTCTCCCCGCATAAGGACTAGGGGGCTAGGAGAGTAATGCCCCCGGATCTTGAAGACTTTTGGCTAATACTTTGCATCACATAGGACTTGGAGCAGGTCGAAGAATGGAATGAGTATGGTGAGCTGAGGATGCAGGTTAACAGCGTCGAAGACTTCGACAGCATCCCCGCATCTAGTACTACGATCGCCCAACCCGAAACCCCCTCGGCCACATCTACCCCCACCCCCGAGACGGCCGCTCCCAAACAAAGTACAATCAAGATCCAGAGCCCCCCTTCTAAGGAAACTCCCAAGGACAGTTCCATCGCGGTCGCTATGCGCCAGGCTAGCGAGGAGGCCGCTGCCAAGGCCAAATCGCAACCTGCCGCAGCAAAAGCACCCGTCCCCGCAGTTACAGAAAAGAAGGAGACCCCTGCAGCTGACGAACAATCTCAGGCGGGGAAGGAAGACACTGTACGTGGGAATACGGCTGCTCCTGACACTCAGGATAGCAAGCCTAAGCGGCCGCCTCTCGTGCCCGAGGTGGCCGCGGAGTCGTCTGCTAATTTTCATGCTGATGCGGCTGAAGCTCTAGGACTGGTCCAGCACCACCGTGGATCCATCATTTCCGCAACCTCCAAAGAAGAACAAGAAAAAGTCGCACAGGACTTGCGGAAGTCTATTTCCGGGGGTCAACAAGATCTTTTACAATCCTTGAGGGAGGACCACGCAGCGCGGACGGAGCAGGAAGAAACGATTGAAGAAGAGTCGGATGGCGGTGAACAACAGGATGGGGCCCAGGGTCGACAGGAAGCGCAGGATGCCAAAGTCAGCGGCTAGGGTTGCGGTTGCTTCATTGTGCCACGACGAATATGGCTCAGCGTCCTAATTTCGGTTTTTGCGAAATCATGCTTTTCTTTCCGTTCTGTGTAAAGATACCATTTTTCACTGCTATTTCCTGTATCCTTTATTTTGCATTCGAGGCTGTATGTTCGATATGTCCCTGGACTCTTTCCATCTCACACATCACTGAGAGGCCCTCTGTTTCCTGGTCTATCCGATTCGTATACCCAAACGTGACCTTCTAAGTGCGAACCCCTCTGACCCGTTGCTCATCACATGCCGACGGGGTAACCGAATAAGGGAATCTTCAAGTTTGTAGGCGCCAGGAAGAAGCTAGACAACGAAACTCGCGATTAAAAATGCGAGACTGCAACGAAAATCGTGTCAGATGAAGCGAAAACTTTTTTCCCGCTTGCCCCCAATCATTATTTACTCTGTCCTGTACTTGTTGACAGCCTCGCGTAGCTTCGCGATGACGTCGGCGGGGTCCTCAGCGCCAAAGACTGCCGATCCAGCAACAATCACGTTGGCGCCTGCTTCGGCGGCCTGATCGATGGTTCCCAGACCCAAGCCACCATCAACCTCGATATTGAGATCGGGGTATTTCTCCCGCAGGGCCTTGACTTTGGGGAGTTCGGAGGCCATGAATTTTTGGCCGCCGAAGCCGGGGTGTACGGTCATGACGAGGACCATCTAATAAAGTGAAAGAGAGGAGTCAGCGTCAGATTCTTCCATGCATATCTTGCGTTTCGTTGTATAGTTGATTTGCTTCCTGCGGGTAGAAAGGCCACTCACGTCCGGACGCTCCTTCTCGTTCTCATTGGCGAGGATATCCCAGAGCACATCAACGGGGGTATCAGGCTTGATGGCAATACCGGCTTGCATGCCCTCCTCGTGAATATACCGGATCAGGTCCTTGGGGCTGGTCTTGGTGGTGGTGGTCTTGTCGGCGGGGCTGGTGGCGGCGACGGAGGAAATGGCGGCTTCGTAGTGGAAACAGTATAGATCGCAACCGGCGGCTTTGAATTCTTGGACCCATTTGTGGGGCTAGGGGAGTCAGTATGGGGTTTTTGAGGGGAAATAAGGGAGAGGGAGAGGGAGGGATTTCACCTCCTGGATCATCATGTGGCAGTCAAAGGTGCCTTTGCCGTTGGGCTGAGTGGGACGGGCAACATGCGAGCGGATTTTGGTCACGACGGGAGCGCCAAAGGTCATGTTCGGGACGAAGTGGCCGTCCATGATGTCGACGTGTAGCCAGTCGGATCCTTGGGCGATCTTGGTTGAGCATTCGCTGCCCAGGGTGCCGAAGTCGGCGCTCAGGATGGAGGGGGCAATGATGGCGGGCGGGGACATGATGGGCGAATTGAGGGGTAGTTTTGAGGAATTGATCCGGAGATGGGGTAAGGTGAAGCGGATGAAGAGGCAATATAGAAGGTGGGAGGGAGTGGTTATAGGCTATCACCGGAGATGGGTGGAGGAGGGGCACCGATTTTATAGTACGATGCGCAGCCGATGATTCTGAAGCCGGGGCACCGACGTCCGACGAACGAGGGGAAAGCGTGAGTAATTGGGATGGGCCCGGTGGATATCACTGGGGAAAACCATCGTTGATATCACCGCCCTTTTCCGGTCGACGTCAGTTCTCCGGACTCCCCGTTTAGGAAATCTGCTTCCCTCGATAAGGGCTAGGGTCCCCAGCGGCACGTGGGGGTTCCCGGCCTGCAGCGGGTGGGGGGCCTGGGTGCCTGGGCGCCTGAGATGAGCTTGGGTCTCGACTCGATCGCGCCCAAGCCCGTCACGGGAACACCCCTCCCCCGTCCAACCACACTGACCACACTGACCCCTCGCCGTTCTAATCCAATCCTGAATCCTTGCACCTGCCTTGATCCTTTTCCGATGCCGACACGTCGGTCGGGTGACAGCTGGCCGCTGGTTGCAGTGGACCGGATTTCCCTATTTTGTCCTTCCTGCGCAGGTTGACAGCTGATCCATGAGAGATAGCTGCTATGGTTGCATCGGAAGAAGTGAACTCTCGCTAGCTGGTTATCATGTCCACTCGTCTTGATCACGGTGATCTCCTCAGCGCCCACACCATCACGGCCGATCCACAAATGGCACGCATTGATGACGGCTATTGACCGCTTGGACTATCTATCTCCGTCTATCCGGAGTGTCCTTTCTAAAGATAGACCACCAGGCGCTTAGAGCCTGCCAATGAGAACAACTTCCCCTCCGTCACCCACAGGTGCTTTTCCTGGAGAGCGGTTCAGTGCAGACACAAAGATCCCCCCTCAGTATGATTGGCACGCTTGCCTCCCGATTCAGTCCGTTGTCGCCCACCATGGCTGGGCAATGGCTTGGATTGGTTCTGATCGAAGCGCCGGCCAGGCCACCACCAATGATAGTATCTTCAGGCTGCCCAGTTGCAGGGATTCCGGGTGCTTTGTGCGCAATGGTGCAGTAGTTCCTGCAAGTCTGGTGATGGTGTGAGGGCGTTCCCTCCGGATCTCCTCCCTCTTTCCCCTCTCACCAGCGGTTTATTAGTAGGGCCATGCGCTACTGATCGAAATGGTGATCTTCACCTACCCCTTCACGGTCGAATTTCTGCACCCTTTTCCTTTGCGTTTGCTTTTCAGTCGACTTGCGGTGCCTTTGGCTCTGGTAGCTAGGCCATCATTCATTCTGTGATAACTCTGGTATTGGCAACCCGTTGATCGGTGTCGACGCCGTCCAGATACTTAGCCGCTTGTCAGACTCTTGCTGTTTGTTTTGACTTTGTTTTTGCATTCACCTTTGCATTCCATATCGTAATTAAGGGGAAAGAACATTGTCGGCCACATTTGGACATCATGACGGACGTGTACCGTCCTGCACCCCCCAGATGTCCGCCCCTACGGCAGGTGCGGGGGACGAGGCTTGATACAATCGAGGAGGACGCGCGCGAGGCACAGTACTCGGAAATCACGCAGCCTGCTGCACCGAGCACGAAGCAGACGATACCACCGCCCCCGCAGCAACCTCCGCAACAACCCCCACAGTTGAAGCTCAAGACCAGCGGGCTTCCATTGGTGTCGTCTAGGCTACATCGATTCTTCTCGCCGATATCTGCAGGGTCCCTGTCCTCGTGTTCAGATACGGAATGGCAGCGTCAGATGCAGCCGTTCGAAGACCTGTATGATGCGACCGACGAGGATTCGGACATCAGTGACGAGTGTACGTCCTTTGCCAGTACTCGGCCGACAAGCTTGATGACGCCGACGACACGAAACTCAATGGTTTCTCCCATCTCACGCAGTCGTTATCCGAGTCTCACCATCCCATCATCCACGCAGTGGCCGTCACTACATGGTGCCCCCAAGAGCTCTCCGATCCCGCCAACTCCACCGCCAAAGATCCCAGTCTCTCCAAGCGCTCTGTTGATGCTGACCCACTCGGTGCCGGCAGTGCATGCTCCTCCGTCCTTGGACGGCAGTGTGTCTTCTGACCAGGTGTCGAACATCAGTGCTCCGGCCACTCCAGACCTGCAGTCCCTGCCGGATAATGACTGGACGGTACCAGACGTCCAAGTTCGACATGACCTGGAGGATGCACAAGATGACGAGCTCTCGAACTTGGATGCAGACGCGGATGTCCAAAGCATTCAGATCGCCATTGAAAGCGCCAATGAGGACTGGCGGCAGGTCCTGGGCAGGTTCCCACGGATCCCTGGCCAATCCACCCCACCATCTCTTGACCTAGATGCCGAGCCCTTGCGGGGAGATACACCATCGGATCGAGGCGTCTCCCTTCCTGCAGATGCCTTGGAGATGCTGCGACATATCTCGTTCGATGGAACACCGGACCCGTGGTCCGAGACTTCGGAGCGGAACGAAGAGATGTGGCAGCTGCATATGCCCCCGGAACGTCCACGTAGTGCCGATGACGCCACCCCAGCATCGGAACTCTCCGGGTATAGTTTCAGCCAGCTGAGCATACCCTCACCGGGTGGCTTTTTCGCTTCATTAGGCCCAAGAGCTCGTCACACCTGGTCTATTCCCCATGGCACCAAGCCGCCTTCTTCTGCAATTGCTGAAAGCTTTTACAAGCTGCCGTTTGCCCGCGCCGAAGGGGAGATTGTCGAGCAGGTCATCGACTATCCCGACCGGACGGCAGAGGAGCAGCTGACGGCGGTATACGACCCTATTGGGCCGCCGACCGCCATCCGGATTCCTGCAGAAAGCGTACCCGAATGTTCAGAAGAAGAGGATGATCAAGAGTGTTCCGAAGTTGACTGTATGGAAGAATCTCCGGCGCCAATTGGTCTGGACGATCCGTTCGAGCGAGACGAAGACTATGAGAGCGAACTCAGACAGAAGGCAATGTCGGGTCTGGATCGAACCAGCGACTGGCTGTCCGCCCAGGCTTCTTACCTTGCAGCTCTTCACGAGACCAATCCCGTGAACCTGCTGGATGGTGATGCTCACAGCGTCGAATCTGCAAGCAAGGCCGATCAACAGCCTCAACCAGGCCGTAAACGGTCAATTCCATTTTCCGGGATCGTTCCTGAGGCACCGAGCTCTCAGCCTTCGGATCTGGCGAGTAAGGATTCCATCTATTGGCGAGGGTTTCAGGCTGTTCAGCAACAGTCCAGCAACCGGGACACCTTTGTGCATCGGAACACACGATTCGATGCCATCCAATCTACCCGTCTCGGCCTGACTGACACGCACATCAACCGCCTGCGGGGCAACTACGAAATTGCTCGCCCTGAACGACCGGCTTATAAAGGCCCCTTCTCATTGGCGCCTCGCAAATCAACCATGGGCCCGGCTCTGGCTGAGAAAGCTCAGTTCTCTTTGGTCGAGAAGGAGCAGGCTGTGCTGTCCCAGATCCGTCAACCCATGTGGGCCATGGATGCTCTCCGGTATGTCAACGGCGGTAGCCTGATTGTGGGCCCTGCTCGCAGGCGACTGGCCAGCACATCTATGGTAAACCCGCGAAAGGCGACCCGTCAGTTGCGGATCCTGGATCTCGGTGGGCACGCCTCGTGCGAATGGGCCTGGCAACTTGCCTACGAGTATCCTCATGTCAAGGTCTATACGGTCTTTACTGAGCATCAAGCGGTCAACCCCGGCATCAAAGGGCCTCCAAATCACCGTCACATTTCGGTGTCGCAGCTGTGGAAGCTACCGTTCCCTGATAATAAGTTTGATGTCATCTCGGCCCGCTCTCTCCCTGCGTTGCTGAAGAAGGACCGTCCCTCCGGCGAGACCCAAGATCAGTATGACCTCTGCTTGAAAGAGTGTCGGCGCTGTCTCAAGCCTGGCGGCTACCTGGAGTTCTTTGTGATGGATGCAGAAATAACGCGGGCAGGCCCGCAAGCGTCTGCCACGTCGGCAGAATTTGCATCCAATCTCCGAGCTCGGGGCTACGATCCGACTCCCACCAAGGGCTTCCTCAGTCGCTTGCAACAGAACTTTGTGGACGTCAAACGTGCCTGGATGTTCTTGCCCATGGGCACCGAGCCGGTCAAGTCTGAACCGCTTAGGGAGACACCGGATCCCAGGGTGAAGAGCCTGACTGACGACTACGAAGCAGTCCACGGCCCAGTGGGAAGCACGGCCGATATCGCCAGCGTCACAGGAGTGCTTGGGGGCTGGCTCTGGGAGCAATGGCTCGTGAAGCTACAGATAGAGATGGGACTGGACCAACAAGACCTGCTGGCAGGCATCGGAGGTGTGTTTGATGAGGGACGCAAGAACGGTGCAGGCTGGACCTGCTTGTCGGGGTGGGCGATGAAGCCCAGGCTGAAGAAGAAGCGTCACGGACGGAAGAGTAGTAAAGGCTGAGCCTCACTTCTATTCTTACGTTGAGTTTCCTTCTCGGGTGGACAAGCATATGATACCCACGTTGCCCTGGTGGCACGCATAATGTAATAGCCGGCGTCTGTTTTCTTATCGCTCTCTATACCCCTTTCTTACGTGAAACGAGTGACGATGGTGGAGATGGACAATGACACTCTCTTCAGTGCAGAATATACTATGTTACTCTATTGGCGTGCAGCAAACCGGGTAGAATTGGCTTCTTTGATCGTAACTTGTGTCAGAACAGCTGACAATTTGCCAGTTCCTACGGTAGACCATAAAAGTATATACTGTAGACTGAGTTGTGATAGTGTGTGGAGAGAAGCCCACCTCACCTTACCTTACGCAAATCTCACTCACCTTGCACCTATTGAATTTGAGTAGATCATCATAAAGCCGAGTCACTTGAAGAATACAATTGATTTAGAAGTCATGTAAGATACCCAGGACAATTATCCCTCCATTGCTTCACCTTACACTGATTCCCCGCACAGCCAGCTCACCGCCCACGTGACCTAGTTCCCGATGATCACTGATGCTCAACACCAAACGGCATCATACCCGCAGCTCCAAGATATCGCATATTCCTCCTCTCCCCTCACGCTCAACCCATCCACCAAAGCAGGAGACATCCGACACACGCCCAAAATCTATCTCCAGCCAATGCGCAACTAGCCCGCCCACCAATTCACCCATTCCCACACCCACAACCAATCCCAATACCCCACCACCACCACCGCAACCATGCTCTTCTTCAGGTACATAACCCACACCCATCCACTCCAAACCACCAAAGCACCAATAACTAACGAGTCAAACCAAACCAACAGCTTTTTCAAAACTCTCACCAACCAAACCGTGACCATCGAACTCAAAAATGACATCCGTATCCGCGGCACTCTCAAATCCGTCGACCAGTACCTGAACATCAAGCTCGATGACGTGGACGTCCTGGATCTGGATAAATACCCGCATTTGTCGTCCGTCAAGAACATGTTTATCCGCGGTAGCGTGGTGAGATATGTCATGTTGCCGAGGTCGGAGGTGGATATTGGGCTTTTGGAGGATGCGACGAGGAGAGGTATGTCCCAATTTTCTTACTGTGATTTACCTGGTGGAAAATCACCTTTCCTTTATCAGGGGAAGATTTAGAGGGGGGAGGCTAATGATGTGGTATAGAAGCAGCAAACCAAGCCGGAAAGGCCCGGTAAACTTATTACCTCGACTGGATTTAGCTTTACTTGACTTTGTCTTGCATTGATAGTTATGGTTGGATGGCTTGGGATTGAGATGATACAGTAGGGCTCTGTGTCATCTTTCATTTTTTTTTACACTTTATGTATTTTTTTCCTTTTTTAATCTTCACGATGTGATGATGTTTGCCGTTGTCATTGTCATATGGGTTCACTTTTTTCTTTGCTGCGCATCGGTGGTTAGATGAGGGTAAGTGGGAGGGATGAGAAATGGGTCCTGTTGGCCTAGTATTAGGATGGGGAAGGTACATGCGTACATTTGTATGCTGGTTGAGGAGGACAAGACTTGACGACAAAGAGCGTTCTGACGAGGACAGCCATGTCCATTCTCCATCAAACGCGAAAGGGGCAGTGGCATGCATGGACAACTGTCAGCATACTACGTACCTACATACCTAGAAACACGAATAAACTCTTCAAAAGGCATTAACCTCTCATGGCTTCCAAGTGTAGCATCTACTACCCAAAGTAGTACCCCAATAAGCCAAGAAAGGTCACCTGACTTCGTGTCGCGAAAACCGAGTCCCGCCGCGCCGCCCGCGCCTCGCCTCTATCTTTCGCCGCTCGCATTCAAATCCCCTCAGCAGCCAGCCAGCCAGTCACTCACACCACTCCCCAAACCACCACCCCAGTATCCGATACTACACCATCATACCTCTCACCTACGGACAACGAAATATGCAATAGCTACTAATCCCACCACCTAGCGAACCATCCACACTCAACTCCACCCAAGCAAAGAGACCCCAACTCCGCGAAAAGAAAAAAATGCCCACCCCCTTCCCACCCAGAAAAACCTCAACACCCTCTAAACCGACCCCAAAAGCAAAGCCGAAAAGAAACACAAGTCTCTTAAACTTCTTCCAAAAAGCCGACGGGCCCCCGAAAGCCACGTCCCGACAATCGCGGATCACGCAGTTTGCGACGAAGACAGAGGAGGTGAGGAGGGAGGATACTCTGCATGGTGATAGTGGAAGTGTGAATGGATCTGGGGGGTTGTTTTTGGATGCGGGGAAGAAGGAGGGGTTGGTGAGTGGGGGGGTTGAGGGTGCAGGGAGGGGGAGAGAGAGGGAGAGGGAGAGGACGCCGGAGGATATTTGGGGGGATGGTATAGAGGATGGTGATAAGGTGGGAGATGAGGAGGGGGGACGATTTCAGGAGAATGGGGGCAGTGTGAAGAGGAGGAGGGTTGAAGGGGATACGACCAGTCCTACTACGGCTGCTACGGGAGATGGGGATGGTGAGAAAAGCAGTGAGAGTGGTGACGGCTCTGGGACGAAACGGGCTCCAGCTAAGGCTCGAGTCAGTGGCCCGTTTATCGACGAGTCGGATAGTGAGAGTGAGGACTTGGAGCAGTTTCGGGAGTATGAGAATGGGACTGAGACGAGCGAGAAGAAGACTTCTCTGAACGAAGAGACGAGTCAGGACAGATCAGACAAGACGACAGACGAACAACGACTCTCCGTCGACACACCACCGGTAAGAAGAACCACGAGTCACGCCGATGATGATTATGCGAATTTTGACGATATAGAAGAGGATGCGTTCCGAGGGGAAGAAGATTTCTTAGGTGCTTTTGACGACGATGAGGACTTTACGGGTGATCTCGAACTTGAATTGGATGGCAATGGTGGCTCGGGAGAGGACTTTGGCTGCGAAGCGCCGGTGTGTCCGATATGCCAGGCAGTTCTAGCCGGCTTGACAGAGACAGTAAGTTGTACAGCCTGGTTCAATGATCCGGTGGTAATGGTGTCTAGGACGTCTCGGTACATGTCAACGACTGTCTTGATGGGAAGCCTACGGTATTGTCAATATCAGAGCCAGACCCGGACCCGGATCCGGAGGTTTCAAAAGCATCGAGTCGTGCGGACAAGGCGGCTATCGCGAGACCGGCGCAGCGTGATCCATACGCCCCCGGCGTGGCCGGGACCAGATCGGCCTTTTCGAAGCTCATGGCGGGTAATGCGGAAGACTCAGCATGGACGGCGGCTGCAGCCAACGAGGTTGCGTCTCGTGGCAAACAGGCCTACCAACGGACGTGTCCGTTCTACAAAATCATCCCGGGATTCTCCCTCTGCGTGGATGCGTTCCGATACGGGGCGGTGGAGGGCTGCAATGCCTACTTCCTGAGCCACTTTCATAGCGACCACTACATCGGTCTCACCGGCTCCTGGCGCCATGGACCGATCTACTGCAGCAGAGCTACGGCCAATCTTGTGTGTCAGCAATTAAAGGTAGACCGGAAATGGCTTGTGACAATCGAGTTCGAGAAGAAAACGGACATTCCTGGGACTGGAGGTGCGCAAGTGACCATGATCGAGGCAAACCACTGCCCCGGGAGCGCCTTGTTCCTTTTCGAGAAGCCTATGGGCTCCGGTCCGTCGCAAAGGATACACCGTGTCCTCCATTGTGGTGACTTTCGCGCCTCGCCACTTCATGTGCAGCATGCCCTCCTTCGCCCTGAAGTCGTGGACCCCACGACCGGTAAGCATCGCCAGCAACGGATTGACGCTTGCTATCTCGACACGACGTATCTGAGCCCCAAGTACGCATTCCCTAGCCAGGAAGACGTCATCCAGGCCTGTGCAGATCTCTGCGTGGAGCTCAACGGTGATCAAGACGACAGCAACGGACGAGCGTTTGGACGAGCAGCCAATGAGAAAAGCGGAATGCTGAGCAAGTTTGTCACCACTGTCACTGGATCCCGGTCAACTCAGACGCCAGCGCCACGCCCCTCTGGACGGTTGCTGGTGGTGATCGGAACGTATAGCATCGGCAAGGAGCGTATATGCCTGGGGATCGCGCGGGCGCTGAAGAGCAAGATCTATGCGACGCCAGCCAAGCAGCGCGTGTGTGCGTGTCTGGAGGACACGGAACTGTCGTCGCTGCTAACGGACAATCCGCTGGAGGCGCAGGTGCACATGCAGACGCTGTTTGAGATCCGGGCAGAGACGCTAGCGGACTACCTGGACTCGATGAAGCCGCACTTCAAGCGGGTGGTGGGATTCCGACCGACCGGTTGGACCTACCGACCTCCCGCTGGGCGTATCCTCGACAACCCGCCGGTGTCGGTGGTGCTCAACTCGGCCCATTGGAAGACGCCCTTCTCGTGCCGGGAGCTGGTGCCGCAGCGCGGCAGCACGCGGGAGAGCGCATGTTACGGGGTGCCATACAGCGAGCACAGCTCGTTTCGCGAGCTAACCATGTTCTGCTGCGCGCTCCGGATCGGACGGGTGATTCCGACCGTGAATGTAGGCAGCCGGAAGAGTCGGGAGCGCATGAAGGCGTGGATTGAGCGATGGGAGGCGGAGAAGAGGAAGAGCGGGTTGTACCCCGTGGAGGGAACTCGGTGGTAGTTCGGAGGGAACGGGAAAGGAACGTTGTACAGTGTACTACCATAGTAGATAAGATTTGCCCCTGACTGGGGTGTCATACAGAGTACAGGGTTAGTTGTTCATAGAGAGAATCACGTCCTTGCCTCCCCGGGGTCACGGGACTGTTCTGGAGACGAATGACCTTTAGCCATGCGTTGACTGGCCCAGCGTCTGGAAGATCCGTGGAACAACCTTCCAAGACAATCCCCAAATCCCCATGGGCCACGACAACCGAGCATAAGCGGGGGGAGGTCGAGCAGCCGGGGCTGCAAATCGGCTGGCAGGCCAGGCCAGGCTCCGGCGTGACTCCCGATGTTCAGTCCCGTTGGTTGTCTTTGCCTCGGGGATCCGCGCGCGTCTCCTCCCATAAATAAGGCCCCCAGCGTGGGTGCTTTGGGGATAGCCTTGACATCAAACTCAACTGTGACGGAGATATTTAACCGTTGAGGTTGTAATTGTTCCTCGTCATCGTTCTCCTTATTTCTTCTCTTCCTTTAGCCTTCTTGCGTGGGAATTTACCTCGTTGGAATCCTTTAGAGGTGAGTGGTGCCTTGGCGCCTCGGCAAGCGTTGCTTTTGATGACTGCCGGCACTAACAACATATCCGGCTCAGATTCCATTCCGGCCGGCTGACTGACGGCTTACTCCTGGCCTCGACGACTGGCTCGCCATGATCGCCTTGCTCCTCTCGCCCTATGGGGCCTATCTGGGCCTGGCCCTGCTGGTCCTGTACTATCTCGTCCCCTATCTGAACCGCTCCCACTTGCGCGACATTCCCGCCCCTGGTCTGGCCGCCTTCTCCAACCTGTGGCTACTGCTGCAAACTCGTCGTGGCCATCGTTTCGTCACCGTCGACAATGCGCACAAGAAATACGGCAAGCTGGTCCGCCTGGCGCCCCGGCATACCTCCATCGCCGACGATGCCGCCATTCAGGCCGTCTACGGCCACGGAAACGGCTTCTTGAAGTCGTACGTATCCTACTTCCAGCACATGCGCATTCCCTCCCATAGCTAACACCGCGCAGTGACTTCTACGATGCCTTCGTTTCCATCCATCGCGGTCTGTTCAACACCCGGGACCGCGCCGAGCACACCCGCAAGCGCAAGACCGTCTCCCATACCTTCAGCATGAAGTCCATCGGCCAGTTCGAGCAGTACATCCACGGCAACGTTGAGCTCTTCGTCAAGCAGTGGAACCGCTTGGCCGACACACAGCGCAACCCCAAGACTGGCTACGCCAGCCTGGACGCCCTGAACTGGTTCAACTATCTGGCCTTCGACATCATCGGCGACCTGGCCTTTGGTGCTCCTTTCGGCATGCTGGACAAGGGCAAGGATATCGCCGAGATGCGCAAGACCCCTGATGCGCCCCCGTCCTACGTCCAAGCCGTCGAGGTTCTCAACCGCCGCGGCGAGGTCTCCGCCACCCTGGGCTGCTACCCGGCTCTCAAGCCTTACGCCAAGTACCTACCCGACCGCTTCTTCCGCGACGGTATCCAGGCCGTCGAGGACCTAGCCGGCATTGCCGTCGCCCGAGTCAACGAGCGTCTCCGCCCCGAAGTCATGGCCAACAACACCCGTGTCGATCTCCTCGCCCGCCTCATGGAAGGCAAGGACCAGAACGGCGAGAAGCTGGGCCGCGCCGAGCTCACAGCCGAAGCACTGACGCAATTGATCGCCGGCTCCGACACCACCTCCAACACCTCCTGCGCCATCCTTTACTGGTGCATGCGCACCCCCGGCGTGATTGAGAAACTCCACAAAGTCCTCGACGAGGCCATCCCTCAAGACATCGACGTCCCCACCCACTCCATGGTCAAGGATATCCCCTAGTACGTCCCTCTTCTCCCCCTTCCCCCCACCACCCCAACCAACCCAAACTAACCCACCCCAGCCTCCAATGGGTCATCTGGGAAACCATGCGCATCCACAGCACCTCCGCCATGGGTCTACCCCGGGAAATTCCCGCCGGCAACCCCCCCGTCACCATCTCCGGCCACACCTTCTACCCCGGCGACATCGTCTCCGTCCCCAGCTACACGATCCACCGCTCCCCCGAGATCTGGGGTCCCGACGCCGAACAATTCGTCCCCGAACGCTGGGACCCATCCCGTCTCACGGCCCGGCAAAAAGCCGCCTTCATCCCCTTCAGCACGGGCCCGCGCGCCTGCGTCGGCCGCAACGTCGCTGAAATGGAACTCCTGGTCATTTGCGGGACGGTCTTCCGTCTCTTCGACTTTGAAATGCAGCACGAGGGGCCCATGGAGACTCGTGAGGGTTTCCTTCGCAAACCGCTTGGGTTGGATGTCGGGATGAAGAGGAGACAGCCTGGTTCGGCTTAGAGTACAATTCCTTTGGGAGGAAGGGGTGGTGATAAGAGAAAGGGAAAGATAGGGGAAATATTGGGTCTATGTTTCTTTGTATATGTATGAGCATGAGCGAGACTTGTGGGTTAGATTGATTACTGCTAGGCTAGCGAGCTAGCAAGCAAACAATGATATGATGAGATGATCACGTACAATCCTACATGTTTACTCGTACGTAATACTTGTATCTATTCATCATTCCATCTGTCCTTTTTCAGAAGAAAAAGAAAGTTGGACATTTGAGACAAGGTGGCGGGAGTCTACAGCTGGCAACTTGGTCCTTTTGAATGCTCATCATGAGAATTTGAACTCTCGGCACAGCTTAGATCTTAATGGTATATTCAACGCTGATAATACAAGACAGCAAAGTGGTATCACAGGAGATTCACATTATAATTATACTATAGCTTAGCAGAGTCGTGATCATAGCTGCGTAGCAATACACCGGAGAACCACCAATCACTCAATACATAAACACATACTCCGTATACAAACACCTTACCAACTCTTCGGGCCAAAGGTCTCTCCGCTCGGGAGGACCTTCTGCACTGCAGTGCCCTGCATATCCATCGTTGCGCCTGTGATGCTGGTACCCCACCAGGTCGGGAAGCTGGTGCTGGTCAGATCCAGCGTCAAGAAAATCAGGATCGTGCACAGATCCAGACCCACGTCCAAGCCCGCAGACAGGACGTAGTTGTAGTGCATCCACCAACCGCGCCAGCGGTCGCGGATCCACTTGTTGAAGACGATGCCCACCATACCCCAGGCGAGGTAGTTCAGGGGGGTGGCCGGGGGAATCAATCCCGCACCGCCGAAAATCAAAGGGGCGTTAATGTAACGAATCGGGCTCTTAGGCCACATGCGAGCAGCGAGGTAGATGGCGATCGGAAGAAGGGCACCGACCAGCCAGAACCACATGAGAGGCGAGTACAGCTGGCCCGGGGAGAAGATGCGCTGCGGGCCGATGAGACCCCAGATAACCGAGGCCTGGTAGAATACACGTCCGTTGGGGCAGGTGTAGTTGTTGGCCTGGTGTTCGCTGCACACATCCTTGATCGTGGCCAGACCCCAGTTCATGACGGCAATCTGCACCAGCGAGGACCACAAGGCTGCAACCATCTGAGCCGAGAAGGTGACTCGAGGAGGCAGTTTCATGTAATGAGCTGTAGCAGGTCAGTATCGTTCATCCTAGGGTAGAGGGGGAGGGTGACAACATACCTAGCTTCATGTCCTGGTTAAAGTAAAGGCCTTGGTACATGCTCATGTAACCATAGGTCTTGAACAACATCATCGCCATGGGCTTTCCAGGCTGGATGTAACCGACAATGAACTCGGTCAACACGTTGAGACCAATGGCAATGTTGGTGGCAGCTTGCACGATACCAATCGGCACGTACCACACCACCGCCATGATCAGAGAAACGAAGAACGCCCACCAGCTCAGGTGTGTGGGGTATCCCAGAACCATACCCAAGCCGATTCCAATCATGATCAGAGTGATCGCAGCATACCACCAGAGCGGCACCGGCTTGTACTTGGCCATCAGACGGGAGTGGACATCTTCCTCCTCCTTGCCGAAGTTGCGGAAGCGCACCCACAGTTCCTTACCGTGGAACAGACCCGTGTGGACCAGAATGGCAATGATGGTCGCAAACGACAGACCGTAGCAGAGAGCGAAGGTGGTCGAGAGGAAGAGAGGCGAGTATTCCTTGTACGCCTGCAGGTTGAGAGTGAAGTCGGCATTCATGATCCGGGACACATTGTACTGCGCACCGGTGTTGTCGTAACTGTTGGAGTCGCTGATGGGCAGATACTCGAACCACCACATGCCGCTGTAGTGCATGCCGATGGTGACGATCCAGAAGAAAATAAACATACCGATGAGGGTATTGGCGATGGCGTGCCACGGGGCAATCAGCGGACTGAAGTTGAAGCCCGAGATCTGCGTCCAGTCAAAGGTCATCGGGATCAGCGACAGACCGGTGTCGCCGCCGAAGAGCTGGTTGACCACGGCATTCTGGGGCTTGATCCAGGTCACCCAGGCGAAGACACTGAGGAAGGGGGCGATGAAGCCCGGGATCCAGTACCAGCAGAAGGACCCGATCATGACGTAGAGGAAGAACCGGTACTTGCCAATCCTCCATCCGGCCACCTTGCTCGGGTCGGGCTTGCTGTGGTCATGAAGCGCGGCGAAGAGAGTGCAGTTAATGAGGTTGGACGGCCAGATCATGGCAGCCGGGGTGACCAAGAATCGGTGGAAGAACCCAGCCATACCGAATCCGAGCATCTGGGTCGAGATACACATGAAGATCTCAAACGCCCATCCGTATCGCTCTTTGTAGAAGGCCCGCTGGGCCAACAAAACGTCTGTCGCATAGGCCGCACCACCACCAAAGGTGGCATTGGCCATGACGACAATGAGGGTATGCTCCTTTTTGCTGAAGGGACCCGGGTTCAGGTTGCACGGAATACCAAAAAAGCTGAATTGCGTGGCAGGCATCCATTTGGCCCACGCCACACCCACAGGGTAGGCGACGACCTGAGCAACGTAGGAGGGAATGACAATGTAGGGATCACGCATGGAGAACAGCATGTTGAGCGCCGAACCGATCGTCGCAAAGATCATTCCGATCGTCCAGGCACGGATCGTGTTGGTGTGGCCTCCTTCATCGTAATTGGGCACTGCGGCGCGCACCTCAGGGTAGGGTGAGTTCTCGAGGAGCTCCGCCGTCATGCCCACGCGGGCACCCTTGTCATCCGTGTTGAGGGCATCGTCGATCTCATCGGCGATCTCATCTGGCAAGTTAGGGTCCCAGTGGTGCTGCTCTTTCAGGTGCTTGAGGTGAATCGTGGCCGCCTCGGGGGAGGCTTCATCCGCCACGGCGGTGCTGAAAGCCTGCTCCTTCTCACTCATCGTGGCAGTCGAGTGAGATGACACGAGGAAAGGCTGGGGAGGGATCAATGAAGGCAAGGATGCATGCACGGAACAAAAAGACGGAACGCAGAAAGGGGGAGGAGCACAGCATCATATAACCACCCAACTGACGCTCGTCTGGATAGCGACTGGGGAGCGACCACCAGCGCCGACGGTAACCCGACGCCTTATCGGTCTAGAAAATAAATTAAACCCACTGGTGGCGTCCACTGATTGCGGGTGAGTTTATCTCTCCAGCTATCAGCTACCCCAGTCTGTTCGCCATGTTCCGATGTAACCTGGATGCGTCTTAGCTTCACTAGCTGAACCGGATTTGAGCCAGTGGCAAGTTAGTTGGTTGATACAGCCAGTGACGGACGTGGAGATGGAAATGCCATTGTCAGCCCATGCACGACATGCACGGCCCTCGAGGATTGCCTCCACGGCCGTCTCCCTTGCAATCTGGCTGCCTGGACTATTTCCAATGGGAAAGTCTTACGCGCAGACCGACAAGTTGCGCCGAAACACATCGGTGAAGGCGTTAGCCCCCAGTACCTAAAATTGTGGTCTAGGAACGCTTATCCACCGTCCGTTTTGTTCCGCCAGCTGAAGGACTCGTACACCGGGCGAACCCGTATTCAGGTCGCCTCCAGTGGGGATGTGGTCATTTGGGCGTTATCATTGATGGAAATTGACACGCGACCAGGGGACACGTGCATTGGTCGGCCCCCGAAACTAAACACAAAGTTACCAGTCGAGTGATCGTAGGGCGCCAGTCGAAGGTTTTAGCCGGAGGTATGTCTTAGATGGGAGCGAGAGGATCGGGGGTGGGCGGTGGCAAGATGAGAACCGGGCCACGCGAGTGGTTGCGCTGGGAGCAAAGAAATCCGAGTCAGGGCCGAGGATGCTAAGACTGCTAAGAGATAAAGAAAAGATTACCAACGAATATCGGCGGAAGAAGCCACGCTGATACGGCCGTCGCAGGACTGCAGGCACAATCCCCGGTCTTGGTCCGGTGCACTAGCCCGTTTTGCGACAGGCTTGTTTGCGATAAGCTAGCGAGGGCCCGGCGGACTTCCATGGCGAATGGCGGGCGGGAAGGGCGTCGGCGTCGCAGCTCCCGTCGCCACGGCTGCTGCTTGAAGCCAATCGCGGCTGGTCGCAACTTGGCGGCTCGCCTACCGACTACCGAGGCTTTCTGGACTCTGCTCTCCCCGCGTGGCATCCTTCGTCTTCTTCCCGTGCAGAGTTATGGTCGACCGACCCAGTCACCTCATAGGTTGGGGACAAGCGATGCAGGAGCAAGCATCCAAGCCACGGACGGACCAGCGGGACCGAGAGCAACCGCGCGTGATGAATCGGTTTGGTTATCGTCGGCCAGTTCATGACCAATCACCCACTGCCATTGGCCGATGGGCAGCAGCCTCCGGGCGGGCGGGCACTGATAAGCCCGACAAGACAGTCAGACAGCCAAGTGTAGTACGGTTAGTGTAAACACTAACCACTGAGACACCCATGGCGCGCCATCTCCAGGTTGGCCCGCTCTATCGTTGTAAATTAGCTCCTGCCTCCTTCTGCCTCGTCCGGTGGCTGGAGGGAACGCCCTATGCATCCTGTATCTATCTATCTGCCACTAAGCAGCACGCGGGATGCGCCGTCCCAAGTTAGCCTTCCTGCCTGCATGAAACATGGAACCAATTCATTTCGCCATCGGAAGGGGAAGAACCTGATTCTCGAACGCTCCCTCCCCTGGCTAGAGAGGATCATCCCCCTTGCTGATGCAATGTAACCCACGTCGTGGGTCGCAGGGATAAGTAGGTGACCAGTCCGTCACTACTCCGTACTCCGGAGGCTGATGCGAGTTGGGAGGGGGAGGAGGGATGACGGGGACGGGGGAGGGGAACGGAAGGGGAAGCCCCCGCCCAAGTCAAATCACTTGACCCGCTTAGTGCCAGCGGATGTCTGCCCGGCTCTCTTCAGAGTGCCTGTGCACATACACCTGTTCCCTTGTCTCTCTCCAAGCGACCCTACTTGTTCCGAGGGACGTGGCCATTGAAGGGCCCCGATGGGTCGATTGATGTCTAACGGCTTGGCATGTGGCAGGAAGATGACCACCCCAGCCCATCATGAAAGGAGGAAGCAGCCAGCCCCGGAAGCGCCAGAACCAGTGTGATAACGCAGCATGGTTCACGATGAACTAGATACCCTAGTTGGTGGCTTGGTCTATCTACCTCTCAATCGGATCATGCTTTAGGAGCACCGATCTGGTGTGGGTACCAGCCTATACTAGATAGATAGATGGGTATCCGGATGTGCCTACACGTTAGCCCGAGGAGCATAGATTAACCGTCATTAAGGGGCATGGACTCGATTTTGTGACTTAGAGCCCGCATGCACTAGGTATGGCCCCAGTCCAACGGTCACCGCGATATGCCCGATTGCTTTAGCTCCTGGGCTACCGGGGCTCCGTTTGGAGGTCCGGCTGGCTCGAACCTTATGCGACTGGACCCCGTTCGCTGTCCTGTCTTCCGGTGTGGTTCGTCCTGAACATCCATGCTCTTGCATCCCCCTACAGCCGCCGTGTTGTTCCTTGGCGCTGGTAATTCAAGTTAGGTATTGGAGTCATGCGATGGGATTGCTCGTCAATCCGGTGAGCTGATCGGAGGGCAATCTCTCCATACCAGCCAACATGTCTCAGAGCTTCTCGTCTTACCATTCTAGATCCAAGCCTCGGTGAGTGATTCGGGTACTTTTGAACTGCTTAGAATCCTTCGGCTTCATGACCACCGTTGACACTGCCGCACCCAGTAGATTATAGCGACCCATACGGTTCGGCGGCAGTGAAGAGCACCTCGTCCGTCAAGGCCCATTCGAAGTCCGCCTGAAACTGTTCATCAAAATACGAAAAGTCGGGTCGATCCACGGAGCCTCCAGGCGCATTCCCTGACATCCCTTGATTATCTCGACTGGCATCGGTTCCTATCAGGAGAGCGAGCGTTAGTGACCATAATAAATCGGAAAATCGCATAGACTTACCTTCCGGGCCATTACCCTGCGAAGTGAGCATGCTATAGAACTGGGGATCGAACTCGTCCCGCCACCACCAGACTGTATCTATGACGGGGCTGAGGACCAACCGGCTGCGAATCCGCAGAGCGACGTATTCACTCCCATCTGACTTGCGAAAGGCTTTGGTGCTGTTCCAAAGTTGGCTCAACACAATGACTGTCTTAGCCGCAATATCATAGTTATCAACTGACATCTGCTTCGCCAGGTTGATCGCAGAGAAGAACGATGACTTGGCTTTGTCGACATCCATGGTAGCCCATTGAGGACCTTTCAGGATTCGCATCAGAGCTGATGCCGCGAGAAGCAGCGCGTAATTCATCTGGATAGGCGAGGTGGCGAGGCTGACCATGTTTTGACCCAGGATTTGTATAGTGTTAATCGTGTTACATGCGGTGATCGCAAGCTGTGCAAGACAGCCTGACGCGAACGAACTGGGATTCCGAAAAAGGTGAAATATCTGGATACTGAGGCGACACATGGTTGTGGCGAATTGATCGTATGCTGTATCCAAATTAGCTGAGACTTACCCTGCAAAAGGATACGTACCTGAGTAGGCCTGAGCCTCCAGGTCAAGTGCTTGGGCGTCATATGCCCGTAAAAGAATATCGAATGATTTTTCTTGTTCAAGGGACATAGTCCGGACCCCGAATTCGAGCACCGCCGCACTACAGCGGGTAATCAGGTCCTCGCATTTGAGCTCGAGTGCCAGTGACGGAGCGATTCTCTGGAACAACATATGTTTTAGATCCCCATCCGGCTCCAGGTTCGCCAGAGAGCGCGGGGGCTGCCCCTTTGTCACACAAGCACTACGTCTGCTTAGCAGGAAGAAAGTCATTACCGGAAGAAAAAGGCTTACCGCTGATAGATGATGACACAATGGGCCCAGAGCTCCGAACGCCTGATCATTTCCGCTTCTGACGGAGCAGGAAGTCTCTTCCTCTTGGAGAATTCATGACTGGACATGGGAATGTGTAGGCCGTTCTGCATGGCAATGTGTAAGAGCATGCCGCTCAATGGGAAAGTCATGTCCACCATGTTGGCATCCTTTGGGAACGGCCAAGTTAGAACTAGCAACAGTCCTTGGATGCTGTGCCACGCAGACGCCCCTGACGCGACCGAAAGAAAGGCCATCTCGTTCACATTACGCGCAAGCGCAGTCAACAGTGTTGGGTTGTTAGGGTAGGTTCTGCATGCAATGCCAACAATAGACCAGAAGAGAAACGGGGACTGTGTATAGAACGTATTTGGCGTTGTCTCAGGGTCCAAAATCGGAAGAAACGACGCGTATTGATGGAAAAATCTGTCTTTTCGTGTCAGACACGGCCTGGATCACACTTGTACAATCTATACGCACACATGAAATAGCTCGTCGATTTCACTTCCTGTCAAGTGAATGTTGTTCAGTGTACGCGGCTCCGTAGAATCAGAGGTTTGTACACCTGGCACCACTCCTGCATCTGGCAACGGCGGTGGTACCAGTCCGATAGAAGGCAGTAACTGTTGCTGGCTCTCAACCGAAGGAGTATGCGATTCAGTATGGAAAGTCAGTTCGCCGGCGCTGGCTGCTGAGTTCACTTCCATTTCTGCCGCAGCTGTCAACATAGCTATAGGCGAGGGTCGGGGGTGGTTGGGTTGTGTGTATCTCAATCGCCGTCGCAGCTCGTCTGTCTCTTGTTCTAGTTCGGAGAGTCGCCTGTTGTAAGATGATTAATGGTGGGCACAAGTAAACTACTGCAGATCTCAGGAGAACACACTTGCGCTTGTGTTCCCGGCGAAAGGGATCAGAAATAACACAATGGATGTTCAGCTTGGAACACCGGGAGCATGGTTGATCAGGATTTAGATAAGCGTCACATTTTGCCTGCTGAGTTGTTAGCGAAGAGCCTTTCATCAGTAAGTTCCTTCTCCTTCATCCACAATAAAGAACTAAGTGTTTAACCTTTCCTACCTTCTGCTGCCTACACTCCGTGCAAGCCTTTTTGCCTCGTTTCACAGATGGTGAAGGCCTGTTCGCAGTCCGCATTAGTGTTGCTTAGGTATGATTTTTGGGTGAGGTCAGGGACCAAGTATGAGGTATGGATTACTTACGTTCGCTCCGGAGGTTCCATCGCAGAAGATACTGCTTGGGCGCGGGCTTGTTCTCTACGACTCGATGGTTGATGCGGTTGCAAATGCGATGATGAAGGTTGAAGACGCCTGCGGCCAAGATTCGGCTCCGGGCCAGCGTGCGGAGATAGAGCCATCCTAATCTCCGGAGAATCGAGCAAAGTGAAGAAGTCTAGAGTCTTGGAATGTAACAACCGGGAATGTTAGTAAGAAGCCAAGGGATGACGGGTAGTATTTAGTAAGTATTCGTGTATGAAAGCGAGAAATGATTCGTATATAAAAGCGTAACCATATCGCTTGTAATCATGATGCTGCCGATGTCTTGCGGGGTTGGTAGACCATGTCAGCACCCGACAAGGTACAACTTCTGTTGAGACAAGGGGAGAGGAAATAGACTGATCCCAGGGTAGCCAATTTCCTCGAAGATAAGTTAAACTCACCAACTGGACTGATTTTGCTGCCTATGGTCCTCAAATCCATCCACTGGAACCAGAGCCAGGAGGTCCTGCTGTGCCGGAACCGGCATGGGTTCCGGGATAAGAGACGCTGTGATTGGCCGAAAACCCGGTACCGGCTTCTAAGCTACCCCTATCGCTGCTATTCTTGAGGTTCTTTGACATTTAGAAATTAGTCTACGAGCGTGTACGGCATAGTTTGAATAGATGTATGTCTACGCAAATCGTATAGAAGATTCTGATTTCTCGCGAGATGCCTACTAATCCTGCGGATTCTGCCCTTCGTATGGAGGCATCCCACGTAAAATCGGCATTCTAGAACATGTCCTCGCCAATGCAAAGGCGATTGGGCCTGCTTGTTTCGTTATCAAAATGACTAAGCCTTGATTATATCGTTCTCGATCTTTGACTTCCGAGGCCCTGAGCATCCAAGGACCAATAAATGGATTTTATGACGGTTGCCATCAATGGTAGAACCAGACAAGGATTAGTAGATAAACATCATAGTGGCAGAGTAGCACTGGTCCTTGGAATCAATGAACATGTGTCTGGTTTGCCAATCATTGGCCACGTCTTGTCCAAGAATACACCCCTTAGGTAGGTTACAAATGCTATGGAGTTGTAGAAGCAAGTCATTCTTTACAAAGACAACGACATGGCCGGTAGGAAATCTTTCCTTAACAGGGAAAGGATTCCCGGTGCGCCATGGCTTTTTGGACAAATATCGGGACAGTATACTGGAAGCCAACTTTCCGAATGTATTGGCCAGTGTCATATGGTAACATGAGGTGAGAGGATCTGATGGCCACATGTCTGGATGCAGCATTCATGTAGGACAAATCCGGGTCCCCATGGGCGATGTTGGACGTATCGATCCGATCAAAGGAAAATGCGGGATACAACCTGGGTCGTCAGGTGTTGTATATTCGGCGGGGGTTGTAGGCCTGGACTGGTGGAGACGAAAACTATCTTCAATGACGCCCTGCAGGTTGCCGGCCAAGGATTCAAACCTGTGGATAATATGGAGTCTATATCAGACCATACTCTTGGCGAAGAGACTTACGGTGCCACAAGCACACTACAGTCGCTACTGCTGCATCGAGTGACGTGACACTGGAATGCTTCCGTACCCTTGGGAACCGTTGGAGGTCAGATACTGCGCGTCTCATCGGGGAAAGATCATCTCAGAAGCAGTTTCCGAGTTCGTGATTGTGCATGCGTAGTAGCAGCCCAGGCTCGCTATGGTAACAGTGTTCGGCTCGGGCGCTGTTATTGAAGTCATGGCGGGGATTGGACAACTGTCAAGTTGCCTGAACGTGTGATTTGCTCGAAAGGATCGGTAGTGTGTCATTGTTACAACGCGTGGCTACGATCGCCGCTGCTAGGTCAGGACCTGGCCATTGACATATCCGTCAGACCATATCATAGGCAGATGAGTGAAAAATGGGTCGAGCAGACCCCAACCATCTTACCTGTATTTTTCAATTGAGCTTGTGGAAGTTGTACAATCACCGACAGATCGTGCAAGAGCCCTTGTTGTACTGTGTAGGGGCCAAAAATAGCAGGAGAACAATTGACTTTTCCATCTGGTTTTCCCAGTCTACTTTATGTTAGAATTAGTCACATTGATATCATGTAGGAGACAATTGGGGACCATCTTATGTGGCGAAAGGGCGAGGCGCGTATTCATTCACAGTGACATCACCGCAGCCACACCACGGCGACCCAGCATATAAACACGGCGCAACCAAAGATGTCAACACCTATCCAAATACCTTGAAATTGCACCAGAAGCATAATGTCTTCCGAACTTCCAGATATTGCCGGATTGAAGCGCGCCGTGCAAAGCGGCCAGCGCGTTGGCGCAGAGGATGTCTCTGCTTTAGCACAGACCGAAAGCGAATTGACCGGTGGTGGACCCATCAGAGGTGGAACAGCAGGTTAGTTTCTCCTCGAGGCAATTTTGTATTGTATTGACCTAAGAATCAGCAACTGCTCAGAGTCTAGCCATGAAACAGATGAACTTTGAGGAAAAATTGGACGAACTCTCCCGAAAGCCCCAAAGCCACATCACCCGGGATGATGCTCGAGAGATTCACGCAGCAGAGGTAAGCAGACACATCATTTGCTCCGAGTCCTCGCCTAACTGTGAATTGTTGAAGGGCCGAGCCTTTAACAAACCTCCGGGCCCGGGATCCATTGCAGCCCAGGTCCGATCTATAGCCGATCGAAACGAGGCCCTTGGCGTGCCTGCTATGCCTGGAGAAGCCTCGGTGTATATTACCAAGGATGATGCGAGTGAAGCACAGCATGCTGAGTCGACGATATATGGCGGGCAAAATCCACGGGGCGGGATTGCGGCGCAGATGCAGGTGAGTAAACGGGTCGATGAACTCGGGCTTTTTATGTGCTCATCTGACATTCATCGTAGAGTGCTGCTGATAAGATCGAAAACGCGTACCGGGGATGATTTCGAAGTGGTTGGTGGTTCAGTCCGGTAAGTGGGAGCCACTACCTTCGTCGGGATCTTAAACAGTTGTGCCAAGGGGTTGCCAGTCTCGAGTTCTGCGCCGCCACCTCTTTGCGTTCTTTCAATCTCTTTCCTTGGTTTGTATGAATAGGGTCAAATGGCAAAAGCATTTTAAGATAGTGTTGCGGAAATCATAGCCAGTATACAGCAGAGAGTATCTGAGACTATTAGATGAAAATATAGAAACAGTTGTCATGTACTCCTTAAACTGTAGAGCACGAGCATTTGGTATGTGCATCTGGTTCTTCTGAAGTGATCATTCGGCGATGTCATTATCAGCAGCAAACACATCATTCGGGAGGGACCTATCGAGGCTCGAATAGATGCTTGACCCTTCCTTAAATAGCAGGTCAACACTGTGATTTCAGCCAGCACTAGGTCTACAGTTTTAAGTGGTCAGGTGATCGAAACACGCCTGCTTGCTTCCCTCTTTTCCCTTGGCCATCGCACAGTCCCGTTCAAGATGCTAGCAACTTTTTCATCAACACTTCAAGATATATATTGCTAATTACTGTCCAGTGTCTACATAGTATCTGCAGAATGCGCCCCTCTCCCTAGGATCTGCTTTCCCTCCGCATATGCTAGCTATACTCATGTCAGAAGGATAGTTAAGATGCGCGTGTAGCAGAACAATCAATTGGCTTGGAGTTGAAATACCGCAGGGTCCTGAATGTGAAGGAACCATACCATCAAAGAATCTCGCCTGCAAGACACCTGGCGAGACATCTCTAATGCCTGCCATGACTACCTATAGTGTACGCCTTTTCCATGCTATCCCGTCTATTTCCCTTGCTTGATTTGTTCTAATAAGGGTTTTTGTTAGCATTCTTCATCCAGACGCTGCTATCCGATCTTCCGCTTTCTTCAACTATACTGGCTTTTTATATTTTATTTTTGTCTTCCACAGGCGCTTGAAGATACGGAGTACTTTTGTGCGCTTGAACGTGTAAGCTTGGCCTTTGCAGCTATATCTTTGCAGCCTACTCCTTGGTTTATTACTTTCCTTACTTGCCTGTCTGGAGCAGGCATTTGCTCATGTTGTTTCCCAGATAAAGCAAATTTCCCCGCCCAAATACCAGAACTGCCCGGTTAGCTCAATTGGTCAGAGCGTCAGACTTTTATCCGAAAGTCCATCTGAATGTTGCGAGTTCGAGTCTCGCATCGGGCGAATCTTTTTTTTCCGCCTCCGCCCGGACTACTTACTCGCCAGTAAGATTTTTGGCCTCATTACTAAAGCGACATGGACATTGCAGTAAGTTAGTGCAAAATTGTTAAATTGATCAATGAAAGTTTCCGTAACTCGTCGATAATATTAGTTGCTGCTAAATCTGAATATTGGCGCAGGTGGAACACGGCTTCATCGATCGTCTAATTTTTACATACTTCGCTCACTATGGAACACTCAACTGCAAACCGCCCAAAAAGACGTCCACTTATCGGTCAGTATAACCTATTTCTGCATCGCTGTACATATGCAGAGTGATACACTGTAATTGCTCCTATTTGGGGTGACTATGTCTCCGCAGGGGTGCCAATCAGCTATTTTGGTTCTAGAAACTGCAGCCTGCAGTTTGCACACTGAGCGTGCAGAGTGAAAGAAATGGGTCGTAGCTGGGTGGCTGAGAATCAAACATGCAGGCATGCCCCCTGTCAGCCCGGTGGTTCGGGTCATCTTCGGGAGGCACTGCACATGCGGGGTTCACATAGCTACGAAGTAAGCAAGATATGCCGGCTAGCCATTCATGATGATAAGACCGATTGAGCCCCGAGGATCGGGATGCTCGATGGGATTGAGGCCCAAACTCGGTATTACTGCGCATATATCCAACCAGGTCGCTCCATGGATCAACCAGGGAGGACGAGCCGAATCAGGAAGATGATTGGCTCGATGGGACAAACATGCGAGGTACAGACATCAGTGGTACCTGTCAATCGACACTTCCAGGAATCGTGGGAACTCAGCTTTCCAAGGTACAGCGCAGGGATCCCCAGATAATTGATATCGCGAGCAGCCAACACCAATTTTTGGGTTCGGTGAGCATCTCTTTGCTTTTGCGACACCCACTGCATGACTCGGCGTTGTTTCCCTAGACGAATTCCTCAGTTTAGTCGACCGGGCACTTGATGGGCGAGATAACAGCTGTCGGATCTGTCGGTCAGCGATCGACAGCTTCTGTCCCCACCAGGACCTGAAATCTCATTCATTTTGGCTTGAAATCACCCGCCGGTCATCTCCGGGTAGACCGTGACAAATCATTGTCCGGAAAGAGTAAGATGAGATGGCTTGTCGAGCGGATTCGACACGTCCATTGTACCCTTTCGGGATAGAATCCTGATTGATACGGGGTGGCTGGCTCGTGGAGGAATCGCGAGTGGAGCGAGTGAAGCGGGCTGCGGGTGAGACTCCGCAATTACCCCTCCGGCAGTCGCGAAACCGGTTGTGAGCTTCCTGGATGAACACGCCGAACACACTGGAAATAGAGTCCGACAAGACACTGAATGAAGCCCAAACTAGTGGGGCCTGAGGTCGGTGACGGACGAGAGACAATCAGAGTTCGTCCCGTGACGCAAAGCCCCTCCTTCCATGACAAATTCCCCCGTCTGGTCGCGGCCATCCAGCCATTCCTCCAGCCATGTCGTCAACGCGAACGGCTGATCCTTGGATGACCATCGATGCTGTGAAGGAGACATGTGAGCCATAAATACCCGTCTGCTCCTTCTCAAAGGTCCTCATTCTTGAGCACCTTGGTCGCCTTCAAATTCCTCTCTCCCAATCAGCACCTCCCACATCATCCAATCATCGCCAGAATGCCTTTGACCGGCCACTGTCTGTGCAAGGCTGTCACTTACTCCGCCGACGTCGACCAGCCGGCTCTGGTGGCGTACGATCACTGTGACGACTGCCAGCGTCAGAGCGGGTCAACCTACTGTAGGTGCTCTACTGACAGCCGAAGAATGAAACTAACTCTGACAGCTCTGGTTGCCGTGGTTCCCAAGGACAAGTTGACCATCAACGGACCTGTCAAGACCTGGTCCGGCAAGGGATCCTCGGGCAATGCGGTGCACCGTCTCTTCTGTTCGGAATGTGGGTCGCCTATCGCCCACGACCCGGATGCTGCCCCGGAAATCATTGCTCTGAAGGCGGGTACTTTGGACACGGAGATTAAGAAAACCCTGAAGCCTGTATGTGATGCGACCTATCCTGACCTTACATACTGATGACTGTTTGCTAGGACACCGAGATCTGGACCGTCAGCAAGCTTCCTTTCTGCCAGGAGCACCTGGCCAAGCCTTTTGAGCATATGCCTCAGTAAGCAATGCTATGGAGTGTATTATGGGTATGCTATGATATGACGATAATATGAGATGTAGTTAATGCGAACAAATTGAATAATTTGATCTGCTGTTATTTTTGGATATCCCCACTAACAGACCGGATTGTTGAGATGTAGATGTGCCACAGACAGGTACAGTCGTACGTGGAAAATTACCAACGCGAAATAAGTCCGCAACGCGCCGGGAGGCAGAGATCTTGTGGTCGACGCTGCAGTTGCTTTGGATAATGGGTCACGTTGCTACGAGTACTGTGCTGACAATCGGGACATTATGCCAAAATATTCTTAAAAGATGCCCCAACTTGGGCCGAGGTGCTTGACAGCAAAATATGGATTCTTAGAGATTTACTCAAGCATGTCTTCTGGAACCCTTTACGTCAAAGACTCACGCACCAATGCGCAATATGAGATACCCATTCGGAGGAATGCAGTCTCTGCACTGGATTTTAAAAAGATCAAAGCTTCAGGAGTCGGAACCGACCGGGCAGATCAAGTGGCTGGTGGCCTCCGAGTACATGACCCGGGGCTGCAAAATACTACTGTCGTGGAGACAGCTATAAGTTTCTCGTATGAGATCCTCCGTGGTCTGAGCAATCTAACTGTCCTAGAGACCATGAACGAAACTTGCTTCTTTTCCGGGGTTACAGTTTGGAGCAGCTCTGGGAGAGCGATTTCGAGGATGTGTTGCATTTGCTGGTCTGGGGGTCGTATCCGACAGTGCTCCAGAGGAAGGACCTGAACCACAAACTAACAGAGGCCATGCTTGCTGTGCCAGAGAGTGTCCAGAGAACAATCCAGAGTCTTCCGTGAGTGATTCGAGCTGATTACGGGTCAGTGTCATGACATGCTGCAGGAGCACTACAACCCCATTGCCGCTCATCATCGCTGGCCTTTCTGCATATTTAGCCTGTCGTCCCAATATGATTCCCACATCGCGTGATGCAAATTTGTACCGAAGCAACATGGAAGTTACCGACCATGCAATCATTCAGACCGTGGCAGTCTACGCCGTGGTGTTTGGCCTCGTGAATAGTCATCGAAAAGGAGTACCGTTCACCCCCCCAACTCGTGGAAAATCATACTACGAGAATCTTTTCACAATGGCAGGTATGATTGACCCAACGACCGGTCGGCCAGATCCCCCCAAGCTGTCAAGTTTCCGGCGGTTCGCCATGCTCAACTCGGACCATGGAATGGCCTTGACGGTATTCTCCGCCCTGACCACAGCGTCGTCCTTGACAGACCCAATCTCCTGTTTGATCACTGCTATCGGGTCAGCATGGGGTCCGCTTCACTTTGGCGCCACTGAGTCTGCCCAGCGGACGCTGAAAGGCATTGGTAGCCCTGAAAATGTGCCAGCCTATATTGAAAAGGTAAAGCAAGGACACGAGAAGCTGTTTGGCTACGGACATCGCTCGTACAAGGGCATTGATCCTCGAGTGCGCCCAATCCGATCCATCCTGAATGACATGGATCTGTCCTCGAACCAGCTGCTCGAAGTGGCCGAGCGCATTGAGGAGGTTTGCGCCGAGGATGACTACTTCAGAAAGCGGGGCTTGTATGTGAACGGCGACTTTTACGGAAACTTTATCTTCGCCGCCATGTAAGCCCCCAAACACGGTTGCATGGCTCGATGCTGACAGCCCAGTGGCTGCGAGCCGGAAATGATCCCTGCCGCCATGCTGGCCCAGCGGATCATGGGGATTATGGCGCATTGGCGGGAGTACATGCGTAAGCGAGAGTGACATCAAGATCGGGGCTTTTCTGACAGCTACAGTGACACGCGGCAAGTTGTTTCGACCATCGCATATCTATACGGGGGAGGCAGAGAGCAGGCTGTTGCCAAAGATTTGATGTTGATTGTTAAGCAAGTTAATAGGCAATGAGATCTTGCAAGATGGTTGGAGCAAGGAGTCAGCTGAGAGCTAAAATGCCCCGACTCATATACTAGTAGCTTGGCCGTGATTGTACAATAGTTGTGACAGGAAAAAGATCATCATGGCAGACGAATCTGGCTCAGCTTCGGAAACGACGCCCCTGCTGGCATCCCAGCTGGCAGAGCCATACTCGGTCTTTACCGCGACCCAGAAACACCTCATCATCCTGACAGCTGCCCTGGCTTCAAGCTTCTCGCCTTTATCAGCCAACATCTACTATCCAGCCCTCAACTCCATTGCTGCTGATCTGCACGTGAGCAGTTCGCAGATCAACCTGACCATCACCACGTACATGGTACGCCCTGCTCCTCTACGACTAGAAGCACTAACAGACCAGTTATGTCAAGGGGTGGCCCCCGCCTTTATGGGCTCGTTTGCCGACCAGGCTGGGCGTCGTCCTGCCTATATTTTGTGCTTTGTGATCTACATTGTCGGGAACATTGCACTGGCTCTGCAGCACAGTTACCCGGCCCTGCTGATCCTCCGGGCTATCCAGAGCTGTGGCAGTAGCGGCACGGTGGCACTGGCGTCTGCCGTGGCAGCCGACGTGATTACGTCTGCTGAGAGAGGCACCTACATGGGCATCACCTCGCTGGGGACTATCCTGGCTCCATCCGTGGGTCCTCTCCTGGGAGGGCTACTCAGCCAGTACCTCGGCTGGCAGGCCATCTTCTGGTTTTTGGCTATTACCTCTGGTGTTTTCTTCCTGCCACTGCTTCTTTTCTTCCCTGAAACGTGTCGGAAGGTTGTGGGTGATGGCTCCATTCGGCCGCATGGGTGGAATTGCTCCGTCCTGGCCTGGAACCAACACTCACCTGAAGATTCCCCATCTCCCGTGAAGCAAAAGGAGGTTAGCCTTCCGGACCCCCTTTCTACCCTACGTCTTCTTTTTCACCGTCCCACTGGACTCGTCCTTTTGGCCAATGGGCTGCTGTTTGCCAGCTACTATGCCGTCACGGCCGGTATTCCGTCTCAGTTCAAGGAGATTTACCAGCTGAACGACCTCGCCATCGGCCTGGTGTTTATCCCGGCGGGTATTGGCTCGCTGTTGAGCACGACCTTTAACGGGATTGTTCTTGACTGGAACTACCGCCGTCTCCAGGGGGGATATGGACCGGGAACTCGTCACAAACCTTCGTTTCCTATCGAGCAGGCCCGACTGCAAATCTGTCTACCACTGATAGTATGCCCCTTTACTCCTTCCTGTGACTTAAGGACAGACGGACTGAAGATATCTAATAGATCCTCTCCGCCACAGCCATCCTCGGCTACGCCCTCTTAATGAGCCTCGTCACACACCCACCCCTCTCCTATGCCCTTAGCCTCATCTTCACCATCAGCTTCGCCATCACGGCGGCATACAACATCATGAACATCCTGATCGTGGACCTGTACTACGCTACGCCTGCCACAGCGATGGCGGCGAATAACCTGGTCCGGTGCTTTCTGGGCGCGGGGGCGACCGGACTGGTGCATCCAGCGATTGTCCGGTGGGGGAATGGCCGGATGTATGGGGTGGTGGGTGGGATAGTCGGGGGGATTGTATGTCCATTGTTGGGGTGGGTGTATCTAAAAGGGATGCAATGGAGGGTGAGTGATGAGATATCAACAGAGACTGCGGTATAGGGAATAAAAAGAGTACAGGATGGTTGGACTGACTGTCCGACTGCGTATGTCCCCGTTGATTTAATTGCCGGTAGGCGTACGACATGTAGTGAGGATATAAAAGGCATCCGATGATTATGAATAAGGAGTAGATTGCTACATTTCATTCTAGAGAATGAAACCACTGCGAACATTCAGTATGATACTCCTCCTTCTGATCATAGGCATTGCCACCGCCCGAATTGACCCTCTCCTCCCAACCTACCAACAAATCCTGCACCTGCGATATCCCCTCACGCCGTGGGTCCAACCCGGCGACACGCTTCTGATGTCAGGTACGGCCAATCCCCCAACTAACCTGACTATAAACCCCACTAACGATGATAAATAAAAGACACCCACCCCCTCCCAACCCTCAGCACGCTGGGCCTCATCCCCACCGAAACCTACCTCCTCCTCTTCCTCGACCTGGACGTAATCTACAGCCACAACAGCACCGTGATTCTGCACTGGTACCAGCCAGACCTGATCTTTTCCAACGCCACCCCCCCTACCACCGATACCCATACCCAAACTGCCACCCCCGTCCCCCCTCCCCCCCTCAACAACCTAAACCAAGAACCCATCCTAACACCCCACCCCTCCTCCCCCCCCACCCACACAGCATCCTACATCCCCCCCCAACCCCCACCCCACTCCCACCACCGCTACGTCTACCTCCTCTACCAACAGCCACCTACATACATCTTCCCCACCTGCTTCGATTATATTTTCCCGCCTACCGCGCACGCGCGGGCGGGGTTCGATGTACGGCAGTTTACGGCTGTTGCGGGGTTGGGGGGGCCGGTGGCGGGGAATTATTTTTTTGTGCTTTTTGATGGGGGGTCGAGTAGTGGGGGGATGGGGATGGAGACGGGGACGGGGACGGGGACGGGGACTATGACTATGACTATGACTGGGGGAACTGGGGATGGGAAGGGGAGGGGGACGCCGACGACGACGTCGTTGAGACGGGCGCCGTGTGGGGGTGGGGTGGGAGATAGTGGTGGTGGGATGGGGAGGAGCCTAGCGGGGATACCAACGGAGACAGAGGGTACTGACGGTAAACACCAGGTGGTTCTGCAGGGATAACCACGACCAACAGCACCAATACAAGAGAATCCAATCCAATCCAATCACGTAACACTCGAATTAGGAATAAGGAAGAATAATCAAAATAAGAATAGAATAGAATAGAATACATGTCCCCGTCACACCAAATCAACGGGATACTCTTCCCTCTTTAGGAAACGAATGCGAATCCCTCCCCCCCCCCCCCCCCTTATTTACTTCCACTAAATTCAACTCAGCCCAGCACAAATAAACTTAGTTCAACCCTCATGTAACAATACCAAACTACATTCGTTTCGGCCGAGTCCGAATCCATACATGCCATGTATCACCACCGACCATCCTCATACTAGTTCGTTTCAAGACCATCCCTTCTTTTATTAGTATATCATGTCGTGTACCTCCACACCCGCAACCTCAAGGTGGGTACTAGGTAGGTAGGTAGGTAGGTAGGTAGGTAGATCAGCCCTGCAAAATCCCTCAACTGAACTCCTATCGAACCAGTAACCATCCCGTGCCAATCCCGCCACGCACCAAATGGGCTAGTAAAGTAGCTGGTAGTAGTACGAACGGTACAACACTGCAATTAGCGAATCGGGGTCTGAAAGGTAGAGTTCATTTATCGTCAGCCTTAGCGGATGTTTTGTGGAACGGGGTTCTTCTCGTTTGGGGGGGGGGGGGGGGGTTTAAATCATGTAATGTAATGTAATGTAACCTGAAGTGCACTTCCCTGGTAGTGATGGTAGTGGTTGTGCGTTTTAATTTCTTTGATTATTGGGGTATTAAGTCTTGCTCGGTGGGTAGAGGTCTTGGCGACTTGGCTTGGCGAGTGCAGAACGAGAGAGGGCTGTACTGGGGCCTGGGTTGGTGGGCCTCGGGTGTAGCGTGTGCAGACAGGTCTAGAATGTGAGTTTGATTATGGTTTACTGCCTGTACCTACTCCCTAGGATGGTACCGATACAGGTACCGATACATATAGATGTGGACGGGTCATCATCCATCCATTCATCAAGCAACCATACCCATCCTTTTAGTCTATCTATATCCCATTATTAACTACAACCACCCCAAATCAAAGACAAAATAATAACTAAGAGGGCCAAAGGGAATAGGATGGAAAACCCCCTCCCCAAAAGCGTCAAAGTCCGCTCGACCTGCAACGCCTGCCAACAAGCCAAGATCCGCTGCAGCCACGAGAAACCCGCCTGTCGACGCTGTCAGAAACATAATCTCACCTGCGTGTATAGTATTTCGCGCCGGTTAGGTCGGCCCGCGAAGAAGAAAGATGGGGAGGATGGGGAGGGGCATGCGACGGGACTTGGCGCTGAGGCGATGGACATGGATCCCAAAGAGCATGGGCAGCGGGTGAAAAGTCCGAAGAAGCAGAAGAAGAGGGTCGTGGTGGATGAGGAGAGTACTCTGGATGTGTTGGATGAGGGGGCGTTGCTGTTGGATGAGGTGGGGATGGGTGGGATAGGAATGGGGTTGGGGATTGGTATCGGGATTGACATTGGGGACACGGGAGATCCAGGGGGCTTGCAGATGGATGGGTTTGTGGATGCGAGCCCCACGGCGCTTTGTGAGTATTCTGTCGGTTTGCTTCTGGGGAATGAGCTGATGGTGATAGTCTCCGATGGCGGGATCGATCTCTCGTCCGATAGCTGGCTGCATGAGTTCATGTCCAATCCGGCGGCCGATCTGGCGCAAGAGCGAGAACTCTTGGATTCTCTCGGGCTCAGCAGTATCAAGCCCGAGAGTACCAATGCGGGAGATTCTCCCGAGATGAAAGATATCCCCAAAACATTCATCGGGGATGATACTTACATCGCTCCAGCCAGCTTCGAGCAGGACCCCATCGAGAATACCGGTATCGTGGACACCCATCCCGAGAAATACATCAAAGAGGAGAGTCTCGCCTGGCCACAGCCATTCTCAGCAATGGACGACTTCACGGCCCGATCGATGGTCACGGAGAGTGCCTTTACCCAGACCAAAGTATCCAAGCGCCCCTACTATGGCTTCCCTCCCAGCGAGATGAAACCTCCCGCGATGCTGGCGCCACAGCATTACCAATGTCAGTGCCACGAGAAAACCATCCAGGATCTGATCCGAGTCAATGTGTTTGCATCACGCGCGAGCCCCTGTCTCACGATCGATTCCCTCATCTATTGCCAGCGCGTGCTGCAGCAGTTGTCCGAGATCATTCTGCAGTGTTCGGTGTGTTACCGAGCCAGACTGAATGTGCTCATGGTCGTGATCGTCAGCATCGACAGTTTACTGAGCGCGCTCGAGCCCATCACCTTGATGGAGGCCAACGTGGTGGACCGACTGTTCAGTGGATATCACGACCAACTGCTATCCGACTATAAGGCAGAAATCGCAGGCAACCCCACGCTGCGACGCTACAACTTCCAGTCCAAAAGCCAGGTAGAGGCGTGCTCATTAAAAGTGGGCACATTCTGCGTCGCATATGATGACAAGTACTTCTTCATCAAGAGCTTGTTGCTGTACTGGTTGGAGAAACTCGGGGGCACGGTCCAGCGCATCCGTGTTTGCGCAGAAAACATTCAGCCCATGCAGCCCTCGCAAGGCCGATTGCTCCTGATCATGGAAACGGGGCGGCGTTTGGAGTCGGTCATTAAGCAGACGCGGCGGATGTGAGATCTGTATCTTTAGTGATTAAGCCATGTTGTTCCAGCCTCTGTACCGGATAATCTCAGCTAGAAATGTTATGGCCATCTGAATCAGCTCAATGCCTATCCAGTGTAAATCAACCTACAAGGATAAGGATGATACTCCGCGGTATACGCACAGCCATCGTCACGACTGTGCGACCCATGCGCGGGTCGACTGACGACATGTTCCACGATGAACTGGCTCTCCAGGCGTATGAACCAACAGACCATCCCTCGATGAATGTGAGGCTACCATCAAGAACGCGCATCACACCCTGAGGTTGTACTCGTTGCGTAGGATGTGATGTAGCGCATGTGAAAAGTGGCAACCATTCTACCTCCCCGTCTTCGACAGACGACATCCCAATCGATAACCAGAAGTTAGAATGTGGAAAAGTATCGAGACCACGTATCTACCCGCCAAATTCATCGCTCGCCTTACCATGGACCCCGACAGCAACTGCCAATGTTCGATGAGTGGGCTGCAAATCATGACGGAACTTCGCAACGTTCAGCCCGTCGTGGAGCTTGGCACGATTCTGGATCTCGTGCAGCGCGTGTATACCCACGGGCAGGAGGTGTTGAAGTGCAAGGATTGTCGGAAGAGTCCACACTCGTCGTTTGTGATGCTTCCGGCGCTGGCCGAGCATTGTCTGTCGTTGTTTGAGGCGGTTTGTCTGGCGTATAGTATTACGAGGACGAATGCGTTGTTTGATCCGGCCGTGTTGGCGTTCGAGCAGCCGCTGTCGCAATTTATCTGTATGCGGAGTAAGACGCAGCTGGGGCAGATGGAATTGGATGAGAAGGAGTCGGCCCTCTTGGTGAAGACCCTGGTGGGTCGCAACCTGATGAAGATCTTGGAGATTATGAAGACGCTGCAGAAGATCTTCCGATCGTTGGCGAAAGATACCGGTCCGCATCGGGCGGGCCCGGCCACGCTGCGTGCGTGCGAGTCCTCCGTCGAGGCGACGATACGGCGGTTTGCGGCGTTTATGGAACAGATTGAGATTGACTCGGGTACGTACCTTCACATCCTATGTCAAGCAAGGTCTAATGGTGCTGTAGTGGGCGTGAACTAGGGCGGCGGCCTATATGAGCAGGAGGGTCAAGTCAATAAATTAGATTATGTCTCCGATGAGATCGCTCGGACCGCTGCTTGGGCAGGTACATATTCCAGTAAGACCAAGAGAATAAAGTCCAGGACAACAAATTGAGAGAAAGACATGAGTGATCATCACATCCGATTCCTCCATGTAGGTGCCAACACTTGGCGCATCAGCTTGAATCGAAGAGTGATATAGACCAGAGCTACTGAGGCAGGTGGCGCTTGAACTGACCAACCCACTGGCCCCAGCCGATGACCTTGCCTTCCATAGCCCACTTCACGCAGGCCACGCTGGCTTTGTCGGGGTGAGCGAGGCCAAGAGGCTCACTCAAAGCCACAATCGTGAAGACGTAGCGGTGGTAGCCGTGTCCATAGGGAGGGCAGGCGCCGACATAAGAACTTCCGAGGAGATTCGGGACGTACTTCCAACCAGCAAAGGTGACGCGGCCCGAGACGTTGGTGTTTCTTTCCGTGTCGTCGTGGTATGCCACAAAACAAGTTGATGGAATGCCGAAGAAAAGTCCATGCACAAAGACCATGAAAGGGATGGGCACGTCGGGGTCCTCACAAATTAGAACAAATTCATGGACATCACCAGCAGGAGGCGAGTTCCAGTGAAGCTCCGGAAACCTTCCACCTTTGGCGCCATCGAGGTACGTATGATGGTCCAGGAGGACCCCACCAGGAAGTCCACACTCGGGCGACTCGAGCTTCATGTTCGGCTGGGGAAGGTGAGCGAAGGCAGAGGACTTGACGATCAAGTACTTGTCATGGGCCCGGATAAAGTGAAGCACTTTAAAGACCGCGAACTGGATATACGCCAGAATAATTTTGAACATCTTGTTCAACTGACGAGGAGGATGATCTTTAAAGGTTCAACGAGCAGAGAATTGATAAGACAAAGAGCTTGATAGGAACGAAAACGAGCAGGCTTTGTCAACCAGAGGACTAGAAACGTAAACGAGTAACAGCTTGGTATGCCAGAGATGGAGGAACGGTAGATGGAGGGTGAGGATAGGAGAAGGAGAAGAACGTGTTGTTGACAAGAAGTCTCAAAGAATCACGCATGCCTGAGTCGGCCCGGTACCGGCAGCCTTCCTAACAGGCAATCCTTGAGTGAAGGCAGTGAAGGTGCCACTTCAGACATTAGTAGCCGTCAGTCATACTTGGCCAGCATAATTGCCCGGCCTGGAACGGCGGTGATTCACTGAGCCAGTGTGGCAGGGTCCGCTACGGCAACGACGTGCAAGCATGGTAACACGAACAGGAACATGGAAATGAACGACACATCTCAGAACTCCGCTGAAAGTGCAAGACAGTATGAAGCTGTCACAGCAACAATCCACTGATATGGAGTAGTGATGTGATGATCGTATCTGATAAGGGTGGGCCATGACGTAGGGTGCATTAGTTAGCGTGTTGTGCACGCGAGGCTGAGTCAGCCAGCACCAGTCAGCACAACTTGGCTGCTTTCATCTCCGCAGCTCTCCGAGACCTCCGAACGTGTCTGTTCCTGGGATGGTCTGCTGTGAAGACCTCTGTCCTGCTCTCCTATACTTCGTTTCATCATGGCTTTCCAATCCCCGCCGGCCTCTCCGGTTGAGGCCGTCCAGGCCCGTCCGCCGCGCTATCCGGGCGAGGATACCACGCCCACCACTCGCAAGGAACTCTGGGGATGGTACGCCTATGGCATTGCTGCTGAAGTCTTTGCTGTCTGCGGCGTGGGTGAGTTGATCTTCTCGAACTCGATGCTGTCCCGCTAACAAGCCAGGCTCGTTCCTCCCTCTCACTCTGGAGCAATTGGCCCGCGAGCGCGGATACTTCCAGAACAGCCATTTGCCGTGTGTCGGTCCCGACTCGCCGTCTGCGCCCGGAAAAGACTCTCCAGCCATGTTTCGCCGGGATGATACCAATGAGCAATGCGTGGTGGGATTGATGGGACTGCAGATTAATACTGCGAGTTTCGCCATGTATACCTTTTCGCTGGCGGTGCTGGTGCAGGCATTGACCTTGATCTCGTTCAGTGCGTTAGCAGATTATGGTATGTCACTTAGCCTATACTGTCACCAATACTGACAAATTCAGAGAACAACCGAAAGACTCTGCTTCTGGCGTTTGGGTTCATCGGATCAGCCACAAGCATGCTGTTCGTGTTCATTGCGCCGCCAGTCTTTGTCCTGGGCGCACTCTTGGTCGTCATTGGCATCGTCTGTCTCGGTTCATCCTTTGTGGTTCTCAACTCGTTTCTGCCCGTTCTGGTCGCCAATGATCCCTCCATCCAGAAAGACGCCAAAGAAACTGCCGAGGAACTACACCAAATGGACTCGGACGGCGAATACGTGCATGCACGAGCATCCTTCGACACCGAGGACTCGCCCCATCGTCCTCCAACCGGCCTAGGCCTAGGCGGCGCAACCGGCACCTCCTCCCCGGAACTGCAACTCTCCACCAAAATCTCATCCAAAGGCGTCGGCCTGGGCTACTGCGCCGCAGTCTTCGTGCAGATCCTCAGCATCCTACTCCTCTTCGGCCTCTCCAAAACCTCCCTCCCCAAAGCCTCCGGCACACTTCCCCTCCGCTTCGTGCTCCTCCTCGTCGGCATCTGGTGGTGCACCTTCACCCTCGTCAGCCGTCGCTGGCTGCGCACTCGCCCGGGCCCGCCCCTCGAATCCACCAGCACCAGCACCACCTCCCCCCAACCCCGCTGGCGCATCTGGCTGCACCTCATCGCCTTCGCCTGGAAATCCCTCTGGCAAACGATCAAAACGGCCCTCCGCCTCCGCGAAGTCCTCCTCTTCCTCATCGCCTGGTTCCTCCTCTCCGACGCGATGGCCACCGTCTCCGGCACCGCGATCCTCTTCGCCCGCACCGAACTCCACATGAGCACCACCATGATCGCCCTCCTCTCCATCACCGCCACCCTCTCCGGCATGACCGGTGCCTTCCTCTGGCCCTTGATCTCCCGCCACTTCGGCCTGAAACCCAACCACACCATCATCCTCTGCATCGCGCTCTTCGAACTCATCCCCCTCTACGGCATGCTCGCCTACATCCCGCTCGTCAAAAAATGGGGCGTCCTCGGCCTCCAACAACCCTGGGAAATCTACCCCCTCGCTATCGTCCACGGTATCGTCTCGGGCGGACTCGCATCCTACTGTCGTTCGTTCTTTGGGCTGTTGATCCCCCCCGGTAGCGAAGCGGCGTTTTATGCCCTCTATGCGGCCACGGATAAGGGGAGTTCGTTCATTGGGCCCGCGATTGTCGGGGCGTTGATTGATGCCACGGGGCAGGTGCGCTCGGGGTTTGTGTTTATTGCGGTGTTGATTGTGTTGCCGATTCCGTTGGTGTGGATGGTTAATGCGGAGAAGGGGCGCGTGGAGGGGGTCGCGGTGGCGGAGAATCTCGCGAAGAGGAGGGATGCAGGGGATGGGGAGGGAGAGGAGGTAGAGGGGTTGTTGGAGGGTAGATTATGATTAGATGAGTTATGGATATGATGAGATGAATATGTGATTTTATAGGTTCGTGGATGTGAACGGAACAGCAGAGAGGAAGGATACAAACACTAGAATACGCCATGACGTCCACCCACCACGTGATATACATCTACCAGTATTCACCATTCCCAACACCACCGCACAACCCAACATGATACCTATCCCCCTTTCCCCTTTCCTCTTACCCAAACCCAAGAAAACTATTCATCATCCACAACAACAACCATCCAAACCCCCACCTCCCCATTACTCGCCATCAACGGCGTACAATGCACCCACCGATCCCTTCCCTGCGCATTATACCGCGTGACCCATTTAATCCGCGCCGTCACGCTGCGTCCGCTCATCAATGCATGGAGGAGCTCGTCCCGCACGGTCGAACTGCTTCCGATCCGGGAGAGGAAGGATGATTGTAGAATCCCGGGGATTTGGAGTGAGGGCGAGGTGAAGAGGATGCGGAGGGAGGGGTAGGGTCTGACGAGGAGGTACTGTCGTTGTATTAGTAGGGGTTGACTTTTGGGGGGTGGGGGAGGAAAGGGAGGGGGGAGAAGGGACATACATTCTCATAAACGCCCGTCAACGAGCCCTTAAACAGTTCCGTCTTAATATCCACCTCCCGGATAGCTTCCATCTCAATCGAGTCAGTGACGGACCATGATCGACCATGGCCGTGGGAATGTCTATCCATGAGTGCAGTCTTAGGTCTCGGTTGGAAGAGATTCCCGCCTACTTCGTGCGTGAGACTCAATTCGCGCGGACTGAACAGTTCGCTGAGATCGCGGAATGCGTCGCTTCGTGGAGTTTCCGGGACTGATTCTGGTTGTGGTGTCCCCTCATCCTCTAGATGCTGTTTCTCTTGCAACGCGCGGAGAGACTCCATTTGTGCGCCGTCCATGGCAAGACCGCTCACGTCGATTTGCGCCCCGATGAAGTAGCGCACTTTGCCGTGGCTGTCGCAGAGGGGCGCGCATTGGAGGAGGTTCATGAAGGGGGAGCCGTCGCGGCGGCTATTGCCATGTTATTTTTGGGTTCTTGTTTGTGAATGCGGGTGTAGATGAAGACATACTAGTTTAGGAATAGCTCCGAGTGATGTCTTCCTGCTTCGAGGGCTTCTCGGATCCGACGGACACTGTTTGCGTTGGTCTTGGGACCTTGTAAGAAGCGACAATTTCGTCCGAGGACGTAGTCCATGCCGTATTGGGTGGTGCGGTGGAATTCTGTAGCCACACCGTGGTTAGAATGTTGGTGAGCAGGGAGCAGGAGACAGTGACTTCACCCTCTGATGCAAAGATAATCGGATTATCCCGTCTTGAGGGATCCGTGAGACAAAATACCTCCGCCAGCGCATCGGACGTCTTCTGGAACTTATGTGGCAGGGTGCCTCGGACGCGCTCCTCCACTACCTGACTGGTGATGTTGATGCAGCGCGATGTGATGAACGCCGGGAGTTCCTCGTCGGTGAGTACCTGGAGGGCCTCCTGGACGCGCCATTGCAGTGCGGGGTGCGTCGCTTCTCCGACTTGCCCGGAGACAGCGATTGTAGGTGGCGGGGCATCGATGAAGCATCGCACCAGCGCATTGGCGTAGTCAATTGCCTTGAGCGCTTTGCGCGCAGTCATGTAGTAGGTGAGATGTCGCAACGAGCGCGGACGCTCCTCGAGGAGAAACTCGCGAAAGCGCGCGAGATATCGTGGGTTGTTGAGGATCGAGAGCATGTGTTCGGAGGAGAACATGAGGTCCGCGAGACGCTCCAGGCTGTGGAGAGGGGTTTCGTGGGTGTCGTCGAGCGGGGCGATGAGGTCGTAGGAGAGTCCGGCTTCGTGGACGGGGTGGAATTGCTTGGATCCGTCGTAGGGGTTTTGTTGTTGCAGAAGAGGGAGTTCGTGGATCATGTAGTTGCGTCGGAGGGTTTTGATGGAGGGTTTGGAGGCGAGGGTGGTCGTATTGTCGAGGATGTGCGCTCTGCTTGGGGGACGAGGGAAGCCGAGGAGGATTTCACTGGGACGTCTGTCATGTCTTCTCCGTGTTAGTAGATGAGAGTCTCCAATGCTGCAATACATACTGCGACGGGGGATAGTCGTCCAATGCGACGGTGGAAGGGTACGAGGAGCGCAGGGAATCTGCGTCGAAGCCGCTGTAGTTCTCCATGGTGTCGGCGCTATGTCTAACCCCGTGGGAGCATGAACACTTTATACAGCGCTCCAATTTCAAATACGATGATATATCCGATGATCGCTGACTCCCACATCTGGTCTAGAGACAGGTAGAAAAGGCAACCTCTGTTGCGCCGCGAAGCGATCGAGAACAACCGCGGCGTCGCAGATGCAAGCCGATCGATCGATGCGCGGCGGCTGTCACCCACGAGATCGGACCGTCGTTCATGCGTGATGCAATCATGCATCAGATATGTCATATTATTGATCTACAGAGGAATCGAGAGTCTGGATCGTCAAGTCATGGCGATGTGGCTATCTGACAAGTGACCCGTCTGCAGGTACGACCCGAGGCATAGGCTGCCACCCCTTTCGCTGGACGATGAGGCGATTCTGCCTGGTGCTTCCGGCTATGCTGCCTGCCAGAGCCTCATGATGGATGCCTGCCTCGATCCATCGTGCCGATGTCGTTGCACAGTCGGGGATTTCTTGAAACTTGTCCAATCGGAGGTACACTCCGTCTGACAGGACATAGATTCCGATGGCCCTGATGATCGTAGTGGCAAATTGGCAATATAAACGGGCCCACGTGGGGACGTGCATGAGGCCATCTCGTATCGCCTGCGCCTCATGACTCAACAAGGCTCTCAACTGTCGAGTGATACACCAATCTTTCTTCCCTCAGTATCTAGAAGTCAGCCTCAACATTTGCAGATCTTCGCTGGTCTTGTCACATTGTGCTGCAACATCTCATTGCAACCAAGGCACATCAGGCTGCATTCGGGTCAGCGGTCGCAGCTTGTCAAAGCCTAGCCCCGCAGAGAAGCCTCCGGTTCGACCCTCCCGACTAGAAAACCCGCAAAACGCTAAATGAGAAGAAATACTCCGGTATAGGGGCCAATATGTGTAAAGCCGAGGTCCAACATAGCAACCAGGAAATCAATCGTAGAGTCGAACAGTGAAGTTTCTCTTCCCCGAATTGGGTACGATCCTCAGATGAACCTATGCTACGTAACCATATCCGCTTATCAATGAGCTTGGAATGACATAAATATTGTTTGCACGTTCTGGTGTATTGATGCTGCAATTATTCGTTTGAAGGCCACAATGACTCCGCAGCATGCCATCTATCAAGGCGCGATGCTTGTTCGGAAGAAGGACCTGCTAACTTATCAGATCAGACAAGCCGAAAAGGCGCTAGGTAGACAACAATGTATAGAGATCTTTGGGGCTTTATAGGTGCTCTGCCATGTTGAAGTCCGACGGGGACCGCCAAGCTGCTATCTTCAAATACTCCGTCGATGAATGATGGATGAAAGAAATTAAGGCCAAGCCACGATGTTTCATCTGACTATCTTGTTAGCCAGCAGCAGACTGGAAGCAGAGGTTCACTGAGATCTCGCGGCAATTGCGAGAGATTGCGCACTACCAAGCATTCAACTTGGAGTCAATTGGTCTGGCACGCTTGTAAGGTGAATGCGAAAGTTTAGGCATACCGTGGACGTGGATATGATAATAAGCTTTGTTGCTCCAATCAGCGTTAAAACCATGGCTATTCTCCCAAATGCATTGCGCATGTCTTAGCCTACCAGACCATTGAAAGATAAGGGCAGCTGGGTTTAGAACCACATGGGACACCCGGCTCGAGTCGAGCCCGGAAGCAACCATTAATGCATGTGCCGCGATGTGGTCTTGATTGGAAAATATAATGCAGCCATCTTATCTGGCGGAATGGTTCAGGAAAAGAGTAGCATATGTTTGTAATTGTTTTCTGAAAGGCGATCTTTGGGAATAAAGAACGCTTGTTGACGATTTATCATCCTTCAACTATATATCGATTCAAGTCCTAGCCACTGAGCGATTATGCTGTTCTTTCATGTATTTATCTTGATTCTCGCCCCCATCCCTCAAGCTGCAATTTTTGCCGTTCTTCGCAGGAAACCGCATTGCTCAAATAGCGCCGATTGACATCGTGTATTCTGAAAACACCAGAAGCTCCTGAAATCGCGGATGAAGAAACTTATCAATCTAATCTCGGCGCTATTCGTCCTCATAACAGCAGGTATAGATCGCTTTGCAATATTCCCAGTAGTCGGGGCGCCATCCGGATTGCGCCCAATCGACAATGGCAAGAATGCGAGGCGGACCGGTGGAGGACACCATGAGTAAATGTGATCACACCATCGTCTGGTAAATATCCTCTATAAGGATCTTCATATCTCTCTGAGATGGGGAGTCGCGCCTGGGGCAACCCTGAAAACCAATCAATGAACTCTCTGATCTTTGGGAATGGCCCCGCTTCCGTCTGTGCTTCGAAGACACAGTCGTGAACACGCTGCCGACTGACGGATCCTAGAACAAGGCTGTCAGTACTAACAATATTCTTGATTCTCGTCGCAGAGTTCGCACCAATGTACTTGTCCGAGGGTTGGTAGCTGAGTTGGCGAAAACGACTGACAATCTCACATAACTGATCGCAGAGTACTGTTTTCTCCATGCTATCTAAATCATCCCAGCATTCGTGCAACGTCCGGCCATGAATGAGCTCCATGTAAATGAAGACATAGTTGTTCTCAATTCGCCATCCGTAGACTTCAGGTACTGGAACACTGTCACCGAACACCCGTCTCAGCATCCAAAGACACTGAGCTTCTGCGACAGGAACCGTGCGGCCAGACTTGACAAGGAGGTTGAGTTGCTCAAAGACCACGGGTTTTGGCTGGCGTGCCGTAGAAAAGTCGTGTGATAAGGCTCTCACTTCTGCTAGTGATGGGAGGCATCGATCAAACTTTGCAAAGAATGAAGATTCGAGAAAATCCATCTCCCGCTTTGTCAGATCGGGTAGGTAAGAAGGTAAAAAGAAGGTAAAATTGCATATGGTTTTGACATGTTGTTTTGGCGCTGTATGGTCTGTGGATGGTCTACTGCTGGTCCGCTCAGACCTCGGTCGCTCGGCTTCATACATATTCCGGGTGCGGGATTAATCGAGGCCGGGGGATTGACTGGCGATGCGTAAGAGGCTCTGTGGAGGTTGCAGAGGCTAGGCCACTTCCAACCTAGAACAGCCAATTGTGATGGCCAAGCCTTGATCTCTGCACCAGTCTCCAGACATGCACGCATGTCAGAACCTTATATCCACTATGGATCCTCTAGATATAGATCGACGTGGGTTCCGTGGGTATACAACTAAGGCAGACACTCATGTTTTAGGAACGAGCCTTGCAAATCTGTTAAAACTAGGGGATAAAGAGCACTCAGGGATATATATAGATGACCTGGTATTCTTCCAGAGTTCAGGACTGCTCTTATACCAACCTGAAGATAGGAAGACAAAAGCCGTCATATGTGGTGTGTTATGCTTGCGGCCAACTACTCTCCAGAATAAGAAACAATTTGTCAAGCAGGGAATTGTTGAATAGTATATCAGCTCGAACACTTCAAATCTGAATGACACAAAGCCCAGTGAGGTATGAACCTTACATATGGCTCTCTGCGAGCACTCGTATGCAATAATGAATACTGGACGTTCCTATCAAACACCAAAAGCTTCAGCTTGAAACAGTCTGCAGTACTCATGCCAATGGTCTCCGCAGAGATCCCCACTCCCGTGGATCCTCCGATTGGCTAGTTCGCTTAGAAAGACATCCAGCCGATGTCGGTTGGCCCGTGCCAGCTCCCAGCGAGGACTACTCCGTAGTATGGGGCGGGATACATCGGCTATTGGCAGACTAATTCCTCCACTCAGCCTCGTCCGGCGGGAATGGCCCGAAAGGCATCGGTCCATTTATTGGGCACCTTCTCCATTAACTCATCGGGTCAACAGAAGATACACCCAGAATGATAGCATCTCGACGTAAAGCGAAAAAGTCCAAGACAGGATGTCGCACCTGCCGGTGAGTGGATTCTCGGCTTGTCATAAACCTGCGTCTAATGATGGTTCTAGAGCTCGTCGTATCAAATGCGATGAATTGCCCGGCGCATGCCGAAACTGTACTTCAACAGGTCGTAACTGTGAAGGATATGATGTCTATCGGCTGCCGGTGAAGCGCACCCCACGACAGGCCGCCCCTGACAGCCTGGTGCTCACACAAACGCCAACCGGGCTCCGTTGGAAAATAACCTCGGATGAAAGACGATGTCTTTCTTTCTTCCAGCAGCGGACCGTTCCAGACCTAGCGGGACTTTATGAATCGCCGCTTTGGCAAAAGCTGGTTCTTCAGATGAGCCATACCGAGCCGGCGGTGTATCATTCTGTCGTTGCACTTGGAGCTACCCATCAAGCCCTGGAAATCACCAAGAAACCGTATTTCGAAATAGGTTCACAGAATATCTGGTACCAGTTTGCACAGGAGCGGTCGAGTAAGGCAGTAGCCTTGTTGACTCAACGCCGCATGTCGCAGGATCCCCAGTTGCAGGAAGTGACCTTGGTTAGCTGCCTCCTCTTCCTCGCTCGCGAACTCCTCTGTGGGAATTATGATGTGGCATCCCAGCATGTCTTAGGCGGCCTGAAAATATTGAAGCAACTTGGAGTCCAAAGAAGCATCTCGGGCACGCTGATATCGCCGGTCGAGCAGTGCGTGGTTGAAATGTTCCTGCACCTGCAGATGCAATCTGTGTATTATGGAACCGGGGCGCCATTGGAGATCGACGGGGACCTTGTGTACAACCAGCCATACGAGGATTATCTACTGATATTCCGCCGATTGCAGGATGCGCAACAAGCGTTCCGGCCCCTTCTTAATACCGCCTTTCTCTTCGTGGCATCCTGCCGGCATCGATCGGACGAAGAGCTCTTGGCGATATATGGCAGTTTGGAGCAGGAACAACTGCTACTTCTCTCCTACTTCAATCGATACCTCGAACGATTTGAGCTGTTGTATCATGAAACTTACACCAATCTTAGCCAAAGGGAACAGCGAGAGGCGGACATGACCAAGCTGACTTGCCTCAGCGCTTTCCTATCGCTCAAAACCTGTCTGTTGAGCAAGAATCAGCTTTTCCCGGAGTACCTCACCCCGGAATGCGACGGGCTTCTTTCGTTTGCAGAAGCCGTAGTAAGCAGGCTGCAGTCGTACCCTACCATTACTTTAGACAGTGCGGTTATTGCGGCCTTATACAACGCTTCATACAAATGTTCAGACTTTGGTGTCAGAGTAAGGGCAATAGACGCCGCACGGTCCTGGCAACACTGGGAGGGATTTTTAAATTCCAGTATCACTGCTGATATTCTCGAGGAGAGTATGAGAGCAGAATTGATGAAACTGAAAGAGAGCTGCGATAGGACGTCGAGCCAATTACCTCCAGGTGTGTCCTTTGTGACGACGCCTGATGGCCAGGTTTACGCGCGCGTGCCGTACAAGCTTGGCGAAGCTGAGAAAGAACGATGGATAGGACTGGAAACACCCGCCTCTCTCTATACCGTGTTTTCAACTGTCAAGACTGCCTCGAAATGGGCCTGTGTTCGATCTCTAGGAACTTGCTCGCCTGCGGGAAGATGGGCTTTCGTATCAGACAGAGAGTCGCAAACTGCAGACGGCCAAGGTCGATGGGTTCTTTTTCCTTCTTGATGGGAGCGGTGACCGATAGCCTACACACTGAGCCGTTCGATTAATTATAGAAAATTACCTTGGTACCTTGACTGGAATACGATATGTCATTGAGAGGTTACTTAGTCTAGGTGTCCTACAAATGGGCCGCTTTTATTCTAACGGAGAACTTCAGTCAACGCCGAGTCTTTTATCTACGAGTCTGCTTATACCTTCTTTGGCGGGCTCGAGGATTACGAACAAGATATACATTACTACACAATATGATAAGTTTGTACACTCTGATAGCTAAGAGCATTGTGTCCTCTGTCAAGTGGCGTCATTCCTTATAGACTTGACTGTCCATTCCGTTGGCGCTTACGCTGCGGTGCCCCCACCTCTGCCCCCTCCCTCCCCTCCCTCACAACTGACAGACTGCTTCACTTCATCCCTTCCTCCGTCGACCTATCTTCTACCCTGGCCTTCCTCCAGCAGACTATCTTTGCCTTTTCCCTCCATCAAGGGGTTGTGCTACTCCTGTCAAATCCTCCACCAACAATCGATTACGTGCCGCATGTTCGGGAGCACGCCATGGCCGCAGCAACCAACGTGCGATGGCTCATCGGTGAGGGACACGACGCCCTGGAACAGGGTACCTCCTTCGGTATCCCATGGTCTAGAGGACAGCATCAACCGGGTCAAAGGTTTATTATTGAAGGTGAAAATGGTGAGAAATACCCGCTTGACTCCCGGGAGCTGGCTTTCTGGGCAGACGGCTCCTTGAAATGGACGGCGCATTCGGTCAGTGGCCATGTTAGCTATAGCCACAGTTACACGGTTCAAGGGGCTTCCACCCAAGGTGAGATAGAATCAGGGATTACTATTGAGACAGGCTCCGGTGGGATGGAGATTGCGACGAAACTCGGGCTTCAGATTCGATTCCCAGGTTCAGGAGGCTCCACTTTGTTTGAAAGCGTGTCGGTAAATGATCGTGAGATATGTTCAGGTGCAGTAATTGTCGCATCTATTAATGGCAAGGAATACAACACGACGATCAAGGGAGTGAATGTGGAAAACGTCACTGGTTCGAGGGCCGTCGTCAAGGCGTCCGGGGCTCTAGTCTCTGCTGAACAACAAGAGCATCTGCCATTCGACGCCAGAGTTTACATCTACTCGCATGCTCTACCACTCAAGATCGTGTTCTCATTTGTGCATGATCTGGACCCAGAAGATCCCCTTGGATCCCTAGGGCTTCGGTTCGCTATACCTATGGGCAGGGCTGAATTGTACAACCGACACATACGCTTCATGGGCCAAAATGAAGGAGCATTGAAGGAGGCAGTTCAAGGGCTCACCGGACTGTGGCATGGTCCGACTGATCAGGATAGGATCGATCAAGTGTCAGGAAACACAGTGACGCTAGCGGACAATACGTGGTTATCATACGTCCCCTCTTGGAACGACTATAGCCTTGCGCAGCTATCATCGGATGGATTCACTATTAAAAAGCGCACAACGGAGGGCTGTTCGTGGGTTAAAGTTGCCGGAGGAACTCGAAGTTCTGGGTCTGTCTATGTCGGGACAGCAGCATCAGGAGGATTAGCGGTGGGCATGTCCGACTTTTGGGAACGGTACCCAACCCAAATTGATCTAGGAAACTTGACCACGGAGCAGGCAGATATAACAACGTGGGTGTATTCACCGCTAGCGGAGCCCTTGGACACGCGCCCATATCACGATGGTCTGGGACTCGATACCTATCGCAAGCAGCTTGACGCCCTCGATGTCACATATGAAGACTACGAGCCTGGATTTGCTACTGCTAATGGCATCGGCAGGACAAGTGTGTTTTTCATCAGACCCTTTGTAAACGGAACACCTCCCGACAAAGAATTGAGCACCTTTTCATCCTTGGTGCGAAATCCTCCCCGGCTAATTTCCACAACCGAATGGATGTACCACGCAGACGCCTTTCATGGCTGTTGGGCTCCTTCTTACCAGGTTTTGAAGCATTCGCCAATTAACTTGGAAGTCGAAATCGAGCACAACCTTGACCTGCTCTTCACGTTCTACCGCCAGCAGGTAGAACAGCATCGGTGGTATGGTTTCTGGGACTACGGCGACGTGCAACACACATACGACCCGTACCGTCATTCCTGGCGATATGATGTTGGGGGATTTGCTTGGGACAACTCGGAATTATCGACCGACCTATGGCTTTGGCTCTATTTTCTCCACACCGGCAGAGCCGATGTCTTCAAGATGGCCGAGGCAATGACTCGCCATACGGGCGAAGTCGATGTCTATCACACAGGACCTTTTAAAGGCTTCGGAACCCGCCATGGCGTTCAGCATTTCAGCGACAGTTCCAAGCAGCTTCGCATTTCCAACGTCCTCTATCGCCGGATTTACTACTACCTCACCGGCGATGAACGGACGGGCGACCTGATTAAGGAGCTTCAAAACTGCCAAGATGTACTCGCGACGCTTGACTCCCACCGCAAAGTCCAAAAGCACGCCTCCATTCCAGAAGGATCCGCGATCGCAAATATCGGTCTTGATTGTGGCGCACTAATTGCCTCGTGGTTGACGGCATGGGAGAGACGAGTAACCGGGTGGTTGCAGGCAAAGGAACGCCTTCTGCAGATGCTTAGCGGCATCGCCAACCTTAGGCACGGCATTGCAACCAATGCAATATTGCTTGATCTGCGCACCGGAGAAGTTCGCGAATGCCCTCCCCCAACCCCGCCGTACGCTGTCAAACACCTGTCCATGTTGTTTGGGTTCCCTGAGATTGTGGTGGAGATGTTGGATTACGCCCAAACTGACTCCACATCAACAATGGCACAGTTTACGAAGGTCTGGCTCTCGTACTGCCGGGCCTATAATGGCGGCTCGGACGTTCAACGCCAGGAATTTGGCTTTGAGTTTCCACCCCAGGCGACTTGGCGACAGAGTCATTCTACACTTACTGCTTTTGCGGCGAGGCATCAAGGTAGCAAAACTTTAGGTCAAACAGCATGGCACCAGTTTTTGAATACCGATGGCTACACCCGACATCATCACTGGACTGTTGTAGAAACTTTAGGTCTTGCTGATGGGGAAGAAGCTGCCTGGATCACGACGAATGAGGCAGCGCGGTATGGCGTCTCGGCTATATTTAACCTGGCGAATGTCAGGGAATACCTTGAACTCGCTGAGGACCAATCGGACTTGCGAGGACATTGACTATATAAATAAATTTATTTGGCTATCGCTGTCGAAGTGCCGACCTACTGATACATGAATCGCTGAAAATATAAGCTCAAGTGCGACAGATTAATCCAAGGCTTTTATACCCTTGAGCCAAGGAACCTCGCTAGGAATGTACTTGTATGCCCGAAATATGGCATTGCTCTCATACATAAACCCGATGCGTTGCATTTCCGCCAGCTCCCTCTTGTCCATCACCTTTTCGTACGTGTTCAACTGTGGCACCACAAACTCCCACACCAGTTGCTTCTCCTCGGTGACCTCCATAATCCTGCCCGAGGCCGCCTCACATATCAAGACATTCCCATTCGCCAACTTCTGTGCTGAGCCCATGAACGGAGTGAAGAACCCCAACCCACCGGTGGTGGAATCTTTCCATTCCCAAATGACTTGCTTCGACTGACGAGAAACGATAATCGCGCGGGAAAATGGAACGGATATCTCCGGTCGAAAGACACCATTATCCAGGATAAGCAGGTCGCCCGCGGAGTTGATCGGATGGGCACAATGTTGCTGACATACAGTGGGTGCAGTCACATGCCAATTGACGTTGCCAGTTAGTCGATCGATGATGAATACAGACGATGTGTTCCGGGATGATGCGATGACATCGCCTGTTGTTGAATCGAGCGACACGCTGTTGATCAAGGGCCAGTGTTCGCGGGCGTAGTGTGGGTGAGATGCAAATTGCTTTGGATCCAGATGATCGATGGCACGCCAGGACCAGAGCAGCTCTGCTCCTCCGTTGGTGCCACCACCGGTGCCTTCGAAGTCGGCCGAGGAGGATGAATTGGATGACTTCCATGGTGCCACGAGCCGGATACAATCCCCGTACATTATCCCGCCTGGTGCCTCGCTGTCGGGTATTCCGCCCTCGACACGGGCGGCTTCTTCGACAGTCAGGGCAGCCACCGTGGTGTATAGGAGCAGATCATTATCAAGATGATGCTGGTCATGGTGGGCAAGGGGATCTAGGTACTGGCACAGGACCTCTCCATCGGGTGCCACCTGCATCATTGCTCCGCCGCGGTACTTGGCCCACATGGGGAACAGATCAGGGGCATCGGGATGCACGCCGTTGTAGGCCAGGGTACCGGTGGGTAGAAGCCGGGCATGGCGACCGGCACGATGAGGGAGCGTCCATCGATGCACTTCCTCACCGGATTGAGAGATCAAATGAGCCGTGTTCGAGGTGAGAGGCGAGTACAGGACATATCCCGGAGACACCTTTTCTGAATCGACGCCCTGGAGCCCAAGGCCGCGACGACGAAAGGTGTGTTGTTCCATTTTGACATGCAGGAAATGCTATTAGGTCTTTCATGAATGAAAGCATTGGGGTATGACAAGGGAGAAATGAGGGGATTTAAATAAGGGAGGAAGAGGAGGGCTTGATTCCGGCGTCACCCCGACGGACCGGCATGCCGCGGTATGCCGCCGGCAAATCCGGGGTCTATCGCGCAATCATGATGGCGTCAGATAAGGCTTCAATGGGCTTATCGAAAGGCAGCGGGCGAATGGAGATGGTATCTGCATAAATAGGTGGAAGGGAGTCTGTTGATCACAGTGTTCTGCTTGGAAAGCAGACATTGAGCGAAAAGTGGTTGTCCTGGCATCATCCATCCGAACGGAGACGCGCTAGATCGGATCCGACCCCACCATGGATCAAGAAAAGCAAGACATCATCACTCATGAGTCTGCAGAGGTACAGAAAGCTTCTGGCTCAGAATGGCTGTATCGAGCCTTGTCAATCGAAACCGGCGGAATCGAGCGCATCACCGACGATGACCGGCACCACAACACCACGCGGTTTTGGAACGCTGCCACATTTTGGTACGAAGCAGTTAGACATACTAGTGGTGCACCTGCTGATCGCGATGATGGGATAGGTTCAGTGCCAATATGGCCGTCGCCACCCTGAACATTGGCGCACTGGGTGGTTCGTACGGCCTCGGGTTCTGGGATTGCTTCATTGTCATATTCCTGGTTAATCTGATCGGAGACCTCCTTCCGGCCTGGACAGCAACCTTTGGGCTGAGCGGTCTCCGAATGACGACCTTCTCGTGCGTGCATCAAACCCTCTTACCCTTACAAGCTAACCAATACTCTTTCCAGCCGCTACTCCTTTGGCCACCGAGGCAATTTACTCGTCGTGATCTTTTCCATGATCTCTACCACAGGCTGGAACGCTATCAACGCTATCTCTGGCGCGTCGGTTCTCAGCGCCCTATCCGATGGGAAGTTTCCCACTTGGGCCGGAGTGATCGTCATCTGCACCCTCGTCTATATTATCTGCGTCCTCGGTATTCACTGGATCCATCGACTCGATACATTCCTCTGGATCCCCTTTCTGGTGGTCTGGTGTGTGGCAGCTGGGACCGGGGCATCGCATTTCACCACGGCCATGCCCAATGGAAACGACAACACGAGCACGTCCGACAAAGCCGCTGCGGTCTTGACATACATGGCAAGCATCTTTTCCTTTTCCATATCCTGGATCAACTGCGCAGCAGACTACAATGTCCGCATGCCTGCGGAAACACCACGCTGGAAGATCTTCTCCGCCACATACGTGGGCATCTTTGTGCCGACAGTTCTTGTGCAAACGCTCGGAGCTGCTCTGTACACTGGAACCATAACTAACGCTGCTTGGAAAGCAGCGTACGAGGACTCCTCAATCGGAGGACTACTCGGGATGGCACTATCCCCAGCCGGGGGATTCGGCAAGTTTCTCATGGTATTGGCTGGCTTGAGTGCAGTTCCGGTACATATTACACCTCCTATCACTGTTTCACTCTCCCTCAAGGAATTGAACCCACTAACAATGTTCAGAACAACATTCCCAACAACTACTCCTTTGCCCTACACGCCCAAAATTTCACCCCACGGGCCGCTAAAATCCCCCGTATCATCTGGATCACATTTGGGTTTGTGGTCAGCCTCATCATTGGATGCTGCGCAGCCGTCTACTTCAAAGATACACTGCAGACCTTCCTCAGCGTCATTGGATACTGGACCATCATCCATGTGACGGTCGTGCTCGAAGAACACGTCATTTTCCGCCGCGGCTGGAAGGGATATAATCTCGAAGCCTGGAATGATCCCAAGGAGCTGCCGTTTGGGTGGGCTGCAATCGGTGCTTTTGCGGGAGGGGTGGTGGGTGCTGTACTGGGGATGAAGGTGGCTTGGTATGTCGGACCAGTTGCGGCTTTGATTGGGAAATCGGGGGCGAATATAGGGCAGGCGCTGACGCTGGGGATTTCTGGGGTGCTGTTTGTGGGGTTGAGGGGGGTGGAGAGGTGGTCTGGTGGGTGTTAGTCTTTATTAACGTAGCATTGGCGTATATGTTTATTCTTTTGTTCGTCCAATGCGTTCATGTAATGGAAGGATATCCTCCCGTCTGTGGACACACAGCAGTGTAGTGGTTGTTGCCAGGCATATTGCTGGCCACCCGGCCATTGGTCTTTTCTTTCTTATCTCCGCCCATCACGCCATTGACCCGCCACCCGACTTTCATCGTTACCCGTCCATCTACTGGCTATCCCACTCGAAACCTTCAGTTTGATGCACTGTCCCACAAGAAAAACATGCCCCCCGATCGTGGCCGCGCATCTCGGGCTTGCACTTCCTGCCGCAAGCAAAAGACCCGATGCTATGAAGCAGGGACACGAGATGGTGCCTGTCTGCGATGTGAGCGGCTCCAACGGAAATGCTCCTTTGTTCCATCGCCGGTCCCGGAGACCACCCAAGCTCTTTCAGACCCAGGGACTGCTATTCGGTACGCTAGATGCATGTCACGGATCAGTTCCATTGGCTAACTGCACACAGTCTAGAACGGCTCGAAAGAACGGTGGCTGCATTGCTTGACCGACTGGGCGAGGATCCTATTCAACCAACCCACCCACCGCATGAGACACCAATACCGAGTCACGATAGCAATGGCGCCAAGGACACCTCGGACGCACCTGTCATTGTGCTTCGAGATCTAGCAGACAGCACGTCAGTCCCTGACACGAGGTCGACGCCTGCAGCCCTCGAGGATCTAGTTGACCCCGACCTTGCCTTGACCCTGATCACCATGTAAGTCTCAGTTCACCACCATCTGACTTAGCTCTGACCAGATCCCAGATTCCACACTCACTACGGCAAATGGGTCCTTTTCGATCCTACCTCCCACCCCCAAACCATCCTATGTCACGTCCAGAAATCTCCCCTCCTCCTCTCAGCATGCTACCTAATCGCCGTCCGCCATACTTCCACAGCCCTGGCAACCAGACTAGCCCCGAAGCTCTACGAATACAGCCGTTCCCACATCTCCACAGCCCTACTCACAGCTCCCCAACCCCTTGAATTCTTTCAAGCCGCGCTAATACTATGCCTGTGGTCCACCACCGTTGGCCAAATTCCCCTCTCCATCGATGGCTGGCTGCTCAGCGGCTTTGCGCTGCAACACTGCGAAGCCAGTCCATTATTCGGCCCATCGCCCTCCCTCGGTCGGCGGTTCTTCGGGAATCATCTCTGTCTCGCCCATTTGCATTACTGCGTCGGCACAAGTCGGAAACCTATGCTGCAGAGCGCACAAATTACTCGATGCAAGTCGACCGTCACAGCAGATCAAATCACCAACTACGAAACCCGCATGGTGGCCGAGATAGACCTCTACTGGACGGTTTCAAACCAGCTCTTGAATAACAGGGAGACGATAAACATTCTCGAATCGATAACGGAGCTTCAAGCCTGGAAACAAGAATGGAGAGAAGTTCTTGGTTCGTTTATCCCACCACCCCCCTCCAACAAACCACCCCCATCTAACCCCCAGCACAGAACAACCCCGATCCCAATTCCTCCTCATGGGCTTCCACTTCTCCACCCTCCTCCTCTACAACCAATCCCAGCCCACTACCCCCCATACCTCCTCAACCCCCTCCATCCGCGAAATGACCCACCACGCCATCACCATCATCCAAACCGCCATCGACACCGAAGACGCCCGTACCCGCCACCTCACCGACCACATCTACCACATGATTACCTTTGCGGGGATTGTCATCTGTCGATTTCTTCATAAACACCACGGCGAAGTATCGCGCCACTATCAAATCGAAGACCTAGATGCTTTGATTATCAAGCTCGTGAAATGGCTCCGCTCGATCGGGCTGTCCTGTCATATTGCGCATAAATTGGGGGCTATTGTGGAGAAGGTGTATCGGGGGGTAAGGGCGGCGGATGACAATGCAGAGCCTTCGTCGGCGAATGAAGGGATGGATAGGATCGAGGATGACGAATTAGGGTTAGATTTGAATCTGGAGATGGGGAATTGGTACGTTCCGGACTTTTTGGCCGGGGTTGGTATGGGAGAGGGTGGATGGGACGGGGGTGCTTCTTCAAATTGGGAGGGGTACTGATTGGTATTTCTTTAATGTGGAGAAAGAGAGTGTGGATATATCATAGACCATCTGTACTACATTGGGAGAGTCTACGTTCAAGCCAAGAAATAAAAAAAAAAGAAGAAGAAAAGGAATGGGAATAGGCTAGCCGAAGCAGAACGGTCGGGTTGCTTGCACCGTTGCAGGCTGACGGGAAGACCGTCGATGAATCTATCATATCAATTCAAGTCTATGAGAGAGAAAGCGAGGAGATCTGATCTGAAAAAAGGCACCGTGAACAATGTAGGGTGCACTAATGGTTTGATCGGGGTCATATCTAAACGACTCAGGGACGTTGGATGTAGCGTGTGGATGGGGAACACGATTGCGGTTGGTCGGTTGATGTTTGGTGGTGGTCCCCCCGCAGGACGGGAGGTGATGATCATCGGGCTACACTGCCTAGCTGCAGTGCCTCTGTGCCCCTCATTTTTGGGACCCTGCAGTGTAGTCCTCAGATTGCAGAGAGATAATCATCTTGTAGAAATGATTATTAGAGATTATGTACGATCTATGTAGTATCGTCTAACTGCCTACAACCAAGGCCTTAAATATAAACTAAAGGTGGAGCACAACCCAAACAAGGAAGCAACCTCAATCAAGGACACCCATCCACAGCACGACCCGGCACCCCGATCGGTACCACCTCAGACTCGAAGCACGGTTTCTTGCTAACCCGATACTCCAAGCGATCGGTCCAAAAATGCGAGAACGCGGCATGGAGCGTCGGAACAGCCCCAAACAGCGTGCCGGCAATGGGAAAGGTGACTCGCTCCAGGAGACACTGTGGCGTGTACCACGCGCGCCGGGAGCAGCCCGTGCCGGAGATGTTGGCGATTTGCATGTCCTGCATGCGCGTCTCGACGCAGAGGGTATGCCACCCCTCGTAGAGTGAAATGGCGAGGTTCATTCCGATGAAAGATAATGTGCGGAGGGTGTTGGTGGAGGAGAAGGCAAAGGCTAGGGTCGGGTGTAAATGCTCGGTTGGGTTGAAGAGCGTGTAGAAGACGGAGAAGGCTAGGAGGATTGTGACGTGGCAGGGTAGAAAATGGGCCTCCCAGAGTAAGTGGAGGAGAGCCAGTTGTCGGGGTCGCAGGACGAAGCACCGTCGGTGGAATCGGAGATTGCCCACTGTTCGTCGTAACGCGAATCCGGAATCTAGAGCACCCCACATGTGTCGCAGGGCTTGTCGGTATCTTGCAATGCATGTATCTAGGACACGCCGCCAGCCTCGACGCGCATCGCTGGAGACGTTGCATTGGCTGGCCGGAACGTAGATGGCTTGGGTGATTAGGTTTCCGGCGGTCTCGAAGTAGCATTTGAGCAGCATGTGCATGTCTTCGCCGATTGATGTCGGGTCACTGTCCCACCCGCCGACTTTTTCTGCTAGGGATAGTGACAAGGAGTACACTGACGTCGGGATTGCCAGCACGGTGCCCGGGTACATGGTTGACAGCCCGGCAAATCCCCAGAGGAGATCGGCACACCGGACGAGAACGGGGCTTTCGTTGGAGTTCCGGTCAAATATGATGGGACAGCAGTACAGCGTACGCTCAGCCTCGGTAGGATTCAAATCATGAATCCGCTGGATCTCAGTAAAATAATCCCTAGCGAGATGGGTATCGGCTACACTTCTGCATCAGACACTGTCCCGTAAGAGAACCTCAATGGCGATGGACCTACCGTCAATGACTGTGATAATAATGTTGCAAGTTTCCATGCGCAAGGCTTCGTGATGCACATCGACGATATAGCGTGCCGCGAAAGCCACATTAGATCCCTTGCCTGGAATCTCACCGTCGATTCCATATGGATGGAACGTCGTCTGAATACTCCGGAACGAAGTATCAAACGTGGCTCCTAACTTCATGGCTTTCTCGACAGCAGTTGCTTCTTTCTCTTCCATAGCAAGGTATATCTAACACCGTAAGCTACACTTACTGTGACCACATGAAGATAGCCCTACCTCATAGTGGGATCTGGCATTCGGATGGCTGGCCAGAACGCTGAGTGTAGTACGCAAGGTGTCCACATCCTCGCGATAATTCGGAACAATGATGGCATGTACGAGCTCATCAGTCTGCGTCTTCGGTATGCTCTCCCCCGCGAGAGGGCTATGCATGTCGCTTAAATCCAGGAGGGGATTGTTTGTCAAATCTAATGTGCTCGCACCCTCTATAAGAATACTCCGCCTTTGGAAGACCTGCTGCGTTTTGCGGGTAACCCAAAACAACGACCAGAGAAGACGGATGGTGAAGGTGAACATATTGAGATGAATGACCACCGTATATATGGCGAAGACAAGTTGTGCCAGGTTCAAACCATGTGGGAGATCAGGGTCCGGCTTCCTGGGGCGCGCGGGCGTCCATCTCCTCCAGAGGTCCCAGCCTAGATGGTCGGAGAAGGCCAAGAAGAGAAGCGATACCAGTATCAGGATACTGAATCCCGGCAGACAGCGCGAGCTCCAGCGTAACATGTTGTCTGGCTGGACTGGAACTTCGAGGTTGTCGATTACAGGCCCTTCGTAAAGAATTTCAACGCGAAAACATGGGTTGTTACCCCACTATATATGAAAAGCAGTAGTCACAAGAAAATCACAGTATACAATGCAGCTGGCCCGTGAAGGCCATTGTAGAGCCAATCCCTAGGATGCAAAGTAGGGCATGGGAGCTGGTGGCCTGGGGGCGGACGGGCAGTCACCAATCATGGGTGGGCTGCCGTCCATGTGGCTCCCGGACTCGAGGGCCTCCAATTTGACCTCCTCCCAACCATCAACCGGCCTCTATTAGGCTTCATCTAATTTTCGATCACCAGACCCTCTCCCAGTCATGCGTCAATTCTCACTGTCGGTGCTCCAATTTTAAGCCTTTGGCCAGCGATAGTTGGATACCATGGACTCCCGCTAAACTTTCTCAAGACAAGCCCATTAGCAGGACGGTTGCTGCAGCAGAGGTGCCTCACCAAACAAGGACCACAGCGCATCTCGTCACAATAGCCTATCGGCAAATTCCCCAGCCGCCCGCATCGCCTTCTGCGCCTCGGGCACCATCCCGAGAATCTGACCCGCCGCGAAAATATCATGCGTCGCCCCCTCGACCACCCACGCCTTTGCCGTGTTGCCAATGCCCTTCATCTCCTCGACGAACTGAAGATTCTCGTCCACCATGACCTCCGCCGTACCCGTCTGCACGAACATTCCCGTCGAGATAACGGGGAATTCCCGGCCCAACGGGCTCAGCCAGGCTTGCTCCCGCGAGTTACCCTCGAGGGGAGCGTAGCAACTCGCGCCCCATTCGGCCAGGGCTCCATTCAAATAGTCGCTTCGGGCATTACGGTGCTGATCAATCCTGGCGGTCCCCTCCGGGGATAAATCTAACCACGGACTCCAAAGAAAGGCAGCCCGGGGGAGAGGAAGACGACGGTCGGGACCATCCACGTTGGTTTCCGTGGCTAGATAACGTAGCACTGTGACCGCCAGGCTGGCCCCGGCCGAGTCCCCCGAGATGATGAGCTGCTGTGGCGGGACTCGGAGAACGTCCAGGACGTAGGCATAGGCCGTAATGGCGTCCTGAAGGGCGGCGGGAAAGCGCGTGTGGGTGGAGGCGGCAGGCGTGGGTCCGGCCAGGCGATATTGCACCTGTAGCACGGGCTTGTTCAGGATGCCGCTGAGTTGCTGGGGGCCCCATCCGCCCTCCAGGGGGCGGGCGCCTCCCAACACGTACGCCCCCCCGTGGAAGTGGAGGACCATTCCGTTCGGGAATGGGCCCTTCGGAGACGTGCCTGTGGCGGAGTACCAGACGGCCCCGACCGGCAGTGGGCGAATTGCTGGATTGGTAAGCAGGATGCCGCGGTAATAATGTCGAGGGGCAGTGCTGGGAGCGAGCTGCATGACGATGAATCGGTCCTTTTCATTCCCTGGAAGGAGGGTCTTTTGCGCGTGGAAGCTGACGGTGACGCTATAGCGCCACCACAAGTCGAAGAGCTTCAGGCCAATCGCTTGGTGGTAGGTCCAACCGGGATGGGGGCGAGTGAAGGGGAATGCATAGTAAAGACAAATGCCAACAATGCGAAAGGGAAGAGTAGCCAGGGCCCAACTCTTCACAAGGATAGTGCGGAGGCTCGCCATGTTAGATGATGGTTGTCAATTGAATAACTCGCCAGGAATGGTAGAAGTTAGGGTCTGTTATATGTCAAGAACCACGTAGGTCAAAAGGAATATATATCCCTGCCTAGCCCCGAGTGTAGAAGGTAGAAATAGCAGGATGTCTCAACATTATATAACGATGAGCTCTATTTTTTTGGGGGGGTGGGGGGGAAGAGTTGGTTGCTTACGGAGGAGGGACAAGGAAGACCGTTGTAAGTGACAGTCCCCAACTTGTGATTGTTTGCTATGTGCCTGTACCTGTAGTAGTAGATGAATGGTACTAGTAAGATGGAGAGTACAGTACAGTACTGCTCCGTATCGAAATCCTGATTGGCAGCGGGAGGGGTCCATCAGGTGATGGATCCCCTGGGGAGAACAAAGAACTCCACCGACATAAGCGATGGGTTTCACTCCGCCCCACGACAAACATCCATCATCTGCGCCCGAGACAGGGTTTTTGAAGTGGACTGCACGCTGCTACTCCCATCTTCCAATTGACGGTACAGGATTACCAGGTCAACGATCACGTTGCAGATCTCATAGCCGAAAATCAACTTCGCGGGGCTCAGACACTTGGCCTGACCGGGCACCTGGAGCTCCAAGTCCCACATCGCGTGCACGGGAAGACACTGCAAGATGACAAGCAGAAGGGTGACCACAGCCCAGACAGCGCAGACGCCAACAAGCGCATGGGTAATACGCGCAAAGATCTGCACCGAGAAAACCCGACGATAGAATGTCAGCACCGAGAATTTCACCACCGAGATGCAGGTGATGAAAAGGATCTCCTCGACGTAAAGGTACTGATTGATCAGCCACATCAGTAATGCCTAGCACCGGGGATGGGAGGATATCTCTTTTCGACAGAGAAAATCTGACAATGGGTATGCTGGAATGGTGGGTAGCAGGTAAGGCTATATGGACGTTCGTGGGTGAATGTCGCATTTGTAACAAGGTTAATATAATTCCAACTTCCCCCTCCCAGGCCGACAACTAGTTTTCCGAGAGCAGATAGATACGACACAGAAGCTTCTCTAGGAATTTGAAATTTGAATTGCTTTGACATATCAGTGCTGCTTCTTGCAAATGGACTTGTCCTCCGCCCCGATGGGCAACAGCCCTCAGTCCGCCTTGTCACTGTCAGCCACGCCCATTGCGCTTGAGCCAGTGGCAGTGGTTGGGATCGCGCTCAAGTTCCCTGGGGATGCAGACACTCCGGAGGCCTTCTGGAAACTTCTCCTCGACGGTCGCTGCACCGTGACTGATGTGCCCCCGGATCGGTGGAACGTGAACACGTTCTACCATCCAGACCCGGACCGCCATGATTCCAGTCACCAAGACATTATGACCTTGAAGCAGTCACTGACCGTTGCCACTGGCTATAGATGAACTCGCGCCGCGGCCACTTCCTCAAAGAGGACGTCTTCTTAATTCGATGCGCCATTCTTCTCCTTATCCCCGGCGGAAGTGGCGTGTATGGATCCTCAACAGCGTGGCCTGTTGGAATGCACGTACCATGCATTGGAAAACGCGGGAATTCCAGTGGCCTCGGTAGCTGGATCACGTACATCATGCTATGTAGGCTCCTTCTCCCGGGAATATGCCGCCCTCCTGCAACGAGACCCACAACTTCAGGCCCGATATGAGGCCGTAGGGACGGGAACTGCCATGCTTGCAAATCGGACGGTTATCTGGCCTCACTCGGGTGCGATGCTTGCGGTGGCCTTGTCTCCGGCCGACATTCAGCCGATCCTCGATGTGGTCACCAATTGTCTCGGTCCTGACCGGGTAGTGATCGGCTGTATCAATAGCCCCCAGAACATGACGCTCACGGGCGACGAGATTTGCATCGACTTTGTCCAGACTCAACTGGACAGCTTATCGAGCCGAAGCAGCTCCGGAAGCCCGAATATTGGGCCAGGAATCTGACCCTGTCCGGTGCAATTCGCACCAGCCTTGGTTAGTCTGGGCAACCGTCTAATCCACGAGAGCGCTGGGCACGCTGAAACGGCTCCCACTATTATGGTTGAGGTTGGTCCTCATGGAGCCCTGCGAAGGCCCGTTGAAGAGTCAATCGCTGCGGCCCGCACCCCCGTTTGGTGATGCTTCTTACGACATGACACTACAGAATGGCACTCATGCCATCCGCACGATGCTAGAATTGATCGGCAGACTCCATTGTCGACAACTCCCAGTCGATCTGAATATGATCAATGCGTCTTGGGGCGCTCCATCTCCTAGGAGAACACTGGTTGGTCTGCCTCCGTATCCATTCAACCATTCGCAGTCCTCCTGGCTTGAGAGCCAGATCAGTCAAAACTACCGCTTCGGTGAGTTTCCCCCGGCACGAGCTACTTGGGGTGCGGACGCCAGACTGGAATCCGCTCGAAGCGAAGTGGCGCCACATCATCCGCGCATCGGAGCTCCCGTGGATCCAGGACCACGCGTTCAATGGCACCGAGCTCTACCCTGCTGCCGGGATCATGGTCATGGCGCTGGAAGCAGCTCGGCAAATGGCCGATCCAGGCCTCCCCCCCTGTGACAGGGTATAGCTTAGAATCGGTGTCGTTTCATAGGGCTCTCCTCGTCAACCTTTCCTCACAGGGTGTCGAGGTTCAATTCCACCTGCGCCCCGAGACCAAAGTTCGAATTGACTCCAGCATCTCGGACAGAAATACTTTCACTCTCTACCAGCAGTGTCCCGGTGAATGGGTTGAGATCAGCCGCGGCACCATCGTGACTCACTACGGCAATGACGAGCGTCAGCCGCAGCACAGCGAAGCGCTCCGCCAGGCATGGCTGGATGGGATTCAACGGTGCCAACAAACCATCCAGTTCTGCGCAAGTCTATGACAATCTAGCCCACTATGAATTTGGGTTCGGACCGGCCTTCCAGGGTTTGCAGGATGTCCACTACAGTATGGACAGGGAGGCAACGGCCGTCATAAATCCGAGCCAGTGGATGGAAAAAGTCAAGCATAGTGATCTCACCCAAGACTACCTGATCCATCCAACCGCCCTCGATGCTTTCCTGCAAACAACCGCAGTGGCCGAGTCGAGGGGTACCTGGACCCCCCTACGAACAATGGTACCCACGCGCATAGCTCGCTTTTGGATCTCAAATCAATTGTTGGCACATACACCAGGGCACACCCTCCGAGCGCTTACCACAGCAGCCGTCCGGGGCTATCGGGAGACCGACTTTACCGTCACAGCATATGACCATTCGACCCAGCAATGCCAGATTTTGTTCGAAGGGTATCGATCGACTGCCGTGACAAGCCTGAGATTGGCGGGACCAGAGGCTTTTCGAGTGGGATTTGATGTTGAGTGGCGGCCGGATGTGGATCTTCTCACGCACAGTCACGCAGCGGCCATCTGCACCTCGGCGCTGACCACTGCAGACCACCCTAACCCGGTAGCTGCCGACTCAATGGAAGTGATCTGTCTCCATCATCTCGGCCGGGTGCTGCGGGAGTTTGAGGGTGGCAAGTTGGACGTGAGAGCTCCCCATATGCATCGATATCTTTCTTGGATGAGGAGCCAAGTCGCCGCTTATGAAGCGTCCGACCTTACATTCCAGGGCGAGTGCGGAAAGCCCGCCTTGGATGACACTGCCTATTTTGATCGCCTTGCAGTCGCCTTGGGAGACTCGCCTGAGATGCAGCTCTACAATTCCGTGGGCTCAGATCTCAATCGAGTCCTCGGTGGCGAAATGGATCCCCTGGAGATTCGGTACAGCGATGGCGGTTTGGCTGAGGGTTTCTACCACGGTAGCACCTTCGCAGCAAATAACAAAAGGGCGGCTGCCTATATTGACCGCCTGGTGCACAAGGAGCCACAGGCCAACATCTTGGAGATTGGAGCCGGTACTGGCGGAAGCACTGCAGTCATTCTGGATCACCTAGCCGCCCGGTCATGGTGTGGGAGGTATACCTACACAGATGTATCACCTGGGTTCTTCCCCAAAGCTGCGGATCAGTTCCACCGCTATGCCAGTCGCCTGGAATTCAAAGTCCTAGATATCGAGAAGGACCCCACAATTCAGGAGTTCAGCCTGCCCAAATACGATGTTGTCGTAGCTTCGTCCGTCTTGCACGCCACTCGCAGCATAGAGAATACTTTACGAAATGTGCATCAATTGCTGAAGCCGGGCGGCAAGCTCATTCTAATTGAACCGTGCAATCCCAACACTACGCGCATTCCTTTCGTCTTTGGTCTTCTCCCGGGGTGGTGGCTCGGAAGTGAGGACTCTAGATCAGGAGGGCCCCTCCTGTCTGAGCAGTCCTGGGATGCGGTGCTCAAAAAAGCGGGCTTCGATGGGAATGAGGTCTGCTTGAGGGACTTCCCTGGCCACCAACATACTATGAGTCTCATCATAACCACTGCCGTTTCACCCAAGACCCAGGCTTTGCCCTCGTCTAGGCAAGAAATCATCATCCTCGTTCCGAAACGAGTCCGCACGGGAACATCCCCTGGTGAGCCAGCTAGAAGGGGCAATTCGCAGGAGCTGGTCCTACTTCGGTGGTTGTTGATGAGCACTTACGCTCTAAAGATGTGAACAACGCTTACTGCATTTCCTTGATGGAGCTCACCGACCCCTTCCTTCTTACAGTGGACAGTTTCGGGTGGGAGCGTCTGAAAACCCTAACAGAATATTGGGTGATAAACGCCTGCTCTGCTATCTGTCGGTCGGGGGTCTTCTTAGAAATGGAACGGTTATCTATGGGGCTGATGTGTGTGTGTGTGTGTGTGTGTGTGTATTCATCATGCATTGGCGTCGGGGCGTGAGCCGCAAGGAAAACCTTTTACTGCAGCATGGCGTTGACCCCGCTGCTGCTGTTCGACTCTTAGGCCCCTTTGCCCCTCTTCTCAACATTACCCTCCTTTCCTACTAAGACACGCTTCGGCTTCACACACCGCGATCCACCTGCCTCCTCCCTCTCCTAGGTCAAGCATGAGTGAACAAGCTGAGAAAAGTGTCGCGGAACAGAAAAGAATTGAACAGAACCAACTTAGACAGATGTCATTGTCATCGGGTGAGGAAGCTAAGAGAGCGCGGGGCAAAAAAGACGGAGCTGCCATCCCAGCGCATAGCGAACAATCCAAGCATTGGTCAAGTGATCTCGTCTGGGGAAGAGGCACAGAGGAGGAGACTGAGTAAAAAGAAGGACTGAGGTGTAAGCAACACAAATGCAGCGACTCTGGCTAGCCATTTTTCTAACGTATGCAATAGCGAACAGGAAAAGAGAATGAGCCAAGCCTGTCATGAAGCTACGGAACTGCCAGAGTAGCTGCCGAACCGTTTTCTCAGTCCATCCTTATAGCCTTCTTCCTCTTCTACCTTCTTCTGGATCAAGCGCTCGGCGTCTATACACCAGTACGGACTGACTGTCCGATCAAATATGCTCTGTGTACAGTGCTCTTCGCAGAACCTGCTCTGAATGTGTTCGTTGAAGACTCGAAGGAGCCCTTTCGGGCTATGCAGGGCTTGGAAATACCAAAAGCTCCCTCTATCCCAGCACTTTCTCATAATCTGCGCATGAGAAACGTTCGAGCCTTGAGATCTCTTCTCCTGTTCGTTAAGTGTTTCTATGAATTCCATGACAACCTTTTCAAAGGTCTCTAAAGGCTCTCCATGTTCAATGTCATCAATAGGACGACCAGTCAGCCAGTAGGGAGGTGTCTGGAGCTCGACTGGGAAGGCACACGCCCATTCCAAGTCAATGAGAGATGTAATATGCCATCCATCATCGACGAAGATGTTGCTCGGGTGGAGGTCGGTTAGGGTCATTACAAATGGCCCATGACGGTACTGACGAGATATGAACTGGTGTAGAAGGCCCCGCATCATGGTCAAAGCGGCCAGTTGTTCTTGGCCATCCTTGACGTCATGGATGGCATTTGGCTGGTGGTAGATCCGATTGTCGTGACACTGTAAGAGATCTAGGAGATACGGCTCGACAGATTCGTAAGTTGAACCATCTGGGATCGCTGGAATGCCCTCGTTCTCGAAGGTTTGCAGACGTAGTGTCAAGGGACGATTTGTGAGACTTATTATGCCATCGTTGTTTATAGTGAGGGATCCGATGCGAGGCAGTTGGGTACGATTCAATGACAGGATAATGCTTGCAAGGTCTTTGAACAGGGTCTTTCTCCGTGCCATGTCTTGAAGGTGAACTGCCCAGGTATCAGAGAGCATCCGACCACTCTTGATATAGCCGATAATCATGTACCCCGTGCTCAATGCGCCCCGACGCTGTAGGCCAACATATGGACACGACGTTGGAAAACCCAGCCATGACCGTACTACGCGACCTATTTGCCAACAAAATCGGGAGAATAACGATACACAGGACGGTTCAACGAACTGTAACAGGCCGCAAATTAGCTGAAGAATTTGGCAACGGGGATGGGCTTACATACCGTTTTCCCATCGGGAAATGCAAATCCATGGAGTGATGGGATAGGCACACTCGGACAATTCTCCCGCATCCAGATATAAGTAGCTGCTTCGCACCGCAGCTTCTCATCGACGTTTCCAGGTTTATTCTCTTCGCCGACCTTGTATGGCAGCGGAATTCGAACGAGGACGTGATTCTCAGAAGGCGGGTTAATACAGATTGGAATGCATACATTGTAGCTGCCAAACATCCAATCGGCTTCATCAGCGACCTGACAATGCCTTGCGCGAAGATGAAAAGCTACCGAAGCTTCGATGTCGGCCTTGAGGGAGATAAGATGTGACCAGAACTCTTCCTGCTTCTGTGGATAATCTAACCGATGTAATATATTGTCGTCATCTGCAAGGGCATCATCCAGGGAAACTTTGTTCCCTCTAAGAAGAGGAAGTGTTGTCATTGTGGAGATGATCTCAAGCTAGCGTTATCAAGGCCATCAGGTAAGAGATGGGCCCATGTGAGATCGGAAATTGCCCTCTCATTTAAAACAATACCACCCCATATCGAACAACCCGGGATATCAGTTGCGAAGAATTTGGCAAAGTCTATCAAATAGTCGGAGCACTAGCGAGATTCTGATCGGGTTTGTTGTTCGGGGCCAGCCGCGCAGAAGTGGAACAACAGAAGAGGCTGGGCTCGGCTCAGGGGCGGCGATTCCGGGCGGTGTAATGATCCTATTCCAGAACAGGTAAGGCTGGGACGGATGCCGGAAGGGATATCCACCGAGCTGACTGCCCGTGGAGATGAGGATTGTCGGGCCATGGTAAACGAGTCGTTACAGGATAGCTCCCCGGGAATAAAGCCACGCCTTGGCCTGATCAATTCCCAAGACAGTACTGAGGAGCATTCGCCCGAACAGGTCCACATCAGCCGGCTGCGCAGATTGTAGCGCACCAACAAAATCCCCATTGCAGATCAAAAAATGTTGGTGCTCGTTCCAGGCCACTGCAAAATCAAAGGCAGTCTGCGCGCTCCATAGATGTGCAGATAGATACCACGAATGGATGAGACCCAGACGTCCGTCGCAGCTGAGGTTGTTGTCGCCGGTGATCAAACGGTAGATCTGGATCAGGTAGAAGGTGAAGAGTGCAGTGCGTCGCGCAGATTCCTGGTAGACCCACTCGCTCCAGGATTGCATGACAGCATCCATAGGGGGGAATGAGTCTGTGTCTGGCTCTGGAGCGGGAAAATGGACATAGTTTAGGAGGTTGAAGCCGGCGGTTTCAAGAATAGGGATGAGTGGTTCGGCGGATACACGGGCATAAATGTCTCCCTCAAAGAGGCGCATAATTTGATAAAGAATGAGTGACTGCGTGTAGGCTAAAGCTTCGATTGGTGTGCTTGGAGGTGGTGAGGCGAGAAGGTCGTCGATGCGGGTCTTGAAGGAGGAGAGGATGACGGGAGTGTTGATCTCGTTTCGGGCCATATAAAGGGCACAACAGGCGAGGGCATCTGTTATCATTAGAGACCAGCAACAAACAGCCATAATCATGATGGCCTACCTTGCATTGATCTCGGCATGCCATCCTTGTATAGTTGCTGATGGCACCACGGCGTCTGGTTCTCTAGAACCATCATTCTGGGTGCTTGTTTTAGCACATCTATGCCAAATTGCAAACGTGTCGTGACGATCTCCGAGATAGGCATCGAAGATCTCGTCCTTATCACGGCAGTGCTTGGCTCCTGGAATGCTAGTAGTTGCGCAGGAGGTTGTATCGGTGGACATTGAGCAAGTAGATCCAGAATATCTTTCTCTGGGTCAGGGAGTTCAAGCACGCCTGGCTCCACAGTCGATGGTAGAAAGTTAAAATCCGTCGTACACTGGACCTCTGCATATGATGGCGAGAACAAGTTCTCAGGGGGGCTAATCGGTAATGACGGCGTCTCCATATCCAGGCTCGGCGGTTGTCTCCCCGGGTAGACGCAAACCAAGTTGCGGCGGGCACATCGAAAACAAGCCGGCCAGGCCAGATCGCAACGCCGCTTGGCAACTTTGCAAGCTTCGCAGGACTTCCGCCGCGGTGGGGCATTGGCCCGTTCTGTAGACGAATTAATGGACTGCATGTGCCCGGTTTGTTGAAGCTGGAATATTTGACGACGAACCGATGGAAGATGGCTACGGAAAAAAACAGTGGAGATGGCGGAGTTCCGCCCGCTAAATCTACTTCAGCCAATCATCGCGGTCACCCGAGTGGATCTCCGCAGCGGACATTGTATACCTCTCTTCTAAGGCTTCAACACTGCCATATATAAACACCCAAACCACCTCAGATATGCTCCCCATCATCATCCATCCTTCTCAATCCATCATACTCTATTACCACTACATCCACAATGTCCATCTTCGTCTGCGGCGCAACAGGCACCCAAGGCGGCGCCATCACCCGCCACCTCCTGCAAAAAAACATCCAAGTGCACACCATCACACGCACTCCCACCTCCCCCGCCGCACAAACCCTCCAAACCCTCGGCGTACGCATCACCAAAGGCGACTACGACGATGAACCCTCCCTCCGCGGCAGCCTAACCGGCTGCATCGGCCTCTTCCTGAACATGACGCCCGACTTCCTCAACCCAGAGAACGAAACCATCCGCGGCCGTCGAGTCCTCACCCTCGCCAAAGAAGCCGGGGTCAAATACGTCGTCTACAGCAGCGCCTTTGCCGTCAATGAACCACAGAAAATCCGCACCTTCACTCCCACGGGCTTCACGGGGAAGATGCTTCTTAGTAAACAAGCGCTGGAAATTGAGACACGGACGTTGGGCTTTGAGAGATGGACCATCCTGCGTCCTGGGAACTTTATGACGAATTTTCTGGCGCCCCGGGCGCGGATTTATGCTGGTTTGGTGGATAAGAAGTGTTGGACGACGGCTTGGACGCCCGAGACGCAGATTGCGATGGTGGATCCGGAGGATATTGGCCGGGTCGGTGCGGAGGCGCTCTTCGATGAGAGGTTTCATGGGGTGGAAATTGAATTGGCAGGGGAGTTGTTGACTGTTGGGGAGATATTGGGGGCTTTGGCGAAGGCTACTGGGGTGGAATTCAAGGCGGATTATATGACGGAGGAGCAGATTGGAGCGCAGATTGCGACGAATGTGTTGATCGAGGCGCAGGTGGCTTTGCGGGATATGGCGCAATTTGCGGATCTGGAGAGGAATAAGGATTTGGGATTGAATATGGGGACGTTTGAGAACTTTTTGGAGAGGGAGAGGGAGAATGTTGAGAAGACGTATTCTACTTAGCGGTTGTATATAAAGTTCACCACTTGTTGTTGACTTTGATTATCAGGTGATATTCACATGCATCTTCAATCATTTACCGCTGAGATACTTAAAGTCAAGATTTGTGCAAATTCAACCTGCCAAGGTCCCAAGTAGTCCTTAAAGCTTCCCAATTGCAACACTACCCGCACCTAAAAAGATTCTCTTGTCCTTCAACGCCTCGCTATGCCACTGAGAAGATGACTGCATCTCATATCCCGCATGAGAACGGACATACCTTGATGCCACGGTCAGGGCTACGACATCGCCATCGACGCAGGCATCATACATCAACAGACAAGAGCAGACAATTGCTTGCACGTGCCCGATTATCTCTCTTCCACGCCAGAGAAGTTCGGCTTTGTCAGCCTTCTCTGTCGTTTGGATGAATCTCTCAAGTCTCTTCTGGACGAGCGCACACTCGTCCGCAAGCAGCCTTTGACAGAACTGGAGTACGCTGCGCGTCCACTGACCCAGAACGTTTTCGAGAACTCTGCCATCCCCGAGCCGTCGATCGGTAATGACTCTAACCACATCCTCGGCCATCACACTGACCGTGCCCTCCCAGATCGGATTGACCAGCGTGTCGCGGAAAATCTTCGCTACATTGAGAATGCCGCCATCCTCATTGTTTTCGCAGTATCCAACCCCACCAAGGCCCTCCATACAGGCTCGAAGACCTTGAACAGATGCCACACTGACCAGTGCTTTCAATGCTGGCGTAATGAGTCGTAGCAGAGTTGCTGCTTGCTTTTTATCCTGCGGGATCAAAGGAGCGGCTTTGGTGTTGCGAACCATCAAGTCCCAATCCTGTTCGATAGAGCCCTGCAGCGCAATGCCGAAGAATGTCCAATGCATCGCTGCCCAGTATTTCACTGTTTCCCCAGCCATCCACCGCACGTGCTGCCGGTTGTCCTCCAGAAGTGAGCCCTGAACTTTGCGAGCCTGTGTGTAGGCCCGACAAATGGCCAGGCCGCGGCCCCAACCCGCCGCGGAACCAGCAGCTGTGTATAGACGTGTAACATTGAGGATGGTCGCAACTTCTTTCACGCCCCGTCCCTCTTCGCCGATCAGCCAGCCCCGCACTCCTTTAAGTTCCAACTCCGCTGTAGGCAACTGCCTTGTGCCAAGTTTATTCTTCAGTCGCTGAATCCGGATCCCATTCAACTCAGTCTCGCTCGCAGATGCCGAGGCAACGCGTCGCCGCATCGGTGCGTAGAACAAACTGAGACCTTTGCTTGTCTGCGCGAGCATGACTGTCATCTCCGAGTCCGTCGCACTGCTGAACCACTTGAACCCGTCGATGCGCCATGGGCCAAGTGGCATACTGTGCGCATCGTGGGAAGCTCCCTGGAGCATTTCGTCTTGTGTCAGCCGACGCGCGACCGTCTCCGTTCCTCGCACATCACTACCACCCGTTCGTTCTGTCATCCATTGCCCACTTGTCCACGCAAGCTTAGGGTCCCGTGAGATGAGGCGGCGGTACGCCTCCTGCATCACCTCTCTCCGACCAGGTTGGTCCCCATCGGGATCGCCTAGATGAGCTGCAAGCAGCTTGGCTGCTCCGTCTGTCATGGATGCAGGACATCCCGTCATGGCAGCACTTCCGGACCAAACATGGTTCAGCGCGAACTGATGCACGCGACGGTTCCAACTTGTGTTTTTCGTCTCGTACGCGGAGCTCACGAGTCCTTCTTCCTGGCCGATTGCCTTGAGCGCTTTCCAACCAGCAGATGTCCATAGGGGATCATTGCGGTTCTCCTCGCCAAAGGTGGTGAGTGGCCGAAGAAAAGGCTGGTTGATCTCTGCGTCGACACTGTGCTGGAGCGTAGACGGATCAAGGGCACGGCGGGCGAGATTGTGGATAGAGCGACCCACGCTGCCGCAGTTGCGGGGAAGATAAAGCTCCAGAATCCGGCCCAGGACTACATCATCAGATCTATCATGGTTCTTTTGGGCGCTTGCCGAGAAATTATAGCAAGGAGGGATGGTGGGGAGGCTTTGGAAAAACCCCTCTGTTGATGATGAAGGCTTTGGAGTCTGCCCTGCCATGGTTTCTCAGGTTTGCCAAATCTACTCCGTAGAGGCGAAACAACTTGATTAAAGAACAAAAAGGACCTCCAGCCGACGAGTCAGTGGTTCCCCCACTTACTCGGCGGCTGACCTCTCAGCCCGAGATATCCGAGGTCCTCGGTGGCCACTTGAATCACGACACGAATTGATTGGTGGTCGGCTTTGATCTGCATCCTCCGAGGCGGGCATGCATGGCGGCCACCATTCCACCAAACAGATGGCCCTCTACATAGTAGGACAATGCTTGTGTTCGATTATGCGCATCTTTAGGCCTGCATGAGGTCATTAGTATGGCATCGTTCTTTGAAAAGGTGCCGTGTATTCGTACTGATTGCAAGATTCAGTCAGCGCTAATTCAGCGCCACAGGAGTTATTAAGCATACCTTTCATTCACCACTGCTCTAGCTAAAGATGCGGCCATCCTGCACCAAGTGGCCACCTCGATCGCATGGATGTATCGCGTAGATCACCCGCCACCACTTCGGCCCTCCTATCGTTCAGGTGCCATCTCGTTCCTCGTCATTGCCAATAGCCAAGTCCCCTTTCCCTTCATGTTGCTTGAAGCATCAGGTCGGTTCCATCCCTCACTTACTGCTCTATGATCAAAACCATGTGAGTATATCTCCATAACCATTCGGAAGAATCAGTGACATTAGCCCTTAAGTAAAGAAAAAGTCTCATAGGGAGCTCCAGACGAAATGATTTGGAACCAGCAATCATTCCAACGTCATGAAGATACTGGTTGCAAACGGAGAGCATGAACTGAAAATTCCGGGGAGCAAGTGAGGGATCATCGGGTGGCTGCTAAGCAGAATAGACGCACGTTTCCGTATGGGATACTCGGGTGATACGACTTGCCATCAAAGTAAAAAGCTCTCAACTAAGAGACGACCAGCCATTCTATGTCAGTAATACAAAAGGTGGGATGTGATGCAGCAGAGTGAGGATAATGGTTGTTGAAGGCAGAAGGTGCGGAGTTGAAGAGGGGGAAGGGGGTAGAAATACCTGGTACTGATATCGGATGAGGGTATGTATTTTCCAATGTTGGGGATAACTGTTTTCAATCAAATCAACCTCGAAAGGGTATTTCTACCGCCCAGGACGGGAGGGGAGGGAAATATATCAGGATATAGATTAGGATGTCTAGAAACTAATGCAACGGGCGCATGGCTCCGCCGGGGTCAGAAGAACCCCCACCCCTTTTGTTGGACCAGAGCTGGAAAAATACCTCAACCAGGATCAGAGAGTTGGCTCCAGCAGGTTTAACCAGATAACATCTCAAGTCTGATATTAAACGACTTTTACACATGACTATCTCTGATGCTGAATGAGCTCAGCACGTGATCTAGCTGATTCAGTATCAGTCGCTAAAGTCTCTGGCCCTGGCAGAGCCGAGATCCTCTCTGGGTGATCAATTCTAGTGCGGGCGCTTGTCCGAAGAGTTAATGACAATGTGGCTTGTGTGGTCTCAAGAGAGAAGGATGTTCACAACCATAAGACTATCTTCACTTTTTGTCACCTAAGCTATTGCCAATAGTAGGGTATCCGAGTATATTATTTTCACCTGTTCTACAGTAAGAACACTATCAAGCTGATATAAGACAGACAGTTGTTCCGTCCTAGAAGATATACAGATAACCACCCTCCGATAACACTGCGCGCATTCCTACTTAAGCTTTGAACGATCGAAAACAGTATTAGAACTTGGTGATTTTCTCAAACAAAAAACACCCTCCAACAAACCGGACACGCATCATGATACTCCAGGAACCAAGTTTCGAGACACCGCCCATGGAAGACATGTTTACAGGCCAGTGCGTGGATGATATCTTCGCGGTGGACCGGGTCGAGGCATATTGCACTATTTCGGTTCAAAATATGTCAGTTTGTCTTGTCTTTGTGTATGTCCAGGAGGGGGCATGCTGCGATAAATGAAAAAGGGCAGAAGGAGATATGTATACCAACCAGATGCTAAGCTCCCCATCATCAGCTAGTAACGGACTCCGCTCGTTATAAAGCGACGAGCTATGCCACGTGTCGTAGCGCTTTAATGGCGCAACGCGATTGAGGGATTTCAGGCGCTGGGAAGAGTCCCATGGGGGAGGTTGGTCCGGGGTTGTGGCAGGTGTGGAGGTGAAGTCGAGGGTACCGTATGCGATGCAGTAGGACTTGAGGAGTAGACTAAGCGTACATATAATCGAATGTCAGTGTTTCTTCCTTCTATCTAGATTTTATAGGGTGGAATGGGTATACCAGATCGCTGTGACGATGTAGATGCCCAGACAGAGAATGAGCAGGACTTGAAGCTGAAGAGTTTTATCGGGGACTTGAGGACGGTCAGGATCTCCCGTCGGTTGTGGTTCTGATTCTTCCATTTTCTCTCTTTGTACAGCTGTCTAGGGTGTATAGTATGCTTGGTTTGGGATCTCTGGGGAAATGTGGGGAAGATATATCGTGCCTGTGAAGATGTTTTTAATATGTCAGCTCCGGGGAGAAGGTTCTCGGCCGAGGTATCCCCGACACTGCTGCATGCAGAAGGTAGCGAGTCTGGGGAAGGTAAGAGGGATGAGGGGTGCGGTCGGGGTGAATCTGGTCCGACCAGGGAATAAAGACAGCCGGGTACCTTATACGGCTTGCAAACCAGGGGAATACCTCGAATAAACTTTGGGCTTTGAATCCCGCTAATCAGGCCACTTAACAGGGGAGGTCATCGTGACGCGCTCATTGCGGAGAAATGAATGAAGAAAGACTTGGCTGTTGTACAGTCTGTGCAGTTGAGGTGGGGGGTCCATCACTAGGATCACCTCACCAGAAGTGAAGTGATATTCCCCGACATCAGTCCACGCACTAATTATACTTTCCATGGCCATGCCTAGACCTCTCCATCTAGTCAAATATCAGGGCACGCCCATGCATCGCCATACCTGACCACGCCAGTTCCAAACCCTCCTCTATGTCTCAATTCGTATACAGAGAAACAAGATTATAGCCTACAATGTCGTCTAAAATCCCCGAAAACCTCTACCACGTCCTCCTCACCATCACCCGCATGAACAAGAACCCTAATAACATCATCGAAACCCTCCGCATCCCAGGCACTTATACCTCCCTTCTCGCCGCCAAAGCCGCCGCGCACAGCTGCCTCTACGACGCCGGCTACGAGCGCGACTTTTTCCCGACCTATGAAACCAGTCACACGATCTTTGAAAAGGAGAACCTTCCCGACCGCATCGGCCTCGCCATCTACGCTGTCGCCCCAGACGGCACCACCTTCCGTGTCCGCATCGATACCACTCCCAACAAGCTCCAACTCACTACCGATCTCGACGACGGTCGTATCTCCATCCCGCTGTACTACGTCGTCCAAGCAAATGTGGAATATGATGCCATCGAGGGACAGAGTACCGTCCGGGAGATGATTGTGCAGGGCACGTTCACGGACTACCTCCAGGCGAGAGAGAGCGCGAGGGGCGTGTTGTTGTCCGAACAAGACGGGATCTTGAAGGGCAGTTATGCAGCATATGTGGAAGCCGGGGAAGGCGATCGGGACTGCGGATTTGGAGAAAACGTGGTTGTACATGCGTCAACGGATTATGGAGTGAACCATCTCGTTAGTGTGATCAGGAATCAAGAGTTGGGGAGTGTGAGTTTGGCGGAGGCTGCGATGAAGATTGGATAGCCTTTCGGGTCTGTTCGTTATGGTATATGGATAGGTGGCTGAGTAAAAGTAAGCAATGCATATGGAATAGTGTGCTGGGATGATGTAAAAACCGGCAGGACTCTGATGTGACCAACTTCTGCCTACTCTGGGGGCCTGATTTGTTGCCTGTTCAGGAATCATTGTGACTCAGGTAATTGCATCGTGTCTTGTGCAACGCTCATCGCAGGGGATCCCGGATAGTGTAATCGCAGGGCTAATCAGAAAGGCCCTTGGCCCGACCGCATCCGGCATGTACTTCCTGGCCTGGAGATTCGTCCATGGAAGCATACGCCTTGATTTGGTCTAGACTGTCCTACCGCCCACCCTATCTCTCCAGTTTACAGCTTTGATTGCATGATGCATCACGAGAAACATACCCGCATACATTCCCATGAGGTAGTCATTTCTACCACATGGGGTGATAGACCAGATCATCACATGTACCAATGACAGCATGAACCCCAATCCAGTATAGTACCCCGAGATACTCCGTAGTATAAACAGCAATGACATCATCAGGACACCCACTAACTATCCCCACATTCGATAAGGAGCTAAAACTAGACGGAACGCAGACGGTCAGGGAGAGAAGAAAAACAAAAAGATGGTCCCAGAGGGGCTCGAACCCTCGACTTTAACGTTATTAGCGTTACGCTCTAACCAACTGAGCTATGGGACCCGCTTGTTGAAAAGCAACTGAAACATAAACATTATAATCAAAAGTTTAGTGTGGGCGTTCAACTGCGCACCTCGTATCTTTCTGTTGATCCATGGTTCAGAATATAAAATGTGAATATTCAGTGAATATTTAGACGTGACCTAGGGCGGTAGCTAGTGGTAGATTCTGTGTCATTGCGACATAAAGTGCATAGCGAAATTGAAGTTGGAGAGCAGGTGATGGGGTGCGGAAATATATTTCCATGATGCAAACAAAATTTCCTGCAACTTAGCTACAAACTCCCCATCCCCGCCAGCATATGACAATGAAATTGTCGTGCTGATACCTCATCTTGCCGGCAAAATAGACTTTCTTCCAGAGCCGGTACATATCTATACAAATATGAGAGATAAATAACGAGATGAAGACACGTCATGTCGTGATTGGGCCAATCCAGCCCGATAAATGCGTCGAGAAGATCTGACATTGGCGGGTATGGCAATTCCAAGCCAAGTAACGCCGCGCCCGACAATGTATCCATGGACAGGGAAAATTCTCAGTCTGAAGCTGGAAGATGAACGGTTGTTGTTTGGCCCCAGCCTGTATGTGCCTGGTGAGGGACCAACCAACGCTGGAAAACTTCACAATGTCCACCACTCTAGATCTAATCTTATAAGGACACTGTGCATCAAATATCCACCCAGCCTGCACAAAAGCCCTGGCAGCCACATGGATATCTGATACCAGGATGTGGAGATCGAACTGCCTGGTTGGGACGCCGTAATAGAAGAAGGCATCCTCGAACTAGATGACACAGGGGATTCGGTTCACTTGGAGTATTAGGTAGGCCCTTAGTCTATCCTTCCGGGATTCGATAGGCTTGATCGCATGGTTACCAGCTGTTTCCAGCTAAGACTTACGCTGACTGAATGTCCCTTCATGTTCTCGCGGCCGTGCAGGTGGAGGAGATATCTTAACGTGGCCCGCCAGCATATGAGCATATATATGCAGTCAAATTGAAAAACGATGCTGTGGATAAGGCTTGCAGGATTCCGGCCTAGCTTGATAAAGGTCGATTTCTCTGACAAATGGCCTTGAAGAAGAGCGGATACATTAGCCAACAGAAGACGGTTTGTAATACACGATTCCTACTGTCAAATGACCTGATATATGTAAGCCTGAAAACGGCGGTAGTAAAGGTGCCTGGCGCCTGTTGCCTGAACTTTGCATTTTCCAACATCTTTTCTCTTCAAGTCCGCCCGCTATCTCTGCTTGAACTCAACAAGAACCCCCGACTTTCGCACGAAGCAATAGATGGAGGGTTGTTGGGTGTTCTCAGTTGGTGAGAAATCATCTCCAAAAACTACACGCAGCAGTTGAAGACGCTCCTGTCTCATTCAACAGAACTATGCCGTCGTTGATGTTGTGCCTGTGGAGTACCCGTGCAAAGGCGCCGGAATTATAGAAGATGCTGACAATTGCTACGAGGCTTTTTAATTTGCAGGTCCAACCAAGCGTAAGTCCACATATCATGAATCCCAGTGCTGCCATTATGCTTTGTGATTATGACGATTGGATGAAGGATTCGAGATATATGGAGCTAGGAAATTGGGCATGAGCGTGTTATAGTCCGAAGCTGGTCTGTCTTAACTTTTCTAGTCAGATGCTTACGGTCTATGCTTTACCTAGGCTATAGGCTGTCATGTTTCTCAAATCACAGCAGGTAATGGGCGCAGAAGACCACATAGCCACAACAATACTATCTCGTTTAGCAGAAGTGTGGTAATAAAAGCCGCTACGGTCCAAGCGGGCTAGGACCTGCCGCTCTATCCCTCTATTTTCAGTCAATGCCACACACTCCAACCGGCTTAAGACGGGCAGCTACGCCATAGGGATGCCTGGAAACGTGCTGTAGGTCCGTGGCTGCGATATGGTTTGGAATCTGCTTACATAGAGTAATTAGACATCGTCTCGCTTCCCTACGGCTTGCGATATCGGACCGTGGAGACTGGAGAATCATTGTCCCCCAAACATGGGGCATTACATCTTCTTTATCTATCTCCATATCTGCTCTTACCAAATTCTATGTGAATTCTGGGGTTGAACTGGGGCCAATCCCGAGTGGTTCTCGACCCGAGGTCCAACTACCATCGGCCGGATCCGATGGGAAGCCAGCCGGCAGGTGGAGAATGCCACGACGATCCCCATTCTCAGCGGGGAAGAAGGCTCCCTCAGCTGGGCGATCGATCGCTTCCATGATGTCCTTCCAACTCGACGAGTTACGTCTGGTACGTCTTCGGCTACTTGAATCTTATTCTAGTCTGAAATGCCAGGTCCACGCGACACCACGGGCGCCGCCGATGGCCGACCCGTTCTGAGAATAATGTCTTTTTATAAAAGTTCAGACCAGATGCCAGCATCAAGGAGCCAAGTCTAATGAATCAATATAGCGGGGCATCTGGCTGATGCCGCGATCTTTGCATAGTATTCTCTACTGCAGGTCTTAGCCATGCAACCCTACTTTGGCTTGCGTGGCGCTCTTTTGAACCGTGCCATCATCTGGCTGGTTGTCTGTCCGGCCTTTGTGTGCTATGGATACAACCAGGGGGTGACCGGGGGGTTGCTAACGCTGCAGTCGTTTGCGGAGACCTTTCCCCAGATGAACACCCTGACCACGACGGGGGCTCAGCAGCACTACAACTCCACCATCCAGGGTATGCATTATCCTTCGTATTCGATGCCCATCTAACCGCTTGCAGGTACGGTGGTCGCTTTGTACACTGTCGGTGGCATCTTCGGGTCATTGTCATGCATCTACCTGGGAGATTTGCTGGGCCGGCGGCGAGTGATCTTCATCGCCTCAGCCGTGTCGATAATTGGCGCCCTGCTGATGGCCACCTCATTTGGACTGGCTCAGTTCATCGTGGCGCGTGTTGTCCTAGGACTAGGAACGGGCGGCTACGTTGCCACTGTGCCCGTGTGGCAGGCTGAGATTTCACAGGCAGGCAAGCGCGGTGCGCACGTCGTGACAGACGGTATATTCATTGGCGCCGGCATCACCATTTCGCTGTGGATTGATTTCGGATTCTACTTCGTCACGGGTAATTCCGTGTCGTGGCGGTTTCCGCTGGCTTTACAGATTGTCCTATCACTCATGGTGATGGCCTTTATTGTAGTGTTCCCCGAGTCGCCTCGGTGGCTTATCAAGCGGAATCGGACAGAGGAAGCCCGTGAGATCCTGGCCGCGCTGGCGGATGTGGACCCGGCCGATGAAAGCATCACCCTGGCGATGCGCGACATTGAACGGTCGCTGGCGATATCAGGGTCGGGATCTTGGAAAGATATGCTGAGCATGGGCGAACAGCGACTGTTTCACAGGACAGTACTGGCTGCAGCAGGACAAATGTTCCAGCAGATGTGCGGAATCAACCTGATCACATTTTACGCGACCACCATCTTCCAACAGTATCTGGGACTCGATGCGGTGCCGTCGCGCATTCTCGCGGCTGCGATGGGTCTCACCCAGCCACTCGGCGGATTCCTTGCCTTTTTCACCATTGACCGGCTCGGTCGACGGGCGCTGATGCTCGGGAGTGCAGTTGGCATGTCGGCCTCGATGGCTATCTTGGCTGGGACGACGTCTCAGGCCAACAACTCCGCGGCGCTGGTTGTGGCGGTGGTGTTTCTCTTCGTGTTTGAGTTTATCTTCACAGTCGGATACTCGGGGCTGACATTTTTGTACGCGACCGAAGTCGCACCGTTGCAGCTGCGGGCAGCCATCAGTGCTGTCTCGACAGCAGCCGTATGGACCTTTAACTTTCTTCTGGCCGAGGTGACGCCGGTGGGATTCGATACGATCGGATACCAGTACTATATCATCTTCGCGGTGCTGAACGCGGCGATTGTGCCGATTGTGTACTTTTTCTTCCCGGAGACGAATGGACGGTCGCTAGAGGAGATTGACGAGATTTTCCTGCAGTCGAAGAGCGTGTTTGATCCGCCGCGACTGGCCAGGACATTGCCGCGGATGCATCTGGCGGAGGTGGTGGAGGATCCGGAGACCGATGCGAAGGTTGAGAAAAGTGGTTATGATGATTGATTCTGAGGATTATCTAGCTCAGCATTTCAAATAAACGTGGCAGCTGCTCTGTCATGTGGAGTAACTTGCTCGCTTTGTCCTTAGGCTGTTGGGCTTACTGTAGACATCACCTGATCGTTTGATTTGTGGTCTTGCATTTCTTCGGTCCTCACTTCACCTCGATCCCGAAATCTCTCACATACCTCTTATGACGCCTCCACAGCTTGGCAGCTTACATCGAAACATGGTTCTCAGTCAGAAGACAAAGAAAGCTAAATGAAACCCTGCATTCTCATCAGTTGGCTTACAACTGAACGATGTAACCTTGCTGACACTCAGAATACGGGCAGGCCTGTCGTAGTCACCCTCGTATTCGAGATTGATGGCAACAACTGCTACTCTACGACATAATCGGATAACCAGTTCGAGCATCTCGAGTCCATTATTTTGCATTAACGTACATGTCATTAACATCATCCATAACCGGTCCAGCCTTTACCGCACAGTGTATCCTCCATCAATGACCATATCGTGGCCCGTCATGTATGTACTGGCATCACTAGCCAGATAGACATATGCACCCTTCAACTCCTTGGCATCGCCGTTCCGACCCATCGGAATCATCGACAGCCACAGATCCTGCACCTTCTGGTCCACAAAGTCCGACAGACCGGTGTCGATGTAACCCGGGGAGATGCTGTTCACCCGGGCAAAGTCCCGCCACTCGTTGGCCAACGAGCGGGCCATGTGAATACACCCGGCCTTGGCGACGTTGTACGAGGTCTGTTCTTGCGGGAAGTTGGCAATGTGTCCGGACATGCTGGAGGTGATGATGAAGCTGCCCTTGCCCCGCTGCTTGAAGTGCGGCCCCACCGCCTTGGCGCAGTGGAATGTGCCCGTCAGATCGGTCTGGATGACCTCTTCCCAGTCCTCCACGGAGCCATCGAGGATACCGCTGTTGGCTGTCTTGCCGGCATTGGCAATGAAGGCGTCGATTTGGCCGAACTCGGCGAGCACGTCGTCCACGAGCTTCTTGACGCTGTTCCAGTCGCCCACGTTGCACTGGTAGGCCTTGGCCTTGACGCCGTAGGTCTTTTGAATCTCTTCGGCGTTCTTCTCACCACCTTGAGGACGAGAGGAGTAGGTGAGAGCGATGTTGGCGCCCATTTCAGCGCAGCCGCGGGCGGCTTCAATGCCCATGCCGCGGGGGCCGGAGGCCCCGGTGACGACGACGACCTTGCCCTTGAGGCTGAAGAGGTCCTGAAGGCTGGAAGCGGAGGGAATGGAGATAGGCATGTTGATTGTGATATTTTGCAATTGCAATTGAGTTTGAAGTATTGAGAGTGTTGTTGATGTTGCTGTTGCTGTTCGGAGACAACTTCTTATATAACCGAATCGGAGTGATGAAGTCATCGGGCGATGATGTCATGACCCAAACCGGTTGGCCAACCCTACTTTTGTTCCACAGTAGTAAGTGCATCATTCTCTCCACATCCCCACTTCTAGTCATAACTTGCAGTCTAACAATTGACCATTCAGAGCTTCGGATTTCTCGGCCACCCGGGGTTGCACTCTCGGCCCGGATTCGGTCATGACGACATGTCGCCGCCGCCGTGAAGGCTCTGCACCACCATACGGTGTAGTATTTGACCAATTCCCCTCGCATCTGCCAAGTCGCCAGTCTTGTTCAGCATCTAGATCATGGCTGACTCTGCCGAGAATCGACGCGTGTCTCGCCCGTCGCTGCGTCGGGCGAGCACGGTGCACACCAATGAGTTTGATGATTCGTTTGTTGGACGGTACGTGCCAATCATGCTGAGACAATCCGTTGAGACAGCACTGACATCCGCAGGGTACGATCGTTCTTCCGTCGCGATCCCCATGTGGGAGTGGTCAGTCACAATGATCTGCGTGACAGGGAGGATCTGGAGATCCATACGTGGAACGGAAAGGATGATCCGGATAATCCGTGAGTTGCCTCATCTATGCAGGGCACAACTAACGACGCAGATTCAACTGGAGCACCACGTACAAATGGGTTCTCACTTTGACTGTTTGCTTTATGTACGTCGTCCCCCATACCAAACTACGTACTCTGCTGACTAGATAGTTCCGTTCTGACCGGCATCCCCGCCGGTTCCTACGGCTCCGGCAACAACTGGATGGAATCTCAATTCCACGTGCAAAACACCCCTTTCCCTAACCTCTACTGGGCCACCACCTCCTGGAACATGGGGGCGGCCTTCTGGCCCCTCATCTTTGTTCCCCTGACGGAAGCCTCCGGGCGCATGCCTGGCTACTTCGTGGCCTACATCATCCTCATCATCTCCCTCTTCCCCTCCGCCTTTGCCCAAAACTACGCCACGCTCGTGGTGACCCGCTTCTTCGGCGGCGGGGCCTCCTCCGTCTCCATCAACATCGTCGGCGGCAGCATCAGCGACGTCTGGTACGGCGACAAAGCGCGCAGTCTCCCCATGTCCATCTTCGGCCTGACCAGCGTGATCGGCATCGCCCTGGGCCCCTTCGTCGGCTCCGCCATCGTCGCCATCCACAAAACCGACCCCTGGCGCTGGATCTTCTACGTCCAAATCATCTACCTGACCGGCCTCCTCCCCATCTTCTGGTTCCTCCTCCACGAGACCCGCGCCGACGTGATCCTCGCCCGGCGGGCCAGAAAACTCCGCAAAGAAACCAACCGGCTCATCTACGCCGAAGCCGAACTCGACAACACCAGCGTCTGGCGGCTGCTTCAAATCTCCTTCGAACGACCCACCCGCATGCTCATCACCGAACCCGTCGTCATCTTCTTCACCCTCTGGATCTCCTTCGCCTGGGGCATCCTCTACCTCTTCTTCAGCAGCGTCGTCCAAACCTTCAGCACCAACTACGGCATGAATACCCTGCAGACGGGGCTCATCCAACTCGCCATCTCCGTCGGCGCCGTCATCGGCACCATCGTCAATCCCCTCCAGGACATCCTCTACCTCCGCTCCGCGAAACGCAACCCCGAAAAGCCCGGTAAACCCGTCCCGGAAGCCCGTCTCTATACCAGTATCGGCGGGAGCTTACTCTTCGCGGGAGGGCTCTTCTGGTACGGCTGGTCCAGTTTTCCTTTCGTGCATTGGATTGTGCCTACCTGCGGGATCGCCGCCTGCGGGATTGGCATCTACAGTATCTACATGGCGGTGGTGAACTATCTCACCGATGCGTATGAAAAGTACGCCGCGTCTGCATTGTCCGCTGCATCCTTAGGCCGGAATAGTTTCGGGGCGTTTTTGCCCTTGGCTAGTTACGAGCTGTTCGAGACATTGGGGTATGGCTGGGCGGGGTCCCTCTTGGGGTTCATTGGCCTCGCGTTGTCCATTGTCCCGGTGGTGTTGGTGTGGAAGGGACCGGAGATTCGTCGTCGGAGTCCGTTCATGCGGGAGTCGACGTTTGCGACGGATGAGGAGGAGGATGTTGTCTTAGAAAAGGAGGGGGAGGGGGGTGGCGAGGTCACGGGGACGGTATATCGCGATACGCATACGGGGTATCCGCAGCATGATCGGCAGCAGCAGCATTGAGTTATGTACCTTTCAAATACATCCCCCCTCCCCCTCTCCCCTGCTAGGAATATATCAATTCGCATAATTCTGATGCCACACATAATCCCTCTCCCTACTCAACAACCCCCGAATGGCCTCCCTCGCCCCGATCGCCTCCCTCCCCAACACCTCCGCCATCAACCCATGGGTCACCTCCAACTCCCCCTTCTCAATCCCCTCAAACCATCCCACGAGCTGCCGAAAGAATCCCTCGCTCTTCCCCCCCTCGTCACTCTCCGCATGGATGCGTACATATTCCTCCGCGTCCACATATTCCACCGTAACATCCCGCCCGGTCGTCTCGTTAATCACCTCCACGATCTCATTAACCGAGATACTTTCCTTTGCGGTTAATAACACAATCCCATTCCCATTCTGGGAACTAGCACCCCGGAGGAGAAGTCTCGCCGTCGCCTCCGCAAGTTCCGAGCGCAGCGTGAATGCAATCCTCCCCGTGGAGGCGGCGGTCGGGAGATAAATAGTCTTGGTACTCGGATACCAGTTCAGGAAGAGGGGGAAACATTCCGTGTAGATGCCTTCGCGGAGGGAGGTGTAGGGGATGCCAGATCTATCCCATTCTTAGTGTTTAGGATCTTTGTTGGAAGTGGGATGGGGGAAAGGAAGGGGGTAAGGGGGACATACGCTCTCAACATCTCCTCAGTCATATAATGTGCTTGCTGGACGGAGGCCTGGGAGGTAGAGTCGAACCCACCGAACGCGAGGGAGGTGTACCAGATCTAGTTATATTCCACACACACCAATTAGCCAATCCATTTCCCCCCACTAAACCCCCAAGGAATAAAAAAACAAGAAGGCTTACATGTTTCACCCCCACCCTCCCCGCCACATCAACCACATTCCCATGCTGTCTCCTCCGCTTCTCCACATCAAACGTATTCGTACTCACAAAGAGCAAATTCTCCACACCCTGAAAGGCCACCTCCAAAGTATCCGGATCATCGTAATTCACGACCCGGAATTGGATGCCCTGCGATTCGAATTTGCTGCGATTGGCTGGGTTCGAGGACGAGGCGGCGAAGTCGGCGGGGGAGATGAGATTCGGGTGGCTGGTGAAGTAGCTGAGGATTTGCGCACCCAGGCCGCCGGTGCTGCCGGTGAGGAGGTATTTTAGGGACATTTTGATTCTTTCTTTTAGTTGGGGTTGGTGTTTGGGGATTGGGGTTGGGATTGAGTGAGGAGTGAGGGATAGGGGTATTTATGTTGTACAGGTCTGATATAGATAGTATAGTACAATATACCTTTAGCTATGATGCCATCAAGACATAGCTTCGTGCTGAGGAATCGGATTTGTAAGTGTGGGGGTCATGGATCCTCGACTAGTTCATTAGGTTATACTTAACTCCACATCATTGGACAGCAGCAATAAACATCCTAGTTGTTCTGGGTTATTTCATTTAGACGGCAGAGAAAAGTATAGGTGCTAACCACTAACCGTCAAGCGTCGGATTCACATCGCGCCGATACCCCGCGTTTGGGCCGTGCTTATAAATCTGATCACGATGATCAATTCCTAGAATTAATGTTCTTGTGTATCTCTTTCAATTGTAGTATTGGATTAATCACACTGATCTGAATACAAGATTATCACTAAATCAAACAAAGGTATTATCTCTACTCCCATATCCTACCACAGCCACCCCCCCGGTACATTATGCCGTCGGCGCAAACTTACTCCACGAGCGAATCTTCTTCCCATACAGATAAAACAAGATCGGCACCGGGAACAGAATCGCCGTTAGACATCCGAGCAGAGTCATGGCCCACGGCACGCCCAGGTTATGGAACTATTAACATTAGAGTCCATTGACGTCTGTTAAAGTGGAAGGAATTTTACCATCGGAATCGCAAACATGGGAAATCCCGCCCCCAGCCCCGATCGAAAGAAACAGTTGGCTGCAATAGCCGAGTTGGCATTGATGCTATAACAATCAATGATATAATTCAAGCCCTATTTTATTCAGTATCACCTCCACTAGCACAGGGGGGCAAGGAGGGAAATACCTGCATGAAAATCAACAAAATCCCGGCCCCTAGAAACCCCCCCGAAATCGCCTGCGGCACCCAAATGATATTCTGATTCGACGTCCACCCAAACCAAAACATCCCCGCCGGTAACAACACCCCCCCGATCATCATCGGAATGAGTCTCTCCTCGGGCACAATCTGCCCGGTCTGCTCGAGGATCGTCTGGAATCGCGTCTTCGTGAAATAGATGATCACCCCACACCCGAATACCACTCCCACCGCGATCGCGATGAACGGTAATGCGCCCACGCCCTCGTTCCACCCGCGCTCCTCTTGAAAGGCAACCGGGTAGGCTTCGAAGCAGAGATACAGGAATCCGTAGATGAAGCCCATGTACAAGGTGATCAGCAGGAGGATCGGTTCCCGAACGAGCATCAGAAACGGCCGGATGAGATATACCGTCGCGATATGTTGGAGATCGACGGGCTGTTCTTCCGAGCGGGCATGCAGCGCCCAGTTGCGCGTCTCGTAGCGTAATCGCCGGGCCCGATGTTCCAGCAACACCGGGGCAAACGTCTCCGGGATGAGGAGGAAGCCGACGGCGCCGAAGAAGAACGCCATGATGGCGGTGATGTATTCGGTCCAGCGCCAGCCGAGATACGACATGGTGATGAACCCGCCCACGATCGGGCCCGTCACGGGTCCAATGAAGGTGCTCCCGGCGAAGACGGCAATGGCGATGCCGCGTTCCACGGGCCCGAAGAGATCGGCGAGCATGCCGCCGACGATGGCGAGCGGGGCGCTGGCGAAGAGACCGCCCAGGAAGCGACAGATCATGATGGTTTGGAGGTTCTGGGCCACGGCCACGGGGATTTGGAAGATCGCGAAGATGAAGAAGCCCGTGAAGAGGGGGATCTTGCGGCCGTAGAGTTCGGAGAGTGGGCCGAAGAAGAGCGGGCCGAAACTATACCCTAGGACGAAGAGACTCGTGCCGAGAATCATCACTTCGTCGGAGACCCCGAACTTTTTGGCGGTGACTTCGGACGCCGTGCTGAAGACGGATGAGGCGAAGGTTACGGAGACGGTCATTAGTCCGAGGATGATCGTGATGGCCCATTTTTTGGCCCGGGTGAAGTTGGTGGGTTTTTCCTGGATTCTGTTAGTTATTGCTGAGATAGGGAGTCTGACAACGTACGGGGTCATCGGGTCCATCCCAGTCTACTAGATTCGGATCTTTGCTGCTTTTCTCGTGTAATTGTTGTTTCTCGACGTCGGCAGGGCTCGACAACGATGCATCCGAACTGGGATGCGAGCCCGCTGGCGAGACCGTCGGTGCGCGAGAGTCCTCCATGACAGCTACAACCGGGTATGGGACAACAGCATCCGTATCTACTAAGTATGTTCTATTTATCTATGTGGGATGATGTCAAGCTGAACGGCATCCGATGGATCCGTCGACGTCATATGAGGTGGCAAGCGACTAGTATCGCAGCATACTACTATATGTCTTATGAAGGATAAGTCTTGCATAGATCCGATGGAAACCAGATGACTGACATCATCTAGAGCCAACTGGTACCTGACTGGCAGCAGGCAACGATTGCATTCCCCATCCGGCTCGGCTCTCGGCATTCCTCCTCCGAGCATCATCATCAAGGATTGTCCGCGCACGAAAAGCTGGCACTGCTCGGGTGCTCGTGAATCGACCTGCCCGACACATACAGGCCCAGACCACACTGTCCACATCAGTTGTGTCATCAAGCTGCGATGTACTTACCAGGCAAGCCCCCACGCCAACCACCAGCACATTCAGCCCGGTCAAGAACATCTTCCGAGGAGACGACATATAGCAACCCCAGTTCAAGAACAACCAGAACACCCCACTCAGCCCATCTGCATCGTTAGTGCCATGGAACGGATCTAGGCCGGTGGACTCACATGTGAACCAGCTCGCAAAGAGCGCCGTCTGCCACCGTCAGCCTTGTACGGAGTATCCACCATCACATCGAACATACAATCAAGCTCAACAGGTCATTAAAAACCGGAATCGCCTCGGCGATGATCCACGCCAGTGTCCACAGAACCAGCGCAATCAATACCCACGTTCCCACTGCCACGAATCCGCGTTGGTGCATCCGGTCGGTCCCTCGGAACAGACGGACGTAGATGTACTTGCATGCCACATGACCGTTGATCACGCCAGCAACCACAATCTAATTTATCAGCCAATGTCCCCCCTTCCCCCCTCCCCCCCCCCACGGAGGGTTCTTACCGTCGGAATTGCGATGCCGTAGGCTATCTTGGACAACAGCGGACTGGTCGAGCCCAACGCGGGTGATGCCACGTCCTTGCCGCCGTATCGATAGATCACCACCGCGGTGACCACATACATCGTCGTATCAATCCCCTGCAGCATGTACAGCGTCTTCGGATAGTCGGTCGGCACGCGCATTTCCGAGATGAAGCCAAAAAAGGCCACATGTCCAGCTGACTGGTTAGCATGAACCATCTTATGCAGACGTACATACCGTATGCAAAGACAATGTTGGTGACGGCGAGGAAACCCTTATAGAAGGAATTCTCCACGGTCGCATCGACATGTCCACCTCCTGGACGTTGGATCGCGATCGCAATCATGGTAACCATCACGGCAGACAAAATACTAATAAAGGCTTGCTTCAGTCAGCTCATTCCCTCCATCAGGTAGCAGACATTACACGAGATCGAAAACCACGACACCTTCTTCAAGGTCCGCGGCAGCGTGAGAACAAACGAGAGCACCAAGCCAACCACCCCAAACACAATAGAACAAGTGGCATGCTCCGTCAGTGTATTCATCATGACAATAAACGTCAAGAGATGACTCCCCATGATAAACACCAGGAAGAGCAACTGCGCAGTCCCTAGCACCTCACGACCGATACGTCCCATCATGACCGCGCCCGCATCCCCCATACTATGCACATGAGGATACCTCAACTTGAACTGCCCCAGCGTATAGCCCGTATATGTCGCCAAGGCCCCAAGCCCGAGGATCAAAATCACCGCACTAGAGCTTGTTTAGCCACGGCCATCCGGGGAGACCAATGTTACACACGCGATCAGGCCAAGCGACGCCACAGCCGAGGGGAGCGACAGGATGCCGAGTGAGATGGTCTCGGCCACCATGACTGTGGTGATCAGTGGGGTTCGGAGATGGTATGGGGTATATACTCATGCCACATTGCCTGTACAGTTTAGTTACCACCTATCATCAATAGGATTATCACATACCACCAGGCCAGCGTACGATACTTGACCTCGCCAGTCTCATCATGACTAAAGGGGTTTTCAGGCTCAGGAATCATGCCATTCTCGGGCTTGACTTCCTCGACAGGCGGGTCCTCGATACGGTGGATCGCAGTTGAAGACATTTTCAGACTGGGTAGCATTCCGATCACAACTTGAAAGCAGAAGACAAAGCAACTCTTGTTGAGAAAAGGAGAAGGACAGGCTGAAAGAAGAAGAAGAAGACCAGTCAGATGACTACCACTGAAGAGGTACGTAGGTCCCCATTTCACCAAAAACCTCTCACCTCTACCTCATCTCTACCACCTCCGATCCCCAGTCATCACACGTCATACACCACCGCAGTGAATGATCCAAAACGCGGGGAAGTCTTACACGAAGATTCAACCCACGGGGAAATCCGAAGCCATCTCTTCCTCCCTCACCATGAATCCAGTTTCTGAGGAGCCACAAAGGCCAAGAACCATGTCAAGACAGAAGAATGAATCATGATCAGCTGACTCCTAGCATTGTGTGCAGATTTCATTAGACTTCCCCGGGGAGATGCAGGCCTATCAACTCCCTTTGAGCGAACTTCGGCGGCACGAGCGATGTAACCTCCTTAGATTCGTGCTCGGTGATCCGTGGCTGGATCTTCTGCCGAGGACGGGGAAGTGTTGCGGTCAAGTCGTTATGGGTAGGTATATTGGTTCGAAATGTGCGTCATTATGAACACCTTTGGCCCAGCAGTATGGTTTTGATTGATGCTACCCGACCCCTTAAGCTTCTCGTTTGGTTGAAATGCCAGAGGTTCCCTGATTCCGGTTTCTCTTGTGGATATTGGGTTCTTTGCTACAGGCTTAGGAGCATGGAAGTGTATAAATGAAATGTGGTGAGTATCATATATCATATATGGTCTATTTCAAGCTAAACTGAATGATCTCAATGCAAAAGGAACAATGTCTATCGGGTATACGCATGCAAATCTATCATGTCGTGTCATATCATAGCATCTCATCTCGCCAACACGCCCGGTCGCGGACATATAGGTCGATTCCCGCTTCGGCACACGCGCGGTGGAGCGGTTCAAAAGTTTCATATACTCGGGCCTTAATCACCTTCTCGCCGGCCTCCCCGGGCTGGTAGCCCGAGGCATCCTCGTCGTCCTCGTCGTGGAAGAATCCTTCGATGTCGAGTCGTTTCAGCCTCGCAAACTGGCTCTTCCGCTGGTTGAGCACCGTTTGCAGCTGCCCAACTAGCATCCCCAGCGAGCTCTCCTTGCACCCTTCCACGTAGAGCGACTCTACCGACGACGGGAGCACATCTGTGAGCGGACATGATGGTTCATACTGGTAGCGCACGTCCAAAAGGTTGGGCAGGCGGATGCGAATGTTCTTCAAGGAAGTAAACTCGGTCAAAGGCCCAAACCACTCGTCGTGCGTCTCGTTCGCCCCGGCAACGGTGAAGGGCAAGTGGGTGCCGTAACTGTCCAGCCAGAGAGTTTCCAGGCTGTCCTTACTCTTGGCTAGTGATTCAAAGAATGCAGAGGGCCGGAATCCCTCCGCGAGCAGGTGCTCGTCAGAGTGTTGATACTTGAAGGATTTGAGTGAGGAACAGGAGGCAACCAGGCTCTGCATACCCTGAGAGCCACTGCTCGCACTCAGCGTGATCTCGAAAATCAGCGAGGAGCCGGCCTCGACAGGCTGGGCCGATTCAGGCTCTTGTGGACGGGTGGATTCAACCACCGAGTCCGCCGAAAACGCCCGCATCGACGGCAATTGGAAGAAAGGAAGGACCTGAGAAGGCTGATAGCTTCCCCGGCTGTCCTCATCGGCCAGGTGACTCAGAGAAACATCCCGTAGTACGCGAAACGCAGGCTGATCGTCAAAAGGCTTCTCTCCTTTTACAGCCCGCTGCACCATGCGGTCCAAGTAGAGGTTTTGCCTGGGGTATACCAATTGCAAGTGTCTCAGGTTACTCGCCAGTGGCAGGAGCAGCGCAATCCAGGCCTCCTCAACATCGTCCCGGAGATCCTGCTCCCATTTCATGTGTTCTTCTGCGGTATGACTGAGAGTGTGGGCCCATTGTATAAACGGCACCAGGTCTTCATTGGACGGAGTAAAACGAGTGGAAGTGGACTTCGGATGCCAGTCGTGAAAGTCCAGGGTGCGAACGGCCCGAGCCAGCTCGGGACGACGGAGCAGAGCTCCCAAAAAAGAACGTATCTGGCAGCAGTCCTTCAAGGCTGCTGCTTGGTAGACCAAACGTAGGAACAAGTCGTGGAAATGACGACAGACAAAGAGCAAGTTGTAGCGGTCCCGATGGTCTTCCATGTACTCCCCAACCAGGAGGAGGATGTCATTGGGAAGTGGGAGCGACATACTGAGAGGTCAGCGTGGAATGAATCAATGCATCGGGAGGCAAAGAGCAGCCACCGGAAACCCGGGGGTTTTAAGAGTGGCCGCACCGTCGATAACCTAAGATAGGGGAACTGAGTTTTCTGCAATTCCACCACCTGGGTGAACTTTGCCAGGCCGAGTATGGGGAACAGATCCATCGAGCGGGCCAATGGACGGGAGCTGGCGGAGGGTCGTGGATCCCCGGGATCGGTTGACCTGCTCCATCCACGGTTGATCCAGAAGGGTTCCATCCAAGGCAGTGCGTATCGACAACCGCTCATCCTACAACAGCATGGTCTGCGACGCATGACGTGCCATTGCATGTGCGTTGCAGCGGACCGTGTCCAAGGTATCTGTGGTCTCGAGCGGATTGTCCGAGTCCCTTGCGGGTGAAGGTCAAGTGAAAAGGGAAGAGCACGCGATGGCGGTGATGGAAAATTCGACTACCCGCCGGTGGGTTTCGCCACCGCCATTCGTGACGGGCCGGTGGAGTCACGATAGGCAGAGGCTCCATCGCGCGGGGCAATGCTGCTCTTATTTTGCTGGCTGCTCGGGGCTTGCAGTGGCATTGACCTTGCGCTTGTGGTGTGGATGATCGTTGATCTGCCTCGTCGCGGGGCAGACCAAGACTGAAGAGAACACGAGTGAGCTGGTAGAAATGGATAAGTTCGTAGGCTCCAAGCTGGGGAAGGTTGGAAGTATTGATAGCTAGTGGACAGTACAGAGCAATCATCCAGCGACATAGAGTCGAGGTGAAGGCGTGTTGAAGGCACCATCGCGGACCATCTCGACTCCGTGATGTCACACCTTCGGAACGGTGCATACGATCTGCAACACGTCTGCATCTGCTGTCCCAGTCTCCTTCCGCAAAGGTACTCTCACAACATACACGATATCACTGTACTCCGTACTGTGCAGCGCAAAGACCTCGGGCCCGGGCGAGTTGCCATGCTTGCAGCCATGCAGCTTGGTCGGCGGCCAACACCAAGTGAACCACCAAGTGGACTCGCCTTGCTTTGCCTTGCCATCAGGGACCCGCAATGCTGCCCCGCCGATGAGTCGGCCCTGGGGAACCCGCCAGTTATCCAAAGCCAACTAACACCATGTCTGTCACCTGGAGCATGATCGGGATAAAATCCTGTGTATTCGTCCGGTGTAACACTTTGTTGTGGCCGGGTTAAAAGAATAATCCTTGCTCGGCCCGGTTGGCGGCCGATGCCACAGCTGTCTCAGGCTACAAGGGATACTGTCAGGAACCAGACAAGCTGTGATTGTTGGATCACTTTTCCGAATTCCGACATGCAGTGCTCGACCGTACAGTACATATGCAATATGCAGCTAGATAACTATGGCTGCATGTCGGCTTCTCCGGCCGTCCGTTGAACTGCCTCCTTAATATAGATGGATGTTACTTTTGGTCCTTCTCAAAGTAGGTCATTCTCGCCAGCTGCGGGTATGGCGGCAGCTGTTCTGGTCCAAGCTGGAAACCATGGTACTTCCTCTACGGGTTAGGTGTGACAGCACAGCGGGGCCATGTTGTTGTCGCCCCTAGGCAGTTATGACTTGCTAAGAAGCGGGGCTGGTAGTATTGTCCGTCTTCTGACTTGATTTTATCATATAGGCACTGCGACTGAGACAAATGGGCTACTCGGTTCCACAAGTTCGGATGCATTCATCAATTACCAGGGTAAATAGCGTGATAGAAGTGCCCACTGTCATCGGGTGGGACCCAAGAACTGTACAGACATCTTTCATGCATCGGACTGGGCTTAGTGGTATGGTGGCCTGAAAGAGATCACTGTGGTATGCCAAGCAGGTTCATGCTTCATGACGGGAGGCAGAATCCATCCACACTGGTACCGCCGCTGTGGACCAAAGGTTCATCCTTCACTGCTCAGTGCGGTTTGGGTGCAATAAATACAATAGCTGCCATGTAGCTATGCTAACGCTACTGCAGTAATCATTAGGATACGTTTTAGCATATTGGGAAGGCTAGAACATACGCCGCCCAGTAGGCCCAGCTCGTTTATAGACCTGCCTGGCTAAACGAGGGATTAAAGATCTGGCCGAGTATGTGGAAGACGTCCAGCTCATTAATTAGCTTCAATAGCGGCAGAACCTAGAATCGAGAAGGTAGCGGTGTGTTCTCTTTTGTAGGCAGCGCATTTCCTAGGCGGAGATCAGCTGAATCTACTATACTCTATCTTGACTCTACCTACCCTGGCGACAATAGCACGAAGACTGGATCGGAACATCGGCCGTTGCGACTGCCTGCTTCAACAGAGGCTTCACTATTTGTGCTTCGGCCGTTCGCCCCAGTCTGGTCAGGCATTCATAGTACCCATGCAACGCCCAGACATTCTTCGGATGCTGTCTTGCACGAGGCAGGGTATCGTCAAATCCGAGATCCGCCTGATACACGGCAGCTGCCTCCTGAACATGCCCCTGCTCGAGCAGAAGCGCGCCGTATGCATGGCGGGTCGGTTGCATCCAGCCCCACGGCTCATCATATGGCAGGTCATCATCCAACGCGATAGATTGCCGCAAATGGTCAAATGCCACATCGAAATTGCCACGGCGATACTCGAGTTCCCCGTCAAGCATGGCTTCAGCCACTGCCAGGATATCCGAACACTTATTGGTGAAAAGCATCCGGCTGGGTGGTACTTGTTTGGCAGCCTCCTTGAACAGCATCCTCTCTTGGCTCGCCTCGTCCACTCGCCCAAGCGCAGCCAGCGCCACCCCCTTTCCGTAGTGAATCATTGCCGTTGTGTTGCAGTATAGCTGGGTGTCGTGCGGGTATTTAAGGTCGAGAAGATCATTCCAACGGCCAAAGCGGATCAGAACATGTACCCCCATGCCTACAAAGCTCTCCAACCAGTCAGCCATCGGCGGGGACTCGATACGTAGCAGCTCTTCCGGAATAGACGACTCCAGACTCTTCACCGTGTCCAACGCAACTCGCGACTGTCCCGCGAACATAGCCGCATAGACCCGGAAATGATAATCATGAGACCGATACAGGGTATAGAAGTTGACCGCGCCCGCGCGGGCAAGAAACTTCTCATCCGCCCGAATCGCATCCGAGTTCGACGCAATCGCCCGTCTATAATCACCACAAAGAATATCCAGATGAGTCGGCATGTGGTTGAGATGGCCTGCATCAGGCACCAGGCCTCGCAGATGGTCGGCCGCTCTTAGTGCCGCTTCCGGCTCACTGGACATCTCCATCAAGTGGATGTATAGATGCAGGATTCCCGGATGACGTAAAGCCTCGTCCTGGGTCAGTGCAAGATCCAAAGCCTTCTTGATATCCACCGTACGGGCCTCAGCTGCCGCTTGACCAGTGCGCAAATCCCACAGCGCCCACGGGGTCAAGTTCATCAGCGCGTCCGCGTACAAGGCTACAATGTCCATATCATGGGGGAAGCGTAGGTAGACAGACGCCATGGCATCAGCATACTCCTTGTTCCAAGGGGCAAAGTCCTCGGGTGCTACATTTCGTGGATAGCGATATTGCATGGCCTCGATGAGTGCCACTTCCACTGGTTCCGCCTTGGTGGCGTGTTTCTGGGCCTCCGCGGCGGCATGGTAGGTGCGCTGCACCGCGTCCGTGAGTTCTTGCTCGTCAAACGCTTGCCACGGTTTGTTGTAGTTGGGACCGAGCGTGTATGCGAGGCCCCAATATGCCATGGCACAGGTGGAATCATATGTGATGGCCTTTTGGAAACAGTTGGCTGCTTCTTCGTGGTTGAAAGCATATGTCCAAACGAGGCCGCGGTCGAACCAGACTTGGGCTTGTTGGCTGGTGGTGCTCACTGGCCGGTGGAAGAAACCAAGGTCATAATAATCATCCGGTTCCTGTTGAGACATTATGCTGATATTGTAGTTGCAAAGGATAGCCGCTTTATTCGGGATGACTTGACGTTCTGTCGATGTTGTGATGTGATGCCCGTAATGGAGGAACCCCAAGTGGGGTAAAGGCTAACTGGCCGCTGTCATGGCGGACACCACCACCGCCATCAGGCCACTGGCAGCATCCCCTACGTAAAAACTTGTCTGGCTCGTGCCTTCTGTATTTATCTTATTTGTCTAGTTGGCTAGGTACTTGACAGGAACATTAAGAGGCACTCGACACGCCACATGCTGCCACGAGCGCGACATGCGCATATCCAGTGCCAGGAGTAGAACCAGAACCAGAGGTATTCTCTTATATCCTTGACTGTCAGATTTCCAGCAAGCTCCGCCCGATTCAAACTGCATTCCCCGAATCAACCCTCGAAAGCCATCATGTAAACGCCTTGTTCCAGAAATAAGAAAAATAGACGGAGCTTGCTATGACCCGTACACGAAATCCGTTGATAAACCTCCCTGAGCACTTTCCAATGTGCGTGATTCTTATCGGGAAAGTAATGGTATATGTGTCTTCAATTGCCTGGTATAGCGTCACGACTTCGTCTATCGTAGTCCCAGGTCCGTCATTTCAACGCTGTCCGCGGAGCCCATCCAGAGGATATTGTTACACCTGTTTAGCGAGTATGTCAGCGATTAATCCCTCGGTATTGGAAAGCGCATGGGGAAGAGGGGTAAGGGATGGAATCCCAGTCCTGGTATCCAGGAACTGTATCCAGGAAATCCACCCCAACATCTGGGACAACCGGATAAACGCACCTGATCAGCACCAGACCGAGTGTTCCCGTGTTCTTCCCGTCAATGAACTCTTCCGTATCCCGCAGCAGCACGTTCATGTACGAATCGATGCTCTCAAGCTTGCCCTTGTATTCTGTCTGGCCCCATTTGAGACGGATAACGAGCTCGGTACCGACTCTGTAGATGAATTAGTAACAATTCCGGCACAATTCGTTGTGAGAAACCGGGAGGTAGCGGGGGGTCGAAGATCGGGTCAGAGGGACGAGATGGGTTGCGTACCTAGCCTGGAGGAAAGGCCGAGGGTTGACGGGGTTGAACTAGAGTCGCAGAGTCAGCCAGTGCTCATTTCCAGGACAACTCACGCCTGGAGATGGAAAGACAGTCAAGAAGAAAGAAGGAAGCACATACACTCATGTTGACCTCGGATCAATGCCAGCTACTCAGGTGGTGATTGCACAATAGATGTCGGGGTTCGGACGCGTCAATGGGCACACGTTCTGCCAGTCAGAAAAGGAAATGTCTGGCTCCGAGTCCGGGTGATTTGGCTCGTCGCGTGCTGAAGATGGAGTCTATCGGAGATCGCAGTCGCCAACTTGACGGAGCTGATGGAGTCCGCGAAAATGTGATGCTGCTAGACGCGGGTTTGACCCAATCAGAACGCCTGCATCGACACCGCCTTCTGACCACTGCAATATCGCTCCGCGTTTCTCTTTGCAACTCTCGAACAGCACTGATGCGTTTGAAGCACATGGACTAAGCTTACTATTATATTGACTCTTTTGCGGCTGATACTTTTCTTGCCGATGCACAAATCTCTGTGCTATCCGAACTACTCTATCGGCGCACTTATTGCAGCCATTCCCTACTAACATCAGAGATCATAAAAGAAACAGGCCTCATCAATAACGCGAGCTAAAAGACTACATCCACCCTTAGAAGATAATACAAAGATCCCATGGTCCTACCTCATGCCCTGCTAAGGTCCCACTTGAGCTCCTTAATGGAAACCTCGTCACCAGCCTTCTCATCGTAGTCATACCACTCCCCATCGGCCAGCTCAATGCCGGTAAAAGCCGACGAGGATTCAGTTCCCTTGGCCTCCCATTCACCCTGGTAGACAGCGTTAGTCAACATTCCTCATTTATAGACAAGATCGACCAGTAAAGCACCACAAAAGTCACAAGAGGAAGCAAAAAGGGAAAGAACTCACATCAGCCTTGAACTCCGTAAACTCCAATCCTCTGCAATCAATCTCAATCACCTTCTTGCCCTTACGCTTCTCATCCGCCTCATAGACATGAGGTCCGGCAATGATGGAAGCAGAGTGAGTTTTCTAGGTCCATATTAGCTGACATCCCAAACTCCAAGCTCGAATGACATCATCGTCGTTCTTTCAAAGATGGAATCAACCCACCTGGCACAGCTTGCATTTCCAGACAAAGTTGGCCTCGCCTCGGCTGCCGGGGATTTCGTGCTGTTCCTGGGTACATTGTGAGTTCCTGCCTTGGTACATACATAGATGGAGGGAGAGGACTTACGAAGCGGGTGAAGCTGACCCAGTTGGGGTGGGTTTCACGGCAGGACGTGCATTGTACCTTGAAAGTGTAGTAGTAGGGGTCTTCCTCGGTGTCCTGGGGACGGAGGCCGGTGACGCTGTTTGGATATTATGAGTTGGGCTTCATCTGGTATGAGGAGTGGAGAAGGCTCTTGCGGCGGGGAATAGGCAGAGGCTTTTCTTGCCAGAATGGGTGTAGAGACAGTGAGGCGCTGAGTGATATAGTAGATACAACTTACCCGTTGAGTTCTGCGGACAGGACAAGGGAGAGCATCTTGACTGTTTCTCTTGCTGTTGGCTGAGTTGATATGAAAGAGGAAACAGAAGTTGTTGGGTGCGGGGCTTTGATGTTGTCGGATATCGGCACACATACCGCCCTCCCGCCTACGTTCTTTTTGCACTCGAGGTGAATGGCGATACATCCTGGTCGACACCCTGGTCGATAACCCCTGGTGTTTGTTGCAAGTGCAAACTTACAAGGCTGGCGCAGTGCATATCTAAATCTTGATTGAACTGCTAAAACACATAACAACGCCAATCATGCCGGTCCATAATCGCTTGAGCTGAACGAATCCAGGAACCAAATCAGAAAAGACTATGTACAACATTCCTCAAATCGAGGAGACACTAAAATACAAGATCAGTGTGATGCCCGCTTATAGACGGCTCTGCTGTTGATCCTGGCCCAAAGGCTTCGTTGCGAATGCGCCAAAGAATGCGTTCAGGGCATCAACAGTGCCACTGCCCTCGGCCAGCTGCACCGTACAGGCGACGTGGCTGTCGGGACGAGTGACGACCACACCACCCTTCTCGGGGTCGAAGCCCAACTTCTCGTGCGCAGCGTACTTGGCCTGAGGAACCCTCACGTCGGGAATATTGTCGGCATAGATGTGGTGGTGGTAGTCGCGGAGGATCTTGGGCACGGCGTCCACATCGATCTGGTTCTTCTCCCCAGCATAGACCAGGCAGATGGAGAAAAGCTTGGAGTGAGGGAGGTGATGCTCGAAGAATGAGACATCGGCAATGTCGCTTCGGCGGTACACGGAAAGGAACGAGCGCTCCTTCTCAAGGTTGGCAGCAAGATCCGCAATCGCCTTGCTGGTCTTGTTCTGTTTACCGGCGAAGATGAAGATACGGAACGCACCGTTGGCAGGGATCTCCTGTTCCAAGTGCACAAAGTTGGCATCGGCCAGTCGGGTGACTGTGGTAGGGGTGAAAGCGCGGCCAGGCGTCAGCTTCACGCCGGGAATGTCGAACAGTGGGGACTGCGCGGGGTGGCTTGGATCCCAGGTGAAAACATTGGGCTTGTAGGCAACACCATAGCCACTGGTGAACTCGCAAGAGGACTTGAAGGTCTGGACGAACTCGTCTTCCTCACCGTTGGTAGCAGCGGTGTGGCTGGCCTCGCCCACTTCACCCGCAGTAGGGCGACGCTTGGAGAACAAGGCGGCGTACTTGTTGTCGAAGCTCAGAAGAGTCTCTGCAATATCCTTGCGCTCGCTCTCATAAGTGCTGAGAATCGAGCGCTTGGCCAGACCGGACTCGACGGCGTGAAGCTTCCAGGCCATGTTCAGGGCGTCGTGGAAAGCAGTGTTCATTCCTTGACCGGCCTTGGGCTAGAGTATATGTTAGCGAATGCTCTGACTGGCAGAATCAACATCTAGATGGGTTTCACGTACGCTGTGAGTGTGGCAAGCATCGCCACCCATGAACACACGCTCATCCAGAGTATATTTCTCAGAGATACCCTGACCGATGGGGTAAACGGAATACCATTCCACGCGGTCCCACTCCACCCAGTATGGTTGAAGAATCTTCTTGGCGGTCGCCTGGACCTCCTCGGCGGTGGCTGTCTTCCTCGGGTCGAAGTCGGGATCGCTAGACGAAGCGATCTGGACATAGAGACGGACCATGTTGTCCTCCCGGGGAATAACCATGATGGAACCGGCATCTGAGTGGATAGTGCACTTGGTCTATTGATAAACAGCTAATTAGCGACAGTCCTGCGTCCCGATATAGCACCAGGGTTTCTTACCTCAATATCGGGGAAGTTGGTCCTCACGACACCATCCATGACACCCCAGACATAGGAGATGGGGTCCTTGTACTGGATCTGAATGCCAAGCTCTTGTCTGATAAAACTCCGAGCACCTTCACCGCTAAACAGATACTTGGTACGGACCGTCTCAATCACGTTGGTGTCGATGGACTTGAGCTGCACTTCGACCGGATATGTCTCGTCCAAACCATCGTTCTTGAACCCAATGATCGTCCATGGTCGTTCAACAATGGTACCGGCCTTTGCAATCTCATCCAGAAACACGCGCTCGATCTTGCCCTGGTGGACCAGAGCTGTGAAAGGGTAACGAGTGTCGATAAAGCGGGGACAACTAGGCCAGCTGCCCGTGCGGTGAATACCTTTTCCGCCGGCAAGGGGATCCCAGAAAGCAACGTCATACACCTTGGCAGGCTTGAAGGCCATGATCTGGCGCTTCAGGCCCAGGTTGCGGAGAATCTCGGTCGAACGAGGCTGAATACCGTCGGCGCGGCCGGTGGCGGTCGGCACGGGGCGGTTGTCGATGTGCTTCACTTTGTAGCCCCACCGGGACATGCAAAGCGACAGGACAATGCCAACGGGGCCAGCGCCCACGATGACGATGTCATATTTCTCTTGTTGTGCAGGGGCCATGTCGGCGACACTGTGTAAGAGACTATCAAGCTTCGGGTGGTGGGCGGGAAGTGACCGAATCCGAGAGGTATGTACAGTGATTGATCAGTGTTTTCGGGAAAAGATTAAAACATCACCCAAAGGCGAGAGAGAAAAGATTAATATGAAGCTGATCTGGAGAAAAGAACCCATGATGAGAGTTGGGAGTGGCCATATAAATATCACGAAGTGAACTGGGGGAAGGGCCCGAAACCAGCGACGTGACGGGCATCGGGGAACCACAACGGCATTCACAGTCGGCTGGATCGTGGAGAGTTGGGGGGAAAAGCGTGGATTGGTTCGTGGGGACGAGCGAGGAAAGCGCAGAGAAGGCTGAAAACCGCGGTGGCACACACGGGCAGCAAACGCAGGGAGGTCTCGCCGGCCAGTGGGAGCCAACAACTGGGGGAGATCGCTGGGGCTGCGGGGAGGCCCCGGGGAGAATCTCACTGGCCCAACGGACTGCCGTCGCTCGATCCGAGCCTCTGGACTGGCTGCGGTTAGCATCTCGGCAGGTGGAGGCCGCCCACGTGACTGGCCCCTCGGCAGCCTCTCCCGGGATTTCGGACTCGAAATCCCTGTGGCCTCATTGGCTGCTCGCCTACGTCTCGAGTCGAGCTCACTGCAACGGTACGTCCCATCTGAGTACGGAGTACCTCGTACCTATACCTACCTGGTATTTCGGTGTAGTTTAGGCGAGCACATGCGCTTAGGTACTGCACAGTTCATAATGGAAGCTTGATTATCAGCTAGATATCATTTCACGCCCTCCACGGGGAATCCTCCCGCCATGAACACTAGACTCCAGAACACCTCACCACCACCAACACAACAACCACAAACCACCATGCTACAAACAATATCAACCTTAAATCCAACCCTTAAATCCCCTCCCATTCCCTCAACCTCTACCCCGTCCCGAGCACAAACTTGACAGGTTTCTCCGAGGACAACCAACACATCCCCGATGCAGTTTCCAACTCACCCAGAACTCCCCACAAAAGCGGACCCCTAATCGATATCCCCCTGCGTTTTGATTCGCCCACCCACGACTCGCGTACCTGACATTTTCCGCCTGAAAGGCACTGGAACTCGGCTTTTCAGGTTATCCGTAAACCCGAGGGTGATCATAAAAGCTAGATTATGTATGTATGGATTTGGGGGATACAAGGGTCTGGATCGGTTGGGGTTATGGTACTTGTTGTAGGGGTCGGGATCTGGAACGGGTGCTGGAGGGGATGGGATGGATAGCCGGCATGCCGAGGGGGTGTGTTGTGGTGGGAGGTATTGAAGATAGGTAGGTTTGAGAAGTCAGTTTACTGGATTTTTGTGTCGATTTGGTTGGGTACTCGTGGTCGATGAATTGATGTCATTGTACAAAGTAGTTGGGGATGAGTTGTGTTGGTTACTTCATGGGAGTGGAAAGTGGCTTGAAAATTGATTACTGCTGTGATGTGTGTATGCTGTTAGTGTTGCTTGAAAAGCCATGTGATGTGGGCCTCGCGAGCGGATGTTAGGTGTCTTTGAGCTATGTGTAGTGTGGAAGTGCCTGCGCCCTGTGTATAGTTTAGTAAGCTAATCTGATGTTCTATACAGAGGTCTATTGTTGCAGATGTGCTAGTCAATTGTCTCCCTTGGGAGCGGAGCCAGAGTAGACGGCAACACAATACAATAGATTGTTAGCAAAATCACGAAAATTGACAATACAGTAGACAGTTAATGTCACCAAAGATCTCAATAGACCACTTGATCTATTATTCTGAGAATCTACGCGGAGCTTATTGTTCTGTAACAATAGCTTTTATTCACTACCTGATTTCCTAATCGGGAAAACATGTCACTTTTTCATGAATAGGTGGAAACGGGCCCTATAGGCTTCAATGTTAATTCAGGCGTATTCTATTGTATTCATTGAGTCTGGCCAGCGTCAATAGATCAATATGGGGGTTCATACAGTACTATTGTTCCGTTCCTCTCGATAGTATATAACTTGTCGATGTCTTCAGGATCCTCTCTAACCAAGTCTCTTAGCAATCTTTGCATACCTCATTGCGTCAGTTGTGTATGGTACCTTGCTTACCTGCAGCCCATCTATCTGTAATCACTCATTGAGCCTTGAGCTTCAAGATGGAGAACGAGAACGGAAGTAGCGAGACCTGGGAAGTCCCCATCATGCTTAGTCCGGAGTAAGACCCAATCCAACCTGTCAGCCTCCATGATGCTAACTGCGGTAGGAACCTCAGCTATGAGGAGCTTGCTAGACTCAATCCCTTCTTCGACAAAATCATGGACCTCTGGAACAAATCCGCGCTAGCCGCGAGCACAATGGTATCCTCGGATGTCCCGTCGATCACCTCTTCATCGCATTCGATGCATTCCGAAAATGATTCCTCCTTCGCCAGTGGCCAATCGTCTACATCACCCTTGTTGAAAGGATGTCAATCGTGTCTTGACCAGCATGTCACAGAGCAGTCCCGCGTGGAGTTACATCCCTCCCAGCACATTGAGTCAGACTGGGTAGATGCTTCTATGATTGAACCTCCCCTGAGACCGATGAAGCCCTCGCACAAGAAGCTCTTCGGTGAAAATGGCTGGCTTGGATGTACCGCCGACATGAAGGATCTGCCGCGTGACAGGCAGAAATTCAAGGGCTTGAGAGGATTGGGCAGGAAGATCAAGAAGCAAGTAGAAGAGCTCGTGAGTTCCTTTCTCCTTTCATCCATGATATCATGCATGATAACATTCATCCTAGGCAGAGGATGTGGCCAAGGCCCATCCAAACCCTCTCATTCATGCGAGTCTTCGCCCAAGGATTGTCCCCGAGTCGACCATTCCCATCTCGCTAGATCCTCCCACCCAGGCCAAGCTGTATTCGGAGATGGAAGTCATGATCTGTGTCAGCGCAAACAAGTTCCTCCTGGAGCAGTACAATGAAGGTCGCCTGTCCGAAGAATCGATTCGAAAGGTCACGAACTACTGGGGTGCGAAAAACAGGCCTCAGGTCATCGAGTTCCAGTTCGACCAAGCCACCCAACGGCGACTGATCCTGTCCAACATCCGGACTCTGCGATTTAGCGGGGAATGCTCGACCAACCCTGTTCTCCTCAAATCGAACCTGAATAATTGGAAGGCGGTTAGCAAGGAAATGAGCGTTCGCACCTTCTGTGCCCCTGACAGCGCCATCCGCAAGCATATGCACGACATCCACGAGCTTCTCGATATGCTGGACGCCCCACTTGTCACCTATATCACTTTCGAGGAGTTGCAGATGCGGACCCTGTCTCTCATGAAGGTGCACCTGGAGAAACTTTGCCAGGCTGATGGTGGTAATGAGAAACTGTCTCAATCAAGTTAGAGCTACAAGAAACATCGTTCGATGGTATTCTAGGTGGACGAATGTCCCCTTTTGTTTCTTTGCTTTTATTCTATTGCTTCTTTCTCAGTTTATCCTTGCCATGTGAACGAGTGACGGCGTTTGCTAGGGGCAGTCAGGAGTAGTTAGCATCATGACTCGATCCAGTGAAAAGATAGTTGATCTACCTACCAGAGTTTCCTGTATGACATTACAGAAACTACCCGGTTTCGCCGTGTCCTTCTGATCGCCTTCTAGCGAAATACGGCAGCCTAGGGTCTCGGTAGTGATTTGATGGGCCAGGTACTCAGGTTGCGAGCCAGCGACTCCCAATTGACTTGCCAGGCTTGCTGCAGACAACCCATCATGCAGCCATGTGGACCAATAGCCACGTAGGCATAACCACCTAGCTCCTTAGTCCCTGAGATAGAGACCAAGCGTTGCATGGTGATCTGAGACAGGCTAAGAGGAATGAAATCCCCGGTACAACAATCTCACCAATCATTCGACCCATTTCTGCGAGCGCCCAGGGCCCATTCGATATGACAGGAAGATCCGATCGCTCCAGATCAGATCGGCACAAACCTCCGAGCAGGTTTATCAAAGTTTCGAGAAGTCTAATAAACCGTCTGGGACGAACCAGAAAGTTTCCGGGTCCGCAAGACGGCCACGCGCATTACTAGACAGCGTGTCTGATTTGTAGGAACGTGATTTTGGCGTTGTCATGTTGGGCCCGCTTTACGAGAATGTAGGGGCCATGGATTGGTGGACGGAGCTCAGCTACGTGTCGAGCGGGTAGTGCCATCAGAGACTCCCAACAAATGTTGGGTGGCACTTTAGACGCCATTCTAGCGTATCTCTTTAGTAAGTCAATTCCGGTAAAGATAAGATAGTCCCTAATCCCGATCTACACGGTTGTCAGCCGCGATGGCTTTATGATCTCTCCGCCTAGGTAGGGGATTGGAGCGATCTCACTCACCGGCCCAGCTGATGGACATCGAAGGTCTGGTGTACGGATAGACAAGTTCACCGAGCTAAAGATAGACTAACTTTGATCGTTAATATCCGAAACAGCATCCGAACAAATGGTAAGCAACTAATGCTGCAGTGGCGGTGATGGTGGAGGAGGACTGGTTGTCCAGTCGAGACCGCGATTGACTTGGCCGCCTTCACGTGGGCCGACGTCATGGGGTCCTTCGCCCATTCACGAGCTCGTTGCTTTTCTTCATCTGCCACCCTTGGGGCCCGGTTTCATCGCCAGGTTTCTGGTTGATTTCCATAGTACTGCCTCTCTTTCCATCCCACCGGTTTCGATTATGATCTATTTGATACCCCCGGGAAATATTGAGCTGTTTCGAAGCTCTCCTTGATGCCCGACCTCCCTTGCTGACCATACAATTCAGCGTACGCTGGAAACACCGAAGCACCACAGCGTTTCTGCCTGCATTATTACCCCATCGGAGCCCCCAGACCATGCCTGACTCTCCTTGATTACTCATATCCAACTGACCGTGTTTCTCTACTCTACTCTCACTTGTGGTATTGCTGGTGCACCTATCGCTGGCCGTCACAATGACAAACGGGCCCATCCACACCTACGGCTCAACATGTTTTCTCACTGAGGATGACCCTAACCCCTTCTCATGGCTTTCACAATATGAACCGCCCGTCGTTCGTCCGCAATTTTTTTACACGTCTGCGCTTCCGATCGATGACCCGTTGGCTGCCCTGCCACCTCCGACTGGCGGTCAAGGAGCTGGGAATGACAGAGCTCCGCTTCAACCATTCTCAGTTAGGGATAACGCGGCCCTGGAGGATGCCTGGAAGCTGTTACAACAAACTATAAGGCAGAAGCATGCTGGGAAATCCAACTTTCAGTGTCGTCCCCCGTCAACCAGAAATTCGGGGATAGATGTACCAGGACGGGAATACCCCGTCGAGCCGGGACGAAAGAAGCACAAGGGGCTGCATGGCGATGCAACCTTTCTTGGCGTACAAGGTGGTCAAATCAATATTCCTTCGCGCTCTTTGGATGACCAGCTGCCACCAAACTTCAGAAACCGATCTAGAAACGAAGCTGGAAAGTCAGACGTAAACAACAAAGTGTCCCGAGAAAGGTCGCGCACGCTTGGCAGTAGCTTAGATGATGGCTCTATATCCGGCGCAGCCCTACGTCGGAAACGTGAACCACCTTTCGGCAACAAGATTGATACAGTAGAGACCAGAGCCAGAGAATTACTAATGAATGATGATACAGCACCTGGTGGCACAGAAAGTACTAGCCCGCGAAGCTGTCCCTCACGCGATGCGAGCATCAGCGGCTCCCCCTTTGCTAGGGCTCCCATCTCCCAAGCTCACAGCCCTTTGGGCCGGTCGGTTGAATCTCTTTCGTCAGAACCTCCAATTGAGTCACCAGCGGCACCCAAACCGTCTGGCTTAAGAACGGCGGTCCGTCGGGGCTCCGTCAACGAGACTGATGGTGAAGCTGGAGGATCCACCCAGGATGAGCCGCAGCGCAAAGTCCCCGTGGGCGCGTCCCGGCTTCACCTTGTTGAACTACCAAGTCTGAAGGTATGGCATTTTCTCGTCTTCTCTGTCCATGCCTCTGGCCATGGACTCGTCAGAGGCTAATTTGTGGCAGATGAAACCGATTTACTGGAGTCCTCTGCATGACATATCGAACGTTATCCGCGCAACGTGGTTCTACAAGAACACCATGCTACCCGTGGAGACGGAGCTTGCCAATAAGCTGGAAGATGGCTACAATTATCTGAAGCCGTGGACCGAAACATGGCAAGATGAACTCAATAGCTGCGTTGAAAACGGTGCCGATGCCGAAATGAAGATCGTTCACAGACTCTGGCCGAAAGAGAACACGACCAGACCCCCCACAGCCGTGGTTGTGTCTGGCTCCGATACTTCAAGCCCCACCGCACATCTGTCAAATGAATGCAAGAGCAAAGGGACAGAGAGCATGACACTGGATGCCAATCGAGCTGCTGGTGGTACCTCTGCGCACTCCGAGACCATCAAGCCATTCTTGAATTCTAGTGTCATCTATGCCGATGGGAGAAACGCACAAATTCTCCGACCAAGCCTTCTTCCATCTGTGTCGAGGGGACGCAAGCCACTCAGTGCAATCCGTAAAGGGAGACAAATCGGCATTCCTGTGGTTCGTGGTTTTAGTAGGCGATTGTGGGACCGAATACATCCCAGCAAACCCAGCCCAGTAGACGTGAGGAACTATCTTCGCAGTACTCAGTCTCGAGCGATGTCGACGACATCCGGGGAGCCTATTTGCTATGCATGCGCGATAGAGGAGTTGCGACCCGCTCCAACAGACCTGGTGCTGGTCATACATGGGATTGGCCAGAAACTATCGGAGCGGATGGAGAGTTTTCATTTCACGCATGCCATCAACGCCTTTCGGAGGCAGATTAATGTCGAATTAAACAGCGAGCCAGTCTGGCCACATGTACGCCCAGGCCATGGAGGCATCATGGCCCTGCCTGTCAATTGGCGGTCTACCCTGTCTTTGGATGAAGCCAATCTTGAGTCTCCTGCGGCGGAAGATCCTGCTGCGAATCACTACTCGCTTAATGATATCACGCCGCAGACGATCCCGGCTGTCAGGTCCTTGATTAGCGATGTCATGCTGGACATCCCGTACTATTTGTCCCATCATAAGCCTAAGATGATACGAGCAGTAGTCAAAGAAGCGAATCGCATCTTTCGGCTGTGGTGCGAACATAACCCAGGATTTCAGCAGGAGGGCCGAGTTCATTTGCTCGCACATTCCCTAGGGAGTGCCATGGCCTTGGATATTCTCAGCCATCAGCCGACGAGGATTCCTTCCTTCGATTTTTCCAAGACCAGCATTCACGGGGACATATTCGAGTTCGACACGAGGAATCTGTTCATTTGCGGCAGTCCGGCCGGATTCTTCCTCCTTCTCAACAAAGGCAAGACTAGACTCTTATCTACCTTGATCAGCATGAACTAACAGTCGGCGCAGCGAACCTATTGCCACGACGAGGCAGAGACAAACCTGGCTGCGAAGGTGATGACCGACTCCGTGGCGTAGCAGGGGAGGCAGACACATATGGCTGCTTAGCCGTCGACAACCTGTACAACATCATGCACACCACCGATCGTAAGCGCCCCTGGCATATAGCCCATGCCTTCGTACTAACACTATCCAGCAATCGCCTATCACGTCAACGCCATCGTTGACAGCGATCTCGCCAATTCCCTTAGACCCGCCTCCATCCCAACCTCCGCCGCATCTTTCTGGCAATCCGTTGGCAGCGTGTTCCGCTGGAGCACACCTCCAGCTCTGATACCCTCCACTGCGACCGTCCCCACCCGTCCATCAACCCTCAACAAGCTCCCCACCAACGTCGAACTAGAAACGCACGACTTTACACGGGAAGAGATAGCCGAAAAACGCATGTTTCTTCTCAACGACAACGGTCAGATCGACTACTTTCTCTCTGGTGGCGGGGGGCCTCTGAACATCCAGTATCTGAACATGCTCAGTGCGCATAGCAGCTACTGGACCCTGACCGACTTTGTCCGCTTCCTCGTCATTGAGATAGCCCGTAAACAGGGTCGAGATTACACCCTGCCGGTACTCCGGGCCGCGAAGAAGAAGGGCTGGAAAATCCACAAAGGCTAATCTACTTCATGATCCCCTCAACTTATTAAGGGTTTTGGAATTCTCATACAAGTCATCCAATATTTCTTCTCATTTAATTCTCGATTTGTCTTCGAACAATTCTCCCCTATTTTCGTGAGATTGGTTTGATCGTTGCGAACTTGGTCCTTGCTTCTTGCTTGGTGGTAGCGTTACCCTTATTTGGTGTCCTGAAGACACAGAAGCGTACGCAGACGCATACACAGAACATATCTTCTTTGCCATGTTTTAACATTGGGTACTGCTATGGAGCATCTCGGGTGGGATAGGATAGGTTTTGAATACGTGGCGCAATATATTTGAATACTACCTTTGGAAAGAATCACTGCCTAATCAATCTAGCCGACTTCAAAGACTATGGAGTATCATGACGCTCATTCCAAAAGTATAGAGTTGTAAGATAACAACAACCACACTATCCCAAGGAGCACCAGATGGAGCAACCGCCTATTGGAAAAAGGTTCAGATCAATTCTCCGGCACCACAGCCCCCATCATCAACGCCTCCACCAGCATCCCCTTCTCAAGCTTCCCAGCTCCAGACCGCAGTACCAAAAGCGCATTAGCACTCGCCAAGCTACCCACTCGGGAGCTCCGTTGTCCCACGCCTCCCATTCCCGTACTCATGGCATAGAGCCGGCCATCCTTACGCGACGCCGTCACAATAGCCCGGTGGTATTCGGTGCGCTTAGCATCCACCGGGAATGGATGCGCCAGGGACACAGATACCAGGGGGAGACCCAAAGGTGGAGATATCCCGGCGGGTGTGATCTGTCGTTGTTCCATGCCCATGAGCTTGTGGAGGGAGGGAAGCACGAAGAGGTTGAGGGTGACGAGTGCGGAGGCTGGGTTGCCCGGCAGGGAGAAGATGAGTTTTGTCTCGCGTTCTTGTTGCTGTTGTTGTTGTTGTTCTCCTTGTGTGGATGAGGAGGAGGATGGTTTGAATGGGATGGTGGCAAAGGTGGTGGGTTTGCCTGGTTTCATGGAGACCCGACCGAAGTGGATGGTTCCGCCGAGGGATCGCTCGATGGTGGGTTTGAGGAGGTCGAGTTCGCCCATGGAGACGCCGCCTGTGGTGATGATTACGTCTACGTTTGTGTGGGCTTTGCCGACACCGCGAAGAGCGTCGCGGAGACTTTGTTCGAGTTCTCCCGCAGGAGTGTCGCGGGCAATGCCGAGGTCGACGGTGGGGAAACCCCAGGAGGTGAGGCAGGAGAGAAGAGAAGGGCGGTTCGAGTCACGGATTTGACCACCCTGGAGCTTGCGAGGATCGTTGTGTTCAACGAGTTCGTCGCCGGTGCTGAGGACTCCGATGCACGGTTTCTTGTAGACTTTCACCGTTTTGGTCCCTGTCGCGGCGAGAAGCCCGATCTCGCCGCCTACAGAGGTGATGAGGTCGCCTTGTTGGAGGATGCGCGAGCCGAGAGCTACATCGCTGCCTGGTTCGCGGACGTTCTCTTGCGGCTTAATGTCGCCAGTCAGGATCTCCACGGTTGCTTCTTCTTGGCCGTCTGGGGTCGATGAAGCGAGGACGGTATCTTCGACCATTACTACGGCGTTGGCGTTGGGCGGGAGTGGTGCTCCGGTGGTGATTCGGGCGATGGTACCGGGTTCGAGCGGAGTGAGAGTCCCCCCTTCGTTGGCGTGGGTGATAGAAGCAACGGGGAAGATGCCCTTGGTGCTAGGTCCGGCATCTGGGGATTCGGGTGCAATGACGGCGTATCCGTCCACGATGCTGGCTCGGTATGCCGGCACGGCTTCCCCGGCGTAGACATCTTCGGCAATGACGGATCCAACAAGAGCGGTTGTCACAGGGGCTTCGATGATCGCTGGTTCGGGCGTCTGTTGACTGATTATTTTGAGCGCTTCGTCGACGGAGAGCATCGGGTATGGGGATTCTCGGTATCGACGGTTTGGTCCGGCATTTGGATCGTTTGACTGTGGTCGTTCTGATGGAGATGTATGCGCCCGAGGGGCGGCATGTCCGTGCCCATGATCGTGGCCATGGGAATGGCTGTGATGACCATGATGGTGGTGATGGTGATGATCCGCTTTGCTACCAGAGGGAGACGCAGCGGACACTCCTGCCTCGGCCTCTAGCTTTTTGACCCCGCCTGCGTGGATAGCTCGAGAATTTGCCCCAGCTGCCTGGCTACATGCATGGGGCAACAACTTGATGATGGCTTCAAGGTTTTCTTTGGCACCTTTCGGAGACCCAGGTACAGTGATGACCAGGGTCTTATCTCGCACACCTGCAACAGGCCGGGACATCATCGCAACTGGTGGTGCCCGTTAGCAGCCAAGACACGCAACATCGTGGTGATCACCTTACAGGGCGTGACTTTCAATGAAGCCGCAAGCATGCCGTGACTGAATAGGCCTAGTCAAAACCAGTCCATCGGATCTATAGGAAGTTATTGGGAAAAACTTACACCAGGCCAGATGCATGGCGCTGGATGAGAGGCGACACAGCCTGTCGAACATTAGCAATGGAACAGGGAAGGTCCAAAACAAGAGAAATGCCAACCTCCGGTGTAATGTCCTTAGTAGCAAATCCAGTACCACCACTGACAATCACAAGATTGACCCAATTGGGGCCGTCTGTCCAGTCACAGACGGAGCGTTGAATTTCCAGCACATTATCGGGAACGATCTTGATAGCGGGCTGGCCCCAGTTATTCGCCCCTTCGGTTGCGAAAACGGTGGTGAGGGTGTCTCCCACTTTGTCGGTGGAGGGATCTTGAGAGGCAGTGTCGGAGACAACCAAGATGGCCGCTTTGAGGGAGTTGTCTGCCATGTTGATTTGGTGATGGGGATGTGGAAGCTCGTCGGGATGGTGGGGCAGAAAGTGCTCTACTGTACTCCGTATGAGAAGTGCGGATGGGCGACTGATAGATAGGCTGGCCGGAATGGGGACCCGCGACGCCTTCTTGCATGCAGCCAGCAACGCCACAGCAAGTTCCAGCTCACAGGGAAAATCTATAGATCGGTATATTTTGTGGTTCAAGTATTCTCATGATATCTCCCAAAAGTTACTATACACCCTCTTCACGCATTTGCCCATCAGGCAAAGCAGCAAGACTTTCAATGCAATTCACGCATAGCCAACCGTTCTACAGTCAAATCGAATCCATGCGCCCAATGCGGCCTAAAGGTAGGACAAAGAACAAAAAAGTGAAGACAAGAATGATATAGGTCGTACAGATCATCCCCATCATAGCCCTCTACGCTCCATCAATATTCAAGCAGCAGCCTCGAAGTCGACCGCTTTTCCTCCAATCAGGAGTCCAACAATCAAGCCGAACAGACCCAGGACGGAGCTAAAGATCTCAACAACGAGGATCTTGACGAACCTATAGTGCGCATGGTTAGCTGCCACTCTCGCAATCGAATGGTAAGGCAACGAACAAGCTAGGGTCAGCAGCATCAGCCAGGGCAGCACCACTTCCATTGATACCGACGGAGATACCGCAAATCAGATTGCAGGCGCCCACGGTGATACCGCCCCAGAACAGCGCATATCCGGTATAGTAGTTGCTGCCAGAGAAGAGCGCATCGCCTTCGACAAGGTTGAGCTTCGAGGAGAAGACGATGGCCATGATGACACCATAGATAGCCACAACTTCACAGAAGATAATGGAGATCAAGTTCTTGGTGCGAATTCTGGGCGCCTTGACACCTCCTCCAACGATCGATGAGCCGGTCAAGAAGATACCCCTGCCGGGATGATATTAGCATCCCACCTCTGTAGCCAGACACGCAAAGCCATACCATGAAGCACCAACAACCGACAATCCAATGCACATAGCAATTCCAAAGTTCGCCCAGGCGTACGGAGACACCGACTCGAGGAAGTAGCCGACCTAGACCGGGTTAGCGGGTGTCGAATAATCACTGCAGGCCTTGGGGTTGCTGCATACATCGAAATGATCACCATCACCGCGGAAGAGCAGATCTAGTCATCAAGAGAGCCCGAGTTAGCGTATGAACGGAGGCCGCCGCTTCAGCGAGTCGGGTTACTTACACACTGCTATCAATACAACTAACACGGTTGCAAGACTGGCAGGGTAGTAGCGACCCATGATGAACCCTCCGCTTACAACACGGACTGAGCGCTGGAGTATATCGAGAAGACAATCGGCGAGGCCCCAGGGAGGTGAGGAGGAGTCGATAGGAGCAAGTCGAGGACCGGAGGAGCTCTTGACCGAAGCGTGTAGCTGGAACAAGCCGCAACTACAGCGGGAGGTCAGGCCGGGCCGGGGTTAATCCGCGGGCGTGTGCTTGTCGGTCCATTCACCATCCATCATAATACGAATACATAATACTGTCAAGTTCCCCGGACCGATCCATGGGTCGAGCTCTCCTCCAGTCGACCCTCTGAACCTCCTGCACGACTGTCCGGTCGTCTTTCCCAATACCTCTTGACACCCCTCGGAGATCCGCCCTCCCCACTATATGTCCTTGTATTCCTAGTGCCTTTCCATTTTCACTAGCCCACCGCCTGAACACTTGTCGACTTTGCGACCTGCCTCCGTTACTACCCCTGATTCCGCCGCTCCTCCCACGACTTTCACAACCATGGCATCCACCTCCGGGGTCGGGTCGTATTCGAACCCTTTGAAGAAATTCAAGTACGTCGGGCTTGCAGTCTACGCCTAGGCCGTCTTAATAGGCGACTAATCGAATCGCAGGCTGGTATTTTTGGGCGAGCAGAGTGGTACGGACAACCTCTGCGACAATACTTCACCCATTGACGCCACCCGGTCTCTGACATCTGCGTTACAGTTGGGAAAACCTCGTTGATCACGCGGTTCATGTATGATTCGTTTGACAACACGTACCAAGCCACCATTGGAATCGATTTCTTGTCAAAGGTATACCATGCCTGGTCGACTGCATCCTTTTCAGAGCAAGCCCGTATCTCGCCGTTCCCACCCGGCTCTCGTCATTTCCCGTGCGCCCGCGCTGTTCCTGTTCCCGGAGGCTAATTCGCATTGTTCGTCTTAGACTATGTACTTGGAAGATAGAACCGTTCGCCTTCAACTTTGGGACACGGCCGGTCAAGAGCGATTCCGTTCCTTAATCCCTTCCTATATCCGCGACTCCAGCGTCGCTGTTGTGGTCTACGACATCTCCAACGCCAAGTCCTTCCAAAACACTCGAAAGTGGATTGATGACGTCCGTGGAGAGCGCGGAAACGATGTGATCATTGTCCTGGTTGGCAACAAGACCGATTTGAACGACAAGCGCGAGGTCACAACGGCTCAGGGCGAGGAGGAAGCAAAGAAGAACGGCTTAATGTTTATCGAGACGAGTGCGAAAGTCGGGCACAACGTGAAGCAGCTCTTCCGGAGAATAGCGCAAGCACTCCCGGGCATGGAGGGTGAAGGCAACCGCGGAGACAACCAAAGTCCGTTTTCATCCCCACCCCGACTATAGCCACATGCCTGAATACTGACGAACTCTTTACAGTGATTGATGTCAACATCACCCCGAAAGAGACTACGACCAACGATGGATGCGCCTGTTAGATGCTGTACTCACTAATTTCCCAGAGGGTCATTCCTACCGCTCGCGACCCCTTTATCTGTGCCTGAATCTCAATGATGAGGCTTGAGATTGTCCATAATGCTCTTCGTTCTCAAGATGTACATTTTTTTTTTCTTTCCCGTTCCAGGTGAATAGCGTGTTTAGATCAAGCTTGAGAATTTCTTTTCTTCTTTTTCTACTCTTCGATTCGTCCTTGATTTCCTTGAGATTTTGCCCCGAAATCCAACACTTGACGGAAGAACCAGGCGTTCGGTTTCTGCATTGACATCATATTGCATTGACCCGCGGCATCCCGGGTTTGCATTGTTTTGCGTTCGTCTTGTGCGCTTACGACCATCGTCAGAGATGCTGCTACGATTTTGTTAAAATTACTACCACTGCAGACGGCGGCATTCGTGCACTTGCAGGGTCGTGGCAGGAAAGATTCTGCTCGAGTTGGTGGCTTTACGAAGTGCCGCGGCTGTCGTCGTATGATCAACGGATTGGACAGCTGGGTCCTGTCCACCACTGTTAACTGGCTAAATGGAATCGACACTAGGCCTGAGGCGTAAAATATCGATGAGGGCCCCCAAATCAACCCCTGAGTGAGATTTCAGTGGCAGTAGGCAGGCAATTAGGCATTAGCATTGGTCGTACTCGTATTGTGGCTTGGCAAACATCGTTCAACCATGATGTACGTACTACATCGGCAGTCTAGTAGCTCCTAGTTGAAGGGACCCATCGTGAAGGGAGTGGACGGGAGAAAAAGGGAGTCGAGCAGATCAGACCACAATGGAAGAATGGCGGTCTTGCCAACAGAACAGGGCACTGGTTGTGACCATGTACTACCATGAAGAGATGTAGCAAGTGCTCTGAACCAGGACGTCATGCGGCGCTGGGCAGTGACAGGGTCTGTTCCAGCAGCAGAGCGCCATCAAACAGGCATCGATCGGCAGGCGGATCGCCCGGCTAATCGCGCCCCTGTGCAGCCCGCAATTGGGCGCCAGCGCCACTTAAACACGCCCGTCCTTCCTCGTCCTCGTCTCCGTCGTCGCCCGTCACCTTCCATTCCTTTTCCTCTTTCTGTCGCTCCCTCCCACCACCAACCCCCCCCATCACATCAGAAACCCACTTCTTCTGGATATCTCTGCCCCCGGCGATAGCAACCATGGGGTTATCAACCCGTCTTCTCCGCATCCCGCGGCCAGAGGTGTGTTTCAATTCCCGTTGTGTCTGCCCCCCGAATCCATGAAAATTTAGGATGGGAGCGAGACCCCGACCGACCCGTTGCCCGGTCGCTCACTGAATGAGGCTAACCATCGCAACCCGGCTGCCCGGTGACCTCACACAGACCTTCCTCTACGTTATGAGCCTACAGACGGGCGCCTCTTTGATCACCCTGTCGTTGCTCCTCAACAAAATCAGCGGCCTTTATGGCTTACTCGCCCTGTTGACCGGTTACCATCTATCCCCCGTGCAGCTGTCGATGTACCTCTACTCCCTCCTCGCTCTCGGCCTCACTGCCTACCTCTTCCCGCACATCCGGAAACAATCTCCGTTACAATGTCTTGCGCTCGCCTGGCTCTATGTCTTCGATAGTTTGATCAATGCCGCCTACACTGCGGCCTTCGGTGTGACGTGGTTCCTCGTCGTCTCTCAACATTACGACAACGGCAGCGCCTCGGGACCCGGTGGCGAGACCATCGCCCAGACCGCCGGCTTTACAAGCCCCAAGTATGCCTCCAAAGGAGATGGCGATCACTACGCAAGGAGACCGGACCCTCTCGGCAACGCTGTGGCGCAGCCGGAAAGTTTCCAAAGCATCCTAATCATTTGCTCTCTCTGGATCGTCCGCGCCTATTTCGTCTTCGTCATGCTTGCCTTTGCGCGCCAGGCCCTACGCCTCCACATCGCCGTGCCTCGTCATACCCAACTTCCGACCCACAGTCGCAATACTTCCATCGCCAGCGTCGCCAGTGTTGCGGACATCGACCGGGAGCCCTTCTCACCGTATAGCCCTGATGGTCAAGGGTGGCAGGGAAAGCTGGGGCGCATCATGATCGGCATTGGTCGCAACTACTGGCTTGGTGAAGACGAGGAAGGCGGCAACTGGATGGTTACCCTTGGCCGCCGCTTCCGGGCTCGTGGTGAAGACACCGAACTTCCCGGCCCTCTTGAAAGGGAGAGAAGACGTCGTTCCGGGACCGGTCCTCCCCAGCCTTCCCCGTCAGCCTTTCAAGCTGTAGCCCTGCAATCGCCGATTCATGAACACACCCCAGGAGCGAACGTGAAGATGCACGGCTGGAACGAGGGCAGGTGATTTGCGATCGTCTGACATTGGGGTAACATCTGAGCCTCCTCAGACTTGTCTCAATGGCATTTTTCAAGCCTGTTAAAGGTTCCAGAGAGCATCTGGCAGACAGGCTTTGTGTCCGTCCGCCATACTCCGCAGGACGATGATTGCGCGCTTCCTGTTGACCATGCCGCACTCTGCTGTGGAGAGGCTCGGATCGCTGTAGCCTCTTCCTTCTCTACCCCACCCATCTTGCATGGTTTCTTTTCAACCCTGTTATTATATATGCCGAAATGATCTACATACACTGTTTATGAATTGGGGAAACGGGGGACATGGGTCGGCACGGTGACATTTCATCACTTTCGCCTTTGGCTTTCACAACGACCTGGCTTCGACGAGACGGCGGTCCAGGCGCGCGAAAGGTCCGAGCTATTTGGGAGCACCATGATTGGGAAGATGAACATAATGGCTTTAAGGAGGGTCTTGTCTTGCCCAATGTGGACTTGGCGTCTGGGGACCTGTACATTTGTATCGACATAGGGATGGTTTGTTTACGGCGTCTTCAGGGTACATTTCTGTTGCATGATGCTAGGGATTTGCATATATTGACCACCATATTTGGCCCCGAGAAGAGCACTATATATTTTGTATGCAAGACATAGATACCCCAGGTACACCTCGCCGACTCGATTTGTCTTGCGATTGTCAATCCGTGATTTATATTCCGTCCATTGGTGTACATTTCCGAGTAATCCCCGAATTTTCTCGCCCGAGAGAGGATGATCAGTCATGTGGCAGGTCTAGAGCGAATCCCGTCAGAAATCCCGGTAATCCAGGCATGTGCTGTAACTACGGAGTATATATATCCGATCCGGGTGAGGGATATCCAAAGAAGGGAAAAGAGATGAAGAATATAAAGGTAGAGATACCGAATCAAAAATGGGATACATATCATAGTAGATAGAGTAAAGGGTGGTTTCCCACACGACAAAGAAATCTTAATGCATTATCGCATTGTTTCATTATTCCATCGTTATCTACTTCCGCAAGTCCCGCTCCGCACGGTTCCCCAGATCGTTACAAAACGTGCTTGGAAATCGCCCGGCGGTCGGCATTCCGAGCAAAAGCCGCAACTGCAAATGCCTGAGGAGTCAGGCCCTGACAAAAGTGACGTGCTCGAGGACCAGTCACGAGATCCCCGCACTTGTCCTCATTGGGTGTGTTTGCTCGGTTACACTGTGGCTGTTTGCATCGATGTCGTGATCGCAATCCAATCAGAGGGGGGCTAATCCAACCCCGATGGCGGAGAAGGGCCCCAAAAGTCTATGAGGAGCAGAACCATAGCTCTCTCTGGGACGGAGTCTGTAGAAAAATTTAGGGGAACACGGCTGAGTGTGAAGCTAAAATTCCCATGTCTTTAGCTTGATTCCCTCCTCTCTCCTTTCTCCTTCCTTCCCTCGTCAACCTCATCTATTGAACTCGATTTGAGTGGGGAGTCACCGTATGCGGTGATATCCATTTCTCTCTACTACAAGGACCATCCCACTTCCTGCGCATTTCGCAGCGAAGCCAGTAATTGTCAATATGGCGTCCGTTTCGACTGCGGGTGAAGCAGGTAGGTCGTCCTTATTTGCACGATTGCATTTTGACTCGGCAGTCAATTCGTCTGTCATCTTGTCCGAGTGCTAATCAGTCGTCTCATGGTTCCAGTGGCGAGAGTCGCCTACCTGTCCAGCGATGTTGTTCTCTCCGTTCAACCATCGCTGCAGGCTGATTCTTGGTTCTCCAAGACCCTCAAGACCCTAAAGGCAAACAATGCTCGCAGCGTCCTGCCAAGAGGTGTCACTGACGTAAGTTATATTGAGCTTGGCTCTCTAGGGTGGGCTGTACGAGTGGCAATCTAACAATCCGCATAGGTGGTGGCCGTTCGTTACAATGAAGATCCCCTCCTTTCCGCTTTCCATCCCCTGCAGGCAGGCAATGCGGTGTCTGTTGTCACCACCTCCTCCACTTTGCTCTCCTCTATTCCCCACCTTTACCGCTTGGCGAACAGTCCCGTCGTCATCCACGTCGCTTTGGAGCCCTACCCATTCCCAGACTATTCCGTGATCAGCTCTATCCGGCAATGCGGATTCACTTTCCTGCATTCCGAGACGGTCCAGGAGGCCCAGGATATTGCCATCACCGCCCATGCCTTGGCCCGCAAGTCCGGAAAGGGTGTCATCCATTTCTTCGACCCCGCCAACTCCGCTCGCGACGATGCTATTGCCGAGGAAGATGCCGAGGTCCTCCGGTCCCTTCTCAATCTGGGCGGAAGCGCTGTCACACATACTTCTGGCCTGGGTGTCCAAACGCTGTACACTGATTCTGGCCGGGTTGCCACGGTGTCTGAGGATGCCGTTGAGAGCGCCACCAGCCAGGCCGAGGGCACTTCCACCCCTGTCCGGGCGACACAGACCCCCTCGAGCCTTAGTGTCGACAATTCTTCCGTTGGCTCCTCGCGCAGGGACAGCAGCGTCGATAGCCGCGCCACTAGCTCGGCTGCCACAACCATTGATGCTTCGTCGACACGGCCAGTCAGTGCCGCAGATATCTTTGAATGGACTGCTCAGATCTGGAAGGGGCTTTCGGACGCAGTCGGGCGCAACTACCGTGCCATCGAGTACACTGGCCCCTCTGATGCCAAGTCCGCGATCTTTGTCTTCGGCTCGACCGGCGTGTTCGTGGATGTCCTGGGCAAGGAGGAGGCTACCGGTGAGCTTGGAAATGTCGGCTTGATCACTGCACGCTTGTACCGTCCCTGGGTCGGAGGCCAGCTTGTCAACTCTATTCCCAGCTCGGTTGAGAAGATTGCCGTGCTGGAGCAGGTCCGCAAGACCACGAAGTGGGGTCCGGCGTTCATGGATCTCCTTTCGAGCCTTTCACCGTCGGCCACTGGCCGGCCCACCCCCCAGATTGTGGGCTACAGACTGGGCTACGTCGAGCCCTCTACCGCCGTTCAGGCTCTCCGTGGCATTGTGCAGAACCTGAGCTCTTCTTCGCCCATCCAGAACCTCGAAATCGGAAGCTCGAAGGTTCCGTCCATTGAGCCTGCTCTTGAGCAGCCCCACGTTGAGAATGCCTACCTCAAGATCCTCAACCAGCTTTTTGGCGAGCGTCTGCACATTGCCAACCAGCTGGGTTCGAAGAACGCGGGAATTTCTTCTACTATTGCTGCCAGCCCCGAATACGGATTTGGTGCGCTGACGGCCAGACTGGAACACCGTCAACGCTTTATCCGGGAAGTGGAAGAAGCGTCGAAGGCTACTACCTTCGCCACTGATGTTCCCAGGTCATGGCTCTCCAAGTGGGCTCTTAGTGCTAGTGACGCCTCCAAGGCCAACAAGTTGGCCCCTGATGTCATTGCTCGCCTCTCCAACGATGGCTCCAAGCTTGCTAGACAGCTCCTGGAATCCAAGAAGCTGTTCTACGATGAGTCCCTGTGGCTCATCGGCTCTGATGCCTGGGCCTACGATCTCGGAAACTCCGGTGTTCACCATGTTCTCGCATCTGGAGCTAATGTCAACATGCTCGTCATCGATTCGCAGCCTTACTCGGAACGCACCGCTACCGACCCCACTCGCAGAAAGAAGGACATTGGATTGTATGCCATGAACTACGGTAACGCATATGTTGCCTCCGTTGCCGTTTACGGCTCCTACACTCAGGTCCTCCAGGCTATGGCTGAAGCTGAGCAGTTCAAGGGCCCCTCCGTTGTGGTTGCTTATCTGCCTTATAACCAGGAGAACGACTCTGCCTTGACTGTGCTCCAGGAAACCAAGAAGGCCGTTGACCTTGGTTACTGGCCCTTGTACCGCTGGAACCCTGGCAACGACGAGAACGGCGAGCCCAAGTTCTCTCTGGACTCCGACCGGATCAGGCGTGAGCTTGAGGAATTCCTCCGCCGGGATAACCAGCTCACCCAGCTCATGAACCGTCACCCCAAGTTTTCGGCTGCCCTCTCCGAGTCCTATGGCACTGAGGTCCGTTCTCTGCAGAAGCGCAAGGCCAAGGACTCCTACGAGAAGCTTCTTGAGGGTCTCTTTGGTGCCCCCCTGACCATTCTCTTCGCCTCTGACAACGGCAATGCGGCGACCCTGGCGAAGCGTCTTGGAAACCGCGGTCGTGCTAGAGGCTTGAAGACCATGGTTATGGCCATGGATGACTACCCTCTCGACGATCTCGCCACCGAAGAGAACGTGGTCTTCATCTCCAGCACTGCGGGTCAAGGAGAGTTCCCTCAGAACGGTCGTGGCCTTTGGGAGTTTGTGAAGAACACCGGTGACTTGGATCTGTCGTCCATCAATTACTCTATCTTCGGTCTTGGTGATAGCCACTACTGGCCTCGCAAGGAAGACAGAATCTACTACAACAAGCCTGCCAAGGATCTTGATGCTCGTATCGCCTTCCTTGGTGGACGTAAGCTGACAGATATTGGTCTCGGTGATGACCAAGATCCCGATGCCTACCAAACTGGTTACTCCGAGTGGGAGCCTCGTCTCTGGCAGGCTCTGGGTGTGGACAAGGTTGAAGGCCTTCCGGAAGAGCCTACTCCATTGACCAACGAGGATATCAAGATCCAATCCAACTACCTGCGTGGTACCATCGCCGAGGGGCTGCTGGATGAAAGCACCGGCGCTATCTCGGCCAGTGATCAGCAATTGACCAAGTTCCACGGCACCTACATGCAGGATGATCGTGATGTCCGAGACGAGCGCAAGGCCCAGGGTCTTGAGCCTGCTTACAGCTTCATGATCCGTTGTCGACTTCCGGGTGGTGTCGCTACCCCGCTTCAATGGCTTCAGATGGATGCTATCAGCAGCTCGCATGGTAATGAAACCATGAAATTGACGACGAGACAGACCTTCCAGTTCCATGGTGTCATTAAGCGCAATCTTCGTGGCGCAATGCGCGCTATCAACAAGTCGCTGATGACCACCATCGCAGCTTGTGGTGATGTCAACCGCAACGTCATGTGCAGTTCCCTCCCTGAGCTTTCCTACTTCCACCGCGAAACCCACGCCGTCGCCCAGAAGATCAGCGACCACTTGCTTCCCTCCACTACGGCCTACCATGAGATCTGGCTGAAGGATGATGACGACAAGAAGGTCCAGGTTGCCGGTGACGCCGTTGTTGACCATGAGCCGCTGTACGGTCCCACCTATCTTCCTCGGAAATTCAAGATCACCATCGCCATCCCCCCTCACAACGACACTGATGTCTACGCTCACGATATCGGTCTGATCGCCATCAAGGGCGCCGATGGACACTTGGAGGGTTTCAACATCACTGCCGGTGGTGGTATGGGTGCTACCCACAACAACAAGAAGACCTATCCTCAAACCGGACGTATGTTCGGTTACGTGCCTGCTGATCAGGCTCACATTGTCTGTGAGAAGATTATGCTGGTTCAGCGTGATCACGGTGACCGCAAGAACCGCAAGCACGCTCGTCTCAAGTACACCATCGACGACATGGGTGTGGCTGCCTACAAGGAGAAGGTCGAAGCCCTTCTTCCCGAGGGCTTGCGCTTCGCTGAACCTCGCCCCTTCAAGTTCGTTTCGAACGTCGATACCTTCGGCTGGCTGAAGGACGAGAAGGGCCTTAACCACTTCACCTTCTTCATCGAGAACGGACGTATTGAGGATACCGCTGACTTCAAGATGCGTACTGGTCTGCGTGAGCTTGCTAAGCTCGACAAGGGCGAGTTCCGCCTCACCGGTAACCAGCATCTGATCCTTTCCAACATTGAGGATGCAGACCTTCCTGCCATTAAGGAGCTGATGGCTCAGTACAAGCTTGACAACACCTCCTTCAGCGGCATGCGTCTGTCTTCGTCTGCCTGTGTTGCCTTCCCCACCTGTGGTCTTGCTATGGCCGAGTCCGAGCGCTACCTGCCGGTCCTCATCTCCAAGCTGGAGTCCACCCTCGAGGAAGTGGGCCTGGCTAGCGATAGTATCGTCATGCGTATGACTGGTTGCCCCAACGGTTGTGCCAGACCTTGGCTTGCCGAGGTTGCCTTCGTTGGTAAGGCGTATGGTGCTTACAACATGTATCTCGGTGGTGGTTACCACGGACAGCGTTTGAACAAGCTGTACCGCTCTTCCATCAAGGAAGACGAGATCCTTGAGATCATGAAGGATCTTCTCCGCCGGTACTCCAAGGAACGGAACACTGACGGTGAGGTTCCTGAGAGGTTCGGAGATTGGTGTATCCGTGCGGGCGTCATCAAGGCGACGACCGATGGACAGAACTTCCACGACGGAGTATGTTATCCCTTTGACACAAACTGCTAGACGCATCACTAACAACTTGCTATAGGTTGCTGAAGATGACGAAGAAGAGTAGACGTTGGATATATCCGGAAAAGTGGCTGTAGGACTCGGCATTTTGTGATATTGTTATATATCTTCAAGAACGCTTATGATTTTTACGACGATACAGCTGTTCTGTACATACTGTTGATGACCAAACATTGTCGCATCTACATTTTATAGCTGGAGTATTAATTGTAAAATGTACATCTTCACCGGAGCTTGCTTGGTAATGTCCTTGACGGTAGTATGCTGTTAGTTTTCCATAGTATGTATATGAGGACCAGCTGTGTCAGAGGCCACCATGCTCTCACTGATTATGAGGTTAATTCAACGACTACTCAATGCTGGGATTCCAGTAGAATCACCAGCGCTTGATTCATGACTCCCAATGTATATACTTTCGAAAGTAGAAAGCGGTGTAAAGCACCGATTCTGCCCGCGGGCAGCTTATCAAACCTCCGCCTCCGATAAAGCAAAAAAAGTTGCAAAAAAACGACCCCCCGCGAAGACCGCACGCCATTGCCCGAGCGAAACCCCTCTCCTCTCCCTTCCAACCGCCTTACTACACAGCCACACCTTTCCCTTCATGCCACCACCCTCATAAACAAACCCAATCAACCAACCACAACCCGACACCCCCCATGGACCCCTCCGACGACCCCGTCGTCGCATCCTACGACATCTACCTCACCGACTCCGACATCTCCCGCTACGTGCTACAATACCTCGACCGACCGACCGGCTCCTCCTACGACGACCGCCACGGCCAAAAGCCCACCTCCTTCCGGCTGAAACCCAAGACCGGCCTCGTCGAAGTCGACGTCCCGATCAACACGCGCGTCAACTACGACGTCAGCAAGGGATTGCGGTACGGTGATGCGTTGAAGAAAAGCCGTAGTGCTCGCGAAGGCGGCGCATATGGTATGGCCGGCGGGTTTAGTTCCGGGGGTGCTGGGACGGGGGGCGCAAAGGTGAAGATGGAGGCTGAGGTCGCGGAGCAGGATACGAAGGGTGATACGGCCTCCTTGTTGAAGGTTCAGACGCTTGGTGGGAGGATTAAGGGTCCTGAGGATGGGGATCCGGTTTATATGTTGGCGGCATTTCGGGGACGTGAGTTTTTCCTTATCCTTTCTTTCTTTCTTTCTTTCTTGCCTTGGAATGGGATGGGATGTGGCTAATTGGTGCTGATGATGGGGTTTAGAGAATTTGCATCTTTCGCCTGTGTCGGCTGTTGTGCAGTTACATCCGCAGCTTCATCATCTAGATGCCTTGGACGAGATCCCGACGAAGGGGAAAGGCAAGGCCAGGAAGGAGGGAGAGGAGGATCGGCCGGGTGAGAGTGAAGCTAGGGCGATCGATGTGAAGATTAAGGCCGCCGAGGATGGAGAGGCGGCGCAGGTTGCGGGCAATCTGGACCTTTTGAAGAAAATGCAGGATGAGAAGTGGAAGGATTATGAGTGGGTTGATGCTGAGGTGAGTTCCCGATCTATGTGGTCCCCGGGATGCAGGCTAATGCGGGTGTTGTTAGACGGAGGAATCGTGGCAATTGTACGAAAACTACATGATGCATCAGGACGTGGAGGGTTTACCCCAGCTGCAGTCGGCGATCGATAGCGAGGATTATCTGGATACGATGAGTGCGCCGCGAATTGATCCTGCAAGACCGGAGATGACAGGCTGGGCGATGAAACAAAACCGCAAGAAGCAGCAGCAGGGAGAGGGAGGCGCTGCTGAGGGAAACACCGAGGAAGGTTGATAGAACTGAATTGGCTTCGAATACCATACATAAAATTACGAATTCTAAATGACTTGCATATATTCTTGCACCGTGGCCAGTAATAGTAAATGCGGGTGGCAGTATGGAGTACCTCAAGTCTTGAGTTTACGTAGTGGAGAACAGACTTTAGGAATAGTCGGGCAACCATGTTCCTCTGTTTGAACAGGGACTGGACTTGGATGCAGCTCCAGGATGTCCATTGGGAGCCATTGCCCGAGAGCACCAATTCTGGATTTGCCATCGAGCTCAACATTGCTGAAGGAATCGGATCGAAAGGCCGTAGATGCGCCGCCAGCCAATGAGCGTCGTTGAAACCTCCAGTAAGCTTCCAGAACATCACGTGCGTCTCACGTGCCTTATCGCCCATTCGGGGCGGTGGACCAATTTTCATTTCCGTCCGCCGAAGTCTCCGCTCGACTCGGCGCATCCAGTATTTCTCTCTCGCCTTCACGCCTTTTTTTCTTCCCTCTCGTCCTCCCCATCCCCCCATCCTCCGTCCCTTTCCTATTCCTTTCCCTTCTTCTGTCGTTGGAGGGCTGCAGGACGGCTTGTCAGATTGGATAGATGTCCATCGTCTGACGGCTTTCTCATTCTGGGTCACTCGAATCCATTTTGCATCTATCTCTTCCCTCTTTTCATGACTTCAGACGTCTCGTTTAGTTCGCGATAAATCGTCCTTGTTTTCTCTCTCTAATTGCCAATAATCAGTTATATTCATCTAATTGTCAATCATCGCGTCTAACGGTGTTCGTGTATCATGTTGTCCCGAGTTGCTCTTCAGAAAAACGCCTTCGCTCGCCTGCGCCTAGCCAAGGGGCGCTCGGTGTTGCCCTCCACCGCACCATTGAGACTTCATTCTCATTCGAGTCGACCCATCTCCCTTACGAACACATCGGCAAACATTACCCAGGAACGTTCTCGTCGGCTATCCTTCCAGTCTAGTCGGAACCTCGCCACTGCTGCAGACCAGTCCGCAGTCGACCAAGCGTCTTATGGATCCTTCGAATCTCCCGCATACAACCCCGAACGGTATTATGATCACCAGCTGTCCTCCTTTTTCTCGCCCATTGCCCATGATTTCGATCCCTCATCCTTAGTCATTGTGAATGATGCCCTCCAAACGAAACCGAAGGTGCTGCGGAGGGTGAAGGGTCTTGGTGGCGATGAAGAAGAAATGCTGGCAAACTTTGATCTGTCCCTTAGACTCCATCGGTATGACCGAGCGGCTATCCTTCTCACTCGGCTCAGAGGATATTATCCGGTCGCGTCTTCTAAGTATCTTGCTCTTCACAATCGCTATCTTGAGGGGATGGTCGGCCAGATGATCTTGACAAGGCAGCATAACTTGGTCCTACCCATGCAGAAGTTCTTCGAGGTTGATCTACCGGCCTCCGGAGTGATTCCGGATGCAACGACTTACGCAATCATGATTCGGATGGCGCTGCGTATGTTCCACGGCACGAAACGTGATAGAGCGGTGCGTAGATACTGGGACTTTGCGAAGAAGGCATCTCTTGAGGAAGATGTTTTGGCGGCTCCAGTTCTCTCGGAATTAGAAATCGGAGAATTGTCAGAGGTTAGTTGTCTTTCCGTTCTATGATGCTGCCAGTGCATCTGCCCGTGTTTACGGCTCTCTCTATGGCAAAGGTCGCTAACCACAGTCTGTCGCATAGATCTGCTCCTCGGACATCCAGCGCGTTTCAATGGGTAGCTTGGAATCGGACACGGCACCTGAAGGCAATGGCCAATCGGATACACTCAAAGACGTCCCTGAGATCAAATCTGTTGAACAGAAGGGTCTGGGTCTCTCATCTTTGAAGGAGTCGCTCTCGCTCTTCTCCAATGCTTCGAAAGTGCCCGTTCCCGCGGAAGGCGAATTTTCGCCGGAAGAGGCTCAGGAACTCTACAATCTATCCAGGCAGCGACAACTTGAAGCGGATTCTATACAAGCAGCGTTGAACCGGTGGCGGCAAGAAAACACCGACCGGAAGAAGGCTGGACTCGATACCACCGGAAGCGAGAAGCGCTTAGGCAACATCATCAACCAGTGGCACACTGATTTAGTCACCAGAATTGAGGAGGAACTCAAACTTGTTGAGGAGGCGGAGTCGAAACCCCCTCGGAATACGGAGGAGACTGAGCGTTGCGAATACGGAGTCTTTCTGCGCTGCGTTGATCCAGATAAGCTGGCAGCCCTCACCATCCTCAGTGTTTTGTCTTCATTTGGCCGAGGAGGAATGGACTCCGGGCTGAAGCTGGCTTCGCTTGCTACTGGTATCGGTTCAGAGCTGCATGATGAGTTTCTGGCGGAACGGACCCTTCAGAAGGAGGCGACAGCTGAAGCTGGCAAGGTTAGAGCGATCAAACAAACCCTCGCGATTCGCAAGCAGAAGGACGGCCGGGCACGGTGGCACACAATCGTCCGCAATCTCGAGAAGGATGACCCTACCGTTGCTTGGTCACCTCGCGTGAAGGCGAAGGTCGGTGCCGCCTTGATGAGCTTTCTTTTCGAAGTCGCCAAGGCTCCTGTCAAGATCGAAAACCCGGAATCGAAGAAGATTGAGATGTCGATGCAGCCTGCGTTTCAACATGCTTATCAAATCACCTGGGGAAGACGTGCAGGTTTCATCCATCTCCACCCTGCGATTGTCAAGATCGTCACCAAGGAGCCCACATCTGACCTCCTGGGTCGCCATCTGCCCATGCTGTGCAAACCGCGCCCATGGAAGAGTATGAATGATGGTGGTTACCACGTTTATAAGAGCCACCTGATCCGCACGACCCCGGGTGAAACCTTGCAGCCTGCATATGTGAAGGCAGCGCTGGAGAACGGTGGATTGGAGCAAGTCCGTCACGGTTTGGATATTCTCGGCACCACCGGATGGGTTATCAACGAAGCTGTTTTCAATGTTATGGTGGAGGCTTGGAATTCTGGAGAAGCTATCGCCGACCTCGCCCCGTTGGAGCCCAATCTGCCTCACCCCCCTAAGCCGTCTCCCGAGGAGGGGTATGAAGCCGAGAAGAAATGGGACAACGACATGCGTGAGATCGAGAACCGGAGGGCTGGTTTCCACTCCCAGCGGTGTTTCCAAAACTTCCAGATGGAGGTGGCTCGGGCGTACAAGAACGATACATTCTATCTGCCCCACAACTTGGATTTCCGCGGACGCGCCTATCCTCTTCCTCCTTATCTCAACCAGATGGGTGCGGACAATGCGAGAGGGCTGCTCCTTTTCAGCGTGGCCAAGCCGCTCGGCGCCAGTGGTCTGAGATGGCTCAAGGTTCAGATTGCCAACCTGTCTGGATTCGACAAGGCCAGTCTTTCAGAGCGAGAAAAGTTCACCATGGACCATCTGGACGATGTGCTTGATTCGGCAAACAACGGTTTACACGGCAGACGTTGGTGGCTCAAAGCCGATGACCCGTGGCAATGCTTGGCTGCCTGCTGTGAGTTGAGAAATGCGCTCCAGCAAGCCGATCCCACCCAATACGCGTCACGCCTGCCGATCCACCAAGATGGTTCTTGCAATGGATTGCAACACTATGCAGCTCTTGGTGGTGACAAGATTGGTGCTCAGCAAGTCAACCTGGAACCGTCCGATCGCCCATCTGATGTGTACACTGGTGTTGCCGAGTTCGTTAAAGAGGCTGTTGCCCGGGAGGCCGCTCAGGGTCACAGCGTGGCTAAGTTCTTGGAGGGAAAGATCACCAGAAAGGTGGTAAAGCAGACCGTCATGACGAACGTTTATGGTGTCACTTTCATGGGAGCCATGAAACAGGTTCGCAAGCAGCTTATCGACCACTATCCGGAGCTGTCACAGGAACAGAAGCACCAGGGAGCGATTTACATCGCGCGCAAGGTTTTCGAGGCCTTGGGCACCATGTTCAACGGTGCGCATGATATCCAGTACTGGTTGGGCGACTGTGCCAGTCGTATTACCCAGTCTCTGGCCCCGGATCAAATCGAGCAAATTGCGAAGGAAGCCATGACCCCCGAGTCCGCCAAACAGATCGAGGACCCGACGAAGAAGTTCCGGTCGACGGTGATCTGGACCACCCCGCTGGGGCTGCCTGTGGTCCAGCCATATCGGGTTCGCAAGGCGCGCCGTATCCATACCACGCTTCAGGATCTCAGCATCGTTGATGGCAGCTCCGGGGATGTCGTGTCTAAGCGCAAACAACTCCAGGCCTTCCCTCCCAACTTCATCCATTCCCTCGATGCCACCCACATGATGCTGTCGGCCATCGCTTGCCACCGGGCTGGCCTCCAGTTCTCCGCCGTCCACGATTCCTTCTGGACGCACGCCTGTGATGTCGACTCGATGAACCAATTGCTTCGCGAGGCGTTCGTTCGCATGCACTCGGACGACGTGGTTAAGAGACTGGCCGCCGAGTTCGAGGTCCGGTACAGCCAGAATCTGTTCCTCGCCAAGGTGGAAGCCTACAGTCCTCTTGGCCAGAAGATTCGGACCCTGCGTAAGGGGACGAAGGTGACCCAAAAAGCCACCAAGGTGCATGAGATGCTTGAAGAGCACAAGCGACAGAAGCTTCTGAGGTCGGAAGACCCGGAGCTGCAGGCCCAGGGCCGTGCCATGGTCACCCCGGCCAGCATCTTCGAGGAATTCGGAAGCGATGAGGATCTGGCCATCGCTAGTTCTCTGGGAGAGACGGCGGTCGGCCACGTGCCCGAGGATTTGGCGGCTGCGGAGCGGAAGATCTCAGGTATGGAGGCCGACCCTACGGATCCCGCCATCGAGACCCTTTTCCAGGGCTTCGACAATGTGCTGGGCGATAAGGCCGACCCTCACGAAGCGACGCCCGCGGAGGAGGAGCCGGCCCCGGCCAAGCGCAAGACCAAGGCCAAGGCCAAAACCTACGTGTACATCTGGCTCCCGCTGCGGTTCCGTCCGGTCCCGACCAAGGGCAGCTGGGATGTGACGCGGATCCGGGACAGCAAGTATTTCTTCTGTTAAAGGGCGGGAAGGCAATGCTTGCCCGTCGCACGGGCCACGGACCGTCTGCTTCCGGCGTTCTGGCACGGAACGCGATCTCGCTTGACCTTGTACTACTCCGATGCTCCGGATGGATGCTCGCTCTTGATATCCCCTTGTGCATTTATTGATCTTCTGGTTGTTCTTTTCGGGTGTCGAGTTTGACGTGGTTGAGCTCCCCTCTAATAATGGTTGTGATTGTTTTGGCATGGGTGCTGCATGGATTGCGATGCATGAATGAACGTGTACAGTCTGGCTTTTGTTTTGGGTATAAAATGGGGAATTACGGTGTATATAGCAGGGATGGATTTTTATTTGGGACACTGTATATAAATCTGTGAAGTGAATGTGACCTTGTGAGCACAGCAAAAACTCCCATTGGGCGAGAGACAGGGTCGGAGATAACCTGGATGCATGAATGCAGGCCGGGGCGGCGTGGGACATGGAGAGGGGAGGGGCGAGCCCTGCATGGGCCGAAGCGAAGTCTGGAGTCGGGCAGTGCGGAGTCTTAGTGTAGCAGTTAGTTGGCACCCATGTTCTTCCTCTCCTCCATCTGTCCGACCGGACCTGCCATTTGGCAGAGGGACCACCTTGTCCATGGAGGTGGACAGGGAACCCGAGTGACCCTCCTGATGCGTGATCCCATTGTTGAGGGCTGATGGCAGGCGAGGAATGGGGATGGCAGACCTGACGATCCGGAGAGAGCCCCGGCTTGGTGGCCTCCGGCCTGCGCTTCCCCGCCTTTTTTTTCCCCTGCAATTCTGCAATCCTTTTTTCGCTCGGCCTCCAGGCCTCCCTGCCCCCCTCCCGCCAGCGTCTTCAGCATGCTTGATCATTCCACGCGGTAATTAATCCTCATCGCTTCCCTGGTGGTCTGATCTGACCACCTCTTGTCCTGTGTCCGGTGGTGAGTGTTTCTTTTCTTTCATTTTCCCCGGACCTGCCCACCCGAACTCCCGCCCAACTAGTTCGCTGGTCGGCTTCTTTGCGCCTCCGGCTGACTTCTCCTCTTCTGCTGCTTTAATCTTTAGGTCCCTTCTTTTAGTCCGTCCCCAGTCCCCCGCAGTTGCAATCGGCAATGTTGTCGGACTAATCGGTCCCTGTTTCTGCGATCTTTCTGGCTGGTATCCTCCCCGCCTGGGACTTCCCATCATCGTGCCGGCCTCGAGGATCTGTCAGTCGAACGTGGCCGCCTCTTCCAGCCCGCTAGTTTAGTGTCCTGCGCACTTGGGGCCTTACGGCCCTTCGATTCACGAGCGGCCTGATACTCCACCACCGACCGTCGTTCTTCATGTGCCGGTGGATTGGTTGCTTCGCCCGGTGAGGATGTCGACTTCCTCCGTCCCTCAATTCACGAGTCCATTTTCTCCTTTCTCCTCCGGATCGCAATCGGCCGGTATGGCCCCGTCACAGACCGTCGGGCTGGATTCGCTCGCAGAGGGGTCACAGTATGTCGAACAATTGCAGCTGTCGAGAGACCCTGCAGGAACGGGCGCCGGGGACGGCGCCAGCTCCAGTAGAGACCCCTCCCACACCAAGGACCAATCGTACTATGACAATGAGAAGACTCATAGTATCGGATCAGGGTTCAAGGACCCTTCGCAGAGAGATCCTCTCGCCGAGGCTCGTTCTGCGATCCGCAAAAACTCATCGTCGGCTCCGGTCCGACGAAGAATCAGTCGTGCGTGTGACCAGTGTAACCAACTCCGAACCAAATGCGACGGGCAACACCCGTGCGCCCATTGCACTGGTAGGCTCCGCCTTGCTCCGACGCTAGCCCTTAGACTGTCGCGGTGACTAACTCGCGTTCAACAGAATTCGGATTGACCTGCGAATATGCGCGAGAACGCAAGAAGCGTGGAAAGGCGTCAAAGAAAGACCTGGCGGTGGCAGCGGCTGCAGCAGCAGCCACGCAAGCACCGAATAGCAATTCGGGACCGATGAGCGCGTCGCTCATGAGCGAGCAAATGTCCCCAGACGGACGACTGGCACAAGATGTCAATGGCAGATATGATTCGGCCTTTGAGGCTGCGCATAACCTGACCTCGGCGCAGTCGCAAATGCACCACCCGAACGCAGCCGGTATACCAAGTCTGCATGATTCCCGTTCAGCACCGTCGCATTCCCAGTCATTAGGGGCTACCATGAACGCGATACCTTTGAGCCACTTCAATGCGCTCAATGATTCGAGTCGCCCTCCGATCTCCATGTCCGATTTGCGATCGCTTCCTTCTTCTGTCCTGCCTCCACAAGGATTGAATTCTGGGTATGGGGAGAGCGCATTCGCCTTGGTAAATCCGCAGGAGTCGGGCTCGTCTCCGAACCAGTTTCGCCTGGGAAGCTCTGCAGAAAACCCGTCCGCGCCGTTTTTAGGCCTCTCGCCTCCTGCGCAGTCGCCCGGCTGGCTGCCTCTCCCATCGCCATCTCCCGCGAACTTTCCCTCCTTCAGTCTGCATCCGTTCTCCAGCACTTTACGATACCCTGTTTTGCAGCCGGTTCTGCCTCACATTCCGTCCATCATTCCGCAGTCGCTCGCGTGTGACCTGCTCGATGTCTACTTCACCAGTTCCTCCTCATCCCATCTGTCTCCCCTGTCCCCGTACGTGGTGGGCTACATCTTCCGCAAACAATCCTTCCTGCATCCCACCAAACCCCGCATGTGCAGCCCCGGCCTCTTGGCGAGTATGCTCTGGGTCGCCGCACAAACCAGTGAAGCTCCGTTTTTGACCTCTCCGCCGTCGGCTCGAGGCCGCGTCTGCCAGAAACTCTTGGAATTGACCATTGGCTTGCTCCGGCCGCTGGTTCATGGCCCTGCTACAGGGGAAGCGTCCCCCAACTATGCTGCGAACATGGTCATCAACGGCGTCGCTCTCGGGGGCTTTGGGGTCTCCATGGATCAGCTCGGCGCGCAAAGTAGCGCCACCGGGGCCGTGGATGATGTGGCCACTTATATGCATCTCGCTACCGTGGTGTCCGCGAGCGAGTACAAGGCGGCCAGCATGCGCTGGTGGACTGCGGCGTGGTCCCTGGCGCGTGAGTTGAAGCTGGGTCGCGAGCTGCCGCCCAATGTTCCGCACGCACGGCCCGACGGAGAGCGAGAGGGGGAGGAACCGGACCTGTCAAAACGGCACCCTCCCACGCTCATTACGTCCATAGGCCATGGTCCGGGCAGCTCGGCTGTCAATGTCACCGAAGAGGAGCGGGAAGAGCGTCGACGTCTGTGGTGGCTCCTCTACGCGACGGATCGTCATCTGGCCCTCTGCTACAATCGCCCTGTGACCCTGTTAGACAAGGAGTGCGGGGGTCTGTTGCAGCCGATGAATGACGATCTGTGGCAGATTGGCGACTTTGCTTCGGCTGCCTACCGCCAGGTCGGGCCCCCGGTCGAGTGCACCGGGCACAGCATGTTTGGATATTTCCTTCCATTGATGACGATCCTGGGAGGAATTGTGGATCTGCACCATGCGGAAAACCACCCTCGCTTTGGGCTGGCCTTTCGCAATAGTCCGGAATGGGAGCGGCATGTGATGGAAATCACCCGACAGCTGGACACGTACGGCCGCAGCCTGAAGGAATTTGAGGCCCGCTACACCAGCAGCTTGACCATGGGCACCGCGGAGAACGAGCCGGTGGAAGGCGCCCACCTGGACCATACGAGTCCGTCGGGACGCTCCAGTAGCACCGTGGGATCCCGCGTGAACGAGTCCATCGTCCACACGAAGATGGTGGTCGCCTATGGCACCCACATCATGCATGTGCTGCATATTCTTTTGTCGGGCAAGTGGGATCCGGTCAATCTCTTGGAGGATCATGATCTGTGGATCTCCTCGGAATCGTTTGTTTCGGCAATGAGCCATGCGGTGGGTGCCGCCGAAGCGGCCGCCGAGATCTTGGAGTACGATCCCGATCTCAGCTTCATGCCGTTTTTCTTTGGGATCTATCTGTTGCAAGGCAGCTTCTTGCTGCTGCTGGCGGCGGACAAGCTGCAGGGCGATGCCAGCCCTAGTGTCGTCCGGGCTTGCGAGACGATTGTGCGCGCACATGAGGCCTGCGTGGTGACGCTGAACACCGAGTATCAGGTATGTCCTGTAGATCCGATCTACTCGATCTAACTAACCCACTGTAGCGGACCTTCCGTAAGGTCATGCGCTCGGCCCTCGCGCAGGTTCGAGGGCGCATCCTCGAGGACTTTGGCGAACAGCAGCAACGCCGGAGGGAGGTGCTAGCCCTGTACCGCTGGAGTGGCGATGGCAGTGGGCTTGCTTTATGACGCTGACTGATAACCGGGCTCTGATGAGATCTTATGACTTGATATTATTCCATTGTTATACCTTGCATCTTCATGCGGCCAACAGGCATTGAGTCGGCGTGGGAGCGAGCGGGTTGCTTCTGTCTGCATTTAGTACATATTGCGTGCTTTGATATGCATCTTGTACACTACTTGGGCCGTACATGACGTACATACATCTACATATATACAACTGCGCTGATTCTGCAGATGGGTACATACAACCGACCTGACCTTCATCCGAGGTATGACGCCACCCGATAAGGTTATCGATACCCATCCCCATCTTCCACCTCCCTCCTCCACACTCTCTTCCAAGCAATTATCCAACCTCCCTCCCCTGCATCACTCCAAAATGACCACCCTCCTCCACCACCTCCACCACCTCCACCACCCCCCACCCCCCTCACACACCCCAAAACTCCCACCTCGTCCACCCCCTCGCCTACCTCCTACGCCTCCACCCCGCACTACCAACACCTCCCCGCCCCCGCCGTCTCCCAAAAGCGCTCCCTCGCCCACGCCCACCTCCGTAACTGCACCCTCTGCGGCGTCAACCGCTACCAAGAGACAGGAACGTGTATGATCGGTGCTGAGACAGCTAAAGTGAATGTCATCGCCCCCCCATCGCGGCGAGGAACCCTTGTATCCAGGGATACCATGAGCGGGGCGGTGTTTTTCTCGGGGTGGAATTTGCGGGGTCGGTGAAGGAGGCGGTGGTTCAGGCGGGGTTGTGGAGGTTTTGTGAGGTGAATGAGAAGGGGGGGGGGGGTTCATTTGTAGAGGATGGGGTAGAGTCGGGGGTGTAGGAGGTCTTAGAGAGGGGTTTAGATGATATAGGAAGCTTTTACCTGTCAGTGAAATAGAAGCTTTCATTATATGCGAAGACAATGAGATTGAGAACACAGCGATGCGTGATCAGTATGTTGAGCCATCTTGGCTACATATGAAGCCGCGACCATTGCCCGTTGGAAGACCACTCGACTCCCCGATTTCCCTCAGCCGCAGGGATATCCCATTCGCGCTCAGTCGATGTAGCAAAAGAGGCAGTTCCAGCCCCAAAAAGAGGCCATATCAGAGCCAGTCCACATCCAGCCCGGATACCCCCTTGCTTATTCCCGAACTGTGCATGGACGATTGGAACACTGGAGCAGAATGTTGCTGATGCTGTTTCTGATGGCGGAGTAAGAGGTGACCAGAACGTGATTGTGGGATATTGATGATGGCAGATTGGACGGGGAATGTGGAGTAGGGTCGCGGTGCTGTTAGATTTCTGGTGTTGATGAGTGAGAGGGCAGGAGTGTGTTTGTTGGTATATTCCGCGGACCACGTCTCTAGTTCCTCGTCGATAGACTGGACCTCGGAAATGTACTGTGCGAGTGCATCCACTTGATCATCATGGTTGGAATGGGTTTTCTTTCTTGGAGACAACTGATAAGCGGCCTGATGTTAGACGGTAACTTGGATTGGAGAAGGGAGTCGTACGACATCAGTTCGCAAACGTTGGAAGATGTTCCACCCTGTGGAGCTTTGTAGCGGATCGAGACTCCAGACATGGACTAAAGCCAATTCACCTCTTTCGTGCTGGTTCCAGGTCAGGCTAATAGCGTCACTTGTCACGGTCTACTAAGTTAGCAGCATACGAATACGGATGGCATGACTGACATCGAACAGATTTAAGAGCATCACAGTGACTAGTATCTGGTCAGATACGGTGTGATTATGATCTGCAAGTGCCAATCTCACGTCACGGAGCACAGAGGTATATTTCTCATATGCTGCGTGTTGAAGAAGCGGAGAGGCGCCCAGATTTGCTAAGCTTGCCATGCCCACAGCCTATCCTAGCCCGAGACCCAACCTCCCCAGCAGCCAAAGATCTGGAAGCCCTCGGCGCCCAAATCTTCCCCGGCGACTTCGACCATTTCACCTCCCTCCAAGCCGCGATCTCCAACACCCAAGCCATCTTCCTCAACGTAACCCCAACCCCATCCGACACCACCCAGGAGATCACCCGCGCGCAAAACATCCTCGATGCAGCCAAATCCGCCCCCTCCGTCACCACCATCATCTTACTCCAGCGTCGTCATGACCGGCAAACACGAAACCTTTCCGGCCTGGGGTTCCGATTACCCATTAGCATGGTACTGGACCAACAAAGCGCAGATTGAAACGATGGTGCGAGACGCCGGATTCCAGTACTGGACAATCTTACGCCCGGCGTTTCTCATGAACAATTACCTCCTTCCGACGGCGTCGTCCATGTTTCCGGAATTAGTGGCGGGGGAGAGTACTACGAGGAGTGCGTTTGTCACGGCTTATCGGCCGGATACGAAACTGACGGTGGTGGATCCTGGTGATGTGGGCAGGTTTGCGGCTGCGGCGATTTCGGATCCGCGCCGCTTTCATGCCCGGGAGATTGTCAGGGAGTTGAGTCTGGCGAGTGGGAGGGAGATCGCCCTAGAGTTTGATGAGAGGGAGGAGGCGGAGCGTCGTGCTGCGAGGGATCCGAGAATCTGGGCCCAGTTGTGGGCAAATGAGGTGGGGTATCAGGTGGATTTGGATGAGCTGCGAAAAGTATGGGATTGAGATGACGGGGTTCAAGAGATATCTGGAGAAGCGGACAGATGCGGTGCGGCGGACTTTTTTGGTTACATAGTATAGCTGGCTGGTTGCCAATGTAATATTCAATTAGGAATGATACCTTCTGTTTGATTACCTGGCCGTCTCGCTCAACATCGAAAGTTGATCAATGGATCGCATAGGTTAGAAATGACAATCTGCGTATCATTTATCTTTAGGGTGGGGAATGGATACTGCAGGGTACAAATCACCCAAGAACGGGCAAGTATATGAGACAGCACCTCGGCGCTTTGGTACTTGTATTCCGTCTCAACCCAGTATAGCCTGAGACCTCCTTGTAAAGTTGTAGTCTACATGGCTGGATCATCATGTCTCATCCAGCATAAATACCTGCTGCATCTGCAACTCCCGTGCCTCCGGATCTGACAAGGCATAAAGCAACACCGCCTGTCGTTCATCACCTGCCTGCTTAAAGCTCACCATCCGCACTCTCGAACCCTCCGGCACACACGCATCCTACCCCGTCGCTGCCTGCTTCAGCTCTGCCGTCTCTCGCACCTGATAGAGCAGAACTATTAACCCATGGTGACCTTCGCGATGCGGCCACAACCAAAACAGCTACACACTCGCGCCTGGATCCCTACATCTCAACACTCCACTCCATCCCCATCAGGGGCAGCAGGACTGCCTAGCTCGGAGATTACGTTGGGGAGATAGATCATTGCCAGTCCTTGAAATTGGCGATGATACCAACGAGATCGACTTCTTTTCCACTCATCTGACACACGTCTCCGACCGTCCGTGATAGGTCAAGAAGTCTTTTCTCATGGCCAGGCAGATGCGTCAACCAATTCAGACCCGGAAGACAATCACTTGAGGCTCGACCTTTGCATATGGCCCCATGGGTTGCTGACTGCAGCTGACAGCTGTAGCTGCCTAGCGGGTTTAATCGGATTCCGGGCCGAGCCGATGGGTACGATGGATGGGGCCGACGGAGCTTCCGATCGGAATCGAGTAGTACCTGACTAGCTGATCCTGAAAGGCTGAAAGGAAGCGGGGGAGAGCTAGTTCCTTTGCTAATGTAAGAATTTGGTGGTATTCTAGAGGCGGATATGTTCCGCGTATTCTGATAATGCACGGCGGGGTGGAAGAAGTGACATCCTTTCCACTATTGCCATTGGATTACTTGATATTACCAAGGACATGACAACTTGATTTCCTAAGATAATTGGCATAGCATTAACTATCACCATAGCACACCATTCTCCAGTTGGGTCCTCAACTGATGTACTTTTGCAGAACCAGCTCCAGTCGCGCAGCGTAGCTCAACTAGACCTAGAAAACCGATAAGTGACCTTCATATGTCGCAAGAGGCCAGCATAGCACCACGCTTATCCTCATTGCAGACATGAAGCTCTGGCAATCTACCGCTCATTCCATTCATTATCGTACCTCGGGTGCGCACGTGGCAACAATGTCCCATGCCGGCCCTCTGCATCACCCTCGGCGTCTTCATCCTGCAACTCTGGATGGTCCGTAATTCGCTGATACTCGGGTGCCGGTCTTTCAAACTGGGTGTTCATCCAGCTCGCTCTGTTACGCATGGCCTGATAGAACGCAACCTGTATTCCTTTGTTAGAGAAGTATACGCAGCAAGGCTCAGCACCAACCTTCATAAGCAGAGTCAAGACAGCGGCAGCAAAAACCATCCACGACGCGTTCTGCTGCTGCCGCGTCCACGGAACCAAACAGCTCTGTCCATATCCAAGCTGCACCTCACAGGCGTCGTCCCCGTGGGTCCGGTCTTTGAACGGCCAGGCTCGATCATGGATGCTCCGGAATCCACAGCAGCGGAACTCGTCCTGAATAGTGCGGATAGGTTGTGCGTCCTTCGCGCGGAAATACGCCTGCCATTCCTGCTCTAATCTGCAGGTCAGAACACTCTCAGGATATAGATAAGCGAGGGCCACGGTGGCAATGATGGTCGATATTATGGAATGGAGATGGTCCGCGATGGGGAAGAGGCTTCGCCAGCGGTTCACTGGGTGCGTATTATCGGCTCTGGCGGCCGGGGAGAGTCGGTTAGCAAGGTATAGCGCTAGTGCCGTTATTGGAGGGAAGAGAGTGGTGATCACTGGGATCCATTGCGGGAGGGGGAGATATAGCGATGCGGTACGGGACCAGGAGAGCCTATTGCTTTGGTTAGTTGGTTCTTCAACAAGTACACGCAGCTAGAGGTGTTTGATGGGAGAAAGAGAAGGCCACTGACGCTCCCAGAATGAGGGCGATAATCGCGCACTGTCGTTTTGGAAGCATGGTCAGTCTACTGTCAACAGACAATATGGCTTGCTCGTACCGCTGATGCCACCGCGGAAGCTACAGTTGTCAACCCGCAAATCATGGCCATGATGATGCTTGTCTAGTAAGCACAAGGTGGAATGATGGAAGAGAGAAGGGTTGAAGGTAGATGATCCATAACGGTCGGTGACGGTACTGTGAATGGTTCCCGTGCGGGGTTGGCGCTTGCAGCTGCATCTCGGTTCCTCGCCTTTCACGCGCCGATGTTGTTTGATGACTGCTCACTGGTCGGTAGGGCCAGACGTAACAGCAACAGAGGCAGTTAGTCTCTCAGCTCTTTTATGTCTCCAATCATCTGAGCCGCTGCCTTGGGCATTTTGCTCCATCCTCCAGAGTAGATAGGTGCGCCATTGCGAAAGTCAGCTCCGAGCTCCGTGTGATGGAGTCTACTACTCTATTGTAGGCCAGGCAAGCAAGTACAAAGAAAGGAAGAATTTCATTCGAGAGCACATTCGCATCCGTGTTGCACTTCTACTTGCTTCCCAGTTGTTTGTCTCCAGGCAAACCATCCACAGTCAGCTCGGTCATTGTCCAAAGACCAATCACGGGCGGCCAGTTGCCCCATCGGAGCTGTCAGCTGCTAAGAATGGAGCTAAGATAACGCGATGGTCTTCTCTTTCCCCCGATCTCAGCTATCGAACCTACCTTCCAAGTTGCTTCGTCCCAGGCGTTACCACCATGAAACCGTACATCGGCATTCCGGCCGTTGTGATCCTCGTACACCGTGCCTGGTCGCGAAAGTCACTGACTCCGTTGGGTCTCGTCGTCGCTGCTTTGACGGCCAGCGCCCACGCTCTCCACCCATGGGCCGCTCCCTTCGTCCTGCTAGGGGTGTTCTACTTTGGCGGCACCAAGGTTACCAAGGTATGTCCTTTTCCTCATGCCTTGATTCGCGGTACGCGGAAGCTGATCGTGCGCTACCAGGTTAAACACGACCTTAAAGCCCGTTTGACGCTTTCCGCGACCGGTTCGGAGGGCGGGGAGGGCCAGCGTACCCACATCCAGGTCTTAGCGAACTCAGTCGTCGCTACGGTGCTGATTCTCCTCCATACCTATGTGATTGCTGGAAAATCTACCGGGCAGAGCGGGGCACAGTGTTTCTCGAATGGTCATGATGCGGCGGACTTGTTGGTCGTTGGAATTGTTGCGTAAGATTCCGGTCTCCCTACTCCTGTTGGAAATGCTGACGATAGATGTTTTCCTAGAAACTACGCCGCTGTCGCAGCCGATACATACTCCTCCGAGCTCGGTATTCTTTCCAAGTCGAAACCTCGTCTGATCACCTCCCCCACATTTCGCGTCGTTCCTCCGGGCACCAATGGCGGCGTAACAACGACTGGACTCCTGGCGGGAGTGCTGGGCGCGTTCACGATAGCGGTGACATCTGCAGCCCTCCTCCCGTTCTGTCCCGAAAGCGATACGTCATCGACCCTGAAGACCCGGGCTCAATGGATTCTCGCTGTGACGCTGTGGGGAGGCCTGGGCAGTGTGCTTGACAGTGTATTGGGCGGACTGTTACAGGCCAGTGTGGTCGATAAGAGGACCGGGAAAATTGTGGAGGGTGCTGGTGGCCAAAAGGTTGTTACCGCTAAGAATCTACCGTGTCAGAGTATGGTGCTGACATGTCTTCAGGTCCTTGTTCACCCTTCTTCAACTCTACCCGGTGTCCCCGCTGATACCACAGGCCTGAAGCCCGCGGGATCATCCTCTGGCGCACATGTACGCGCTACGGAGGCGGGCGCTGTTACCGCGACTCCAAGAGGGAGCAGGGCTACTGGAACGTCAACAGGGACGTCCGCGGGGGAGACTGCTGAATCGGGACACGAAAGCCGGCGGGTCGAGAGTGGACATGACCTTTTGGACAACAATGCTGTGAATGTTTTGATGGCTTTTACCATGAGTGTTGGCGCTATGGTAGTCGCAAGTTGGGTTTGGGGTGTGGGTATTTCTGAGTTGGGTCTGTGGTAGCTGTGGCATGAGATATGGTAATGATACAGAATGGCTATTGATGACTGTCAACTGATTGTTAGGATACATATACAGAGTTTGAGCTACACCGGTGATCGGTGCCTTTCAAGCTCAGACTAAAACGAAGATCCGCCTCCAATTTCCCACAGCTACTCGGCACGCTAGCGCCGCTGGTATATCCTCTCTTGAAGTTTAGTCCGATATCGCCGCTGTTCCCTTTCCAAATAACTCATCGTGACACTCTTGTCCTTGTGATGCTCTATGAAATCGTCCCACTTTTTCTGTGGCACAATGAGCTCATGAGGCTGCTCAGCGAAGATTTTAGTCGGTCGGTACCTTGAGGCCATTCCCACGGGGTACATCTCGAACGAGAAAACTTTTTGCCTGCCAGTCAGCTCAAACCCACCTGTATCTTTAGGTAGCTTATCTAGCTGGGACTTGGGATTGGCCCGTTTCCTCCGAGGCACGGTTTGTGGAACGTTTTCGACCGACAATAAGTGGAGGCTATCCTCCCATGGCCGTTTCGAGGTCTGGATCGCCGGCGCTTCACTGATAGTTGACACCGTCCGCAACCTGCGTCCGTGTCTGCGAGTTTCCTGGCAAATGCGCTGCCGTTCCTCATCATCCAATTCCGGTCTGGAGAGATGCATGTAATGAGCCATCGTGCTCCCCTCCGGGTACTCCGCTATCCATAATTGACATTCGCCAAACCATTGATGTGCCTCGGTATAGTCCCCTTGAGCATACTTCACCCGGCCTTTCCAGTACTTGCATCGTGCAACTAGTGCTCTTTCGCCCGAGTTTTCGGCCAACCCGAGCGCCTTCTGCGCATGGAATTCGGCCTCGTCGGGTCGATTGTCCCGGAGGTAGTGACTGACTTGGAGAAGTATGGTGGTGATCTCGCGTTTGTTCATCTCTCCATCAAAGTAGGCTAGAAAGGGTTCGAGCGATTCGGGTTTCCTCACGTTAGTCAGCCCGATATCCAGTTCGCCAGCGTTGGTAGCGTCGTGGAAATGAGATTGGAATTGCTTCCAGGTTGATAATGGTAGGCCGTCGGGATCTTGACTATAATTGTCATCATCGGTGCAGTTGGATCCCGATGAACCGTCTCGCTCTTCATCATCGCTCCCGTCCTCGCTGGCTAGGAAGTCACATTCGGGAGCATGACATTGTCCATGTAGGTCATTCTTGTCGTAGTTTGCCTCCATCATGGATTGCCATGATTCGTGTTCATCTGGGTCCTGGTCCAAATGGGTGTATTCATCATCGCTGTCTGCTCTGATATTCAATGATGTATCTCGCCTGGGCGAGGAACCACGCTCGTTTACAGGCATTGTGCGATATACTCTAGTTGGAGGGTTACTTACTTTGAGGATAGCAGAAAGCCTGCACTGACCGGGGTAGACCGAATATTTATGTTCATCTGTCTCTTCTATCCCGCAGGGGTATCCCGGACCAGTTACGGTGCGTATCTACGTCACAAGATAGACGCCTGGCAAAGGAACCGGTGGACAAAGCGTAAGTTCTGTTAATTGCGTTACACGGATTGATAATTCCCCACGCAATGCATTTCCTATTGAAACATCCCTCACAGAAGAGGACGAGGCCGATCGATGCTCTGCGTTTGTGGCGACGATATCCAAGTCCCGCTAATTTGGGGGATATCTGGTCGACCCAGCGGACAAATTCCGCGTATCTGAAACCTAATCTGATCAAATGAGCTGCTGCACTGCTGCCCCTGGGCGTGGCGGGGTCTGTCACTGGCTGAGCTCTGCAAGAGAGTTAATCCGTGACTACTAGTGCTGATGGATTTCATTGTCTGTTCCCGTGTCTTGCCCAGCATAGCACCCACCGAAAAGGCTAAGACACTATCTGATGTGAGCTCCACTTGAGGTATATTACGCGCAAGCCGGTGTTCAGAGTAGATAGTATTGCCAAGGGAGATATGAGGCGGAGCTGGATGTATGCGGCCCTCGGAGACTGGGGACTGGTAAACCGCGAGGAAATTGTCGATCTCGATGATATCCGATCAGACTGAGTGGGGCAAGATTGAAGAAATGACTACGAAGCAGAAGAAGCAAAGCCGGCTCCTTATAACAAAACCACCAGATGACTTTCACACCTGACTTTGTAGGGGTGTTCCGACCGACTTCAGGAATCCCCCCACCGAAGTATTTCCATACAGTAGTATGGAGTAGGAGGGGAAGTGTTGAAACAAACATCCCGAACAGGCAACTGGATCAACCAAGTGGGGCAGGCAAATGTCACAAACCGCTTCAAACACAACAAACGCGACCAACCAGTGCAACAATGCAACAGATGCAACAAATGCAAACCCAACGTCATCCTCGTGTTGGAGACCTTCTGGCCTCGGCGATTGGGTCTCTCCTCCGCATGCGTCACTGGTCATGGATCCAATGGAGTACATGACACCCTGCACTTCCTTGGAAAGCAACCCGGATGGTGGAAATCCCAAGCCATCCCACCGGAATACGCACCCTGCCCAGTATGGCCTGACGGGCGTGCAGTAGCCTCGAACGGCTTTTCCCGGCTCGCAGTGGAACGGATTGCCCAGCTCTTACTCGCACTTGAGGCGTCCAGACCATCTCGATGACTCGGTCAGCCATGGTGGGCTGTTTGCATGGACCCCCCTGGTTTGAATGGGCCAGGAACTGTTCATTTTGATACTAAGAGGTGGGGACATCGACCGGATACTTGTACCTTCGCATTCCCCCCACGCGAAGTTTTTCTAGTCCAACCTATTGTACAGGCCGATCTCCCCATCGTTGATCTTTCTGCATACTCTGTCTGCAAGGACTGGACGGTTCTCCTCATCTACCCCTCTTCTGTGCCCCGAGGACGCCCGCGGTTTGCGCGCGCATACAATCATATAAGCTTGGTGGCTTACCCTTGGCCCGGGGTATTTATCCTACTTAGCGGGTGGCTTTCGTGCTGGCGCTTTTGTTTCTCTCTTCTAAATTCCCATCTTTCTAAACATGTCTCCCTCGTATCCGCTCGCGAAGGGCGTGGACATTGTTGATATTCGTCAGAATGACGTCCAGTTTTCCCTGGTAACCGATATCCAGAAAGGTATCGATCCACCGGCAGGCACCGGTCGGTCGATGCCGACGATGCTGCTCTACGATGCGCAAGGTCTCAAGCTCTTCGAGGACATCACGTACCTGGAGGAGTATTACCTCACAAATGCGGAGATCGAGGTGCTAAGGACGCACGCCAAGAGAATCGTTGAGCGCATTCCCGACAATGCGCAATTGCTGGAGCTGGGTAGTGGGTACGTTCTTTTCGATGGGAGAATCGCTAAGGCGGCATCAGGTCCTAACATACAACTAGAAATCTGCGGAAGGTCGAAATACTTCTCCGGGAATTCGAAGCGGCGAGCAAAACCGTGGACTACTATGCCTTGGATCTGTCACTTTCCGAGTTGGAGCGCACCTTTTCTGAAGTCTCCCTCGATCAATACCACTATGTCGAGTTCCATGGCCTTCATGGAACGTATGATGATGCCCTCACCTGGCTGGAGAACCCGGCGAACCGGCAGTTGCCGACAGTGATCATGTCAATGGGCTCATCAATAGGGAATTTTGACCGTCTTGCTGCGGCAAACTTCCTGTCACAGTTCTCCAGGCTCTTGGGACCGTCTGACTTGATGGTGCTTGGTTTGGATAGCTGTACCGACTCGGACAAAGTGTACAAGGCCTACAATGACTCGAAAGGCGTCACGCGGCAGTTCTATGAAAACGGACTAGCTCACGCTAATACTGTGCTTGGATACGAAGCATTCAAGCCCAGCGAATGGGAGGTGGTGACTGACTATGATACCGTGGAGGGACGGCACCAAGCATTCTATGTGCCAAACCGGGACGTGACCATAAACGGGGTATTGATTCCGAAGGGAGAAAAACTCATCTTTGAAGAGGCGTTCAAGTATGATACCAAACAGTGCGACCAACTGTGGCACGATGCCGGCTTGATTGAAAATGCGGAGTTTGGAAATGACTCTGGAGACTATCGTATGTGCACCCTAACATAGTCCACGGCCCTGAGCTGCATGTGGACGGCGTTGAATAACGCCATGTTACACCAGCATGAGAACATGATGCTGACGGTCTGCACAGTCATCCATGTGTTGTCGTCGGCTGCTCTCAGCTTCCCAACATCGCCTTCACAATACGCAGCGCAATCTATTCCAGACTTTGAAGAGTTCCAGTCTCTATGGACCGCGTGGGATATTGTCACCAAGGCGATGGTTCCCCGAGAGGAGCTTCTCTCCAAGCCGATCAAACTGCGAAATGCGTTGATCTTCTACCTTGGCCATATTCCTACATTTCTTGGTTAGTAATCTGCATGCCTATTTGTGTAATAGACAGCAAGTTGACTGAGCAGATGTTCACCTGACTCGAGCACTTGGTGGCAAGCCAACTCATCCCAGGTCGTACCGACTCATATTCGAACGTGGAATTGACCCCGATGTGGATGACCCCGAGAAGTGCCATGCCCACAGCGAGATTCCCGATGAATGGCCCGCCCTTGGAGAGATTCTGGACTATCAAGCGCGGGTCCGAAGTCGGGTGCGGTCCATCTTCCAAAAGGATAATGTTGAGGACAGAACCCTCGGGGAAGCTCTCTGGTTAGGCTTTGAGCATGAGGCTATGCACCTAGAGACATTCCTCTACATGCTTATTCAGAGCGACAAAATGCTTTCCCCTCCAGGTGTGCCGCAGCCGAATTTTGAGAAGCTCTTCCTGGACGCTCGGAAAGAGGAAAGGCCCAACGAATGGTTCTCTATCCCCGAGCAGACGCTGTCGATCGGACTCGATGACAATGGTCACTCCGTTCCTGGAGCCTCATTTGGATGGGATAACGAGAAGCCCCAGAGAACCGTTACTGTCAGGGCATTTGAGGCTCAAGCGCGGCCTATCACCAACGGCGAGTATGCCAGGTATCTACAAGCAAACCAGCTGCCCAAGAAGCCAGAGTCCTGGGTCTTGGTCAAGCCTGAGACCTACTTGGCTTCTAATGGGGCCGGTCAAGGCAGTCGTCGTACGAATGACTTCATGGCGAACTTCGCCGTTCGCACCGTGTTTGGCTCTGTCCCGCTCGAGCTGGCGCAGGACTGGCCGGTTATCGCGTCGTACGACGAACTGGCCAAGTATGCCAAGTGGGTGGACTGCAGGATTCCCACCTTTGAAGAGGCAAAGAGTATCTATGCTCATGCAGCTCGGTTGAAAGAGACCAGCCATGGCATGAACGGGCACAGGTATGTACCAAGTGCTGTCGCTCCACCGACATTTCATGACTGACAGTCCCAGTGAAAGCAACGGGGTCAATGGAAATGGATACACCAAGACGAACCCCTTGAGACCTTGCACCCCGGATCACCAGCCAGTACAGTACCCTTCGCGAGAGTCCCTGCCGGTGTATGTTGACCTTGACGATTGCAACGTCGGGTTCAAGCACTGGCACCCTACCCCAGTCATCCAGAACGGCGACCGACTCGCCGGGCATGGAGAGCTGGGGGGCGTCTGGGAGTGGACCAGCACGGAGCTGACCCCCCATGACGGGTTCGAGGCCATGGAGATCTACCCGGGATATACATGTAAGCTCCCTGCTTATACAACTGATTCATTGCGTCTAACTGGTCTAGCCGATTTCTTTGACGGAAAGCACAATATCATCCTTGGAGGATCATGGGCCACTCATCCCCGGGTCGCGGGACGAACCACCTTGTAAGCATCCCTGGTCATCTTAGGGGTCCTGAACTAACAAGCGTAGCGTCAATTGGTACCAGCGGAACTACCCCTACCCCTGGGCAGGGGCACGGTTGGTGCGGGATGTCTGAATAAGATGTATGACGAAAAGAAATAAACGCATTGATGCAATAGTTGCAATCCCTCATTGCCACCTGAGAATACCGTAGACTGTGCCTATCACCAACCTCTGCGAGAGGAGATCATTCTATAGTAGGATCATTAAGGCCCACCAGCGGAGCCGATGACGTGACCCCAGGCTTATCTAACTACCCCTCCTCCACTTCCCCATCTTCATCCACTTCCCCTCCTCCATCTTTTCCCCATTCTTCTTCTCCACGCCCCGACAGACCCATCCCACCATGTCGGTCGCAACCATCACCACCATCTCCCCCATCACCAACCGTCCGCTTCTCAACCGTACCGGCGCCTCCCCGGAGGACATTGTACGCATCGCCGAGTCTGCCCAGGCGGCCTTTCGCTCTTTCTCCGAATCCACCACTCTCAAGCAGCGCCAGGAGATCGTCACCCGGGCTCTGGACATTCTCGAGAAAAGGAAAGATGAGCTAGCTAAGGAGATTACCGACCAAATGGGCCGGCCCATTGCCTACACCGGAGTCGAAGTCGCGACCGCCATCAAGCGCAGCCGTTACCTCGCCCGCATCAGCGACACGGTCCTCGGCGAAGAGAGCGTTATACCAGGCGAAGAAGAAGAGGGCTTTAAGCGATACATCAAGCGAAAGCCTGTTGGCGTGATCCTGATCATTTTTGCCTGGAATGTACGTATACCCCAATCTCTCGCAGGTCGTATGCTGAGTCGGGAGTATAGTACCCCTACCTTGTCCTCGTCAACAGCCTGATCCCCGCCATTCTAGCCGGCAACGCCGTGATTCTTAAACCATCCCCGCAGACCCCCACCATCGCCGAGCAAGTCGCCGCGGCGTTCCACGAGGCGGGTCTCCCTAAAGACGCCCTTCAATACGTACACTCCGGCTCTGCCACCCTCCTCGAAAGCCTCGTCCGCTCGCCCTCCATCAACCACATCTGCTTCACCGGGTCTGTGGAAGGCGGGCTCGCCACGCAGCGAGCTGCATCAGACCGCATCGTCAACGTCGGGCTAGAACTTGGCGGCAAGGACCCGGCGTACGTGCGCGATGACGTGGACCTTGCGTGGGCGGCGGCAGAGATCGTCGACGGGGCGATCTTTAACAGTGGGCAGAGCTGTTGTGCGATCGAGCGGGTCTACGTGCATCAGAATGTCTACGAAGGGTTTGTGGCGGAGGTGAAGAAGGTGCTGAGTGGGTATAAGCTTGGGAATCCGTTTGACAAGGAGACGCAGATCGGACCTGTGATTTCGAAACGGGCCAAGGAGGGGATCGAGCTGCATATTGCCGATGCGTTGGAGAAGGGCGCAAAGGATGAGACGCCACCGAACGAAAGCTTTGAGAATCCCCCGTCGGAGGGGAACTATGTCAAGCCTACGCTGTTGACGGGGGTTACCCATAAGATGCGTGTCATGACGGAGGAGACGTTCGGGCCGGTGATTCCGGTGATGAAGGTCGAGGATGACGAGGAGGCGATCAAGTGGATGAACAGTAGTGACTTTGGCCTGACGGCGAGCGTGTGGACGAAAGATATCGCGGCTGCGGAGGACTTGATCGAGCGAATCGAGGCGGGAACGGTGTTTATCAATCGATCGGATTATCCTAGTCCGGTGAGTCTTTTACCCTCTATGATCTGAACTTTTCTAACAGAAGCAGGACCTAGCCTGGACGGGCTGGAAGAACTCAGGACGCGGCGTGACGCTCAGTCGATTCGGGTTCGAGCAGTTTGTCAAGCTGAAGAGCTACCACGTGAAGGAGTATCCGAAATAGACGCTTGGTGCATTTGCAGATAGACGATAATGCTTTGTAATGGCTTGAATGACATTGATGTGACAATGATAATGACAATGACAATCACGATCAACCCTTAGTCCTTGATCAATACGCACGAACTCAATCACGGACAATGCCAAATACACTCACCTTGCCCAACCTGTCCCCCCTCCTGCCTACACACCCCTATCTCTTAGTTATCCCAAATACGAATCCCTACTTGCACCATACCAACCCCATCCTCAACATATCCAGCCATGCCCCAGGACAGTCAGTATATGTCAATGGCGCACGCCCAACAATGAAGGCCACTGACAATGACAGCGCGCGTATGGACGGGATCGCAGAACCGAATCCTGGCCCGGGAGAAGGTATTTGTATGGTGACGGGGGGCTGAACATTCTTGGTGTGACGTCCTACATTCAGGTTTATGGTTAGTTGAAATTTGGATTCAAGGGAGTACTCCGTACGGCGAAAGTACGGGGAGTCGTTGGGTAAGTGGGTACAGAGTACTCCGTAATGAGGTAGGATTTGAGATGGGATCATATACTTCGTACAAAAATAAGGTCTTTGGATCGAATAGGTGATTAAGGAGGAAGATAGTTACTTACTACTGTAGATATCTCCCTACCCTCCTTACCCTACCCTAGCCATACTACCCTCAACAACATAAGTGATACCTATACGAAGTAACAGTCCCACCCAAGAAAGACCACGCAAAACCTAAATCCTCTTCATTTTGTCTCTATCTAAATCTAAACCCAAACCCCATAAGTATGTCCTCCGTACGAAGTAAACATCTAAGTTCTCTAGAAGGAATGTCCAGAACCGCTGAATGGCTGAAATCGGAATCCCTATCGCATCCCGCGGATCAGCAATGGGGTCGACTAAGTAGGCATTGTTGTTATGCAAGGAGTTCTTCCTCTCCACTCCATACGTAAGTTGGTTGCCACCCTACTTACTCCGTACTGACCTGTCTTTTTCTCTTTTCTTTCCTGCAAGTTAATAGTAGAGCCTGGTCTTTGTCTAGATACTCGAGGTAAGAAGAGAAAACAAAGAGAGAAAGTAAAAAATAAAGGTAGGTGGTTTTGTGTAAGAGCGGTTTGTCTTTTGGTAATACTTATTGTTATTGTTATTGTTTTATTTAGATCCCGCTCACCATATACTAATACTACAGTAGTTACTACAGTATAGTATAGCTACCTATACTTCCATACAACAATTAGGTACTGTGTACTCCGTATAGGTAGTTATTTTTACGTTCTAGATCCTCCCTCCTTTCCACCCCATAGATTCACTTATTTTACTCTGTATCAACCCAAGAATGCCGGAATCTCTCCCGCGACGAGGGCTAGAACCCATGACTCAACCCGCAATGCTGACTGCACTGATTTTGTCCCACTTCCCTCTTCCCACTTTTCACCCATCCATCCTCCTCCCAACAATGATGTACTGCCACAACGATAATCGATCTATTCTCGGCGCGGTTATTGCTTCACTTGCTGGGCGATCGGGGGGGATCGGCAAGCCACGATACAGTACAGTACATCCGACCCTGGACTGATCTATTTTGGGTAATTTATAATTCTGGTGAGGGTGAGGGGTTGGAATTGGGGTAATTACGTAGGTAAGTTAATCGACTCTTAGTAGGATAATATTATGGTAATTAGATCTTGTTATTTATTACTATGATAATAATTATTACGGGGTAAGTAAAATAAGTAGACCATGCTAGTGATGAATGGTTGGCGCCCTGTTTTGGGTATCTTGGCATAGTTTCCTCCCGTCGCCTAGCATCCAGGGACCAACAGGCTTCGTATGTACATACACAGTAGTGTTTGTCTGTACGGAGTATCTCCTCCGTATGCGCCTACGTTGTATGTAACCCAGTGATGCTATAAAAACATACGCAAGGCAATCCAGCAAACAATCTTCGGAGAATAAATGACCTGCACAATGGCCGTCGACAAACAAAGAAAGGGGCTCGCATATTTGCTTCTGTGAACCCCGTCACTCAGCTTTAATGAGGAGAAGGGCCCGGGCCAACGCCAGGGGTACCTCCATACACAGGACTCCGTACTCCGTAGATACTTCGTACAACACAGCAACTATCTACAGTTGGCATTGCAAAGAATGTGTCACAGTACGAAGCCTGCACATACATAAGGCTGTCACGGTGGATTTTGTCGTGCCACAGAATTTGCCGATCAGCTTCAGCCTGCATAGTTGCACGGGCGGAAAACCGTTGTTCGACCTGCGAGAGCCTGAGAGAGGGCCAAAAGTGTCTGCAGGGCGTCGGGCGTATCTGCTATATATCCTGGCCCGGCTGCTTCTTTTCTTCTTTTTCTCCTCTTGGTTTTTTGGTTTTCCTGTTCCTACTTCCCCCGCCCAATGTCCTAGAGCTTGTGTTGCCGCCTTTGTCCTTCCTTTTTCTATTCTTGTTCTTTGTTTCGGTTGTTTTGCATACCGTGTCCCTCGTTTGATAGAGCTCCTCTGTGGCGTCCACTCGCTTTGGTTGATCCGCTTCGCCTTAGTCCCTTTTAATTGCCTCGGTCCTGCTTTGTAGATAGGGTCCGATTACACACTCCTTCACACCACTTCACCCACCTTCACATCATCCCAACTCAACAATCATCATGGACTGTTTTCGGCAGATTGCTCGACTGGTCAAGTCCCCCTTTCGGCGCGAGAAGCAGCAGAAGGTGTTGGAAATCGTGAGTCTCAGCCCAGCCCCTCGGTCCGCCCCCAACCACCCCCAACCATACTAATGCATCTCAAGGGTCCCCCCACCGACTTTCGCAAAGAGGAATTACCCGCGTTCTTCTCAGATGACGAGTCAGTCCCCTCGCGCCCTGACTGTGCTGACCACCAGTCTGACCATCGCTCGCAGTGCCGCCACCCTGCACAGCCGGGGTTCGACCCTCGAGAAGGAGAAGGAAGCCGCTGTCACGGCCATGGAACGCCAACCATCCACACGAGACAAGATTAAGACGCATGTCCGGAGGCTGAGCGTCCGAGTCGCCCGCCCTCTTTCTGACGCCGATGAGCAATGAACCGGTGCCGGCCACGGCGAGGCCGGTTCACTCGCCAGTGACGCCCAGACGGATCATACCCTCCTCCCGCATGGATCATAGTCGACACCTCAAAACAAGAACGTTGGAACTTCGTTCAGACGCGACTTCTTGGTCTTCGGGTCCACGCCGCGTGGATTTGGCCCACGTCCGCCTACCGACGGGGAGGATTCCTGGCCCTGCAGCTCAATCGGTGACTGATGCGGCTCTGGCAGTCCATCAAAGTCATCGAGTAATAATCTCTTCTTAGATTTGGTCGCGGTTGGTGTACTGTATCTACCACTCATAGACTGCACGCTTCTCATCCCACCGTCCCCTGTAGCGCGATGCAGCGAACTGCTTCGCAAGCTAGATGTAGAGCGCGGTTGCGTCCGAGACGGCCGTGTGGGCGTCCTTGTCCGTGCGTCCAGATCGTCGTCTTCCCCGGTTGTTTCACCCAGTAGATCTTCCTCGACCTCCCTTGCCGCCCCATCTGTAACACCATATCCGCTCCCCCGGCTGGTCCCAGGAGCCTGCAGCCCAGCGGCCGCCCGCGTCGACGACTTGATACCCTGCATGCCGACCAAGGACCGCGCCTTTCGCGGGCTGATCATGAGATCATGCAGTGACGTACCCGCCCAGATACGATCTTCCTCCTGTTCCTCCTCCGTCTCCTCTTCCGAATCCACCGCCGGTCGGTTGCCAAGTTTCTGCAGCCCGGCTTTCTGCTGCGCCGCCAGCTCCGCCGCTGCAGCCTTCTTCCTCGCCTCGTCACTCGTGGGCGTGACGCCATCGGTCGGTCGAGCAATACTCTGAATCGCCGTCGCATTCTGTAACTTCGCTTCTTTCTTCCGTCGTAGATATTCCGCGTAGTGAAGATGTTGGGTGAACGTTTGCGCGACCGCGTAGAATTCGTCCTCCACCATCATGTATATATCGTCATGGTCGAATCCTTCCCGTAGATACCTTCCACATATTAATACGACCCTTTATCTCTACCCAGTGACCACATACTCTTCAGACGGACAGCGATGAATCGGAGAAGACGGCGGCGTGGGAGCTATCAACAATGCGTCAGTTCCGACCAACAACACCAACCACATCCACATCCACATCCACATTGCAAAATAAACGCACATACACGATCTAAAAAAATCCCTCTTCTTCGTCCGAGACCGCGGGGTCTCTGCCTTGGGCGTCACATCGCTCTCACTCTTCGGATCTTTTGTCGTCTCCGGCTTCACATCCCGTCGCGGTGTCGAGACCTTCGGCTCGCGCTTGATAGTCGCTCCATTATTCAGCCACGGGAGAGTCCGAGGCATCCTGTCGCTCTGCTCAGGAGGGAGCTGTAGTCGACATGATCTTCGCAAGAAGAGAGGCGATGGGTATGTCGAAGGGGGAGGAGTGAAAGTCGCGGAGAAAGAAGGGTCAGTGCAGACCGCCGAAACGCACGCGGCTTTCCGCTCGCTCCCCACCTCCGCACGGCTGCCTGGTTGAGGAGCTCCACTGTCGGTCGGCCTATCTACTCGTTACTTTGGGGGTGTCGTTGATAGATCGCTTTTTTTTTTAGGATGATGTCTCTGATGAGATGGGGATAGGAGGAAAGTTAATCTTGTGTGGGGGAGCATGGTTATCTCCTACAGATGGCTCTAGGAATAGGTGGTGCGCTCTATTGCTGAACTGCAGAGGGCTTGAGTGTAGGTACTCATCCTCAATTGATTTGACCGAAGGATAGTGTTTAAGCAGGGTAAAGAGAAGGCATCATCGGGTCCGAACCATGATCCTCCTGTAATAATAGGTAGAGCGCTTCCGCCAGTGACTGGGGCTTCTATAAACATCCTCGAAACCATCACGAAAAACGTTTGTGCGAATCGGGTATCTGATTTCAATCTATTCTAACCTCCACATAAAGTATGTAACACAACTCTCATGCTGACCTGAAACGCCGAAAGTGAAGTCATAACCCCATATTAATCAGCATGCGATATCCCAGCGTAAGAAAAAGAAATAAATAATCCACAAGAAGAGAACAATGATCGCATAACGCCGTCCGATGACAGGTGGACAAGAACCAGAAAAGAAAGTGTCAGCCGAGACAAATCTCGTAGCCTTTCTCTTCGCATTCACGCCTCCCCAGGCCTCTTGCTGTTGCAGCTCACGATCTTCACCTTATCCGCCGACACGGTAGTCTGGTTATCGAGTTTGAAGGTAACGTCTTTGATGAGGAAGGTCCACACTTCGTCGCAGAATCGGTAGGTATCGAGATGACCCTATGTAATAGATGCCATGTTAGTTCCAGTCGCCTCCTAGTATCCTCCCTATCCCCGCTGCGGTTCAACGTACCTTGAACGTGAGCCGAGCCCGCACTTTATCCGCGAGCACCTCGGTGATGATTCGGTCGAAGGTGGAGAGAATCTTCATGGCCAGTTGCGGCTCAATCCGGCCTTCGTTGATCAGGTCATCGAGCGTGTCGGTAAGGGAGAGTCCAAGGCTGCGCATAGCGTTAGTGGTATGTCTTGACAGGTGCCAGTGGGGACCGTAGTACCTGCTCCCGCGGTAAAGCTCGTAGTATGCCTGGGCGCTCATTTTGAAAGGACAGTGACAGGCGACAAGGGAGATAGAGAGTGTAAGTGGGTGGAGCCGGACGATTGCGATCAGTTGGTCGCGGGGAGTATCTGCACGTGATGCTGGTCATGTGATGATGAAGCTATTACATCAAAGGATGGACGCCACTCAGGTCAATGATTTTGTTTCTTCGTCAAAAGTGTATTTAAACCCCTTATAAAGACAATGGGGATAGTTCCAGGGTTATTCTCTTCGTTCCGCATTCGGGCAGCTCGCCTGCCAAAGGGTTTCCCCGGAGCAAGAAAGATAACTTCCACTGCGCACAGGTTCGCAGACAAAAGAGGTTAGTGAATATCGATGCTGTTTCCAGTTAAGCCTATATGGTGAGACTAAGTGAACTCTAGATCAAGAGTCATCCCAACCAAATCAGGCAAATGGTGCATCAAGCCCGTCACAGGACAAGCGCAAACAATACAAAGCCAAAAGCGTGGCTCAAGCAGACCAAGAGCTCCGCGAGCGGCTTGAGCAAATGTCCGGTGGAGGTGGTGCGGCAGGAATTGAGTATGAGGATGGCAAGCCTAATGCCATGAAACGCAGCGTCCGAAATAACATGTTCCGCTATATCTGATTGAGTGCCAGCCGGGCAATTAGCTACAAAGTATGCCTCCTAAGAAGAGCCTGCGCGGAGCGGACTCATGCCTTACGATCAACCGATACCTCTTGTCAGACTTCTGGCACAACCCTAAGACTTCTTCGAATGAAGAAGCTAGCTGGCCCAGGATTGATTGATATGGACAGGTGGAAGTTGATTCTATCGAGCTTCCAGCCGGATCAAGATCCTTGTCAATTGATGACCGCAGGAAGGTCTGCCATGATGAACAATCTCCGAAGAAACACGTATAAAGGATTTGCTCGAGTGTCTCAGTACGGATGGAATACTGTCAGGATACACGTCATATTCTGTCAATCTCTGAGTCCTGGTCCTATATATGCTAGACATAAAGCAGATTAGGAATAAAAACAGATCGTCATCTGCTTCAAAATATCATGCCCAACTAGGACTCTATTTACCAATGTTGAAACCAAGACTCCGTAAATCGCTCATAAGATCAGCCCAAAATCAAATATCTTCTCAATCGTGATGGAGCGACGGGGTGGTCATCACCGGTTGCCCACCATTCCGGCAAGAACGCCAGCACCAATGACTCCGCCATCCGAGGCTTCCCGCAAAAAGACCGACTTCCCGCTCTTCTGCGGGCCTGTCCTCATGATGAGCCGGTCGATATATTGCTGGCACATCTCCTTGAAGTTGGGGTAGTGCTGGATGATGCCGCCAGTGTACGCCACCACCAGTTCCTCAGGGCCTGACTGCCAGTCTGCAGGGGTGGGTGTAGGAGAGAGAACCGGAACAATGGGCCCACGGCTGCTCCTAGGATCGTTTGGATCCAAGCTTGATGTAGACAGAGTCTGGGACACAGCAGACAAATCTGGTGCGCCGTTTACCTCGGGCAAAGGGACACTGGGATTCTGCGGCGAACCCTCGTGGCTGTCCACCTTTAGTTCGATTTCCTGCGCACAGGCAAGCAACCCCACAACTGCTGCAGCAATCAAACCAGCAGATCGTCTCTGTACAGTCCGGGCGATCTTACGAAAGACCCCTGCCGACACAGCATCCCAACTCCACTCGCTATTCTCAGGCGGAGGCAGAGAGCGAGACAACTCGTCAGCCAGCTCTGGATCCGACCGAGAGCGGGCAACTTTATCCGAAACGAAGGTTGTGGTCAAGGCATACTCCTGGATGAGGGTCGCGGGCAGTACCCGTTTAGAGAGTCCACTGACACCTGTGAGGTAGTCATAGAGAACGAGCCGAACGAGCTCGCCAATGTATCGACCACCGGTCAGGTATTCAAACGGCTGGAAACCGGGACGTGCACATGCCCTGTCGAGTTCAACATCCCATTTAGTTATGATGTTGAGTTCTCTTAACGGGGAAGCGGCACCGGCGATTGTCCATTCAGTATTCACCACCGTCTCCTCTGCTTGCGGGTCCTTTGACTTCACATGCTTCGCCTTGGCCTCATGTAACATACCGAGTTTCATGGGAATTGTGGCATTACATCCCGTGCCCACAATCATACCCATAGCGACTCGGCTATTGGGCAAGGATTTCACAGCATATGCAAGGGAAGCCAGTGTAGCAACAGTGTCGTTGGTAATGGCGGCGATCTTGAGTTTGGGAAGTTCAAATAGCTTCCGGCGTTTGCTTGAAGGCTCGGATTCATTGTCTGGACGCCGTGTATGCTTTTCATACCCACTAAGTAGAATTTTGCGCAGATCAAGGTCTGACGTGATGGCAAACCCTTTACCCATGGGCATCAATGTAGCTTCCGTGAGAGACTCTTGCCTGTGGTTGGTCAGTCAAACAGATCTAAGTGTAGCGATGTTGCCGCTTGCGCGGGCCACAACAGGAAATAACTCACATTATCGGGAAACTGAACGTAATACCCATCTCCAACTCTTCTGGGACGTGGCCTCTCGTTGCCTCAGAAGTTAAACTCTCCGCCACCACTTCCGCAATGCAGTCTCCAATCCACGAGAATAGGTCCTCTGCCTTATCCATCTTCAGATGCTCTTGTATAGGCCATGCTCTCTCCAAGGTCCGTCTAACGCGCTGTCGCTGCGCCTTACGGATGGTGTCGCGAGATCTCTCCGACGCGTCTGTGGAACGTACGTCTGACTCAGTAGCTTCCCCCAGCAACTCGATGAATGCAACACGCAGATTAGTCCCACCAACATCGATAGCCAGATACCGGCCTGTTTCCAAGCCGGTAGGCAACCTAGTCACTGGTGTCGGCAAGAACTGCTCCTTGGAATGCAGAGCCAGATCCCGGTATACGGTGGAAAATCGGCGCGCAAGTTTATACAGGACGGCTTCATCCAAAGCTATAGGCGACAGGAATTCATCAAGCCTGCGCTGACGTTCCAGGTGTTCTTGGAGAGAAGGGTCCAGGTCAGCGCCGTCCTCCTCTTCATCCTCCACGGGCTCTTCATGCATATGCTCATGCTCATCATCCTGGCTCGTTTCCACCCCTATTGCATTAATCGGCGCCATGATGTGAAAGAGCTGGAGCCGAGCTAAGCAGCAACGCAGGCAAACAGTCGGTCCGTGTGACTCGCTGCTAGCAAGCAGTGACCGCGGAATTCTTGTACAACGGGCAGTAAGTCGGCGGAAGAAAGGGCTCAGGTATTGGATTTATCTGTTCGTCCCCGCGGAATGTTCGGAGGGGAAGGTAGGACGGGATGTGGAGAATCAGGAATGAGGGTCCAGGCTCCGATGATAAGGCGCATGCGAATTCAGGGTGTCCCTGGATGCTGGAGGAAAGCTGAAAGCTGAGATGCCAGCCCTAATCGGGCAGTGCCTCGTAATGGCAGTTCAGGAACGGTGCGGTGTCCACGAGAAGAGGCTATCTTGCAGTCAATCTATACGGTGACGAATGTGACGGTCAGTTCCTAAGGTTACAGTGAATGAATGGTTGGGTCTCAACATTGTCGACTGCAGTGACGCGTGCTGCAATACGATAATGGGGAGGGGGCACAGAAATGCTAAGGAGGGTACAGCGGTGACGATCTCAATGCAGGGAGCCTTGGGGGATGCTTCCAGAGAGAGCAGGGGACCGGCAGGTAGGAAGGGGGGTGCGTGCGGGTGAAAAGTAGTGACAAGGACAATGACATACAAAGTGCTAGTGGAGCTCCCGCAGGTGCTCGTTCCAACCGAGATGGAAATAAGGCTGAGCCGAGGGACGTAAGTAGTAGATAAAGATAAGTATGGAAGGAGACAAAAGGACGGGATCGACGGAAGAATGGCGGGAACCATCAATTAAGTATCATGATCATTACGACAAAGAATCCCCGGTCCAGCCAGTGGATAAGAAAGCATTGCCGGTCCCCACCACACGGGAGAAGACGATGGGGAGAGGAGCAAGAGGGAGAGAGTGAAGAGGAATCCCAATCGGGGGCTAGGAGGTCGCAATAATGGAGGAGGGTGAGGGTAGTGAGGGAGACTAGCAGCAGGCGACGACGAGTCTGGAGGACTGCTCCAGAGCCGCTGGGATGGAGCTGATGCGACCACCGGCGCGGACGATGTGACGCTGTCCGGTCAAGCGACAACCATGGATGTGGCCATGGTTCGATCGGGCCCCATTGGGACCCATGGGCGAGATCATTCAATTATTATTGTGCTCTAGTGGGATCATGGATGGCAGAAAGGCGGTGGTGCTGCTGTGCTGCGTTGTTTGCACGATGTTGCTTGATGATTGATGTGATGGTTGATGATGATTCGTATCCGCCCGCCATCCAGTCTTTGCCTCTCGTGGTCTTTTCCCCTCCTGGCCAGCTCCTCCCTTTCCTCCAACCGACCAACGTCACCGTCTCCTCTTCTTCTCTTATCGGGGATACTACTTCAGTTAGTGCACTGGACTATCAACAATGGTGGTGTCTTTTCTGAATTGCTGTTCTTTTTTTATTCTGATGGATTCATTATTCCCCTCTCCTTTCTGCCCCTTCCCCTGTCCCTTTCCTACCCTTACAGGGTACTGTTACTCTCAAAGCTTTTACTTATTCTCCTTTTGCCCCAACTAAGTCCTTATTTACTCCGCCATAAGCGAAGGCTTTCATGGACCCCATCACCCAAACTAGGGGCGAAACAATTGCTTACGGGAGGGAAAAAAAAAAGTGAAATGGAAACGGGTTTCGGGGCCACTTTTGTCAACGCCTAAATAAGCCATGTGGTAGACAGTGGGGCGATGCCTCCATTTGTTATGCACAGACTCAACCTCCATCACCATCGAGTCAGAACCCGACGGTTTCCAAGCCTTAGTTTACTCAAGGTGTTACATACTTAGCCCCTCATTCGTTGCCGATGCCGTGTGAGTGGATAAAGAAGCGTAAGAGGGGGCATGCGCTTCGGCCTCTTTGCTCCTTCGTATACACCATTGCACACGAAGTAACGTTCTACTGCTCCGGGTCAACCGTCATCGTGGAAAGCTAAGTGGAAGCAGGCCCCCGTATTCCAGCCACACTTACATCAACTGACCATTGACGATAAGATCGTTCTGTTGAGGCTGCAAAGCCAGCACTCATCATGACAGTCAACACTGTACGCTGTTGCAGGTTTGTCTGCTAACAAATTCCATCAAGGCAGGAAATGGCGCTCAGGTAGAGGACCTACCAAGTACCAGCTGACACATGAATTTCCATGTATTGGGGCGGACTGGATTTTGTCAGTCAGACGGAGTACTCCGTACGGAGCACCGTGCTGTCATTCGCTAGACACTAGACAGTCAGTGTCAGGCTCCGGACTCCGAAGTCGGAGAGCCATTGGGGGAAGTTGGAGCGAGAGCATAACCTGCGGAGGTCCGAGATGGTCAGTACGTAGTCTACCCCTGGGATCTGCGCCGATAGGGGTCAGGCTAGGGCCACCGGACCCTGTAGTAGCCTGTCATAGCAGGTTTGTCCAGTCCCTTGGCCTGTTTGACATTTGGGGGCCTCCCTGAATGCCTGGGTCTTCCGGCTAGAAAATGTTCTGCCCACGGAGTATGAATGACTGATTGGGAATATAATCGTCACAGCACACCTACAGGGACATTTTAGCGCGCACACCGTAGCGTGCAAGGGCTAGTCGAGTGGAGTCTTCCGAGTACTAGGCTACTAGCTCTTTGCAACCCAGTTGGCATGAGGCCTAGTGATAGGCTGAACGGTGCCATTCACTGGCTGTTCCATGGCCCTATCTTAATCTATCCTGCAATATCAGTTGTGGCTACTCCGTAGCAGTCGTGCCATGTGACGCGCGTTTCTTCAGCACTTGAAGCCTGTCAATATCGCGCATTTTCGGAGGTGTTGCCATATGCTTCCCATTGCTCCTCTGACTAACTCTTTGGAGCAGACCGAGCAGCGTAGCGACCAGGAATTCGCCGATGGCTAAGGATTGAGGGTCGATGGGACTGCCCTGGTAGAGTAGTAGCTAAAACTATGCTCCGTACGAAGTAGTGTCTGTCGTTTGTCGCTCATCGTTCAGCTGCAGATGCAGCTCCAACGCCCTACGAGACCTGCTGCCAAGCATTGTATGTCCCTGCAGCGCGACGTTTTCTATGTGCTTGTTTCAACGACGGTTCTGTCATGCATCAATTCTTTCGTGAGCTCATCTGCCTCGCGACTTTGAAGGCTGGAGTCCGAAGGAGTACCACTTCGAAGCCAGATAGGTATGAGAGAGCTCCACAGCAGGTCAATTTACTTTCACCGGTGCTACGTCTTTCGAAATGACTAGTAGAATGAAACAGCAGGTACGGAAAGTATCGGATGGGGTGGTCTTCGAGTCAAACTCTCTAGAGACTGATGCAACCTCGATGGTAGTCTAATGTGATCGGAGTGGTTATAGTGCTAAGCGCCGTTGGAGTCATGGACCGTAGGCACTTTCGGCTTGGGAGGAAATCATCTCAGAGTGCAGATAGAACTATTAACCCCTCCGTCGATCGCTTTCTGTGCATAGAGCTCAACTGGCGAGATCCATGGCCAGGTTGCCCGGGGAGGAGCGAGTGTAACGCGAGGGAGATTTGCCGGGTTGCTCTCGGAAACCCCGCCGAGTGGCATCGCTGGATCCGATCGCGATCTCCCCACATCTTCCTCTGATTTCATCCATCCATCATCATCATCATCCTCCTCCTTCGTTCTTTACCCACTAACCCTCTACACAGTACTACTACCGTTCAACCAGTGGATGGTAGCTATAATGGAGAAACTCCAAGTTCAACCCAAGGCCGACCACGCCGGCTATGTCGACATCTCCGAGTCTGCCGGTGCGCGCCCGATCAGCACCCGACGCGACCGGGTCGTTGCTCGGCTCGCCGCTTGCTTGGGGCTCATCACATTAGCCTTCCTGGCTCTATCCTGGGCCCCCATCTCCTTTTCCGGCTTTAAGTTCTTCTCGTGTCACGGATGGAGGAGACATCACGATGATTCTGGGCTTCCGGTCTTGGGCAGTGAGGAAGCTCCGCTGATGGGGGATCCACTACGTGAAATGTTTCCGCCAGATCGGGTCCTGTCATCGAGTAACAGAATCCCTCTGGAGGCTCATATCATGAGCAAATGTCCGGATGCCCGGGACTGTCTGCAACAGCTTGTTCTGCCGGCTATGGAGCAGATCAGCGACAAGGTTGACTTCGAGCTGTCGTTCATTGCCGAGTGCGTGAACTTGTTCTTCCCACTTGCTGGTGCACAAAGCTAACACTGCGCCCAGAGTATCCAATAAATCGTCGGAAATCCAATGCAAGCACGGTCCCACCGAGTGTATCGGTGACATGCTCATCCTCTGTGCGGCCAACCTGCCCTTCCCGTCGGAGAGCGATACTGTTTGTCCCACAGCGGCTCGTACCCCGACCATCCGGTCTCTCGGGTTTGCCAACTGCCTGATCAACTCGTATAGCGATATCCCACGCCGTGATCTGGTCGAGGGCTGCGCCTTGGAGCATGGCATTGATTTTGAAGCCCTGAATCAGTGTGCCAGTCAAGAGCGCGACGGTTTCGATGGCGATGATGACGGCGAGGAGCACACCCCACCAAGTGGCTTTGCTCTGTTGCGGAAGAGTGCGCTACACAGTGCGGAGCTTAGCGTCAAGACCAGCTGTACTCTTCGGCTGGACGAATCGGTCTGGTGCGTTCGGGACGGTGGGGTCTGGAAAGACTGCGCCAAAGGAGGAGAGGGCAGTAAAGTCTCGGTGCTTGTAGATGAGGTGAAGAAATTGTGGGAGAAGGCCAATTGAACCTTCGATATACGTTATGGGATGCACTCCAGTGCTATGATTTGATGTGGCACCGCACGTGATGCAAAAGGATGATTCTGTTTGACTTGTGCTTTGTATCTAATTATGACAGTCCGAGTATACTACCTAATCGTAATCAGTGATTTGTGAATCAGCAAGACCCGAGCCCTTCCTTACCCTCCAGCCCTCCATTGCACTAACTGGTGGGGTTTATGTGACTTCAACGTGTTTATCTCGTTGGCATATTCGAGCAAACCGAGCAACATTTGGCACTCACACGCTGCAATAGCCATGGCTATGGTCATGCCAGACTCATAACAGCAATGTGACTAGAGTCTCCGCAAGCATTCACTGCCTGTCACCATCCAGGCATTTGTTTGCTCTTCAATCACGTCCAGAAACCGTATACTTGATGCTACAGGCACTGTCTCTCCCTGTCACGTCTTTCCCAACTAGTGAACTCATACCACCAGAGGCTTTCCTTGCGATTGAGAACATCTCCATTTTCTTCTTCTTCTTCTTCTTCTTCTTCTTCTTCTTCTTCTTCTTCTTCTTCTTCTTCTTCTTCTTCTTCTTCTTCTTCTTCTTCTTCTTCTTCTT